TTCAGGCCGCTCACTGGTGTCATTCTACGAGGCCAGGTCGGATCGATCTTCCACCTTAGCGACCGCAGTATCTCTGCCATTGCGATCCTGGCTTCAAACATGGCAAACTTCTGGCCAAGGCATGCCCTGCGACCCCCGTGAAACGAGATGAAGGCTCCCTTGGCGTTCGCTTTTCTGAACGTCACATTGATCTCATCGACTGTGCGACCCCAGCGCTCGGGTTTGAACTCATCGGCGTCGGCGCCCCAGGATTGCTTGTCTCGATTGGTCGCATACGCATTGTAGCCGATGTACGTGCCAGCCGGAAGAGGGATTTTGCCTCCCAGAAGAACAGGCTTGGTCGTACGACGGTTAATCAGCTGGGAGATCGGAGGATACATCCGCAGGGTCTCGTATATGACTGACGTCAAGAACGGAGCCGATTGGAGAACAGAATACGGCAGCTCGTCTTCGCCAAGCGAGAGTACCTCCTCGCGAACTCTTTCCTGGATTTCCTAAAAATAAAATAATAATCATGAAAAAACTCAGTCACCGCAGTGTGCAGACGGGGAACGCGGGCGAGAAGACAACCACGTATCGATTCGCTTACCTGATGCTCACCAAGCAGGAACATCATCGAGACGAGCAGCAGCTGTGGATTCTCGTGGCCGGCCAGAAAGACACTAACCATGTTGTTCCTGAACTGCTTCTCGCTAAGAATTCCCTGCTCAAAGGCCCCAATGACACTGCATCCAACGTTCGAAGTTGACTTGTCCGTATGGGCGTGTTGGTGGCCCCGCTGTACCGTTTGACATAGTTCATTGGCGAACTGTCTTGCCAGCCGGCGGGCTCTCTGGCGGCTGGGAAAGTTAAAATGGTCCAAGAATGGAAAATTCAAAAAGACAGGATCGAAAATCAGAGGCTTGAGCATCATCTGAAATTTGTGGAGAGCCGCATCCTTTTGTTGTAAAGTCTAAGCATGCAAAAAAGGGTTAGGCGCTGGTTTGACACGTAAAGGGGTCGGGCAGAAGTCTAGAACTTTTTCGGTTGGTTTTTTTCTTTGTTGGTTTTTTTTTTTTTTTTTTTTTTTTTTTTTCTTCTCCTTCTTACCTGGAAGCTTGTCCCCAGAAGCCCTTCCGACAAGTTGGCTAGGGTAAACCGTTGGAGGAGCTGAGGCAGCAGAACGGAGCCATGTGGGGATGTCTTCTGCTCCTCCAACAGCAGGCTGATCAGAAGCCGGGAGTTCCGCCAAATCGGACCGGGGTCCTGATCCTGTTGAAGGGGCGGCTGAAGGATCGACCTGTAAAGTTTCCAATTTTCGCCGTGGGAGCTGATGATGTTGTCGCCAGTGTACTCTGCTAGCACACTGTACGGGATCTTCTTCTGGTTTCCGCTCTTTGCATAGGTGTCTTCGTACTTGAAGACCTCGGCAATGTAGGATGGACGCTGCACAAGGATGTTCCACCGGCCGCCAAAGAAGATCTTTGCAGCTCCGTGTTGCTCGAAGAGCGGCTCCAGATAGGTGTGGTAGAGCGCTTCCTGGTCGCCGTCCTTGACCAGAGGCAGCAGCGCATAGTAGAAGGGTATAGCGGGTATATTCCGGGGGAAACTGGCAGGGGGAATGAAGAAGTACACAAGAGCAAGGAAGAGAATGACGGTAATTGCTGCAACCGCCACCAGGGTCACGGATGACAGAGAGGAGAGAAGCCCGGCCATGTTTTTTTGTTTTTTTTTTTGGTTCTTGTTGTTGGGTGGCCCCGGCTTGTGCTGCTTTTAGGATCTGCGAGAAAAAAGAGCGAGGGGGAGATAGAGAGAGAGAGAGACTGTGCAACAGGAATGTCAAATATGCTCTCTTCTCCAAACACCGGGTTCGACGTCAATCAAACCGCTCCCATAAGAATATCTCGAATCTGGGACACGGGAAAATAGCCTGAAAAAACGAGGATGGAAAGGCTGGCAACGGGTCGGTCTCCAACTTAATCAGCCTTCCGCGAGTTAGCCTGTATGAATGATACGGAGTCTCACAGCCACCGGCGGTCCCAATACCAACAAACCCCCACACACCGGGGCAAAGCTAGGCATAGCCTTGAATATTGTATCGAACCCGGTGTCGACAAGAATCTGAAGGAGACCTGGCTCCAATACGAGGTAGGATTGGCTTCATGCAGCCTTCGGAAGGCTGTGAAGCAGGCTCCATCGAGCTGTGGTCCGGTGCAGCAGTTGATCCTTGGCCTGGGTGCCGGTACAAGAATAGATCCCGAAACATGAACGAGATGTTTCCAGTGGTTATATCTCCAGGGCCCTGGGGTGCTTTAAATTGAGCAGATTAATACCCTACAGCACATCCAGGTCAACGCGTGGCCGTCCCCAAAGCTTCATATCCCTTTTTTCGTTGCAAAAGGATACCGCAAGCACTCCTTTCCAGACTCTTCATCTGCATCTCCTTTTTGCATCTAGAACAACAAGTTGGTTGGTTATTACGCGCACTGCCAACATTTGAACACAATACCCTTATCCTCCCAACACACACACACACCCATCTTCTTTTTTTTCTTTTTTTGTGAAGATCCTACAATGCCTACTCTCAACAAAGGAAGCTCAGTATACCATTCGACGTACGCCCTATATTGGCGTGACTCGAATGGCAAACTGTTGGCGGTTGAAGGCAACGGTTCCAAAGAGGTTCGCCAGGCATGGCCACAACTATGGGAGGGACTATCCGCAAGCACCACAGACCGAACGACGACAAAGCTACCGTCCGGCAGACAGATCGACTGCTTCAAAATCGAGTTGGGCTTGCCTATCCTTTCCGACGGTGGACGCCTGGAGTCCGGGGGCCAAACAACACAGATTCGAGAACTCCAGAGAAGTAACGGCCTCACCCTTGGACATGTTTCATCAGAGCAAGGAAACAACTCCACAAACGCAGATCTTCATACATGGTTTGAGGAATTCCTGCTGCTGCGCACCGAATTCACACCGTTCAACGCCATATCGGAATCCAATTGCGAGGCACGACGCATCTCTGTGCAGATATCCGATCTATTTGACGCAAAACTCAGGAACTTGCCCCCCAATGACCAGTGGAGCTCTGGTGGGGGGCGCGAGTATTTTTTGAACCGAGTATATGGGTTCGTCGACAAGGGTCTGCCTGTCATTTTCTGCTTGCCGGCCTTCCCCTGCAAGTCTTCAAACCCACAGAAAGTCGGGGGCACGTATCCTGACGCAGCAGAGTATTATGCCCTGGTGACGATGCTCGAGTTCCTCAGAGCAGTTTCTGCCATTTACAAGCCGGGAGCTATTCTGTGGCTTATCAGTGACGGCCATGTATTTTCCGACTGCAGTAAGTAGAGTAGGGTGTGGGAGAAAGAGAAAAAAGAGAGCTAACGTGATTGGTGAACAGTTGGTGTCGACGACATCAAAGTGGACGAGTATAAGGATCAACTAATGGAAATGTATCACGAGATATGTCCCGATGAGAAGAGCCGTGGGTTCATTCGATTCATGGGATTGAAGGACATCTTCCTCTCCGATCCCGACTTGACAGATCGATTGTCGCCGGCATGGATGGAGACGGTGGCCTTGGCACACCCTGTTGAAACCGTGCTCACAGACGACGCAGAACTTTGCCGGAAGCTGATGACGGATATGTGTGAGCCGGATCGAGATTACCTGCGCAAGCTCATACAGGACCAAGAACCGCATGCACTCCAGCTATACAGGGGTCTTTCGCGGTTCATGCTGGGTGACCTCGGCAGCCACAAGGCACTCACTTCGCTGAGCACGAAACAGCAAAAGAAGCTTTCCAGTAGCGTTGCGACCGAAATGATCCTTGTAAGCCCCCCAACCAAACACGTCTCCCTCAATAATGCAGTGCATAACTAACCTGTTGGGAAGCGGAATCAAGCATACTCAAATCTAGTCGAGCTGCTATTCCCCAACTATGTCCGACTGTCCATCCATGCGTATGTTTTATGGCGCCATTTCCTTTGTTTTTTGTATTTACTTTCTTCTTTGCCCCAGAGCTGATACCCTTGTACAGTCACGATAACCGAGGACCCAAGTTCGGTATCAATCTTTTCCCCAAGACGATGATACGGTCGATCCGTTCCCTAGAGACGCGGCATGAGACTCACTCGTCGTACGACTTCCACTTACCAACACCGTGGCATAATTCGATCATCAAGGTCAATGGCGACGAGTACATGTACGTGGGCAGAGCAGACATCGCGCACGCCGGCTTTGACAGCCCTCAGTTTAGCGGCTCGTGGGTGTCTGGGCCGAACGGGGGACACTTTTCGATAAGCAGCAAGGAGCAGCCTGTGGCAGAGAAGCCAGCCCAGGAAGTATATCCCAAGTCCGGTTTGTTTATGTTTATCCAGTGGGTATGGTTCGGTATCACCAAGCCCTTTTGGACTCTCTGGCAGTGAGCATGAATTTGACGAATTAACGACGACAACGCGGGTGGATGTAAATATGGATGTGAACAGGACAAACAGACCCAAGACATACATAGAGACATAGAGAGGTTTATCTGGAGATATAGTTATGTAGATCGACCCCAAAAAATAAATATATATTTAGCAACTCTTTTTTTTCTTGAGCAAATCCGCGCAAATCACCGCAATGAGGGGGTGTTCGTATGCGCCGACCCATGTCCTGTTGTTCTCGAAAACGGTCGAAATGCACGCAAATCCGCGCCATCGAACGCGGCAAGGCGGCCCATGCAGCCAACGGCGTTCGCTCCCACGGAACGGCCGGCCAACCCGCGGAATCTACCCGAAAACTTGCGTTTGGTGAAAAAAGTAAAAAAGAGCTAAGACGCCGAGAGCGGGCCAGTTAGTTAACTAAATAGTTAGTTATATCTGGGACCACAACGTCTAGTTAATTGGGACCCCACTGGTTCTTCACATCCGAAGAAATCTTGGGGATGTTGGTAGGAGTGAGCTCCCTTCCGTCCCTTCGCATCGACGGCCATGGAGCGGTGAAGCTCAAGGACTCTCTCGTGAGCAAGCATCCAGATGGCACAGCAGCTTGTTTGCGCGCCCGAGAAGGAAGAGGTGAACCGACACAGGATCGGATCGCTTAAAAAAGGGGGCCATCGCGAGAGAGCAAAGTCACCGCCGAAAAAGCACGGCATGATACTCTTCCAGGCGTTCCAGCTCCTCGACGTGTTGCAGCGGCGCCACGAACTGGTCCTCCACCTGCTCTCCGACACCCTCGAGCCGATAACGTCGCAGCCCAAGACCCCCGGCCATGAATCCCAAGGACTCCTCTTTTTTTCCCCGCTGTGCTGCCCACGCACACCTACGACGACGCGCTCGTCGACCTCGACGTCCTCCTCGTTCATCGCCAAGGCGTACCCGCGGCTGGACTACCTCGTGGCGATCTGCACCGGCGTAGGACTAGCGGCCAAGGCAGGCGTCCTGGACGGGAAGAGAGCGACGACAAACAAGGCGTCGTGGGAGAGAATCGTTCCTTCGGGGCCCAGGGTCAAGTGGGAGCGTCGTGCGCGGTGGACGGTGGACGGCAAGTTGTGGACGTCGTCGGGCGTCACGGCCGGGCTGGACAATGACGCTGGCGTTCGTCCAGCATGTCTACGGTGAGGAAGAGGCGAATAGAAATTGCGAATCCACTGGAATATGAGAGGAACACTGAACCGGACGGAGATCCGTTCGCCGATGTCTTCAAAGAGGCAGCATGACGAGCCAAGCGACCACAGGGTTGTCATGGTTTCTTTTTCAGTCAGCGAAAGTCTTCGATGAAGAATCAATAACCTTCGTCAACCTGGCCCGTTCGCGTTCTAAGTTAACGCTGCTGCTTGCGAGCCATGTCTCCTCTGTACTGGCAACTCTAACTATGCATATTACCTACATATTAAGAAGCTTTTATTGCACAAGGCCTTCCATGGTTTCTTCCCGATAAGCTTTGAGAGATTGGGCTACATAGAACCTGACTAACCAGTGGATACCGCGATTAGGCACATCAAACTACTGTATATCCAAAACGAAGGGCCGTGATGTCAAAATGCGATCACACTTCAATATTCGGTCGGCCATCCTGACAATGCGGTGCTTCCATCGGGCCGTTACGATGAGGTGGCTGCTTGTATATAGGCACCACCATCCTTCTTATGCTTCTTCCTCTTGTCTTTTCTCTCTCTCTATCTATGTTGTGTCTCCTTTAGCCGCTCAAAATCGTTGCGGTCTTCACTATGATTCCTCCGGCTGAAGCACTAGGCCTACTTTCATGGCTTCCGTATGAAATTCGAGAGCAGATCTGGCTGGAGTTCCTCCCAGCCGGAGCCGATCCGGAAAAGACTGACCTTCGCATATTGCGCACCACTCGTTATCTCTATAACGAAATTTCGGAAATATTCTTTTTACACTCTCGCCTAGAATTCATCCTTAGCCCCAGGCAGACTCTCAGAGATTCAGGACTCACGGTCCTTTTCTACAGGCAGAAGAGCTTTAGGAACACTCGCCCCGTCTGGGAACCGGCACGATGGGACCTAGAGACCATGGCCGATATCAGAGATCGTGGTTTCTACAACGTTCCTTTCCACAAAATTCCCAAGGTCGTAGTGAGCATCGCTGCGCCAAACTACCACGAAGGGTGTCAACTCTACTCGCTCTGGCAGAAAGCCAGAATCCTGGCTGACCTGCTGAGAATGGGATCCATAATTGAGAAGCTGGAGATTCGGCTACAGCCACGAGGGCTTTTCGATTGGGGAATGTGGTGCTGGGCCAGTTCGACCGGTCGCTATGATCATGACGTCGTCGTGATGCCCTTTTGCGCCTTACCAAACCTCCTGTCTCTCGAGATTAAGCACGATCCCCTAACCGACAACAGAGCACTCGACTGGGAAACTATGAACTGGGCGATGGGGCGCCCTTTGCCCGACATTGACGGCCGCATGGCCGAGGACTACTTCTGGATGCATTGTGAACTGCTGAAATGGATCCACGGCCCGGTTGCAGATGTCCAGCGACGAGACTTTTTCGCCCACTGGTTCCTACCGGGGCGGAGCGGCTATTCGCCCTTCGAAAGTGAGGTCGCTCGAATTGTCAGCGCGTATCCCGAGATCATCAGACTCCACAACTTCGACATGGATATCATCCACGAGGCGCACCAGACCATGGTGTGCCTATATTATCATTGCCGAAAAAGGGCCCAGGCAAGGCTCGGGGGCGATAGCACTTGGATTTTCCCGGAACCGGACATGACGACCTGGGATCCACAACTGTGGTATCTATGTTTTCCACGTGGGATACCGAGATCTACCTCGAGACGATACAGGGACGACATCAAGCCGCTAGTGGGGTGTTATCTGCCGAATGCGTACAAACGCATTGTGAGAGCGGGAGGCTTGTTTTCTACGATGCCATTCTTGATCGAGAGATGGTTTCTCCTGGAATGCTCTACATCTCCCACAATGAGAGCCCTTGCCGCCCAGGTGGAAGCAATGCGCCTTGGTTGAACTTCGTCGCTGGCCCGAGTCACTTACTTGGAATAGCACTCCGTTTTTCCAAAAGTTCCTTATTTCTCTCCCTCTCTCCCTTTCTCTCCTTTTCTTTTCTTCTCTTTTTTTCCTTTTTTTTTTTTTCTCTTTTTTTTAGCGTGCTTATATCCTTGATGTATGATTTTAATCCTACTACTTGGAAATTGCCAGTGGGATAATCTACTAGTAATTATTCCATAATGGCCATTTTATAGCTTATGCTATCAAGGACGGGCCAATTCTTCCTTATGGCTGGCTTCCTCCACTCCCTCCACACATGCCCATATCAGCCTAAGTGCCCAGTAATAACTATAGGCTGCATTTCTATATTGTGAATTTCCATCTCTCCTTTTCCCCTCCAGAAAGACTGACAATATTTTCACATCACACCTATCGAGCTTGTGAGGTGAAAATGAGGCATGTACAGAGTATACGCACCTGATCCTGAGGTGTGCTCGGTGGAATCTATCATGATCGTACCATGTCGACGTGAAGGAACAGCGAATGACCAAACAGAGCAAAAAAAAAAAAAAAAAAAAAAAAAATCAGTACCGAAGCTTCATATACACACTAGTATCTTTGTAGTAGTAGTAGTAGTAGCCTTGTACGACTCATTCTTGGTCCTCCAACGGAGTATGAGCGTTTTCTGAGAAACGTCATCTGACCCAACTCCTCACCAAACCTTGGTTGCATCACGCGAAGAACAATCACTCCTTGGGGAGTTCATCATGCCGCTTCGATCGCCTACACCCACCAAGGCCACAGACAGAGAGCTCCTCTAACAGAGCTGGCTTAGACAGTAATCTGTATATAAGCCCTGATAGTTATTATCACTCTTTAAACTATGCACATCTATGGGGTTGAAGGCCCACGTATCTCCCCAGAATATAGAGTCTGGGAGACTGGATCGCAAAATTGAATGTGACTATATACATGTCCGTGTGAAGGCAGCTAGCTGGCGCATTTACCTCAACCTCTCGTTGACAAATTGCTTCGCGGCCTCGAGGTACTTGGGGATATATCCACGATGCACTTGGAGGCTGTCTCCACTGTCGCAAAAGATATCCCGCGTGTCGCAGTATGACTGCAGGTTGGCTGCGTAGTGTTCGCAGGACTGTGACTGCAGACGTGGGAAGATCTGATTAAGGGAAAAGGAAAAGAAAAAGAAAGAAAGAGATTAGCTTCTTTTCTGCCAAAAGCCCTATCATCTTTTATAATTAGGAAGATATATGTTGGTGATACATACCCCGTCTCTCACAGAGGTGCCCCTATTGTATGTATCATTCCCTCGGTGACGCGGGTCACCGAGCCAAACGATGGCGGATACTAAACTCAGGTTAAGTAAACGGGTGACCCGTTTAACCAGGTAATGCCGGGAGGGAGGATATGTAACTTACCGTGGTCTCCGATAGTCGTTGAGATGGGGTCGGTGATGGGACCGATCCCGAGCAGACCTCCTCCACCGCAGAGGCTGTCTCCGATCACATGGGAGCCCTGGGAGAAGCCCAGCAGCACGATCTTCGATTTAGGGCATCGCTCCACGTACGCAGTAAGCTGGGCGGTCACGGCCAAGGTCCCGTTGTGAGAGCTTTCAGCGTAGGGGAATATAACTGCGGGCCAGACGATCGGCTCGCGTGTACTGCCTGGGTGATCGGCTACGATAGCGTCCACGAGGGGAGCGAGAGTTGGTCCTTCGCCCGGCGGCTGGTTGCTGCCACGTGCGCTCATGATATGAACCGGTGCACAGTCATTCTGGGTTTTCGCCGCGGCGGGACGGGCAAGGCACAGTGCGCCGTGCAGCGCTAGGGTGGCGATTGCACTTAAGAGGAGCATAGCGTCCGTGGAACGACGCGCGCAGAGTGTAAGTCAAGAAAGATCTGAAGGATGTGTGAGTGTGAGAGAGAGTGTGTGTGTGAGAGAGAGAGAGAGAGAGAGACAGAGAGTGAGTGAGTGAGAGAGTAGAGCCTGGGTCCAGCAGGGATTATGAGCACTATAGGAGATGCAGCTGGTAGACACAGGAGAACTCCATCCTCGACGGCGCCGGGATGTCCCTTATTTTATTTTATGCTGGCTCTGGATGGAGATGGTATTGCTGGCTGAGATTTTTTTGGTCGAGAGATGATATCACATGTTTTAGATGCGCCAATGTAACATCAGTTCCAGAAGAAGCGCAAGGGCGATCAACCCTTTGACTGAACTGTGACCCAAATGCTGGAGTAAATCTGCGTCCTCGACGCCGCGCAGGACCATGGGCACGAACAGGGTGCAACCTTGACGTCTCTGGAGGTGAAAGTGAAGAAGAGCCAGAGGACCGCTTCAAGCACCCACCGGCCGAGGCCTGAAGAAACCAAAGACGTTCATACATACTTTGGCTGAGAGGGGAGAGCCAGGTCCGGGTGGGGAGATCTGCAGCATTGACAGCAGACGGAGGCATCGACGCAGCAAAGCAACAAGGCGAACCCTGGTTTGTGACGCCGCCCGGAAGTAAAGCGACATTGAAACGTTGCTGCGAGGTGCCTGTGCACGTGGTTTTGACGACGAAGGCAAATGAGACGCTGTCCAAAACACCTTTACATACAGTAGCTGTACTGTACGCCGCCGAGAGAGACGCGGTCGAAATTAACTTACGGAGTTAGTCGTAGTTACCGCCATGTTTTGGTTACAGTACAACCCCAACGGAGGGGGTCACCCGCCACATGGCGCTGTCTTTGAACTTGAGGCGTGCTCAAGCCACCTTTCAGCCACCTTTCAGCCTTCTTTATCCTTTTTTTTAATTTTTAATTTAATTTTTTTTAAATTTTATGGGTAGCCCAGCGGGAGTAGACAGACAGGGGAGTAGACGGACAGGATAGTTACTGATGGCTGAATGGTTGGTCAGAAGGCCTCCAGGCAACTCGAAATCCAGCTCTCTCGCAAGTCCTTCCAAATGACCTGATGAAGGCGTGTGGCTGATCCCTAACTGGCCTAATTAGTTAGTTGATGGGTTTTCACAAGGTTGGGAATTGGCAAAAGCGTGGGATTCTGGTGCAGAAGTGTTCGATCGCTCCATCCGCCTGATGTACCACCCCGCCGCGGGTCATCGGCGCATTCTAAACAGTGAGATGTCTAGCTCCTTGTCCATTCATGCAGTGCTGTGCAAAAGCAAAGATGACCAGCGGACAAAAAAAAAAAAAAAAAAAAAAAAGAAAAAAGAAAAAGAAAAAAGGACCGCGTTGTTGCATGTGCAGATTTGGGGGATGTGCTGTATCATGTGGGTTTCCACGATATTATCTGGGGAAATGTTATTACGCCTCGCAATGCCTCTTTCAGGCACGTTTTTCTCACGAGGGTGGGGGTTTTAAGTTCAGCAATAAGTGTATTGGAGCTTCGCATATGTAAATAGGACCTACCGTACCGTTTCAACGCCCCGGTTGACATCAAAAATTTTGCTTCTACGAAACTCATCCTCCGGACGGAGATTTCGATGCTGGTCGAGTGGAGAAGATGGTCTCAGCCCTCCCCTCACAACGATCCCGCTGAAGGAGCCGGAGGGTGGCCGTCGGGGTGTGCTTTCGGGCGGGTTCCCCCTCTTCATCACGGACCACACGGACCACAAGCCGAGATGGGGTCGCAGGGAAAGAGAGAACCGGCCGATACGAAGCTCTGCAGCATGCTTGGGTGATTGGATACTGGTGGATGGCGACATCGGTCTCTATCTCTCCTCCACATCTTGGTTCCTTCGTTCGGATCATCTCCTGCATCTCGTCATTTTTCCGAATTCGCTCCCCGTGAAAATTCCCCTGTGACCGATGGGAACCGCCTTGTTGATCACACAATACTCTCCCAAGGAAATCTTAAACGAGGACATCGGAAATGTCACAGCGCTGCAGGCAAAAATCCCCTTGTTATGTCCCACTCGCCGACACGAACACGCAAGTCAGATCTGCAGATGGGCCTACTGGCGATTTGGCAGGTTGAAGACGGCCAAAATGTCGGGTGGTTTAAATCCAACATTGGCGTGCACTGCCACAATAGAGACCTGACAGGATCGTTGACAGCGGGGTGTCGGAAACACTGCATATCCATGTTGATGCGTGCGGATCTGGCGGGGAAATCTGCAGATCCACTCCTTTAATTCCTCGTCAGCCCTTCCCTCCATCAACCGAGCAGTATAAGTAGTTGGAGATATTTCCGCGTCTCCAACCTTATAAGCTTCTGGAGAAAAAACTGCTTTTTAGACAACAAGAAGAAGTATGTGCCCAAAGGCAATAATGAAGAGTCTGTTCAGCTGTAATTCTGGCTCCTTATAAAACACATCTCTTCTCCTACTCAAGACCACAAAACTGAGTTGAGGCCAAAAAGCTGGCCATGAAAGCCTGCTCCTTCGAGACACAGCAGCAGAAGCATCATTTGTGTTTGTTTGTTTGTTTGTTTGTGTGTGTGTGTGTGCACCTCCCGATCTAGAATGATGGAAGGAAATTTCCTTCATTGCCCTGGAAAGAACTATCCGGAATCTCAAGACTGGAGTTTGTGTGGTTATTGGTCCAGGAGTGACCCACGACCATGACGGGTTCTCAGACTATGTTTTGTTTACTAACGTTCCTCCACGGCAACACGTCCGTCTGCCTGGTGATATTTCAAACATACCTTGAAGGAGTTCTCTTCTTTCTTGTGTTCTTTCTTGTTTCTTTGAAACTGTCGATCACACCTGGAGATTGGCCGGTGTAGTGCCTGCAACAGCGTCTTCTCGACTTCAGCGAAATGGCACAAAGAGTACTCCGTCCGGCGAGGGAAAACCGCATGCATCAAGCGGTTCGATCTGTCTTTATCAAGTGGCTGTCTGAGCTGGGTGACTGGCTGATGGATTATAGCCTGGTTGTCGATGAAGGTCAGGCATCAAGCGGCATCTCGTTCGCAGTACATACCCCATTCTCTCGACTAACCAGGACCGTTGACTAGAGATGTTTATCAATGGGTCGTTCCATGACGTTGAACTCGGCCTTCTTCCCATCGGGTCTCTCACCCCCCTTTGCGTGGTCAAAATCGCGTTTAACGAGCCAAGGGAGAAGTGGCGACAGGATACGGCAGGATTGGTTTGCGGAGCCGAAAACGAGTGCAGAATTCTTGTTGTCGTGGAAATCTGTGAAGAGCCAGATGAGAACAGGCCACCCCCGCCGGAACAGGAATTGTGGAGCTCTCTTCCCTTCATGCACAGACACAACGTCGGCCAATTGGCAGCGACCATCCAGGCGTTTTGCATACGCAAGGAATACTACCTCAGCGGCCGCTTCACGTGCAAGGTTCACCTACAATGTTTGCGTTGGCACGAGCCAGAGCTGCTGTGGGAGTGCGAGATGACTAGGGAAGAGGTCATTTCGCACACCGAAGAAGACGAAGACATGTACCCCAACTGGCGAAATATCCTTTTGCCCGAGTGGGATGTGAAAGGCGAGGAGATCCTGCTCCCGTTTGAAGAGCTGTTGGAAGCCATGTGGGATTGCATCGAAGGGTACGACAACATGGTCGCGCTGCGGATGGCTGGGGTCAGGAAAGGAGCGTTGGAACCAGCAGTGGAGGAGTGCCAGGACTGCAGGCTCTGCGAGCGCCACATCGAGCCTCTTAACCGGCTCCAGAACATGTATGAGAGAGAGGCCGCGGCGAAACAAGCGGAAGAGATGAAGCGCAAGGCTGAAAAAGCCAGAAAGGACAAAGCAAGGTTGCTCTGGAAAAGACCCAAAAGGAGCGATACCGTTACACGACAGCAGCGGGATGTGGCCGAGCCGCTGTGTCAAGATGAGAATGGACAGCACAGTGTGGAAGAAATGAGCGTCGCAGGGGTGGATGATATCGATGAGGATACGGAAGAGGACGAGACTGGAGGAGACGAAGGGAGTGAATACGAAGATGATGGTGACCAAGACACGGATATGAGTTCAGATTAGAGTTGCAGGCTGACGCTGAGGAGGTGACACCGGCTTTCTATCGCCCTGCATCCTGGCTTCGTGAGCCATAATTCGTGCACTATCACTCGTTGTTCGCATATTATCTTTGTGAGGGGAGACGAGGCTATTCAGAGGTAATTCGTGATTTGACCGCAAAGTTGATTCTCGTCTGGTGGACGCAGAAGATCTTACTGCCCTTGCCCTTGACCTTGCTGCTGCGTGTAATTAATTAATTTCGAGACGGACGGAATGCATCCTGATTCCTTTGCGAGTTCATATCGGAGGCCTTTTCGCCGTTCCCCTTTTTCTCTCGCTGTTTGACTAGCGTGCAGCTGTGGAGCGCGGCTCAAATGAGGATGGGCAATGCGTTTGCACCGTTTGCACCTTTTATTTCAAATTTGTTGATTATGTAACACACTCCAGCCAATCATGGAAACGCGGGGAACAGGGCACACTAAGCCCAATGCGGGCGAGGCACGGCTTGTTTTGTGTTTCACACTTTCGGAGGCTTTGATCCAGTGTCGATCGCTGCGCTGGTCGCTCTGGATCGGCAGGGAAACAGGCAGGGGAGAGCTGTTTTTATGGGCCATTTTTCCTGTCACGGCAGAGCTGGCGCCGTGAGAATGGACGCGATCAAGCCTCCAGAGTATCTTGATACCCGACTGACCACTGGGCGACGCTTCTCCTGTTTGGGTGCGCTGAAAGCTTAATGCACAGCCGTGTCGTGTGCACATCACAGCGCCAGGCTGCGAGTGTCTGTCAGTTCATTCGCAAATTTCTGCCAGTCAATGCATTCCTGGAGAAGAGAGGCTCTCGTATCCCATGCAAGCAGATTATGAAAACTTCTTTTTTCGATTCCGCACCGCTGGGTTGATTGGCTATAGCAATACGAGTTGCTGCCATTTCCATCTCCCAGGCGATGCCAGTTCCGTGTGATTTGCTAATTATAGCGTGTTTGCTCCGTGGCGTGGGGCCATGGGACCGGCCGACTTGATCTGCATTCAACACGAGCTCAACTTCAGCTGGAATGTGCATCTTCTGGTTCTGATGAGCTCGAGGCGAGTTTGGGTGAGCGCTGAGAAAGATATAAATAACGGTTCCCGCCCTCGATTCAAGATTGTCCTTCCATCTCACAGATCACGAGAACTACGAGAACAAATAACAAAAAGAACCAGAAGAACCTAATCTTCCAAACCAACACCGCAAACATGAAGGTAAACATACCCAGCGACACACCAGTCTCTCCGTCTTTTGTGCTCGTCAACTCTAACATGTCAAGCAGTACACTACCCTCCTTGCTGCTGTCGCTCTTGTCCCGGCTGCCCTCGCCGCTGCCGTCGACGGTGCCGCTCCTGCTCCTGTAAGCTGAAGGCGTTTCCCTGATTGTGAGTAACCTGGCGTGCTAATATCGTTTCCCAGCTTGCCGAGAGAGCCTGCGTCCCCAGCAAGTGCCGCTGCATCGGAGGCCAAGGCCAGTTCTGCGGCAACGAGGCCATCAACCACCACTGCAAGAACGGTCACGTCTATGAGTGCAACCGCCACACCGGCAAGACCTGCGACTATGGATACAGAAAGTCCTGTGGCCAGTGCGGCAAGCTCAGTTGCTAAGCGATGGATTGGATAATTCTTCAATATTGTCATTTAATATACGGTTTAATTCTCCGTCTGGAGTACACATACATGTGAAATCAAATTTACTTTTTGGTGGATTGACGTCCTCTTTTATATACGGTTCATAGCATCGTAGCCACACTCATGTTGCCCTGGAGAGCAGCCAGGTTTCCGGACGCCCATTTATTTAACAAATACGGAGTATTCAACGAGGTCTCCTGGGTGCCAGGGGTCGTTTGCATCCCGTCGTCCTTGTCTGCAGCCCAGCCCGCTGGAGAGAGTTGGCTTGCCGTGTGATGTCATCGGCTCGCGCTGCCGGCGGACCGGAAGAACAACCAACCGACGGCCGGGTACCTTCGGGGGCGGTGAGGCATGTCGACACCGCCGAAAACGTCGCGTGAATGGCCCTTTGAAACTCTGCGCTTTCGTATGCGCAAGTCCTCCTGAGAATAAAGATCTGTGGCTGTTGGGACAAAGATGACTCTATTCGCCTTCTTGCCCCTGGGCGTGGACTCTACGTTTTACGTGTTTCGGCTCGGAGTCAACGCATGATGTGCTAAGCCGAACACGCCAGTCGCCCTGGGCAGCACATCTATCCTCAATTAAAATTCTTTCTTTTTCGCGAAAGGGCCTTGTTTCTGCTCACTGTTCTGCTCAGCAATACCTTCGTGAATTGTCTGGTGGGTTTTGCCGTGAATCAAGCTCACCCCTGGTGACTGAAGAGCCTTAAGAGTGAACAGTAGCCCCTACCTTCACTTCTCTGCTAGGCCCAATATCTTCCGTGAGCCGGAAAAAAAAGAAAAGGAAAAAAAAGAAAAAACATGGTTTCACCTTTGGCATCGAGCGAAGCACGGGGCGCTGAGAGAGCTATCCGCTATAGCCGCTTTTTCCGACTCCCGATTGAGCTCCGGGAGATGATATACATCCACCTCTTCGAAAGAGGGAGGGTTCATGTGTGGTATTTTGGCAGCGAACAGTCAAAGGCATACAGGCAGGGCTGGTGGCATACAATTTGTCATCGCCCGACTTATTATGGGAATGATCGGTGCAGGACCCACCCTACAGCGGCGGATAGGAGCTGTCTCACGCCGGAACAATCGCAGACGGCGCGTTTGCGGGTTTTTGGGTGGCTCTTGTGCTGTCGAAGAGCGTGAGTAGCTTGAATGTTTCTTTCTTTCTTTTCTTTCTCTCTCATCCGAACCCTTCTTTCATCCACCAATCGTCTTCGCCTCCAGCTGATTGCTCCATAGATACTCTGAATCCATCCAGTTCCTCTACTCCAGCAACACCTTCTCCGTCGAACCGAATTACTTCCCTTCTTTCTCTGACATGGAACGCCTTTTCCCTCCCAATTGCCTTTCATCCGTCAAATCCCTCGAACTTCTCTACCCAGTAGCCACTTATCGCGACATTCCTATCCTCGACAGGTTCACATCGACAATCGCGCTTATTCCGTCGATCTTTCCCCACTTACGAACATTTCACATTGCCATCAGCTCTTGGTGGATGCTCTGCGCCCTTGAACATTGGGAACATTTCACCGCTAATCACACAGCATTGGTGAGATCGGAGTTGCTGGGCACGTTGGATGGGCTCGTGAGGCGGTTCGACGGTCGTTTGAAGGAATGTGAGGTCACCGTCGACCCGAACTACTACGAGATTGTGAAATTATTGGAGGATGAGAATGGAAGTGGGCGCCCGGTTGAAATTCCGGTCATGAATTGGACGAAAGAACTTTTGGGTAGAAAGTATTGGAGGCCAATCGAAGGGGAAAGCGATGTTCGAAACACAAGGTTGGGATACTGGATCATAATGGCATGTTGATCAATTTTTCGAGATGATGCTGCTGTCGAAGGTCCCCAGTTTAAACTGGAGCCAGCTAGCGCTTAGAGAGCTCTTCGAGCAGCGTGTGACTACATCCAGGACGATCCCTATATCAGTCCTGGATCTTTTCTCCTGATTTGACTCTTGGCGTTCGGCCCAGTGCCCGCGGAATTTCGAAAACGATGTGCTGCTGCCTCCAGTCGCCATTCACCCCACAATTAGCCCGCGCCGACATCCACCATCGGTTATGGCATGGATGTTCCTCCACAAACTCTCCACTCTCCGCTATATTGAGCTCGTCCTTTTATTCCGTAGAGCGGTATCGGTTTCGAGAACCCCCGACCGGTGATTTGACGCCGGATGGAATCACCACCATTGAGCCTTCAGACTTGAGGGGACTACCAGTCTTCGGCCTAAGCTGGTTTGTCGCGCTTTGGGATTCAAAATCATCACCGTAATCGTTTCATACCCCGTGACCATGCATCTAGCGTTATTTTGCGAACGTCGGTGGTGGTGAACTCAATTCGGGGGTTAGATGCGCACGACGTTGGGACAATGGTTGTCGTTCGGTGAAGTTTCCCCGGCATTGCAGTCCACCAAGATTAGTGAACCATGCTGCTTCGGCGTTGACGAACGTCCCGTCCGCTAGAAGTGTTCCTGGCACTTTGAATAATTTGACTTGGACCTGACTGGACAATCACGGGTCAATTTATCATTGGCCGTGTTCAGAGTACTTGACGGACACAGTGACCAAGCCAATATGATGATTGATCTAAAAAGGAGTTTTGAAACGAAGTCATATTATGTATATTTTTGAGCTGTCTTGTTTCTCATGCATTTATGTAGCCAAGGACGAGATCTGTACAGCGTATACATTTTCTTATCGACCATCCCCGTTTTCGCCCGTTCACGGTTAACTACGGGACGCGGTCCCAAAGGACTAGCGTGGCGTCATCTCGATGTTCATACAATCATCAGAAGTGGAAAGCAGGGTACCTAATGGAGAATAAGGCAGCTCCTTTCCACCCCCCGAAGATCAGCTTAGCTCATCGGGTCTCAAGGAGTGCGTGCAGTTCGAAACGCCGCATAAAGGGTTCCGCTATAAGAATTCGCTGGGTTAAACAAGGTGGCTTTAAGTACGGCTGAGCGCACAAGAAGCTCAGACAACAGAATTGAAGGAAGCATTTTGAGGATGTCATGTGCTGAAGTCTAGAATAATGGAATGACCGAATTGTACGGGTCGCCAAGGCTCTGTTCCGCGGGTGTCCCGCCCGATACCAAGCTTTTTCTCGGCCCGCGCTTCCGAACCTCTCTTGGCGATCCCGCCGCGGGAGGCCATTAGGCGCGCTCCTCGCGTCGGGCTCTCCATGTCACTTCTCTCGGTTCTTCCAAACAGCTGAACCTTTTCAAGCTGCTCGATGTAAATGAGATTAGCTACTCACACGACTACTGTCACGACGAAAGGGGCTTTTGAAGACGCCGGTTGAGCTTTTGTGTACGGAGTATTTTCTGAGGAAACTGACGGTATTGCAAAAAGCACTGGAAGACCGGCCACTTTATGTAGAGATTTGACTCCTTCACATTAGTGTGACCTAACAACGATGGTCTTCTGCCTTTTCCCCTATCAATAATATATCCCGTTTCGCACTGTTACGCTATTTAAACCTTTGTAGGGTTACCTGGCACCATATAACCTGCAGGTGATAGCGAAGTAAAATCCAATGCGTGACGAACGAATAGACAGCCATCGGATAGTCAGGAGCAGTCCCAGACTCGTCTTCAATGAAACAGTAAGCCTCCAGTGGTGGCTCATCCTGACTTGATTTGGTGACCACAGGTTTGTTGCCCTTGTATCTCTCCTTCCTGCGCTGTTTCCTCTTGTTCTTCTGGTTCGTCGCCCCTTTCTTCGGCATGGCCGGTCCAACGGGTGCAGAAGCTTCTCTGCCCTCTTGTTCACCGTGTTCTCCTTCTCGCTCACCTCTCCATCTGGATATAGAGCGGAAATTGTGCTGGAAAAAAAAAAGACCTCATTTTGGTTTTCTTTTTCAACAGTTGGCTTCTCAATTTTCTGGCACGCATCGCCTCCTAATGCCCTGAATCCCTTGGTAAAGCCATCGAACCCCTTTTTGTGGGATAGTATTTCACTGCGTTGGTGATAAAAAATGCCGGCAACAAGGCAAACACGGCAAACAAGGCAAACCGTCCAAACAGTCGGCTGGATGACTACGACTGCGCAGCGACACCGATGAGACCTCTGCAACGACGCCTTTATATCTCCAGGCCAGAGATGCCAGGGCTAACCAACTGATAACCTCGCCACTGGAGCATTAATAGGATGAGGTCGCGGCGTCGGGATTCCCGCTCCTGTCACTCCCGTCTGGCAACCCTTGTCACTGGCCCAAGCTGGGTAACCAGATGCAGCCCCCTCAAATGCCATCGCTTTACCGGCGCCTTTTACGACGAAGTTAACCATCCAGCGGAAAATGTAAATGAGGCAGACTATTTCTCTTCTTGCCGTTTCCTTAGGGCAGCTCGCTCGATCATAATGCATCTTGGGATCCGCAAGTCCCGAGGGCCGCGGCGGAATTGCCGAAAGGCCATTGGCCAAACATCACTTGAGCGGAGGCCTACTCACTCAAAGCTGAGGCGTGTTCCCACTCCTCTAAATATCTGGAGCACTGGGTCCGAACCATCTGATATAGCGATACCCGATACCAGCTTTAATAACTGTGAAGAGGAAATATACTCGACCCCTGACAAACAAAGAAGGGAGGATGTTGTTCAAATCAAAGCATCCGGAAATTCATCGTAAGGGAACGTACTTGGTTATTTCGACTCTATATTGCTTGAGTCATGTGTTGTCACGAGCTGACATACTGCTTTTCATGTGTAGCCCCGACAGATACTACTGTATGGCATTGGCTTTTCGAGTGCCCGGAAACATCTCCGCTTCATAGATTTTCGCCCGAGAAAATGGCGGGTTACACGAATGCTGTGACAAAGGAGAGGGTCAACTGGGCCCAGGTCAAAGAATGCGCAACGTATGTGAGTACGGCGCTGGTGAAGAAATATGGCTTGCGGGAGGGACAGGCGATTGCGCTCTTTACTCAGAATACAATTTGGTATCCAGTGGCCATGTATTCCACCATAAGAGTTGGCAAGTCTATTCTCTAATAGCCTTTACTCTTGAATGCACTGTGCTGATTTCGAACCGTGCAGGTTGTATGGTGGCCGGCGCCTCGCCTGCATATAACGTTGAAGAAATGACATATGCGCTGAAGACGGCTGATGCAAAGTTCTTGATGACCAGCCCTGGGTCTATTGAAGTTGCTGCTGCTGCGGCCCAGAAAGTTGGTATCCCGCGGAAACATATTTTCTTGCTCGAAGGAGAAGTCCAAGGCTACATCACCTTCAAGCAACTTCAAGATATTGGAAGAAGCTACGGCGAAAATGGCCAGGCACCACCTTTTCAACTTCCGGTTGGAAGAACGAACAAGGAATTATGTGGCTTTCTCAACTTTAGTAGCGGGACTACTGGGCTACCAAAAGCTGTAAGTTTACACCCTATGTGGATGACCATCTTTGGGTTCAAATAAATGAATTGAATGCTAAAGAAGCCGAAGGTCATGCTTTCGCACCACAATGTGATTGCACAATGCATGCAACTCAAAGCAATCACTCCACCTGTAGGTCGCAAAACAGTCATGGGTGCCCTACCCCTTTTCCACAGTAGGTTTCATCCTCTGTGTACCATAATTGAAACAATAGTCTGACTGACAAATGACGTAGTCACTGGCCTTGTCAAATTTATGAACTGCCCTATGTTCTTCAATGACGAGCTCATCATGCTGCCGCAGTTCAACATGGAGCTCATGCTCCAAACCATTGTTGAATACCAGATCAGTGAACTTGTCCTCGTTCCACCACTTGTGATTCGCCTTGTTAACGACCCTATCGCATCCAAATACGATCTTTCATGCGTTAAACGGATTTCCTGCGGTGCAGCACCACTCAGTGAACAGATTACCCAACTCCTCCAGCAAAAATTCCCGCAGTCCGGATTCAAACAAGGCTATGGCATGACCGAGTCATGCTCATGTATCACAAGCCATTCGCCAAAATACTACGATTACAAGTACGCGAACACAGTCGGGGACATCGTACCTTCCACCACAGTCAAGATCATAGACGACAACGGCAAAGAACTTGGATACAACCAGCCCGGTGAAATCATTGCCAAGGGGCCTCAAATCGCTATGGGATATCTCGGTAACCCCACCGCTACTGCTGAAGCGTTTGATACAGACGGTTTCCTTCACACAGGTGACATTGGTTACATGACTGAAGAAGGTCTTATTCGTATCGTTGACCGTATTAAGGAAATGATTAAGGTCAAAGGTATCGCCGTTGCACCCGCTGAACTGGAGGATCTACTCCTGGGTCATCCGGACGTGGCGGATTGCGCAGTATTGGGGGTTAAGGACGACTATGCAAGCGAAAAGCCAAAAGCGTATGTTGTCCTGAGAGATGGGCTCAGTGTTTCGGAGGAAATGGGCAAGAAATTGATGAAGTATGTAAGCGAGAGGAAAGTGAGGTTCAAATGGGTGGAGGAGATCGAGTTTACGGATGCAGTCCCAAAAAGTCCAAGCGGAAAGATTTTGAGGAGAGTGTTGAGAGAGAAGGAGAGGAGCGGAAAGGATAGAGGATTTACGGTAAAGAGAGATGGCTGGGATGGGCAACGGGCAAAATTATGATTTCCTTTCCCATGTTCATTAATAGAAATACATTGATTTTATTTGCAAACTTAAAACTCGACAATGTACACTTCCAGTATCTCATCTATTTGAAACCATACACCCAACACTCAGAGTGAAGAAATCAGTAAATTTTGTCACAAATATGCTCTTTTCCCCTCGGTGTCTTTTCTCTTCTCCTTACAAAGATGCTCCTCACCCAATATGCTATTGTAACCGCATAGTACTTCGCCAGACTCAACCATTTCTTGGGGCTAGTTTTCCCAGAGGATTTCCTGACTCGGAACAGATAGTACAAAACCACCGTTGCGAACACATTAAACCCGATATATCCCCATCCGATGCCAAAGTTCCGCCACCGCTGATTCCAGAATATCTCAGACTCAGCAAGGAACTGATCACCAGAAGATAATGGACAGTATTCACATCCCTGTGTGGCGAAAGGATTGTTAAGCCTGCCCGGTGCACCGAGAGCAAAAAATCTTTCAAGATATTGGCCGCAGGTAGCCCCATCAGGTGGATCAAAAACGGCGAGTTCATTTTCCGCGCAACGGACAACGCGTTCATGGAGAACTGTTGCAGCTAGGCCGCCAACGGTGTAGGTGAGCGGAGAAACACGCCACATGAAAACCCAAAACCCGGGAAGTGCCCTGGGACTTTGAAGCACACCGTTGAATGTGAGCATCAAACTGAAAAGCGTTGTGGCGATGTTTCCGGCCGTTTCGGCATCGGGTAGCCCCGCAATGACCATCTGAGCAAATGTAGAGCCGAAAATGAAGAATTGGACAGAAAAGATAACAAACAACCCCTGGCGTTCTGATGATTGATGGACACCAAACACGGGGTAATAAAGAGCGGCCCAGACGATGACACCGAGGAATATTTGGTAAGGAATTTCAACCATGACGTTCGCTAGGAGGAACGCTTGCCAACTATATGCACGCGATGGGCGCTCACGAACTTCGAAGAGGCTGCGCTGGGTTACGAACCGTGGCATGATCTACAAAAAGCGTTAGATGTACGAAAATACGCATGATGCGATGAAAACTCACTTGCTGGACAAGCGTGCTAAAGATTGTGGTAAGCATAAAAATGGCAAATAGGGTATTTTGGAGACCAGCTATTGACGCGTTTTGCATATAGAAAGAGAATCCGCTATTAGAGCATGTTAGCAGCTGGCAAGTTAAACATTGGAAAGCAAAATCACTCACATAAACACTGCCGCCATGATACCCAGGAGCAGTTTCCCCCAAATATATGTTGGTGTTCTCCAGTACTGCTGGAAAACACGGATAGTGACATAGTATACCTGGGACGTGAAAGGCATTGCGAACTCGCGCGGTGTCTCTGTTGGCTCTTGAAGAGATTCATCTTTCTCTTTCTCAGCATTTATACGGTCTATCTCCTCTTGAACTCTTCGGGCCTCTTCGCTTTCATTCCATATAGTCGGCCAGTCCTGCTCTGATTTACCGCTTGGACCTGCCCCAACGACGTCTAACATATATTCTGCTGGGTTGTCGTTTGACCCGCAAGGCTCAGCACCGTTCCTCTCAAAGTAATCAAGAAGAGTCCGAGAATTTTCTCCGATGTCACCAAAATATACTGTCTTTCCACCTTTTGCGAGGAATAGAAGTCGATCGAATTGCTGGAAAAGGATTGCTGAAGGTTGATGGATGGTCGACAGCACCGCCTGCCCATTATCTGCCAGCTTTCGTAGGAATGTGATAATAGACCACGAGCTTTGCGAGTCCAAACCTGAGGTGGGTTCGTCCAAAAATAAGAGAAGAGCCGGCTTAGCGGCCAGTTCGACACCAATAGTAAGAAGCTTACGCTGCTCCACATTGAGGCCTTCACCCGGATTTCCAACGACGGCTTCACTAAAGTCTCGCATATTTAGCATATCAATAACATCCTCCACGTATGCATATTTCTCTGTCTTTGAAACCGATTTTGGTTGGCGCAACATTGCGGAAAACCGAAGCGCTTCGCGGACGGTGGTTGTCTCTAAATGCAAATCCTGCTGTTGAACATACCCTGTTTTTCGCTGGAAAGACATATCCAAAGATTTGCCATTCACAAGCATATCTCCAGTGATGACACCCATGGTGGTTCTTTGCGCGAGCGCGTCCAATAAAGTGGTTTTCCCTGCACCCGACACACCCATGAGTGCGGTCAGAGTCCCAGGTCTTACCCAACCAGAGACATTGTCCAGCAACCGTCGCGGTTCGCCTTTAATGCTTATGTCGTATACAACATTTCTCCAAGTGAAAACGTCCTTCTGGGGAGGAATGGCATGAACAGTTTCTTCGATAGGGCTCTCTTCTGGGCGTATATTCATATCCTGCTGAAGCCCGCTGGCATCCTTTTCTTCATCATAGTGATTGGTAAGATGCTTGGGCACATACCCCCGTTGGAAGACGAGATATTCAGCAGCTGATAAAGTTGACAGGTTAAACTCAGTGGCAAATAAATATAAGGCATAAAAGAAGAACATGAACCCAAAGAGGATCCCCAGATTTCTCCAGATGTGCGCGTAGCTGTAGCCGTAGGCTGACTCGACCCAGCTATCTCCGGAAACAGTTCGTTCGCCAGGGATAGCACCAGCAACGGCACATTCAAAGTTATTCCCGGTTCCATATGGTGGTACTGGGACGGCACACTGGTATCGCTGACCATGCACTTCATTGACAAGGATGGACTCAAAACCATAAGCAACTGGATTAATCCAGCTGATCCACTTAAACCAAGGATGCCTGCAACAACGTCAGAACCCCATACCCTCACAGATATTCGGCTAGTAACAGGACTCGAAAACCTGGTACTCAGGATTCACTCACATATAAGATCTTTGGATCGTAAACCCTGTGTATATTACAATGGCGAGAATCATGACTCCGGCAAACGCCAGCGCTTGAGACACAGTCTTTGTCGCAGCGGCAAGTGTGCGAAAAATGGCTGACATGGTCAGCATGGTCATAAATGTGAAAAGAAAAAAGATGAAGAATTGCGACGGCTCCCTTCTTAATCCGCCCAGGAAGTAGAGGATAATGTTGAATACTGTAGCTATTATGAATTTGATAGGAATGTCGGCGACTAGACCTGCCAGAGCCTCCGCGTAGGCATGATAAAAAGCAAAACCAACATGTTTCGCAACAATTGGCCGTTGAACATCTGTTCCCATGTCAGTAGACTTATAAAGAGGAATATGGGTACGTCTTACACAGCCTATAGGGCATTAGCTTCTGTTGTCTCTGGCTCAGGATCAGTATCAGGATTGTACTAACCCGTTGATTTCGGTAATGGACATCAAGCCATTTAGAAGAATAGCAAAAAACAATATTGAACCTTTCGCGAAAAAGCTATTCGTAGTATTCGGAGTCCCGAAGAAAATTGACCCGATAATCAGCGACATAACAACCTGGCTGATAATGACGGCGATTGTCGAGGCTTTATCACCCCATATGCGCTGGTAAGCGCGTTTCATGCATAGCTTTAGTTGCATAAAAATGCTGATGGTATAAGGAGACCTCTTCGGGACATATTTCGCCTGCGCTTGACGATGAGCTTCGCGTTGTTCAGCTAAAATTTCGCCCAAATCCGGATGGTCTATATCGCTCTCTTCTATTTCTGCCTGCAATTGCTTGAAAGTCTCGGATTGAAGCCAGTAGTGTTCGAATTCCTGCGCTGTTCGAGGGACTTTGGTTTCAAAACCTTTCCTAGGTCTTCGCTCTTGAGGATTGGTAACAGATGTCAGGAAGTCGCCTGTCGTCTGTCTTTGCGGGCAGAACCATCCCATATCTTCGAAATACTTCTTCGCCGTCTTTGCAGGACCGAAATAAATCTGTCGGCCTTCGTATAGTACAATCGCTTTATCAAAAAGATCATATATGGCCTGACTGGCTTGGTAAATGGCAAGAAGCTGGGTCATTCCTCCAACATGGGAACCTATTTTCAAGGCGCGAGTGAATTCGAGCGCTGTTGCTGCATCAAGGCCTCTGGTCGAGTTATCCCAGCACACAACCTGTGACCCAGCAAGTGATATCTCCGCAATGCTAACTCGTTTTCGTTCTCCTCCACTTACACCACGGACGTAATCATCCCCGACTTTGGTATTCCTTGTATGGCTCAGCCCATAAATGGTCATCACCACTTTGGTGATATGTTGCGAGAATACTTTCCTAGGAACGCCCATGACTCTGAGTGATGGGGTTCGTGCCGCTGCGGCAAACTCCAGTGTCTGGCCCACAGTTAAATGAGGGAAGTGTTTCTCATCTTCAGCACTATAAGTTGCCTCGCCGCGAAACTCCTTGTTAAAAATATCTTGGGGTACTCCATTGTAATGAACGACGGAACCTTCCCCCTTCTTAAGCCCTTGTAGCTCCCCACTAATGGTCTTCAGGAATGTGGAGCATCCACTGCCTGGTCGTCCCAGCACGATCAGCATTTCTCCTGCTTTCAGAACACCATTGAATTTCCGTAATATCAACTTCTCCGATTTCGTGCCAAAGTATTCTCGCAATCGAAACGGCGCCATTATCGGGGAAAGAACCGTATTCTGGTAGTGCATAGCAGCCCCGGAACCCGAAACATTCAGATCCTTCCATGTCACCCCTGTTCGCGGACGCTTTATCCCATCATCTTCCATCAATTTCATGAACATCCGCGCCCATTTGTAGAAGTCGAACTCGGGCTTCGTCGGATCTAAGACTGGATCTCCGATCTCAATTCCCGCTAAGGTGTCACGCCGTTCCACCTGCCCACCGTAGCCGCCTTGATGGCTGACTGACCGTGAAAGTGCGGAGGCAAGCTGGGCATTGTCGGGCCCAGAATCAGACGAAGAGAATGTCCTTATAGCTTCGTAGGTTGGACGGTCACCTCCCGTAACGTCCTCTGGATGATCGGTACGTGTCTGTGAGGGAGATCCACGACGGTCATCATGTTCGGCTGAATGAGCGGAAGCCTTGGAAGCGACAGAATTGTTGCTCATGGCAGAGAAGTATGAAGGCAGAATTGGCAATACACAGGCCTTTGGGCGACCGCTCCCGCATTTAAGTTAAATATTTATGTAGAAAGTTTGACGAAGGTAGCCGTGCCCGAGTCTCGAAAGAATTGGGTTTGAGTACATGGCCATATCCGCGCCATTCGGAGAGTTTAAACTCCCCTTGAAAGTCATCATTGTCGTACGACCGGTAGTCCGTCCTTTGCGCTCCACATCTTTTTGGGGATCTTTGCAATAGCAGATGATGTTTAGTGATACAAAGGAAGATTAACATACTTAATCTTTGATCCTCTGTCATGCATAAGGTGCGTCCAAGGTCTCTCTGCATAAAACGCAGCTCGGATGTGGATGTTGTGTTGGAAAACTCCCCGGGCGCGTAAGGTTCCACCATTCCGATGGTCACAGAGTCAATCCAGGTTTTGCAGAATCCACAGCCAACTTGGCTCACAACTAGCCTATCAGGATCGAAAACGCACCAATACTGCACAAGATGTAGCTGCTACTGGCCATGCAGTGCCTCCACCTCAATCATTTTGCGATCAAAATTATCGCTCATTCCGAGGCGTAAGGAAAAGAATTATCAAGGCCTAATTGAAATCCAAAACAGTACGGAATCATTTCCATATCGCTATTAGTTGTTGTTGATCTGGCAAAGAGGATTGTCCGATGACCGATGACCAATGACCTATGCTGCGTCCAAATCCTCAATCTGCACTCTGTCCCATTCTTGTTGACACCTTCAATTTTGATCAGGGAGGTACTCAGCCCCCAGCAAAATGGCCCATGGATAGTTGCGGGAAAAATGTTAGAAGGGCAAAGCCATGTTCTCCTGATAGGCCAAAAAAAAAAAAAAAAAAAAAAAAAAAAAAAAAAAAATAATACAAACGGCGAAGCCAGTGACGAATCATATATAACCCGCTAAATCGATCACAAAGTATTGCCAGGACTATCTCGTCTAAAGGAATAGTGCCGTTGAACAATGACAATAGGAAAGTGCCCTATAGGATCTGAAAAGCCGCCTGAGCCTGCGCCTGAGAATGAAGACAGCAATGGAGAATGGATGTAATAGCCGGAGCTTTGCATTATATTTCTCATATCGAAATATCCACAAAATGGAAATCAATCTGGCAAAACTAGATCAAGAAGTCCAGCTGGGCTGTTCCAAGGTAAAGCGATTCAAGGTTGGGCAAATTTCAGGACCGGGGCACATCGGAGCCATCGACCAGTATTGAATTCAGTGCTCGTATGTCAGGTAACACTGTAAATTGCAGGGGAATGAGAACGCCGTCAGAAATTGCCCATGCCGAGATAGAGCCTTGAAAAGTTCAGGCCAAAATGATGTGAACTGCACTCCGGGCAGAGGGGTATTGCTACACCCACCGGTGCTTAGAACTCCACAGTCCATATGTGAAGCCCTTTCGTGGGATTAATCACTCATTGGGAGTGAACGAAAATTGGCAACACGGGATATGAAATCTCCTGGAATGATATTGAGAGGGAACTTCGAGCTATGCTGCGAGCTGATGGCTCCAGTCACTTCAAAGCGAGCAAACTCACCGTACATATTGTGCCAATAATAGAAATGTGTTCTTCAATGTCCTTAATCTTATCGCTATAGGAAATAAACTCTTGTAACCTCCCAGATACGAGAGAAAATCCTAGTGTTGTCACAGCTTCAGGAACGCGACCATTCGGTGCAGGGGGTTCTTCTGCAAGCACAGGAACAGAGTTGGCAAAGGTACCCCAAACACGGGTTTGGATTTGGAATCATGCAGCCAGCATCAGCCGGGGTTCAGCGTCGTAGCCTGAAGCTGGCATCTTAAGCTGGAGTTGGGTCTTCTGTTTCGATTCCATCGATTCACCTCCCGCCGTGGACGACAACCATCGCCGTTTGCCGCGACTTTTTTCCAAGTCGCTGAGAATCCATACCACGTGGCAAAACAAACTAACCCAAGCTGGAGTAGTTACATGACTAGTTATGTAATCAATGTGGCCGTTGATCCGGGCCTTGGCACAGCGCTAAAAGGGAGCGAACCGCAAACAACGTCTTGAAAGTCTCGGTTTGCCGACAACGCTATCAAAAGAATACATCGATATATACACGGAGGACATCTTTGTTACTATACATAGATCTGACGGAAGCAGCTCCCCGAGTTCCTCCCCCCCGGTATCTATCCAAATCCATCATTCGTGGGCCACGCCGCCTTGCTCTCAATGCTCTGCTGCGAATAACGCCCGTGAAAAAAGCAGATAGAATGACATGAAGATCAGCAAGAATTTAAAGATAGGCCCTGGAATCTGCAGTTGGAAGCTATCTCCCCCCTGAGACATCCACTGGAGGGCTCTATCGCGTCCTTTCGGCTTGTCGTCCACTTTCGCGAGCCGGTGTCCGATCATAACCATCCGCATAGCGGACTCGGCACTCTCACTCAGGAGCTTCGGGGCATGCGCCACTGCATCCTCGAGGCTTGTCGGACCCTGGATAATGCTGGTAAAAGCATCTATTCCTGCGTCGTAATTGACCGCGGCACCTGTCCCGATCGTTCCGGCAATAGCAACCACAGGAAGGCCACGGCGTTTTGCGCGGAGTGCCACTTCCCCTGGTATTTTCCCCCGGGGAGTTTGGTAATCGATCCCACCCTCGGCAGTGAATATCAGGTCGCATTCATCAAACAACTTTTCAATTCCAAAATATTCAATGATTGCCTCGAACCTGGGTCGCAAGGTCGCCCCCATTAACACTAAGCCAGCCCCAAGTCCACCGGAAGCACCCCCACCAGGTATTGTGCCCACGTCTATTCCTATCGCGCGCTTTACTATGGCTGCGTAGGTTTCCAATGCCAAGGAAAGCTGGTCGACTTGGTCTGCTGTCGCACCCTTTTGCGGGCCATAGACTCTTGCAACGCCGTTGGGCCCGCACAGTACGTTCTTCCAATTGCAGAGAACATCGACTCGCACCTGCTTGAGTCGAGGATGGACTCCTGAGAGGTCAATTCTGGCGAGATTACCAAGCGCCCCTCCACCGGTGGCTGGAGGCAGTTCGTATCCTTCTTTGTCAAAAAACCGTGCTCCAAGCGCTTGGCACATGCCCACCCCGCCGTCGCTTGTTCCAGAGTCCCCGCAGCCGATGAGGATCCGGTCTGCGCCTTCGTTTAACGCAGCGTTTATCAGTTCTCCCACACCGTATGTTGTCGTATTGGCTGGGTTTCGTCTGTCTTTGGGTACCAAGCGGAGTCCAGCGGCTTCAGCAATCTCTATTACTGCGGTTCGTGGCTGTCGGCCTCCGAGGAACCCATAGTACGCGTCCACCTTTTCCATTACTGGACCGGTGACATTCAATCGTTTGTGCTCGCCACCAGTTGATGCCACAAGAGCATGAGCAAACCCTTCACCTCCATCGAACAGTGGTACCTTTCGGACCTTTGCATCTGGCACGGCGCGCAAGATCCCGGCTTTGATACAATCTGCGGCGCCATGAGGGTCGAGGCTCTCTTTGAAACCACTTGGTGCCACAAGGATATTCATATTTGCATCCGTCAAAAGAGGTATGAACAAGAGAGAAGTTGAAACCAGGGAAAAAAAAAAAAGGAAGGGAAAGAAAGCAAAGGTAATCCAATTGTTTGAGTATCGTTAATCATAAGAGCACTCTGACAAACAGAAGTTCTTCGTTAATGACATCTTGAGAGTGAATTTATATGGTCGCTCGGCCGGAAAGCTTAACCAATGCATCACGAACAACAGTCGAAAAGCCACAGTGCAATGTCTGAGGCGAGGCAAATGGGAGTGGCCTTGTACGATCTGCGTTAAATGCAACTGTGGTCAGCGTTTCTAGATTCCTATTTCTGTTTTAACCCAGGGAAGGAGTCTGGCGGTTTGTCGGTTCAGGGCCCAAGAACCTCAAGGGTCTCAGATAGGCCCATCCATGGAGCGTTGTGGACATCCTTGAAGCGAGGTCCTGCCAGAGACGGTCCCGTTTCGGCCTCCATTCGCAGCTTGAGGCGGATCGGTTGACGTGTCATGAGTTCGAAGATTCAGTGACGCCGCATTCCCGATACTTCGATGGCATTAACGTCCGGGTTGTGTGCAGCTCGGCACTGCTGGGTTGAGAACCGTAGGTAGTATGAGCATATATCCACCTTGATGGTCGGTCGAAGGCGTCACAGGAAAAGGCCAGGCGCGTCTCGAACTTCCGAAATTGATCTAGCGCGATGATGACTAAGCTTAAATCTCGATCTGCTCGCGTGTCACATTGACAATTTAGGCATATTGGCAGCGCCTCACGCAAGGGCCACCAGGTCTGGTCCTGGCAGGCTGCCCATACATACATACCGCCCCCCACACAGCACAACCACTGGATAGCACAGGATAGCCTCCCCTACCCGCGCCTGCATAATCCTTCAGAGGACAATGACGTGTCGATCTTCGTTTGCTCAGAAATGCTTGGCTTTGTTTCGGAGGCGATGTACTCTGAACGGCTTGATCCGTTCTCCTTGATTCTATTCGCCATGGCGCCTAGACCATTGTGTTTTGAGATTTGATCGTGGCTGGGGTAGTATCGTGGCGACGGCCATGCAGCGACTGATGCCACTCGCATCGATCGTTGACGGCCGGCAGTGCAGTGGAGAATCGATGCCGCAATGTCGTCGAATGCGGTCGCACCGTTCCTCAGCGGTGCATATGTGTTATATATATATATGTATATATACATAGTTGTCGGCCGGCAATTAGAGCCCCGTAATTGTGCGCATCTTGTCCATTGTATAGAGTATATGCCCTAAAGCACACCGTTCGTTTCTTTTTTTTTTTGGATATCAATGATTTTGATATACGACAAGGAGAATTGTCAACCCTTGAAGCCTTTTTGTGTCTCCCATTTCTCGTTCTTTTTTGTCCTATCTTTGTTTAGCTTTGATCAAGGTTAATCATTATCATTACCACGCGCATCGAAAAGCACAATGCTCTCGCGCGACATAGAGCCGGACCCGAAGCCCTGGGAATCTTCTCCCATGGACAAGAATGCAGCAGTCGAGCAGGGTTCAATTAAGAACCCATCAGATGGCGAGCAGACAGGCAGTGACCAGGAAGAATCTAAAGAGGATGAGAATTTGGTAACTTCCCTCAGGCTGCCTTTCTTTCTCCTTCTCTTTTCTTTTTTTCTTTTCTTTTCTTTTTTTTTTTTTTTTTTTTGTCTTGAAAGAGTTGAATGGCTAAGTGTCGGAACATCAGGTCACCTGGGACGGTCCAGACGACCCTGCAAACCCCTTGAATTGGGCTCGATCGAAGAAATGGATCTGTACATGGATCATTGCCACCTTTGCTTTTATTTCTCCGCTCTCTTCAACCATGCTTGCGCCAGCACTGCCAACCATCGCAAAAGAATTCAAGATTTCTAGTTCCATGGAGGAGGCTCTGGTCATGTCAATCTTCCTTCTTGCATACGCGATTGGCCCGTTCCTTCTAGGTCCTCTATCCGAAATCTATGGCCGTGTGGTCGTTTTGCAGACGGCGAATATGGTGTATCTAATATTCAACACTCTCTGTGGTATTTCACGTTCGAAGCAGCAGATTCTTGCATTTAGATTCTTGAGCGGTCTGGGAGGGAGTGCGCCTCAAACGGTAAATGACCCGACCGAGAACCCGCCGTCGAAGAAGATTATTAATGTTGGCTTTTGCTACCTAGCTGAACGGCGGTATGCTAAGTGATTGTTGGCGCGCAGAGGAGCGAGGCAAGGCTATTGCAATATATAGCTTTGCGCCGTTCATCGGACCGGTTGTCGGTCCCATCGGTAAAGTCTACGGCTTACCGTGCATCTCGAAATGGGGCATAGCAAAACTAACATGTCTATTAGCCGCCGGCTACATCGCACAGCACACTTCATGGCGCTGGATTTTCTGGGCTACATCGATATTTGATGCGGTTGTCCAGATATTGGCGTTTATATTCCTTAGTGAAACTTACGCACCAAAGATTCTGGCGACAAAAGCGAAAAAGCTGCGCCGGGAAACGGGGAATGAAAATTTACGCACGAAATGGGAGACTCCTGACCGGTCGCTTTTCCAAATTCTGCGCAAGAACTTGTCGAGGCCGTTTATTATGCTCTTTACGCAGCCAGCCATTCAGGTTCTTGGGCTTTACAGAGCGTACCTTTATGGGCTGATGTATCTCGTGTAGGTGTTCTCCTGTTTTTGCATTGCCCTTGTTCCTAGATTGGAAGACTAAAATTGCATGTCTTTTCAGCTTGGCTACGTTCCCGCTTGTATGGGAGCAAGCATATAAGTTTTCCCTCGGAATAGCGAGTTTGCACTATATCTCCCTTGGAATCGGTTTTGTTATCGGATTACAGATATGTGCTCCTCTCAACGATAGGGTAAAGTCCTCCCCAGTTTCGTATTATCTTTCCCCCATTAACCAAACCCAGGCGTACTGTGCCCTTAAGAAGCGTTATTCTCACCCGGGGCAGCCAGAGTTCCGCATTCCTCTCATGATTCCCGCCGGCCTTCTTGTCCCTATCGGTATTTTTCTATATGGGTGGAGCACTCACTATCGCACCCACTGGATCATTCCAGACATTGGCTGCGCTATATTCGCCATGGGCTTGATCATAGGGTTTCAGTGCGTCCAGTCTTACGTCGTCGATTCCTACCCTCGGTATGCAGCTAGTGCAACTGGTGCTGTCGCATTTTTGAGAACGATGGCAGGGTTTGGATTTCCCCTATTTGGCAGCCAGCTGTACGAGACACTAGGACTCGGATGGGGGAATAGTCTGCTTGGATTTATTTCTCTTACCTTGGGAATTTTCGCGCCGTGGGGTCTATGGCATTATGGGGAGAAGTTGAGGGCAATAAGTGGGTATTGCTCTGGATGAGCCGTGTTAACTTAAGCGAAGGGTGACGGCGCTCCTCTTGCAGATCTTGCCCATAACGAATGTCTTCATAGAATGTACATACATATATATACGCGTGGTGGAACCTCTCTACGCTTGTACACACTACATATTCAACTACGGTATACTTTAGCGTATAAAATCGGTTAAATAGACTTCTCCGACATCGGTTTATGGCTTGGCTCCGTGCGCTCCAGAGTTCCTTTAACTGGCTATAGAAAAAATAGAGTAAACGCCGAACTCTTAACTTATTCACGGCACTGAGAACGACGCTGGTCTTTAGTGCCGATTTTGCCGTCTCTCTGCCGGTTCATTGGCCAGTGACGTCGATTCTTGACGCGCGGATCGATCAGCCATGGTCCTCGGCTCGCTGAGAGCTTGGTCCTCAGTCAGTGGTGACATCCAAAACCACAGGAACGAGATCCGTCTAACCAGATCCAGCGCCGATTTATATGGACATCTATGGAGTAGTGGTTATTGGTATGCCGGGATTAACGAGGTTTATTCTGGACAGCAAGCTTGACTTTCAACGGCCTATCTTGAACCAATGGACCTGCGTCTGAGGCCGGGGCGGCCTCTTGAATAATGGATGGAAAGCAAAAAGAAGAGATCAGATGCAATGTTGTATTTCAACGATACCGCTTGGAGGATCTAGGTGAGGACAGAGGAAAAGAGAAATGGCGTAGAAATATATTTTCCTTTCCGAGGTGTAGTAGGTATGCGCTATCTAAGTTAAAAAGGCATCCAATCCTGAGAGACACAATCCTTGGCCCTAATGCAGCATCGCGAAAAATCACTGCGTTTCCGTTAAATATCAGAATATGCTGATGATTGCAGCAGCATACCATTTCGTCACCACGGGCTGCACACAAAACACTTTATCTGATCGCCTAAACAAGAATAACATCGCCAAAGAAGGGCGTTACGTGGAAGCTGGCTACGTCGGGTGAATTCCACGCTCCCAGCTCCTGATTCGGATAGGTGGCCGGAGAAGTGACGGTGCGGAAGAAGTTCATTCTCCATCGAGAAAGGCGAGGCCGATCGACATTGAACAACGCCAGAGGAATTTTGACTTCCGACACCCAAGTCTGGGCCTTGCGGTCCAGGGTCGTGATAGACGTGAATCCATCGGCAGCAGGGTCGCTCACAAAAAAGTGATCAAAAGGCGCACCCTCCTTACGCACCTTGGACGGATTGTATACGAAACTCTGGTAGGTGACATTGTTCGGACTAACTTCAAACTCGAAGTAGGTCTGTGGATCGTTCGTGCCGTGGTAGATGAAGGCTTCCATGACCTCGTATTTCCAGATGTCATCGTTTGTGCGGTGCTTGGGGTCGAAGTAGAAGTTAGTCTCATCGAAGGCCTTGAAGGTGAACTGGAATGCTGTCGGCTCCCAGCAAAGGTCGACCTGGGTGTTGGGGAAGGCCTTCATTTCGGGGACGGACTTGTCAAACGAGGCTGTGGCTTTTCTGGGGCACCTCGGGACCGCGAGAGAAGGCCGTCTTTGGGTTCTTTCACTGCCTGGGCTTGCCGAGACAGAGACGGTCGCTGCCAGTAGGCACGTTAAGATAGAAGCCAAGTGCATGATGACAGTATTTTATTAGCTGCTCACTCTTCTTGGAGAGACAGGGAAGATAAAGAGAATGGAGAGACGACTTCACATCTGAGCCGAAGAGAACAGAGCTCTTGAGGAACGGTGAAGCGAAGCAGGTCCCCTCCATTAGATATATAGAATTTTCAGGGATTGCCAGCCCCCATGTTGCCATTTCCGGCCGCACTTCTCAGTTCTTTATGGCGGAATCGGATGGGGATTTGGCTGATGTCGTAGCTCTAAGTTTCATGGTTAATGTAACTTCACCGTGTCCCCGAGATCCACCTTCGCTGAACCCCTGAACTGCTGTGGCATTGGTTGAAAAAGCCCCGAGGATCGCACTGTTCACAAAACATTACGGAGCACAGGGTATCAACTTCAATAATGTTGCTGCGAACAAAAGCTGGTCGCAGTTAATTATCACTCAGAATGGGATTGATTATTATATGGTTCGCGCCAACTTCCTGCGCGAATGCGGAGCTGACATGGGTGTTTCAATGGCGGTTCCTGGTGAGTGATTTTGCTTTGCTGAACACAGCGCAAAGTCCTGCCCCAGTAATAATTTCGAGAGACTCAAAAGGGCTGGCTTCTTCCAGTACGCTAGCAGGTGGTGTGTTGATAGTATTGTGAACATTAAGGTCCCCTGAAACATGAGCTGGAATTACCGCCAGCATGTCTAGAGCTTTGAGGGAGAACCAAAATGCCGCTCTCTTGACGGGATTGACACATTGGCAGTGATGACAAGACAAAGAAAAAAAAAAATTGTGCATAACTAAAGCCGGAAATGATCTTTTTGTGTGCTACTTTCAGGGGTTTCTTGAGATGGTGAGAGACTGGGCAACAGCATTGTGTGCACCCTTACACTGTACAAAAAGTAGCCTCAAAATAGATGTGCTGGACAGGTCAAAGTCTTGACTGTGTGTTACTTCGTCCGTGGTTACTGTAGCTTATGCCGTGGCGTATGGAAAAATCAAAGCTGGCTTTTTGATATTTGATTGCGACTGACTCCCTCAGACTTGGCTGATTCGCACCACATTAACTAGTCCGTGCTGCTGCCAGTTACCTGCAAGCAACCTGAAGAATTAATTACGTTCCTACAGGGGAAGAGACGGTGCCCAAGAAGACCGGCTCCTCGAACATTGGACTGCTGCTTTTCTGGCCGATAAAACCGATCATTTTCGGGTTGCAGTGCACTTCCGGTGGGGAAAGGTTTTCTCGACTCAGACCAACTTTGATAGCTCACCCCAATTCAAGTACGGAGTACTCCGTAGATAAACCCGCTTTTCCCCAAGATGAAGGCGATCTCCTCTTGGAACAACGAACAAGATAAATATATACGTAATTGTTGGCTCCGGACGGGGATTGATCGCCAAGGCGCATCCGGGCCAGGTCGGCGGGTTTGGACTGCGCGAAACGCGTCCACTCACTGCCTCCACCGAACACGCGAGCTCCGACTTTACATAGTTTGTCGTTGCAAGCATGCCGCTTCGTCTTCTTCTCCCTCGATCTCACTTCTGCTGAACCGTTCAATTAGCACTCCTCAACTCCTCAAATGAGGTAAATTGACAACAGCCAGTCACAATGCCCTCAGTAACTAGAATCAAAACCGAAAACCCCCCGACGCATCCTCCGATCGGGACTTCAACACCATCGACGGATGCCCTGGATGAAAGAATATATCAGCGAAAGACAGAAAACCCCAGCTTGTCTTGGGAGCAAATCAGAACGGTGCAGAAACGTTTTGGCTCGTTTACATCCTCATCCGGTTACGCTAACCACTGTTTGCAGAAATGGTTTCCCCAATTAAGACATTGGGAGATGCGAAAGAGGTTTTATGTTGGTTTTGCGTGAACGGAATAGATGATCTTGTCTTACGTGTACGTCTATAGAAAATGAGAGATGCGCGACTTGGAGGACCGTCTGTACGCATTGCTACCCCTTGGAGCTATTTGCGCTGTATCGATTGACCGTTGAACAGAATTCTTCGGCCGTGAAGCGCCAGCGTTCGGAAGAGCGTTCTGACGACGAGGATGATAATCAGCCATCCAAGAAAAGCCGCACTGGTTGTGACGACTCCAAGAACGGTATAAACAAATATGATGTCTCGTCACCTTCTAGATCGCCAAAACTTACGGTGGGTCGTTGGTTGTCCCCCAATCTCTATGTCAAGACGACAGCTGATAGCAAAAATGGCAGCGGGCGAGCACCACTCCTAATTTGACACCGAAGCAACTATCTAGCGGAATGGTTCTCCGTCGGCCTGCTGAGAATTCACACTCAAATCCTTCCTCGTCAAATAGCACCAGTCAGCAAAGCTCTTCCTCTACTACACACCGAACCGCAGCACAATCCAGCAGGTCCTCGACCGCAGCGCCAAACCCACCAAAGCCCATTCCAACTGCTGCCTCCGTCCCACCCAATGGAAACACGGATGACAACGACTGTGACTCACACACCCACAGCCATCCCGATGTCCTCTCTGAAGCCCGACTACAGGGTCTAACTGAGAAGGACTGGCTATATATCTTATCCCGAGCACAGGCCTATTCCGGTGAAAAATTGCGCGCTGATAACCTCGTTGCCAAAGAACGCGAAGCGCACATGCGCCTCGAACTCCTCGAAACACAGCTCGCAGAAACCAAGAGAGAGCGCGACAAGCTAATACACCAATTCGCATCGGCGTCCGCAGCCTCTCCGGGGTCCAGCACGGCCGTCGATTCTCATTTGAAAACCGAAAGGGTGCTGGACGAGCTTATCGAGCATGCTGTGGAAGTAAAATCTATCTTCGACAAGTTATGGATGACTAGCAAGGTATACATAGCGCAGAAGGTGTGGGAGTCAGCAGAGTTGGAGGCGCTGGTGCTAAAGGGTAGCACGGTCCTTACGAAAATTGACAGAATCATTAAAGAACAAGAGGCAAGGGGGAAGAGTACCTGTGGTTTGTTTGGATGCTAATATGGGATTGCAACTTATGCATTTGTGTTCTGCGGAGTGGCTATTTGAATTACCAAAGATATCTTAACCCGGAGTTGAGGGAATCTTTTCTTTTCTCTGTTACTTAGCCGAATATGAATCCCCGTCGGCTGACTTAAGAGTATATGGCTGGTATAATTGGGTGGTGACTTCGGGCTGGGGTGATTACAGATTTGCACGGAGTGCTCACAAAATGGATCAGCATATTTGCACCGTATGAAATTGAAGTGTCAAAATTATTCCTTCTTTGCCAGCTAGTTTTAACTACCCATAGGCCAGTGCTGTGAAGCTCGGCGAACCTTAAACTAGGGTTGTCACATCCCTGCTCCTGGCTCAGGGAATAAATCTCCCCCCTGTATGGGGCTCTATGGATTTATTTGTCCATATTCAATGCCACTCTTGCTGGTGCATACCGCATTGCCTGGGTGAAGTAATTCCAGCTTCATATTGCCATCTATCAATACGTCTTCACCCGTCATGCCATACATAGATGTATCGGTAGCTCCATTATTTCTCTATGTATCACTGTTATGACCGGCTTCTTTGGTGTATAAATATGACTTGATAGGCATTCCTGGAGGATTCCTTTTTCTACACTAGCATCGTTCTCGATATCGTCTTTGAAAAGTCACCCAGACTTACCGGTACCGCTTAACCACATATCATCAGGCCACAGTGAGAACCAGTGCTAATCATGCCCGAAGAAACTTTCAAAGTCAACAGCACATTCTTCAAAGCTCCCCCGGGAATACAGCCTGGCTATTTTTATAGGATCTATACAGCCAGCGGATCTTACAAATACCTTCACGCAGACGATCCCACGCCCCGTGGGCCCGATTCAAAAGGCGAGAATCTGGATTTCAAGGCCATCCCCAAGGGCAATTGGGTCGTGGGCAGCCTCCAGCCCAGCCGGAAGAGCCAGGGAAAGTTCAGCCTGGGTGCGACCAGCACAACGCCGCTCAAGGGGATCGAGAGAACCTGGCATCAAAAAAGGGTTGACATCCAAGATTTGCAGGAGTCCAGGTACGTTCACCTTGATGAGGATGAAGATCTTATATTTGATAATCTCTGGCACCTCTACTCGATGCCTCATATCCATCAGGACAGAGCTATCGGCAAAACCATTTCTGTTCCACATGTTGCGTACTTTGCATACTTCCCAAGTGTTGTGGAGTTGCTTCAGCGGGAGTCAGATATGTACCGGACCATCCAAGGGCAGGGTATTGGGGATGAGTTTCTGGGTTACATCACAGAGAGTCAGAGCAGGATCATTGGGATTCTTGTTGGATGCAAAGGATCCGAATCCGACTTTGATCAGGATATACCGGGGGCAGAGGACATTGGAGCATGCCAGTCGGTACTTTCAAAACTGCAGAGACTTGGTATTTCACTCGGCACGGTGTGGCCGGAGTCATTCTGGATCCGCAACAACAAAGCCACCATCAGCAGCTTTGCCACTTGCGTTCGGGATGCAAATGTCCAGGCTATGGAACGCGAGATGAAGAGCGTCGAGCGTGCGTTCGCAGACCCATTGGACGTGAGGAATTTGAGCAAGGAGTTGAGAGAACAAGTTGAAGCTATTTTTCGGCGGGACGGCAAGCTGCACCAAGTTGTTATTTTCCAGGGTCGATCCCATAAATACCATCTTTCGAAATGTTGAAGTACAGTGAAGATGATACATTTCTCGTTGAAGTACGGAGTACTCCGTTAGCAGGAATGCAACTCTATGGAGAAGGAGGATCCGCAACATGAGAATGAGACCTGTCGCAGTCTTTGTAAAAGCCATGTCCTCCGATAGAGTGTTTCATGCAGACGCGAGGAGCCAGTCAGAGCAGACCAGGTTTCAACGATCATCATGATTCATGACATGCAGAAAAAATGGAGCCACGCACGGGCCAAGACCAGATTGCTCGTTTTCCCCGAGAACTAGGGGAGTGTGCAAGAAACGGAATTGCACATGCCAACAGACAAGTTCTTAAGTGCTTTCCACATGGTCGAGTTGTTGGGCGTGAACCCGAGCAGTCCCGTGTGCTAGTTAGCGCGTGATGCAAGGCAGCCCAAAGTAAGCTTGGCAATTCCGACTGTTTTGCTGTCTAACATCTGGCAGCAAGAGTCTGGACGTCATGACCGGCACACTTGATTGACGGGTATTGACTTATTCTCAAATTCCGAATTCGACAACAAAACAAAGCATCATCAGCTGCACGGAGTACTCCAGACTATCCCCTCGTCCGGCCGCCAGGCAAAATTAGCGCCTTGGCATCAGATTACAAACTACAGTATTAATGGCGTTTTTCTGACCAATAGGTTCACACGCTAAAATATTATATACATACCTTTCTCCGGGAAGTTCTGCGGCTATTCTAGAAGCGGCTAGCGGCGCAGAGCCTGACGTCACGGCTGGGGCTCTCGGCAGTTTAAGCTTAACCATTGGCGGGGGACCGCTGGATCACGTGGGGCCCGCCAGCCCTGAAAATTACCCACTCTCGCCCGTGACCGTCACGAACAACCCCGTCTGCGCCGTGCCGCGCCGATTACTTCATTGTTTTGTCACCGAATTTCACCATCCGCCCCTTTATCGATAAGCGACACTATTTTAAGTCCCCTCGCCCGCTTCCTTTTCGTCCCATCATCACCTCCTTCACTGCAATTCTATTGACCACGCTGCCGCTCTTTCTGAGGTACGTCTCTTCCTCAGCCGAATTCTTGACTTCAGTGTGCTGAATGTTCAGCCTTATGGACTTTAGACCACTTCATCTTTTGCACCGGATCTTTCTCTACGAATTTGCTCCCCCGCCCGGATAGCCCGTCCTGTATCCTAAACGAGAACAACGCTGCTCTGGCATCGAATAGCGCCTGCATCTCGTCTATATACACCTCTTTCCCTCCATTCGGTCCCCTGACTGAAAACGAGCGTCCTTCGGCCCTCAGAGCCAGCTTCGGTAAACCTACGAGATCGAGTCGTCTGCCTTCGCCATCATGCTCGACCATCGTCGTGCTCACGAGAGCAAGAAGACCGTCTCTCGAAAATCGGCCAAGCGAGATGCCGATCGTTTGACTTCCCTGATTTATTCGTCACCCTCCGCTATATCTGCCTCTCGACAGAACTCCCGCGACGTTTCTCGGAACGCTTCGCGAGACGGGTCTCGTAATGTTTCCCGTGATATCTCTCGAGTTCAATCCCGTGTCCAATCCCGGGTTGTTTCTCGAGACGCATCTATCAGTCCAAGTAGAGACCAGTCGGATGATGAATATGAAACGAGCAGCGAGAGTGGAACCTGTCCGAGGTATGCTCCGCACCCGTGTTCGTTCCTTGTGTGTGTTTTTATCGACATCAACTGACGTGTGTGACTCTTTAGTACCGCTTCATGGGACGAACGTGGGTACGAAGATTTTGAAGCCGGAATAAAACAAGACAGACCCCTAGCTACTGTTGTGAACGACCTTATTGACCGGAAACACAACTCACTCCAGGCTCGAGAAGAAAATCTGGCCGCCTACGGGCGCATTCTGGCGCGCCACTACGCGGCAGATGAGATGGAACACAATGTGGGAAATCTTTTGACGGCTTTCTTGCAAAGTATCAAGCAGGAATCGACAGAAAAGGAGACAATTCTAGCGTTGAAGGCGATAGCGCTTACGGCGGTAACGACGTTGAGCGGTGCCGTGTACGACAAGACAGGCTCGGTTGTTCGACGGAAGATAGCCGGCTCTTCGTCTCTTGCGATCAAATCAGCTGCGATACGCTGTTTGGGTGCATCTGCGTTCTTCGGCGGTGCATCCGAAGATGAATTGTTGGACGAGATGGAATTTTTGATGGAAATTATCATGTCAGACGGCCACTTTATTGAAACTCCAGACGATCCGGAAATCGTCACGGCAGCTCTGCAGGAATGGGGCCTCCTTGCAACCGGAGTCGATGACTTGGAACATCTCAGCGAAGACGCAATGGAGACCTTTGCGGATCAGCTCGACAGCACCGAGCCTGAGGTGCAAACCGCAGCAGGGCAAAACATCGCACTCCTCTACGAGAAAAGCTTCTCTCCCCAAGAAGAAGACGAAGAAATCGACGAGTCAGAATATGATCTACAGATCTCCCACGATGATATCTCCCAGGATGATTACCGTGACGACAACGGCGCGCTGCTCGTACAGCGCTACAAGCCGTATCACAACACACCTGCCATCGAAGGGAAGATCCAGGACCTTGCCAAAATATCCGGTCGTCACATTAGCAAGAAATCCAAGCGCACCCTCCACATGCACTTTGACGCTATCCTTACGACCATTGAAAACCCGCGTCACGGTCCGCGATTCAGACAGTCCATCGACCACGAGAAGAGCGAGTCCTACGGCACCCGTGCTGGGCTAAAATTCCACCGCTTCGCACCCTTAAATCTCAACAGATGGTGGAAATGGTGCAGAATGGCTGCGCTGCAGAGGCTGTTGGCAGGCGGCATTGTTGAACATTATCGCGCGAAGAGCAGAGCCATTGTCGAGTATCTACCGGGGCTATCCATGGATGCCCCCGAGAAAGGAAGACAAAGACGTGGGAAGGATCGAAGGAAAGTGGGAGAGTCGAGTGGTAGAGGTGGAGAGATGGGAATGCTATACGATACCTTGCACGGTTAAAATCTCTTTTTTGGTGGGTTCGGTGATTAAGTTATGGCTTCTGTGTCAGTTTGCTTGCGATATTCGGTTTGGGTTGGCGAGAGAAGGCTATGAAAATTTCGTGTTTGACGTTTTGGATAGAGGGGCTTTTGCATCTAATAAGTTTATGCATGAAGAAAAATGTTGGGAGGGTTTCTACTCGCTCAGGAGAATGGAATTACTATTGCATTGTTTTACTTACAGCCATCAGAGTGCAAAAAGTTCCAAAACACAACGGACATTGACTATGATGTTTATATACACACCTCTTAAAGTCTTCAGTCTGAACACACTAATATTATGATCAACCCAATTCTTATACTATCGATTGATTTATCCATGACATAAAACCGGGAGAAGAAGAAAGTAGCTCCTATCCTTTCGAAACCCTAAACACCTATGAAAGAAGCTAAAGGACGAGCGAGTACCATGAAGTTTTTCCCCATAGAAATACACGTAAGAAAACAAAAAAGCTGTCCTGGTTTTCATCTTCGTCCCTTCTTTCCGGCCAACACATTCGCATACATCGTCTTGAATCCGTTGCATAACGCCATCATGTCTGGATATGGGTTCCGTTGCAATTCGTATCCCTGGGGAATCACTTTTACTGGCCAGCTGTTCATTGACGCATTTTGGCCCGCCTTGAAGCACAGGTGGAAGTAGCCCGGGTGTTTGGGGTCGATGCAAAAGGCGTAGGCAGAACGAGTAGGGTTGGCGGTTGTGTATGTTGTTAACCAACGTTCTATAAAGAGGAATCGGTTAGCGTGAGGATAAATAACGAAATGTAAATACCCACCTGTAGCCTCTTTTGAGCCGGACTGATATTTCTCATGGATTGTCATATCATCCACCTTTCTTGCCATGGCCTTGACATGATTGACAATCAACTCGTCGAGATCGCTGTACGAATACTTCCCGCCAATTTTGAGAATTTTGCCGACGGAGAACTCGTTTTCTTTGTCAAGTTCTAACACATCAATATGCTGGTATACTCCATCTGACACCTTCCATGTTACTGCGAGATGGTCAGGGCCCTTAGAGGAAGGTCGAATGACTGCGTCTCCACGACTTTGCGAAGCGAGGAATTCCTCAGCCTGAGGACCATTGAATGGGCGGAAAAGCGGATGCTTAATAACTCTGAGTGTACGAGTGCTCGTCTTAGTCTCCTCCTTCATTGCTTCTTGATCTTGGTGCTCTTGCTTGTCATCCCATTCATCGCGCATATGATCGAATTCGCGGCGATACGGCCTAATGACCTGGTCTTCGCGGAGAGATGCGTTGGCAATGAAAGCTTTGCGGTTCAAGTAGAGCAGTTTCGCAGGGACAGTTTGGTGAATGGAATATAGACTTCGGACGGGGATATCATATCGGTCGGTGAGCTCCATCTCGGGTATGAGGACATCAACTCCACAGTCAAGTTTGCCGTCAATGTGGTCGTCGGTTATTCGTTTGATAGTGACAGGTACAACCATGCCTTCGGCCAAGGTGTCCGCAGTCTCGCCGGTAAACATTGTAAAGATGGCATCTGTGCTAAGGAAGACGAATTGCTTTCGTAATTCCTCATAAGGCTGCTGTAGTTCAGCACGTATAGTCTCAAGAGTAGCGCGTTTTCTCTGGTTAAGATTCTTTTCGAGTTGCTCGGCATACTCTTCCAGAATAAGGTCGTTGACTTTTTCTTGAGCATCCTCCTTAACGAGCTTTCTAACGATAGCGCCGGGCCCGTTCTCATCTGTCTCCGCTTTGATATCTTCTTCATCGAGTTCGAGCGCATCGGCGGCCATCTTGCGACCAATATCATAGTCTTCTGGATGAACACGAGTATTGTCCAAATAATCAGTGTCGGGATCGGCCGTGTCGTAGTCGATGTAGAGGAAACTGGCACAATTGTTCCATACTTTCACGCCCATTGCAGGATACTGCGCGTTGACTCCTAGTAACTCCATGCGGTTATTCACAACACCACCGTTCATGTTGATGATTTTCAGCAACTGGGAGGCCTTTCGAGGGCCGAGACCGCTCACATAAGTGAGAAGGTTAGCGGTAGCCGGATCATTGACAGCTTCATTGATATCCACACCACATAAGTTCACCATATCAACCAAAGCACTTTCGAGTTGCTTCAAGAGCTTCTCCTGAGAGATAAGTTGCTGGCCTGGTTTAAATTGAATAGACACTATGTCCCGTCCTAACGAAGCGTACTCTTTCATTGGATTCTGTAGATATTTGGCGAGAGAAACGCAGTAGATGGTCAATGGGTGAAGACCGGGGTGCTCTGATCTGGCCTTGTCGCTGGTATGATACAGTCTTGCCACTTCGTCGTTCACTATGACTACTTCGAGAGGATCGCTAACTTCATCATCATTATCGTTGGTATATGGCGAGCTGCGGAGATTCTTTGCATCGATGAGCTCTGCGAGTTGCTTGTAAAGTTTGCGGGTTTCTGGAGACATCCCGGAAATGCCAATCACATCAGGTTTGCGCCGTTCGACGAGATCTATGAGAGAGTTCACGTCTCTACCGTCTGAAATCATGCGGTCTGGATCACCGAGAGTGAGGTCGGTAAATTTGCCGTTTTCCAAGACTCGGCCATCCTCTTCAACCCACGCCCAGTATATTGGGTCTTTGCCAATGATACCAGCACCGGCTGATAAAGTGAGGACACGGGGAATAGTGCCAAGGATCATGCCTTTAGGCTTGTACGGAGCTTGATCGAGTCGTAAGGAGAAAGCTTCTCGGCATTCCTTAGCGACGTGGTTCTCACATTCAGTCTTGATATTTTCCTTGACTCCGCGACTCATGATCTTGTCGAGCCGTGCAAGTGCCATGTCAAGCACTTCCTTTCTCGCTTTGTTCCAGGCATCGGCTACTTCACTGAAGTTGTCGGATTGGATATCACGATAAAGTCGTTTCTTATAATTATCAAAATTTTGGAACCGAACGTTGACGTCCACCAAGCCTTCTTCTTCCGCTTTCAGCATGCGCAGGAATAGTTCTGGTCGGCGTGCAATGTCACTCAGTTGCTGATTTCGCAAATACTTAAATTCGTAATAAGGGTGATGTTCATCAATCTTTTTTAGGCCCTTTTCAGTCCTGAAACAATCGATAACGCCATTCATATAGAAGGCTCGTCTTAATTCCTTCCTTACTTTTGGGCTCATTATCAACTGTTCTGCAAACATTGTCTTGGCAGCCTTGAGCGCGTGTAAACCGTTTGCAAAGTGAGTGTCAAGGAGCCCGTCCGCCATATCTTCGGGTAGCTCAGTGGGGTCATCAATATGATGTCTCTTTGCTTCCTTCATAGCGTTTTGGGCAAATCCGTCTGGTGTAATTCCGAACGCACGAACAAGACCGTAAGCCTTGCTATTGCGGATACGCTCATAGAAAGTTTTGGTCGCGGCTTTTCGGCGTTGATGAACGGCCCCATTCTCTCCATTTCCATTCACCATCGCAACATCTTTAAGTTCGGATGAGTACTCAAAATAGATATAATCCTGGAGGTCCTGAAGTTCCTCCATGGTCACCACAGCAGGTAACATCTGCTCAAACACTTCGTCTTTGACGTTTGCGACGTTCTTAAGGTTGTCATAGGTCCGCTGAAGGATGTTCCTCTTGTCAACAAGTGCGCGGAACTTTAGGTCATACTCGAAGATATCCCACAGATCAGTCATGTTTAAGAGTTTCTCTGCTCTAATAACGTAGTCCTGCCCATCGGGATTGGGTGCGCTAGGGGACATTGGAACCTTTGCCGCATGAATCAAGTAATCCTTGCGATGTTGAAAGATGAACGGCACTTCCCAGTCATCAGTAACCATAAATTCAAGGACCTTGACAATAGCTCTCTGGAATGGCTCGCGTAAGTCTGGTTCCAGGCGCTTTTTCAGTAACATAAGATTTGAAATCCATATGGCTTCTTCCTTAAATTGTTCTTCGCTCAGGATGACGTGCTTATAAGGCTTTCTTGCTATCTGGTAGCGCTCGGGTTCGTCAGTAAAGCGGATCTCGTTGTCTTCCTCCGTCATCATCTTTTCAGCCAGTTGTGATGGCTCAAAAACATCTTTTAGGTCAAGTGGCTTTTCTTCATCCCCACGTTCTTCTTCATCTTCATCTTCTTCCATTTCAAGGGCGAAGAGATAATCGGTTCCATCACCGAAAGCAGCACGCATATCCTCGAGGGCAGCTTCATCGAGGCCAGTCGCCTCTGTAACAGCAAGTCCAGAGATTCCTTTTTTAACTGGGCGAGCGATCTCTTCGTCTTCCCGCATGCGCTCGCGCTCTTCGTCGGAAAACACATCCTCTTCGATGAAATCATCGAGGTCATCGTGAAGCCCCCTTCTATCTCGGGCACCCATCCGATATCGGTCGACCTCATCCTCCTCTTCGTCGGAGTTGAATATATCGTTGATTCCCTGAGACACGGCACGGTCTCGATCACCTTTATGCCCGCGCTTCAGCCGCTTAAATTTCGACTGTAGGGATGAAAACGCGTATCGTCAGCGAACGTTGAACAAGCAAAGCAATCTCCATTGTGCAGGAGCCATTTACCTCATAAGAAACAGGAGGTTCAAAGTCCGGGTTATTCTCCCCGATAAGATAGATATCTTCCTCGTCCAGGTCCTCATCCTCGAGTGCACGCTCTTCACGGCGTCGCTTTTTCTTTTCTCGTCGTCTTTCAGACCTCTCTTCCTCTTCTTCGTCTTCGTCGACAATGAAACCCTCGCGGACCTGGAGCCATTAGAGATTATTCTATCTGAGGATGATGTTCAGTTGATAAGGCTTACAGCACGAGCGGCGTCTTCATCTTCGTCTTCTTCCTCCTCACTGGAATCGTCATAGTGGCCATTTCGATCAGCAGTGCCTCTAGCTACTTCACCGGTCTCCTCGTCGTAGTCTTCATCATTTTCCTCATCGTCCAACAAGGCCTCATTCTCTAAAAGCTCGGCGGCGCTCATTGCGTTGGGTCTAAATGCCGCCACCAAGTCAAACAAACAAGAATGGGTGTCGCACTCCCTGAAAGCAGTGAAAGCAAAGGAAATCGACAGAAAGTGAGCTTGATCGGGGAGAATGGGGGAAGAGGGTTAAAAAAAATTCCCTGCCTCCCATAGTCCACTCCTTGCGGCCGCCCATCAGCTCAAGTCGGCGTCGTGAGCGCTGAAATCGAGCTAGTCCTCAACAGGCCTAGCTCCTCCCCTGTTGTGGCGAGTTAAATCACGTGAATATATACGCAGCTTAGTCATATATGTGCTTACATAATACATTGTCTTGGTATTTATCACGTGATGCAGCCCGTGGCCTAGAGCGATCGCGGCAGTGTTGCCTTTTTCGGCCACTGGATGCGACGATAAAAGTCGGGGATGATAGTTTGGTGGGCAAAGAATGTTGCTTGTGCCAAAAAAGTTTAAGAGCCCAATAAGCTGACTGGCACGCTCCGTAGACATGACAAGGCAAATGTATGACGATGGCAGTAATATGGAGGATGATACGGAGTACTTCGTAAAAGAGTATGAGCTACCGCGTGGTCGTGTTTGACTTTCGGGCGTCCAACGGTTTAGGGGAGGTTTCAGGCCATGGGATTGGCATGGAAGAACAGCCAACAGGAACCCATACGTACATCAATTATCGCAAAGAACCAACTCGAAATGGAACGTAGAGGGTGACTAACTTATGTGTCGATGTCTGGTCACTCTGTTCTTCTTAGAGCTGCCAATCATTCCCTTAGCCAGTGTTGGCTCCTGTTTCCTGCTCGTTTCTCCATTTGTTCGTCTCACATTTCTATCCAATCTCAGGCAGATTCTCACTTCGTCGCTGAACCCACCCGGATTGCCAACTTGAGCATCCCTGGCATTTAGGCGCTGCATGGGTTCAATACACGCTTTAGCTCAAGTGAACTATTATTATTGCCATTCACTACTCCGTAGTTAGCGCCTTGTGCTAAATTCTCTGAACCTTGCAGAAGCCCAGTCCAATAACCAGTCCAGTCCAACCCCTCTCTCCATGCCAAACTCGCTCGCCGTGTTGTCGACCGCCAACGACCAGTTTTTGTTCAATGCTCGAGCCTTCTGGAATCTTATTTCCGGTCGACGAATGGCCTAAGTTCTCGAGAGTTTTTCTAAATTTGTGAAAATCGTCCACCCGCCCCCGATTTCAGCCCGCAGGTGTCCGGATCTGGAATCTCACAGGCGATCTTCGATATTCCGCTAAATAGGACTCTCCCGGAAAATTCGCCCTCGAAAGGAACAAAAGTAAAAAAAAAAAAAAAAAGGAAAAAATTCTCTCAATAACTCACTTTCAATAAATATCTTTGGCGATTCTTCTCCCTTCCCACTGCGTGCCTCTTCCCGATATCCCGTCCACAGACCACCATGGCGGACGCCTTCAAAGCCCGAACGCTAAAACGGAAGAATGTTAAAGGTCTCGCACTTAATGCCGCAGCATCGAAACTGGGATCAAAACCGTCCGATGGGGACGCACAAATCCCCGGAGCGATTGGGAATACTGACAGCAACCGCACGGACACCCTTGAGATCGGATTGGAGTTTCAACTGGATCTGCGGAGTGAAGACCTAATGGTCCTGAAGGAGCTTGGGGCTGGCAATGGAGGAACAGTTAGCAAAGTGATGCATGCCTCCACAAAAGTAATCATGGCTAGAAAAGTACGTCCTTTCTCGCCCACTGCCGTAGACTTGTTCCTCAGAGCTAATCCGCGATTCTTGCTGTCCTAGATCATCCGGGTTGATGCTAAAGAGAAGGTCAGAAAGCAAATATTGAGGGAGCTGCAAGTCGGCCGTCACTGTGACTCTCCTTATATCGTTACGTTCTATGGTGCGTTCACAAACGAGGCTCGGGATATTGTGCTGTGTATGGAGTACATGGATGGTGGGTATGTTGAAAACCGGTTATGCGTTGCACACCTATTCATTTGTTTGGGGCCTGACATCTCTATCACAGTTCTCTCGATCGCATTTCGAAAGATTTTGGACCTGTTCGGGTTGATGTTCTAGGAAAGATCGCGGAGTCAATCTTCGCCGGCCTTGTCTATCTATACGAAGCACACCGTATCATGCATAGAGACATTAAGCCATCTAATGTTCTCGTTAATTCTAGAGGACATATTAAACTCTGCGACTTTGGCGTTGCAACGGAAACTGTCAACTCTGTGGCGGACACATTCGTTGGCACTTCGACCTACATGGCCCCTGAGCGGATTCAGGGGGAGGCCTACTCCGTGCGATCCGACGTATGGAGCGCCGGACTAACGATTATGGAACTAGCAGTTGGTCGTTTCCCATTTGACTCGTCAGATACAGCTGCTGGAGACAGGGCTAGTGCTGGCCCGATGGGCATTCTGGACTTGTTACAACAGATAGTCCATGAGCCCGCCCCAAAGCTTCCAAAAAGCGATGCCTTCCCCGCGATTCTAGACGAATTTGTTGCTAAATGTTTGCTTAAGAAACCAGGAGAACGGCCAACTCCACGTGAACTTTTTGTAAGATCTCTATGCACCATTTATCCACTTTCGCATGGCTAACCTCGTCAACGCAAGGACCACGATGCTTTCATCCAAGCTGCCAAGAGAACTCCAGTTAACCTCCGAGAATGGGCCATTAGCATGATGGACAGGCACAATAGAAAGTCCTACCTGGCGCCACCAGCCCCTCGAGCGATCAACCGGGACGGGTCAAGAGACTCCATATCTGAGTCGAGATCTCAACAGCAGCCGGATCCTCATTCCCACCCAACTCCTACCTCTGGGGAAATTCCCTTGAATTACTCGCATGAACCATATATTCAACGCGACGAACAAACACCTCGCGCAAGCAACCCCTCTCCAACTCTCGGCCTCGAGCACCTCAATATCAACAACCATAGCCAACCCCAAGTAAATGGCCAGGCTGGGTGGCCTAGAAGATCTCCATATACGCCTGGTCATCATTCCAATACCAATTCACCTCAGGCGTTCACGTCGCCACGGGCTGCTCCGTCACCTCGTCACCCATCGCCTAGAAATCCCCCACAGTCCGCCGGCCTGCCACTACGGACTGGCCCTCCATCCAATGGGCAAATGCCTCCTCCTCCACCAGCCTCTAGTGGGCTAGGTTCGTGGTCACGGAGTCAGGGTAATCGGGCTTGAACTGGCATTGAATATTTGAGTTATCGTACAGTTTCCAAGTATACGTGATTGTCAAGAGCTCTCTTCTCCGATATGTTGTTATCTCAGTTCTAATCTCGTACCGTCTACAAGCTTATGTTCCTTTCAGTCTAGCGTCTGTTTATGGATGGCTTTCACCGTCTCTCTTTTATCTCTTTATCTCCATTTTTATATGCATATCAAGGCGTTGCACCGCATTGATAACGTTTCTTGCGATTTTCACAGCTTTCGAACTGTTTTTGGAATGTATTTTTCGACTATCTTGAATAACTATGTGCTTGCGATCTGATTGAATTGTCGCCTCTTTTCTTTCTCCCCCCCGTTTTCTCCGCTTCCCTAGAGAAAATATGATCGATCCCACGACCAACACTTCGGTTTATTCTGCACAGGAATTGGTTTCGCGGTGCTGAGAAAATGGGATGAATTTGGCTCATTACTTTGGCCTCTACCATTCCGGGCCGACGATGTTATATTTTGGGACCCGTACTCTCTCCTTTTGACCTTTCATATAAATTTGGGTATTGGGACTAAGGAGGCGATTAGTAGCTAATATCGTAATGGTTTTGATAGAGTGTGTATCAAGGCCATGCCACACTTGAACATTGGGAATCCTAGGATCATGGCTTGAACGCCTTATATTTAGCAAGGGAATTAGGTTACCGTATTCTTTGGATCGGGATAGGTGCTAATCTTTCCCCCTGCCCTCCATCCCTCCCAAAAAAAAAAATAAAAATTAAAAATTAAAAGTTAAAAATAAAAATAAAAATAAAAATAAAAAATGAAACGGTAAGCACCAAAAGGATGCAACTTATCTCAGACTCAGTAGACGACGACTTTGCGAATACGGGGACTCTTAATGCCGATGACGATATGACGCAACGTTCATGAACTTGGGCGGAAACTGCAACACGAGCTTCATATATTATAAGAGCAGCGCGCTCCAAGAAGTGCTTTCCTTCCTTTTGCCCCTCAGTCCAGGAGGCAGTAATGTGAGAATATACATCAGTCGTGGGAACAAATATACGCATTGCTTACGATGATTAAACTACGTCCCGAGATAGACGAAGAAAATACCCGATATGTGAATGGCGGCGCTCCCCCGCAGCCGTTTCTGGTGATGCTCCCGCCAAAAGAGTCTTTGCCGACCATCCGAACCGAACGGCTTTGTCTCCGGCCGGTAACACTTGATGATGCACAGGCAGTTTGGGATGCAAGGTCGAAAAAGTCGGAGTGGCTGTACGTTGCTACCTGTCGTCGCCCTTGAGGGATCGATGTTTAATCAAACTCGTTAACTAATTTTTCTGGGGTCAATTTAGTTCGCCGTATACGTCCAGTGACGAGATGTACCAGTGGCTGAATAGAAAGACGTTCACGGAACCTGCAGCTGCGGTAGGACTCATGTTTCAATTTGTGATAGTGCTGGGACAGAATCCTGCGGGGAAAGTGATTGGATGTCTGGGCATGAACACCGTGTATCCAGTGCCGAATATTGGATATTGGGTGGGCGAGGAATATTGGGGGATGGGGTACATGTCAGAGGCGCTGGCTGGCCTCATGGCTATGTGGTGGACATTCCCGAGGCGCAAACGGGTGTCTGACGAGGAGGAGAGGAGGGAGGGATGGGATGGTAAGGAGAGGGTGTTTGCAACTGTGAATAAGAGGAACCTGCCAAGTCTCAGGGTGCTGGAAAAGAACGGGTTTCGGGTGTATCTCGATAAGACAATGGCCGATGGGGAGGTGCTGTGCTGCGCAGCGGCGGAGCGACCGGAGTTGTCATGCGACATGGAGCAAAGCTATACGGGGAAGAAAGGTTATTCCGTTTCCGCCGGGCTTTTAAGTTGAACCGAATCGGATAAATTAGTCAGAAATTACCCCCTTAGTTAAGGTATTTACCGCCTTGTGGCCTCCACCTACGATCAACAGTATGCAGCTTGTGCCGAAGGCAGTGTAAAAAGCTCTTGATCTGGGGTGTTTTCTCAGATATCTGCTTGTTTGCGAAGAGTATGTGGACCGACGTCAAGCAGATCGCATTCCTGCTGCTTGGACGGGCTTTCCTTAGAGCAAGGGCTGGCCAGCATTTCTTTAAAAACCGAGACGTTGTATCAAGCAAACAGTGCAAACACTTTCACGTGGGGGGCCGGGGAGCCTCGGTCAGTATGATGGACTACTTACTTCTACAAGGAGCAGCTCCGCCTCTTCCCAGCAAAGTGATATATAAGAAGCAGCATATCACATTAACTATCTCCATCAGTGTGTATGGTACTATCCCATAACCATTGATTATTCTTGACAAAAACACCTGTTATTCATCTACAGTTTTTATGAGACTCTAAATACGGAGTACTAACAGCTCCGTTGCGCGTTGCTGATCTCACGACGAATTACCCACTGCTCTTCTCCAACATCTCCACCCCAATCAGTTCATCATGGGTGCTGTTGATATTCCAGAGCTCCGGTTCACGCCTGTGGATGAGATCCCAGAACGTGTTAGGCGCCTCCGGACGACTTTCTTTCAGCAGAAGACCAGACCAATTGATTTTAGAATCTTGCAGCTCCGGAAACTATATTGGGCGTATGTGTTATACTCTTCCTTGGAGTTTTGCGTTCTTCAGGCTTGTGATCTAGTGCTAATTCTGGCCTTATCTTACTGCAGGATCAAGGACCGTGAACATGCAATTAAAGAGGCGCTTCACCGCGACTTGAGAAAAGCCGAATACGAATCGTACCTGACAGAAATCACTATGTTGGAAAATGATATCATCTTCTGCACCAAGAATTTACCGAAATGGGCTAAGGACGAGAAAGCGCCCGATATCGATCTGACTTATTCGCTGATGAAGCCCACAATCAGAAAGGACCCGTTGGGATGTGTGCTGATTATTGGGTTCGTAAAACCTCGAAATATGGCCACATACGGTATAACCCAGTTTTTGAAGTTAACAAATGGTTCCTAGAGCATTCAATTTCCCGTTTCTACTTACCCTTGGTCCCGTCATCGGTGCTATCGCTGCTGGAAACACGGTTATGATTAAGCCCAGTGAAACTGCGGCCAACTCTGCCGCTGTAATTCAGGATATCATCGAAGCTACCTTCGATCCATCTTTTGTATGCATGACTCAAGGAGGAGTTGAAGAGACAAAGACCTTGCTCTCACAGAAGTGGGATAAGATCTGCTTCACTGGCAGCAGCAAAGTGGGTCGTATTGTCGCCCAAGCAGCCGCTCCCAATCTTACGCCTGTTCTCCTGGAACTCGGCGGCCGTAACCCTGCTTTCATCACCAAGAACGCGGACCTTAGGCTGGCTGCACGACGTCTTCTGTGGGGCAAAACATTAAATGCTGGTCAAGTCTGTACGTCGCAGAACTACATTCTCGCTGACAAGGAGGTCGTGCCGAGACTCGTCGATGAGTTTGCGAAGGCTTTGAAGGAATACTATCCACAGGGTCTTAAGGCGTCTCCAGACTATTCTCGGATGATCAACGAGGCCGCATTCCATCGTGTCAAAGCCATGATTGATAACAGCAAAGGCAAGATATTGCTTGGAGGTACAATGGATGAAGCGGAGAAATTCATCGAGCCGACTGTAGTCCAGGTTGACTCTGTCGAGGATTCTCTGCTAACTGAAGAAAGCTTCGGCCCAATCATTCCCATTCTACCAGTTGAAAACTTGGATGAGGCCATTAAAATCGCAAATGAAATCGACAGTACTCCGTTGGGTCTCTATCCCTTTGGAACTAAGCAAGAGGTTGGAAAAGGTACGTTTGGACGTTTCAATCCCCGTGAAGCTTCACATAGTTAAGGATAGTCTAACACAAACTCATTAGTACTTACCGCTGTTCGCTCTGGGGGAGCTTCCATAAATGACGCGTTCATGCACATTAGCGTTCCAACATTGCCATTCGGCGGAGTTGGCGAGAGCGGAACTGGCTGCTATCATGGCCGCAGCAGTTTTGAGGCATTCGTCCACCGTCGTTCGATCACCACTACTCCAGGTTGGGTGGAACGCGTCTTGGCTATTCGCTATCCGCCATATTCTGGCAAGCTTAGCAAGTTCTTGGGGGCTGGAGCCATGAGACCAAATTTTGACCGCAATGGCCGGGAGAAGCGTGGCATGTTAGGCTGGTTGGTTTGGATGGTTACCTTGGGTGGTGGAGCAACTAAGTCTGGTGCTGCGAGAAGTACCGCAGCTGCTCTCGGTTAGTACATCAACTTTTCCTTTCTTCTTTCTCCTGAAGAGCATGCCCTAGTGCAAACCCCCCTGTTTTCTGATTTTTACATCCATTTGCATTCTTTTTGCCAACATATCCTGGATTATCGCAGATAAAATGCCGGCAGATAAAGCACTGTGATACCTTCTGGTCGATATCTGCGTTCTTTTCTTGTCTTGTATATTTCTTTTGTTAAAACCTATACCCCTTGTCAAGCTTTTTGATATTCAGCGGCTCCATTTTGGGCTGCCTTTGTTGGATACTATCCCCTTCATCTCTTCTCGCTACGGCTGAATACTAATTCTTTCCCTTTTAATTACTGATTTTTAAATTTCATTTCACTTTTCTCCGAACATTGAACACCCAATTTATCTAATTTATCATTATCTAATGATGAAAACAGTTGCATATGGTCTTCAGCAATATGCCAAGCGAGCGTCAAAGCTCTGAATTGATGTATTATCATATTGCATCGCGACAACTAGAACGAGGACTCGAGACAGAGATACCTAGTGGAACTGGCCATCATTTTTGTATAAATTCTCTTTGAATCCTGTTTGCCCTTTTGGGATATTCTATCAGAGGATCTTTACTCGGCATTCGCACACGTGATCTATTTGTTTTCACAGTATATTGTATTGATAACCTTAGTGAACATTTTAGTCGTGGGTGGTTGAAAAATGATATTCATTTCCCTGTTTGTTTTTAAAACCACATTTGTCAACGTTGTTTTAATTCCCAATGCAGGTTATTAGTATCTATGATATCCAAGCCACAGCCTCTTAAATGCTGGATTCTCTAAATCTCAGCCTAGCATGCCCTTCAGAATCATCATCAGCACCTTCTCTCTACTCCCTTCCGGCTGACACAGATATATTTCACCCCCTTGTACGGCTTCACGCCTTCTCCCAACCCTCGGCTGCGTCGCGGGTCAACGACCAATCCATCTACACGGATCCCGCTCGGAAGCCATCCGCGCACGGAAAACGAGATAGATACAGAATTCGGCATGAGAAGGGCGTTAGGGTGGGGCTTATCGGTTTTTGACGCAGCCGATTTATTGCGACTCGAAGAAGGCGAGTAGAGTCCCTGGGATTTAGCTTGGGACATGAGCATGTCCTCGTCATAGTAGCCTTGGAGGGGGTTGATCCGGGATATCTGGGAAGAAGTTGGGGTGCCGTCGTCGTTCTCATCGTATTCCTCCTTGTTGTCAGCGTTTTCTGTATCGAGAGGCCCGACTACCGTACATCGCAGGACGGCCGTGCCGGAGATGCTTCCCGCATCTCTAGTGGTGGTGGGGACGCGCCATTCTAAAAATTCGTTGCCGGGCATGAAAGTCGCGTCTCCTCGGCTGGCTTGGATATCAGTGATGTACCTGACGGAAGGTGGTATTGGCACGGTCACAACCACGTCATCTAAAGTCGGGGACGACGACGTGCTACTAGCGCCAATATTTCCAAGGAAAGAGGGTGTTGAGGTTCCCGAACCGCGGTTGGACCCGCCGCCGCCCCGTGATGAAGCGTTTGTACCTGGAAAGTAGGTATTCAGAGTGAGTCGGATCTCGAAATCTAACCCATTGGGTCCAAGAGACTTTTGCAACGAGGCTGTTGCTGGAAGGAAAAGTTTCTCCATATGAGTTGGCGGCTCGTCCAGGTCAGGGTCTACAGGGAGTAGATTGACCTCATAGCCTGCGAGAATGAATCGTCCATCTGGCGGTACGAAACTGAGGTCTCCAGGTCTCTCGCGCCATCGAGCTAATCGCACGCAGGGATGGAAGACAGGTAGCTCAAGCTTATGTGCCAAACTCTTTTGTCCTCCAGGTGCGGTTAGAGAGAGCAAGAGGTTGGGGACGCCGGAGATTTTGGAATTAAAGGCGATGGTGCCGTTCGCTATGGCGGAAATGGCACGGCCTGATGGAGCAATTATAACATGGAGAGATTCAATGATATCAACGTATAATTCATTTGAAGTGTGACGGACGCCCTGGCGACGCCAGGGGATCGCGGGGCCCGTGGCTGCAGAACCGCTAGCTGCGGGCATGGTTGTTAACGAGGTTTTGAGCGTGTTCGAAGGTCCAAGGGACGGGGATGCACTGGATCGATAACAGCCCTGGTTAGCCATCGTATATAACGCGAATTCGGAGAATAATGCCATGTATCACCCTGGTAATCCCACTCCGCTCAGGAACTTGTTCATCCACCCAGGAACTTCAACTACCTCCTGTAATGCGTTTGGCTCCGTACTGCACACCACACCCGCGTCGCACATCTCACTCAATAACTGTCCCACTACATCGTAGTTACTTTGAATTTTGGTTGCCAGCAACGGTGCTCCGACGAAGTCTTCGAGGACATCGACGACGCGGTGGAGGAATTCGAGGACTTGGAGGGGTTCTGTTTCGGTGCTGCTGGGTACGAGAAAGAGAAGATTCGCGTGGACTATTGAGAACACAGAGACGGGAGGGCTAGCACTAGGAAGGTATATCACGGACGGTCGCGGAACGGAATGCTCGAGGTAGAGTGGGAGGAGAGCTCTGGCGGAGGGCGGGCGGGATCGGTAGATGTGCTCGAGAATGGGTGTGCTACATTGCAGCTATGAGCTTGGTGCGATTGTTGCTTCTTTGGCTCGACTTACTTGAGATCATCGTAGATGTATAGCGCTTCTATCGTATTGCTCATCTTTGCGAGTGCATGTTGTTGCTCCGCCGAAGACTTGTTGGTGTGATTGCGAGAAATGCCTTCGTTATCGACCGTTTCGTCTGAGGTCATCGCAGGCTCGCCCCGTTTGATTGGTCGGAGAGCTTCTTCCTACATACGCCCTCATTCTGCGATCCACCGAAGAACAGAATCTACTTTTCGCGCACCTAGGAACCGGTAAGCTCCCTTACCTGTGAGGTAGCTTGGAAACTGTATGAACTGATTGTTTTGTTTTGTTTTAGAGTACTCCCTACCAGTGAATCCTCGAAAAGTCGACAAATTCGGCTCGTCGCAACTTACCCAGGCGGGCCGAGATGGGCCGCATCAATGATGCTCCATGGGACATAAACCCCAAAGACATCGAAAATATGGTTAATAAGGATAAATATGAAGATGATTGTTTGGCCTGTCGTCTCATGGGTGAGTTGCTTGTCAAAATTCCGACGAAATCGGACCTAGGTCTACAAAACTAAGGCAGATTTTGGGAAATAGGCAGTGCAGCATTTGCCGGCCTTGGTGGTTATAGTTATGTTACGGGAATGAGAAATCTACGACAGCAAGAAGCGGCTATTTTGAAGAGCGGTTCGAAGTATAGGATGGGCTCGAGGCGGCTTGGAGTGGTGTCGATATCGGCGACTCTTGTGGGACTTGGAATTTGGCGATTTATGAATTAAGACTGGAATTCTCGATATCCTCCCTGAAGCGAAAGTCAATTTCTCCATATAGAGAGTCTGGCGTTCAAATTTTTGAAGGGCGGTGTTGGCAGGAACCATGGGTATCATGTTGGAAAGCTATCTACAGCGACATCTTATATGCACATCGACAAAAAAAAAGTATAATATTACCAAAAAAAAAAGGACAATGGGGGAACTCCGCAGAATGCTTTAAGCGTATAGATCATCAGTGGCAACCAATATAGCAATGCTTCTCATCTATCATGAAAACAAATCGCAATGCTTGCCTATATGAACCGGCCCCGCTTGCCTCCCCCAAAGACATCCTTTCCATTCCCTATGTTTGAAATATCGAAGAAGTCGCCAAAGTGGAATTTTCGTTTCGATCCGATGGTCGCCGCCGGATCTCTCGTCGATGAGCGGCCATTGTGTCGGGAGTTGCTTCGGTGAGGGGTACGAGGCCCGCGAGGAAGGACCTCGAGCCGGACGGAAGGGGAGGTTATGTGTGGAGGGCTGACTTGGGAATCGGCCTGCGTCGGGGCAGAACCGTCAGACGTCCGCATATCAACGTCCTCTTGCGGCGGAGCAGGGAATTGTGGACCGGCAGTGAAGGTGAAGAGCGGAGGGCGAGCGAAAGTGGCGGATTCGTTTGTGGACGATGTCTGGGGTTGGATTGTAGGTTCAGGTCGGGGTGGAGACGCGGATCTGGATTGTCGATTTGCGCGAGCAGCGTCAGCGGTGTCTTTCCGCACGGTGTTGGGCGAAGTGCTTCGGTTTCTCTTCTCGCAATCCACTCGTTCATCGTCACTGTCATTTGCAGCGGCCCCTGTGCCATCTATCCTGTCTGCTATCCAGCTGCGAACCTTGTTGGCTTCGCCGTCGCCGAGGCCAATTCCTTCTCGATCTAGAAAGGCTCGAAGGTCTTCGAGGGCATCCTGATAGCCGAGGTGTCGTGACTGTGTTTGGTCGGCAACAGCGCTCTTGTAGAGGTTTGTGACAGAGAGGGCGGCGGTTTTGAAAGCTTGAAGTAGCACTTCGGGGGGTTGTGATGATGATGATGATGAAGGTAAGGAACTGTTGAGGGACCGCATAGAATCCATGATGGGCTGGCTGGCACCAAAGGCCAGCGGTTCAGCTCCCGTCGAGGTCTTCCTTCGAATGCAAGTCTGTGTTTACGCCCGGTAGAGTTGAAGGGCTGATGTTGCTGGGCGTGAAGAAAAATGGAAAGGAAAAGTGGGGGGTTCCCAAGTCTGGACGTCGACAGGATTTTGACTAAAAAGCAAGGACAGACACGGCCCAGGGTACTCTCTGAAGTGCTGAAGCGAACGACAGACAGCGGCGAGATCGCAGAGAGCGGACCAAAGCGCAGAACGTCAGACAATGCTGGCTGACAACTGACGGCAATCCTGCGCTGTCACTCGCCTTTGGCCGACGAGTCAGCCTGCTGGCTGACTTGGCTTGGTCATGTACGGAGTAATGCTGCTGTAAGTTACGTTACCACCTGCCGCCGTTTCCGCAGGAACGGGCGTGTTTTGCCGTTACAGGCACCGTATGCTTAGTCATATCCGGAGAAATGATGTTCCACATACAGATCCACTTCGGCGGCGGGGCTTAGTCAGGTAACTGTGGCCAATCAGCGCGTAGGATTTGCCCGCTCAAGCTTACATGAGCTAATTTAGTCGGTCTTCCCGGCGCGGTGCGTTTTGCTTCACTTCGACCAGGAAGGGAATCCAGCACAACTTCTCTCCCCAACCTTTCGCCATCTCGCTTCCTCGTCAACCCTCCCATGCTCCTCCACCCACCACGCGCTGCTGCAACCAAGACCAGTCTGGCTTTGCACGCTGAACCTGCTCCTGCAATCCTTGGCTCTACTCGGGTCCCCGGCACTCATCTTTACGCGTTTTCTTCGGTCTCCGGCGGATAGGCCCAGTTCCGCCGCGCGGCTTTTCACGCCAGGATGGCCCCGTCACCCAACGTTGAGATCCCCTCGGAGGTGGACGCACCCATGGTCGATGTCAACGGAGAACCGGCCACAGATGCGGCAGAAGATCGCGCCGATCAGACCATGACGGTATGTTTGTTCCCCATACGATTGTATACCCAATCTCGCTTTTTCTCGTGATGCGCTCCTGTTCATGTCTCTCTGGGCAAATTCTGACGCTTAATCGTGCAGGATTACCAAGATACGCCTGATTACACGGTAAGGATATCTTCTCTCCGCTTGGGAGTGCGTTGCTCTCCCTTGAAGCGACAGACGACCTAATATTCTTTAGGATTCGGACACTCACCCAAATACAACTGCCAGCAGCGTTGCCGGTGATTTGGCGCCGATTGATGGTCGAAAACGTAGATCAGAGGCTTTTCAACTCCGCAAGTCAGTCCTGGGCAAGAAGCATGGACGTCTTGACGAATCTAAGGCAAGTTGCGGGGCGCGACTAAGCCTTGAAGTCGAATAGAGCATTCTAACCTTTTTCTACGTACAGGAAGACGATTCCATTCGAAGGTTTCGGTACCTGCTTGGGCTCACCGACTTATTTCGCCACTTCATAGACACGAACCCAAATCCGCGAATTAAGGAGATTATGGCCGAGATCGACCGCCAAAATGAGCAGGAAACAGAAAAGAAGAAAAGTTCGACCCGTAAAGGTGGCGCCAGCGGCGAACGTCGTCGGAGAACCGAACAAGAAGAAGATGCGGAACTTTTGAAAGATGAAAAACAAGGTGGGCCTGCGGAGACGGTCTTTCGGGAGTCTCCCTCGTTCATCAAAGGTGGTGAGATGCGGGATTACCAGATTGCTGGTCTGAACTGGCTTATCTCGTTGCATGAGAACGGTATATCAGGAATTCTAGCGGACGAAATGGGTCTCGGCAAAACATTGCAGACAATCTCCTTCTTAGGTTACTTACGGCACATTTGTGGCATAACTGGCCCCCACCTGATCACAGTTCCTAAATCAACCCTGGATAACTGGAACCGCGAGTTTTCAAAATGGACGCCGGAAGTGAATGTGCTTGTCCTTCAAGGAGCCAAGGAAGAGCGTCATCAGCTTATCAACGACCGCCTCATCGATGAAAAGTTCGACGTATGCATCACTAGCTATGAAATGGTCCTTCGCGAGAAGTCCCATCTCAAAAAGTTCGCATGGGAGTATATCATCGTCGACGAGGCTCATCGTATTAAGAACGAAGAGTCGTCTCTTGCTCAAATTATCCGCCTATTTAACTCCCGAAACCGACTGCTGATCACCGGTACCCCGCTGCAAAACAATTTGCATGAACTCTGGGCTTTGCTCAACTTCTTACTACCCGACGTTTTTGGCGATTCAGAAGCGTTTGACCAATGGTTCTCCAATCAAGAAGCCGACCAAGACACTGTGGTTCAGCAACTTCATCGAGTTTTGCGGCCATTCTTGTTGCGACGAGTCAAGAGTGATGTCGAGAAGAGCTTACTTCCTAAGAAGGAGGTTAACCTCTACATTGGCATGTCAGAAATGCAGGTCAAATGGTACCAGAAAATTCTCGAGAAGGATATCGATGCGGTAAATGGCGCACAGGGCAAGCGAGAATCGAAAACTCGACTCTTAAACATTGTGATGCAGCTTCGTAAATGCTGTAATCACCCGTATCTTTTCGAAGGTGCGGAACCGGGACCGCCTTATACCACCGATGAACATTTGGTCGACAACGCCGGAAAAATGGTTATTCTTGATAAACTTTTGAAACGGTTAAAAAACCAGGGCAGCAGAGTTTTGATATTTTCCCAGATGAGTCGCGTACTCGATATCTTGGAGGATTACTGCGTTTTTAGAGAGCACGCATACTGCCGGATAGACGGTTCAACTGCTCACGAAGACCGCATCGCGGCAATCGACGACTACAATCGGCCGGAATCCGATAAGTTCATATTCCTACTAACAACAAGAGCCGGTGGCTTGGGAATCAACCTTACTTCTGCCGACATCGTCATCCTCTACGATAGCGACTGGAACCCGCAAGCTGATCTACAGGCCATGGACAGAGCCCATCGTATCGGTCAAACAAAACAAGTCGTTGTTTTCAGGTTTGTTACCGAAAATGCTATTGAAGAAAAGGTATTGGAGCGAGCAGCCCAAAAGCTGAGATTGGACCAACTTGTCATTCAGCAAGGCCGGGCCCAGCAACAAACCAAAAACGCGGCTTCGAAGGATGAACTTCTTAGTATGATCCAGCACGGTGCCGCAAGCGTCTTCAACAGTTCGGGAGGTACTGGAACCCTAGCCGGAGGGAAAGATATTTCGGAAGATGATATTGACCGGATACTGAAGAAGGGTGAAGAAAGAACAGCTGAACTGAACAAGAAATATGAAAAACTCGGTATCGACGATTTGCAGAAGTTTACTTCCGATAATGCGTACGAATGGAATGGAGAAGATTTCACCAATCGCAAGAAGGACATTGGCCTCAATTGGATCAACCCAGCGAAACGTGAACGAAAGGAACAATCCTATTCTATCGATAACTACTATCGGCAAACAATACCTACTGGAGGACGGACAGCCGACCCAAAGCCCAAGGTTCCCAAAGCTCCAAAGCAGATTGCCGTCCACGATTGGCAATTTTTCCCACCCAAACTTCGGGAACTCCAGGATAAAGAGACCGCGTATTTCCACAAGGAGATCGGATACAAAGCTGTTCTTCCAGAAGGCACAGAGGAGGACTTGAGCGACAGAGAAGCAGAGCGTGAACTTGAGCAGCAAGAAATTGACAATGCAAACCCTCTCACGGAAGAAGAAAAGGCTGAAAAGGAAAGGCTCTCAGAGCAAGGGTTTGCGACTTGGAACCGTCGTGATTTCCAACAGTTCGTCAATGGATCCGCCAAGTTTGGCAGGACGGATTACGAAGGCATTGCAACTGAGGTTGACAGTAAGATCCCTGAGGAAATCAAGGAATATGCCAAAGTTTTCTGGAAGCGGTACACGGAGCTCCAGGATTATCCCAAATACTTGCGCTCCATTGAGCAAGGTGAAGAAAAACTGCGCAAAATGAACCACCAGCGCAAGCTACTTCGCAAGAAGATGGAGCGATATCGCGTGCCTCTCCAACAACTCAAGATCAACTACAACGTGTCGACTACGAACAAAAAGGTATACACCGAAGAAGAGGATCGATTTTTGCTCGTCATGCTTGATAAACACGGTGTTGACGGCGAAGGCTTGCATGAGAAGATCCGGGAAGAAATAAGAGAAAGCCCTCTTTTCCGATTCGATTGGTTCTTCTTGAGCCGCACTCCAGTCGAAATCAGCCGAAGATGTACAACTCTGTTGAATACTGTGGCTAAAGAATTCGAGGCGGATGGAAATGTACCCAATGGCCATGCCGGTAAGGGAAGAGGACGAGACCGGGACGATGATATGGAAAATGGCGAGGTAAATGGCCCAGCAAAGAAAAGGTCAAAGAACGGGGCGGTGGTAAGTCCAAATGAGCCTCCTTCCCTTCTGCAAGTCCTGATAACTAATGCATCTCTCTGATGTAGAACAAGAAACTCAAAGCAGTTAAATCAGCCGGTGGAAGCAAGGCCACCTCAACTGCAACCTCTAGAGCAGCAAGCGTTTCTTCCACTGTAGTCACCACCAAATCAAAAGGTAGAAAAAAATAGACCTTGACATAGGCTTTGGTTCAGGTTGTTGAAGGCGTCAAAGGTTATTTTGCTCTTGATTCGGATAGGTGCAGGTCTTGAGTTACAGACATTCAAGGCGTTATTTCATTTTCAATTTTCTTTTTGTTTGTTTATTCATTTTTTGTTATTTGATATTGAATACAAACCGGAAGTGTCATTCATTGGGAGGAGCCTCTTTACCTTCTAGGGCCATCTTTGACATTATATACAATGACTTGGCGCTCTATGGCGTCTGCACAAGAAGTATTAGGAGTAGTGGCCTGTATATATATACTGATATTGGATGCCTCAGAAACGAGACCGTTTTCAATAGCCGATTGCCGTCCTACAAGGGGGCGGGGTCGGATCTGATGGAGGTGACTACCCGTGCTACTCTCCGGGTGTACATAAAACCTTTCATGTCACGCAACCTGTTAGAAGCCGGTTGGACTTCTTATCCCTCCTAGCATTTCTCGTTGTGTTCCTCTCTTTCTTTCCTTAAGCCAACAGCACTCGCTTGGTGGGCATCTAGCCATCATATTTACAGGTAATACATTCTGCAACTCCAGTATAGTCCACAGGAATGAAGATAAGAAAGAAATAAAATAGGTCGATATCGCTTCAAAAACGCCCTCTATGAATTGTACCACAGTGTTGTTTAAAGAGTCATCAAGACAAAGTACAAAGAGGCTCAATATGCATGTATCCTGAAACGCCATGGAAATGACTAGATAAAATTGCCCCACATTCTCGCAAAGGGAATAGACAGATGTCATTCAAAAGATACGTTCCTCATCGGCATCCCTTTTCTCCCGTGGTGTAAATTTGACATCGTTTGCTTCCTCTTGGATACAGGAATCTTGTCTCACTGGTCCAGGGATCGGGAGAAAAGAACTTGTCTCATTTGCTCGACTGCGTACGCCTGATCCGCGCATGAATGCTTGGCATAGGATCCCAGAAGCAACGGCAACATTTAAACTATCCACCTCATCCACAATATGTTTTCGTGGACAATCAACCACCACGGATGCATCGGCTTTAGACTTCAGCTCTTTGGATAGACCATCTCCCTCGTTCCCGAGCATTAGGACACATGGATAGTTTTGGAGTTCGTTTGGTAGATTTTTGGATGAAACGATATTTTTATTCTTGCTGTCGGGCGCGACTGATGCGGGAGGTTCGGCAGCGAAGAAACGCCAGCCATTGCGGCGCGAGGCATCTATAAAGGAAACGGTATCGTGAATGGAGATTAGAGGTATGTGTTCGGCGGCACCGGAGGAGGATTTCATAACCACGGGGGATAATGGGGCTGAGTTACGCGAGGAGAATGCGACAGCGTCAGCACCGAAGTAGTACGCACTTCTAAGAATGGCACCTAGATTGTGCGGATCCACAATTCCATCAAGGAGAAGAGTGAAAGGGTATCGTGGGTTATGTTGGGTACGATGATCGTCGTAGGAGTTTTGCCGTAATGAAGTAAGCGGAATGAGACCGCTTGTGCCATTGACCGCGGCCTCTTCTTTTGACTGCGGCGCTACCTTGACATTAAAATTTGTCACTGGCAATGAAGCCACCTGCTCATAGCTTAGTGCAGGGAGTTTTGGCAGTGGAGACACTTCCGCAACAATTCCTTGATGATTTACCTCCTTGCAGACCCGGGAGAGGGCTTGCGACCATTCAGAAGAAACAATCTTCACTTTAGCGCCTGCTGTAACTGCCAGTTTTTGTAGGCTGTTGAGTCCGGACCCGGAGAGTTGATTCGTAGGCCTTTCGCAGAGGTACAAGGCATAGATCTTGCGCCGGCCAGCGCGTATAGCCGACCTAACTGGATGAAAGCCGTATATAAACTCGGAGACAGCAGACATATACGGGATAGCTGGAGGAGGGACGCGTGAAACCTTGGTGAATAATGATACCTGCTTGTTGAGCACGTCCTCGTCCGTCCCGTTGGGCCCCTTCTTGGGACTCCTTTTCTGCGAGGCCTGGCGCCTCAAATCATAGCTCCCCCGTCCCCGTGTAGAATTTCCCCGTGATTCCCGCCGTTGGGGCTTTCTTCTCCGTTCCTCTTGCTGCGGCACTGGTTTGGACCGGGACCAAGTCCTGTCTTCAGGTGAGGAATCGACATAGCGGCCCCTGCGGATTCCATTGGAGATCGCCGAATTTAGAGAAAGGAGACGAACGCCATTGCGCACAGTGAGCGGGGTTCTCTTAATGAACCCTTGAGCGGCCCTGGACAAACATCGGCATTTCAACAGCGAGCTCATTGTCCAGCGGCGTCAGACAAGGGAATGGTCTGCAACGGTCATCTCGCCGTCCTTTGACCGCGCAAAAAGAAAGACTTTTGAAACCTTATGGAATCCCAACTATTCATCACGTGGTAATGCTTACTAAGCCTAGTTATCGATAATGGTCACTAGTCCAGATTTGGACATGGCGTGGAACTTTATTGCTTTGATTACATATTTCGACACTAACTAACCTAGCTCGAACGTGCCCAAAAAGGAAGGCCGATATCGTCTCCCGTCAGACGCGTCTCTCGCAACCATCCATCAAGCTGGTGCGAGCTGCTCCGTACAATGCCGGCAGACGCCGTTTCTGACAACGCAGAGTTGTGACGCGCCTTGGCCGTTTTGGACTTCCATTGGACTAACCATTTGACTTTTTCTTCCAGTTCAAGGAGTTCAACATGGATTCAAGCGACGAGGAGTTGGTAAGCGATCTCGAAGATCGGACGGACGATATAGCTGCCAGTGTTCTTAGTCAGTTTATCGCAGTCAATGCTGATCAACGACGACGGGAGCGACCTCCCGAAAGTGAAAATCGACTGGTTTGCGTTTCTATTCCTAGAGTAGATAACGAGCACGAGTTCCTGCTTTTGCCGGGCCATTCGCGCGTGGACCGAATCGTATCGAAAGCGAATGACGATGCTTATCAGGTTGAGCTGAAGAGCAGTGATATTATAAAGGCTAGTTTGGCTGTTGTCGCCTCATTTCAAACTGCTGACGCGCCACCAGATACCCTACGGCGATCTCCTTGATCTTCGTGACGGCCCAGCGGCGCTGTCACTGTTTAAAGGAACAAGATCTCAACGATTGAAACAATCTACACTTCGAGCACAAGAACAAGGCTTTGTAAATATAGAAACCCTCAACCTTTCTTCCGATGAAGAACAACGACCAGCAAGGCGTCTTCGCAAGCGTCTCCATAACGCATTATCTGTTTCTCCACCTCAATTTTCATCCTCATCTGAATTCGATAACGATAACCCTTCCTCAGCACCTTCCATCCGCCGATCTCGGAGGCTCGCTTCACAAACCTGGCGACATCGCTCTTTCAGTGAGTCACAGGACGAATCAGACGAGTTGAATGGTGATGTGAATTTTGGAAAAAGGCGTAGTCAGCGTGCAAGGAAAGAAGTGCGGCCTGCCAAACAAGGTGTGCGCACGTCTCAAAGGCTCAGAACTGGTGGCACAAGACCAATGATGGAGCGGATGGAGGACGATATCTCAGAAGTTGAGGCTGCCCAGTCTGGCTCCAAGTATTCAGGGGCACGGGAGATATTTGAAGTTCTTCCCAAAGACAATTTGTTCCGGCTCCGTCACCAGCCTGCCTGCGCTACTTGCTTCTATGGAGATTCTCCTCAAGACCCTTTGGTATACTGTCAAGGCTGTACCAGCTCATATCACAAAGCTTGCCTTGGACCTCGCGGACAGCGGCTCCACCTGGCAACTAAGGTGGACAGCGGATACTTTATCTTGCAATGTCGTGCTTGCCTTGGAACGGCGCATGCAAAAGACCGCCTTGCACCACATCTCGGAAGCTGTTCCCAGTGCCTCAAGCCCGGATTCTTCTCAAAGCCATTGCGGCCACAACTGACTGCTCGACAGGAGCAGCTACAACGCGAAGAAAATGGAGGGATTGATCCTAGCGTCACAGTCGACGTAGACCAAGTGAACAGTGTTGAGAATATGATGTTTCGCTGTGCGACTTGCAAGCGATGCTGGCATATGTCACACTTACCTGCTAAATCAAGAAACGCGGCGCGCGTCATTTTCGATAGTGATGATGATAGAGAGGGTGATGAGGACGATCTCGAATTACAGAGCCGGCGCTTCAACGAACACTCCCGACGATGGGAATGCCACGATTGCGACAATGCCCCTGGAGAGATTGAAGTGCTTGTGGCGTGGAGGCCTATGGATCTTAACACCTATACGCCGGGTTATACTTCAGACATGCTGTCGGAAGTGTCGAAGGAATATCTTGTGAAGTGGCAGAAGCTGTCTTATTTCAGGGCAACGTGGATGCCCGGATCTTGGGTATGGGGTGTGACTGCTGCCGCGATGCGAAAGGCGTTCCATAAGTCATCAAGGAACCTAAGACCCTGCATGACTACAGAGGATGCAATTCCCGAAGAGTTCCTGCATATAGACATCGTTCTTGACGTGCGCTATTCAAACGTCGTTTCGAATAGGACCCGAGAAATCGATTTAGCTCGTATCACGGAAGTAAAAGAGGTTTATGCCAAATACAAGGGCCTTACTTATGAAGAAGCTGTATGGGAACAGCCTCCAGAATCCCACAACGTTGACCAATGGCGGAGTTTCCAAGATGCCTATCGGGAATGGGTGCAGGGCAACTATGTGCGGCCACCGAACCGTGGTGGGTTGAAGAAGCATTTACTCAATGTTAGGTCGAAGGATTTTGAGCAATATTGGAAAAAATCATCTCAACCAGTCATCTTGACTGGTGGCCAACTTATGCAGTACCAATTGATAGGCCTTAATTGGATCTATGAATCATGGTTTCGGCAAAGGAACGCAATTTTGGCGGATGAAATGGGCTTAGGAAAGACCATACAGGTTATTGCATTCTTTGCTGCTCTAATTCAAGATCATAACTGCTGGCCCTTTCTTGTCGTCGTCCCAAACTCTACAGTTCCCAATTGGCGGTCGGAGATCAGGCGCTGGGCTCCCAGTTTACGAGTTGTAACTTACTATGGCCTTTCAACTGCACGAAAACTCGCCCACGATTATGAAATGTTCCCTGGCGCTGCCGGTAAAGCAGATTTGAGATGCCACATCGTTATCACTTCATACGAAACTATGGCCGATCCTCATGCTCGCAGAATTTTTGCAGCGGTTCCCTGGCAGGTGTTAGTAGTGGACGAGGGCCATAGATTGAAGAACGATAAGAGCCAGCTTTATGAATCCCTCTCGAAGATCAACTTCCCGTTCAAGCTTCTTCTCACAGGAACACCTTTACAAAACAATATTCGTGAATTGTTTAACATCATCCAGTTCTGCGACCCTTCGAAGGATGCAGAAACCCTTGAAGCCCAGTATCAAAATCTGACGAAGGAAAACATCAGTGAACTTCACAAAATGATCCTTCCATATTTCCAGAGGAGGACGAAAGCCCAGGTTCTTTCTTTCCTTCCGCCAATGGCGCAGATAATTATTCCGGTTTCAATGACGGTTGTCCAAAAAAAACTATACAAATCGATTCTCGCCAAAAATCCGCAGCTAATCAAAGCAATTTTCAAAAAGACCGACGGGAGGAGTTTGAAACAGTCAGAGCGGCATAATTTAAATAACATCCTCGTCCAGCTTCGAAAGTGTTTGTGTCATCCATTTGTATACAGCAAGGCGATCGAAGAAAGGGGAGTGAGTGATACGCTCTTATATCGCAATCTTGTCGAGGCTTCTTCCAAGCTACAACTTTTAGAGCTCCTCCTTCCAAAGCTCCAAGAGCGCGGCCACCGAGTTCTTCTTTTTAGCCAGTTCTTAGACTTTCTTGATATCATTGAAGATTTCCTTGATGGCCTTGGGGTTCTACATTTGCGTTTGGACGGATCCCTCTCTTCGCTTCAGAAGCAGAAACGGATCGATGAGTTCAATGCGCCGAATTCACCTTATTTCGTCTTTATGCTATCCACTAGAGCAGGCGGAGTAGGCATTAATCTTGCGACGGCCGACACGGTTATCATTATGGATCCGGATTTTAATCCTCATCAGGACATCCAAGCTCTTTCTCGGGCCCATAGAATCGGTCAGCACAGAAAAGTGCTTGTTTTTCAGCTTATGACCAAAGGAACTGCTGAGGAGAAAATCATTCAGATTGGAAGGAAAAAGATGGCCCTTGATCAAGCTTTAATTGGTTTTATGGACATGGAAGACGATAACGGGCTTGATTTAGAATCTATTCTCCGTCATGGTGCAGATGCGTTGTTCGATGATGATGACCAAGAGGATGTTCAATATGACTCTGAGTCCGTTGAAAAGCTTCTAGAACGCAGTGAGGTCGAGAATACCAAAACTGGCGAGGATTCATCAGCAGAATCTCAGTTCAGTTTCGCTAGAGTTTGGACAAATGACTCTGCGAACCTTGAAGACCGGCTGGATCAGACTGAAAACTCGACGCCGAACAGCACCGTTTGGGAAAAGATCTTAAAAGAACGCGAGCGTATAGCGAAACAAGAAGCCCTGGAGAAGGCGGAAACACTGGGTCGAGGCAAGCGCAAGCGGCAGGCGGTTGATTACGCGCTACCGAGCTCTCCTTTCCGAAAGGATGGAAAGGACAGCGATACGGAATTCACTGGGACCGAAGCGGACTCGGATAATGATGGTATCCGATCTGACTCATTCGCATCTCCTGAACGTGCCAAGAAACGTATTGTCAGTCCTCAGAACCGTGATTCTGCCCTAGGTATGTTACTTGAAAACGTATTATCGCCAGCATTCCCCAGACAATACTAATTTTACCACAGGCCGCCCCTACAAACGCGCTCAGGTTCCAGATCTCGAAGCTACAACAGGGGAAGCTCCACTTAATGGAACCTCAATGACAATGAACCATGAGCGATGTATCGCTTGCGATACCATTCACCCACAGGGTCATTGTCGTCTGAAGCAAGCTGGAGTGGAACACTGTGGACTCTGTGGCATCGCACATTTTGGGCATTCACGGACATGCCCTCATCTGAACTCCGAGGTCCAGGTTGCCAGCATGCTCTCCTCCTTGAAAGAGAGTACCGAGCAGAGAGCTTTGGTTGAAGAGGCAACCAAATACCTACGAGGAATCAGGGGTGACCTTGTGCGCCGTAAGAAGCACAAGCCAGCCCGAGCAGGCGCCCCGGCAGCCCCGCATAATCCGACGATGAATCCAAACGCGAATCATTGGAATCATCCTCCTACGCCACCAATCCCTCCAGTATTAGCTCCTCCACCGCGTCTAGCACCAGTGCCAGGTCCTGGTCCAGCTCATTGGCATCAGCCTTACTACCCTTGGCCTCCCGCCCAGGGACCGTTGAATCCAAACCACCCTCCAGCCTATTTTCCTCCCAGATGATAGAAATGCCATCTGCCAGTTTCAATTTGTCATATCGATGTTGTTCCCAGCTATGCTGTACCTTTAAGCAGCGGGGTAGGTGTTCATTTTGCTTTGCATGATACATTTCACAGTGTTTGGGGGGGTGGGTTATGGATAGTGGAGTTGTTTCATAGACAGAAATTTTCGTGTAGATGGGCATGGTCTTGATTTCTTTCTCCCGGTTGTTAAACAACTGCATTATGGATTTGAATTTCTATGTGCATAATACCCTAAGACATTGGCGTGTGTTATATTAGTGTCAGTTCCCCAGTAAATGAAGAAGAATGAGAGGACGTTGGAAGTCCAGTGGTTCAAGCAGATTTGCGGCGGCGTAGATAGAGCACGTGACTGGGAGCGCCAGTAGCCCCGTTGGACCCCAGCCGATCGTCTTCCGACCTCTTCATCACAGTGATCACAGTGGCTTGACTGACAGGAACAGGAATCAAACAGCAGAGACATGAAACATTCAAAATATCTGCAATAGATAGACAGTGCCAGCTGTTTGTCTCGGATCAGAGTCCTCTTTGATCAGCTTTGGCCTACAGCACAACCTATGAACAGCCAAGAATACACTGAACTGTTTCAATCAAAGGTGCGTCTTGTGTCAAATGCCGGGCAGCAAATCGGCTACAACAAGGCTTGAATTATATCTTTGCGTCTTTTATCTCCTAGAACACAACCTCTTTCCAGCTTTGTGGTGCTGTATTACGTTCACAGTCTGCTTCCGGCAGCCGTGGAGTGGCCTCTGTGTCAGCGGCCTGCTTCACCGAAATCAGCTCGATGATACCCAGAAAGCAGTGAGGAGTATTGTCAATAATGACATTATTCCATAATCCTAAGAATCAGGACACTTGCATTTTCATCTGTAGCCACCATCGGCTTGTTGATGGTCGCTATGCTTTGGCCGAATGAAACTCGTCCTTGTACCCGTTCGACCCAGTTTGTGGAGTTCTAGATTTTTATATAATACAGAAAGTCTAGAAATTTTGGAAATCTCTCCTTTTCTCATTTCATTTCGGCCTTTGCTGTATTCGTGGTGCGTATGCACGCTCCCGAGCGTTGCGTCCTTGGGCTGGCAGCATTGGTACAGATGCTTGTCTCATGTGGAAGGCAAACTGTTTCCACGCTTGTGGATAACGGTTCTTTGGGCAAACACGGGTCAATGCTTAAATGATGTTAAACTAGAGTGAGATTCTTGAACGGGGTTCTTTCTCCCCCAAAGACCTTGACCGGGTTAATATCCCTTGCGGCAGACAGGGTATTCTACTCTATCAGGGTTCAATACCAGGCTTAATTTCTGAAGATTGATTTGCGGGCGCTTATCTTTATTAAATGTGACTGCCTTGTGTTTTAACAAAGACCCTGGTACTTGTTTTGATCTTTGACTTATGGTTGTTCTCGCGACTTTGCTCATATAGGCGAATCTAGCGCGAACTGAACACTGTGTGCTGGCCATCCTCCTCACGATTAGGCCCTCAACAGCACTCACGGCAAGTTCCAGCTTTTTCCATCAAAGCACCTCTCCCAGCCTCCAGGTTGTGTTCTTCTCTGAGACCCCGCACTGTAGAATTTTCCTCCCTCCCTCACGCTCTCTTTTCATCTCCTTCTTAGCACCCTCTACTTGCTCATCAGCCTAAACCATCCAGTTTTCTTCCCGTTTCTTCCTGTATTCAATCTTCACGCACTCGATATCTAGCTTTCATCTCACGCTTCGTTGCTCTCCAATACATTTCGTACAGTCCATCTCTCCACTCAACGGCGAGGATGGATGCTTCTCTTCGCCCACGGTTTTTCATCTCGCGTCAGGATGGCAGCCTTACCCCTCTTATTGCCGTTGATGAGCTTCCTCCCCTCATGTCAGTTCGGGGTGTTCCTCGCTTGTTGAGCCAAAACGACACCCAGGGCATGACCAGTCTCGGCAGCGCAAATCACCGCGGCCAGTTCTATGTCATCGACTGCTTTACTCAAGGCTCTGGAAATGCAAATGTCATCGTTGGTGATAACAAGGCTCTCCCAGCTGGTCCCAAGGCAAGTATAAGAACAACATCTTCGCAAAACAGCACTATTAGACCACATTCTTACCTGGTTGAGAGCAGAATGCGACTCGTAGCGGAAAGGAGCTTGCTAAGAATGTAAGATTTGCCTCTTGAAACTGTTCGTGGAAAGGGTGAAGCAGATGGCTTACGCTGGATCAGAATCCCAACACCCGGCAGAAAGGAAACTCCAAGAAGGAATACTGCTCTTTCTGGCTTCGCCATGGCGAGTGTGACTATCAACAGCAAGGCAAGTGAATTTCTGATAGACTCTGATAATGCAAACATCTAACAGAGTTTTCTAGGCTGTATCTTTAAACATGAAATGCCTCGCGACCCTGCTGTTCTCGAGAAGCTTGGGCTCAGAGACATCCCTCGTTGGTACAGGGAGAAGCATAATATCAAGAGTGTCACAGTGGGTGCTGACAACGCGCGACCCCGTGCAAATCGCTCCAATGTGCAAGCCCTTTTCAATGGTGTCAAAAAAGAGCAGTGCTTTGAGCGTATGGCAATAGAAGCACCCAAGAATCTCCATGATCTGCCACGTGAGGTTGTCACCACTGGTGAGCACAGACAGGAAAACCAAATTGATCTTTCTCTGCAAAGGGCCAACAAGACCCACGCGGCAGTCAACATGCCAGCCTTGCCTGAAGAGACTGTCAAAGGAAGTGCGGCACCGCCATCAGGCACTTTGAGTGATATTTTCAGCCCTGTGAATCAGTTTGAGCTCCATGGCCAGGGCGGGTTCAGCTCTTATCATGTAATGGATGCTGCCCCTACCTTCAAAGATAACAAGACTGTGGGAAAAATTGGCAATTATTTCAACCACGATAACATTTATTCTGGTACTCCCGTCGCCATGGCGAGCCTTGCCGAAAGCAAGAATGCACAGTGGCTCACTGGTAGCTATCTTCAAAATGGTGCTGTTTTGAATGGAGTCACTAGCAATGGCATGAGTCCCCACCCGACTGGCGCAGCAACTCCGGTGTCGAAGCCAGCAAATAAATCTCCATGGACCTTGCGCGGCGGAAAGGCTGACTTTTCTGAACTACCAATGTCGCCTTTCGTGCCCCCGAAGCCACTTACGGATCTGATTGCAGAACAGGAACAATCAAAAACGAAGCATCAGAAATCCCGTCGTCTTTACCAGCCTCGCAACGACGCAAAGCCCTCGAATGGCCAAGATGGAATTATCGCTGCCAAACTTCCCCCCAGCGATGAGATTGTCGCAAAAGCTTTCAGCCGGTTTGGAACCGCATCGCCCTCTTCTCTTGATGGTAACCGGGCTCCCAATATTGGCGCAAACCCCGGATCTTATTCCTCCACCAGCTCTTCTGGATGTGGCTCTTCTATTCGTTCTGCCAGCTCCAGCATTGGAAACGGTCGCACCAGGGCTAGCCCAGAAAATTTGTATTGTGAGCGCACCGCTAGCATGACCAGTCGTATCTTCGAATTCAACGCAGACTGCGACTTATTCAACTTGCACCTGAACGATGACGCCCCAACCCAGCGTGCAGCAATTTAACCACTTGTTGTTCGACTTGTTAGCTCTTGCGAGCAAGTCTCTCGATTCTTACATTATGAAATGTCCACCTTCGGCGATGACTCTAAGCAAGGCAGACCATGACGCATGCACTTTATTCCGAACGCCGTGTGCAAATCCTATATCCATTTTGATAAAAATCTTGCAGAGCAAACAAAAAGAACTAAATCATGAAAGAACCATTGGCTTCAATTGGACTGCAAGCAATATAATTCATGTATTGGACACTCAGAGGATCTTGCCTCACATTACATTGGATTATATACTTGATGCTGTCGACTTTCAATTTCATTCCTTCCACGCTGCAGATGACTTTCAGTGTTTGCGCAATCCACTAGTGCATCCTTCAATTCCCGCTAGACTGATGCTTCGACCAGCTGATGTTATTTTTTTGTCCTTCATCTTTTTTCCTTGCAAGTTGTCTTTTGTTGCTGTTGTTGTTGTTGTTGTTGTTGTTGTTATTATACTGTCTTGCTTATATGTTCTGGGGCTAAAATGACATCTCCATGGACCCAATTCAGGCATGCGATCGATTCTCGAACCCAAATAGTCAAGATGATTCTGATCCCCTTGAAACAACGTTTCCATCCTTGCCTTGTCTTGAGGTCGGTTTTGTTATTCTTGTATGCTTTTACCCTGAATTATGTACTTTGATGTTTCTGTATTCTGATGATGAAGATCTATTATTCCCCCCCAAAACTTCCCTAAAAAATTTGAGATCCTTCCTTTTGATGTATTAATAGCCATAGTGGTCTTGTTAATGCAATGCAATTGTTTTGAAATATTCTTTCTCCCTTGTCCTTAGGAATATCGCGTGCACTAATGTAAGGCTTCGAGACTGGTTAGTATACGTATTTGGTATCTTTTCGAATTTTCTATGTTGGAACATTGATCCAACAGACTATATAGTACAAGAGTAAACACCTGCCAATAAAATCTAGTACAATGAATAGATATGCCAGCTATCCCCATTTATCCAGAACCCTGATTGAACCCTGACATTGAATTGCGGACTTTGGCTACCATATAGAGCGAGACTTCTGCGGGCCCCGTCCCCGTCCAGCTTTCACAGAGACGGCCTCCTTCCGACCAGCACCCGCCGCACCACGGGGACTCGCCTGGCTCAAAGCTGGCAGGGACTTAACGGCGACCACAACCACCTCGTTCCCATCTACAACCTTCGTTCTGCTCCGCTCAATCTTCAATCTCTCATTTCTCAATGATTCCAGTTCCCGCCTTCTTTCTTCCGTCATAGCCCACGACGTGGGGAAGCTCAGCTTCTTCTTCGAAGTATGGTGGCGCAAGTCCAGCGGGATATCAGCAAAGGAATCGCCTTCTTTCGCCTCGGAGATCAGGTTCTCCACCAGGTCACCTAGATATCGCTTATTCTGTGCGCGAGAAGGGAATTTTTCGCAGGACATGCGGATGATGTCTGTGTCTGGGTTATAGCGGGGACCGACGAGTTTGAGGAAGGTGATGCGCTGATCCTCGGTGAGGTATGTGGGCGTGAGGTCTTTGGAGCAGAGTTCGACGACGACTTTGGATTCGGCCGGGTGAGTCTCACCCATGTAGGTGGTGTAGCGGAAGCGGAGAATGTGGGTTTGCGGAGGGAGGGAAAAAGGTTTCGCGAGGGCTATAGGTGAGGGTTGGCAGTTAGAGCATGGCTTTTCTTAAAATAAAGACGGAACACCGGAAGAAGAATGGAACTGCACATACCACTTAGCGAAGGCATATCCCACGCGATTATGCGGGCGTACTCTCTTAGTTCGCGATGCTGCTCTAGTTCGGCATGAGCCATTGAAGTGATGGCATCGTCTTTGAAGTCGTCATCATCATCCTCCGTTCTGGACCATTCATCTTCCTCGTCTTCTCCCCAAAAACCGATTTTCGTCTTTGGCGTTTCGAAATGTAGCGGCATCTGTCGCTCTATCTCATTGACATCTCGATCGATGTCCCGCAACATTTGGGCATTAAGGGCGCTGTCCGATGCTGTTCCGCCTGGTCGCCGGCGTTCTAACGACTCTTCATCCTGGTCGTCCGTTGAATCGGCAGAGGCCACGGGCGTGTCGGGGCCAGCCTCCTGCTTCTGGTTGAGAGGAAATGGCGTGATGGAGAATGGACGACGGGAGTGCTGCGGGACCAGACAGAGACACTTCGTTGGTTTCTGCCTGGAGGTCGTTTGCCTGGCGATAGATAAAGCCGTCCGGCTCAGGGATCTCGCAACTGACGCCATTGTTGGGCGAATTGGGCAAGCAAACACTGCTCGAGGGATCTTTTGCGGTGTTCGAGTTTGCTGCCTTTTCGCTCCGCCTGCCGGCCTTTGCGTTGAGCCCGGTACTTCGGCGAATCATTTATCCGATTAACTGCTGACTCAGCGATTTAGTTGGCTGCAGATGCGGCTTGTCTGTCACGCTTGCGCAGCATCGAGGTGACATCAAGCTGACGGGAGTTGACGGCCGTTATTGCACTCCAGTGTCAACTGCACTGCAGATGGAGTGTATTTACATCTCTCCCTTCTGCTGACATTTTGCATTATGCCGCCGGACCCGTAATCATCACCTCGGGAGTTAGCTACAACAAGCCCGCCATCGTTGGTCCATTGCTTCATACATCCCGAGCTCCGTATTACTTATTTTATATCCAACAGCATTCTTCATTATCCGAGACTATGAACGAGGTAACAGACATGCTCTACCAGAAGAAGTGGAAGATGGATCCTGCGAAATACGCCTCCAGTGACCCTGGATCGCCGGTGAAGCTCTGCTTTGTGACAGTCGGGGCCACGGCCTCCTTCAACTCGCTTCTTCGGGAGGTCTTGAGCCCTTTCTTCCTCGGCGCGCTGCGAAAGGAAGCATATACCCATCTTCTCCTCCAGGTTGGCCAGCTAGGTTATCAGGTCCTTGATGAGTTCTTACAGGAAAACGGCCCGGATCTCAAGGAGAAATTTGGCCTGACAATTGAAGGCTTCGACTACAACGTGGACGGCTTGAAGCAGGAGATGATGGCCGTCAAGGCTAATCCCGCACTCCATAGACAAGAAGGAATGATTGTGAGCCATGCAGGTAACTCCTCATCGTCCTCTTTCTTGCTTGTTTCCTTTTCGTGTTCTAAATTCCGGCGACTGATCCGAATATTTGTCCGATTGAAGGCTCCGGGACTATCCTAGAAGCAATGCGCTTTGGAGTCCCACTGGTCGTGGTCCCGAACCCCGAACTCTTGCACAACCATCAGGTTGAGCTCGCCCACCAGCTATCTTCCGTTGGGTATGTCTTGCACGGTAAATTAGGGTAAGTATATTTTCATCTAATGCTAGTCATCATCCTGGATAAAGCGTTGGTGCTAACGCGTATCTAGATCTCTTGCCTCCACGGTTACAGAGACAGAAAATTTCCGTACTAAGCTCCATGCCTGGCCACCGGTCACTAGCACCGAAGGCAACTTCGGTAGAGGGTTAGCCGGGGTAATGGAAGATGAACTAGGATTTCTCGACTAAGACGCCTCCCTGGATATATATCACGACATCCAAATATCTAAAACGCCCAGAGCTGCTACATTGACGACTCAATAGTATGGCACTGCTTTGTTGCTATTGCTTCGTATCCTAGTCTAGATAGGTAGGACTTGATGTGAGCTCTACTTACATGCATTTCCAGGCCGTCCCGACGTTGAAGGATGCGTGGCTTATGTATATATACTTTATTTTTTGAGATTTTAATAGGGAGCTATATGTTTGCAGATCCCGGCTTTGTCCTCTGTTGAAAGGATACTCATATTTCTGCAAGCACGGTCTTCCTTTTCTATTCAATAAATTTATGTGATTAAAAACTGAAATATGGTTTTCGGGGCAAAGAAAAGGCCTTCGGAACAAAACCGCTAAGGCTTAGTGCCTGGCGAGGGACATCTCGTGCCCGGCTGTGTCACAGCAATACCGTGGCTCTTTTAAAACGATGAGACCACCCCAGCAAGTATATAGAGGATCCAGACTGAAGATATAGTATTAATGGTTGAATTGGAACAAAAGTAGCACATGAGAAACAAAGGCAATGTCATTTTGTGGAAAAGCATGTGCCTTAAGGCTGGAGAGGTTGCTCATCCATCGCACTGTTTTGAATCGGACTCCTGAAAACCAAAAAAAGCTCCTCAAGCCGATCACCGCTGCAAACACTCCACAAAGACCTAATCGCTTTCACACATGTCTTTACCTCAATTCTTATAATAATCACTTGTTTTTCACCTATAATTTTACAGTATTCTGGATAGCCTGACACTGTCTATGCCTCACGAGCATTGAAATCCCAACCTTGCGCTCCATCAGAGTACATAAATAAACGCTACCACGAGCTTCAACGCACTCAACTTCCTCCTCGACATCCCCCATCATGGCCGAGGCAACCCTCCACAACGCTCCCATAGTCCTAGACAATGGCAGCGGCACTATACGCGCTGGTTTCGCGGGCGAAGACCTCCCCAAATGCTACTTCCCCTCCTTCGTCGGACGACCAAAACACCCACGAGTCCTCGCCGGCGCGCTAGAAGGCGACGTGTTTATCGGCCAACGAGCTCAAGAACTCCGCGGACTCCTGAAGATCAGATACCCGCTGGAGCATGGAATAGTTACAGATTGGGACGACATGGAGAAGATATGGCAGTGGGTGTATGAGGGGGAGCTAAAGACGCTCAGCGAAGAGCATCCCGTGCTGCTGACGGAGCCGCCGCTGAATCCGCGCGCGAATAGGGACACGGCGGCGCAGATTTTGTTCGAGCAGTTTAATATCCCGGCGTTGTATACGAGTATTCAGGCGGTGTTGTCGTTGTACGCGTCTGGCCGGACGACCGGGATCGTGCTGGATTCTGGGGATGGGGTGTCGCACGCGGTGCCGGTTTATGAGGGTTTTGCGATGCCAAGCAGTATACGGAGGATCGATGTGGCCGGGAGAGATGTCACGGAGCATCTACAACTGTTGCTGAGGAAGAGTGGCTATGTGTTTCATACGAGTGCGGAGAAGGAGGTGGTGAGGATGATCAAGGAGAAGACATCATATGTGGCTTTGGATCCGAAGAAAGAGGAGAAGGAATGGTCCACGGGCGTAGGGAAACAGGATACAAAGATACAGGAATATGTTTTGCCAGATGGACACAAATTGAAGGTATACCTATCCCTCCTTGATTTGATAACGCCTTTGACCCGGATGTGTCTCGCTGACCGCGTTTTACCCTCCTAGGTCGGCGTTGAACGATTCCGCGCGCCTGAAATTCTCTTCGACCCCGAGATAATTGGACTTGAGTATCCCGGCGTGCATCAAATCGTCGTCGACGCAATCAATCGCACAGACATGGACCTACGTAAATCCCTCTTCGCCAATATTGTTCTCTCCGGCGGTTCTACACTCTGCAAAGGCTTTGGAGACAGATTACTGCACGAGGTGCAAAGACTGGCAGTGAAAGACATGCGGATCAAGATATTCGCTCCACCGGAAAGGAAGTACAGTACGTGGATCGGGGGCAGTATCCTGGCGGGGCTGAGCACGTTTAGAAAAGTATGTGCCATTTCATATACTTTCAGCTATCTATGAAGGAACGAGCGTTGCTAACCAGTTTATAGATGTGGGTGAGCATTGACGACTGGCACGAGAACCCCGATATAATCCATCAAAAATTCACATAACACCGATGAATGCAGATTTATAGAATAAACATGCATCTCTTGTGTCTTTATACCTGTTGCGTACTTCTTCATGTACAATACCCAGCGATTTCCCCAACGTGCTGCAAATGTTTATACTTCTGAAGCTTTCCTTTTCCCTTCGATACCTTTTTTGAATTTGGTAATTGGTGGCAGGTCCTGGCTTCTTTTTGATACCCAGAAGATTATATTCTCAAATCAATGGAGATAATTCACCCTGGTCGTCTGGCACGGTTGTCTACAGGCCTACATCAGCAATTCCGGAGCTGGCGCCGGATTCCAGGGGGAATCGACACTCAGCGAAAGTTGCTTCGTGACAGGATATATGCTATATTTCAACTTGAATGTTGCTGTAGTGGTAAGAATACGCAAACCGACACAAGTTTGTGTGACGCGGATGCAAGCCTCTCACCCGGTGGACGGGTCTTAAACAGGCATGGATGCAAAGGAAATTCAACGCTTTGAGAATTCTTTTTTTTTTCTTCCATTTTTGTCTAGCTATTCTAGACTCCTAAATCAGCTTTTAAGATATTAACCTACATATGAGCTCGTACGAGCTACTCTATTCATATTCCAAATGCTGATGAGAGACAGGAGTAGCCGAAGCCCAAGCACTTTTTTTATTTCAAACAATAGAGGTTGCAGGCCATAGGATTGGTGTAGACGATGTTGGGCGAGGATGAAGATGCGTTGATGGAAAGGTGGTGTAAGAAGATGCAGTCAAGTGTTGCAACTTAGTAGTATGCGTGCTCGTAAAATCTCGTGTCCGTCGTTAGAAAAGATATAGTAAAAAAGGTATTAGAAAGAAATAGGTCTAGGGAGACAATCGAATCGGCGAAGGACCTCGAGAGTAGAAAGTGTAGGTGAAAAGATGGAGATATATGTTATGAATGAAGGTGATTGAAACTCGATCGCCACGAGCCGGTATCCCTCTTCATCCACGTCGTCTTCTCCAAGTTCGTGGACTGATTGCTTGACGACATACTAGAAGTTGTACTTTGCTTTCGAGGGAAATTACTGCTGTAGTTGCAGCTATTCGTGTAATTGGATTGACTGTCTCGAAAGATATTTGCGTCGCCATTCCTTCCAACGTGAAAGACCGGAGCTGCCTCTTTCTCGCGCCTGAGTTCATATTCTAATTCCTCATCGAAGCTGAAAATGGCAAATTCACTGCTGTGGCACGCAGGTGTGTTTCTGGCGCTGGAACAGCCTTGTCTGTGGCACGAAGAGGATATGCGTCTTGAGGAACCACTGTTGGCAGCGTCGCTACGAAGGCCAGCAGTATTGGTAGCTGCGGTTCTTGCACCGTAGAGGGCCTGTCTTCGACCGGTGGTAGAAGCCGTGGGGAGAGGTTCAACGAAGCGGAATGGGGACATGCTTTCGAGGATGGGCGTGAATTTCGCGAGGGAAAGTCGATGGAATATGCGAAAAGCAGGACCCGAACTTCCAATATTTTTATATGAGTCTAAACCAAGGCAGTGAAGGAACAAATTCCAAAGTGTCAACTGACGAGAAGGTGAAAGGCAAGAGGTAAAAGAGAGGAGCTATGCTATAAATTCCAAGCGAGGCAGATGACAAGGAACAATGTAACCCCTGCACGTGGCCATAGAGTCCGAGAAAAGAGGAGCAAAAAGGTAATTCCAATGGACTGGACGTTCCAGATATAACCTAGCGCGATGTCATCTTTCTAAATATAATGCATGAGCACAGGAAGGGCCTAGACTGAACACTGAGACGGTCCGTTGCTCAAAGTGGGCGGATCACCTTGGTGGAGAAAAGCCCGCAAAATACCGTAGAAGATCGAATGACTCCTTCGTCTGACCTTGGGTGGCTATGTCACTCGCCTGGCGTGCTGAGAGTATTAATACATCCATTTCGCGGTAAAAATTCTAAATAGGGAGTGACGCCTTCGATCTATTCTAGCGAAATCCATGGATTGCGCCAAACCGCCAAGGTACGGTTCTGGCGGTGCCTTGATACCTTACTTTTCCAGCAAAGACAGCGCCGAAAGCCAGGTTTCCTTGCTTGAAACTCCCAAGTCACTCGCCTGACGGCGCGGCAAGCACTGGACCTGACGCCATCGCCCCTCGTCATTGGACGGGGTCTCAGTTCCACGACTCTCAAGCCCGGTCTAAAGCAGCGCAGGACGGAGAGTTCTGCGATTCGCAAGTCAAGAGACACGGTGACGCGATGCTGGTCCCTGCTGCTCTCGCTTTGGCCTGCCAATGTTTGATCAGCAGGTCACCGGGTGACGTCTCCCCCGTGTCCATGGGCTATTTGTCGACACGTCGCGATGGGTGGTCACTGGTCGGGCCGGACGAGCGCTGGCACCGACTGTTGGGGATTGCCTATTCTGGATTGGCGCCCACGCCGGTTTAGCGCCAAACCTTGTTTATCAGGTGACGGGTATGGCTGACATAATCGTATTTCTGTTTCGTAACAGAAACGGGGCCGCCAGCCAATGGGGAGAGGCGCTCGCAACAGTCAACTTGTCACCAGAACAGGACGGAATACAGAGCTCTGTCCCCAGGCCGGTCGCTGGTCTCCATTACGCCAGCGAAGAAAGCATCCCAACCGATCCGTGCTTCCGCTTCCAGTGCCTGGCCGGCGAGGGGGATCGTCATCCATCACCCGCATGCTGCAGAGGTACTCCAGAGTGCCCGTGCCTCCTGGCAGACCTCCCTCAAATGAGCCTTTTTTTTTTTTTTTTTTTCTCCCGTTCTCGCCCAGTCTGGACTGGTCGTATGGCCACTTGGTCGGTTCCCAGTCGGATGAGCTGCATCCCCCAACCCCCTCCCAACTAGCAAGGATCGTTTTTAAGCATCCCTGAAAGAAGAGGCGGTGTTCTTGCCACTTGGATGCAGGAATTGGTACTCCGTACCTCTGTCTGACCTAACGGGAAAAAGCTTTCAAGCTCCAGTCGGTTCCCTTGTAGGATGGAGTCGACTGGCCTGGTCGAAAGCTCAATTTCTGCAGTTCAAAAAGCACCAGAGTACCAGCATATTCAGGGTCAATTCTTAAGCCCCGCTGGCTCACAGAGTCACAGACTCCCGAAGAAGCTTTCTCCCCCAACAGCTTCGAGCTTCGATGGTCAACTCCGTCAAGTGATGTTCCGGTTAATGGGTCTTGTACCCACTGCCCGCCCCACTATGGCGAAATCGGCAACGCAGTCGTTTGCTCTGTTTGTTTTAGTTAATGACTGATTTCTTAGGTAATATACTGAATCACGTGTGCATAGCTTCAAACAATGCAAACATTACCATTCTGCCGCGCGCTGCCGCCATCTCATCTCTCGCCACTAATCCGGATTCAGTAGCTCTAATCGGTTTTGCTGGGAGCAGCGAAGTCCGGCGGGCAGTCTCTCGAGGCCATCGAGTGTTTTCGACGCATTGTCTCCTATAAGGCACCACTAAAAACACCACGCGAAAATTGCTTTCAAGCCCCAGCCTGCATCTTCGGGCCGTCGCACTCGCTCTCCACTGACAACCATCGCTTTCGTCAAGCAACCGCCTCCACGTCACGTCGAGCGACAACACAAGGCAAGGCGTTTTGGAGCGCAAGGGTACGTTCCGGAGAGAGCGTGGTTACTGAAGGCCAGATTTGATCTCTTGTGGAGTTTCGGTTCTACTGAACTGCTACTAGAGAGAGGTAGCGTGTCCCACTGGGACTGACAGGCCACCAAGATGCCAAAATATAAGTCTATCTCTGCAGCAAGCCAAATATTAAAGCGTGCATTTAGCTAACTGTCTATGCACTCTTTTGTAGGTTTTGGTTCCCTTTTCCGCTTTCCGGCCTCAAAATCCGGTTTGCGGATAGTCACCCGCATGTCGGAACGCGTAGCGGCATCCGGGGAGAATTGCGCCGATGACATTTCTGATTCGCTAACCTGGTGGCTTTACAATTTTAGGCGACTACTGTGATGTCTACCTGACCCATGACTCGATGAGCGTGCGGAAGGCTCACAATGCGGGCCGAAATCACTTAAGAAACGTGGTCGAATACTATCAGCGTGAGTTTTCCGATCAAGCGCAACTGGGCCGTGACCCCCAGGCGGCTAACGGCTTTTGAACTAGAAATCGGCCACGAAAAAGCCCAGTCCGTCATTGACTCTATCACATCCTCTTACGCTGCAGAAGGCCAAGCTGCCGCCAATCCCATGCTCCAGCAACCCGGTGGACTACCTCCGCCTCCTTTTGGATTTCCAGGTACGTGATAAATCAGCTGTCCCCTTGACGTCCAGTCTCATAATCCTAATTTCGGTCTCAGGTCGTCCTGGCTCAATACCACCACCGTTTGGAATGCCTGGCGCCCCAGGTGCCCCGCCACCTGGCATGATGCCCCCACGTACGTTCTCTCCTTTTGACAAGCTGCTGGGATGGATTCATACTGATAGTTGACATTCTCATAGCCCCCGGCGGCCGAGGCATGCCCTTCCCACCACCTCCCTTCCCTGGCGCTCCACCACCCACCTCTGGCTCAGGCGAGTTCCCACCTCCACCTGCAATGCCCGGTATGATTCCGCCCCCTGGCAATCTTCCGTTCCCACCCCCACCGCCAGGCGGCTCATTTGTTCCACCACCAAACTTCCAATTCCCCCCACCTGGTGCACCGGGCTTCCCTCCGCCGCAAATGGGCGGAGGCCCACCGGGTGGACCAAGTCCTGGGCCTCAGGCTCATAGCTCACTACCAAGTAGTTCATCCGGCTCAGCACCACCCCCTCCCGGCGGAGCGCAAGGATATCCACCACCACCGAGCGGTGGCCCGCCAGCTGGTCCCCCGCCGAGGTTGGGCGAGTCGAAGTAGTCTAATTCCCACGGCAAGCCACGATCTTCTTTATTTCCGTTTTCATGTTTACCCGCTGCTGTTTGTGTACACTGGGCAGGCTTCCTTGTTCTGTATTTTTTTTCCTCTATCGGTTGCCATTCCTCTTCTTCTCCTTTCTCCAAAACAATCAGCTCTTAAGGTGTGTGGATGGGATGTATTACAAGACTCCTTTTTCTGAGCGTTCTTTTGAAACACTCAATATCCGCGTAGATCGATTCTCGAACAAAATAAAAAGAGAATAAGATATCAAAAATGCGAATAATACCCTAGTTCTCGCCATGAACCGAGAAACCTAGATGTTCTAAGGGTCAACATTTATTTAAAAAAAAAAAAAAAAAAAAAAAAAAAAAAAAATTTGTACTGTACATTGTACAATTATTAGTTATCTATAAGCAAGTATCACAAGGAAACAGATTTACCAAGCTGTAATTCAAATAGATACATTGAAGTGCAAAAAAAAAAAAAAGAGTAACACCTTTCAACGACTCACACCAGTTGGATGACGTCCCGAGAGGATAGTACACGAAATAGTAGAAGGTCATCATAATTTTAAAAAAAAAAAAAAATAAGAATAATTGATACATGAAAAAAAGGCAAGGTAAAAAGGAAGGTGAATATAATGCTCGGCAAGGGAAAAGTTCTCATTCTCACGAAAACGCCCTGAAAACACAAGACAGGGGGCAATAAAGGGTCTCCAGATATTAACCATCTACAAATGCGTAGTGCTGTGCAATTGGGCTGAACAAACAGGCGGCAAAGGGGGAAACACAAACCAAAGGAACATCAAGGCGAGTCCGCCGGAGACAACAGAATTTCATATTACTCCATACACACTTAGAAAATCCCATGCATTTATTTTCCTGCATCTGTTTACAAGGGAAGGACAAAGAGAGATATAAACATAAGAAAAAAGCAGCTCAATTAGTGTTCATAGCCTGCACCTCTCTGCCACGGACTCGCACTATTCTGCATCCGGTAACTATTTGGATTGGAGTTCACAGAGCCACTCCGGTTGAAGGGCGATGTTGCGTACCCTCTTGGGACAGGGGATGTGTTTTGTGTTCGTCCGTAAAAGTCCCCGCCATCGTTGTACACTCCACGGTTGTCTTGACCAGGTGGGTTAGAAGGAGAGAAACCTTGGTGGTGGTTTTCACTCATTGGGAAGAGCGGGACTGATGTATCAACTGGAGAGTGAGGTGCCTGCCGTGCACTGTGTTGCGATACGGCGATACCGGACCCGCCATCATGTAGGGAGCTAGAATGAGTTTGGGAATGGCCCGAAAATGACGCTACATCGTCATCGAAAGGCCTTTTCCCCTCGCCCCTTGCTGTCGCACCAAGGGCGTCGAGTTCGGTAGTAAGTTGGGTTTGAGATTTAATAAAGGAGCCACGATCGTCTCTCATGGGTTGATAGCGGGTATCCGGGTTTTTGGATACGATGGCGTAAATAGAGGCGATAAGGACAAGTAAGAGCAGGATGAGGGCAAATACAGCATTAGCAATGAAGAACACGACACCCATAACACCTGTGACAAGGCCCTAGACATAGTCAGTAATGGTGGCATTCAGAGTGGGCTCAAGAACTTACTGGCTGCTTGAATACTTCCGAGAAGAAAAGCAATAGAAGGACATTAAAGAAGTTAACAGCAGCGATAGAAATGTTAAAGATATTTGTCTTCTTGTCCATCCAAGGTCGCAAAATGGAAACCCCGACAAGGACTCCCAGTTCGATAAAGAATAACGCAAAAGCCTGCACCGTGGGGGCGGGCTGAGTCAAGGCAATGAACATAGCCTTGACAAATATGTAGATCAAAACTGGAACAACAAAGTAGTATGCTGTAGCCCGGTATTGTATGTAGAGGAATCCCCATTTGTTGAGCGCAGAGGGATCGGAATAGAGAATATAGGCAGGATTCTTGTGCATAAGAACTGACTTCTTTGCAAGGCGAATAACTTTCCATGCTGCCCAGCCCAATGAAGCGATCATGGCGAGGATCATCACAACAGCGAGAACGACTTCAGCAGCAGAATCCCTGTGAGTCATCTCCCACAAGCAAAGAATGCACATCTGAGGGAAGCCAATCAATGTCTAAACCAAGCAGTGTTAGCAGGATACTTATTCTACGATGCAGAGACCGCTGTTACTGACCAGTCGGAACAAGATGCCTCGCATCACAATTCTCCAGCCGTTCCGGAAGTCCTGGAATTTGTCGCTCTTCATTCTGCCGGATCTCGCAAGCAATTCGCAGGCGCCTTTGAATCCAGCAACACAGCCCATCACCAAGGCGACAAACACGACAAAAAAGATCAGGCCTGTCATGAAAATGTTGGTACGCTCAATGCGAGCACGGAATCCAACTCGATCTATGCCTCGGACACTGACTGTCGCGCTGTTCTCACTAACACCCTCATCTCTGTTAGTGCGTTTTATCAGCTCATTAGCAGCCTTAGCCATTAGCTGATGGACATATTCAACTGATCGTTTCTGCACCTGGACTGATGTGGTTGAGAGCGACTGCAGAATCGTTGATGGTTCTCCGCCGGTTGCACGTTGATACCATGTCGCAAGTCTCTGGATAAATCCAACACGGATAATACCCATACTCCACTGGAAGTTCTGCGTCCAAGACTGCACAATTGGAGGTAGCTTTACACTGGACATCCCAATCATGGCCTGTGCCTGGAAGAAGCCAAAGAGCGAAAGCGCATTGGCGGCGACATGGGCAGCGGTGTTGGAATGCCCCAGACCGGATGTAACGGCGGACGCAACCAAGCCCAAACCTGCTATTACAGCAACAATCCAGGCTACGGTTCGGTGGTAGACAGTCTTTCCGTTGGACAGGGCAGCTTCAACACACGCGATACTTCTCTTCTCAGCCGTGGAGTTTACATAAATTCGTACTTTAAGATCTAGGTCAGGCACGCCATAAGCGACTCCTGTGTTTAAGTGTTAGTTATCCATTGCAAGATCAAAACACTTCAGGGAAAAAATTTACCTGGAACTTTGCTGACGACATCGGGAGAAAGATTAACGAAGTTCGTCTCGATCTCGATTGAGCCCTTGGTCATTGGGCACAGGCCGCCAAGATCGAGGTCGCAAGGGTTCAAGGTCTCTTTCAGAGCCGTGAATCCATAGGCAATCAACTCCACCTGTGCTGTCACATTGCCTGAGATGGACGACACGCCAACCATATGGACCAGCAAGGAGTTGTTATGCGGGGTAAAAAGGACATTGAACAAGGTGGCAGTGAGATTAGAGTTGTCCTGGCAAGGAACAAGTGATTTCGATTCGATTAATTTTATGGCGAAGGCACCAGGGGAGAAGGGAAGGAAGGCGACGAAGAACGAGAATAACGACAACAGCCTCATTGTGACGACGGGGTTGAAGGCTGAATCGTGTGTCGAGGGTGTATCTTATCGATTTGGTGATGGATGGCTTTTGTAGGTATAGTACACGGCGTTTCCAAGCATGTGCGAAAACGGGTCTAATACAGGAGGAGATGAACTATCGTAAATGCCAGCACTTTGAGTCCGGGGGTGACGAAAATTGTTGAGGATGTGTAGAGATGTGGATGGGTAAGGGTAATCGATCGATTCTGACCGTCGACAGTTTTGGCTCGGGAAATGGATAGACGTCTTCCGGAAGGTGAGACAAACGAGTGACTGGAAAAAAGGTATAAAGTGACGAGCTCGAGATCAACTGTGGATGGTTAGGCCATTTGAAAGGTTTGAAGGATGGCAACGGTGGTGCCTCAGGAGAGCGAGATGTGAGATGTGAGTGTAGAGCGGAGCGAGGAGAGTTGAGAACGGGTCTCAGTCGAAACAGAGATCAAGAAACCAACGGAGCAGGATGTTTTGGGTGACGGAGAGAGTAAAGCGAGGGCGCATGAGCAAGCGGAGGAGGTTGGAGACGCCGGGGGCGGTTGACGATGGGACTTGCGAGTGTGATGAAGGCAGGATGAGGTGTTGCTGGATCGAGGTTCGCAGGGGTGGGCAAGCCCCAAAGGCCTGGCTGTCTCATACCGCACGGTACGGCCGCGCCAGGGGTAACTGACCCGCCAACTTGACCAATCTGGCCAATCAGAGGACACAGTCTGTGGATAAAATGCTGAATCATCCACTTATGCATGATCGTTACATCAGCCAGGTTCTAGGATTACTAGTGTGTAACTTTGCACAGCCCGCCCATCCATCCAGCACACGCGTTCAGCCAAGAGTGTCAGCCATATAAAAGTCTCACTCTGTCCGCCCCCTTACAGAACCTGTGCCCGCGGGGGTCCTGGATCATGATGGGAGCGAAAACTCTACCGGTTACTCTGTGCGCGCAGGTTAGAGTCCTGTTTCCTGACTGTGTAGGCTAGAATATGTGATAAGACAGGTGCCAATCCTTGCCGCCTGCTGCGGGCGATATGATTTCATACCGATGCCCACGAACAGGCGACACGTAAACCTGAATCCTTCAGACGGAAAAGGTTTTTCACCGTCAAAGACTGTTTCTCCGTGACGTCCCGTTGATCTCCTCGGTGCGTTCGCGACGGCCTTTCCATCGTGGGGATTGGGATCACATGCTCTTCAAACATCACTTCCAGGAAGTCCATCGTCGTATAATTTGCAAAAAAAATTCCTTGAGAACCCTCTGTTTTATCCACGAACGCTCTTGGCGGGGTGCGCTTGAGCGAGAGAGAAGTTTTTTGCTCCATCGGTGCCCGAATCTGCCTCAAATGTATAGTACCTACACACGTACACTCTCCGTACGGAGTTCACGGCCAAATCCACCCGTAAATATCGCAAATTCGGCGTCAAACCGGGGTGGCAGGAATGCCGACACTCGGCGGTCGGTCCACCAAATGTGGTCAAATCTCCATTCTAACAAATCCACACCCCAAGCATAGTTATTTACTTTGTGTCCTTGGTATTCGGGATTGCTTACTCCATACGTACGTAGAACTGCTTTCATCATCTGGTCTTGAGAACCAGCGATAAGTTAGGCTGAACGGCGGGCCGGTCCCTCCGGTATCTGAAACTATATACATAACCATGGCAGCTGTACGGAGTACTGCTCCGGTCAAAGGGATGGAGCATCCCGCCATGTCGACATGCCCCTCCGATATGCGTCTGGCGGTTGAAGAGGCAAGCCACAGGCGTGGGGGGATCGTGAGGCTTGTCAGGCGCTTAAGCTTATCGGGCTATCGGCACGTGACCTTCGAGTTGCAAAACTTTTTTGTTGAGCGCAAAACTCCTAGCAAAAGCGAGGCCGAAAGACAACGAAGCACTCCTTTGGATGCCACAAAGATGCCCGTTACAATGGAGACATCCAAAGAACATTCCAAAAAGAGAAAGAGAAAGCACGGGGGCAGCGGAAACGCCGCCCTGACAAGTGCCAATGCCGCAAAATCGCTCGTGAAAACCACACTATCCTCGAAGGGAGAAGCTTCCGCCGAAAAACAGGAGATGAAAAAGCGCAAGACGGAGCATCCATCTCTCATGGAGGACAGAGTATCAGAGAATGTTGTCGATGAACCTGAAGAAGTCGTCGAGGAGGACAGCGAGGCGTCCCAACCTCCTGTCGAACAAGATGATGAGCAAAAATCGGAATCTGAACAACAACCGGAATTACCATCTTTGAATGCTCTTTCTTTGCCTCAGACCGAAAATGAACCTCAGAAATTTACCGAGCTTAACCTTTCGGAGAAAACGCTGAAAGCGATACAGGAAATGGGTTTCGAGACAATGACCGAAATTCAGCGGAGGGGAATACCGCCTTTGATGGCCGGCAGGGACGTTTTAGGAGCAGCAAAGACAGGCTCGGGGAAGACACTGTCATTTTTGATTCCCGCTGTGGAAATGCTGAGTGCTTTGCGCTTTAAACCGAGGAATGGTAGGATACCAAGATTCGTCTGATGAATTGCTTCATTGAGGAATTCGGCTAATTCTCGTGGCTATAGGAACTGGCGTTATTGTGGTGTCCCCAACCCGTGAACTAGCACTACAAATTTTTGGTGTTGCACGGGAACTCATGGCACACCATTCGCAAACATATGGCATTGTTATCGGTGGTGCTAATCGAAGAGCAGAAGCAGAAAAGCTAACAAAGGGAGTAAATCTGCTCATTGCCACACCCGGACGCCTGCTCGATCACTTGCAGAACACCGACGGATTTGTGTTCAAAAATCTAAAGGCCCTAGTCATCGACGAGGCAGATCGGATCCTGGAGGTCGGGTTCGAGGATGAAATGAGACAAATTGTAAAGATCCTTCCTTCTGAGGACAGACAGACGATGCTCTTCTCCGCGACCCAAACGACAAAGGTTGAGGATCTTGCGCGTATTTCCTTGCGACCTGGTCCGCTATACATCAACGTCGATCACCGCAAAGAGCACAGCACTGTTGAGGGCCTAGAGCAGGGTTATGTCATCTGCGATTCTGATAAACGCTTCCTCCTCCTTTTCTCCTTCCTCAAAAGAAACCTCAAGAAGAAGATCATTGTCTTCTTCTCCAGTTGCAACTGCGTCAAATACCACGCTGAACTCCTAAATTACATCGACCTCCCTGTTCTTGATCTTCATGGAAAGCAAAAACAGCAGAAGCGAACAAACACATTTTTCGAGTTCTGTAACGCGAAGCAAGGAACTTTGATTTGTACTGATGTTGCCGCCAGAGGCTTAGATGTAAGTCTCACTCATCTCAATCAAGGGGTAGAGCGCTGTGCTAACCTGCGAGCTAGATTCCGGCCGTTGATTGGATCATCCAGTTCGATCCGCCGGATGATCCCAGAGACTACATCCACCGTGTGGGCCGCACAGCGCGTGGCGCTAATGGGAAGGGACGCAGCTTGATGTTCTTACAGCCTTCGGAGGTCGGCTTCCTCAAGCACCTCAAAGACGCCCGTGTTCCAGTTGTGGAGTTCGAATTCCCAGCCAAAAAGATTGTCAACGTACAATCTCAACTTGAGAAGCTGATCGGACAGAATTACTACCTAAACAAGGTATCAACCCATGAGATCTACACGTAATATATGCCGCGTAATGCTGACACGAGATAATTTGCATAGTCCGCTAAAGACGGCTACAGATCCTACCTTCAAGCTTACGCATCACACTCACTGCGTTCCGTCTTCGATGTGAACAAACTCGATCTCGTCAAAGTCGCTAAGGGCTTTGGGTTTCCTACGCCACCAAGAGTAGATATTTCTCTCGGTGCAAGTATGAGTCGTGATAAGAAACAGACCAGTCGCCGGAATTATGGAAGTCAGCCAAGGCATGCACCAAAGTTCAAGAGAAAGACCAGTGATGATTAGACATAGCTATAATGTACACTATAGTTGATACCCAATTACTGCGAACATTATCACGTCTTAAGAATAACATTCAATCCAGAAAACAAGATGGGATAGCAAACTGGACCATCGGGCAAATGCTAGAACGCTGTTCAATAAAGTGATACTAGTGCGGGTGGCCATGTACCAGGTTAAATCTTCCAAGTTCCGTCGCTTTATAGCACGGCACTTCGCTCATCCCAGAAGATGAGGTCCATCATTGTTTACCACTGTGAATCTATCTATATCGCTTGTGATGCCCTTGCTGTGCCAAGCAAAGTAGTTGGCGGACTTGTCCTGATAATACCCATCACACAGTCTTAAGGGTTTGTTATTGTAAAGACATCATCACCAGAAAATTTGAGGTCTTAATCTTCCACATGAAGTCCCTGCTTAAAAGTAGCCAGCAATGTAACCCATTGGGAACATTTTCTCAAAAACACTTGTTTTGGTCATGAGATATGGTTATTGTTTTGGGGCTGATGCTGTTGTTGGGGCTCAGCTGGTAAATTTATAGTGGTTTGTGGCCCTGTGGTACTCCGTATAATATGGGTATTAAATCAAACATCAAGCATGATAATAAGACCTTTCCTGCACAACTTTTAAGTCAAATATTATATCATTGCAAATAGTCGCGACTCGCCAAAATGTGAATATGCGACACTTTGGCTGGGATTTGACATAATTCCCACATTCGCCAAAGAATGAATACGCGGAAAATCAGGGATACTATATACTAACATCCCAGTATGTCTGTCTGGAGTATTATATTCACAAATAACATCTTGTTGTATGTTAGCCTATGCTAAAGGGCACACAATAGCTGTTTAAACATACATATATTCTAATTTGGTGGGCGCCCGCCGCCGCCATTCTCATAAAGAGGGATGATCCATCCAACTTTGGCAGGATAATTATCACTGCAGCGAAGATGGACCTGAGAATGAAGTTGCAAGGGTCTTTGCTTTAATAAAAAGGTGCTATAATGTGGTTGATATACTCAGAGCATCTCTTCGTAGAAGCGTTTTACCCAGAGCGATAGAATTTGAGCCAGTGTTGCCAACCAGGTCAAGATGGCTCTCTTCCATTGAAATCAGGACTGCAGGCGCTGTACATACTATATAGGTTCTTTTGCATTGAAAGCATTGTTTTGTAGTCGTGCCATTATCTTTCACATCTGTCATATCCAGATTATTCTGGAACCGAACCTAGACATCAACTTATCAAGAAGGTTGGTTAATGACTTATTTTGCTGCATGACTTTATCCACTATGTATAGTATGTCTCTGACTCCCTGTGGGCCTAATCAATTTTTTGCCATCTCAGCAAATAATGTGGTTTGTCTGTCCCTCTATATTGCGTTCACGTCACCTTCACATCAACCTTGGTGTTGCGTTAACTGAGTGTCTGACATCAAGCTGAAACTCTGAATTGGTAGGATCATATAAGAGTTATCTGTATAAATTGATGTTTGTTCCAGAGTCCAGACTGGAATCGTCGCGGATTGTAGGGCCAGAAATTAAAATTCTCGATCTTCAGTCGCAAAGATGCTTATGAAATGCTGGCGAGCAGCTCACGGAGAATTGAGAATAGGATATCGAATGTCAAGTCCCATAGTGAGCAAGTGCATGCGCACGCAGGCTGTTCAGTCCGACTTGAAAACTAGGTCAATCACATTGTATGGTAATTATCTGGGATGCCCAAGATAACAGTTGAAGAAAAATCCATTTGCATACCAAGAGGCTGTATTAAGTGATTGCTAAAGCATAAGCAGGGAGCAAATGGCACCAGCTCATTTGGCTGGGATGCTTGTGTTTGGCTGATAGTGATAATACACTAGAAAGAACTGGAGAAGCCCCCAGGAATTAGTTACAATGTTAACTAACTCGAACGTGCTTAAGCATAAACAAAGGACAAGGAGCATAGGCTGGGTTGCTTTGCCATGGTTTTTTGTCACCTTGGACTTATTGAGAATCAAAGGAGCCAGCAAAGAGAAACTTTCGATTCTTATATATCACAAGCAACCATACTAAAGGGGCGCCTAAAACTAAGCGAACGGTGAATGCCATATGCTGATTGATTTGATTGCGAGAGACTGTATATACCCATGATGGTTAGTCAGGCGGTCGAAGCTTCACACGCATGAAGGAGGATGGCATGGCCAACAAGGAACAAGAGGAACTTGTTTATGAAAAGGGATTGCTTCATACAAATCTCCTCAGTGCTTTTGCCAATAACCATCAAATTCTTGCATGTATATGGAGAATGCCTAGGCTCGCTGAATTTTCTCTCCTTCAATAGCCTCTTGGGATTGAAAGCATGGTCCTGGTGTATTTAAGGATATTGCACTGTCATACTCCGTAGATACTTCTCAAAATAGAGCCAACCCAATGGGGACCTTTCAAGCACCGGATAAAGCCCTTCCAAGGCACAAACGACAGCCATAGTCGTGTTTGACAATACGGGTCGGCAGCTGATACAACTGACATTATAGCTCCAAGAGCTTGGTCGATAGCCATATTATCGTCGTCTTTGCCGTCCCTGAACGATAACAGGACCGAGACAGCACCGTTCCACGAGGATCAATGTGGATCGGAAACCGGAAAGGGACCCGCGATGCATTGGATATACGGAACATTTCGGTTTGTTCCCGTTCGTTCCCTCTCATCCATATTCAGCAAAAAGGGACAATCCGCTTAAATCGTCATACAATAAAAAAAAAAAAAAAAAAAAAAAAAAAAAAGAAAAAGGTTTCGAAGCTTCTTTCGATGAAATGGTCATTGGCTCACGTTTAAAAACGAGTGGGGTACGCATAAGATAGGTATGTACGGAGTACTCCGTAGGTCCATAACATCTGGATCCTAATGTCCTGTACACAAAATCCCCCGTTACACGACGTGCAAAGAATCGGGAACGGAGCTTCTAAGCTCACCAACCCTCGATCCCTACCAACGTAAAACAACCCAACATATAATCGTCCACATATCCAGTACCCGTCGAGGGACGGGTACGGGCAGAAGCGCAGATGCTGTTCATATAGACGGGTTATGTAGTGAAACGAAAAAGCAGGCAGGCAAAGGGTGAGAGCTGAAAAGCGAGCATTGTAACTACCTAGGAGATACGGGATAGTTGTTTGAAATATACTTAAACAACCACAATCTCTGCACTCGATATCTGCGAGCGCTTTGAAAACGTGGGGCAAAAAGGGTGAAAGCCAACCCGGGTTCATCAACACCAAAGAGACCTGATCCAGGGGCACGGAATAAATATAAACCCACCCTTGCCGGAATAGACTTGGCGGGAACAGGGCAAGGGCGGGGGAATCTCAGAGTAGGAAATGAGAAAGCAGGGGTACGTAGCAGGGACAGGTCCTTGTCTTCAGAACCGCTTACAGTAACATTCGAATACGCCCTGGCTGCCCACAGAGTTGACTTACGTTTACAGTACCAAATCCTCGCTTTGGCTCATGGCAGAGCGATTCTGGGCTTGACAGGTCGCACCACAGGGAACACAAAAATTTTGAAATTGGCGTTACTGATCCGGTCGAACAATCATCAGACTGCTGCAACGGAGGCAGAAGACGAGGATGAAGAATGCCAACCACAGGTGCCCACCATTTCCATCCTCTTGAGAATTGGGCATTCGATCTCGGGTCCAATTAGACTTAACCATTGTATCGGAATTCCGGCTTTGAATGAAAGCGAATAATTTGTCGACGGATTCCAAATCTGCATCAAAAAATGAGTTCTTTGAACCCGACTCTATGTTGGAGTAGCCGATTGCCAATCATTTCGTCAACCCGAAATTTTGCAGGGTGGGCATGAAAGGGTGAAGAAATTCCGAAGAGCCAGTGAGTTACCCTGGAAAAGGTTCCATACGAGGAAATATGCGAATACCAGGGCCAATTAACGCGCGGACACCGTGTTAGTTCCGATGCATGGTCCGGATGGCAAGGTAAGATCGCTGGCCTTGATGCATGATGACTGAACGGGGAGAGAAATGTGACCATCGTGCCGAACTAGCCACGGCAGCACAAGTCTGAGCCCCTACACCATGCAGTAGCCATCTGCAAGTGTTGCGTTGCAAATTTTCCCGGTTTGCGTGCGGAAAAAAAAGGGTCCTTGTTAGACGGAAAATAGGCAGGCGGCATGAATGGCGGCGATCCTGACAAAATACCCCTAGAAATCATTTCAAGGGGGATGAATATCAAGCCTATTTACGGAGTCCTTCGTAGATTCGACTTTTTAAGGGTGGTCCAAAGAAAAGCAAAGGGAGATACTTGCGTTATTTCATAGGTCTCTCCCGAAACGTCCAAGACACATCTTGCCGTGGATTGGAGGATTCCTTGTTGGGTTGGCATTGGCCACTTGGGACGAAACTGGCGTTCCTATTTGAAGGGAATCGGCGGAATGGGCAGGAGATTTATCAGAGCCGTTCTCAAAGGTGGCAGTACAACATTGCCGGAAATTTGGATGTAGCACAGGTGTGATTCCCACAACGGCTCAGTTGGACGTCAACTAGAGGTGTCCTATCTGGTCGTGGATATGATTCATCAGTCTTTAATGGTCTTCAGGAAATCTAAGCGCAATGGATCCTGTTTCCTCCAACGAAGGAAGTCAAATAAGCAAAAATAGGTATAAGTGCTCGCTATTCTCTCAGCCTATCCAGAGTACCCGAGAGTATGGTTATGGACCGATGTGGCGCCCTTGCATTTGGCCTTGAAGCTTCGCCGTCTGATTGAGAGATTTTGCTATGGCAGCGATCTTGTCCGAGCTTCCCATCTTGGCTGTAAGGTTAAAGGGCCAGGCGGAGACTAATTGCATATAGTACTCTGATGCATTAAGTACCCGGTACAGACGTATCTCCCTGTGAGCTATGGTAGGGTAGTAGAGGAGGAACTTGCGTCCAATTTTCTTTCAGTGTGTACCTAAAGGCAATGAACGTTGTATGCCGAGGAAAGGTGCAGAACTGGTTGCCATCAAAGCGAACCTTTTTTTTTTTTCCCTCTCGAAGCAGCGGCTTATAAAGTATGGATATGGCCGCATAAATCCATTGTAATTATTATTATTCTTCAAAGTTCGAGTCGTTGCGAATCTCCATTGCACGCTTGATCATTCATCAGCATACTCAGGCTCCCTTTAGTTAATGCATTGGCGCCATTTAACCATCCGTTGAAACAATAACCATTAAAACATGGCCGTGCCGGTAGGACCACGAGTATCCAAGGAGGACTTCATGCACGCACTGGGTCTTGACACAAATAATCCCCAGCATGATCCATTGTATCGTGCAATGAGGGTGAGTATTCTATTCACCATGCTGACCCTTTATAGATAGTTTAACCGATAAATCCTTAGGATGAGGCCATTGCTGTATACAACCAGATGAACCAAGACAATTCAAATCTGCTGGATAATTTGAGGAGCAACCCAGAGATAAGGCCACCCTTTTTCTGGCATCATATTCGACCGGATCGACAGCAATGGGGCATTATGGAGATATGGAGGCGCGCTGGGCCTGTTACTCGCCCCCTATTTGATCGCGGAGACACTCGAGGTGAATACGGTCCCAACTGGGTAACGGGGTGGTTGTTGTACAGCGTTTTCCGCTCACGGGATATTCGCAATAATCGCAATCGAAGGAAAAACGATGACAATGGCTCCGGAAATAATTCAGGTGATACACCCCATATTGCACTGTAGATCATCACTTCTGAATTGACATCTGACTCTGCCCATCAGGTCAAGGCCAATCGAAAGGGACAAAAGGTGCCACCACAGGAACCGAAACCCAAACAAGGACCACGGGATATTACGATCCTGTACGGAATGGCGCCCGCTGAGCGTTTGCCTATGCATATCTTGAGCATGTGGCCCTGGCCATGAGATATGGTGATTTTGCTGAAAAAGACGTCACCACGAACGGCGCAGCCATGGTGTTTGAATTTCACGGATATTGACCTTGTTTTTGAGCTTCCAGGGGGGCTTGCTTTTTCTTTGTCCTTTCATTAAATCCGCTTCGATATGCCACAATTTCGCCGACCTCAGATTTATTTTGCTTGCTTTGTTTTTTATGTTCAGACTAAAAAAAAAAGAACAGAAAGTACGGAGTATCCCGTTTGATATCCGATCTTACACAAGTTTTAAGTCCCAATAGCTGTTTTTGAATAGGTATCAATCAACTCCCTGGAGCTTGATACGACACCCTGCTGCATGGGAAAATGCGTGCCTTTCAACCGGTGAGCACTCTCGTCTTGTAACCGTCCAGAGCACAAATGCTTTCCCGAAAAATCACATCGGATCAACATTGTAAAAACCTCACGGTATGGCCGTTCGCCTCCAGATAATGTCCGCTCCAGTCAAGAATCACCACTTCATCGGCAAAACTCAGCTTCCTGTGCGATTCTTCAGAAAGCCAATGAGGCATCAGCCACAAACAGAGTCTGAGCTGCTTTTTCTATGGAGGCGAATGGCGAGCTTCTCGTAGCGTTAACGGCCAGTGCGCCAAGGTGTTGAGGCATCCATCAAACCGCGTCAAAGTCAAATTTTTACGGAGATATCAACCTTTCAAATCTGGTTCTTGTTATGCCTTGTGAGAAATAGAACACACGTTGCGTGGAAGCATGCGCCCAGGACATGTAGTGGTGAATGTTGGTTTGATTCCCTGGTAGATCATGTGGGACCGGGCTGATGTTTGCACTGTTTGTCAAGTAACCAAACTCCCTCTGCGGCTACACTGCGGACCGACTGCAATAAAAGGCTTTGAAGGACCGGAAATTACTCCGTACTCATGGAGATTAGATGACGATATTTCGAATTCTTTATGGCCATGTTGGCAAACACTTCGAGATCGCAAGCAGGATATAGGGTCTGTTGGTTGCTATCTAACGAACCACATAACAATGCATTTGACAAATACCAAAACTCCGCTGGCAATCGCATATAAAGCAAAGTTTCCAACCCATACAATGAACAGCGTTGAAAGCACGTAATTCAACACTGTAAGCTGCCTATTCAAGGCAGACTGTCTTCATATCATAGATCATAAGCCACTCATGAACCAAAACTCGAAAAGAGAATTAAGAAGAATGTAAAGAAATAATATAAACGCAATCCAATGCAGTGTCCGTGAAATTTAGCTCGGCGAGGAGACAGTGATACTAAATTCTATGAAAGCGTTAAGTCATCAATCGTTCAGTCATGATCGTGGCCAGGGGTTATTCGAGACAGTCCTGTAAAACCCGTCTAGTAATAATAAGATCAGGTGGAAAAAAAGAAAGAGTCGTGATCATCATCTCATAAATCAGAAACATCGTCTCGTTTTTCGTGTCGTTAGCCGCTCCTCTCGTCGGTTTTTACCTCCCTAGTCATCGATATCGCGTCGGGATAGGGAAAAGGCAAGAGTCAGAGTGTACGAGGATCGAAGTGAAGAGCTCTGGTTGGTACAGAACCCTGGCGATCTGCGCCAATCCGATCCGCTTCACAGCTTTGTGGACTACTTCCCCCACTTCGGCTTCCATCACTCATTGACGAGTCTGCGTCGCTATAGCGAGTCCTTCGACCTGTGCCAATGGCAACTGGAATCCCCTGTACGATCCCTCCGTGATCGTGACCGGCAGGGTACATTCCATCGTTGACGGAGAAGTTGCGACAGATAAGGTATGCCCTCATAGCCGCCTTCTCACGCGCAAGCATCTCTGTCTCGCAGAAAGTGTCGGTCTGGTATTCGCGATTATTGACGCGAACTACACACGTGAACCCTGAGGTTCCACCATAGGGTTCGTAAAGGGGTTCCGGCCAGCGGCGACGACGGCAGAGGCCTGTGGTTGGAAAAAGCAAACAACGTTATTGGCTGCGCAACGTCATAGATCCACGGGTAGGGCGGCCCCAGAAAGAACCATAAATATCCAGGATAAAGCGAGTTTGGTGCATTATTATCAAAGCTCAAGGATCAACCCTCGAGGCATAACACATTGGCAAGCTTGTTTGAAATTGATAGCACATAAACTAACTGGGGAACCGCGTTCAGCGTTGTGAGATCACAAAATTGCATGGGATGGGTAACAATTCGCCAAATTGGGTCTTGGTACAATCTCAAATTGAGCCGGATGAATTGATAGCCAACAGAAGAATGGCAAGCAGGCAAACTACTCCAAAGGGGCAAGGACTCGAAGATAGGGCAACATACTCGCCAGGTAGAGGATGTAGTACATCTTGGTCGAGAGAATCTTCTGATCCGTCGGATCTTTTAGGCACACTGTCTTGTCGTTGATACCCGATGATCGTCTTCAGCCTCGTCTTGCAAAGGTACCCAACGGGAAGTAAAGAGGCTTAATGTGAGGGTGACTAAAACGACTGAAAGTTGTTCTTGATGCCCAACGCCACAACCATTCAAAAGCTTCAATGAAGAGTTCAAGAACAATGAGGCAGTTCGTGAATTGTTAAATGAACCGAAAGGCTCTATGAAGCAATGGGAGATTAACAGATAAGGTTATGATTTGGCGTCCATAGTCATCTGGAAAGAAATATGCGTGTGTTCCATGGGAGAAAAGACAGCGAAGCAAGCGCGTTTTAATGCATGCTTCAGGGTGTTGACTGTGGTGGGGGATGAAAATGATAAAATAAGGAACCCTGGCCCAGTGAGGACAACCTTCCATCGATGGTTTCGATATATGGTTTGGCTTCCAAACGCCAACTGTAAGTACGGAAGAAAAATGGAAAAATTGCCATTTTCTGTTCGGTTGTGTGGAAATAGCTCTTGTTTTGCCTTTGATGTGTTGGCATGGTTTCCCGCCAGTAAAGAAGCTGGAATACTGAGGACCTCCTTGCTAGCCTATCAAGAGTCAATATGCTGCCGATCGAGAAATCAGGAGATTGGCAGGCTTTGCGTCGTAGACTGACGCTTGAACAAGTGGCCATCGGCCCACCTGTTTGCTGCAGAAAACATGACAATTTCCGCAACTAAAACTGCGACAACCTGGCTTACCGTCGGTAAACGCCTGCGCGTAAAATAACACCAACTAAGAGCAGCGAGCGGCATGATAAACGGAGAGACCCCGCAAAATATGTATGCGGTGGACATTTGACGCCAAACTGAGAGGGAGGAGCGGACAGTACAACTCTAACCTCCGCTAATGCATTATATTGGCGTTGTGCGTGTTAAAAGTTGCGCAAACCGCGCTCGGCCTCATGAAACCCTGGACCGTTTCTGGCAGCGGGCAAACGCCTCATACGGGGAATAAAGTCTGTGATCCCTCCACTTGCTTCCTAGATTATTATTTGACTTTGTCGCCGCGAGGAAGCCCCCTTGCAAGGAATCGAGGATGATGGATCGGAGGAGCATCCGGAGAAAATACTGTCGTCCTCACACCGAAGAGAATGTCAATGCCTCGTGGATTTCAACCTGTCACCGCTTCACCCGCAAAGGACCCAAAAGACACGGCCGGAAGCGTCAATTGAAGTTCAGGCGGCTCGGTTGGACTTTCCCGGCACCCGTCTGGGGAAAAACCTAGTTATGTAATCAATTACTCGGTATTTTGTCGGCCCGATACAACTAACCTTATCCATCCAGGATGCAAACCTTGCCTTCTACCCCCATGCTGCGTAACCCACCGCGAGCAGTACTGACTCTTTCGCTTCGACTATTACAATCATCCATCCACCGGAAAGAAACAAGTCCCAGAACCTCAATTGTTGGTCTTCCTGGGTCGTCTTGTGCGGCCATATTTAGGCGTTAGGAGCGTGATCAATTCATTGCATCGTTCATTTCTTTTTGCTTTTGTTGACTCATTGAGCGGTTAAGCAGCACTTGCTCAGCCGTTTTCCAAACAGCAGACTACCGTTGTCTGTTCCATGAAGTTGAAGTGACAGCGATATGTCCTGGGCCGAATTACGACAATGCATTCCTTTCTGCACGTCACCCTCGATATTCAGCGCGGCAAGATGCATGAGTTAGCCGGGTGACATGGAGATCATACTGCCTTGATACTGCAACTGTCTCGCTCACCGGACAGTTCTGAGTACTGCAATTCACTCAACGAACCGTATTTGAGCCGCGATGGCCTGCCGGCCTTGGCTATAATGCGACCCGTAGGTACATGGAATACTTCGGGGTGTTTACATTTCTTTTTGCCCATGTCAAACCAACCCCCTTTATCTACCCGGACAGCGGACCAACCATACCCATTATAAGAAGCCGCAGGAAGAGATTGCGTTACCAAACTTTTGCAGGACCCCGGACCCGTAAAACTCGCGGAGGTGCGTCAGAAGGCAACATCAGAGAAGCAGCTGGTATTTGCCGCAAACAACCAGCCGCCCACCTTGGAATACGACAAATAACAGCGTAGCGCAAGAAGAATGGAATGTGGCGGCAAGCATACTTCATTATCGCCAAGCGCTATTCCGGTGACTCAAGCGGATGGTAGGTCCTGGTGCTCCCAGAGCTAACCGTTTCGTTCTGAATATCGAAGTCGGATATGTTTCTTCATTATACAAATTGAACCTACTTCATAACCTGGAAAGCTCTTATTTACCGGAGAGACAGGGTTCATGAAGCTGCATCTGTGCTTGGAATACTGCTTTATGGGGCCGTCCGCACTGGAAGTGGCGAACCTACAATGAAACCGCGAAGAGGATAAGCGATCAATTCTTTAATTACACCGGGCGGGATATTTACCGTAACTACGAGAAGCAAGGTTTGCTAAAGTTCTAATCAACAAGTCTATACTCTGTAGAGCGATTGATTCCTATTTTCACTCTGGACGAAGTAGAAATTAAACTTCCTTGATACGAAATAGCCAAATGGTCATCCCGAAGGCTTGTCACGTACGAACCAACCCGTCGGTTCACTGATCTTGTGTGAATTTCCTAGATGGCTTCCTCAGGAATAGCCTTTATGTGGGTGGGATACCCACACAATGTCAAGACAATCCGGAAACGCGTGAGTGACAGGTCTTCCAGTCAACATTGCTAGGATCATCAGCCTGAGTCGACCACAAATCCGGGGAAATTTCAACACCAAGCATGCGCTGTGACAGGCATCAGATGCAATGATGAGTTGGCAGTGGGGAAGCATATGCGACGCACCCCCAAAACGGTTAATACGGTCGCTCGTTTTTGCTCATGAGACGAGCGAATTGCGACCACAATTGAAGAAACAGAGCAAATCGAAAACATCAAACAAAATACCTCACTTCCGTCCTCCGAGACCGAACCATCTTCACTATGGACACGATGATAGAAATGATCTTCGAGGATCATGTTGCTTGGTTCAATGCACGGCTCTGTGTTCCTACCCCTGAAACATATGTAGATACCAAGGCAGGGAGTACGATAACCTTACAAAGTCGCCATTTCCGGTTCTCAAGGATCACGACACCGAAACTAGTCGTATTGGCTATGATATCGCTGTCAGTATCTGCAAACAAAACAGCCCCCAACCACTCTAGCTACGGCTTTTAGCTCGGAGAGAGAGAGAAAAAAAAAAAAAAATTTTGGCCTTAATGCGCCAAGAGCCCCCGGGGCTATCCGCCAAAGATCCGAAGCAAATATCTCCATGAAAGAGCCGAATATTGCCTCTTGGAGCCTTAAATTTCCAAAGAGCCACCTAGCGGATGAGCTTAATATCCTCCTGAGGTACTCCGTACTCGCCTGCTTTTTGGAATATTAAGAACGTCAAAGCTCTGGGACCTGGTTAGACTCATACCAGGATTTCATACCTTCCGCGGCTGAATGAGGGACAACAAAGAGGGGGTGGATAACTTTGAGCCGATCTCTTTCGTGAAACACGATTCCGTCAGGCTCAATGTCCGTTTTTGATGTTAAGGGGATATGTGACCATGAAAATGCCGAAGAAAACGGCCCTCGTGCTATGGACCCAGTGGCAGTTTCAAAGTGGTAGCTCTGCGTGTTACTTAGCCCTGCGAGGGTGTAACACGTATGATAAGAATCGGCATGTCTGGAGCGGAGATGTTAACGATAGTCATTGTCAAAAGCCGGAGATGACATGCCAGCCGTGCACTACTTACTTGCCAGGTTTATCCCGCAATCCTCCGTGAGGGGACTGGCAGCAGCCTAGAATATATCTGGTCAGACCCTCACGGCTGTACAAGCTTCCGAATCGGGGCTGTGGGGCATCGGCATTTGATTGCGTGCCGTTCAGGGCAGCCTGAATCAGTGGCCAGCAGCCTCCGACCCAATGGCTGTAACAGCCGTCGACCAATTTATTTGTACGTCCCGCGAATCCGCCCTCGGGAGCATATTGCCTTGCAGACAGCCACGAGATTAACAAAGGGACATCCAGATGCCTAAATGTGATCAGTATTTTGGTTTCCGTTTTGAAATATACCTTCAACACTAACTTATTGATCATTTCGCCGGGACTACCCAGGATGCATAGGCATGCTAGTGCGCAGAATGCGTAGGCACCGTGTGCCTCCGTCCCAGGGCTGCCGGAAATCCCTCCTTCAAATGTTTGACCTGGAGATAGTGTTAGTTCCCGGAGTAAGGCGAAATGATGCTGCGTTCTCACATCTGGACAGATATTCCGGCAATCCACTCATAAACGTGTCATATCCGAATTGCCTTGCGGGCGCATCAGGTGGTAACTCAGTTGGCAAATCCAGCAGTGCTATCATTACCATCACACAATATGCACCTCTATCTGCTAATCAGTATGGAGAGAGAAAAAGGAGATGCCAGGACGGGTAAGATTGGCCTTACCGCACATCCTCTTCGCCCCCAAGACACACTTGAAATCCGCCGTCTGGTTGCTTCAATTGCCCTAGCCATTTCCAGCTTTTGGCATATCTCTATGAGCCTCGGAAATGCAGGAAAGGTGAGAATAATCTTGCATGAAGTACAACTTACAAAGCCACCCGGTCCACTAGGCTGAAGGCTTCAGCTCCCCCGACCATAGCCAGACTGAGAATAACGGCATATGATGAGGCACAGTGTGACATTTGGCCATGCCCTCCGCCGAATCCACCAGTAGGATTTTGCATGGGCGCGGCAGTTGATATCACCCTAATACGTAGTACAACGTTTCGTTCTTAGCAAAATAGGACCTGAAAACGAAAAAAAGAAAAAAAAGAATTATCGAGGGGAAAATGCATGATGCATGATAGAAGCCCAGTATGCTTTCTCCCTTCCACGGCGTCAAAGGGAGAATCATGTATTTTCATATCTTCGATGCACGACGTACCGTTTCCTCAGTCTCGTAACATCTTCTCCAAGGAGATACAATCCGGTCAGCGCCCAGTACATCATCCACGGACGGCTTGCATCAAGTCCAACAAATTTGCCCGGATACTCCTCGAGAGCATCGTAAAGATAGGCGACATGAACATCTCGATAGAGACTAGGGATTCCATGTTCGTTGAAAGGACCATAGAGCGACTGGGCGACGCCTTTTAGAAATGGCAAACACTGCTTGACGGTATCTTCCTGTACCCGCGACGTTTCCGTATCCAGGTCGTCACGGATGGCGGGGAACTGCGTAAACAGAGCCGGGACTCCTCGTCGCGGGGGTTGTTCTCCAGTGGCCATCTTATCAGGTCGAGGAGACGATGGGTCAATATGCAGGACAGATGGTGCGGAAGCGTCTCCGTTCAGCTGGCTTGGCTTTGGAGATGTTTTAGATCGGGTTTGGTGTTTAATGGCTGGAAAGCGAACTTGTCGACGAGATGGCCGTGTCTTCTTTACATGTCCATGCATGGAAGAAACAAATATTTAAGATGTAAATGCAAGGACACTCATCCAGTTATTCAAAAAGGACAAATGAATATGAAAAGATCACTCTGTACTCTGTACTGCTATTGTTCTTGAAAGTTTCTTTGTTCTGCCACGAGCTATACTTTTGAAGCTATTGTTTTGAAGATTGATGGTATGTAGTTATCGTTTCTCACATGGCTGCTGAACCTTAGTTTTGGTCGGTCTTGAGAGTTTCTTGCGCAGATTTTCCGAAACCAGACAGCTTCAACCCCACAATAACACCTGTCCCTCGATGAATATGCATTTACCTTAAAGAATCTCTTCTGTCTTTCTCACTTAGGGATTAATTAAGCTTATAGCGCCCAATGCCCACCAATTGAAGTGCTCATCAATAAAGTGATCGCAAACTACGGAGTACACGCTCTCAGTTGCAAACAGGCGCACCACTAACTAGCGTGCAAACCATGCCAACTCTTCACAGGGCCAAGCTTGTGTAATTTGGTCATCTCTATTTCGCTCACTAGGAAGAATCCCACTGAGAATGAGCTGCCCCATCCAGGATAGCAGAATGCTTAACACGCTGACAACTGACACGTAGTCAGTCTCGCATTAATTGATGGATTGCCGGAAAATAGGGAATTAATGAAAAACCGGACGCGGATGGGCAGTCAACTGGCATGTAACCATAGAGGCTGTCCGGAGTCCGTTACCTTGTTACTCCAGCCCTTCCCATCTACGTTTTGTGTGGCAAGCATCTCCGCATCGGGGAACAGCAGTCAAGAGTCAATTTGCTCAACCCACTCAGCCAAGACATATCATTTTGAGGAGCAGAAGAAGGTTCGACAAACTTGAACGCAGGATCCCGTTGCTTGACACAATCGTAGATGGCACGAACAGCTTGTGTCTCGAGATACTCTTCTGCGAGGACGCTAGCGTCTCCCAACGTTCGCAACACGCCCGTATAAGCCTGTTATTTCCAGATCATCAGGCTGTACTTGGTTTAACATATATTGGACACTCAGCTTCTCCAGGTTATATGACTATGCGAGCCATTCACATACTGAAAGAGGCTTGAGAGCAGCAAGAGCTTCGTACTCGGGGTTGAGATCTATAAAACGATAGATCGACCGTTGCGCCATGGATATCTCCACTGGCCACCAACCTTAAGCCAGATGCTTTAGGCCAGACAATCTGATTTAATATATGATTGTATTCGAAGGTAACAATGTTGTTGGGGACACAGCCAGAATGCCGGCTTAATTTGGTTTTGTTATCGTTGGCATTCAACGTACCAACATTTCTATTTGATTATCCAATCCATAGAAAATGCGGTGTAAGTCTGCACTCCCAGTCTCCCGAACAGGTATATACGGATGGCTAATAGTGCCTAGTCGAATGTGATCTTGCCCGATCTCTCATATATTGCCATATCACTGACTTTGTTCCCTACGGTAGGACATGTCATTCCTCTAGAGAAATTAGAGGGAGTTGGTCCTAACTTCGCATGAGAAATAGCTAGGAAATATTTCCGATCTTTTGATCAAACCCGTTTCCGAATAACGAACAGGAGGCCAGGAGCTTGGATCTGCCCTGTACCTTTGTGCATACTTCTATGGCCAGAAGGATGAACTCGGCGCTGTTTGATCCAGGTCCCGAACGCGTTCTCGATGTTAGAACTGGATGGATATGCAGCTGGGTTTTAGCAACGCGGCCTTTCAACAGGGCAGGGAGAGAAGGAGCACTAACCAGGGAGTTTTATGGCTCAAGGGCTTCGTTGATCGATTTCGATTTCATCAGCTCACTGATGTTATCGACGGCTAATTGGGATAACAATATCTCCCCTTCGATTATACCTATATGTGATACCTTGCGAGTTTTATCAGGGGGCAACTTCATCTTATTGCCCAGGGAGATCAGCATGCTCACGGTAGCTGCTTTCCGTCCGACTTTCTTCGAACAACTTAGAAGACTCCTTCATCTCTGGGGCTCGGGGTATGTCTGGTGAACCGAGTTCCATGGCCGGGGGTCCAACATGCTACGCCGCACTCTCTGACCGGTGGGTGCATCGCGAAATCCTGAGAAGCTTAGCGTCGGCCGCTGCAAAGGAGCAGGTTACACTTGCTGTTTTAGTCCCGAGTTAGGGAAGCCAACTCAAGGATGCTGGTTTTCGTCAGTATCCATGCGCGCAGATTACGAGGCTCCGTTTGCTTGCAGGCGGGGGAGTTTAGCTGGGTGGAGTTGGTTGGGTTTGCAATTTGAATCCAACAAACTGATGCTCTCGAAAAGAATCGGCTCTGGGAGGGGTACTATCTGCAGTCTGCCGCCGACGTAGGAGGCATTTGACTGTTGGCAATCTACCCAAAACGCAAGGAGATGAAAGGGCTTATGGTCTTATAGGAGACAACCACATTAGCTGCGCAAGACGATGAACCGAAATAAGAATACATATACGGAGTATATATAGCAGATATACACCCACAATCCAATTTGCGAATCGTCAACCCGTGGCTGTGTCAGAGTTGGTAAGCGGCTAATGTTCTGGGAACGCACAGAGTTGGGTGTTATGTCAGCCTCGATCAGAGATTGATTGCCGGCTGTAAGAGGCATGTTAGCCTTGGTGATCTTTGGTTGAATCCTTGAATCCCTTGATACTAGAATGGCGATGCCATGGTTTCGGCCTCGGGGTTATGATGAGACAGCGATGCAGGTCGATAGCGCATGAAAAGCCCAATTTTCTGGCTTGTCTCGAAGAAGGCGGTCAATACATGAGTGTCTTGGATATCTGTTGAGACCACTACTCTACTCCGTACGTATGTACGATCGGGTATGACAAGTGTGATGCAGGTGCCATGCTGCGTTTGCTCTCGAAATTTCCAGGAAAAATACGTCGCACAAAAGTGGAGTGAATTGATAATTCCTTCGAGAAAACAATCTTCCATTGTCTGGTTCTGAACATGCTATGATGCCCAATCTTGATGTATTTTGTTGTGGAGAATTGTGATTGTTATGAGATGAATTTTCCACAGAACAAAGGTTGTCAAGGTCCAATGTAAAAATTTTCCCCCCTTCCCGTCGGCCTCTCCGGGAGACTCGACAAGGGCCGGGTACAATGGTTCTTGACTTGGAGTATCAGGTTGTTTCTATCGACTCGGCTTCACCGTATTCACTGCTCCAATCAGGATGCTCGTCATTGACCAAGCTCCGCAGAGGTTAGCGTCGCATATCCACTGGCTTTCAAGAAGCAAGTCTTGATTTGGCAATGGTCAGGAGCCTTGAAACCAGAAGAGGAATACTCTCAGGTAAGCGGTAACCGAAACTATCCAAAACGAGAGTCTTGGTGTCTCCATATTTCCCGTTCGGGGATTGAGGATACGGGGCCTGAAAAGAGGGGTGTGTAGGGATCTTGGCCCAAGGGACGACTTTCATTGTCCAATGGGACGATTCATGAAATGGCGGGGAGACGAAGAAAACTGTACGGAGGGGTTCCAGCCACCGATCTCATTGTCCGAAGTTCCAAAACTCCGACCTAACTCCTTTCGTCAGCCGAAAGGGACAAGGAATGTTAGATTCGGAGCCCGTTTTTGATGATGTACTCCGTAGTCGCTTGTTAGAAAAATACATACATAGCAAGAAGGCAGCCCGATCCATCTTTGTCTTTGATGCAGGTCATGCATAGGGTGTAATGCATGGATAGATATACATATGTAGAGTGCCGTCACCACTCCAAGGCCGCGCGCGATGCCAAGCTGGAAAATCTCTGCGTTCCTCTCTTGACCGCTATGGTAAAACAAAAAACTTCAAGGCAAATATTGGCGGAGGGGTACCATGCGAGTAATCCATCGGGACGAGAGATGGACATGATATCCTGGACCAAGTTTGACGACTTGTGAATCCTTCCGTGGTTCTCCCATTGGACGGGGCTTAACGATGGTCGGAGAATTGCTGCTGTATGGATGGACTTCTTCTGCGTCGAGAGCCGGGACGAGAAGCCTGGAGAATGGGGCTTGTCTCAATAGTGAGCATGGCGGGGTTGGACGTTTGACCATTCCAGAAGAGATCATTCTGACCTCACACCGTAATATGTATGTATGTATGTACAAGGCTGGAGGTGGGTGCGAAGACGGGTAAGCACCAACTTGGCTGGGAGGACTCACGACCTCCCCCTCCCAGATCTGTATCTGTGGTTCGGTTTCAAAAAAGGATCTCGCAGATCATCATCTCCGGAACACCTGCGCATCCTGGCCCTGTGGATGTATGTACGATGTACGGGTGTATTCCGTCAACAGGCCACCCCCTCCCCCCAGTCATGCAGAGGCTGGTGGAATCACACCTGGGTTGGAGTAAGACAAGGGCCAACACGAATGGCCGTGTCGTCAAACCCCCCATAACGGCATTCGGGATGAAGCTTGTTGGGTGCGTCAGGTGATGCCGTGCGTGGCGCTTGGCCCGGCCGGGTGCGTGGTTCAACAAATTCCGCGGCAACCCCAGCCTCTCCACACCCGCCTCTGCTTCCCAGGGCGATGCGCGCAAGCCCGGGGAAATCAAGGGACCCAACCGTCCAGGCCCGGTGATCCTGTCCGGCGATAATTGGACGACTGGCACGGGGTGATTCATGTGGATGAGAGCAGCGCCTCCCACCATCTGATCCCGATGAGCTGGCAAGAGTCAGGCAATCGACGGGAGGGGAGGGGCGGCCAATCGAGTGACGGGCGTGGCAATTAGGAGCCCTGCAAGGTGGTATGAGACCTCATCGCGGATTTTGCAACCTGTACCTTTCTTTTTTTTTTTTTTTTCTTTTCTCCGAGTTGACTGTGGGAGGATGGAGCAGCTGGCGGGTCTTTCTCCCCTTCTGGGTGAGTGACTCGTAACAACTAAGCGAGGAAACTCACTTACTCAGAGGGTACGCAGTATGTACATCGGTTTGTTAGTTAGTTAGCTAACTAATTCCACGCTGCCGCGGACGAGGGAGCAGCGTTCTTGAAACCGGCGTGAAGAGGCGGGCGAGCGCAACGGGAACCACGCGCGCGCGCGCGCAGAGAGGCTTTTGGGCTAAGGGCGAATCCAGCTAGGCGCAGAGACAAGCTTAAATGCTCGGGTGCTCCGCGCCTCCATTTCGGCGTGTTTCCAGAGTTAGCGGGCGCCCAGAGCTCTCCCTAGCCGCCCCCACCGCTCCCGACGAACCAGAGACGCCCGTTGCTCACCGCCCATTTGTCTCCCCACGCCTCAAGTAAAGCACACGTCCCCGTCGCTTTTCCCCTCGCATCTTTCTCCCTCTCTCCCGCTCTCTCTCTTCTCTGTCTCTCTTGTGTGTGTGTCTCTCTCTCTCGCACTCTTTCTCGCTTCTCTCCTACTTGTCGGCTTGACGCTCTCTCAGCTGTACTCCCGCAAGCTGACCTGAGTCGTGTCTCACCATTCGTCGTGTGCGAGACCATTCTTCACCCGTTTCGCCCTTCACAGCTGAGCTGCCCCCGTTCTATCGCCGTTGGGCCTCGCTTCTCGCGACTCTCCTGTCGTATATTCTTTTTTATTTTTATTTTTTTTTTTGGCTTCTTCCCTCTCGGTCTAGTCGCTTGTGGTATTATATACCATAATTGCCAATGCCATTCTAGGCAATGGCTGAGGTAAAAATGACCGCTGACGGGCTGATTGGTCTCGACTACGACCCGCGAAGATACATATCAGCTCCAGCGTGGTCGTCGATGGGAATCGAGCAGGCTTCGTCGCAACATCGCTCGGATATCAAGAGGCCCGTCTCGCCGCTGCAGACCAGCTGTCATGCCTTCGACCCCACTGCTGCTCTCGCCGCCTCTGCTCATGACCACGCCTTGATTCCTGACTGGGGACTTCAGCCCGTTCAACCTCACCTTCAATATGCCACGACACAGCCAACCGCTGCTGAGACCCCGTTTACGTCGGCCTATCTACAGCCGTCGCCAATGGAGCTCATGCCCGTCACCGAGCATCTGGAGTCTTCCCTGCTCAGCGGCTCGTACCTCCCGCTTGCGCCAGTCGATATCGTACCGTATACCTGGCAGGATTTTCAGCCCGATCTTGCCTCCTTTGCCCCAATCGATGGGCTTGCCGACATGTTTCAGTCGCATCACCTCCCAGATACTAGCTCCCCGACCGACACATATCTGGAGGTGAGGTCCCTGACCAGCTCCACCAGCGACAACAGCTGGACGTTGGTCGATAACCGGCGCTCCATGGACCCCTACCATGATCAAAATGTTTTCATCAACCCTAATCAGACCCTACACAACCGGAGCCTTTCTGAATCGTCGTATTCTGATCTGGATCATAATCCAAGGAGTTCCTTTGGAAGCTTTGTGGAGGTCTCGCATGCCATGCACTCGCCAAGTTCCTCCGAATCCACCCTAGAATCAGAGTACAACGCGTCGTTTCAGCGCAGGGTATCGTCGGATCTCGCATCCCATGCTTCTTCATCGCCGCCGACCGCCGTAAGCCCTGTTACCATGACTCGACCGATACCCATGCTCGTCAAGAAGTCAGGAGCCACATCGTTATCTCGGTCGCCAAAACAGGCCGCTGGCTCTCCACCTAGCCGGAAGCCGTCTCGCAAAAGCCCGATCGCCGCGAAGAATGCAGACACAAAGGTTCGGAAACAGACTGATCCGAACAAACCTGAGAAAGAAAAGCGTGTTGGCAAGCGGAAAGGTCCCTTGAAGCCGGATCAAAGAAAACAAGCAAGTGAGATAAGGAAGCTGAGAGCGTGTCTTCGATGCAAATTCCTGAAGAAAACAGTAAGGCCCCTCCGTCTTGATACATTATGAACACGTATTGACACGTTTTATTTGTAGTGCGACAAGGGTGAGCCATGTGCAGGATGCAAGCCATCCCATGCGAGACTCTGGCAGGTTCCGTGCACGCGTATTGATATCAAAGAGATCGGCTACTTCATGAAGGACTGGAAGGCTGACTACGAGCGCCATGTGACCCTTGGCTTCTCTGTCGGTAACATCACAGGGTTTTCTGACGTCGAGCGAACCTTGTTCATCACACACGGCTATGGACAGGTTCTTCCCGTCAAGGCGCGAGAGGTATATGTCCGCGACGAAGAATGCTTCAACGTCGACTGGGTGGAGTCTTTGCAGCGGAATCCAAGCAGCTTCGAGCTGAAGACCTCGAAACTTTCTGCTGGAATGGAAGGAATATCCACTGCGATACTCTCGGATTACCTCGACAGACATATCGATGGCAACGGTAGCTTCGAGAGATTTGTCGATGATTACTTTGGCGGAACGCCTTTCCTAACACAGATGCTCAAGACTGCATTCCGGTTTTACTTCCGTACCAAGATGCCAGTTATCCGTAAGGCTCTTAAGCTCATTCTAGCGTACAATCTCACCTTGCATGTTACCATGGTGGAAGGTCTCGGTGAACTGGAAGACTTTGTTGGGAAGGTTGAAGACGAGACGTCGATGTATAATGGCAAGGTCATGGCTCCCGTCATGATCAATTTCCAAATAAAGTGCGCTATGGCCAATATGTGGCGCGACCTGCAAAAGGACGTTCTGGAAGAGCTGTCTGCCTTGTACTCCAGCGTCTACAGCGGAGAGAAGCTTAAGAATTGGCCCACGATTTTCATCCTTGCTTCGATATTATTAGCAGTGTGGGAGGAGATGCAGTTCGACTGCCATTATCGTGTTCCGGTAAGTTCCCTTGCTTTTTATCCCAATCGAGAGTTCACGGGTAAACTGACTTACAACGATGCAGGATCCTGTTGCTGTGAACAAGTTTTGCACGGATATGGAAACAACACCCGTCGGAGTTATTGTTGGGCTCTTCCAAGCGATCTCCCAGAAGCTACCTGCGTTCACAGACTGGAATTCCCAAGAGCACCATCATCTCCTTAATTCCAATCCCGATGTCTGCGACGCTATGACCGAAGTCCGGGAACACGTTCGCCAGCACGGTAAGTTATAACTCCATGGCCTTTTCTTTTCTCTGACTGAAACTTGTTTCTGAACCGTTTGTCCAGAATCTTACCTCCGGACCCGTTCCAACTCTATGTTTGACCGTAATGACTTCGACTGTCTTTCGAATAAATTCCTGTCTAGACTCGTGTTGCGCTCGAATCAAGCAACTCGAGAAGTTGTTCATGCAATGTAATACCAGAGTCCCAATACGTGAAAATATGTCGTCAACGCCACCTAATTTGACAAGAAAGAAGAAAAAATAAAAGAACGAACAGCAAAGCGCATAATGACTTGGCTACAACACATGGCCGATAATGACACGAATACACTGATATTACTTCAACGATGTGAAACGAGGAAACGACAATGCTTTTGTCCAAGTTTGCTGTTGACTAATCCAACTATCGTCGCTCTTTTTTATATCTTTTCGTTTTCTCTTTACTTTGGTATGGCGAGTTTCCCGAGCCGGGATATACCTCTTTTTGTCGTTATGTACTTTGATGTTTTGTTCTTGTTTTGTTCTAGGGAACAAATGATAACGAGGACCACGAATCTTATGACCACGACATCTGTAACAGTCTGTGATCGAGCAAATAAAGCATACTCGCTTGGGAGCTTCTCAATGCCGCGAGCCCTCAGAGAAGATGGGTTTAAAACCGGTTTCGTTTCGAATATCCTTCGAGAAACCCCGCCCCATGTTGTTTACTGTTTTGAATTTTTTTGTCCTTCGAGCTTAGTGTTGCTTTTATCCTGCTTTTCCGGCTCTTTTTTCCTCTAATTTTTTTTTTTTTTTTTTTTTTTTTTTTTGCTTTCTCATGGGACTGCTTCGGTCAGCGACATGATGCAGGTTTTTCCTTTCTTTCGTTTTTGGCTTTCCCTTTTTTACTCGTTACATCAATCGCATGTGGGCATTGCATCGATCATGATACACACGCATCACTTGTTCACCCTAGCAGGCATTTGATCCGCCCCGGCATATCGATTCGATCATCTGCATTTTTTCTTTCCTTCTTTCTTTCTTGCACCGCACACTTTTGTTGGTGGCCATATGCATTCAAGATGAAAGACGCGCGAGCGAGCAGAGGGGAACCGACCCGCACTTACACCGGTGATCACCACCCTCGCCTTGATGCTTATCTATGCCTGTTGCCTGTGCCAATTTTATTTCGGTGGCTTGAGCTTGTCGACCTCTATGGGGTCGAGCTATTTTCTTTTTTTTTTTATTACATTGGATCGGTCGGTGTGTGTATGCGTGGGTGGGTGTGTTGGGTGTGTGTGTGAGAGGCGCAGGGTTTAGGTATGGGTTTGAGGCGAGGACGAAAATACTCGGGGCGATCGATTTCACTTGGGGTTTTGTGCTCGAATATTCTTATATAGGGTCAAGTATACCAGAAATGAGAATATATTCAATGATAATTTTGAGATTCTCTATCATTGGACCGTTTTACCAACGAATGGCTATGTATATGCTGTACCTTGAAGCTTTAAAACACATGCAGACAGTGTCATGACGATAATTGCCGTCGTCTTCATATATTGCTATCGACAGTATACCTTGGGTACATCAATCACACAACTGGTCTGCAATAGTACCGTTATAGGAATTCTGTTTGAAAAATTATAACCGGCCGTACTTTGAGGAGTTGGGCCTGAGACAAGTTGCATGGTCCAAATGGCTCCAATCAAGTTAAAAAGTCCCACAGTTAATATATCGGCTGGTGTGAGAGAGAACTAAAATCACCGGTCCGCACAAGAACAATGTTGACCCGAGCTCGACGTATCTAGCGAGCTATCACCAGATAGCTTTGGTTAGCCAATGTTGCATTTTTCGGCACTTAAAAGTGCCGCTGATTGAATCAAAGTGACCTAGCAATCAACTGTAACTATGGGTTAATATGTAGGTCAGCCGAAATTTCCCAATTCCCCGTGTTGATGCTGGCTTCTCTTGTGCATATAGAATTCGGGACCCTTCTGCCTCTGGCTATTGTATGTCTCATGTTTTTAGGTAGATGCAATGGCACTGTCCTAATGGCCATGATCCATACTACCAGATATCTGGTTTGCAATATCCAGGCCCGGCTGCACAGATAGACTCCATGCGGGGATTGCTACAATCAATCTTAAGGAGCCCGCTTTCATCATCTGGAGAAACTCGATGCTGGATTGCAGGGAATGCTGGCTTGCCATACGAAAGAAAGCGTAAGGCCTTTGTCGAGTACCGATTTTGTAAAGCATTGCTCTCTAGGACGCTTCAACGGTTCTTCAAAAGGACAAAACAGGTCCCTAGCATCATTGTGCATTATACCAGAGCTTCATATGAGGGTATTCATCACGTTGAGAGCATAGTTGGCAACATCTATGGCATTGAAACCGAAATGACTCGCCCTCAAAGGTTTTCCATCCCGCGACCTGAGTCATCATGGAATAGCCATAGGGTCTGGAGAGAAGAGTAGTACAAAAATCCGCCAAGAAGCTACAACCTCTTTGAGCGATTTGATTAAATGCACAACTGGACACAGGATAAGCAAGCGGTGACTTTTAAGGTCAGTAGTCGCAAGAGGTGGCGCAGCGCTTGGAATCGAAGAACCGGGTTTTCTCCGTTATTCTCACCCGTCGGTGAGCAGCACAGAGAACCTTTTATAGAGCAACAGCGAAAAGAATCGGTTATGAGCGTTGACGGGTTCTAGGCAGCGATCAAGAGAAAACAGACGGCGAGCTGAAGCTGAAGCTGGCTGCGAGTGACGTCGTGTCGTGAGCCAGCATGAGGTGGAGAGGAACTACGTAGTTCCGGAGATTGCACGGATTTTGTATTGGATACGTAATTTACAACATGGATGGTTCTGGAGGGTTCCACAATTCTCCTTGTGAGGCAAGTGGGTCCAGGGCGGCGCCGCGCCTATCGGCAGATGATTGGCAGGATATAATACCACTTGTGCGAAAGGAGCCGCTGAAACCGTAGGCAGCTGCGGCAGGGAGTGACTGACTAACCTTGGCGGCTTCGCCTCCCCTCACTTCCACCCCCAGTTGTCGCCGCCGGGCCTACTTAAACCTCCGCCTTCTCTCCCCCTCTGCCTCTCCTCACCATTCTCTTCATCCTTCTTCCTCTCCTCATCCTGCCGTCCTCCTCGTCGAGCATTTCTTCATCACAGCCTTTGCCATATCAGTTCACGTCACCTTTTGTTGAAGAATACATACGTATATAGACCTTCCCGTCGGCTGCCATCATGCAGATCTTCGTCAAGACTCTGACCGGCAAGACCATCACCCTTGAGGTGGAGTCTAGCGATACCATCGACAATGTCAAGACAAAGATTCAGGACAAGGAGGGCATCCCTCCCGACCAGCAGCGCTTGATCTTCGCTGGTAAACAGCTTGAAGATGGCCGCACCCTCTCAGACTACAATATCCAGAAGGAATCAACCCTTCACTTGGTGCTTCGCCTCCGTGGCGGTATGCAAATCTGTAAGTTTAAAACCCCACTAGGAGAAATCTTTCGCTTGTATATCGTTGGTTCTAACACTCTTTAATCAGTCGTCAAGACCCTCACCGGGAAGACCATCACTCTCGAGGTTGAATCTTCCGACACCATCGATAATGTGAAAACTAAGATTCAGGATAAGGAGGGCATTCCCCCAGATCAGCAACGTTTGATCTTTGCTGGAAAGCAGCTCGAGGACGGCCGTACTCTCTCCGACTATAATATCCAAAAGGAGTCTACTCTCCACCTTGTCCTTCGCCTCCGTGGTGGTATGCAGATTTTCGTGAAAACATTGACCGGAAAGACCATTACGCTAGAAGTTGAATCCTCCGACACGATTGACAACGTGAAAACAAAAATTCAAGACAAAGAGGGAATTCCACCAGATCAGCAACGTCTAATTTTTGCCGGTAAACAGCTTGAGGATGGCCGAACGCTCTCGGATTACAATATTCAAAAGGAATCTACCCTACATCTCGTCCTTCGCCTGCGTGGTGGTATGCAAATCTTCGTGAAGACATTAACCGGCAAGACTATCACCTTAGAAGTCGAGTCGTCGGACACCATTGATAACGTAAAGACCAAGATCCAAGATAAAGAGGGTATTCCACCCGATCAGCAGCGACTGATCTTCGCTGGAAAACAACTCGAAGACGGACGGACGCTTTCCGACTATAACATCCAAAAGGAAAGCACCCTGCATTTGGTTTTGAGATTGCGTGGTGGTAATTAGGCGTATCTATCTTTTATTTCGAAGGGTCGGCGCTTTCTTTTCTTACCTAGGGGCATTCAACCGGTATGGCGTTTCGGTAATACACCCATGTCGGTGATTAAACCACCTTGCATTTTCATGGTCGCAATGACGTTCATTTTGATAACTACGACTCAATATGATTGATACTTCGGATCCTACTTTTGTGCACTACGGTTCATCTTTCATGTAATATCGCCACACCATGGCTTCGACGCCATCTTGGGCCACGTGTGAAGCAAAATCCTCAGGTGACTGTTATCAAGCCCTCTTTATTCAAGTAGCTCTTCAATGTTTCATATTCCGTAAGTAGTTGGCCGGCGAAAGCCGGTTTGATGACGTAAGAAGTGAGGGCTGGCCGATAAGATCACGTGGACAACCCGTTGATAAAGCTCGCTGCTTTTGCATCCGACATCGAAGCTCAATGAGCAGGCCGACGACATGACAGACAGGCGATATGCCCTCCTATTTTTATCGCATTTGCCTGGAACTTTTCTCTGAGAGTTCTTCAAGTAACTTGCTTACGGTTGAGGCCATTTGCGAGTCTTTGAATCCCTTCTCCAGAAAGCAAGTCAACTCCGAAAAAAAGGCCCCAAATAACAGGCCAGCTCCAACCAGGATTAACCAGAACTTAAAAAGTAGTGAGCTGTATCCAGCAAAAGACTACAACAGCTCAGTCACAAACGCTCCCCGTCAATGTCTACCTGCAGGGGAACCTTCCCGCTCCCACAATTATCTGCAGCAAGTCGAACACGAGCCAGTGAACTATTCTACATTCGGCGGCAAAGAAACATCTCCTGCTCCTCCCTTCCTTACGTCTCTAGCGCGCCAGACTTGTGATAGACGCGTCGATAACATATCTGTTGAAGGCATCGATATGGTTCTAGAGAAGGCTCACCTGCCTGATCGAAGCAGTGGCCCCGACAACAATCAGATAGCCAAAGGGATTGGGTCAAGGGCAATTGGAGGTCTCGCTACAAAAGGGAAATATGTACCTCTTGATCACAAGGTCCCCAATAGTGTGTGGGGTATCGTTCACCTATATCGCGATGGGGACCCTTCTCCAGAGCTCTGCGGTAACGATGATGACCCTTACTTTCTCAAAGGATCTTCGGTAGCGCGGAACACGAGCGTGTCGTCTCCAAGAATCAAAAAGAGCCAAGGGAGTACCTTTGGGAATGAAAGTTCAGATCCATCTCTGTCAGCAGAGGATTGCACTACTTTGTGTATTCTAGCCGTTCCTTCGTACATGTCACCGCCGGATTTCATAGGTTGGGTTGGGCAAGAAACAAAGAGCGAAGTCAGTCATTTCCGGATGATTCGAACAGAAAGACGGAATCGATATATGGTGTTAATGAAATTTCGAAGTGGACGCAAGGCGAGGGAGTGGCAGAAGGATTGGAATGGTAAGGTATTCAATAGCACAGAGGTAGGTTCATCTATAGACTTTTGTTATTACAGCCGCTGCCAAAGGAGAGAATTTAAATAGTTTCGCTAACACCTGGACTCATTAACAGCCCGAAACGTGCCACGTTGTATTTGTAAAAGATGTCGAGATCCAGACTCCCACAACGTCACCCGAAGGCCGATTCCCAGACACGAACCACGATCCCTTCACCCCTCAGGCCTATGCCAGCAGCGTAGCGACCGCCTCTTTATCTATAAAACCCCTTGCTCCGCCTACGCCGTCGCTAATTGAGCTGCCAACATGCCCTGTTTGTCTTGAGCGCATGGATGAAACTAGCGGGCTCCTTACAATTATCTGCCAACACGTATTCCATTGCACCTGTCTCCAGAAATGGAAAGGTAGCGGTTGTCCTGTGTGTCGATATACACAAGAAGACTTAGGAAAGCGTGCCTTCAATTTTGGCCTTGACGAAGGACCGGCAGAATGTAGCGTGTGTCATGCTGAGGAGAACCTGTGGATTTGTTTGATATGTGGTAATATCGGATGTGGAAGATACGATGGTGCACATGCGTTCGCTCACTTTCAGGAGACTTCTCATTCTTTTGCCATGGACTTGTCATCACAACGGGTCTGGGACTACGTTGGAGATGGTTATGTCCATCGAATCATTCAAAATAAGGCCGATGGAAAACTCTTGGAATTGCCTGCCGCCGACAACAGTGCCCTTGATCCGCCAGACTGGGCCGATGCTGTTCCCCGAGAAAAATGGGAGAATATGAGTGTGGAGTATACACATCTCCTTACGAGCCAACTTGAAAGCCAGCGTACATATTTCGAAGAGAAAGTTGAACGCGCTGCGGATAAAGCATCACAGGCTAGCGCGGCCGCCCTTGCGGCGCAAGAAGCTGCCGAAAAATTGGCCAAACGCTTAGAGGCGTTACAATGTGACCACGACGCTCTTGTAAAGGAGACGGTCCCGGTTCTAGAAAAGGAGAAAGACCGAGCTGAACGACGCGCAGACAAGTTTGAGTCTTTGGCTCGCAAGATGGAGAAAGAATATCGGGAAGAGAAGACGATCAATACCAGCTTAATGGAACGGGTGGATTACTTGACCGCCGAAGTCGAGAAACTCAAGGCAGCCAACGAGGACCTCGTTGAGCAGAATCGTGACCTCACATTTTTCATCAGTGGATCGGAAAAGCTGAAAGATCAGGGGGAGGATGTTGTCGAAGGCACGGTTAGCGTACCAGAGCCGTCGAAGGCTGGAAAGAAAAAGAAAGGAAAAGGGAAGAAGTGAGATTTACGCAAAGTGAAGACGAGAGTGAAGACGAAGTTTTGTGAGGTCTAGCGAGAGACGACCATCCAGCATTGGCTGGACACTGCATATGACCGCCAAAGCCCGACTGGCTGGAAGGTCTATGATAGTCGTCTCGGGCGGTCCATCATCCACAATCTGACCCATTTATGCCTGCGACGGAACGTCGACGGGAACGTTAACTGGGCCAATCGGAAAACGGCCCAGTTCGTACGTGCAGCCAGCGTCAGCAATCTGGCACGTGAGCCAATTCCGTTTTAGGTAGCTAAACCTCCCTTCCTGCGCAGTCGATGGCATGTCGTCCGTATTGCGGGAGGAAAAATATACATACACATCATCTGCTTACGATGATCCGAGAATTGAATGGCCAAAATAATCGAAATATCCATATGGAGTGTTCGAGGCCTTACACTGCATGCGTGCAAAATCCACTGTAGAACCAGGACGTCCAACCTAAACCCAAGAAGCTCGTAAACAAGCTTCAAGCTAGAGATCACCCTCAAAGAAGTGTGAGTCGTACGGATGGAAAGGTGTTTTCTGTAGAATTGTGGGGTCGATCCTGCACAGTATGGTTTCTATCACACCAACCGTCCCTTGCGCAGAAGAATCTCTTTGTTTCACTCAGCGCCAATCAGTCGACCACATGGGAAAGCATCGCATGAAAAAAAAAGCGAGATCGGGACTGTTGAGCTACATTTATGCTGCGAGCTGCGCCGATTTTCGGTGGCAATCCCGACGGGCGGGAGCGGAGGTGGCGTTGGGTCGGGAAAGAAAATCGGAGAAAAAACATACAAATTTCCCTTCGTTAGGGAGTACAGAGCAGGGAGTTGAGCCACCACCATCGAGAGAGATAGTGGTTTTGAAGACAGCGTCCGGAGAATGCTTCTCAACTTTTAGCCACGGATTTTCTGAGGCTGATCGAGTGCTCCGCAAACACTGTATGGGATTGCATACATACATGCATTGGTACCTACCTTAGTGGCTTGGTCCGCGGAGACTGCCTCGACTTTCCAACTCCGCACCCGCTCGCCAGTTTTGGAATAGAGTTCCGACTAGCTCTGCTTCTCATTGGCGTTTCAAAGGAGCGGGCGCTATGACCGGCTGCAATTACAACGTAACGCATGGCAAGGGGGCACGTGGGCGGAACCTTGACGGACGGACGAGAGCCACCATTTGTTGAATTTGGAGAACTGCGTCCTGGGATGAAACAAATTGAGGTCATTGTTAAACCGATTCACCCGCTAGCTGCCCAATTGAGGCACTGGGCTCACGCTTCACATTGCTTGAGATTCTTAGCACCTGCATGGTGTTCTCGGGGATGGTGGAAGACGTGGGAAGGCGCCGAAATGGTTTGGAAGACATGGCTTGTACGGAGTACAGAGTACGTAGCACATAGATCACTCCGGAATGTTATTTCCTACGTAACTACGGAGCACGGAGCACTCCGTACAATACATTCCTTCGCCATTGTAGCGTGTTGAGGCTTTTTGCCTGCCGACCTCGTGGGAAGGCCCGGAATTCGCCAAGAATTTCCGCCAAGCCTTCCGCTGTGTGGCGACGGCCGAGACTTCTCCTCCCCATGCCCGTCAGCCTTTTCATGACGTTGCCCTGCACTCCACCCCGCGGCCTGATTGGGCGGCATTACCGGAGTGGGTCTGAGGGCGGTGATCAGCAAGCGGGGCTATCACGTGGTTGATAAGTAATCAGCCAATGGGGAGCGGGCCTCGGAGGAAAGGCGGAACTAACGGAGCGAGGTGGGAGTGCCAAGATATTTCCGAAAGCGGTGGAATTCCAAGGTGCATGGGAGGCCTGTTCAAACAATCGAAGTTGGGTGGTGAGACCAACGAAGTATCTGGAAATTTCATTGAGGAAGGACAAAGAGCTGGCGAGAATACTACGGAGAGGTAGAATGGATTTTACGAACACCGGGTTGGCAGGAGAAACGGGACGACCGAGGCGGACCTTCAAAGAACATTCCAATCAGGATATCTTTTATACGTTATAAGGTTCCTAACAGCCAAGGGTCGCAGGTGTTCCAAAATTCACGAAGGTTCTCCCAACGAATAAACATTGGCAAAACCTTATTGATCATAAGCGACGCCATGGGTGGCCAACCCGGGTGCCTGCAAGGACAAAGGAAGGTGGCCCTTTATTTGGCCGGTGGGAAGGTGATGGCGTTCTTGGCTAACTCTTGGGCCGAGCGTTTGGGACGGACCAAGACAAAATGATGGAATATTTTGTCTAGGAAAAATCTTAAACGATGCGGAGAGTGGTTAATTTATATATCCCAGGTACCTCCCCGTTGAAACCTTGACTCATTTGTTGCCCAGATCAGTCCACTTCGGCACATATTCTGCCTCAAGCGTTCTCTGATAAGAGAGTTGGCATATTCCGTATCCTTTTTCTTTTTCCTGACGATAACTCAACCAAGTCCTTCTCTCCATAGGACGGTATAGCGAGAGCTCGGGTTCTTCGTCCATAGACATTCCGTTTTGGATGATAGGTGGCGAACGCATTACCGTCCCGCGTCGCTATTTTGAGACCTGAGTCACCTATTTTGCGCCCAATACCACTCGAATGGGTGTATTAACCCCCTATCCTTCGGCTCAAAGGAAACTGCATAACCCTTTCCCTCCCCTTGGACCATTCTTTCCATCCTCTTCGTCTTCCTACGGATAAGGACACTCGCTGGCTCAGCAAACGTTCTTTCCTACCATTCCACCTAAACTCCCAAGGAAACCTAATCCTGACACTGACCCATATAAATCCGACTGCCGAGAGAATCAAATAACACGACTAGACTGGGCCTGAGTTTCGTTATGCCTTCCCGGAGCAACGATGGCTCAGCAAAACAGGAGTATGAGCGACACCCGTTTCTGCTTCCTGTCGATATCCTTGTTCAATATCTGCAGACAAACCTTGAAACCGGTCTGACTGGCGATGCAAAGATTCAAGGACTTCAACAGAAATATGGCCCGAATCGCTTGCTGGGCGAAGGGGGCGTCAAATGGTACACCCTGCTTGGAAAGCAGGTTTCAAATGCAATGATATTGGTAAGTTCAACCCACTAGTATTCCATGCAGTTTAATTCCAATTTTCAAATACCGTCCAGTCACAGTTTGTTTTCTATTGGTGAGGTTCGAAGCAATCTTCCCTCTGTGATGTTTATCCCTCGCCTTCTCTAGTTCAGAGGGCTTTTTAAGGCGAGGGAATGTAGCATGGCAGATAGATTCAGTGCAATGGAGACGCGCATTATAGCGAATTCTGAACGAGGCTCCCAGAACACAAGGGGCTCCCGTTTAGACTGTATACAGTTCTGTTTCTATTCTCTGTTATCATATCCTTGGAAACAGTTGTAGTAACTTTGCGACGGAAATAGGTCCTCGTCCTCGCAATGGCCCTCGCCTACGGCGTTTCAGACTATGTCGAAGGAGGAGTTATCACTGCCGTCATCGTGGCGAACGTGGTTATTGGCTTTTATCAAGAATTCCAGGCGGAGAAGAAAATGGACTCCCTCCGCTCTCTCTCTTCTCCCTCCGCAACCGTAATCAGAAATGGTCATGAAATCACTATTCCATCCGGAGACGTTGTTCCCGGAGACATCGTTCAAATTAAAATGGGGGACACCGTTCCCGCCGATATTCGTCTCTTCGAAGCCATGAATCTAGAATGTGATGAGAAGATTTTAACCGGAGAAGCCATTCCAGTCGCAAAGGACGTCGACTTTAGCACTAGCGGCGATGAAGTCACAACCGGTGTCGGTGATCGTTTAAATATGGCTTACTCCTCTTCGACGGTCACAAAGGGGAGAGGTCGCGGAATTATTGTCTTCACTGGAATGAACACCGAAATCGGTAAAATTGCCCAGTCTATGCAGGGAAAGCGTCGCAAACCCGGTCGCTCAATGTCTCGAAAAAAGTATGGCACTTTTCAGCCAGTGAAAGGAGGCGCCTTGCGTATCTGGGATGGAATCGGCAAGTTTCTTGGCCTTACTGAAGGCACTCCGCTGCAGATCAAATTAAGCAAGCTGGCCTACTCACTCTTTGGGTGTGCTATTTTGCTCGCTATCATCGTGTTTGGCGTTAACGAGTTTGACGTGACGAACGAAGTTGCAATTTATGCCATTTCCACAGGTGAGTAGCCTGGTAATATGGATTGATTGTGCTCTAGCTAACTATCAAGGCATTGCTATTATCCCTGAGTCGTTAATCGCTGTCTTAACAATCACGATGGTTGTTGGTATGACACAGATGAGGAAACGAAGAGTCGTAGTGCGTCAACTCAGTGCCCTAGAAGCTCTGGGCGGAGTGACGAATATTTGCTCTGACAAGACGGGAACTTTAACCCAAGGGCAAATGGTTACTCGAAAAGCCTGGATTCCGGGTGTCGGAATGTACACGGTGCATAAGTCGAATGATGCCAACAACCCGACCCGCGGAACCATCAGTATCAGCAAACCACCTGCATCAAAGCAGGAGGCCGAAGCAGAGCAAGAGCGCAAACGCACTGAGCAGGACCGTCTTCGTAGTACTGCGGGTCTAAAGTTTAACGTTCCTCCCGAGAAAGAGGAGCGGGATAAACGGAAACAGGATGAGATGCGCAACGAAAAGAATGGCACGAGCGATGAAGATGACGATGAGAAGGCGGCTAGCATTCCCGACGTTGTTCCTGAGTTACAAGCGTTTCTAGAATCCGCAGCATTATGCAACTTGGCTAGCCTTCGTTTTGATAAAGAATCGAATCAATGGCAAACGATGGGCGATCCGACGGAGATTGCGCTGCAAGTGTTTGCGCATCGATTCACGTTTGGAAAACCAACTCTTGAGAAGGAGAAAGGCTGGAAGCAACTGGCTGAATACCCCTTCGACAGCAGTGTGAAACGGATGTCTGTCATCTACCGATGTGGTGACGGTCCAGAAACAGTAATCTTTACCAAAGGAGCCGTTGAGAGGATCTTGGACCTTTGCACCTCCGTCGGAATTGGTGAATACGAAGAGCCCATGGATGCCACGACCAAAGAGAAGATACTCAACCAAATGGATTTCCTTGCGGAACAAGGCCTGCGGGTTTTGGCTATTGCAAGAAAAGCCGGACCAAGTAACTTTGAGCCGCATATGGAAATTCCACGGGATCAAATTGAAAGTGACTTGACGCTTCTCGGCCTTGCCGGCTTGTACGATCCACCGCGATTGGAAACAAAGGATGCCGTGAAAGGTATGTTTGTCAATCTCGTCCCCCTTTCCATATCCTGAGCTCAAATGCTAATTCCTGTGTAGAATGTACCATGGCCGGTATTCGTGTCCACATGTTGACTGGCGATCATCCATCAACCGCAACTGCTATCGCCAAGGAAGTCGGAATTATCCCTCGCAACACAGGAAATCTTTCTGCTGAAGAAGCAGCTTCCCTTGTTAAAACAGCGGCCCAGTTTGACGGCATGACTGATGAAGAGATTGATGCACTGCCGGCCCTTCCACTGGTCATCGCTCGATGCGCGCCGGATACGAAAACGCGAATGATTGCTGCTCTTCATCGCCGAAAACGATACTGTGCCATGACTGGTGATGGCGTAAATGATGCGCCTTCCCTTCAGGCTGCCGATGTCGGGATTGCGATGGGCATGGGTGGTTCAGATGTGGCCAAATCTGCGTCGGATATTGTGCTGACTGACGACAATTTTGCAAGTATCGTCAACGCCATTGAAGAGGGTCGTCGGATGTTTGAAAACATTCAGAAGTTTATCCTGCATCTTTTGACATCGAATGTTGGCGAGGTTGTTCTGCTCATCGTCGGTCTCGGGTTCAAAGACAACACCAACATTTCTATCTTTCCGCTATCACCCCTTCAAATCCTTTGGATCAACATGCTGACCTCGTCCTTCCCTGCATTTGGTCTCGGCCGCGAGAAGGCGGATGCAGCCGTGATGCACCGTCCTCCACACGATACAAAAAAGGGTGTGTTCACATGGCAAATCATCGTTGACATGCTCATATACGGCGTTATCATGGGTGCTTGTACCTTGCTTACCTTTGTCATTATCATCTATGGTGTTGGCGATGGTAAAGCATCACTTGGTGTTGACTGCAACCGTACATCCAGCGATGCCTGCGCAACTGTATTCCGAGCCCGCGCAGCAGTTTTTGCAGAGCTCACATGGCTTATTCTAATTTCTGCTTGGGAATTCAAGCACTTCCGGAACAGTATGTTTAATCTCGATCCACTGCGCGTGACTAGCGACGAACGACCCACGACCTTTCCGTTCTTTCGCGATGTTTGGGAGAACCAGTTCCTGTTCTGGGCTGTTGTCATCGGAGCAGTATCTGTCTTCCCAGCAGTATACATCCCAGGCCTGAATACGCAAGTCTTCAAGCATCAAGGTATTTCTTGGGAATGGGGTCTTGCATTTGGTTCGGTGTTCGTCTTCATTTTAGGCGTTGAGGCATGGAAATTGGTAAAGCGCCGGACAGGTTGGTTCGCATCAGGCGAGGACTATGGAGGCGCAACTGTCACGGGCTTCAGAAGACGCTGGCCAAGCCACGAACTCGGCCTGAGACAGGGATTCTTCACCTTTGCAAGGACCTTAACCAGAGGAAGCGAAAAGAGCGCTGGTGGTTTTATAAGTTCTAGGTCTAGTATCAGCGGAAGGGAAATGCAGAGACGGAACACTGAGAACGAAACCGTCAGGCCCGCCGAGCAGGTCTAAAGATTCCGGCATTGTGGCATGTTTGCTTGGCTGAGTGAAGAGACCTGAAAAAGGCTGGTAGTGTCGTATAGAATCTTGGTATTTATTTGTTTTCGAGAGTTAAATTTGAATGTAGTTAGCTATCGCGTTAAATGTCAATGACAATTAGTTACTCAGTATTAAATTATGACCGAGCTTCATGGATTGCGAGGTTGCGCTTCTGATCTGATCATCGATGCTGTTGTGAGTCAGATGAGTCAGCAAGTCATAGTGCGTTTTTCTTTTCTTTTCTTTTCTTTTCTTTTTTTTTTTTGATCAACCATCAAGCACATGAACTAAATGCAGATACTCCGTACATCGTTTAATTATCCATATGATAACTATTAATATAGGCTATTCTGAAACGAAATTTCTCTTTTCCCAATGAACCGATGACGGCTCCATTGGACGAGACAAGAGACTCTGCGACAAGTCAGCCGACCTTTGATCTGATTACCCCAGACATATAAGGCATTGAAAACGGGGCCTTACCCTGTAATCCGTGGCAGGGACACCGACCCGATTATCTGGATTTCGAAGCTTGAAATGCCGTACCATAACGGCCAGGATCACTCCAAGGTTGACGTATGCGAACTTTTCGCCGATGCAGCGATGCCTTCCTGCACCAAACGGGAGATATGGACTCTTGGTTCCCTTTATGGTCACTCCGTAACCGTAATCAATCTTCTCGTCGGCTTCTGATCGTTCGATGACGCTGAGCCAACGGTGAGGGTTCCATTTTGCAGCATCCTTGAAGTGATCTTCACTGCGTGCGGTGAATCCGGGAGCCGAGAGCAAAATATGCGATTCCGGGATGACTAGATTTGTCCCCGGAACGGCCATGGTGTTCTTGGCCTTTCGCATGATGGAGTGGATTGGGGCATGCAGACGCAATGTTTCTTTTATGACCATTTGACTGAAGCTCAACCGGTCAATGTCACCTAACGTGATCGATTTAGACGGTCCGAAGACCTGAACCTGCTCTTGATATAGGCCTTCCATAACCTCAGGGTGTGCGGCTAGCTGCAGAATTGCCCATGCGCTTATTGCGGATGACGTGTGCTGTCCAGCCATAAGAAGTGTGATCATTAAATGAGCGATTTCTTTATCTGGAAGAGCAGTGCCATCCTTGTACACGCAATTATCCATCAAATTCCAGAGCATATCATGTCCACGTTCTTGTCCACTTATACGACGTTTCTTGATGATATCCATATATACGTCGCGCATCTTCTTGTGGGCTGCATCACGCTTCCGATTATGTGGCAATGGAGCCCATGGAAGCAAGAAGTTGATTGGGGTAAACCCGGAATCCAAGTCATGGTAATAGTTCGCAAACGAGCTGTCCAGCTTGCTACGAACTTCCTCACCCTGTAACGTCCGAGCCGCCGTTAAAATGGTAATTTCGGCCATGACTTGAAGAACATTCATCGTCCCCGATTCGCCTTTGAAATGAGGGGATGAGGCGATATATTGCTCCACTTCATGTTGGATTAAGGGCACGTATGAAGCAAGAGCTTCACTGCTGAGACCAAACTTGATGAACTAGGAACCTATGTCAACTATTGAGCTCAGATATCAGCAAGAAGAAGGGAGTGATCAACCTTTTTCTGTTCCATAAGCTTTTGATTTGGGCAGTCATAAATGACGTCTGAGCCAAACACTGGCGTTGTAAGAGGTGAATACACTTCTTCAGCGTTCACGTCCTGCAGCTTGCCGTTTAGGATGAACTCGTTTCCTTTAACCCCCAGATATACAGTGACTTTGCGGCCTAGCAGGACGAAGGTGAAGATGTCACCGTACTAGCACGGGGACTGGCTCATCAGGTAAAGGTCGGGCTATAATGAGAGTAAAACGCAGGGCGCACGAACCTTCTCTCGACAGGAAGTGAAAAACCGGTACGGATCAAGCCCATAACTAATTGCACTACCAATGAAAGGCACCCAGTGGAATACAACAGGAGGTTTAGCACCACGGTGAGGCGCAAATTGACGCAGAAGATTTCCGATGAAAATCGACAAGACGCCAATTATCACCACTGTTGGTAGCAACTGGACGGTAGGAGAGGGGAAAGGAAGCGACTCCATGGCGAACACATGCCTTAGCTACCAAATGAATATAACACTGGGAGGGCTTCATATTAAATATCATTCGGTATTTGAATCTACGTGCTACAGAGCCATTTGTACTAATGTTGATATCTAACAGTACTTGCTGCGCTGGGCATACTCATTGGTTCCAGCGATTTTCAGCAGGCTTCAAAATTGTTGTGTTCTGGCGCCAGCCGGATAGCCCTATATCCGGGCTTCGCCAGCTTCACTAATTACAGAACCAGAATTGATCTACGCCTATGCCGTCGCACTTCATACCTGTACGAAGTACGAAGTACGGTACATATACGGGGGTTGCGAGGCCTGGAGGTGGCAGGGCCAGTCAGTCTTTGCGATCTTATTACGGAGGATGGTGATATCTCCACCTTAATCTTCAGGTCCTCGTCATCCGGTTGCTATTTGCTGCTCCGAGCTTTGAGACTTAGTTGATCCTTGGACAGTTTGCCGCCCGCGCCGCCACGGGGGATCCGGCCTTGCGAGTCCCTTTACGGAGTACTCTGTGTAGTTCCCTTCTTACACCTCGCTTGGGCTGATCTCACCTTGACTTTCCTTCACTGCATTATTTCAGTTCTCCGACCACAGCAATTCCAATGTGACGTATTTCTAGAGTGCTAGTGACCGTTGCCATGTCTTTGCCCTCCCTCCGTGGCGTAGATAATGTTGGTGGCATCGAGCATTCACTAGGTCAGAAATGTGAAAACTACACCCTGGTCTGGACAGGTCACTTTAGTAGCTTCATATCTGGGATACGCTTCCATAAGCCTATGTGCTTAGGCCGTTAAATGTACCCGCGATTCCGGTCAGTATTCGGTGTAATTATCATTCGATTGCTTGTGAGAACGGAGTATCACGTATCACACAGGATGCTGCATTTCTGGACACGATTATCCAAGGCCTGCGGAGACACTTCGCCTTCGACAGTTCAATAGAGGACAGAAACTCAACCTTCCCCCCCCCCCCCCCCCCCCCCCCCAAAAAAAAAAAAATCGCCCAGTTAACCTGTTAAGTCCGCAGCTGTGGCCATCGAGCGCGACGCGGCCAAAGATAGAACGTTGTTTGTCGTGCTGCCCGCGGGCCGCTCCTTGAATCGGATAAATATTGATCCATGGCTACATCCGCCAGGGGATCTTCGAGCACGGCAAAGGCTCAACGGCAAGGCTTCATTCTTCGGAAGCTATCAGTTGCCCCTTTCCCAGCTCGTTGAAATCAATACCTCCAGAGGCATTAACCGAAATGACGCCTGACCTCCGCGCTGCGGCCGCGCGCAATCTCTCTTTGCTCCTCCGCCACGCTCCCCGCCGCACAACAGCACAGTTCCTCCGCCATCATTCCACTACGCAATCGTCTGTATCATCCGATGAATTGACTCATTTCGCATCTCTCGCCAGTAGCTGGTGGGACCCTCTGGGTCCATCGCGCATTCTGCACTTGATGAATCCTTTGCGACATGAATTTATAGCCTCCTGTCTCTCAGAAGGAAAATCTGGAGTACCTGATTCTGCCGAAAAGAATGACAGGCAAGAAGAGGAAGTAGAGAAGCCTGGATTGAGATATCTAGATATTGGATGCGGCGGAGGAATATTTGCCGAATCTCTCGCGCGAACAATCCCACTCAGCTACTCGACCTTTTCCACACAGACAAACGCCTCCTCTCTCCTCGCCATTGACCCTTCCCCAGTCATGATTGAAATTGCCCTCTCCCACGCCCGCAAAGATCCCACTCTTCATTCACACCTCCAATCCGGAAAATTCAAATACGAAACCACCACACTTGAGTCCCTCGTGTCACGTTCTACGCCGTCATCGTCCTCAACAATGCCCTCCGCACCACCACCCCCCACCACCAACTCATCAGATTTCGACATCGTCACTATCTTCGAAGTCCTCGAACACGTAGACCCATCCACCTCCTCTCCGCGCCAGTTCATAGAAAACTGCCTTCGCCTCGTCCGACCAGGCGGATGGCTCATCGGCTCCACTATCGCCCGCACGTGGCCTTCATTCATCGTAAATCAGCTCCTTGCCGAAGCCCCCTGGCCCATTGGCGTTGTTCCGCGCGGCACACACGAATGGAGCAAATTCGTGAACGTGGACGAACTACGAACCTGGTCGAGGACGGTTAGAGTGGAGGAGGAAGGGCTTGAGTCTGGTGTTTCTACTAGAGGGCCGCCGAGGTATCTTGATACCAAATGGAAATGTGTTGGGGCAGTGTATTTGCCTGGGATAGGATGGAAGTTGGTTCCAGGGTCGGAAGAATGGGGAAATTATTTCTGGGGTATACAAAAGCTGAGGTGATCATTTGAAACAAAAGTAACACTTTCCTTTCTTATCAAGCATATATTTGTACTCGAGGTCGTGAAGGATACTATGATAATATATAGAACAAGCGAAAGCATATTTAGCGAGCAATAGAAACAAAATCTCCATCGCTCGATAGGGATCACATTTACCGCCAATCAAGTCCTGAGATCCAATCAAGATCAATATTAAATGGTATTAATAGTGTTATCAAAATGGTATCAAAGTCACTACAGGGTACAAGTCTAAAAAACCAAACACAAAAAGGAAAACAAAAAAAAAGAAAGTGAACCTTCGCATAACTACATTGTCTCGTCTTAAAAGTCAATAACCAAGCCATGGCAATCCCCCAAAAACCTGCTGGCAAGCATGCCCCTTGAATGGAGATGGTGGAGAGAACAGTTGAAAAGAAAAAGGAACAGAAGGCGAATATTCACTCCCGATTCCCACCAGGCCTGACGCCTATCCAGTCTATGTTTCGATATGATCATAGGACCTCAACCAAGCGTTAAAAATAAAATCGAAATATGCCAAAAAAAAGAAATAAAACATAAATAATAATAATAATAATAATAAAGGATAAATGAGGTGAGATATTAAAAGTTAGTATGGCATGTAAAAACGGTGAAAAAGGCTGAAGAACGGTACATAAAACAATACTCCGAGGATGCTTCGAGCACAAGGGGGAATGAAGCAATACGAGATATGGAGAGCAACAAGGGAATCTGGATGGAAAAGGAGAAAGTCAAGTGGAAATGCGGTGAGGAATTTGATCGGGTATCTTTAAACAAGATAAATGCAAGCTTCAAAGTACGAAAGTGGACTGTACGTAATCCATTTCAGGCGTGAGTAGCCCAGGGCTCCTCCACCTTCGGTTTAAGCTCATAGTTTTCTGGTTCGGTGCTCTGAGGCCGTCGGATCGTCGAATTGGGGTAGTACATGTGGGCAGGCATTCCCCCTGCGAACGGAGGTCCAGACGGCTCAGGATATGTATATTCAGGAGCGGAGACCGACCCAGGCGACGGCACGCTGTTCAAAGAAGGCGACGCCCAACCTACGGTCGTCATGTGCGGACTACCCGTCACACTGCCAGGCCTAGACCCACTATTCGGCGGAGGTTCGAGAGGTTGTGGAGGGCCATAACTTGTAGGGTGCGATGTCAGGGATGGACGGGGGTGATGAGCGGCAGAGAAGGTAGAGAGAGTTGGAGAAGGAGTGGAGGGTGATGCACGCGGACTCGCTTGCTGAAAATCTCTCAAGTGGGGTGGCAGGGAGCTGCTTGCCATGAAATAATCGCCCATCTGCCGGTGTGAGTGTAGGGGAGGTAGTTCGTGCCTCGGAGAGACGGAACTTCTTTGTGCAGGCGAAGCTGTGCCATGGGGAGAGGCTGTCTCTGAATAAACGCCATCTGGACGAACAACCTTTCCCTGCCGCAGATTGGCTTCCGTTTCGGCGGCAGCTTCTTCTATTGTACCAGTGTGGTGATTTTGATGTCGAGTCAAAGTTGTGCGGCGTGTAAAAGTTTTCTGACAGTTGGCATATGGACATTTGTATGGACGTTTCCCAGAATGTATTCTCCTGTGCCTAGCCAACGAGCTAGAATCGCTAAATGGCTAGATTGGGAGTTAGTAGACTGTGATTTGGAGTTTTCAGCTCAGGAGTTATTACCTTGCCACAGCGGTCGCACATATGGGGCTTCTCTCCTGTATGTACACGAGTGTGTACTGTTAATGCCGAACGCTGGATGAATTGCTTTCCACAACCCGGCCAATCGCACACGTGAGGCCGAATGCCACTGTGAATTCGTTCTAATCATAGGAGTCAGTTACTAAAATTGGTGCTGAAGAGGGCGGAGCGCGATACTTACCATGCCTTGCTAAATCGCTACGTCGTGCGAAACCTTTGCTGCATGTTTGACAGTGGAATGACTTCGGAGCAGGCTCTCCGGTTCCTCTTCCAGGGCTGCTGTTGCTGGTGGGCATGTTTCGAAACATATTTTCGTGGCCATTCTGTGCGTAATCACCCCGCAGCATGGAGGCGTGGTGATTTGTTTGTATCGGTGAATGATACTGGGAAATTGTCGGCAGCTGGATGGGCTGGTGAGCCGGATGATAAGGCTCAGAATGGCGGCCAGGTTGCTGCGCATCATGTTCTGAGCCCAGCTCTGACGGCGATCGCGATTTGATCTGAGCGGTCTGGGCTAGTTGGTGTTGTAACTGGGCCTCAGCAGCTGCAGCAACGGCTGACCGATTTTTGTTCAAGATCGTAGTAATATCCATAGTCACAACTTAAACCGCGTGCACGGATTGATTTCAAGTTGGATACGGTGTCTAGCTCACTAGGGATAATATGAAATCTTGGAATAGCTCTCAAAGATCAAGAAATGTTACAATGAAAACAGACTTCCACCGAGCGGTCGAGCAGGTGCATATAAAGTAACTGTCTCTCTAGGCGAGTAAGAGTTAGCGGCAGGGTAGGAACATGTTTCAAGCAAGACTAGGAATAAGCAAGTTGGGCTTAGAGATCGGCATGACAGCACAAAACCGGAAACTGAAAACCCATGTTCAAAATAAAATGTGATAACTGCAGAGGAAACGCATAGGATATCCAGCATGCTAGTCTTTGAGTTGCATGGGAACTAAGACGCAACAAAGCACTTGGGAAGGAGATTAGCAATCAAGATTTCAGTGTCACTCACGTGGCAGCGCAAAAATCAGTCTGAAGAATGAAACCAGCTGCTCGATATCCAGTCAATCAATGGGACAGTGTTCGGAAGGATGCGTTGCGCGGGGTACAGAGGTTGTCAGATCGCATCTAAAACCGCCTTGTTGATAAGATAGAAATGTGGGCAAGCGATATCCTGAAGAAGGCTACAGCAGGTAGCAAGACGGATACACGACAGTGGAAAGGAAGGACGTCAGGTGGAATGAGGCGCCTTTGCGAATGCAGAGACACGTTCAAGTCAAGTAGCGGTTTTCGGAACGCGAGAAACCGTGGGATTCTCGACAACGGCTAGCTGCAGCTGGAACCCGGTCGTTGTGCCGTCGTAAATTGGAGACAGGAATTGTCCCGAGGCAGTGGAGGGAACGCGTACAATCCTTGATCGATTTTGCAGCAGATATACGCGGAACGGTCCTGAGATACCTGCGCGATGACAAAAAAGAAACTGTCGCAAAGGTGTGACAGCGTCCTACACCAGCCAACTGACACAGCAGCTAACGACTTATTCACCCAAGCCCATTAGCCTCCCAAGCGGATTGTTTGCGGTACAGAGCAGGGTTTGTCAGGGACCTGTTCCCTCGGGTTTTGGATGCAAGGCCAGGGACGGACTTCCGTTTTTGGTGCAGCACAGCTCTCAAGAAGGCAAACAGGGTGGAATGAAGGCGACTCCTCGAGCTAAAGGGCAATTCTGTGTACATAATCTCTAATGTCAGCAAGCTCTTCCGGTGGCAAGAAGGGTTCCACGCAGGTTTCAGTGTGATTCGTGGGTGACCAAGTTGTGCGGGGGGAATGATGCAAGTCATGAATTGAGTGTTCAGCCAAATGCAAATTTCAAGCTTGTACCACTTCTTACAACAATGTACAAGAGAGCAAAGAAGCAGAAGAGCTTGATAAAGCAGCCAAAGATGACGGAAGGGTTATGTTGAGGGAGGAGTAAGTTGCCATGCTCGCAGTGGCGTCGGTTATCAAACCAAAAAGGCGTTCGGGTACGGAAGCACAGGACAGTCGTGCAAAAAGGAGATGACCAACCTCTGGGAGCAGTCGACAATATCAATCACAGAATGCCAGGATTCTGTCTAGAAGGAATGTGGTGTGAGTGAGGATGCGCTGAACAGTGCGATGAAGAAGAATAATGGCTTGGGAACGGGCGGGAAAAAAAAAAATAAAAATAAAAATAAAAAATAAAGAATGATGGATGATGAAACCAGCACAAGAGAAAGAAATTCTAGAAAATCACCACATTTGGCAAAACCAACAACGAGGAACCTTTTCTGCGCTCAGTAGCCCAAACTCCTCTGATGAAAGTTACTTCTTACTTACTAGTATTATCCTTGTCCTAAGGCATGCAAAGCCTGCAAAGAACAGACAATTGAAACTCGGAAAAAGGACAGGGCACAATGGAACGAAGGGAAAAGGACAAATAATAGGAAATACTTCCTGGTCAGACTCTGGGAAAAGAAAAGGCCCAGTTGACGCCTCACACGGAGTACATATATCACGCAGGGAGAGAGGCTGAATTTCAAAGGAAGCTGCCTGTGCTATTGGTCTTCTTTTTTTTTTTTTCCTCTTCCAACTAAAGTTACAGGGCATCATCGTGGTTATGGGTATGATCACTGCTCACCCAGGACTAAGTTAACCTGAACGCTAAGTTTACAGGGAACCGGGGCCCTACTCCCAGGCCGAGCAGGAGTCGAGTTTCTAGGGCCACTTCTCGAACAGTTTTCGAAGGTTACGGGCCCACGGCCTGACGACCACACAAACATTGCCTCAAGCCACGATAACGCCTCGCGTCGTTGCTGGTTTCAAGCGCCGGGTCTCAATACCATACCTGGCCGGCGAGCGGACGAGCGGGCGGCCCTTGGGCGATGGCTCGAATTATTTCGCTGCTTGTTCAAAAGCAGTCAACAATCCATACCCACACTCCACCCCCTTTTTCCCCCTTCCACGAAAGGGAGAGGTGCAGACGCATGGACGGCTGTCTCTTGGATGACCTGCAGGGTCCGTGACAGATGATACAATGCAGCAAGGTGAAACGAGCTCAGTCCTTTGAGGCAAATCGAAATCAAAAACCGTGACCAACTTTGTTACCGGTGCGACCGAGCGCATTGATTCCCGCTCTCAACTCTAACTCGGCAATCAATGCTATTCAAAAGGGCCGGTGATCCAGCCAACCGCAGAGCATTTTGACCGAAGCAAAATCAATTTATTCAAAAAAGCAAAGGCACCTTGGGGAGGCGATTGTTCTATTGCTTCCTTTCGACTAAAACCGATTCGGTGTTTCGACTGTTTGAGATTCCCACCGGCGGCTTGCATTCCTTGCTACATAATCACACACCACTGGTGCCAGGGCGCAATGACATCTTTTTGGCCTTATTTGTGGCTCTGAGAGCTTGGGTGCAAAATCAATGGCCAATCGTATTTTCCAACCCGATCGACGAATTGTTAGCGCTCTTGGCACTTGGTCTGTCATAGGTGCGAGAAGCGATCCTTGCAAGTTTGAAAAGCAAAGGAAATAATTTGCTGATCTCGACCTCTCATAAAGCACCGTCCCTCTCCTTTTACTCCGCACGTTTGTCCGCCTGCTGCTGCTCCCCGTCCAAGCAAGCTCTTGACAGAGAGCGGTGGCCCAACTGCGAAGAATTAATAAGCATCCACTTTTCTTTTTCTTTTTCACAGCCCCTTCCAACTGCAATTTTATTTTCTCTGCATGGATACCGCACTGTAATCCTCTCCACAGGCTGTCTCCACCTACAGGGCCAACAGGATCAAGAGGGAACAAAGAGAGAGCATCGCCAGGGATGCCATACCAAATAATCGACTAATGCATAGTAGGCATGCGAAGACTTACATTAGTGCTACAGATCATCTCTCGTGCTTGGGCGTAAATTCAACGACATCTCCGAAGTCCAGCCACGAAGCGCAAAAGTTGCTTATTCACCTCGCCATCCCATTTGACTCCTAATTACAAATCAGTGGATAATATAACTAAAGCATTGTCTCGGGGCGTACGGTACAAGTCTAAGCCCTCGTCGACGCCTGAGAGAAACCACGTATATACATGCATACGTTACTCCGTACAAACCATGTGAAGAATAATGTACGGAGTACGGAGTACAGAGTGTCAGTTCACCAATCGCGATTGGTGATACCTTTTTGTGAGGAAACATTCTTTGGAAAAGGAGCCCGAGATCTCCTGTTCCGCAAAGCCTTGTTCCTAGCGTCCTTGGCCCTCTTGCGAGAGAGCTACCCGGTACATGAGACTGCTGAGCTGGTGCCTCGCCTGAAAAGCCACGCGTGAACAAACGCAGCGTTCGACGACGATCATGACGACAGACAATACTAAAGATTTCCTCTCGACTCCACACGGCCAGAAAAATCCAAAGCGCAAATCCCACACGCGTGGCTCCATTTATGTATTCACATCTGACAGGAGAATATTCGCTACGTCCATACGATGTGGCTCCTGTCGATATCGTTCCTGCAGGTTTAAAACTTTCTTTGACAACGAGTTTGTTCCTAAAAAGCCTTACAGTGTCCACAAGCGTCACAGAGCTTAGAGGGGTATCCCTGCTGGAGTGACCTTCGAATTTATGTATTCCCGTCATGTCCACCATCCACGGGAGACACATAACTAACATAGAACGGAGTATTCCGCACATATACATGTAAAATTGAGGGACATGTGCGTCCATCGGTCCCCGACTCTTTCTGCCGGCTCCCCTGGAACCCCAACCCACCCGGGGCCCCCTCTACCCTTCTAGAATGTGCGGGAGCCCTTTTGCATAAACAGGGGAAAGGCTGACAGCAACTCACGTCGACAAGGTCCGGGAGGGGGAGAACATATGTGCTCCGTACTCCATAGCCGATGATTCTAGGCAACGATTGAAAGTGCTCGGCCCTGCACAAGGAGCAAGCCAACCTGACCCATCGCTAGTCCTAACTAGAAGAGGAAAATAAATAAAAAAAAATGGAGGAAAGAAAAATCTCGTTAAGCGTCCATTATTCTGTAAAGAGTCACACGACCTAGAACGGAGGCAGAAAAAAAAAAGAAAAAAAAGAAAAAAAAGGAAAAAGAAAAGAAAAGTGTAGGAAAGAAAGAAGCGAGTCAGAATGACTCCGTCCAACAGATTTCAAAAGGGGCGAGTGTGGGTGAACCGCATAGCGTCGCCCTTGTGGCCCAATAACTATGTAACTGCATACCGCTAACCCATCGCTAACTACTGTAGTGAATGGTGGCCGCGCGCTGGGGGAGGGCAGCCGGCGAACAGCGTCGCTCGACCCCGTGGGCTGGCCAGGGGTCAGGCCGCCAGCGCCGGAAAGCGCAGCACAGAAAAGGGAGGGAAAGGTGGGTCCACGCGACGGCAGTGGGTCTCCTCCACCGAAGCCCCTGAGACTTCCAGAAGCCTTCTGGAATCTTTCTGGAAGGGTTTGGGCTGCTGGCCTGCTCGCGATCGCTCGTTGGGTTTTTGGGGGGGGGGGCGGGCCAGGAGGAGCCAGGAGGAGGGGGGATGCATGATCTGTCGCCTTCGCTCCAATCCACCGAGTCTTCAATGCTTCTCCCCGGACATCAAACCGATCATGCGCTCCGCTTCAGGCTCTCGAAGCCAATTAGTCGCTTAGCCGCAGCCTCCATGCCTCCCCAGCTCCCCCCGTCTCTGGCCAGCAACCCAAAATCTTTTTCTACACAGTCCATTCTGAACTGCATAACATATCATACTCTTTGGGATGACAATTTGTAGAACTGACTCCTCACGTAACTTCGGAGTACGTAACTCGATCCAGTCCGGCTAGCCGCTCCGCTCCGCTCTGCGTCGCACTCCGAAACTCTCAGGTACATAACAAGTACGTAACCAATGATCATTCCATTCGCCTCCATTCGCCTGGAGCTGCCATTAGGGGATTGCTCTCCCTCGCCCTTTGCTTTCCTTCCAGGCGCCGGCAGAATAATACTTAAACCACCCCGTCAGAGGCGTCTCTCGTCAAACTCAACGCAAAAAGGAGTTGCGCTAACCACGCCTTGGATGATTTGTCAATCTTACGGAGCTGAAAAAGCATATCGACGGAGGACATACGCCATGTCGTCTCCCAAGGAAAAAGAAAAAAAAAGAAAAGAAAAGAAAAGAAAATTAAATTAACTTCATCAAAAAAGGGCGGATGGATTTATTCCGCGATTGGCTCATACCTAGGGAACTTGGCAGAGTGATTGCTGTGATGGACGACGGAAAAGTACATCGAAGTCAACAGAAGAATCATGGAGGACCACCAGCGAAGCTGAGAATGTCCGGGCTTTGCATTCCTAGCTTCTTTCTGGACGCCACCGTGCAGTGGGAAATTGAATGAGAGCCCGCGTCACCTGCCGGATCGGACACTAGTAGAGGCTTCAACCGCACCGCACGTGGCATTGATTCACACGTTAGTTCAACCCATCGACTCACTAGTGCCAGACGGGGATGGCCATAATCTCAGTCGGAACCCAACACTTTTTCTTTTGGAGTAACCTTCGGGGAGATACCTGTACCTCATTCGCCCCCAGGGCATGTTTTATCTTCTCCTGTTTCTTCTTGAAACTTCCTAGCTCTGTGGGGTAATCAGCAACGTGGTGTTGTGCCACTCTTCGACCTGCAAGCGTCCATCTACATGATGTGTTCGAATGGAGAGAGAGAGAGAGAGAGAGAGAGAGAGTGGAGAATAATAATCAGGAGATGGACTGTGGAGCATACCGCAGACCGACACCTCTGACCCTAATGGAATAAGTGATGGGAAGCGCGGATGATGGAAAATGGAGGGAGCAGTTATTTACTCCGCACTCCCCTTCCAGTTCAGCCAGAAGTCTCAAATGGCATTTGAACATCTCGAAAGCATGTCAGTGACTCCTTTCCCTACCTTTTTATCGGAACATTTCGAAGCTAGGCACCGGCCATGAATCCGATACGCACAGGACAGGCTGCGTTCTGCGCAGTTCCCTGCCCACCCGGGTGGGTATGGGGTAATCATAGCCTCACCCCGTGCTCATCAAGATTCCACAGCAACTTTTCACAGGTATAATATTCTCTCCGCTCATTTTACAGGGTATTTCCATGTTGCAGAATCCCTCGGTGGGCGCCTGCGATCCTTAATTGCCTAGTACATTATCTTAACAAAGCCACTTGGTAGAAATATAGGTCGATAGTGTAAATGAGGAGGAGCCCAGCGCTCTGGATGTTTCAAATCCCGCTTGCTGGGCCAGAACATCGCCGCCTGAAAACTTGTTTCAACTTGCATTCAAAGCAGCTTCAGATCGCGAGATGGAGTCTGCCATCCCCCGTCTACTCGGGCCTATTCGACGGCCAAGAAGAGTTCAAACAGACTTGCAAACGCTATCACCATCCTATATGCATACCCAGCTACTGTAGTCACATGTTCCATCTCAAAACTGTTATGGAAATGAAGAAACACGAAAGACGAAGAAAAACACCTTGATTCCAAAAGCAAAACACGCCAGTTTATAATAGGCCTTTGGCTCCATGCTGGTGTGGTTGAGAAAGCATCTTCGTGGGGCTCGCGACTCCCGAAGGAAGCCGTGCGGAGAGGATTCCAAAACGAAGAATAACTTCGGATATCGTGACGATGATAGAGATGAAAATCAAGACAATGATAATCCACGTTTGTCCTGCGGGAGAGGTCAACATAAACAGTGATAGAGAAACTAATGCAAGAAGTGCGAAAGAGCAGGCCCAATCAATACTTACTTGACATTTTGTTGTCGGCAATGGAATCAGACAGTATCTCAATTAGATCTAGGAATACCCGACATCGCTCGTTCAATACTTGAATGCGAGGTTTTATTTCTAGGTATTCTCGCACAGCGATATAAAGCGGATGAAGTGTCGGTTCACTGTCCCAGAAGAAATTGGGAACATCGAGCATATTTGAAGCTGTATGTAAATGGTTAGATTCCAATCAATAGCATAGAAATGGAAAGTATGTGGTTCGATAGGCACTATGCCCTCAGAGACACTTACATAGATTCACTTCAACCCGACTCTTAAACAACTTGCCCATGATCTGAAAGACCTCCTCCCTCTTCATGCCTAGATGTCCCGTCAAAGCCAGCCTTCGCGGAACATCTTTTGCTTCCGCCATCTGTTTTGCCATAACTTCTTCAAAGAAGCTCAACTTGGTACTCTGCGCAATCCCATGGCTAATTGCTAGTTTTATCATATGATCTCCGCTCCGTAACGTGATCATATCATTGTAAACACGAGGACGTGATATTTCAGTTGAGTACTCGAAGTGGAATTCTTCCGTTTCAAAATCTTCTTCTGGAAGTGGATTGGTAGCGAGAGGGATCGGGATACCGTCTTTGCTTGATGCAAAGGCAAGGTCGGCAAGGACGTCTATCTCCTGTCTCTCTGAGAAATTCCAAAACACGACGACCCCATAGCTGAAAACAAACATTTCTGCAAACGAAAGCGCATTTGGTGGGATATTCGACACTTTGGCGGTGGGCGAACCTTCTGCAAATTGGTCTTCAGCCTGCTCGCTTACATCCTTATAGTAGTCGTAGGGTTGATCTCTACCAGGAGAGTGGCCATACGCTTCGTGCTCTGGTTTTTGATCGTGATCCTGTCCGTCCGATCTGCTGTTTCTCTCGGCGCCGTGGTCCTTCACGGAGTGCTCATCCTGCTCAGCGTAGTACTCCTCATGATAATCCCGCTGCTCATTTCTCGCAATCTCCTCGTCTAGAACAACTTTTCCTTCCGCGCTTCTAATTATCGGGCTGCTCCTGATCCGATATCCATCCCTACCAGGGAGTAAAGGTAGATGATACGCCGTATACAAACAATCGTCATATAACTTTGTCCTCGCTCCATGGCATTCCTTCACAAACATCGCCGTAGAGGTCATTTTATAGCCCTGCGCCGTACAATACGCCGTAACACGAGGAAGTCTCTCTGCCCGACGCGCCTTCGGCAACCGTTCAGCATAACTCTTCGCCTGCTCGGGCGCAACTCGACGACGCATAAGCGCCTCTTCCTCTGCCAACAGCGGTCCAAGCTCATTGTCCACAGAGAAATCCCGACTTCGCAACCTTCGCTCGGCCTGTAAGCGACGTAATCTCTCCTCAGCGGCTTCCCCCTCCCCTGCTCTGATCATCTCTTCTCTGGCAGAGGGCGGGAACTCTTCATCTTCATCTTCTTCCAACACGGTCTCGGGTAAAAGCACGAGCTTTTCGCTAACCTTTGTTGATCGCGGCGGGAGATGTGGTAAGGAGGCAAGGCGTCCTGCTGACCTTGGTCGTGCATCGCCCGCTGATCCCACTGCAGACGAACTAGCTCCGACGCCCGCTGGACCTCCTATCCTTGAAGCTCGGGGCCGCACCCGGCCGGGCGGGAGTCTTTGATGCATGGACGGCATATCAGAAGCATATTGTAGCACGTTGTCAACGGTAATAAATCTTGAGGCGGGATTTGCTGGTGCATTGAAGCGGCGTCGGTATTGTTGATCGCGGGAATCAGTGACCTGCGAAACGATGGTTAAAATGATTGAGAATTGATGCTCTTGCAAGTGACATGAAGCAAAAGCCAACATGAATCCACTTACGAGCACTGTTGGATTTCTCTTGCCTGTTCCAGGGCCTCCCTTGGGAGCCATGGTGCTATCTTCTTATCGTCTGATCCTCCCAGCAATGTGTTTGTATGTATCGTAGCAGTCGCGGCACACAACACGAGATATTGTTTCACACACAGGCACCCAGCTCTGTTCCTATCTTTCCAGGAACAGGAAGCGGATCCCAGCAGTGAGTATCCCAAGGTACCTTTTGATTCGAATGCTATATGTTTAAGTTTGAGAACACCATTGTACAATTCAAGCGGGAGGGAACAGGTCTTTAAATTATGTAGTTAAAAGCGCGGTGTGCATGTAGAAGTACATAATTGAATCAGCAAACAGTTAAAGCACATCATTCACCACCAGGTATTTTCCGACCGCACTCTGTGAAGCTAGGAGGGGCAAGACATTTCGCTTGTGCCGAAGCGTCTGGCCTCATTCTGGTGTTGGCGAAGCTCCAACTTCATGCTGAGCTCATCCGGTCGAGAGTGTCTTGGCACACTTCATCCAGGTCTTGGCAGCTCCGGCGCCCACTCACCGCCGCCCGGCACACTCTCGGGGTGGTACATGTAGCCTTCCATTTGGTATGGCCCGTCTTGTTGCATCTTCCAAGGGTGCGAGGACCGGGCTCCCAGCAAGCACCACTTCTTCTTATCGGCATGTAACCACGGCATGTCACTAATCTGCCACTGCCATCAATGTCACTACTTGATCATGGCCTCAATCGACAATTATCGGCATTGTATATTGTATTAACTCCTCCGTCCTGTTTGTCTATTTATTCATGTTAGGTGAAACAAGTAATCCGTCAAGCAAAATACGCAGCATGGGTTCGATGAATCGTCATGATGATAGTTTTTAGAGAATTGAGGGCATCAATTATCCGTCTTTCAAAAGATATCCTTCCCAGTAGATAAACATATGAAAAGTGCTACAAACAATTTCTGAGATTTCGTGGCCAGAATAGCATAGAAACCAATCTTCAGTAGCAGCCACGTTCTAAAATGCGAAGCAAATGCCAAACTCGAAATGGCCTATCATCGCGATCTCAGCTGACGATCCTCGTCCCAAATCTCCTGCTTCATTTTCTGCAATCGCATATGCTGCTGCTGTAGCTTGATCAATTGACTCTCTGGAGGAGATGCGTGATTAGTTAACTCCTCATGCAACTTGCGGTATTTTTCATAGCCATGCTTGAACTGTCGCGCTTTTTCCCTCAATCTCTGACGCAGTATGGTCACGCTCATGGGCGGCGTTGAATTGCCCGAAGTACTCTCTTCACTGGATACAGTGGATGGTCGTCGCCTCTTATGCTGAGAGATTCGAGTGTCGGCATGTGTGATGCCAAGTCCCACAGGAAGACCGCGAGCGCCGGTACGTGGCGTTTTTTCTTCATCCTCGGCCTTTCGCTTTAGGGGCTTAGACACCGCCGGGGCCTTCTGCACATGTTTGGGTTGCCCGAGCACCGGTACCTTCGTCGCGGATCCAGCCCTTTGCCTTGGAAGATGGTGGATGAGAGGAGAAGATGAGCTGGATGACTGATTTGTGCTGGAAGATTTTCCCGTTTTCTCGATATCCGATGCATTTGTGGGAGGTGAGGAGCCTAACGGGGAAGGTTTCTGGGGAGACCTATTATTCGCTGGACGTGATGCAGTGCTAGAAGATGAAACTGTCTTTGATGGACGAGACTTCGGCTGAGACGGCTTCTTATCTTTAGCCGGGGCTGGCGATTTTATCGATGTGGATCGCTCGCTTGGCTGAGAATCGGGAGAGCTTCTTTGAGCGTCGGCAGCTTTGGACGATTGTGTGATACTTGAATCAGCCATTTCGGCATCTTCGTCAGAATCAACCACAAACTCAGCCGATTTGAATTTAGCATCTGGTTTCGAAGCTGCTTTTTTCTCTGTGGCTTTATCAGTCTTCTTCGTCACTTTGCCAGTAATGGTCGAGTTTTTTGGCTTAGGGGCGGGCGCGCGTTTAGGTATAGCACCGGGTCGCTTTTTCAGCCCAGAGGCGTCTGCCTTCTTGCTGATAGCTGGAGTGCTGCTTGATGTATTGGGACAAGGTTCGGATTCATTTCCGGTACCGTATCCCTCTTTGGAAGGCTCGTCTGATGGAGAGATATGGATCCGCGGCGTGACGCTCTTAGGTGGCGGGCCTGTATGGAGGTTTAACCGAGAGAGAACTTTGCCTTTCCCTCTTTCGTGTTTTGGAAGAAGCGTTTGCCATAATTTGTCCTGTTTAGAGACCCTCATTCTGTCAAATGCGGAGATGGCATTGTCAATCGCGTCTTGACGGTCATCTTCCGACGGGTATGGAAACTTCCAAACGTCCAAATCCTTGTAGGCTTTATCTTTAAGGTCATACTTTTCCCTGTTTAGTCGGTTCTCCGTGCCATATTTGCGTACAAGGGTCAAGCAATCTTCTTGAGAAGAACGTGTTTTCTGGGCGAGGAACTTAACGGACACCGGCCGTACGGCGAGTAGATGAAGCAAGGGGACACGCAGAGCCTCCAACCTAATCTTATCTTTGTTCTGTGTCGTCGGGACGGATGTTGGAGTAATAGCGGGAGACCGAGACGCAAGAAAAGCGGGACTAGCTGGAGAGGATCGGCTAGCAGTGTTCGTAAAGAATCGTTCTTTCTCCATATCTGCCTTGCTTGTCGACATGCGAGCTAGGCTTGCCGCTTCTCTGCCGGTTGCTGTACGGTTATCCCCGGCACCCAGGGCCCTCATTTGGTCGGTCGTGATCATGGGAGTCCTCTTCGACTCCTTGCCCTGCCGGAAGGCGCTGAGCCTCTGCTCAAGGGTAAGCAGGGCCTCATCGGTGCCTGCGGTGGCTTCTCTAGCCCTCTGAACCTCCAGGCTATGGCTCAAGACACCAGAGAAATAGAGACTATCCTTGGCGTCGGGAGGGGAAACATAGAGCTCCGAGCGAGTATTCTCAGGATAGGAGTAGAAGGGCTGGGAGCGAGAGCCGAAATGGAGGGACGGGTGTTTCCCTAGGCGGAGTCGAGCATTCTGGTCCTTGCGAAGGCTGTCAATAAGGTCGTCGAGAGTGCTCTGGGCGAGATTCAAACGCATGATCTGAGCGGGATTTCTGGGAGAGTCAGCTGAGGGCTCCCCGGAGCCTTCAGTCCGGAGAAGGGTGAGGCCTCCCTCAGGAATATCAAGAGGAGCCATTCTTGGAGCAGAAGGCAAGGTGTATATAGGGACGAAGCGTTGGCTGGGACGTAAAATGGAACTGGGACGTTGGGTGGATTATGCGAGGGAGGGAGAGGGTTGCAGAGAGCTGCAGCGAGCGAGCGAGCGAGGGCAGAGGCTACAGGAAAGAGTGGACGACAATGGGAACACCTTCATTGCCAAAGGATGGTCGTAGTCTAGAGGAACAAGGGAGGCTGGCGGAGGGAGACAATGATCATGGTAAAGAGCGTGTCATGGTGAGGTTGAATGGGGGAAGAAAGGGAGCTGTGATTGCAGGCTGAGGAATGTTTGATGGTCAGGATGACCCAAACTCCGGGTATTGCTATTATTGATTCATGCACTAATTAATTTTGCCAGGGTCTGAACCTTGTATTAACGAAGTTCTCGCAGGAAGTCAACAGTTCACTATAATTACTACTGCATGTAACTACCAGATCTACCTGAGGAAATACGCTGTTGGGTTCACCCGTCAGACAGCCAGCTGGCTGTGGTTTTTCCAGCGAAGTGCCGCGCGGAGCTGAGCATTGACCTTGCATCCACGGCCCAGCAGCAGGGTCGCCCCAGACCCTCCTCGTGGGCGAAAACCAAGGGAACCACAAAAAGGCACTGCTCAGGTTCGGAGAACCGAAAGAGGAGGCGGCGAAAATGATGGTCTGGGGTAATTAATCATTAGCTTCCGAAGGATCTTCTGGTGTGAGGACAAATGATTTCATGTTGACGCCTTGACTCTCCTCAACTTATCGCGTGCGTCTTCTCCTCCCGTCCAGCGTTTGTCAGAGGGAGAGGTGGGGGGGCACGACAGGATCCGGTTGCGGATAAATACAACTTCGTGCCCACGGTTGACACTTAAGCCTTGGGCGCGACCGTCCTTCCAGATGGCCCGCCATTGTCATGTTTGGGGCCCATAATTCTACACCCTGGTTGGATTGGTAATATGGTTAGAGTTAGCGGTGCCAAAACACCGTTGGCTGTTGTGAGATGCTCGCAGCGATTGGATACACTGCCTGGCGCAGACACGCCCAGAGTTTCGACCATCCAAGTGGTACTTCTTCCGTTCCCATAAAACGGAAAAAAAGGAAAGAGACGAGAGAAAGAAGACGGAGGAAATGTCAAGAATCGGTTGGATGGCGGTGATTTCAAGCGCTGTCTCAGCAGCTGCTTCAGTTGTCGCCCCAGCAGCAAGGGTTTTTGAACCCTGAACGGCCGATCTCCCCGGGCTGCTCAACCGCCCAAGGGGACCCGGCCGTCAGTGGCTCCCTCGCCGTCCTGTGGCTTGAACCAGGCAGCCTGTGAGAGGTGCTATTCTTGTCCTGCTCCTTTTCCTCCTTTTTCTTCTGCCTCTTCTTCCTTTTGGCCCCATCAGCATCGGCCGCGAAAGGTTTGAATCTACGCTGTTTCAGCCAATGCATGGAGTAGACCTCTGTATTGTCCCAAAAAAAAAAAAAAAAAAAAAAAAAAAAAAAAAAAAAAGAAAAAAATTAAAATAAATAAGTAAATTAATTGTTGAATGCAACTGAACCGGATATGTACACGTACGGGAATGGTCTTGCTTCGATACAGAGGACCGACACCAGCATGATCGTGATCCGGCGGATTACGATGGGGCACCAGTGAGCGGACCGTGAGTTGGCAGGGCTTCCCGGCCTCCGTTGAAATCTTCGTTCGTCCGCCATCCACCCAGTCAGCCGCCTCAAATACTCGACGTTGCACAGGCACCAAACGCGTCGTTCAGCCCCGGACACCATTTTCCCTCGACTTTTTAGGGCGAAACTTCCTGTACAAAACAATACGGAGTCTGCGCTCGCCACCCCAGCGAGAAGACTGACAAAAAACAATCGGGGATATGGTCGAAAAAATGGTACAAAGAGATCTTCCCTGCGAGCAAGATGTGGGGCGAGGTGGTACTAACACCGCGGAATCCCATCCTCGTCGTATTGTGGGCAAACGCCGTTGGTTTGTGATGTCACCTCCCAAACGCAACAAGTTTCATGGACGGCGACATGTCGAAACGTCCATAAATACGGCTCATTCGCACCTCGTGTGTGCACTTTGCCGGTATGGCGCTCTTGACCTGCCCATTTCCAGGCGGATTGACCGGTGTCTCCTCCAATCACCAAGGAAGCTTTTGTTTGCTATGGCGAGACGCCCGGGTTCCTGGGCCTTCGTTAGAGTTTCGGGCCAACCGCACCCGACCACCAAGACTGCATATGGGAGACACATACGATGGTGGCACTTGCATTAGTTACATTCACGGATGCCAACTTTTCTTGACGAAAACCTGCGATGACTGTGGAACGGACTGCCGTCGAGACAGTTGTCGATGACGGGTTGACCATCCCTTTATTCCGACCAGGAATTGTTATGTCCGACCAGCGCTCCGCTCAAGGCTCACCAGGTCATCTATTTCTTTTCAACCCCCGGTTGCCTTACACAGCCGATCGACACAGATACTCATCGGCTGCGGAACCAAATCCCTCAGCGGGATGGCATGCATCAGTCCCCTTCATGAACATTGAAGTGCGGCGTGGGATGGTGAGCACCCCCGCCGCTCGACTCGCCATTCAAGCGATTAAAGTTACACGCCTGCCCACTGAGCCATCGCTTCTTGAAAATCATATCTTCTTGGATTATTCTCTTTGTCCCTGTTCCGGAACCCAATCATGCATTCACATGTTCTGAGCGGGGTATCATCCTTGTCACTGATCTCATGTCATACAGTGAGCTGATCCCTTCCCTTCAGACCATTATTGACGCCAGGGAAACAAAAGGAAAGAAGCTCACTGCCTTCTGGTTCGATTTGGCAGTTCAATTTTTTTTTTTTCTTTTCTTTAATTTTTCCTTCCTTGAAGAAACTGGATGTGCCGGGGGAGATTCAGGAGCCCGAAATCCATGTCTGATCCTGGTTTGCGACATGGATAAACAGCCGAGATGTGCGGCTAGACTGAAGAACTACCAAAGTTTATCAGTTCACAGGTGGTTTTCTCCTTAGACCACGCCAATATGCAGTCCTCTGATCCAAAAAAAAAAAAAAGAACCACAACACCAGAACGCGCACCTTTTTTCTTCAAGTATGTCAAGCTCATTATATATGACTGATCATGGTTCCTATGCACGTGAAGTCATGTATGGTAGGATTGAATGGGTCTGGTGCATCTCTGCTGTTTTTCAATGTAACCAGCTAATGGAGTACATCCTTGAGCTATATGGGGGCACCTGGGTGGGAATCCTGGCCATCGTGACCCTTTGGGTCAGGAACAAGGGAGCCGTTTGTCGCTTTCCAATCTTTCTTTGCACTTTGTGCAAACATTCAAGATGTGAACCTATGTCTCAGAGAGATTCAAAGAAACTGCTATTGGAGCTCAATGAAGCTGGTACATGTTATGCATGTACTCCGTACAGTATAATGTGCATACAGCACATGTGTGAAACCGGTGACTCAAAAGGTAATGACTATTTGGATTTTTGTTGACCCGCACTTCACACGTCCCTGTATGTCCCCATCCTATGTCCTAGGAAATCTTCTATCCATATGATATAATCTTTTGTTGATTGATAGGGGGAAAGGAAACACCAAACATTTGGTTTTGTCCTTGCTATGTATTCCAGTTATCACAGTCAACTTCGAGGTTTGTCTGACGACTTGAATGTTTTCAAACCCAAGCGATCCACATCGCGGAGTTTGCTGACAGCCTGACACTCCGGATGTGGGGCCTTGCTCCAAGGAGATAACACAGGGCGCCACGTGGTGTAACACTCTGATAAGGTTCCATCATTGTCTAACCTCGCTACTTTCGCTTGGACGAAGAAGACGGAATGTCAGTGCGATTAAGATTCTATCTGCAGCTTGAGGTGCGCATACGGGGTCGGTGTTATGTCGAACCGAGGGATTTAAGGTGATAACCTTGAGCCTTCTTCCCCATGGTTCGACTTTATATTCGAGCAGAGAGAGAATAAAATGCCCAGGCTCCAAAGAGACTGAGATAAGGTCCTATGTATGGTTACCCCAAGAAAATTACCTCGATTGCTGGTCGATCCATTCAGAGATCTGGCCAGTTTCCATACGTCAGCTCTATGTTGGATCGCCTGCATCTCGCCGTGGGCTATCAAAAGCCTGAGACGATACAATGATTGTATGGTAGAGCCCATAGATCTTTTATGCAACTTACACTTCCAATCCGTTCTTCATTTATCTCCCTAGGAGAAGTCCAGCTGTGGTGCACGTCCATTCCTTGGATCTCCCTCCATACTCATATGGTTGACCTGTTGGTTCTGCTATTGTGTATTGGCCCATATCCACCTAATGCTCACTGGCTGCCTAGGATGGGCTTATGGGTATAGCTAGATTGAATCTTTTACTGCTAGCCTAAGTACAATGTCAGAACACTATGAATAAACAGCATCGGTGTTAATGGAGGAGGACCCCAGTATTGGCGGAGGACCCGACTCTTATATTTATTTTTATGGCACAGTCGGAACTCTTGGACGCAACAAGATGGGATCAATTTCCAGAGACTTGTGTCCTCGGGTTGGAAGTCTAGTGTTGCCAAATGTCGCAAATGGGTCAGGTGTAATAAGACCATGAGATATCGCACGGCCTTTCGCCCGGAAAAAGTGTCACATGAATAACTTGGATACAAATCATGGTAGCATCACTTCACATCATCAGAGGATATGTTCACCATTAGTAACTGCATCTTCATTCGCAGCAGCATATGCTCTTGCTGTCTTGCTCAATAACAGCAATTAGGCACAATGTTAAGGTTTGTCAGAATGTGGGACACTTCTATTGATTTCATCAGTGTCATATTTGGCGAGCAACAGTAGAACACACTTTAGGGAAGTTAGAGTGAATGTTAAAAAGTTCATGGAGACATCTATCTGGTTGTTCATATTGTGTATAATGGAATTGAAACCATTGGCAGCTAGTGAGCTTAACTGCTCGTAAAGACACACAACTTTGAGTATAATTAAAATCACTCTTGCATGCAATTCCTGAAGCTCAATTCTCGCAGAATGTGCAAATTGGCTGTGGATAGGGGGCACCATTGCCATATAATCCGTACCGAGTGTCAGGATCAATGGGGTCAAACATATCCCCAAGGTCTATGGAGTACATCATATATGTTTGATATTGTACTTCATCCTCTGTACCTATGGATGTAGGTGGGCACGTATGTATCTACTAATACATACAATCTTGATTGTTCCCCTCCGGCTAGCTAACAAAAAGAACGCAAGTTTGTTGCATTGATTACTAGCCATACTCTGTTGCGGAGTAGGGCCTATCAGTTTTGGCGGGCATGATTCTTAGGCTTTTGGCAAAACTTGACCACGAACCAAGGTACGGAGTACCCAGCCGGTTTGTCTTTGAAACAATTCGCTTGTCAACTAACATTGCAAGGCATCTTTTGGCACATTTGTGAAGCCGATGCCGGCTCAGCATAGGAGAGCCAAGCGAATAGCCTGAACCGAGTTCTGGGCGATGAACAGCATCTCCAGACTGGCGCTTTCGAGACGGACTGGGGGCATTGTTTTCATGCAATTGCTCCCACCAGCATTAAGCCGAGGAATCAGAGGTTGACTCACTATTGGATAATATGCATTTGTTATCCCATTGCGACCAGCTGATGTTCGGGTAAGGAATGATCATTTTCATATTAACATGTACACATCCGTAAGGCGGGTAATAAGAAAAACTAGGGGTTCTCTTTTTGATCAAAAATCTTCTGGCGCAGGCTCAATGGAAAATGGGGAGGTTTCACTGACTACGGAGTATAAGCATTGCAAAGACAACTTAAGGATGCAGGTCCAAGTCTTAACTTAAATGCACCCTGAGTCCTTCACTTTTATGTGTGGAAAGTGTACTCCGTAGTCTGAGACGCGAGGATTGGTTGGGCAACAAGTTGTTTGACTTCTGTTTAATAATCACACCACATTCACAGATTATGAGCAACTTACAGCTCCACTGCCTGTTTAATTTTACTTACTATATTTACATATTCTACGGAGTACTCTGTAAAAGTATTCTACTAGATCTTATTTACTATTTCTCTTTTAAAACATGTCAAAAGCTTAGACTGTGGTGAGTCGTGACTCCAATCCAGAAGTCAAATCAGAGTCAACCCAGCAGTTCTGGTCTGATTAACACTCCTGAATCTGTCAAGCTCAGAAACTTCAGATCAATGAAGATCCGAGGCTCCGAGCTAAGAAGTTGAAGGCTAACTACATGGAGACTAGTGTCTCGACAGATAACCATTATTTATGGCTAGATGTTCTGTAGATGGTTTCTTTCTGCATTTTCCACTCCTCCTGTAGGGAAGATGGTGGGTGAATACAAGATTCACAAGTTAAAGTTGCACGTATCATGAGCAATCTCCTACCACACTCTAAGGTCTTTTTTTTAGGACATTCTTTTCATCTTGGTCTCCCTTTGCGAAACCAGCTAACCCAGGAATAGATAATCAAGATGTTGCCTGTTTAACTTTGTAGTCTGTTGTAAATGACAACGGACTCTGGTAGGTTTAATTGGCAATACTACTGCTCGGGTCGAAGCCACTCACTCATGTATCAACCTTGGGAGAGAATGTCGAATAGGGCAAGCAAACGCTCCAAACTGGTATATCAATAATTCCTCCCCAGAATACCAGATATTCGTCTTATCTTCACTACGAAGCCGTTAGAGAACGGAGCCGACGTGAGATTTTCAGCTATCAGGAGCCGTCTCTACGGTGAAAAACTCGTCCTTTCTGATAGGATACTATTACCTCTTGCTATGGAGAACAATGAATCTTCCGTCTTGATATTGCTTAAGCTCAGGTTTACCATGTGGACACAAAAATATCGCCCCATTGGGCTTTAAGTTTGGACCGGCTAATTTCTCGCCTGTTATGTACAAAGTGGAGAGACCATAACAGACGGAAGGCGTAGCAGCGGCAAAGAAAGGAGTGGAGAATCCATGCACTCTACTCCGCAGCGCTCTTAAGATCGGATGTGCAGGATCGGCAGCAGAAGACAAGCTAGAAAACCGGCTCGACTGACCTCAGCGTTACAAGTGGTCTGGAAACCAAATATCTCGATATATCTATGGGGTATAATACAGTGCCCGTCATGATGTTGCAGAAGCTGATGGACAATGTCTTGAGAGGCTAACAAGGGAGGCTCTGGCTATTATCGCCTAAGCTCGATCCGGTAGCTTAAGGCTCAAGAATCAAAGGGTCAGCTCAGTAACCAGCTGAGCAATTGGAGGAGAAGCCATTTCTTACCCTGTCCACTAGCTTTGCAAAAAAAAAAAAAAAAAAAAAAAAAAAAAAAAAAAAGGGGAAAAAAGGAAAAAAGGGTACTTCATGCGGAGTACAGAGGAGAGCGACAGGTCCCAACATGCTGGTAACCCTTCTCCCCGTCCATATTTGCCAACGTCTGTCAATGGATAGCATGGACCCGCTACTGGATCGTGCCGCAAGGAATAATCGAGCTACAGTTGGACTCTGTAGCCTCCGCTTTGGCTGCAATGAAATATAGCTGCTATTGCGTACCCTGGCTGGTTTCCCCAGGTTTTAGCTTACCTGGAGGTTCTTAGTCTCCTCGTATATTTCAGACGAAGGGTCTATGAACTTCTACATCTGAATTTGAAATATGCCTCGTTCCCATCCTCGCGTCTTGTCTTCCTCGCTCAGTGTGATTCAAAGAAAACAGCGCCTGAGATGGGATGAAAAGCTACCTGGATGCGGAACCCACCTCCAGAAGTCATTGCTTCCTGGCCAGAACCAAATTATGTCAATCCCGAGTTTCGAGGCCCTCAGTTGGCCATCATCGGAATCGGGTTTCTTGTCTTATCGCTGATTATCGTCTCTCTCCGCATGTAGGTGCGATTCTGGATGATACGATAGGCTGGCTGGGATGATTGGCTTATGATTGCTGCGTTGGTTAGTAGTCTTCATACATGAAATTCATCCCTTCTTTCGTCGCAGGTTCCAAGTGATGATCAACCTCGCATACTATATGAATTCCCTGGGGCATTGATGCTATCCTTGCTGAATAGAAATCTGCTTCCTACCCCGTTTTGATTGGCACCACAATCCTGTGCATCGATTCCACCAAATATGGATGGAGTTAGTCTTGAGAAGTTGCTTGATTTATCGTTATTTTCTTAAAAATATGCGCTGAACTTTGCTTTTAGGAATCCACATCTGGGATAAATAAAAAAGAATGGTACAGTCCATCTAGGCTTGTGAGTCTATCACTACTGGAAAGCATACGTAAATGCTGCATACTAACCGAAGTGTGTTCTAACAGGCAAGTTGGGTCAATCAGGTTGCTTATATCTTCCTTATGAACCTCATACGGACATCAATTTTGGTGTCTTATCTTCAATTCTTTACGACAAGAGGATATAGGGTCACAACGTGGTTTCTAATCGGTACTATGATATCTTGGTGGCTACGTGTGTTTCATCATCGGTCCCTAACGATACGTGCCCTTTCAAATGCTAACAACCAATATCCAGCATATCTGATCGCTCTGTTTTTCAATTGCTTGTAAATACACCAGGGCTCACTCCGGAAATGAAGCTCGCAGATTTTGATATCCTCGATTTCTCAAACTTTGTTCCTTTTCTTTTCTTGTCTTTTTTTTTTTTTTGAGGCCCTTCTGGGAGTATTGGGATACAAAGCTCACCTCAGTCTGCATTGATGAGTTTGGGAAATTCTTTTCCTTTGAGTCACAAATCTGTTCTCGATCTTTCGGTACCGTGCTGCCGATGCGGATTTTATAGGGTCTTCATCTTCCTGTTCAGGAGAGAATTGTGTTGATGTTTTTGATGAGCTTGGGGTTGACGTATGTGACCCCTTTTCAATATGTTAACCTTCCTTACCCAATCGTCGCCAGATACTAACATCATGCCATGCAGCGCCTGCATTGCTTCTGCTGTCAAAACAGCTGAAATTTACAGGGCAATTCTCCTTACATACGATGTTCCGTGTGAGTGAAACGTCATACAATTCCTGTCTTCAATCGCTTGTTGACGAAGTTATCCAGGGGAGGGATATAATGTTTGGCTTATGTGTGCCGTCGAAATAAATCTAGCGATGATATCCCCATCAATACCCGTCCTTCGCCCGTTGGTGCAAAAGTACTTTCCAAAACTGGGATTCAGACCTTACCAGAACATGTCCGGTAGAACGGCTAGCCAAGGAATGGATCGAGATACGTACCGGATAGTATTCAAAGACTTGATGAGCGTTATGGAAATGGGAGTTCTACAGAGGCCCTCGAGCTATCACCATCCCAAACGGGGATGGCACATATGCAGCTGGAAACATCCCATTCGGTATTAAATAATAATTGATCATGATGGGTCCTATTTATTCGTCCTTCTTTAGTATTTGGAGGGGGATTGGTTTCATTCGAAGCCTAAGGACTAAATTTTCCAGCTCTCTTTTTCCTGATATTAGTCCCTCCCTGGGCTCGGTACCAGAAAGGCAAAGGATGTTCCTATTGGAGCGCAGAATTTGGAGGCTAGCGCTCAGCAGTTCTCTAATATGTCTGAGAGTCGTCTTGGGGCATCGACTCTGTACTTCTTCCTCCATTCAACAGCTTGCCATGCATTACATTTTTCTCTGACTTTGCAGATTGCATTAGCTAGAAGACAAGACCAATTTATTCAAAGTAACGATAATATGTATTTCCCCAGTTTTCAAGGAAGTAAATCCATATTTTACCCTGTGCTCAAGTGCATATTTGAAAGTGAAAGAGCTAGATAAATCCGAGCGTTCACAGCATCACAGTCACTTCAACACAAGTTTAGCTCCCAATCAGCATCATATTTGGTAGGATATTTCCTCTGGGTCTGGAATTCTCACTATTATACTCCCTAAGATGGTGCATGTGTTCCTTTGCTCTTGGAGGAAGCAAGGGCCTATTGAATGTTCTGCTTTTAGTCCGCCTTTTGTCCCCTAGCCATTGCGGCCAGAAGTCGATTACTTAACTAGCGTCAGGTGATTCTTGCGACCACCCCGGCCGACGCACCACAGTTATTACACTAAGGCGCCAGCTCGTCGCAACCTCTGACTTGCCGGTTCATATCCAAGTGGAAAGACAACTAAACAATGCTTTCAGGTGGGTATTCCTTAAGTTTCTTTTATTCTAACTGTACAAGTATTAGCTACTCTTGCACTCATGACGTTCCTGCGGGTTGCAAGGCTAGCTTACACGAGTGCTGGGTTGCCATACCGAACTTCAATTTTCGGATGAACTTGATAAAGTGGACTGACACTCGTTTCAGATGCAGATGTGGAAGTGCTTGAGGCTGTCGCAAAAGATGGCACAATGGATTAGTACGGCCTAAACCCTTGAGACATCCCCGGTTCTTGCTGACCCGCCGCGTTCTGAAGCGAGAAATGGCCTGGCCTCCTAGAACTTTTCCTTGATCAATTACACCATGTATGGACCTCATATATCAGAAGCGGACTCAAATTACTGATATTTCGCTCTAGATTATCCGCCATGAGTTCCCGATTCCAAGATTCCGCTCCAATTCTTTCGAGACGATTACAACGATTCCCATTCATTCCACCTACGCGTCGCAAGACCCAAGTTCACAATCAAACAGCAACAAAGAAAATGCACCCCCTTCACAGTTTCAGTCGCCGCCTCGTCGGCCACCGGTTCCTCCTTTCTCCCCTCCTGCCACTAGCATGCGGATTCCTGATTCGCAGTCCCAGTCCAGCCCTTCGGAAACCGACTTACCCCCTCCCCTCCAATTCCTACTTTCTTCAATTGAATCAACTCTAAGACAAAGTTTTTCCTCGAAACCACCACATACAATCCAGCGCCTTGCGGAACTCCTTCTGCGGCCTTCGCGGCACTACCGAACACTCCCTGCCTACCTTCGGGCCGTAGACAGAGTAGTATCGGTATCTAGCGGAGCGGATATATTTCCACTTCCGGTTGCTGTTCCCCCTGGTGTAATAATCGACAGCGCACTTGCGAATGGAGTTAACGGCACGACGACAAGTTTTTCTCTATTCAATGACAGTTCTTTGGGAAGCGACGAATCCTTGGGCGGTGCGCTCCTTACTCCAATCCCGTGGCTTAGCAATCCCACCTCACCTCCCGCCAGCGAGGATGTTCTTACCCAGCCGAGTTCTAGTGACGATTCGATAGGCGCGGGTACCTCTGCCCCAAGCGAGCCTAGTTCTCAGGAACAGTACTTATCCCCGGAGACAGAAGGACCCAACATCACGGGAATTCAAGAGGTTCCTGAAGATGAAATGATTCCGCATGCTCGCGGGCCTTCTACTATAGGCGTGGAGGACATGGGACTACAAGATGGAAAAGACGTGCAGATGACTCTCACAATAGACGAACCGGAAGCCACGGTGGCGCAAGACTCTCAAGCAACTTCTGAAGAAAGTGAAGGCAAGGAAGATCCATCTACTGGCCTTGAAGAAGATGGTGATGGAGAGATTGTTGTCGATGATATCCCTCCCAGTTCAATGACCCAAAATGATACTCCAAATGATACAACCTCCAGTGAAGCAAATACGGCTGAACCTCAGGCAGGAGGTCGTGCCGAGAATAATACCGATGAGACAGCTCATGACATTACTAAGTAAATGAGATGAATTGGCAAACCGGTTTCTGCATTCATTGCAAGTGTGTCATGTATACTCGGCGTTGGCTCCTGTTTTCTAGTATGTTTTTGTTTTTGTTTTGTCATAGCTAGCTGGAGGGTGGAGTGGTACGGAGTATCTGGAGTAACGAATGTGCATGGGCAATCAGGCTGGTTAGTAGGTTTAATTTTTAAGGTCGAAAGTAGAAGATTTATGTCTTCTAAATATACATCCTTCAACAGTGTTTCTGCCCTGATGTTGAGATTCATTAAATGGGATAGTTGGAGGTGATGTCACATGACAGCGTGATCCATCCGCGTCTCCGCGCGAAGGCAACAGACCTCATGCCAGTTAACACGACGGCTTCTGCGCTAGAGCTATGACTTCTTTGTTTTCTGGGTGATCGAGCTCGTGGTAACTGAACTGCAAAGATGTAAGTGTATCTCTTCGTCAAATTTAACTCTCGACTAACTCGCCGTTCTTTAGGTGTAAGTTTCGCAGTCGCATCGATTCCCATCGCATCCACTAATCTCCGCTTTAGCGAAGATCGACAAGCTTTCAATACTCGGGTTTGTGGCATGGACTTGTGACGATACAGGCCCAATATCGGTAGCCCGTCTGCTAACTTGTTTGCTTTACCTAGCGTTCGCTCGTTCGATAACACGCGCAGCGAAACGATTCAGTTCCATACCCCATTAACATTGATTGTTGGATACAATGGATCAGGAAAGACTGTATGTGGGGTTAATAGGGACAATGTAAGGGACGGGTCGTTAACTCCATGTATAGACAATTATCGAATGCCTCAAATATGCAACAACGGGAGAACTTCCACCTAATAGCAAAGGCGGCGCTTTTATTCATGACCCGAAGGTAGAATTTCGCAAATCCCGGGAGATCCTTTATACTGAGATATATTTTAAATAGTTATGTCACGAAAAAGAAGTTTTGGCCCAAGTGAAACTGGCATTCAAGTCTACGTCCGGCGCACGGATGGTAGTCACCCGCAGTTTACAGCTCACGGTGAAGAAAACGACGAGGCAACAGAAAACGCTAGAAGGGCAGTTGCTGATGACGAAAGAGGGCGAGCGGACTTCTATATCCTCTCGAGTTGCCGAGTTAGACCAGATTATGCCCCAATATCTAGGCGTTTCTAGGGCAATTCTTGACAATGTGATTTTTTGCCATCAGGATGAGAGTTTGTGGCCCCTGAGCGAGCCGTCTGTACTAAAGAAAAAATTTGACGAAATTTTCGAGGCGCAAAAATACACCAAGGCGATTGATAATATTAAGGCTTTGAGGAAAAAACAGAATGAGGAATTGGCTAAGTATAAAATTATGGAACAGTATGCGAAGGAGGATAAGGACAAAGCTGATAGGGTAAGGCATGATCTGCGATGGAATTACGCTATGGGTACTGACTCTTCGTAGGCGGAGAAGAGGTCCATTCAACTTCAAGAAGAGATCGAAGCACTTCGAGCGGAGAGCCATGAACTGTCCAAAGAAATGAAAAAGGCTGCAGATCTTGCTGACAAGGCTTGGAAAGAGTCCGAAAGCTACGCTGAGATTCTGGGTGCGTTGGAGGGAAAACGCATCGAAGTAAAAAGTATCCAAACTAGCATCGACAATCTGAAGCAGCATCTTGTGGAGGTAGATGAGTCTGAGGAGTGGCTTGAATCCACATTAGAGCAGTTCGGGTCTCGGCAGGCAGAGTATCGAGAGCAAGAAGAGTCCCTGAAAGAGAAGTATGTGGACTTAAAAGAGAATATAGAGCGGAATCGGCATCAATTGGGCCTCAAACAGGCTGAATATGGGAAGCATGAGAATGACAAAGCTCAGTTTGAAAGGCAAGTGGAAAGACGTGGCAAGTTGATCAGGGATATCGCCCGACAAAATAATTTACGTGGGTTTGAAGGCGATCTTGATGAGATGGAAATCAATGAATTTATGCAGAGGCTGCAGAAACTTTCTAGGGACCGGAATCAAACTCTCGACAGAGCAAAGCGAGAGGCCCAAGTGGAATTACGCGAAGTGCAAAGCCTGCTGAATCGGCTAAGTCAGCGAAAGTCGGCCCTTCAGGAGGGGAAGAATGCGGCTAGGAATCAAATATCTCAAAATGATAAAGAAGCCGATTCTTACCAGCATCGCCTCAACGAAATAGAGATAGACGAAGGGAAGCTAGCAATTTTAGAGTCACGAATAGAGGAAACCGAAGGGCGTCTGCAGCAAGCAAAGGACAAAGCGAAGACTGCTTCGTGGGAAAAGGATCTTCAGACCAAGAACGCAGAGCTTCGCTCGTTAGAAGAGGAAAGCTCTTTATTAAACGCGGAATTGATTGAGGGAACTAAAAAGGCAGGAGACCTTGCCCGCCTGGATCACCTCAAAAAGGAGCTTAAAGATAGGGAGCGCAGCCTGGAAACGATGGCAAGCGCCCACGGTGACAGGATATCCCAGCTCATAAGCCAAGCATGGAACCCTTCGAATATCGAACAAGAATTCCAGTCGGTTTTGAATGAAGCCACTGTTTCTTTGACCAAGGCCCAGCGTGACAGAGACGGGGCAAGCAAAGAATTGGAGTACATTGAAGTGACAATGAAAAACGCACGCAAGTCCCTCCAGCAGCACAAGCAAGAATTGGACGACTGTGTTCAGAGGATTCGCGAAGCCATCGATGATGAACCAGAAGAATATCCCGACGTTGTCAAGCAGAAGCAATCGTCCCTCGAAATGGCAAAAAAAGATGTTGACCAGTACGCAGGCTTAGGGGAGTATTTGGGCAAGTGTCTTGAAGCAGCAAGACAGAAAAAAGTCTGTCGGACTTGTGGAAGAGGTTTCAAAACGGAAAAAGAATTCCATGATTTCAGCCTGAAGCTTGAAAATCTTCTGAAGAAGGCAACGATGAACGCCGAAGATGAGAATGTTGTGCAGTTGGAAGAAGACCTTGAGATTGCCAGGAACGCGCAGACGTATTACGATACCTGGGTTCGTCTCTCTAATACAACTATCCCTGAAGCAGAGAAGGAAATAAGTCGGCTTGAATTGGAACGAGAAGAATTACTGGTAAAGGTGGAGGATCATGATGCGATTGTCAGTGAGAAAGGCGAATCGAAAAGGGATATTGAATCTTTATCGAAAACCGTTGCCACTATTGCGAAGTATGAGGGTGAAATCAAAACCCTCAAAGTTCAGATCCAAGATCTCTCTACTAAGCAGCAACAGCCGGGAAGCTCGCGAACGTTGGAAGAAATTCAAGACATGATCGCAACAATTGGAGAAGGATGTCGTGAGTTGAAGAGAGCCATAGCGAAAATCACAAACGAACGGGACCAGTCGAGAACCGAAATCACTGAATTGGAGCTTCAACTCCGTGACGTACGTAGCGAGCTCGATAACGCCAGATTCCAGCTGGATAAGAAGGCGTCGATTGAAGCTCGATTGGAAGAGTATCGCAATCTCAATACAAAGCAGCGCGAGAGCATTGAGAAGGCAGACCATGATATAGAAAGCCTTGTCCCAGAGGTTTCGAAGGCGCAAGCCAAGTTTGACGATATTAATGCTCGTGCAGAGCAAAGGGAGAGAGAGCTTCAACAAGAAGTATCTAGTCTGAGCGATAGTTTGCACCAACTTGATCTTGCAAGTGAGGATATTGTTTCCTACAATGATAGGGGAGGCCCACGTCAACTGGAAAGAAGTAAACGTGAGGTAGAGAATATCACAAAGGAAATTGAGCAATTGGAAGCGGAGCAGGGATCGCTTACGAGACAGCTCAATGCTGTTTCGGCTCGATTGCAGGATAGTGAAAACACAAAACGGCAATATTCGGATAATCTTCGATATAGACGGGAAATGAGAGCGTTAGGGGAAGTTAGGGCAGAAATAGCGCGATTGGAGGCACAAAATGCTGAAGTCGACCGCGCTCGATTCAAAGAGGAATCAGACCGCCGGACACGAGAATATAACTTCCTTTCTGCGACACAAGCCAGCAAGATGGGCGAAATGAAGTCGAAGGATAACCAGCTCTTGCAGCTACTCGCGGATTGGAACACAGACTACAAAGATGCAGCATTTAAATTCAAGGAAGCCCATATTAAAGTGGAAACCACGAAGGCTGCGGTGGAAGACCTTGGACGATATGGCGGTGCTTTAGACAAAGCTATCATGAAATACCACAGCTTAAAGATGGAGGAGATTAACCGCATCATCGAGGAACTCTGGCAAAAAACTTACCGAGGCACGGACGTTGACACGATTCTCATTCGGTCTGATAATGAGAACGCTAAGGGCAACCGTTCATATAATTATCGCGTCGTCATGGTCAAGCAAGATGCCGAAATGGACATGCGAGGTCGCTGTAGTGCGGGCCAAAAAGTGCTTGCTAGTATTATCATCCGCCTCGCCCTGGCAGAATGTTTTGGCGTGAATTGCGGCTTGATTGCGCTGGACGAGCCCACGACCAACCTTGACCGAGACAACATTCGGTCTCTGGCGGAGTCACTGCATGATATCATTCGGACTAGACAGCAGCAGGCGAACTTTCAGCTTATTGTTATCACACACGATGAGGAGTTCCTAAGACATATGCAATGTGGCGATTTCAGTGATTATTATTATCGGGTATCGAGAAGCGACAAGCAGAAATCGATTATCGAGAGGCAATCTATTGCTGAGGTGAGAATTCTTCACTACCCTGTTGCATGATACAGGCTAATCTTTTTCTGTTCTAGGTTTTGTAAAGGTCAGGCTTACAGCATTTTTGATGGTTTTATTGAGGAATATTGAAACTCCCTGGCCTGGGTTTGCATTTTGGTGGAATTTTATGGAATAGTTACGATAGCTCAATGGCGGCGAACATGTTAACTAGTTAGTTGTTCATGATGACAAATTTTTATATTGCTAAAATCCAAAATGCCTCAAAGTTAAGTTGATGATTTGAGTAGTTAAGTCATGATAACATGTTTTCTAGAGCCCAGACATAGAGTGGTTGAAGATTGATAGCCAGTCATATAGTTAATGGAATACACGAACTCTACTCCGTACAAGGATAAAATATACACATGTATTAATGCAGCAGGTGGGCCATACATTTGCTAGATGTGCCAAAATAAAAGCCTCCGTGACTTTATTCTCCTAATTCGCCTCCTTCACCATCGTTCGCTTCATCATCAACCAATGGAACAAACCTAAAATCCACGAAGCTGACATTGTCGAGAGTACCTGGTACCTGCTGTGTCTTGGTTGACCCATCGGGCTCCGAGACCACTTCTCCAAGTTCAATCATAAACTGAATACTCAACACACCTTGACTATCCCCACGAATACTAACTTTGCTCGCTGCGGCCATAGCACGCAGTGCTTTTCGGACAAGCGCAAACCGGTAGCTCTGACGCACCCTGGCTCTTGACGAAGGCGGATGAACTAGAAATGTCTCTGCTACCGAAGGAGCCAGCTTGCCTCGTTTTGGCTGCCTGGAACTTCCATTATCATTCAGGGACTTGTATGAGGGATCAGCGAGAGCATCCGATTCTTTGTCAATTGAGAATTCAACAGTTGATTCGCCGAATGGGCCACCAGAGGCAGAAAGTGCAAAATAGGGGGCCTTCTTCGGAGAAGCGGTTATCGTCAAGACGGACGGGTTGGTAGAATCTAGTTCCATAATAGCATTGTGCAACCAAAGAGAGCGCATGATAATCTTGAACAGGATGGCATCTCGTTGAAGGGGAATATCAACATCTTCTGAAGACTCAAATTCCGGATTATCAGGCTCGTAAGTTGTCAATTCACATGTCGTAGTAACGCCAGCTTCGCTAAGGGTAATGCACAATGGAGATCCAGGTCTCAGGTAGCTTATGGTGCAGGTACGGTTGAGAAGCAAAGCCGGTGCGGAGAAAGCGTTAGATGCTGGGCCAGTTATCGGGTTTGATATCGGGTTAGAGTGATGAGGAGCATCGCTCAACCCGAAGATCTGAAGAGTCTCAATTAGAGCAGTAAGCGAAATTAGAAATCGTGGATATGCTGCAGTATCTAATTCCTCCTCGACAAGGTCTGTATCGGTAGCCACACCATTGTCGCTAGGTACAGGATTAAAAACATAATTGGCGAACAGCGTTTTATCCAGAAACGCGAGACCTTGCATGACCCTCCCATCTTCGGCAGAGAAGCGTATGCCTTGTGGGGTGATTTGAATTGCGGCTTTCGAGGCAAAGCCAATGCATCGTACTATAAGGTAGAGATGATGGGTGAAATTGGAAACGGCAGAAAAGATTGGTGCGTCATTGGTGTCCATTGCGGTGAAAGCTAAATCGTTAAATACGCAAGGAGAGAGGGACCAGCCGTTTCTTTGCGAAAAGGAAGAGGAAATCGAACGCGTCCTATACGCGATCGCGACCCGGATTTGTTATCAAGCCAAATATGAAGGGAAACGGCGAGTAGGCTTATACGTAAACCCCGACTGCGCAAATCATGAAGACAGCCCCGAACCTGTATGGGTTAGAATCGTGCTGTTCCGAACATTCAGGGGAGGTAATACTGACCCAAACGCGAGCGAAGCAGGCACACCGTATAGGGGGATACTCAGAAGAGATCGATCTGGCGCAATTAGTAGGGGAACCGCATATCCCTGGTACTAGGACATACTTAAGCCGAAAAGCCCGGTGAGAACAAGAGCTATGAGAACCATTTAGCAAACTGCAGGCTAGATATTTGGAGTAGCTGGGCATTCTAACCTGCCAATAAAAGGGTAGATGCAACGAAGAACTGATTATCCTTCGAAACAAGTGGATAGAAAGGGTTCGCGGCCGCAGCAACCCACGCGTCTTCAAGAGACATTTGTACGAGCTTCGGGGCGTATATCAATGCAAAAAAGGTCCGGAGTGCAAGACAAAAGATTGCCCAAAAGTCACAATTGGTATTCGGAGAGACAAAGTGATGATTTCCAAGCAGATTATATGATAGTATGCCTTTCTTCAGTTGCGCGGAGAGCACGCTTCAATGGTTGCTCTGGACAAGATTGGCCTTCGCCAGGTGTTCACTTCGGATGCCATATCGGAATTTTGTAGGCCCGAAAAACTGTGGAACCCCAATGAACCCACCATAAACAGCGCCTGAAAGGTTCCTGCAGCAGGAATGACATGTTTACCATTCCCAAATAGGAAATGGTTCTCATTTTTAAAGATTCCCCTGCCTGAGAAACATTCCTGATTGCTGTAGAATGATTTTGGAATGGCAGGAATGTTCTCAGAGTTGCTGAGAACATCAGTAGAAACCCAGTTGGAACACTGTCAGGAATTAACTACTACAATCCTAGTTCTAGACACCATCCATTTCTAGTCCTTGATCAAATATGTACAAAGCAGGCAAATCTCAGAGAAATAAAACATCCCAGGTGCATAGTAGAAAGGTTTCAGAATCACAATCACTGAAAACCAGATTGCTGCTGGCATCCAACACCTCACTAATTGATACAGCATAAAGACTTGGCTTTTTAATTGCAGGAAGTCCAATAATAGTGTAGTTGCTGCCCTCTAGATCTACCTGCACAATTAGTAGATCTAAAACCCAATCTCTTATCATTTCCAATGCCAGAATCACCAAAAAGAATACCCTTTCATTTGTATGCAATTTATGAATAAAAATACTGGTAATTTGTCTGATGGTGGAGCTGGTTTCATACATATACTCAATCAAATCATTAACCATTAGTTTGATTTACTGATCTCCAAGTGAGAAAGTAATATTCTTATAGAACCATATTGTGATTGAGCCTGGTTCCATTACAGACAGCTTATTCCAATCTTGCTTATATGCATTTTGGAGTTTCTGCAAAAATGAGTGGAGATTTAGTAATATGAATAGCTGTGCATTCAGGATATCTAGTACTGGCACCATTTTTCCTGCAGATTGTTGTGCCCAGAGATTCAGAGAATACTCACCAGTAATATCTTTATCTTCAGCATCCAGTGTCTCAAATTTATCTTTATACAGATTGGTATTCAGTTGGAGTAAGTCTGTAAAAAGAGTCAGACAGTACTTATAGAGGTTAGAGATGTACTGAATCAAGAATGACTCATTATTAATAAATGCTTCTTCAAGTAGTAGAAGCAGTATATATCTGAAGCTCTCTTGTATTAACAGAATCTTTTCAACATCTTGCTTGTTTGTTCTCTGAACCAGCTTCTTGTATTTTTAATGCTTGTCCTCTCCAATAAGAACATTGCAATTATTTGGAATTGCATATTCATTTGCTTGTGCTGAATAATGTATGCTGACATGCATATTTGAGTGGTTTTTAAAGCTTCAAATTGTCTTTGTCTTCTTTTTTAAATTGAAATTTTCTGCAATTGGGACACCTGTCTCTTTGGCATACAAATCAAGTGCCAGGAGCTCAATTGGAACAGGAGATGATCTTGCACTGGTTATGAAAGCTGCTCTAGATTCTGCTCAAGTATCTGCTGAATGAGTAGTCTTAACAGCTGATGCAGCAGCATTAATTAAACTTTATAGATTCTGTCAGACTGTTGTGATGATCTCTCATAATTCTACAGAGACAAATTGAGCTGGTGATTGAAATATTAGAACAGAATTGCTGCATGTAATTCCAGCATAAATTCAAACAATTAAATTCTTTATTAATCTTTTAGAGTAATCTTTAAATGTTACAGGCATTATTTATTATACTGCTGGATTTATCCATTTCTGGATCATGTAGCATCAGAGAAGAAGCAGAATTATAATAGATGCTCACATGTGCTTCTGTAATTAATAGAATTCCAAATGGGTAAGCAGAGATTGAAGATGGGCCCATCTTTAACAGAATGGAAACCTCTGAAGCAATTTACAGTATTCTTTTTAATCATGAGATGTAAGAATCACCAAAACCAATAAATAGTGTGCCAGTTTTGATATTCCTGAAAATTCACTGTAATATAGATCAGAAGGAAAGAAGATCACCAAATTAAGAGATAAGCATATTTTAAGCAATGCTGTCTGCTCTTCAGCCATTCCATATTTCTTGCAGAGACTTTACTTTAAAGCTTGAGTTTCTGTAGAGTTGATTTTTTCTCTCTGCCACAGAATCTGAAAATGATAGCATTCTTCAGCAATAATATCAAAATTCATGTTATATTACTGATTTTTCAAAATCATGCAGCTCCAACAAGAATATATTGCTGTAGACTCTTTTATTCCAGTATTAGCATTCTGTTGCAGCATATCTTCAAGAAAATAGAGACAAGAGAAAATAACTCTAGTGACTTTCTTGCTAGAAATATTCACATTAATGCTCTTGTCAAGCAATGCTAGACTGGGCTTCAAGACTTTAATCACATTGGGAAAATTGGTTTCATGTGGTCTGAAAGTAATTGTATAAATATTGTTATACTTGGCTCTTTCAGTAGCTTTCATGCTGGCAGGTATCATGTAGACACCCATAAGACTTTGATACATGTTCTGGTATAGGCCAAATCCATTAATGAAAAGTTGGTAGGGAAGAGATATAATCTTTTTATCATCAGAAAACATTTGCTTTAATACCTTTCTATCATATGCTGCTATTTCTAGCTCACCATGTAGTGGAGTGCTCATATTAAGTGGTTGAGCTTCCAGTGTTCCTGATTTCAAAGTTAGTACTTGTCACATGAAATATTGGGCATTCAGAAGCTCATATCCTGAATTCTCCATATTGAATTTATAGTCCAGGTATATGTCAACTCAGAAAAGAATATTGTCTGCCAAAACAAATGTTTCTTGGCTTTCAAGAGCAAGAACTTTATTTGGGTGGTGCTGTAGATTCAAATGGGATAATTTCCTGCCATAAAATATCAGCATGAATCAGTATACTGGTTGAATTCAGAAAGTGATTGCATTTTCAGCAATTGGATTTGATCTTTTATTCCAATCAACAAATTGGACTCTCCCCAAATGGTTATGATTTATTAGATCTTTATTGCAGGGGCAGTCAGTATTGTGGCATTAATAGAGAACAAAGTTGGAGAGAAATATAGGCTTGCCATTATGGTAATATGCAAATTCACTCAAGAAGTATTTAATGGAGCTTCTCCAGCTTCAAGATTACCATAACTCTCTTGAATTATTAACCAATTCAGTCATTTCTATATGCAGTTTCTTCTGGAAAATCAGCAATTTCACAAGTGTGGATATTAATGCAATGAGATTCTGAAAATACATGTTTGTATGCAATATCACTTGAGCAAGTTTTTTGTCCATATCTGATAATATCAGCATTTTCTTTAGGATGACAGACAGCAGTTTTTGGCAGATAGATAGTATTGGAAATTGTGACTGGCATCTCTTCTTTAATGTTGATAGTTCAGTAGACATAAGTTTCAATAGCTTAATATCTGTCAGGTTCTGGAGAATTTCTCTCAGTAATTGATATTGCTGTCAGGATATGCCTGTATGCTCACATCATAATATAAGAGACATTAGAAATTGATTCATTTGATTATATGCTTTGGCCCATGAGTGTAGAATAGCTTTCAATGATTCATTCTCAAGAATTAGCATTGTTACTTGAGTATTCATTGTCTCTGAATCTTTATTAATTTCTGAATCTTCTTCAACTGGAATTTTGTTTTCTAGGCATGATAATTCTACATCAGCTGCAGCATCTTTCAATATTTCATGTAATTAATTGTTATTGTTGATATATGCTGGGCCAGCATTGCCATTACCAGTATCTAATATAGACTATGCAATATTAGCCTCAGCATTTAACAATTCTGATAAATAATTTTTCACACTATAAGATTAAATTCATCATCATCAGAAATTGATGCCAAATCCTCCAGCTGTTCTGACTGTAGTGATGTCAGGTGGGCACTGCTTTCATGTTTAATTGACTAACAAATGCTCTCTTTACTTGCTTGACTCTGAATCTGTTGTTTACTAGTAATTGAAGCATTATTGCTTGAATTTGAATCTCAGAGTGTAATTTTCTTGACTTTTTGAAGATTTGAATGTGACATTTCAATAACAAGACTATTATTGATTGTATGAAGTTGTAAAAGAAATGTGTGGAATGATCTTGAAGTGAAGTATCTTTAATTACTCTTTCAGAAAGCAAAGATTATCTGTTATCTGTCAACAGAAAATGTGGGGGAAATTACTGATAGAATATAGAGTCAGAAATAACTGCTTTCATGCTGGAGTCAGGAAGCTTGCAATTAATATAGATTATAGTATATCCAAAATTCTACAAGAGTTTTGGAGTTAAATTCTCCAACATAAATAATAAAGCTTTCTTTTTCAATAAATTCAATGTGAGCAACTTTAATGACATTGCTGCTGTGGGAACCAATGCAGATACACAGAAGACAGATATACAAGATTAGAATTCCAAAAAAGACAAAGAGAATGAGAAAAGAAGCAAGAAGCACAAGCAAAGAGTTTAGTACTCTGATGCAAAAGAATATAAGAGAGAGAATTAGCTAAAAGAGAAGGCCCTGAAATGGCAAGTGAAGTAAATGTATCTCACAACATTTAGCAAGAAAAAACTTTCTGAAATTATAGAGAAAGTATATAAAATAAATAATGAAGACTCATATATCTTCAGTTCAGCAAGAGTGTCTGTTCTGAAGTTTTTAAAGAGCTGGAAATATAAAATATTAAGAAAGATGAGTGTTAGTATGCTGCCCTATAATATTGAGAGATCTTTTACCAACTGCTAGCAGAAGCATGTCAAGAATGTAAAGAAGATTAATTACAAGAATAATTCCAATATTAGCATGTACTGTTACCAGGATTCTGACAAACTCTTTACATATTTTGCAAAGCACTTTGACTTCAAAAAATTCTTTGAGATTTTCTTCTGGACAGAGCTAATTATTGATTATAAGAAATCAAAGTAATTAGAGCAATGGTATATCAAGCATATGTCAGAATTAAAGACAAATATAAGATAATGAGCATTACTGATCTTGATTTAAAGATATACACCAATTTGGTGGTGCAGGTCAAACTGCATGATAATCTTATAAAGAAATCAGGCTGCAAGAAGAAAGCCATCAGGACATGGCAGGAAATTCTCAAATTTTGAAACTATATGGGACAACATCTGTAATATGAGAATGTCAACAAAGAGAACTTTGTGAAAAAAAAAAAGAAAATCAAGAAGAAGACAAGAGCTTCAGCTTCTGGAGCTGATAAGTTGACAATTCTTACAAAGATTCAATTTTCAGATGAGACTCCATCAAAAGAGTGAACCATAAAATGCTAAATCAGTAATGTCAAGCTCTCTTGAAGCATCTGCACATTGATTAGCATGTATATATATATAATATAGAATCCAAACCTGAGCAGCACTGAAGCTGCAATAATTCTCACAATAATCCAACAGGCAAAGCAGCTGTATAGTAGGAATCAACTTTTCAAGAATTCCTGCTAAAAATCCACTGGAGGATTGCTTGTTGGGGTTGTGTAAGTAATATAAAAATCAACACATCTAGTAGAGCACATGTCAACAAAGCCCTATCTAATTGGGACAGCTCTTGTGTATATAAACAACCTCTTCCATAACTTCTTCTCTTTCTCTTCTCTCTCTCTCTCTCTCTCTCTTTTCAAGTCTTTCTAATCTTTATTTCCCCATCCCCTCTTTCTCTCTTTCATTAGTATTTCTTTTTGAATTCATTAATATACTTCAATTTACAGAGGTAGGTGATCTGAGATATATGAGATTAGCAAAAGCTGATGCATTTTGCAGAAAAACACATCAAAATGATAAACATGTGTGAAACTCTAAAAGAGAACAAGCCAGGCCATAAACCAAAAGATAAAGCTTTAGATGGGCTATCAGTCTTCTGTTAATAATGCATTACAGCATATATGACCCCAAAAAATCTTGAAAAATCCTGTAATAATGTTCAGAGCTCTGGCAATGCTTGCTCAAACTGCTCACAAGACAAGAAGTATTGCTGTAACTTTTCTGAGATAATAATTAATCAGATTCTTGAGTTGCAAAGTGCATACTTCAAATGGGCAAATACAATAAATACTGTCATCAAAAATGCTCATAAAGTGAATGTTGTTACTTTTACTCAAGCTATCAATAAAGAGTTAAAAACTGTTCTTACAAATATATCAAAAGAGACTCCTTCTGTTAATGATAAGCCAGACACATTAAATGGCAAAGTTGTTAAAGCTCTTCAAGAGATTTCCACAATCTTGAAAGAAATTCAGAAAATTCAAGAGACAAACTTTATTGCAGTCTCTGACATAAAGAATGCTCTTAATGTAAGTTCACTTCACTTCTCATCTTTAAGATAAAGATTCTAACTTTTAAAAGAATATGCCACAACTTATTGATTCAGATCTTTATGCAGCTCTTGTCACTCACTCAGCTCCACCTGCAAATAACTTTCTTTCTTCTCATGCTGTAAGATATTCTCTTAGAATTAAATTAGAAAAGAAATCTAATGAGAGTAAATTAGTTAAAATGTTTCTTTAATAGTGCTTCCAATTCTGAAGCAAAAAGAACCTGCTTAAGCTTCTCACTGCCACAAACTGTTTCTGAAACCCTGACTCTGATCAGGAGTCTTCAATTTTCTCTGTTTTCAATCAGTATGTGTGCAAATAACATTTCCCAAAATATACTGACTGTTTACTCTGACAGAGCAACAAAGTATGGCACCAAAGAGTGCATCTTCTTCTCATAATGTGACTCTGACATAAACCATCATTTCTGCAAAGCCAAGCACACCAGCAGTCAAAAATCCCAATGCTAATGAGAAGGATGCCAAAAAGAACAATGCTGACAACAAGAATGCTGACAACAAGAATGCTGACAAGAACAATACCAACAAGAATATCAACAACAAGAATGCTAATGAGAAGAGTGCTGAAAATAAGAATACTGAAAAAGCTGATGCAAATGTTACTTCTGATGTTAGCAGTGAAGATTTCCAAAACTGATTTTTCAGTCAGGATAATCTATAAAGCAGCAGGAATTGTATCACTACAGTAGTTATCTAGTTTTCAAAATTAAGAAAAGGTTCTTTCAATTTGAAATAAAACCCCCAATCTCATGGTTCAAATTTCAGTTATGTTCTAGAACTGAGCTCATTTCCCAAAAGGAAGTATTCTCAGAAAGGTAATAGGAATCCTACAGTGCTCCAACAGTTCTCTATTTGGATTATGGTTCTTGCATGATTCCTAATTAGGTTACTGTGAGATCTCAGAAATGTAAGGGTTTTTCGGACCAACGAAATCCCGATATGGTGGACTGCCACGGAAGAGCTGTCCGGATTTACTTATGTCCGACGGGCGAGGATAAACTATTTACCGACTCCGACAGCGACATCATACTTACCCTTTCAGGAAACCGCGACGTACAGATTGGTTTAGGACGTCGCGACTTGCGCCCTCCCGCTTCTGGAAAGTTTGTATGCATGGTTATGCGCCATGGCGCCGATTACGGCTGACCGTAAGCTATTCTTTCTGCCGACTGCACCGGCATCATGGCGGTACTGACCCGCGCAGGTAGCAAGCGCAAGGCGACCGACGAGCCGAGCACGCCAGATTCGAAGCAAAAGGTCAAAAAGGCCCGGACTGAGTCCCCAGGCTCTGAGATTAAGGTTGGAATTGTGATAGTTCTCAAAGTTGTGTGCCCATTTCTAACTCTAACTCGCAGGATGACTCCGCCAGCAAGCCCACGCTCAAGATCGTCCCATTCGCCGAGAAGGTAAGGGGAGCGGGAACATACCGCGTTTATGTTGAAATATTGCTGATGGAACCTCCGGTGCAGCCGGCAGTGCTGGAAGAACGACGCGGTGATATAGAGTTCCGCGTGGTTAACAACGACGGGTCCAGAGAGAGCTTCATCATCCTCACAGGTCTCAAGTGTATATTCCAGAAGCAGTTGCCGAAGATGCCGAAAGACTATATTGCGCGACTGGTATACGATAGGACCCATTTATCCATGGCTATTGTTAAACACCCATTGGAGGTAGTTGGGTACGCAGCCGCTCCGCTTCCTAGAGTTATCGGGGGACCCCCCACTGATTGTGTGCAGAGGGATTACATATCGGCCCTTCAAAGGGCGAAGGTTTGCAGAGATTGTGTTTTGCGCCATATCTTCCGACCAACAAGTCAAAGGTTATGGTGCTCACTTAATGTCTCACCTGAAGGTAATCGTTTCCCCTTAATCTTTCATGCTAATCAAGACTAAGCATGACCGGGCAGGACTACGTGAAAGCTACTTCTGAGGTGATGCATTTCCTAACATACGCCGATAATTATGCCATCGGATACTTCAAGAAGCAAGGTTTCACAAAAGAGATCAGCTTGGACAAGTCAATTTGGATGGGTTATATCAAGGATTACGAAGGCGGCACCATCATGCAGTGCACCATGATCCCAAAAATCCGGTATCTCGAATCTGGTCGCATGCTTTTAAAGCAAAAGGAGGCTGTTCACGCCAAAATCCGGGCCTTTAGCAAGTCCCATATTATCCACGCTCCACCCAAGGAGTGGAGAAACGGGGTCTGCGAGATTGACCCTCTCAGCATTCCTGCCATAAAAGAGTCTGGATGGTCTCCTGATATGGATGAGCTGGCCCGCCAGCCACGACATGGCCCTAATTACAATCAACTTTTACATCTACTCAACGATATGCAGAATCACAGCGCAGCTTGGCCCTTCGCACAGCCGGTGAATCGGGACGAAGTCCCCGACTACTATGAAGTGATCAAGGAGCCGATGGATCTGTCAACCATGGAAGAGAAACATGAAAAGGATCTGTACCCTGCTCCACAAGATTTCATTAAGGACGCTATGTTGATTTTCGATAACTGCCGGCGTTATAATAACGAGAATACACCTTATGCCAAGAGCGCGAACAAACTGGAAAAATTTATGTGGCAGCAGATAAAAAATATCCCAGAGTGGTCGGTAAGTGCTCTGCGATCGGCTTTGAACTGCTTTTCGGTTTTTTGGCATTTGCTGATCCTGCCTGTCCTCCTAGCATCTGGCCGAGGGTCATTGACCCAGTCTGGAGACTGCACTCAGCAGAATAACACAAGGGTTATTTTATGTTTTTGCAGTGAGTGCTGGTTTTGTGGTTTTAATGATTTTCACAGCGGGTGAGTTTGGAGTCCTGGAAGGGATTCTGGGGGGCGTTGGAACGGAAGGACTTCTTCTTCATTTTGCAATTGGTGGTATATTGGTGCATGCTATGAGTAACAATTGTAACCCACCCACATATTTACATGGATAACAATGTAATCTTGTCAAACCTCAAAGGCAATGCCACAGTTCCCGCACAGTTTCTCCTTTTCCCGTCAGCAGTATTTTCGGCGTCGGAATAACAATGTCGCGAATGTGTACAGTGATTAAACAAGTCGACGAATTGCGGCCCAGCGCCCAGCAACGACCCTCTCCGAATCTCCATCCCTTTCGAAGCCCCCGTTTCACTGCCGTCTCGCAACAGTTTGACCATTCTTTCGGGTCGTCTCTTTTTGAATATTAGCAAGAGTACTTCTTTCGATTAGTATTGTGACTAATCTGCTCTTTTTCCTTGATTATATCGCGGTTGACATGAGCGGTCGGAAGCGTACCTAACCCGTCACCGAGAGATTGGGGGCTGAATCCGACTTCTTGACCCGGTCTTTTACTTTTGCTGCATCCTAAATTGGAGCATACACGTTCTTTAGGATATAATCGTCTTCAGAATTACCCAGCGTCGTTTCACCACGATAAAATGGCGTCCTCGTCGTCAATCCAGGAAGAAGAACATCGCAACCGACTCCCTACGCTTCTTGAAGTCCTTAGTCGAAGAACGTTGGCCCCTGTTGACCTCTTCTCGTTTTACATTTACATGAGAGATCAACAATGTTCCGTGGATTATCTAGATTTTTGGTGAGTTTCTCATTTTCGCCCAAAATGTTGATGGAATTGGCGGACTGACCTTGTGTTAGGCTTGATGTATCTCAACATATGTCCCTATGTCGCCACTATGTCCGCGAACTGCGTCGCTCCGTGCTCCTTGAGACTCCTGAACCAGAAAAATTGGACTCTGAGTCGCCGGGTCTCGCACCCAACGGTGCTGGACCTTCGGGACCTGGTTACCCATTTGACGGTCTTGGCCATGATAACGATCAGAGATTGTCAGCGTTCCTGAGGTCCGAAGGACGACCATCTATGTACTCTGCTCGAAGCAGCATGGACTCCGGCCGGTCAGGGCGTCGATTTTCTTCTGTTGATCGACCGCGACGCGTGAGTGATATGTTCCCACAACAACATCACAATAATTCGAACGGCTCACCGGGACACACGGTCGCACGATCTGATATTCGGGCAAGCGCTGTGAGAATTCTGTATACATACCTCCTCCCGGGATCGGAACGGGAGGTTGTTCTTCCAGATACCATTGTTGGGGATATTGTGCACATGATTGAACAGGAGGGGAGAGATGACCCAGAGGTTTTTGATACTGCAAAAGACTATGTCTTTCAAGCAATGGAAAGAGATGCTTTCCCTGGGTTCTTACAGGCGAAAGCGCTAGGAAATCTTGTGCCACCAAGCATCCTAGCCCGGCTTGTCCTCGCCTTGACAAGCTTGGGGGGAGGGTTTTGGGGTGCATTTTATGTTGTGCTGACGGATCAGCCACGACACGTACGATGCTGGGTATAAACAACACTCCTTAACTATTTTTCTTCGGAAATACATGTTGCTAATTGTGCATGTCCCAGGTAATTCTACCTTTCATCGTGGGGGCCTATTTCCTGGCATCCTATCAATACAGGATGGATCCAATCCTTGCATTTATCGGCTTCAGCGAATATACATTTATGAATTGGACATCAGTTCGCGAACCATACATTCGCTCATTGCTCCTCAAAAGAGCTTTTGTGTCTCTTGCATTCGCCACCTTCATTGCTGTCGCACTGTGCGTTCTGTTCATTTTTGTCCCTGGGACAAGGCTTTAGCCTGTGGACTTCCCATGATGCCTGATAAATTCCCTTTCAGCATATCCCCTCAATATTCCTATTGATTTTCTTTGACAGCTGCAAAATGGAGGTAACCAGGATTCGGGTGCTGCTAGCATTGGTGTATGGTGTTCTTATATTGCTTGAGGTTTTGTTCTGTCTCGTGATTCCTGCTTTACGATATTTCTATGGCCTTAATCCCCTTTCATTTCAATTTTACACACCCAAGATACCCCCCTTTAAGAGTGCTTTCCCTTTGGCTCTCTTAAACATGTTTATTACTTTGAGGGACAGTTCTGGGCGTGTTCAGCAAGCCTTGTAGACGCCAACGTGGCTACACTAAGTACAGTACAATAGCAATAATGTTGCATGAACGCTCATGTTTTTGTATTGAACCTCATTTGTCTCGGTCTAATAACTGTGTTTGATTAAGCGTTAGAAAGGCCTTCTCATCACAGCGTATAGCCAATGCAGCTCATTAGTTATCCTATGGTCTACCTTGGACCCCCGACGTTCTCTTCACATTCCTCATTAAAGGCCCTGAATCATCGCCATCGATGCCCTCATCAACATCCATCTCCGAACCCACCCTACCAGGAGGACCGTTCCGCTGCCCAAAATCGCTTGCTGCGTTAAAGCGCTTGTTCCCGCCGCCAAATCCAAACTTGCGTCCACCTTTACCGGATCCGTCTTTCGACGGACGAAAAGATCGTTTTGAGCCAGCACCACCGACGTCATTGCCCCCAGCACTCCCGTCGTCGTCGCCCTCCCAGCCATTGAGACTGCGCTCAACACGGTGGGCATGGATTTGGGCCTGTACATGTCTTCTTTCCGCATCGGCGAGTATCTTGGCGATCTCAGCTTCAATTCCGCCAATGACATCTTGACAACGGCCCTGCCATTCGGTGAGGATTGATATCATTGTGTTTACGGTTTGAGGGCGAACGTCGCGAAGGGGGGCGATGGAGTTGACTTTGATGATCGGTGGGGAGGTGGTTGGGGAGAGGCGGGCGGATATCAGGGATAAATAGATGGCTTCTCTAACAAGGGTTTCAAGTTCGGCAGGCGTGGAAAGGGAGAGGGATTCCATGACTATTGAGTAAGTGAGGGGATTGTGTGTCTCTGCGAGGGTGAGGAGCGAAAGAAGACGAAGTTTCTGAATTTGTGCCGTGTTTAGAGTGGGTAGGTTGGGAGTTGCTGTAGGTAATGATCAGCTCGTGTTTAAGCCAACTGCGGGAGGTCTTTCAGGCGAAAGAACTCACATTTGTATTCCTGCCATGTTCCCCAAGCAAATATCTCTAGCAGCGTCAGGGAGGATCGATATTTTTCGGGCGTTTCAGGAGACCTAAGTGATTGTATAGCGGGAGTATCCAAGAGCTCTGCGAAGATGAAGGTGCTCGGGGCGGATGTGGCATTGGTGATGAGGGTTGCCAAAAAGAGGGGTGAAGGTGATTGGTTGGAGGTCGCAATATGAATGAATGGCTGGATAGCTTCAAGAGCCCTGTTGTGTATTTGCTCCATGTCTGCAAACCGGGGTGGCCGAGATACTCCCCGCCCCAGCTGGTGGTGATAGACTTGATAGTGATGTTTGGGTGAATACGGGTACGAGAGGGAGCAATCAACTGTCGAGCTTGTTAGCAATAGAAAAGATCCAAGGCTATCGCCAAAGAGGCAACGGAACGGCACCCACTAGGCCTCTACCCGACCGGAGCCCTGAACGTGCTGCTGTCTTCCTGTAAGCACTGTTGATAGCACCATTCGCTCCGCGACGATGACGATGATCTGTTGGTGTTTGCTGACCTTGCATCACGCCTTAGTTACCTAGTTATATAAGCGGATCGGCACGCTATCCCGCACCTACACTAACGTCTTTTCCCTCCGCATCGGAGTACCTGCGGCGATGCGCCGGACGAATCGGACGGCCTCGCTGTTATTTTTGTCAGCTTTCCGCCTCTTCCACGAACCGCAAAACGGCACGCTGGTGTTGAAACAGCTGTTTTGACAGAGTTTTATCCGGTTGCAGGTTGCGCCGCCGAATCAGCATTGCCTCCCGGGGTTTCAGCTGAGCGTTGGCTACTTAACCCTGCAGAGGGAAGAGTTGAAAGAGTTAACGTCACATTGACCGCACGATCCCTCCACCAATTCTCGGCCGCTTCGGTTTACTATAACACTTTCTCTAATAACCCCTCCCATTCTTTTCTTCTTCAGGAGCTGGCCTTCTTTTTTCGCTCGTTGCGATGTGCGAGATCTTATCAACCCTATAATTTCTCCGAAGGCTGTCATCCCCGTCCCTCCCTAGGAGCCTCAAACCGAGAATACCAACTCAGAGAACCGGCATTAGTTTTGAGAAAACCAGTACGAACTGGGGGCACCTCTCTTATTCATCCTTGCGCGCATATCTATCCAGGCGCTATTGATGTTATGAGTTTGCTTTTGCCGAATGACAACAATGGGATCACGCTCTCGCTCTACCCTCCTTCCGGTTCATCCGACTAGTCCACCGCTCTCAAAACCCCCGTCGAACGTTGCGATGGCTGTCACAACACTGAAAGTTGACGGTATGACGTGCAGCGCCTGCACGTCCGCTCTCGAGTCTGCGTTTAAAGATGTTGACGGCGCAAAGAAAGTTTCTGTCAGTCTTGTGATAGGGAGAGCGGTGGTAGAACACGATTCAGCAGTCTTGCCTCCAGAGAGAGTGAAAGAGATAATCGAAGATCGCGGTTTCGATGCAGAGGTTTTGACAACGGAGTACTCGAAAGCCGTTGACGATAACCTAGATATGCCCTCGAATACTTCTATTTCTGGAGTCACAGCTTCGACCACGACTCTCACCGTTAAGGGGATGACATGTAGCTCGTGCACATCCGCTATTGAATCTGGGTTAACAGGTGTTAGTGGTATTTTTGAAGTCACTGTTTCGCTACTTTCGGAACGGGCTGTTGTCAGGCATGATGCCGCCCAAATCACACCCCAACAGATCGCAGAAATTATTGAGGACCGTGGATTTGAGGCCACTGTTGCGAACCTGGAAAGCCCTAGTGCTACCATTGGTATTAGCACGACAAGTAACGAGCCCTCCTCAAAGGATCAATCGGCACAGATAAATACTACAATCGCGATCGAAGGGATGACATGCGGAGCATGTACATCGGCCGTTGAAAACGCTTTGAAAGACCAGCCAGGCTTACTTAGTTTCAACATCAGCCTTTTGGCCGAGCGCGGGGTTGTGCTCCACGAACCGTCGGTTCTTCCCGCGTCAAAAGTTGTTGAGCTTATCGAAGACGCCGGTTTCGATGCACGGGTTCTGTCATCGGAGGTGAACTCGTCATTTTTGAATCGTACTTCCGCCTCTCTCAATTTCAGCATTTATGGTCTGACCGATGCAGCCTCGGCTACATCTCTGGAAACTCGGCTTCGTAACACAACGGGAGTACTAGCTGCGGATGTGAAGCTATCGAATTCTCGCGCGACAATCGCCTACCAGCCGTCTAGAATCGGCATCAGAGCTTTGGTGGAAATAGTCGAGAGCGGTGGCTATAACGCCTTGCTCGCTGAATCGGAAGACAACGACGCTCAGCTGGAATCACTCGCAAAAACGAAAGAAATTCAGGAATGGCGCAAAGCTTTTTGGGTATCATTCTCATTTGCGGTCCCGGTAATGCTAATCAGCATGTTAATACCAATGTATCTTCCAGCTCTTGATTTTGGAAGATTCGAAATCATCCATGGGTTATTTTTGGGCGACATCGTCTGTCTACTCTTGACTATACCCGTCCAATTCGGCGTGGGCATGCGTTTTTACCGATCGTCATTCAAAGCTTTGAAGCATCGCTCTCCTACTATGGATGTCCTGGTGATGCTGAGCACGAGTCTAGCGTTCTCATTCAGCATCTTGGCCATGTTGGTCTCTATGACTTGTATGCCGCACTCCCGGCCAAACGTCGTGTTTGAGACCAGTACGATGCTTATCACTTTTATCACATTGGGTCGTTGGCTGGAAAACCGAGCCAAAGGGCAGACTTCTCGCGCATTATCCCGGTTAATGTCTCTCACCCCATCCATGGCTACTATTTATGACGATCCCATCGCTGCCGAGAAAGCGGCTGAGCCATCCCATGCTGTGGGTGATGCGGCTGAAGAGAAAAATACAATCTCGGTCTCTGTGAAAAATACGAATATGAAATCCATTCCCACCGAGCTGATCCAAGTTGGTGATGTTGTTTGTCTTCGTCCGGGCGACAAGATTGCGGCAGACGGCATTGTTATTCGCGGCGAGAGCTATGTCGATGAGAGCATGGTTACCGGCGAGGCCAACCCGATCCGCAAGATACGAGGAAGTCAAGTTATAGCAGGTACCGTCAACGGCACTGGATGGGTTGATTTCCGCGTTGTTAGGGCTGGTAAAGATACACAGCTAAGCCAAATCGTCAACCTCGTGCAAAATGCACAGACAAGCCGAGCCCCAATTCAGCGTATGGCCGATATAGTCGCTGGATATTTCGTTCCCACTATCTTAACTCTTGGGTTGGTTACCTTTTTTGGATGGATGATTCTCAGTCACATTCTGCCCAAGCCACCCGAGATATTCCTTCGGGAAAGTAGTGGTGGAACTGTAATGGTTTGCCTTAAACTGTGTATATCTGTGATAGTGTTCGCATGTCCGTGCGCTCTCGGACTTAGCACACCTACTGCTGTCATGGTTGGAACGGGTGTCGGAGCCGAACACGGCATCCTCGTCAAAGGTGGTGCAGCACTAGAAGCAGCAACGAAAATACAACACGTCGTGTTTGACAAAACCGGTACATTGACAACAGGCAAAACAACAGTTGCTGATGTGAAAGTTGAACCGCTTTGGGCATCCAATGAGTGGCGTCGGCGTCTGTGGTGGTTGCTTGTCGGACTTACAGAGATGACCAGTGAACATCCTATTGGCAAAACCATCGTGTCTGCCGCCAAATCCGAAAACGGAATCTCGAACGATGATCCTCTGGACGGTTCGGTGGTTGAGTTTCAGGCCACTGTTGGGAAGGGAGTATCAGCCATCGTCGAGTCGGCGTCTGGCGTAGAACGAACCAAATATCGCGTCATTGTTGGAAATGCAGTGTTTCTTCGGTCAAAGGATATCCGAGTACCCGCTTCAGCCGATCCAGACAGCCAGGACCCCACGCCCGCTAAGTCCGGGGTGCATAGTTCCCAGTACGATGTATTGAATGGGACAACTCGGGTACATATCGCCATCGACAATCAATACGCAGGCACAATTTCGCTTCAGGATTCTCTAAAACTTACGGCGAAGGCGACGGTTGCAGCGCTTCATCGAATGGGGCTTACAACATCGCTGGTCACTGGAGACACTTACTCTACCGCTGTGGCCGTGGCCAATGCTGTCGGCATTCCCACAGAGTCGATCCACGCCTCAGTCACCCCACCCGAAAAACAGGCAATCATTGCGGAGCTCCAAACCGTGTCAGGAATTTCCGTCGCCATGGTTGGCGACGGAATCAACGATTCTCCCGCCTTAGCAACGGCTTCCATCGGTATTGCACTCTCCTCCGGCACAGACGTCGCCATGGAAGCCGCCGATGTTGTTATTATGAGACCCGATGATCTGCTCTCCGTGCCCGCGAGTCTATGTCTTGCCAAATCAATCTTCACACGGATAAAGCTCAATCTCATCTGGGCCTGTATGTACAATGCCATTGGGCTTCCTTTCGCAATGGGAATATTCCTCCCATTTGGAGGAATATCTTTACATCCTATGGCTGCTGGTGCTGCAATGGCAGCTTCCAGCGTGAGCGTTGTTGTGAGTAGCTTGCTTCTAAAGCTATGGAAACGACCACAATGGCTGGATGTAGACAGGCTGGAGAGGGAGGTTGAATTGGGCAAGATCGGCGCGACGGGAGGCGGCCGTCATGGAGTTGGTGACTGGTGGCGGAAGAGTCCGTTTGCATCCCGTGAGACTGGAATATTAACACAGAGTATGGGGTGGATTGCGCGAACGACTGCGAGTATGATGAGCCGAAAGAAAATACGAACCGAAGAAGAGGGCTACGTGCCTCTGCAAAGCGTGGAGCCGATTAATTAGATGGCTGTTTCCCGCTCTCTTTTCTTTTAACTGTGTTTCTTGCAATTTTTTGGGGCATTTTGTATCTATTACGGTTTGAATGAAGTAATATATACCCGCCATACATTTATGTCTTTTTGCCATGCATTTTTTTCCAACGCTAAATAATCACTGTAGAACACTGAAAGTCATCAGATTTGAGCAATTCTACATAATGATGTTCTAGTTTCTTCTTGAAATGTGTATAACAGGACGGCAGTCTTGTTGACTTATACGGAGTAGATTAAAATGTATATAAGAGCTTTGGTTTAAATTTTCTCTGGTACTTTGTCCGTCTACATGGTTACATCTTCGTTCTCTTTACCGGAAATTCGCCCATGTGCACCTCGAAGGGGATATCAAGCCCAATCCAATTATCAAAATAGCAAGAAACCAGGTATCAAAATCATAGCGCACAACAGCGCCGTATAATATCCGAAACAACATAAAAAGAAAATCCAACCGTCGAGTTGTTAATAAATCTTGCAGATTTCAGGTATTGCAAGGAGTTGACGAAAGAACCGGGGCCACCCCAGCCAAAGTACTGGCCTCCGGCTAAGCGTAAGAAACCTTCCCCTTGCCCGCAGCCTTCTTCGGCGGCGGTGGAAAGTACATCATCGGCTGTGCCGGCTTAGCAGCTTCCAACGTTGTCACGGATGAACTCGTGGTATCACCGCGCAACGGAAGGTCATTTGCACCTCCCAGCTGATTGAAAGCCATTGTGCGTGGAGTGATTGGCTGTAGGCCATTTTCGCCTTGGTAAAAGTTTGGATAGCACGGCGATTTGAGGGACTTGAGTTCCGCGAGGGTTTCTAGCTTCTCTCGTTTTTCGCGCTGTCTTTCTCGGGTTTCTTCCGTTGGAAGGCACGATATTACCGCAAGGACGAATTGAGCAAGGAAAATAACGCTGCGAATGTATTAGACCGGAAAACCAACTAGCGCAAGAAGAAAAAAAGAAAAAAAGAAAAAAAAAAAAGGCCTTGTAAGTGGCGGTTAGGGGAGAGTTCACATCAAGATAATAGTGCAAGCAAATCCAGACTTTGCCTGTTTGCAATATCCGATGTTATTCCGATGTGATGCGACGTTGCAGTTCTTGGTGATATACCACGGAGGACCGGACTGAAGATGCTCTGGGTCGCTCGTGTCTTTCCCACCCTGCCATGCTGCGGATACACAGTAGAGCACTATCAAAATAGTATGGACGAGAACGGATAGTGGTGGATAGAAGACGTGTAGAACAAACATTGGTGTTTTGACTAGCAGGAAAAACATGCTTAATACCGATATCACAAGATTGAAACTGGTAATACTATGGAAGAGAGGTTAGGATCGTTCGTAGAGTATTCATAGGAACAGGGGACAGAAGGAGCTGAAGCTGAAGAAAAGCGCTCATACAACTGGGTCCAGGGCCGAGGAACTGTATACGGCTCATAGTTCGCATATCTGTAAACCAATTCATCCGGGGAACTATTGAAGCCGTTATCAGCGCCATCTTGCCAGAGTTTTGTCCGATATAGATTTGGAGACGCGATTCCGAACAGAGCCAGGACTGCCACGGTGAACGGCAGCTCAACAGCGATCAGGATCTTGAATGCGAGCGGAGAAATATATTTTCGCGGCAAATACCACATTATCTTCCCCATGACGGGCGAAAGGGCGAGTTCGCTGAGGAATCGACAGCTACGCTGACGAGAGCCCAGACGAACCAGATTCGGTTGCGAACTGTCAGCGTTGGTGGAAGTCTTCACGCCAGGCCAGCTGGCTAGGAAATGAGATTCCTGGGCGGGTTGCCAGCCGTTAAAAGGACATGCGATACGATAGCAAATCAAGAGTTAACTTCAGACTCCTCCTGCTTGATGGGGGCAACGAAATGTCATGGCTTGACAGATATCCGTAAGCGCGCAGGTCGGAGGAGGTCTCCTCACGGCCGGGATGGCTGCTTCTCTTGGTTGGTTCAAGCATCATCGCCGCACTCGCTGGGCTTGTGGGACTGGGGAGCGGTTCTGCGAGCAAGGGTTGAGGTGATGCACAGATTCCCGCCAACCAATAAACAGCAGGAAACAGGGGCTGTCGCTGCATGTTCATCACACACTAAACCAAGCGACTGCAGCGAAAGCATCTCACTCGCTGTTCAAGGGCGAAGCCCGGCGGCAACCATCTTAGCACGACCCATCCAATAACCCACTGGTTAACCAGTCGATCCGCAGTCAAAAGGTTGTGGTCATCATGCCATTTGCCGAACCTTCCATGTGTTCATCATCACCAGAAATTGAGGCAGATGGAAAAGTGTCTTTGAATCATTGATGAAGAATGCAGGACTCTTCCAGCACCACCCAGATGCCCAATCTCCAGTTCAATTTCAGTGCTTTGCAAAAGTGTGTGTGCCTCGAATAATCAAGAGATGATTTGGAATATCCCAAAATGCTACGTCCGTATGAGGCACAAAGTAGCGCAGGAGACAGGCTGCTTTACTGACCTTAAGTTCACACGCAAATATTTTTCCCTCTTTGTCGAATTGTATGTAGCATGATCACAAATTATTTGGTAGTCAAGCCCAAAGCTTGCCTTTGCGTCAACGGCCTCGGAAACATTGACCGATGAATACCCCATACTCGTAATGTGTTAGTGTTACTGTATAAGTTTGTTAAGATGGGGGTTTAAACCGGTTGAAAAGCTTGGATTTTGGTATAAAAATATAGCGAGTACACTTTCGACTTGGCTATTTATCCATAGTTCGGAATCCTTCTCTCTCAAAGGGCTGTAACTTCGGGGATGGGAGAGCAACTGACACAGCCCAAGCCATTCAATCCCTCTGCACAATTTTGGTGATGATAGATTTCCCATTTTTTCATATTCTTTTCTGCGAATCTCCCTACTTTCCAATTCTTCCAATGGCCTGCAAGTCCCATTCCACCCTGCTGCTAGGTTTGGAACAAGTTAATACTATTCCATGGGGGCCACAAATCCCAGCCTGCTTTGTCTAGACAATCCCATGGCCAGCTAAGATCTTCTGAGTATTTCACCAATGGCTCAAGGATAATACAAATATCACTCGGACTGTCGGCCATGTGAGTCCGAGAGTGACAGCCTCCTATGGAATCACACACATAAAATTATATACATTCATCTGACTCTGAGAGCCAAGTTTCAGCGAACAGACCATATCTGAAGCAGCCATTTTGATCTGGTACCCCTCCACTTATAGTAACTGTGCCTTAATTTGCAATATCAGGTACGCTGACTCTTTATGCAAAAGCTGAAGATGCTTAACTGACCATCTTAGGCCGTCTCTAAGATATCCAGCTTCAATGTACGAAGACTGGCCTGCTTGCATGAGAAAGGAAAGACGTGGTCTACTGTCCCAGAATGAGATAAATAGCAAAAGGCCCAAGTGGACTTTCAAGAATGCTTTGGGGTATTAACTGACAGATGTGATAATTGAAACGTGGCCGTCATCTTCCTTTCAGCTTGGTCTTCAAGACCTATTATCTGATTCTTCTTAATGCTTTCTACTCATATCTCCACCAAAAATAAAGGGACTCCAACCGCGGATCATGCAGCCAGATTATTAAACACCGGTTACCACATTTCCCCATACTACAGCTGTTTTGCATCTACCCTTGTTTAAGATATAGCAGAGATTTTCAATGGCTAACTAATGCATAAAATAGTTGGTGGCTCGTACCCCTAATCTTCAAGGCTCTCCGCTGGTTGGTGTTAACTACACCACCCTCCTCCGTCAGAAACCAATGCCAATGCACTCCGACAATCTCCCTATAGTCCGGGATCATGTGAAGTCCATTTTGATATAAATAGCCAAAGATATCATCAACGCCATGTGGGCTTGAGCAGGGGTTGGTCATTCTATGTGGAGCAGCACATGCCCGTTGGGTTTCTATGCAACCTGATCTGCTTTGTTAGGTCATTGTCAAATTCCCAACCAAATTCAGTACGATGTAGGAAGGGCACCGCTGTTCAGGCTTGATGAGCAGTTAGTTTTCTTCTTATAGAGCGGCACCGCAATCAAGCGGCAAATGTGCTCAGTCAGAGCATGTGAAGCAGAACAGGATACATAAATCCCCTTCGAGGCCACAAGCTGCAAGTGTTTTCAGAGATCCAAAAGCCCCAGAAATATATCAATCGATTCCTCCTAGACTCTCCCTTTTCTAATTTTACCTTATCCTTTCTTATAACCCCAAACTCACCCCCACTCTCCTCCTCTCGCTTCCATAATCTTAAGAGAAATGATTTACCTCAATGCTGCATTCGTGCGCACCGCAGTCATAATCGCCCTTCTTGTCTGCTTGGTTCAGGCTGTTCCGGCTCCACACGCTGAATTAACACTCCACGACGGCACTGAGATTCCAGATGGGAAAGAGTTCATCAAATGCATGAAGCATAAGTCCCCCGGCTTTCCGGACGAAGATGCCACGGATAATGCAGTTATCAAAGCATGCGTGGGTGAAGAGCGGCCGAAGCGACATGCTGATAGAGCCTCGGTCCCTCTTCGCGACGACAAAAACCCGCAAACACATTGGGTCGAGTCCAACTTCATGAAGTGCATGAAGAAGAAACATCCCAATTTTCCGAAGGAGAAAGTCACAAATGCGAGTTCTATTTTTGAATGCGAGGGTATGGAGCATGGGAAACGAAGTGTCGACCGTGGCCTAATCTCCCGCAGTCTCAGTATCGATATCCTTGGAAAATCCCTTACGTTCAAAGCCGAGTGTGGCGAGGAAGAGATTCCAAAAAATTTCAAGGAAGCTGGACCGTTCCGTTCTGAAGCCGGGAAGTGGTGTGATAAGATGAAAAAGGATGTGCTCGATAAAGGTGCAACCACACTCAGCGAGACCTTATCTGATGCCGTCACCAAAGAGGCTTCTTGGTTTTACCGGAATAAGAAAGTTGTGCTCACATTGGCACTTGCTATTTCACCACAGGGCGAGGCACTCCTCCAAGATAAGGAGGGAGCGGATGAGGCCTATGACAAATGGTGTAAATTTGCTTTTGAACAGTTTGGCACCAAAGGCAAAGGATGCACTAAGGAACTTGGTTATTATAAGGACAAAATCCCATTCCTCTGGATCCCGATAGGGAGTGCCACCACCACAACAGTAACCGACGGATTCATGAACTTTATGGAGAAACAAACAATGATTGGAAGCCTAGCAGTTGATTGGTCACGGCCTTAAAAGATATAGCTAAGATGCTCAATCCTTTTTCTTCAAATATCCTTTGAAAGGACTTTGTTTATGATGTGAAGTCAAATTGCTTTTCCTTTGGGAATTTGGTTGCCTCCCTAACACAGTTTGGAAAGGAGAAACAAAAAGGCTTTTTGTGATCTTGATGCTGCAATTTTGGACCTATTGTTAGCTGCTGTCTTCTGTTAACTTGTCTCCACCTGTATATCACCTCCATCCACTCTGTATGTATCCTTGATTGGAATATGTCCTGCTATCCTGAGTTCCGCAGAGCTACTCCGTGCGGAGTACGCTGTTCCACAGAGGTTTTCCGGGTTTCTCCCTGCAGATTGGGCGACCAAAGTCTCTGCTCTGTACGGAGTACAAAGCAACAGATCATGAAACCGGCTAGGAGACGCCACTCGCTCTTCAGCAACGGGAACAAAGTAAGTTGAGGAGGTCATGCCACCATTTATAGGATGATCGCAGGGGACCCTACGCCGCACGGAAGAGAGCAGGATGCTCCCGGATGTTGGGTGGAGGTATTTTTTGTCCCATTAGCACTCATCGCCGAAAGGTGTTTGACGTGTTTGCCTGGTTTGCATCCGTTTATCGTGTCTGCGCCAATCTAACCTTTCTAGGATTAGCGTGTAGATTTCGGTTAGCTTCGCTCAACCTACGAGAGTCGACGCGACACGACGCGACGCCAAACCCCACAAAACGCCGTTAAACTCCAAGCTCAACAACAAAGCTCCAACCTCGGTTCACCAGCTTGTCTTGCTTGTCCTAGTTATCTATCATTTCTGTTGCTGGACGCCCCACTTGTGCTTATTTCTGCCTCTTCGCGTTCCGATGGGTACCCGAAGCCTGATCTGCGTCTGGTACAAGGGCCGCTTCGTCATCGCCCAGTATACCCAGTTCGATGGCTATCCCGAAGGTCAGGGAGCTGATATCCTACGGTTCATATCTGTCAAGGGGAACATCGAGCGGCTCAAAGCTGGACTCGAACATGTCAAAGCCATCAGCGACCAAGAGCTCAATGAAATCCATCGAAAAGTTGATGAGGGCCTCAGAGCCAGAAAAAATGCCGGAGTTACCACCTCCTCCATGAACATGATGATGATGACGGGGGGTTCAGGAATCGACAGCCTCTACCCTTCTCTTTCCCGCCTTGCTGGTGCTGGTATCTTGGAAATTGCTGCCCAAGCCACTGCCGACAAGCCCGTCCCGGTTTCTCTGGATTTGGAATTCGCCAATGACTCCCTGTTCTGCGAGTGGGCTTATTGCATTGATCTTGATACAGCCGTTTTTGAGGTGTTTGGAGGCGGCTCTTTAAAGGCAAATTCCGGCAGCAAGCGATTCGAGGATGTCGGGGGAGCAAATGATCCGGTTCCTACTCTGATTAGGAGTTTCTCGCTTGACAATTTGCCCGAGAACCCGGACGCGTTTATCGAGCTTTTAGGAGATGTGTATGACTCTGGGGATGAACCGCAGGAAGAGGAAGAGGAAAGGGACCTAGCGAAAACTGTTGATGAAGATGCCGCCCAAGACGATACAGTCATCAATCCGGCCGGATAACTGCGCAAAACATATGACCCCCACCGTCTTCTCCTGTTTGCACCATGTATTCACCACCTACTCGTAGGGCAATGCCATGGTCTGAAGGCCCGTGTATCCATGATCATTTCAAACTGCTTTGCTACTCACAGCGCTTGCTGTTAAAACTAGTGCGAAGAGGCGGGGTAATGTGGGTGCTATTCCTCTTCTTTGCGTTGGTAAACCATTCCATACCCTCTGGCATGTCGCCTACTATATGTACCCGGATGTTCTAGGGGTCGCTAATTCGTTTGTGAAATGATTGCTTTCGCCGTTGCTCGGCCATCCTACATAAATAGGCGTAGATTCTACATAGGTACCCTACATCCTAAGCCTGGGTGTTACTACCAGCCTCAAGAAATACACTCCCTTGCGGGTATTCACGCCTCAAATTGATTTTGACGATGCGGCCGAGATAAGTCTCACCCCAGTTACTTCGTATAGAGCGATTAGTCAAACTCCCTTTGGTACTCTGACTGTGTAGACACAAGATCGGTTGTGTGGTCTTCTCTATGTTTATCTCTATGTGAACTCCCGTCAATCATCATAAAAAGTCCTATTATCCCTAATGCTGTCAGGCCGCTACCACTGGCTCGTGAGCTGTTGCCATTTCCCCCAATCACTCACGAAGGCACTAGGTTGCATGCACATCAGGGGCAGTAGGCAATCCATCCCTATGATGTCTACCCATACATCCGCAGGTCCACCGAACAAGTCCGGTGTTCCTCACGAAATCCGTACATCAGCGGAGCCCCGCCAAAACGCGTTATACCCGGTGCGGCTGTCACATATCGAGCTCGTTAATCCAACCATTCGACTTCTCAGATTCACCGTTCCACCGGAAAATATCGATAATTCAAACAATGTGAGAGCACCCGACATGTCCAAGCCTACAAATAGAATTCTCAACTTTTGACGTGGTGCTTGCACCTCTGTCAAGACCTGTACACGCAACTAATTCGAATACTTTAGCATGGCTCTATCCCTTCAATCCCATCGAAATTGTTTACTTTCCTTCCCGGCCAGTGGCTAGACGTGCATATCCCTACGCTTCGTGATGCTGGAGGCTTCACGATAACATCTACTCCGCGGGAGGCAAGCCCCGAATCCTCGAGCGAGCCGTATATCGAGCTCGCTGTGCAAGCCTCCCCGTCCAACCCCGCAGCGGCATGGCTGTGGCGGCCTGAAAACGAGGTTCTTGGCGCTGAGGTGCAAGTAAGAGTGGGCGGGTCATTCATCTGGCCGCCTCCCACGGCGGAGAGCGGGATTCCGCTCGCGGAGATTCGCAAAATTATCTTTGTGGCAGGCGGAGTGGGTATCAAGTATGTGTCTCTTATTTTTCCCTATGTAAATCTTCCTTGCACATGCAAGAGTCATGCTATCGCTACGCCCTATTCCTTCTAAGGCGCAAGATCTTTCTGCGCCACATTTGGTTTTGACCATTGGCATGCTCAAAGGTGATAGATCTAACAAATCACTCAAGCCCTCTCATGTCCATGATCTCGCACATCCATAATACCCGCTCGGGCCTACACCCGTCCACAGAGGTTCACCTTCTCTATGCTACCAGAATCCCTTCAGCATCAACGCTTTCGTCAAACTCAGGCACATCAAAGGCTCAGAATCTGCTCAACCAGATCCTCTTCCTTCCACGTCTCAGAGAGATAGTTCATGTAGAGCAAAAGCAACAACAGGAGCAGAAAACAGGCGTTTGTTTCCAACCCCTTGATGTGAGATTGTATCTCACAAACCTTTCTTCCCACAGAGGCACCAGTGCCGGCGAATTAGAGGCCGAGTTGCGTGGTGACATATCAGTTTATAATCGCCGCATCATAGCGGCTGATTTGCAGGATCTTATTGGTAGCAATAGAGTTGAGCGTGCGAAAACTATATGCAACGTATGCGGGCCGCCACGAATGACGGATGAGTTCGTCGAGGTTCTAAAAGAGATCGTAGGAGACAGAAGAGTGTTCTATGAGAAGTGGTGGTGATAGAACGGTAATAGGGGTTTTATGGGATGTACTGGTCTGAAAATACAAGAAGGGAACGTATCGCGTAGATGGGATGTTAAGACTTCAATATCTTAGGGAGGCTTTTCAAAATTAGAAATGGTACTAAATGGAAATCATGTTCATTAAATGAACAACATCGTGTATAGTACACTATCAATGAATCAAAGAAGGGTTATGTTGGTGATAGAGCACCGGCTCATATATAAAAAGAAAGCGAATCAAACTCCGTATATATACTCCGTACACTGGCAAAACTAACCAATAATGAATTAGGAGCCATACAACCAACGAGGGTATAAGACAGTGGACATTATCCGAGACGGCTACTTACACCAATAAACCAACGCCTCGCCTCTAGCCGTACATACATTACACAGTAGAAGTTGTATTCAAATAGCTTGAGGAGGGACCACTTTCCCACCATCGACAAGCATCATCTCATCCACTCTTTCCTCAGTATTTCCAGATTCGAGGCGTTTATAAGATACAATTCGAGCTCTATTCATGTCAATGTCAAAAAGTCGAACTCGACGGATATATCCACCGTATCCGCCATATCCACCGAAACCAGAACCGCCGGCGTAGCACATCCACAACGCTGGCAGGTCCTTTGCATTCTTTTCAAGCATGCAATAGTCGTTTGCATGGTCACTGGAACAAGGAAGTCAGTAATCCAGGGCAGAAAAAGAATCAGTATGGGATAATTGAAATCAACTCACTGTCCACATGATACAAGAACAACATTCTCCTCTATCAAAGCGTCTTTGAACCCAGAATTAAACCTCGGCGCCGTCGGAGCCTCAAGCCAATTTCCATGATAAGAGCCTTTGACGTTTCTGTACTCAGGAAGCGGAATATGAATAAATGCCAAATTCATATGAATGTGGGTGTATGCCTGGTGGTCCTTTTTGAGACTTTGCGCAGTATTCTTGAACCAGCTTATCTGACTTGGCTTTAACCAATCGTAACCGGGATACTGCCGTTCATCAGGGGAATATTTATGGGTGTCAAGCATGTAAAGACTCAGCGCAGAATGGGATGAACTGTGGCCGAGAATCTCAACGACATAGTTGCCAACGCCGTCCACATCGACAGGACCGGGCTTGGAGAGAGAATAAGGAAGATTCTGCATGAGGGTCATAAGAGCGGTTCTATCAAGGTTCCCCTCATCATCATGATTCCCAAAGATGGCTGCATAGGGAATCTTGCGTTTTATGAAGAGGTCGGCAAACTTGTAGGTTGCAGTCTGAGCGTCGGGAGCAGTGTCACCATTGATCTGATCGCCACTCAACACCACCAAGTCTGGCTTCTCCTCATCAAGCAGCTTACCCACAAATTCAAGGGTTCGGGGATCAGCTTCGCATTTCTCTCCATCACGAAGCTCGGGAACAGGGTCCCGACAAACGCCAAACCCTGTGGCCAGGTGTAAATCCGACACTTGCATGATTTTAAATTTACCATCTTTCCGTATCCTCGGGACGGGCATATCGATGTTTGCACTTGCCCCTCTTCTGACAGTTAAACGCGGCTCGGTATGCGTATCCAAGAGCAGGGGGGTATCCTTTATTTCCCAGTTCGGGCGTGGGTCCACGGCGTCAGCGCCAAAGAGCACATCGACCGCCGTAATCAGCTTCGAATCGCTGGTGTGGTGCGACGATTTCAGAAGCCAGATTCCCCCCGGCCTGGGTTCCCATTTCTTATCAACTCCAGCTCCGGGATCAAGTCGACCCATTTTCAAATCCACAACGATCTTATCACCCGGCAGCAGCTCCTCCTCCTTCTTCCTCTGGACATGTAGATACGCTTTGGACGTCCATCCGGTATTCAAGTAAAGATCCTTTTCCACGCGATACCAAATATTCGGGTCCAATCTGCAGGTTGAAAATAGATTAAGCGTGGAGCAGGTAGCTATCGTGATATCCGTGATAACGAGGCCTTGGTGATGGATAGGTAAATACTGTTGTAAGCGGGAAGGTATAACGGAGACATGGCTATCGAGGATGAGAATGAAAAGTAAGACTACCACGACAAGCGCTCCGAGATTTGAAATCGTTCGTAACTGGACCCGATAGGTGTTAATTTTTTTTTTTTTTTTTTTTTTTTTTTTTAGAAGATAAAAGGCGACGAATAACACATACGATTCTGCGGTTCATCCTGGCCACACAATTCCGTCTTGGGAGTACAACCAAAGCAGCAACCCCAAGGCTATCTCTTGCTTGTGTTACGGAAGAATGGGAGACTCAACGCCGCAGCTCTGCACATTGTGCAAGCAGTCTTCATGAGGTGGGGAAATGGATGGAAGCATAAAAAGTACAGTCAAAAAGGGAAACTTAACAACAAAAAGCCCGCTCTGAATAATTATAGCGAACCCGTGACAGCCTCACGGTAAACGCTACTTGCAAACACCCCGTCGTCGGGTACAGTTGGCAGTTGTTCATCTGAGCTGCGGATTAAAGTTGAGCGAGCTGGCCAGACTCAGCGGAAATACTATCCGCCGATACGCTGGACGAAAGAACCTTCTTTGAAGCACGGTGAGCTTTCTCACCCCCAAGGAGAGCTTCTTTGAACAAAGCATTGGTTGGCTGCGGAGCTCAGTCGCTATTGTTGGACTCTCTGTACCCTCCTATATTCCCGTCGCTCCGGTCTATTGTTTAATTCCAGGAATTCGCGATCGTATATCCACGTCATTGAATGTCTAAATTCCTCTCTAATCTGCGCCGTTTTCTAACACGGTCAAAAATACCAAGCTCATATGGAGGGTCGATAGATACGAATTTCTCGAAGTTCCAAGAAGGCGATGTAGTGATAATCAATGGGAGGAATCCATTATTGACTAAGCCCCTTGGGCGGAACAAGCAGACGGGGGTCAGTCGCGGAGTTATCCAGCACAATGATATCATTGGTAGAAGACCTCGAGATCTTGTGAAGGCACAAAAAGGTATCTAGGATTGTCCCAAGTGCATGGCGTATCGCTTGGCTCACCGTTTGTTTTTTGATTCACCCAGGACCTTCTTATCGAATTACCTTCCCTACGCTCGATGAATATGCCACCCTGAGCCCACGACTAGTGACTCCAGTATGTGACACTGTTGCGTTTCCAGAAGTTTTGGAATGAGAAAAGCGGAGCGCATTAAACTAATTTGCGATCAGTAGGTTTATCCTGCAGATGCCAATCTTATCGTGTCTCTTTTAGACATTCATACATCCGTGCCTTCGGACCAACGCGAACCAGACCAACCGGTAGAAATTTTGGAAGCGGGAACTGGTCATGGATCGCTGACGCTCCATCTTTCCCGTGCAATAAATGGTGCCAATACCTGTCCGCCCCCAATTCCCGCCCATTCTCAGCTGAAAACTATCCCGGAAAACTCCAGTGGGGAAGAAACAAAAAGTTCAAAAAGGGAAGGACAACAAATATCAGACGAAAGCTCCTTGAACCAAGAAGCATGGGACTCTTGGCGCTCTGGACGCCGAGCTATCATACACACGGTAGAAATCTCTGCGAAGCATTCGGCCCATGCTGAAAAGATTATTCGTGCCTTTAGACGCGGAATGTATGCCGGGAACATCGATTTCTACGTTGCCAGTGTAGAAAACTGGATCGAAGAACAGACTCGACGTCGCAGCAGATCGCTATTTTCAGGAACGTTGGAACCATTCCTTTCATATGCCATCCTTGATATGCCGTCGGCACACCTACGCATACCCCATGTTTCACCAATCCTCAAAGTGGACGGTGTTTTGGCCGTGTTCATGCCGAATGTGACACAAATAGGCGACTGTGTGAAGATAATCAATGATAAACGACTACCGTTGGTTTTGGAAAAGGCCGTGGAGCTCGGTACTGGTATCAGCAGCGGAAGGCTATGGGATATTAGGATGGCAGTACGACGGTCCCGTCCAGTCAAGACCAAAGAAGCGGAACAACCAACAGGAGGCGAAAACGGAGAGGAGTCGTCTGGAGAAGTATCTGAAAGTAAACCCCAAGATGTTTATACTAGCGCGCTGGCTGGAGAACCACAGGCGGGTGACCCAGTCCTAGTTTGCAGGCCGAAAGTTGGAGAACGTATTGTTGGAGGAGGTTTTGTAGGATTATGGAGAAGAATCAACGAGCAGTAGAAGGAAAAATTAGATACCAGCTAGCCCAATCCCGCTATCTCGTCGGCTGAAGGTGCGCGGGGAGGCTGCTCTCACAATTTTGCCCTCGAACCAGGGCGTTCTTCATCTGACCTTGAATCTGCTTGGGTAACATTATCGCTACGCGCCAGGACCCACTCGGCTACATCTTTGACGAGCGCTTCCTTTATTCCCTCGGGTTCAGCATGTAGTTTGTGGTAAGCACCTTCATATGCCTTGAAAGTCTTATCGGGGACAGCGACAGCCTCCGCGAAATGTTTAGTAGCTTCAAACTCGTTTATTTGGTCGGCAGTTCCGTGACCAACCCAAAGTGGTGGAGACTTTGAATGCGCTTTTTGCAGTATATCTTTCGGCAGATGTTGGAGCTGATCCAACCAGGCGGCTCGGTCCAGCATTCCTGCAATCCCTTCCAGGGTGCCCGTATCGTGGCAGAGAGGATCTTGCTTCCATTCTTCGCAAACTCGTGGATCACGGCACATTAGAGATGGATCGAGGGGCTTGTAAAGCTGGTGGCTGGGCCTCAATTTTGCAACTAGTCTTCCCAATGCCACCGTAAGTTTGTAAGGGCGGCTGCTTGGGTGTAAGCCCACGAGCGGGGAATATGCTAAGACTCCCCGGATCCACGGAGGAAAGGAAGTAGAATTCAGCATGTAGTAAAGGACCTCTCCACCACCCATACTATGTCCCATCAGGAAAATATGCGGCGCCTTCAAATCCACTGGAGCTTCGGCATTCCCTTGTCCTTGCAACGAGTGATACACGCTTGATAAAACAGAGTGGATATCCGCGATGACGAGTGTAGTATCGCCCGTGAGACCCCGAGATGCTGCATCTGGTACAGAGCGCCCCCAACCCCTGCAACCTAATGTTAGGAGAGGTTCATTTCATTCACAATCTCTCTGAGACATTTGAATACATTCGAATGCCATAGAGGCGTACTCACCGCTGGTCAAATGCTCGCACTTCAATCCCATGTTTGGCTAAGCCAGGAAAAAAGTCATAGTACGCATTGCCTATAGAGCCATGTCTAAGCATCATAAACCTAACCGGCCCAAGTTCAATGGAGCATACAGTGGTCACTGAAGCCGTGCAGAAAGACAATGACCGCCTTGGGAGGAGCATCAGGCTGGACAATTGCCCCACTAGTCAGCCTTGGTCCTTGCAGCATAGGAGATTAAAGCAGGTAGTGAATCATGGGTCAAAGGGATCTCAAATTCCATGTGAATGTAATCATTCCAAATGCCTAGCTATGGGGTTGAGTCACTCACCTTCCATGTTTTGGTGTACACTTTCAACCCGTCCGGGAGAGTGTGCCAGCCTTCTTCAGTTTTGGTTGCCATTGTCATAGTTGACTTAACCCGTTAAAAGGATATTGAGATAGAGGGGCTCGCTGGGAATAAGTAAAAAGGACTGGATGATAGTTGGTGTGGATGTGGGTTGAAGGTCATCGGGAAGTCGGGCCTTGGAAGCCATTCACATGCTCGTAGAGTATAACTTAACCAATGTGAGACGCCCGCCAGGCTCTTGAATGTATGTCTTGTATTTCTAATATTTTGCAAGTGCACCCAAATTTTTATAGCAATTGTCCCTCGAGCCTAGAGAATGCATCTATGAGCCTTCGCGCAAAAGCTGCTAGCCATTATAAGGAGCAGTTATAGTACAGTACATTACTCCCATGCCCAGGATGAGCCAATGATTAAACCATTTGCAATGACCGATACCTTTGTTCTATATACAAAATCGCATCGGTATGCAGATGGTTTGTGAACGAACAACTCCGTCGTGTATGCAAAAATCTCCGAATGTCAACGCCTGACTCCGACTCTTGTGCGCTTTGACTACGCGGTGACCAGCCCACATCAATTTTCCAGACCTTCTTTATCTGTAGTTCGCTTTCGCTTTGGCTTCATCTTTTCTCTTCGTAATCTTTCTTGCCTTTCCCTCTCTTGTATCTCCAATCCAGTCTTGGTAATCTCATGCTCTATATCCAAGTTCTGCCGACGGATGAGCAGACTTACACACAATCCGATCGCTGCCATCGAAGTGTAAAATATCCACATCACTCTCAGGCTCTGATTATATGCATTCAATACTGGTATTTTCTCCTTGTTTGGAAGAGTTTTCACAAAATCCGTCGAAGCGCTACCAGAACGACCCTGTAGCATGTCCGCAGTCTCAGGAGATAAAATGGAGCCCAAGCTTCTGATATTAGCTCTCGTTTGATTCTGGAAAATCACTCCTCCCAATACGACGGAAACGCTATTTGCCATATTTCGAACAAAGCCGGCAGTCGCAGTTGCGGTGGCGCTGTCGGTAGGTCTCAGATGACTTTGCAGTGCGATCAGTGGTGCTTGGAAGTTTGGGCCAACGCCAATCCCAGCAACAAGCTGATACGTAATAATACGAGCCCAGGACGTGTGCGCTGGTAGATCGATGTAGAGACCAACACCGAGTACTAGTGTTGCCATACCAGCCCATATGGGTGGAAGAAAGAGGCCAGTTTTCCTGATTAGGTATCCGCTGATGGCAGCGACCAAGGCGACAGAAATGACAAAGGGAAAGAGATAGATGCCGGACTGTAGAGGAGTCGCTCCAAGAACGACCTGAAAATAGAGGGGAAGGAAATAAGACCCTCCAGTATAGACAAATCCTTGGGCGAAAATCATCCCGTATGCTGCAACCGTAGAGCGAGAAGAAAATAGCCATAAAGGTATGATCGGATAATATGCGAGCTTCCATTGGATGAGCAAGAAGAGGCCAAGGGTGCCAATGCCGAAAGCTATCAAGCATACGACGGGAACGGAGGCCCATGGGAGCCAAACTCCTCCATATTCAAGTCCAAGGAGAAACATGACGGTGCCTCCGACAATGGTCAATGAGCCTAACCAGTCTATAGCTCTAAGCCCAGCAAACAACGGTGTCTTTGGAGTGTGGACCTCAAAAAAGAAAAATATAATAACAAAGGCGATGCCGTCGACAGGAACTATTTTCAGTTAGTGGTGGCCGGTGTTATTATCGATTCGAGTTTACCGTACGATTAATATAGAAACACCACCGCCAAGTGACAAATTGTGTCATAATTCCACCAACCACCGGTCCAACGGCTCCTGCAACGGCCCATACCATCCCAATTATACCAAAATATACGCCGCGGGACCTATTCGACATGTCAGGACATGAATATCGGAGATAGTACCAGGAAGTCGTACCGCATGCTGAATAAATCGCCGATACTGATGTTAACCAACGCAAGAAGGCCGCCACCTCCAACGCCCTGGACGCATCGCCCCCCTATCAGCATTCTGATGTTAATGCTGATGGCGCAGAGAAGTGAACCAATTAGGAAAACCACGTTCGCCGCCAATAGAACTGGCTTTCTTCCGAAAATATCGCTGACCTTTCCCCAGATCGGCGTTGCCGCTAAATAGGCTGTCAGCAAAGTACAATTGGTTGATGTGCTCGGCTCCGTTTCAACGTACAGGCAGCAGCAAGCAAGTATGCCGAGCCAACCCACGTATAATTTGCCTCAGACGTGCGAAATGCCCTAGATATTGTGGGTAGGATAGTGGTAATAATCGTCTGACAGATCCTTTTATCAATGGCTCGTCCACCAGCTGTAATTCATAGAGTCTTCGAGTCAATCTCACCATATCAAGGGCAGCTAGGAAAGTGGCAAGCTGAATGCTTGTTAGCCTCTATGTATTAGACGATGGCTGCAATGGAAAGATACTCACGCAAAGAGCTGTCATTATAACAGCAATCTTGCCCTTAGCCATCTTATTCTCCTCAGATGTATTTTGGCAATCATCCGGGAATAGCTCCGCCGGGCCTTTGAAAGTGGTGATTACCGACAAAGACGCATCGCTGGCCGTGTCAGTGGTCGCTCGTGATTCTTTCTTCCTCTCCACAACGTCATTGACGTGACAAATTCCAATGTCTCCTTCTTCAGACGTTTCAGCTTTCTGTTCACAATGCGCATCTGACTTGCGCCACACGAAAACTGCCATAGCCAATTCCAGGGGAAGAAACTATTCAGCATGGCAGATGCTCAAAACGGACTTTATCTGATTCAGGGATGCGCCGAATCCGCCGAGAAAAAAAGATAAAAAAGATAAATAAAAAAAAGAACAGAATACAAGTTAAAAAAAACAAAAAGGCAGAGTTATATTATACCATATAACTAACAAGGCTAAGAAGAAACAAATCAAATGAAACATAACAAGAGGAAATTACGAGCACGCTATGTTGATCGCGGGCTATCGGTGGGAATGCAAGGTCATAGAATTAGGCAGCCCAGAGGATATTCGCGTCATCCCAGCCATAGTACTCCGTATACCTCATAGCGCACCGTAAGGCTCGAGATGCCGACCCTCATTGGCGAAATGATTGTTGACACGCTTTCAATAGCAGAACGGGACTCGAATCGCAAAGTTCGCTGAAAGGGCTGGTTCGGAAAGCCGTTGGAGGTGTACCAGCGGAATACACGGAGCCAGGAGCCCAACCAAGAGCAAGAATCAATAGCATATTCTGAAGATACGATAATGGGTTAATTGGGCGGTTTCCGACGAGATATCTCGTCCATTGGGACGTGCGCTCTGTCCTTCAAGTCACCTGTGATACCCTTGCTACTCATTCTGGCTTCGAGATATGCACAGTACGAGAAAAATTTTTCGTAGCTGACTTGAAATCCGCCGCGGAACGGGGTAGCTTTACGCGAAGGTGCAGAAAGCCGCTATCAACAACAATAATGCTACCGTGGATCACGAACAGCCAGGGTGCAAAGTTCTGCAGGCGAAAGCAGCGGTCGAATGCCAAGAAATGACCATTCCATTTTAGGTTAGCGTGAGAATTTCTTGGTTATGCTTAAAACTTGTGCTCCACGCGAAATCGCGCCCCACACGTGGATCGACGAGGATGGATGCATCAACACACAGGACACCGGGACGCCAGTCCGGACGAGAATGCCGTTGGTCCGAGCCACAAGCATAGGGAGTGCCTGATAGTGCCCCAAGCAGATATGCCGTTGACTCTTCCGTGCTCTTCTCGTTTTGCTACTCCGTGACTAGCCGTCAGCCTGATATGGCCAGAGCCTCGAAACACGGTGTCTCTCCTCATCATCCTTTGTCAAACCGATAAAAGCCCTTCTGAATTTCTTAACATTTTCCACCGCAACATCGTAATCTCGGAGGTGGAACATGCCATCAGCGGATAACATTCCCTCATCTCGAAGGACTTTGAGCATTTGACCCACGCTGTCCATATTCTCTTCCTCTTTACGATGCAATTCGAGTTCCTGTTCCGAGAGGCTCACGGGGCGCTATATATTAGTGTCGAGACAGATTTTACTCCAGCGCTCCGCAATGGCGATCATTACCTGACGAAGGGATAAGAGGCCTTTGCTCTCCCATGTTCCGATCAACAGCTAGGCTGGTTTGCGTGTCATTAGTATATCTCGCTGTGCAAGCACTGACCAATGAAGGAGCCTGTTTGCATATCTGAGCCTGGTAGTATTTGTGCATAATTTAGCCTTTGTTGCCTTGTTGACTCTTTCGTTCTCTTTATCATCGAGATCTTGAAATTTTCAGGGCGACAAGCGACCACCCATCTTTTTCGAACATAACCATCATATCGAAACACTGTGGGGACATCCGTATGGAAAAACAGCAGAGCAACGGTAACACCTTGCCAATCAGCAATCCGAGTGATTTGATGTGTTTCAGGGTTGACGAAGACATTATCAAAGTAGAGATCTAGATACGAGAGGACGTTACCGCTACTTTCGGTGTCTGTGAGAGCCAGAAACTTGACCGCATCCAGATACTGCGATAGCAGAGAGAGTGCTTCCTCGGGATTTTTAGTTTCGGTGAGTGACCGGTAATAGCTCATTCACGGTGATGCATGAGTCTTTATCCATGCTACTTCATTTGTCCCACTGGTGGTCAAATACTCGTGCACGTTTCTACCTGCTACCATTAGTGATATGCGCTTTCGCTGTGAAGAGAACAAGCGCACAGAACCTCGACCAATATCCATGGCCTGTCGCCTACTTCCCCAAAGATCTGCTGTCACGAGTCGGCCCATTGCAGATTGGTCGAGGAGTCGAGGGTTAGCAGCTGAATCGATTATGACGCCTCCCTCCATCCTAGGAGAAGGCGAAAGGTCTTTCATAAAATATAGGCATCCATGACTAGCAAAATTGATCGAAGCGAGGACATTTTCGATGTCCTCGACCTGCCAAACTATCTAAATCCGTAATTCCCACGGCCACTGCTGCCACACACTCTCAAGGCAGTCAAACCTCTCCCAGTTAGTTGGGAAAAATTGATCAAAAGCTGTCACCCGCGGCTTTCGTAGCCTCATGCATATACTCCGTAATAATACGGACCCTGAAGATCAAAACGTTTAAACCCCATTCGTTGACAAAAAGTAAATAAAGCTAATTTCTCGACGGCACCAAACCCAGCAAACGAAACTACATCAAAGAGTTAGGGAAAACCTCTCATTGCTCCTCAGATCCAGCCCCGGCAACTTAACCATAACACCGCTCAGCAGCCCTTGCAGCGAGAGAGACTACGGTAAATGAAAGAACAGGATAGAAATCAGGGGTAAGGAGTCCACATAACGCAATAAGAGAAGAATACCACGCCATCGAGGAAGTTTCCAAGAACACACCCGAGTGACAAGATGCGTGCAATACAGTGTAACAACATCAAAAAAGAAAACAGAAAGAGCAATAGGAAAAATGCAATAAACTATGAGGTGGGAGAAAATAGCAAACCAAATCCCAAGCAGGACCCCATACGTAAAGATTCCGAAATAAGACGCGGGGTCATCAGCCCGTCGGCAGCTACTAATAAAATCTAGGAAGCTCATCACATCGTCTTCTCCCGTTGTGGTCCGAAGTCTGCCTCGACGGGTTTATTCTTCTTGCTTTTCACTGAGAATTCCGCCATGAGTGCCAGGTGGTCGCTGGGGAAATGATAGTTCGGAAATCCGGGGACTCTCTTCAGATATTCCTTGTCGACTTCGCCAAGTAAGGCAGTTACTTGGAGAGTATTGGAAGAGTACCAGATATAATCGATCACATCTGTAAATCCGGGAGTGTAATTGGTGAAGCTCAGCTCCCCAATTGTCGAGTATGCCGACTTCAACGTGAATGGATGAGACATTCCCATGCGACTCAGGTTTCCGTATAACCGCTGTTCAAGATCCGGGTGCTCCTCAGCCATACGGCCGTGAGCCAGAAGATTATAAACGGCTGATCCTGGGCAAGAGTTGAAGTCACCACAAACAAGGATAGGAATTTGGGAAGCACTGGAATATTCTACCGAAGGAGCAGGTTCCACGGGCGTTGATGTCCCTTGACTTTCTTTTCCGTCTTCAGGCTCAGAGAATCTAAATGCCGTTTTATCGGTGCATGGAGGGATCTTCACGTATTTCTCTGCCAGCTGAGTTACCTCTTCCATCATAATGGCAACTTGAATTAGCTTAACGTCTTTATAAGCCGGATCCCAGTAAATGTGGGCGTTGACAACAATCAGGCGCTCCCCTGTAAGCCTATTCTCCAGGAAGACAATGACGGCGATATTGTCCTTCTGCCATAATCGGTTGTAAATATCGTCCTGTCCTTTTGCATCTGGTCTCCGGACGGCGGTCTGTCCAAAATGGATCATATTCTTTTCAAGAAGAATGTATTTGCTGCCCTTGAAGAATGTTGCACAACCGTCAACCAGCTTAGCCTCCTCTTCTGGCATACCTTGAGCTCGCCCCTTGGGCCAATATACACCCTTATAATCATTGTATGCAAGCTGCTCGCGGAAAAAACCATGATAGCTGCCCTGGTCGATCTCTTGCAAGCATACGATATCGGCATCATGCCCTCTAATCTCGTTCAGCAAGAGATCGCGTCGAAATTCCCATGCCAATGCTCGTGATGGCGCATATCCGTATTGTTGGTTTGTGGCATATCTATCGCACAGGGTGTTGTACGTTAGAGCAGTGAATTTATTGTCATTGCCTCCATTAGCAGAATTCTTGCCAGTCTCATCGAGAATAAGCCAATCACGGTTCGAAGGAGGTAAATGAACTATTCTACAATTAGCTACAATACAGATTTTCGATAGTCTGCGAAGAAAATCTACTTACCGGGCATTTCCTCTTTGAGATATTTGATGAGCGACTTTGTGCCTTCTTGCATAATACGGGACTTCAGGACATCCGCTAGTGGATTGCCTTCAATTCCGAGGGTGTCCAGCTGGTAAAGATAACCCAACTCAAACGGAAGAGTCTGTAGGCTGTTGTCGAAAAGAAGGAGCTTCTTGAGGTTCGTGAGCATACCAATTTCCTCCGGGATTTCCGTCAACTCATTGCTGGAAATGTCCAAATGCGTTAGATTCTTCAATTCCCCAATGCTTGAGGGGAGGGACTTCAATTTGTTATGGTTCAGATAGAGCTTGTCGAGAAAGCTATAGTGAAAAAGGCCATTTGACAGTGCACGAAGGCCTTGTCCACCGAAGTCAAGAGCAACCCAATCTTGCCGGCGATGATCTTTCACTGCTGTGGCCCGATTCCGCTCTTCTGTGCCGTTCTCGTTGGGATCAGCTTGGTTGGATGATAATTGAAGGCCCTTAGTTTGCTGTGCAACTGCTCGCGCATAGTAGTGCGGTGAACTCGCTTGTCTTGACTCGGCCGCGAGCTGCAGCTGCTGCTGCCAATGTTCATTCATCGGCTCTTCAATCTCGTCCTCAACATTGGACGTTGTGCCATTTTGCAGGTGGGCCGGGGTGAAGTGCTGGGCGGCGTTGGACAATGCTCCACCGGAGAAATTGTGCTGGTGAGCTAAGTTCTGAGTTGATTGAGAATGAGGATGATGGGGTTGTTGTGCGTGATGCGGGTGGTGAGTAGGGTGTTGGAACTTCGGCATCGGCATTCCAAACCGTTGATGGGACTGCCCATTCATCATGACGGGCTGACCCTGGTGGCCCTGGGAGTACATCGTGTACGAATTGTGACTAGGAGATTGATTTAGGGGAGGAGAGCGCGAAGGAGAAGGAGTATCGGTATTGTTGAACTTTAGTCTCCCAGTCGGAGAGCTTGTTCCGTTTCGAATGAGGTGTCGTTGGTGAGCGGGGTGATGATTGTGCTGCTGAGTTTGAAAGTAAAACTGCCCGGCCCCAGGCTGCTGGAACCGGTAGGTACCATCTGCCATTTAACGAGGCAGATGAGACCGGGGGTGTATTTCGGGGAGGGTCAAGCGGGAGATCTTGAGAAAGCGTTGGGGGGTCGAGTCGGTGGTTGGCGGTAGAGGAGCTAACAGACGGACTTGGTCTCTTCGTTTCTTCAACATCAGGTCCTGCAGAGGAACCTTTTCCTGAGGGGACGTGCAGCCAGGCCTGATTAACGCACGTAGCGAAATTGTTCTATTCAAGCCAACACTGTATTCACCAAATCTGTTTTCATTAACCAGCCAGAGAGGGGGATCGTTGTCGGGGAGTAGCGCCAAAGGTGACAAGGGAGCGTCAGCTATGAAGCAATGAGTCTTTGTTCTCGAGGGAGATTGCGTGAATGGCGGGTGATGGGGTGATACCACGTTGCAAAGAAGTAAACTATTGACGTTCAGATGGGGAGAAGCTGTTCATTGATCAACTGGGTCCCTTTGACTGCCCTCAACCGGTCAGGAAGCAGTTTGCAATCCGGGCGGGAGAACCTTGAATATCACGTGATGTTGGGGTCCAAATCGAGCAGCGAGGGTCATGTGATATTCCAGATTCGGGGCGCCCAGAGAGCCGCGTCGCCGTCAGGTCAACACAGGGCGTCGTCGTCTGGTTTTCTCGTCTTCTCTTGTTATACCTTGAGATGACTGCATCCTCTCGCGTTACGATTTTTGAGTAACCCACCACTTGTTGGTGCTGCTGCCACAAGCTTTTTTGATGACGCTCAGGGTTCCGGTTTGGCGCTGCGCCCATTCAGTCTGCTTCAACATTTCTTCTTCGACGCGGCGAACCCTTGCCGCCTGGCCACTTTTACAAAAAGGGTTTTGGGCCGTCTAGAGATCGAAACACTACTGATGATTGACCCAAGCACTCTCACAGGGTTAACTTATGATTCCTAGAATCTGGTCGGCTCAGTTGTGGTGAGGCCCCTGACTCCGTGGGCAGGAGTAACTGCTGGGTCTATGTGTTCTGTCGGCTTCTTAGGCTCCTCTTTCACCCCTGAGATACCTCCATCGAGGCAAGGTTTAGCCGAATTAACAAAGCGCACTATGTACTGTATGCATTGGCGACAACCACGCAGCCATCATATTTCGATTGAGCCTTCTTTTTGGTCAGACGTTATTTTGCGCCCGGCTAACACTGCTGGCGTTGAGGAGGCTGGCTCAGTCTTGAGGAGGAGCGATACGAGATTGGCATTGGCCAGCCAAGTCTGGTTCGAATCGGCGATTTTTAATCCGGGGAATCACTTCACATGGATGGAGTTGAGTGGTTGCTGGCCAAGCTCTTCTAGCCAGCAGGGTTATCTCCATACCTGAAACGCAACACCACCAGGATGGGAAAATTATTTCTCTTCGGGACTATCCCACGCGTTTTCAAAAGAAAATGTCCTTGATATCATACAAGAGCACGCCCTGGGCGGAGGATAATAATTGGAAGATGCTTCCCACGTAATATTGGAGCCGCTGGGCGTCACTTTAGATGCGACCAATCGCTGCTCCTGAAGCCCGAGAGCCAACGCCGTTCCATTGGCGTGAAATGCAGGGGCAAAAGGCACCAGAAGCTTGAGTTGCAGATGAAAAGTTTTCCAGAATGCCTCTGAACACCCAATTGCCGGCTTTCTGGAGAAAAGCCGACCACACCTAAAGTAACTTCTTCACTCTTTTGTGTAACTCGATCTTCGGCAACGAACCTTTTTGCCTTCGTGCCACTTCAGTCCCGAAAGGTGGGAGGCGTCAAAACGCGGGGGTTCAGCTCATCCTATCATAGGCGTCCGTGTGCACAGTAAGCTGGAACATTTAGCAAGAAGCTCTCGACAAGAACTATGTATGCTGAGCCAGCGCCACGAGGCCATTTGACGGCTACTCATGGCGCCCAGAGATCTCCGGAAAGCCTAGACGACTCGAGAAGATAATGATACGGGTTGGTTTCACGCTTGTAATTGCCCCGCAGTATTAGACTCTCCTGAAGGCCAGCCAGCCTGCTCGAGGACATCGCTTTTAAAACAACCTCGACCCTTCGTAAGATGTGATCTTCATGCTGGCCGTCAGCTCCTATCAACACATTATCCTGATCATATAATTTGTGTACTTTAGCATATTTCGACTCCCTCATAACCAGTTTCCGTTCTGCCTTGTCTTCGCAGCACCATCGCGCCCCTGACCTAACTACGAGGTAGCTATCGAAAACAGGGGACTGGACGGGATAGATCCTAGAAGCATCCCTATTCTTTCATGGAAGTGGAGTTCAGAACCAATTTTTATTATTAAACGACTCAAGAAAATAGGTCAAGAGAACTAGGTACGGAAGACTCCGCAAAAGACCACTCCGCCCGGAAAAAGGTGATCCTACGAAAATCCTTACGAATGACAAGAATATGGCTGGACCCGCCGGATTATCTTACCTCTACATCCCTCCAACGTCTTTCGCGAGCGACTCCAAACAACATGAATACTATAACCTCTCCAGTATGACCATTGCTTCCTCATCCTCCACCTCCTCGTCCTCTACAGACTACACAACTTATCCCTTGATCAGTCACAATGGTCGAACGTATCTCCGGGACCCAGACAATCCGTATCCACTCCCTTGCGACCTTGCGGAAATACATCGCCAATCGCTGCGATCGCTAATGCTGATGCACGTCTTTGGCGCGCCGTTTTGTTCTCCTCACTTTAACGAGGATCCTCCGAAACGGGTACTCGAGATCGCATGTGGATCTGCATTGTGGTCGAACGCCTGTCACGAGTATTTTGCGAAAAGGGGACATTCGAATATTTCCTTCACGGGAATTGATATAATAAACATCGCGCCGGATTTACAGAAGCAAAGTGTAAATTGGCAATTTAAGCGCCACGATCTACGAAAACCCAAGCTGCCTTTTCCAGATGGATATTTTGATTTTGTTTTTATCAAGGACGCAGGCGTCGCTCCCACCGGTCCAGATCTGCAGGCTGTTCCACTCGCAGAACCACTTCGGGTTTTGAGACCGGGAGGTGTCCTCGAAGTATGGGAGTCAGATTTCATATTCAGGTCACTGCTTCCTGATCCCCCCGCAGCGCCTGGTTTGTCTGAGCGGGACCAAGAACAGGCCGATGCGACAGGCACATATACCATCTTCCCCGCTACGCCGTTTGCGGATGCCCAAAACCCCTATTTGCGCGACTATAACTCCTGGGCAGAAAAAGCATTTGAACTACGCAAACTTACGCCCATGCCGTGCGCCACGATCAATTTGTCCTTCACTTCTGAGTCGGAGTCTTTCCAGAGTGTCGATAGCCGTAGGATCGCTATACCTCTCGGTGAGGTGAAATGGGAACACACGTCAAACGGAGGAACGACTCCACGGAAGCATTTAACGGAAGACCAATTGACCTTGCGTCACACCGCACTATTAAATGTTGTCCAGATGATTGAGAGTATGGAGCCTATACTGATGGAAGCAAGCGAAAAAGGCAAAGCTGAATGGGATCGGTGGTGGGCGGGTATGACGCAGGATCTGTTGCAGAAAGATGGAGTCGCGAGCGGAGAGTGTTTGGAAGTCGGCGCTTGGTGGGGACAGAAGCGATGATTGAACAGCCCTGCACTAAAGTTTTAAGACATGAACATTTGCCTGCCGCTCCGCAATTCCCCCCATATTCACGATCATCAAATTTTATATACCACTTTTCCTACTGCTTCCGTGGGCGTCGACGGCTGATTTCGGATTTTTAGGAGTTGGTATAATGGTTTTTAAGATAACGATAGCGTCTCAGGTAATATCTGTGGTATATTGCTTTTAGCAAGGCGTTTCATCTGGCTGCTGGTCGCTGGTCGCGAAACGGGGGTTGAGAATAACAAGAAAATGGGAATGCAGGATAATTAGGCAGTGTGATCAATTGCTGAGGCACTCTTCTGTGTAGCTTATGAGGTTCGATTCGTGTAAATATATCAAGGTACTCGAGGCAACTTGATACTTTGCCAAACATATATTTCGTTTCGGACGAAAGAAGAAAAGGGGAGAAAGTCAAGAGTAGTGAATTGGAGGCTGTTACTCACAATGCTTCGATCTCTGGTGGCCATATTCCCGGAATTGTCAGACCATTGCGAAAATAACCCGTGAAAGATTATTACAAATACGCAGAGGGTATAATCTAATTTTGGCACACCTTTCTTCACGAACTCCGCTCTCTGTATCCCACTTCGAATTTGGTCCTCGTCCTTCAAATGGGCCTGACTCGAGAACGCACGGTGAAGTCGATCGCGGAAGAACTGATAGCCAAGTGGGTAGTTGCGGCCTAGATATAAGAGTTCTATGGTCCAAAGGGAGTGTTAGAACCACTCTTATAACACTTGGGCGTGGATGGTATGGGGACATTCTGCGAGGAACGACTTACCTTTGTAGATCCGGATGACCCGGTAGCGAAGAGTCTTGTCCATTTTCACAAGTGTGTTTACCTAGTCTAGCATGGCTTATTTTCAGAGGTGGATGGATAATTGAGGCGGACGAAAGAAAGATGACGGCATATGTTCGGGTGTCCTGGTGGTCGAGAATGCTGGCTGAGTCGAAATAGTTTGCCGCAAATGGGCTTGGCGGCAGGGTTCCTTTCGAGGAATGAAGCTTTGCTCGCTCTGAATCTCCTCCCCTGCAATTAACGCCTTCCCCCAAGCATATCTGTTAACTACCCCAGAGAGCCTAGGATGTATTGAGCTTGGTCTTTCGAGTTGCGGAATTGGCGTCTCGCCCTTTCGGTCGTGCAAGCCGAAACCGTCGGCAGCGAGATGACGACATGGTCACGTGACCGACCCCGTACGCCGAGGGCCGATGAGTTGCGCCTTTCAACAGCCACCGGCGAGGGCTTTATCTACTTTGGCGGATGCCAGGAGCCATTGTTCTTCCCCAGGCCCAATTGAAGGAGCAGCGGGTCAAGGGAAGATGGTTTCCAGCTACATGACGCGAAGTCGATTTATTCGTTTAAGACTATGCCTTCTACCACGTACCTATTCCACCCGATCTATTTCCACAACGAGCTGCCTGAGCTCTGGCCAAGCAGCGCAACCGTCACCCCGTTCTAGTGCCTCGACTTCTCCCGAGAGTTATAAACTTGACTCGAAATGGCTTTCTGCAACGAAGAAGCGGCTGGGGAAGTGCTTGCAGTTCGGGCTGCAACCTGAGCAAGTACGTGCTGCAGGTGACATTTTGAAAGAGGTAACCCGAGATTGGCGGGAGCTTGTTGCAGGCAGCGAAGGCTTTCTCACTGGGGAGGATAGGCGAGGGTTATTCCGGCATAACGTTGTCTGGGGAGAGATGGTATAGATATTACCCGCTATACCTTGTAGTTTCGGTTGTGATATTGCTGACTTGGCTCAATTGATGGTGGGCGCATGGTAGGATGTCATGGTAAGTTCCCAATCCCCCCCCTTCAAAGGGAAGCTCGACCCCGTGTTGAGGTTGCGAATTCGCTCCTCTAGCGCTTATTGTTCAATTCTTGAAGCTAACCGTTTTGATAAAGGGTAGGTTTGCTGCTTTCCAGTCTTCGTCCATAACACTATTCGCAAGCCTCTCGCCCTAATACCGCAGCTTCTCTCCGTTTGCAGGGCATGTGAACAATGTGATGTACGTTCGATACGCAGAAACGGCCCGAGTCAATTGGACGCGCAATTTCGCTACCTACCATGATCCCGCACACAAGAAGCAGTGGCTGGAGTTGATCGGATCCACGGGTATTGGGTTGATTCTCAAGAGTATCAAAATTGATTACAAATTTGTCAGTAGCCCCATTCTTGGAGACGTTCCTTCCAAGGCCTTGCTGCGTGTATCGGCTAACGGTTGACTATATTGCAGCCGATGACATACCCTGATAAAATTTGCGTATATCATAAGCTAGTCCACGCACCGCCGTCGCCTAGTTCGCCGAATCCTAACGCTTACCCCGGTTTGATTTTTGACGTACTCATCCTCTCCGAAGCAAAACAGCGGGCGGCGGCACGGTGCCACGAAGATGTTGTCCTTTACGACTATAGAGTTGGGCGCAAGGTTTCTGAGCTCCCTAATTATATGATAGATCAGTTCAGACACACCTGGGAGCTTCAGCAGGAAGCGAAGAGGGTCAATAGACACAAGATTCAGGAAATTGAGATGAAGCTAAGAACTCTAGAAAAGGCAAGTCGGGATCGAGCATAGATGCCACTGAGGATGTGGGCTCTGCGGCAGGGAAATAGACTGCACGCTCTCTGCTCTCGGCTTCTAGTCAGAGCCTCGACTGGTCGGGATTCGGTGAACTGACCCGGGAACACCACAATGGGAAATTTCTATGGCGTTCCTAAATTATATAGTTAGAGCACAATTAAGTTTATTCCCATGTGCGACTTCAACACGGAGTTACCCCCGAGCATTTTTCTCCCCGGCAACAGGGATGGATAGGGCGGTGTTGAGCTCAGAGTTCGAGTACTGGACAATGGATGGCTTGCAGAATTTGTTCCTGGTAAACGGGCATGTGACCGCAATTCCCCAGGTTCCGATATTCTCCCCGCTGCCATGGCCCCCAGGAAATTACATCCCTGTTCGCTGTTTGCTTTCAAACCCGGGTTCAACACAAGAGTGTCAAGCATTTCTCTGGCAGAAACCAACGGCCGTGCGGAGCTACCGCCAACAAGCTCCTTTTGATGCCTCACGCGGAATTACAACATCAATACAGCTAACAGACCCTGGAAAATAGAAACACGCCGCCCGTAACTTATTTGGATTGGGCCCATCAAGATGAATTTTACCGTCTTGGCGGTGTGAAGTGCAAGGAATTGATCGACCGGCAAACCTTCCCTCGAGCTTCAGAGCGGGGACGGACCAGGTCTCGGTTTTCGCGCCCTTCTGTGTGAAAATCTTGGACATCTGGCTGAGAGGCTGCAAAGTAAGAGGGAGGTTCTTCTGTGCCGGACTGAAGACGGCGGAAGCCACGCCCTGGTCGAGTGACCCTGGGAGTCTTGTTGCCCGATGTTCCAGGATGTTCAACGTTCCTCATGCAGGAATGCAGGCATCAAGAAAAGGGATCAAGTTAAAGTTTTCTGCAGCATTCACGATTTCATCAAACCGAGACTTGGTCCAGGCGTCGTCGTGGCAGAACAAGCAATTTTTTTGGAGAGCTGTCACGTGGAAGCGCCGACCCGGAACCTTCCAAAATACGCAGTACACAGTAAGTTACCGTAATTTCTATACCAAACGTCAAGCTCTGTGTTCCGTTTTACCCGCATTTCGTCACCGAACACTGTGCCGCTCATCGATCATGCCTGGAGATGAATATGGGGGGCTCTGTACGGAGTACTTATGGGTGTGTTGAGCGAGCCCACGTATGTATGTAGTTGGTTCTGCCCTTCGAGACTCGAGTTCTCACGGAAGATCTGTGACCGTTTGCAGCAAGTCATGACGTGATAGGTTCACGTTAACAATCGCTTTGAATCCCTGTCCTCTGAACAACGCACTCTCCACTTCCTGGACAGACCGCCAATATGCATGAATGCCCCGCGTTTCCTCCGAGCTTATCGATTGAGCATATATTGAGATGGCTTGAGGGGCAGTGGTCTTTATGACTCGAACGCTATGAGCGCACTGTGTCGGAGTGCTGGGGGAGAAGGCGATCAAGGCAGCATCTAGTCCCTCTGTAGTTATTCGTGCAGGAGTAACAACGGGAGGTCACCGAGTACAACATTCATCGGGATACGCCCAAGTCTCGACATACGCACATACATATGTATTGTCCGGTTGTCCTACTCGCCGTCCGAGAGACCTGCTGTGCTTCCACCCGTTGGCGCCCAATGGAGCCTGACCTTGTGGTAGTTATGTTAAACCCGATTGATTGAATGGTTGGAGTAAGTCTGATTAACGGACACAGTTTGCTGCTCCCTTAGGGTTTGCCCATGGACCGGTTCCGTGTGTATCCTTACTTTCAAGGATATCGTAGCAATGCGCATCTTCCGTCCCTAAAATGGGCCAAACAATCCCTGAATAGGCATAAGGCCGATGAACAGACTGTATGTTTCTAGAAATTTCACAGCCTGCGTTCAATTCCTTCTCATGGTATCTGCACGGAGTGCACCGTATTCCATGGCCAAATTTTGGTCAGCCTCTCCCAACAAACCATTTCACAATTTATCCCCCCTGCTTACCGTCCGGTACAGAATTCAGGAGAGACTTATCTGATGTATGGAAACATGCTTAGTATGGAGTGCGCTCCGAACAGAGGACAGACACACTCTGATAGGCGCATTGTACGGAGGAGGAATTGAGGAGCCGCAAGGATCTGCAGAAGATCTCGTATTGATATGCGTTCACTTGACACCCTCAATTTGTGTCAAGTCTCCAGGAGATGTCGCTCCCCGAAGGCTACCCACTGCAATTCGGGCATTTGCATACGGAGTACGGAGTACATACTTTTGGACTCGCTAGCTGGAGACCCTTTGGGCAGAGCGGATCCATAGAGCTCCATGCCGCATGGGCTAGGGGGAAATGCGATGGCCGGAAGTGTGTTCCGTATCGTTATGTCACACCAGAACAGTCGGTGTATATTACAGAGAGTATACTCCGTAACTCCGTACGGAGTACTGACTTCGGTACGGCACTTTACACCAGGGCTGACGTTTGCCGTCTGCCACGGCGGCTGCTTACCTAAGGTCACTCTGAAACTTCGATTGAAAGTCTGAAGTTGGTGAGAAAAAGCAACGATTGACAACATCAGCCCTGACACCGACAACCCATGGCCTAGCTGTTCTTTGCCTGGGTCTGGCGACGCAGTATCATTATTTTCCCCCTCCCCTTTACTTTCACCTCCATCTGTACATTCCAACCGCCTCCTTCGAGCTCCGCACTCTCCTCCCCCCAGTCGTCCATTCCTTGGCCATCGGCTGCCAAGTGGATTTGGACGTTGAAAACCGGCTCTCTTGTCCATGACACGACCAGGAGGAGCGGCAAGGAAGAATCACCACGGTAACCGCCACGAGAATAGCCATGCCTTCTCCGGGAAAAAGGTTGCAAAACAGAAGTCGAATGGCCATCTGAATGGAACACCAAACGGCCAGCACCGATCGGACTTGCCTGCCCTCACTCCTCGCAACACCTCCGGACCGCAGCAGCAACCAGCATTGCCCTCGACCGCGAGTAACAAGCCGAATGGGGACGTGGAGGGACAGAGAATGGAGTCCAATGGGCAGGTTCAGGTCAACGGGCACGGGAAGGGCGAGCAGGTCCTGCCCAACGGTCACGCGTATTCGTCGAACGGCGCGATGTCAGACACCAGAGTTGAAGACCAGGCGTCTCGCCGGTTGGAGAAAACAATCGGCTCGACGTCGAACGTCAAAAAGCCATACGCAGGTAAATCCGTCAATCCGTTTCACCTCGCCTCCACAATCCTCAAAGCTTGCCCGATGGCCGATACGATCGCGATTCTCATCTTCCTCCTTCAACTCCCGCCTATCGTGCTTACCTTGGTCCAATTTCTCTACGCGTCGATGACTTTCATGCTGCCAGCGGGCGTATCGACCGGTCCACTCACGTCGAATTTCGATATCTTCCAAGGCCCTGCCGGTACACCTTCTCTCGGAACAATGATCGCGATGGATGCGTTTTGTCTACTGGTCTGGGGCCTCTTTATGTGGAACTGGGCTCGGAATTTCGCCATCGACCTCGCCCATGTTCAAGTCGCCATTGCTCTGGGTGCCGGGAGTTCAGGGAATACGGGGGGTGTCAACGCATTTTGTGTTACTATCCTTTTGGTGGTGCATTTGCTTCGCAGCGAAGGCATACAAGATTTTGTTTTCGGACATCTCATCTCGGCAAACATTATGTCAAGCGATACCTTGGAAAAGTATTCAAATTTGATCCCAACCGAATTTAGACGAATGGAGACTCCCTCGCCTCCGAGCTGGGTGAGAAGTCTCCTCGCTGTTCATATCCTGGCCCAAGCAGGAACAGCCATGGCGAGACGGTCTATGGCTAAAAATCGGTCGCAACCTCGAGCCAAAACCGGAAAACGACAAGACGCTGAGAACTCTGCTGGCAGCAACGTTGATTCTTCTGTTCTTGAGTCCGGTACCCCGCTACCTTCAGTTGTTGGTTCGGATGTTTTATCTATACCTGGTTCCATATCAAAGGAGGGTCGAGATCGGGTTTCAAGTGCGAAAAAAAGAAGGCGTCAAGCGAATGAAGCGAGACGAATACAGCCGTTTTGGGCCGCGTTAGCAAGCACAAAATTGACCGTAACTCGTGAGTATGACCGATCGAGGCATGGAAGTTGGTACTCGCCGAGTTTCCCTGTGACCGAAGACGATCTCGACAGGACACCACCAGGAACCGGTTTGATTTGGATTACTCATGTTGATAGCTGTTCGATTAAATTTGCGGCAAGCGATTTTACTGTTGAGGAAGATCCTATGATAGGTGGAACGTATGATGGTAGTGTCTCTGATGCCGAATCACATCCGTTCTATGTTTGCGTTAATGGAGCCCACTGGGCACCGGTCAGCCTCTCGAGAATAGCAGATAATTCTGATGAACCTTCATTAGTTCATTGGAGAGGGGAAATAGCTGGATTGGCACCTGATTGCGCGTATACATGCAGCTTCATCCGCTATGATACCGATGAGGAGATCTGCGTTATGAGTGTGAAAACGCCCGTTACTTCAGACACAGATCAAGGTAGGTTCATTTCTACATTTGTTCCATACGGAAACCTGACATTTGACACAGCTTCCACCACCCCATCTATCTCTCCCTCTCCTCGCCAGTCTTTGCGACCATCATCTCCGACGACCACCATAAAGAATTCAATTGTTAATGCTGAGGCTAAGCTGAATGAGCGACGGGCTAAGCTGAAAAGATCAAGGAATGACCACAAACTTCAGGTATCCAAGATCAGAAAAGACCTCGACAATTTTACCCATCGCCTCAACAGTGGTGGAGATGAAAGCAGGCAAAAGCAACGTTCCCTACAATTGGAACGCAATATCCGTCAAACAGAGGAGGCAACGGCGGTCCTTGAACTTCAACTGGTCAACCTCGAGAAAATACCAGAGGAAGAGCTGCAGGATTGGAAAGCACGCAAAAGTGCCTTTGAGCTAGAGACTGAAAGGCTGAACTCCTTGAAAGAGGAATTGCATGTCGCAAAGTCTACCATGGGGAGTAAAGTGTCTTCGGCTGAAACGGAGCTAGCCAACATTATACAAAAACGGGAGCGCCTTCAAAATCGCCGGAACCGGCTTTCTGAGCAATATGAACGTATTACAAATGCTAACAAACAGGGTTTGAATGAGCGTGAACGTCGTGCTGCCGAGCAGTTAGCCAAAGAGCAAGAAGTTGCGAGAATCGAAGAAGGCTTTCAGGAACAGCTAACAAATATCACTCGTTCTCTTGAAGAGTATCAAGTGCGCACCACCCAGCTCTGGCAACAAGCCACAGCGATTGAACAAGCCTACCAGCAACAGCTCTATTTGAATTCTGGCCCACTTACTCCCGAAGGCGAGCTACCTGGGACACAGCGACCACTGATGGACATGAACGCTAGTAACAATTCAATGAGTACGATGGCTTCTGGGAGCAAATCGAACTTTGGAATGGCCTTTCCGATGCATTCCTCTGCTGAAAGATCAAGCCTCGCACATCGGTCATCAATGTCTCCAATCATACAGACATCGTTGCCGGGGGTATTTTCGGAGCCTCACTACTACCCATCGTCTCCTCTTGCCAACAAGCCTTCAGTCTTAGCGTCAGAGCAGGGTCGTTACCGCGATCGCTCCATGTCAAATCCCTCCGCCTCCCTATCACAGGTGGAATACAGCACTTCAATGTTTGCAGGCGACGGTGCTGATCCTGATGTTAGCCGAAGCAGTGGTAGTGCGAGCGGAAGTAGTAGTACTGGTAGTCCTCATCCTGCTCTGGGAAAGTCTGTCTGGAGCTGATGTGGATGGCAAAAGGAAAAGTAGTCTATTAGGTCTTTCAAGGCTCTGGCAAATATCCTTGCTTCTGTTCAGACCCTCTGTTCCTTTTCTGCAAATAGCTAGCTATGCAAATCAAACTGTAAATCGCTTGCCGCAAATCTAAATTTCGTATCACATGAGCCAATATCCCGCCTTGGGTTTGCTCGTCAAGTATTCCATCCTCCGTGCTTCGTACAGGGCGATCATTCTTACGAAGGTTACCTTAACATCATGGGTGATAGTGCCGGGTTTTCAAAGCAAAATGATGAATATGTTGTAGCGGATTTTGGAAAATAGATTGAAGAAAACATTTGTATGTTTTAATATTTATTTAATACAGCGATTGAAACGCAATAGTCTATCGTACATACGTGATCAAGGTGTCAAACCATGCGAGGAGCCTTCACCCAGGCTATTTGGGGGTTTAGGTCTAGAAAATAGTAACTTTTCCGGGTATTCTATGATCAAGTTTCGGCGAGCTGGACCGGCCAGATAGCCCCTGACGGCGGGAAGTGAGGCTTGAGAGGGAATGAACACGGAGCCCAATCCTTGGGTCATGATTTCGTGACTGAGCGGTTCACTTTTGAGAGAGGATTTATAGTTTTGCCCATTTTCCAAAACCGAGTATCTGCGTAGGTAAGACATAGCTCGTCCGCCGAGTGTGTAGTATCCGGCTCCTGCATCTGGTTCTGCGGCTCGTCGCCATACAGCTTCACAACGGTCCCCAAAACAATCACATGATCTCCAACTTGTGCGCTTGAGGGATAGTATTTACATTCGAGTATGAACGGAAAATCAGGCCTCACATCACTCCTAGGAAAACTCGAATTATCTAGTTTTCCCTGGTGAATAACGAGTCGTGGCGGTTCTCCTTGGTCAATGGCTGGAAGTCGATCTAACGGAGCAGGTGAAGTAAACCGAAATGTATGCTTCTTATCTTCTAACAAAACATTCTCATGACCCCTTGAAAACTCCCTTGCAAGGTTTGCGGTGGCTGCGTTCGAGGATAAGAGATGTACGAGAAATCGTTTCGACAAGCGGATCGCATCGTATGTTTCGGAGGGGACTTTCACGTTGAAAGAGACGACTGGTTCTGGGTATAGCGTCACAGTATTAAAAGATGATACTGTCATGCCACGAAACGCGGATTCAGCGCGCGAATTTGGGTGGGTAGATGTTATAATTGCGACTGGGTGGGGAACCAGGCGCATGAGTTTGCGAACCTGGGTCTGAATATCCGTGTCAGTGACGGCGGGGGAGTATGGTTCTGTAGATATGTCGTCTTCTGGGGCCTCAGTATTCTGCTTGGAGATGTTTCTCTGAGGAACATATTGTGCTTCCCGACTCTGCGCCGGTGCGAGGATTCTCGTGAACTTCTCGACTTCTTTGGGTAGTGAGGCTATACCCGGAGGTAGGACCGGGCGAACAACATCGGTGATGCTTGCGACATGCTTCGACACAATGGTCCTTAGCATACGCCCAGAATACCGTCGCAACTGAAGTTGTGGAGGGAGAGCCGTGGTTTCGGACACCTGGGAGTTCCGGGCTTGGAAGAGCAGTGTAGAAATCCTCAGAGACCAAGCTAGTCTCGAGGGGCGAACCAAGGGCATCTTCCTGCAAAATTAATCTTAGACATTAACGTCTGATACTCATTCATCTTTCAGGCTAATCTTTCCAACATTTATTAAACAACATCGCCATTGCGCATCTGACGTTGAGTGAGTAAACAGTTTCTTCTGGGACGGGCTGCCGGCGAAGTTGGAAAATCCTGCTTATCTAATCTTCGATATCAAACTTTCAGTCTCAACCCTCTGCATGCTTCCTTCACTCCAATTCTCACCGAGTACCAAATCAATTCATCTAAAAGCGGTGGAAAAGCGAAAGACAGCCGTCGATTCTAAACTGTTCAAACCATCCTATCGTCGAGATGTCAATGCACCTCCCCCTCCAACGAATCGGCACCACGAAACTCTCTTCGACCACAACCACGTACATCTGCTCACAATGCAGACACGCAACGCTCCTCCGGCGCCCTAAACGGCCCTACACGTTCACCCAGCTCATAACTCTTTCCGACGGGAGCACATATACCCACCGCACCACCTCTCCACAAGCAGTTTACCGTTCCACACGCGACACACGCAATGCGCCGCTCTGGAACCCGTCCAGCGAAAAACTACTCAATATCGAAGAAGACGAGGCCGGCCGGCTCAGAGCGTTCAGAAATAGGTTCGGAAGAGGGTGGGATGCGGCCAATACAGTTTCTTCGGATGCAGCGGCTGCCGGCGAGAAGCTCCAGCCTGGGAAGGATGCAGCAGAGAACGCCGCTATGGAAGAGATGGAAGATGAAGATGATAATCTGTTGGATTTGATTAGTTCGTTTGGGCAGGAGGATGCACAATCCAGGCCTACGAAAAAGTGACGAGACGCTTGATTGGGTTTGAGTCGGTCGGTCTATACTCATTTGCGAGAATGAGGACGGAGACGCGAAAAGCTTATTTTGTTCTTCGGCGAACGGTTGGATTGTACGAATATGGAGCCGGGATTTTATGTGATGCTGCTTGCTGCCTTTTTCATAATAGATTCGATGGAGCTTTTCTACGAGCATACTCGAAAATATCATTTTTACCTGTACAAATAGAAAACACATTTGAGGACCCTATAGAATACTATCTGAATTCAGTAGGATATTATTATCCCGTTGAGTGAAAGATGAAGTGATGCGCCAACAAATAGACCCTCCGAGCACCGTACCCAGAAGCATGAGCAAGGTATCAGGTGCATCATGATGAAAATAATCTGCTGATTTGCTCGACCAAGATAGGATATCATACAACTAGAATTTACGCCTCTTCTTGAGCTGAGGTTGGCTCTGTGCTCTGTGAAACAGATCCACTCTCAGTTCGTTCATGCTGGGGCTGAGATGTTGGCGTCTGAGCTGGGTTATAAAATGGATTAGTCTCGTCATCTGCATCAAGTTGCAAAAAGAATGTCTCCCATAACTCGATCAACTATGCACTTAGTCAGTCGCGGCCCTAGATGACCGTATAAGAATAGAAGAAGGCAGATAAGTTTCCATACCTCTTTTTGTGCTTCAACAGCGCTCTCCAAAAATGTCTCAACGCCAGACTTGAAGTCTTCTACTTTCTCCCTTTCAAACCGTTCCAACTCATTTCGCATTAATTTTCCCATATCCTCAAATAATAACCTCGCTTGATGTACTTTTCTCTCGGCTTCAACCACGTCCGCGTTCGCTTGGTTCAATCTGTCCTGCTGAGATTTCCCTTGACGGAGCAGCTTGTCCTGTGCATTTCTCCTTTTCTGCAGGTCCGATTCAGCAGAGTGCCAACTCTGAAACGATTTCTGTCGTTGATTAAAGGCCGTCTTTACACTGCCTATGAGCCGGATGTATTCATCAATTGTAATTCCTAATGTTAGAACATCTTGCTGGGCTTGACGTTCGTGGAGTTCTCTTATTCGAAGTTGGACTTCGGAAAGTCGTTCTAACGGGCCCGAAAGAGCTGGGGACAATTCAACACCGGCAAGGGAGTGTAGAGACACTGCAAAATCACTGGCCGCCTCTGCAAGCCCTTTGCGCTGTTGCACGACCGTATCTACCGCTTTCATTAAGCCCTTTAGTTGATTTTCAAGAGCCTCAAGGTATATTTTTCTGTCGTGGAACCACTACCTACAGAGTCAGTAAACACTATCAAATCAACGTGGAGTGACTCACGTCATCATGTTCTATGAACTTGCTTCCTCCACCGACTGATAGACCGAAAGAACTAAACATTCCCTTGCTTTGGCCCAGATCTGGCTCCCGATTCTCCTTATTTTTCACGTCCAGGTTGAATGTGTCGCTTTCCAAAAAGATCTTCAGATCGGCGTCATGTTGAAGTACTGGGTGTGCGGCAATTTTATTCAACATACGCTCCAACGCGGCCCTTCGGGATTCGACAAAATTGGATTCAAACCGACCAACTGCCTGTTTCTCTGGAGGTGGCGGAACGACAATTCCGGGATTGTTGTTATGCAAGGAGTTATATAGCCACAGAAAATCACGGTATCGCCTTGTAACTGTAAATTCAGGCCGTACATATGCTTTCGAGGTTGTCTAAATGGGGCGTGTGAGCTTCCCGCCACAATGTGATGGAAAGTGAACAGACCTTTGTTCTGACTTGATAGACAATGTGACTGCTCGTGAGATCTCCGACTTTATGAGGATCACCAACTGTGATATAAAATGATGGCTTTGCAGCTTGTTCAACGGTCATGCTCGACTGGATTTGCTTTTTTGGCGCATCGTCGCTGCTAGATGTTGGTTGAACAGGCGGCGGGGGTCTCATCCTAGGTCGCGTTTCGCTTTCATCCTCCAAATCCACTGATTCCATAAGTCCAGCAATACTAGACGATTGGGATGTGGATGAGGTAGGACGGGCATTGCGGGCGGGAAATGGCTCTTTCTGTGGCGGGACAGGACCCTGTTCCGAGATTGGAGGAAACGACTTGTCGCCTAGCGGGCCGAGGGGGTCACTCGAACCGTCGACAGCTTCAAGTCTGGTCACTTGAGGGCCAAACTTCCTTGGGGTCCGGATTCCTCTTCCAGGCGGAGATCGAGGACTTGTGAGCGCCACTTCCGAGGGGGCGTCATTCTGTTTGCCTGCTTGCCGGAGTCAATCGGAGAACACTGGCGCGGGAAGATTAGGCCATAGCATACCAGATCCATCGTTGTTAGGCGACTTGGATTGCGAAGGAACATCTACAAGGAGAGCAGTCAGATACTAGTTCAAATGATACCGGCGGCGAGCGTCCCGGATGCCTGACGTACCGCCCCACGGCGAATCACCTCCCTCCAAATCCATCCTGAAAGGGGGCAAATGTGAAACGGGAATGTGCCTGTTAATTTACAGAGAAGCTTCAGCAGCGACAATAAAGCTTAAATAAGTACCGAGACGCGCTGCCAGCTGAATGGTATTGGAAATATGACCTGTGATACAGAGGAGAGGGAGTGCCTGCGGAGGTCTGGGTTATGTAACCAGGTAGTGTTTGGCTCGTGCGCGATATTGACGGCTGTGACCGCCTTTTACAAAGCTACTTTTTTGCCAGCACAAAACACATATGAAGCAGGCTGCCTCAAAACCTCTACAAGAATGGAATTTTGGTTGATTTCCAAATTTTCAGATGCAGATTACTATGATAATTGATACTGTTAATGTTGGTATCAAGTTATTTTGGAACACAGCTTCTCAAACATTAGTGGTATTTTGTCAGCAAGCCCAAAAAGTCGTTGCAGTTTCAGGATTATCCCCCTTGATCATTGAATCCATGGGATACCAAGTTTATGCATTTCAACAGCTAGCTGGAAAAGATAGTCCAAGCTCTCGCACTGGGTCTTTGCCTTTGCGGGAGTATCTCCCCATACATATCTGTTCAATCTGGTTAGCTCCTTTCCCTCTGAGTTCATGGATTGACCACATACATTCCGTGTCGACGAACAAGCACCGCATATGTATCTGGATATTCATCCATAGCTTGCTCCAAGCTCTCAGTCAAGTCCTCCTCAAAAGCCGTGTTTTCAATGATCGGTATCCGAAGGGTGTCAAAATAGCCCAGCATTCCTTTGCCTTTGCCCTTGGGAATTCCCTTGATCTGTTCAATGTTGTTGATCTCGAAACAGCCATTTTTGCCCTTCTCCCTTTCCACTAAAAGTGTCACCAGGACAGCCCACTGTGAGTGCGTGTGGATGGAGCAACCTGCGCCCCTGTCGAACGCGGCCAAAAATAGTGGAGTGCAGGCCGAAGGCTTCAACTCCCGTGGCTTGCGAATATACTGTCGTGCAGACGGAGGATATTTCGGGGTGGGATATGAGAGGACGAAGATATCTTCAGATTTGATCATTTCCTTTTGGACTCCGGAGGGAGCTATAAAGATATGGTCACCCCGCCTTATGGAGGTCTAGTTATCAGAGCAGCGCTTAGATCAGCTTTCGAACTCATGGCAGGCGTTCTCGTTCATGCCAAATACTCACACCACCTCCCGTCCCGGTGACCCATCCTAACGTGTAGAACTTCTTGCAAAGCTCCGGGATCAGATTTGCAGGGTGCTCTGGATCTGAAGACTTAACAAGCTGGTCATTGTTTTCTGCCGTCATTTTGTCAAGTTTCGTAGCCCCGCCTGTCCTCAATGAGCAGAAACAGCGGGCTAGAAGTAGTGCCCTGCCCCAATGGAAGAGGAATCAGGTCCAATTCGCAATTAAATACCGGCTCGCGGTTCAGATCCAGCAAGGCCAGGGAGATATCCGCCAAAGCATAACTTCTCAGGCCAGCATTCAAACGAAGAACCCCTCCAAGTGCAAAATTCCGGCGGATTCGATCGCGCAGCTCAGCGGCCAATCAGCGTCCGGTGCTGCTGCACTGGCAACCGGCGAGCCTTTCCGGATGCGGCATAGCGCTGTGTCAGGCCTGTAATTACCGGGTCACAAAACTGTAAGTGTGGTAAAGCGTTGAGGCTCTGCGTCACAAAGCAGGACTCGACATCAAAGAAGATCATCAACAGGCCACCGGACGAAGGACATTTAGGTGATGAAACTGGCATTCTGTGTGGTGGCATCTGGAGCTGGAGATCAACAATTGAAATCACACTTGCTCAAAACAGGGCAGGGCCTGTGTACCCGGCCATAGGATTATGGATTTTCTCATCCACTTCTGCCTGGTCCATACGGGGAGCCGGTTGGGTCGTGTTTCCCTTGAGATGCACATTCAAAACAGATAAAAGAAGCCATCATGTCTTTACTTAGCTACACTATTGGGCGCACATCTTATTTTTGTTCTCTGATGCGTAAAGTATTATCACAAGAAGATGGATATGCCCACACCGGTACTCAGTCTCTACCATGTCTTGCCGGAGTTGCACCTCCGGCCCATCCTCCTCTTAAAGCGGACAAGAGCGACGCGAGTTGATCTTGTCGGCCGCCAGGTGTGGAAGGCAGAGGGAAGTGCACCTCAGCCCTTCCCCCGGAACCGCCGCCCACGAGTAATGTTTGAATATAGATAGATTGATATTTCCCCCTCTTTCACGGTAGTATTCGTCCTGTTCAACAATTTTGCCCTGACATATTGCATTAAATAGTGCCATGAGTGATCCTCAAGAAAAGCTCTCGTGAGCAGCAGTCTCGATCTCTAAAATACTCTCTGAGAATGGAATCAAACATGGTATTTTTGGAGGCTGGGGAGTCAACGCACTCAGCGGCAATCGAGCTACCAAGGATATTGATTTGATGGTGGCAATTTGAAAGGATGACCTTTTGCCGCTGATGGCAAGACAAGAGGGTCGGACCAGAATCCCGAACATGCGAGAAGACTACGCCCCTTTCTTCTGAGATGATCACTTAAAGAAACCTCTTCTTGTTGAGATATTCATAGGTAACCATCGCCATCTCGGGAATTGGAGCACTTTGGTAATGGCTCTAGGGTCGACAACACCCCCAGTAAACACTGAAAATGCAAATCAAGGGATGCAAGCTATTGATACTCAAACTGTACTGATGAATGGCAATCACGTTCAGCTTCTTGATGTAGTCTCAATTTTCAAGGGCAAGCTCCACGCCGCGGCAGATCGACATAAAGTGTCGGATGTTGCAGATCTGGAGCATCTTATAAATTTGTATGGGCAAAGTCTTCGACCACACGCCGGCAAATTCAGCCTTAGGGATGTTAGCAAAGTGGTGAGGAGGTATCCTCAGCTCGCTGGGCTATTTTCTCGAATTCAAATTGAATGTGTCCCAGGCGCAGGGGATACAATCCGATGAGGGAACCTGGATAAGCCCGCCTTCTTATAATGCCCAAATTGGCATCATTGAGCAACCTAAACCTGGAGTAAGGTTCTTATTGTTCACGTAGATGATTACACTTTAGCAGTCTTTGTGATAACAAAATCCTGCCCAGATTGAGGGAACCAGTAGTTGAAAAATCTCGGTGCTCGACTACCTCGGGAGTCATATCCTAGCTGGTTGCTGCTTATAATCATACCATGCTGTCGGAATTTTGTATTCCAATGTGTATGCCCAAAGATCCAGTGGTGAATTATCTTGGAACCTCGCCAAGATTTGACTTGGGACTCGAGCAGATCCGAGCAAAATGCAGATCCCCAAGGATTTGATTTATGTTTGGGGTCAACAGTTTTCGTGGCACTTGGGGCGTGATGCGTGACAATGATCAAGTCACGCCTATCTTCTTCAAGAGAAATATTATGAATCTCCTGTTGCAACCACTGTACATCTTGAAGATGTTCAGTATTATGGTTCTCAACTGTCCAGTCATTGATTCTGCTGAGATCAGCCACCTTCATCCTAACCCACAGCTGGTATTCCTTTGGAATATAGGACCACAAGGTGCAGCCTATGATTGTCACTCTTCTGTTGATGTCAACTCGGCTCTGATTCAGAACAGAGAGTTTGCCAAGCAGCTGCGGCTCAACTTCAAGTGCGTTTGCAGCTTTGAGACCATCTTCTCGAGAGATCCCGTAGAACTCATGGTTGCCAAGGACCAGGAAAACACGGTCAAATTGAGCGCATTGCGAAGCTAGGAATGCCACATATACCCCGCATAGTTATGTAGGCATCCAATGTCTCCAGCAAGAACCAAATAAGGTGCCGCCCTTGGGATGATGAAAGTTTCGTAGCGCTGGCCAACTTCCAAATGGAGATCAGACATATATTGAAAAGCAACCGGATGGGAGATGGCTCTACAGAAAATTGCTGATCTGAGGTACACCATCCTTGTCCCACGGCATACTCATTTGATTCAAGGTATCTCTGAGCTGACCCTTGCAGGAGAGTTGCAAGGCGGGGCACAGGGATAGCTGCAAGAGCGTTCAAGTCTATTGAATAATCAAACTGCCCGGCTGAACCTGATCCGGCCTGCAGAATACGCCTCGATCTGAACAATATTGTCTTGAAGCGGGTCGAGGTGGTAAAATGTATCTGGGAACACTATCACCCCGAGGTTGCGCCCTTCAATGAAGGCCTGGAACCGGGGATAAAGCTTTTTGTAGTCTGTATAGAGGTTGCGATGAGCTTCTTCCGGCCACGGAAACCGTCGAAAGATGTCGGTATATGAAGCAATCTGGGATGCTGCAGCGGAAAGGTTGTGTTCGGGAACACAAATTTCAAGGAACTTTCTGCCATCAGTATCCAGCGTGTATAGCTCTCAGGAGTTGACATACATTGAGGACACGGGGAACATTGTTGTAGTTCAATGCAGCTTCATTAACAATGCAAAAGGGGATGTTTCTGGGTGCAAACGCGGCTTTTATTGGCATCAATGACTTGGATCTCCATAGTGAGCTGTGTCAGAGAACTAAATATTTCGCTCGCTTCTATCGACAACCAGAGATGTTTATATAGAATGCATGGAGTACTCTGTATCCTCCGTAAGGGAAGATCGTGGTTTGTCTCCAAAAGTAAGACCGCTAGTGTTACTAGTGCGGGACTAGTGCGGGACTAGCTCGGATTAGTGTGATCGTGGAGATAAGACCCTGGCCCGGCGAGGGAAAGAGGCCACCTTTCACAGCGCGCCGATTGACCAAGCTGCTGCCCGCCGCCATCGACTTATATTTCACTCCCACCGCTTCCTTTCACCACCGCGCTCCCACTTCGTCTCTGCTCTCTTCTTGAGCTCGAAGCACACATCTATTCTCCTCTCTCTCATTGTGCTTGCACCCCAATCCGGTGTCCTCTCCGAGGATCTACATTCACAATGCGTCTCAACGCCCGCACCGCCTCGCTGATCCTCTCCTACATAGCTCTGCTTGGCCAAGTCCATGCTGAGAGCGAGGCCACAAAGGAAGAGCCAACTGCCACTTCTATCAGTAGGCCAACATTCACGGTAAGCACTTGCTCGGCACCGCAGCTTGGAGCTCCGTTGAGGATTCTGACGCCTCCCCATGCAGCCTACCACATTGAAAGCTCCCTTCTTGGAACAATTCACAGACGATTGGCAAACACGATGGACCCCTTCCCACGCGAAGAAAGAGGACTCTAAATCGGAAGAGGAGTGGGCATACGTCGGAGAATGGGCCGTCGAAGAACCAACCGTCTTCAAGGGCATTGATGGCGACAAGGGATTGGTGGTGAAGAATGCTGCCGCTCACCATGCCATCTCCGCCAAGTTCCCTCAAAAAATTGATAACAAGGGCAAGACTCTTGTCGTTCAGTACGAGGTCAAGCTTCAGAGTAAGTTGTTGATGCCAGAATAGCATTTGGGCTGGAGGTCACGGACTGACGCGCACATCGGAATAGACTCCTTGGTTTGCGGTGGCGCGTATATGAAGCTACTCCAGGACAACAAGAAGCTTCATGCTGAAGAGTTCTCTAATGCTTCTCCTTATGTTATCATGTTTGGACCTGACAAGTGCGGAGCCACTAACAAGGTATGTTTTCTTGCTGTTGACTATGTTCCTCCACAAGCAGGACAACTGCTGACACCACTATAGGTTCATTTTATCTTCAAGCACAAGAACCCAAAGACCGGTGAATATGAAGAGAAGCATCTTAACAATGCTCCGACTGCTCGCATTTCCAAACTCTCCACCCTCTACACCCTTATCGTCAAGCCAGACCAGACATTCCAAATTCAAATCAATGGTGAGGCTGTCAAGAATGGGACTCTCCTTGAAGACTTCCAGCCTCCTGTCAACCCTCCAAAGGAGATTGATGATCCAAACGACAAAAAGCCGGCCGATTGGGTCGATGAGGCCAAGATCCCAGATCCAGAGGCCAAGAAACCGGAGGACTGGGATGAAGACGCTCCTTTTGAAATTGTTGATACCGAGGCTAAGAAACCTGATGACTGGCTGGACGATGAGCCAAGCTCGATCCCCGATCCAGAGGCTCAAAAGCCCGAGGACTGGGATGACGAAGAAGATGGTGACTGGGTCGCTCCAACCGTTCCAAATCCCAAGTGCGAGGAAGCCTCTGGCTGTGGAAAGTGGGAGCCTCCCATGAAGAGAAACCCTGATTATAAGGGCAAATGGACTGCACCTTTGATCGACAACCCAGCGTACAAGGGCCCATGGTCTCCCCGCAAAATCGCCAATCCGGACTTCTTCGAGGATAAGAAGCCCGCTAACTTTGAGCCAATGGGTGCTGTAAGTTAATCCCGTTTTTCTAATATCACACACACACACACACACACACAGAGAGAGAGAGAGTGGCTGACGAACCTGGTACTAGATTGGCTTCGAAATCTGGACCATGCAAAATGATATCCTCTTTGACAACATTTACATTGGTCACTCCATCGAAGACGCGAAGAAGCTTAAGGCCGAAACATTCGATATCAAGCACCCCATCGAGGTTGCCGAGGAAGAAGCCGCTAAGCCCAAGGATGAACCCTCTACTGATTCTGGTCTCAACTTCAAGGATGACCCAGTCAAATACATCCGCAGCAAAGTCGATCAATTCATCCTCATGGCAAAAGATAATCCAGTTGAGGCTGTCAAGGCCGTTCCTGAAGTTGCCGGTGGTTTGGCCGCTCTCCTCATCACGTTGATCCTCGTTGTCTTCGGCGCTATTGGTCTTAGCAGCCCTGCACCCGCTCCGGCTAAGAAGGACGCTGGAAAGGGAAAAGAGAAGGCCAAGGAAAAGGCTGCGGAAGCTGTGAGTACCGGAGCTGAAAACGTTAAGGCCGGTGCCACGAAACGATCAAAGTCTAGTGAGTGAATCAAGCGCGAAAAGGCGACGCTGCGCGTTCATATATAGCAGCGGATTTGAAAATACTTCCCGGGAAAAAAAGTGCATGGCTGGCCTCATCTTGGGGAACAACTTTACGTAGGTATTATACGATCGAGGATGGAAGTATGGCGCATGTGCCAATTGGTATTATAATCGAGAAAGGCTTTTCCTTTGCATGGTTCGTGGGGAGGTCTTAGCTCGGGCCATTTGACAAATTGCCTTATGGGAACTTGTATGACTATCATGGAGTCGAAATTACGGTGCAGAGTAATAGTTTTAACCTTTTTTTTTTTCTCTTATTTTTTGCTTCAATCTGATAGCGATTTTCCCATTTCTCTCGAAGCGTACCCCTGGAGGTTGGAATTTGTATGTCCTTTACAGACTATTACAAGTTGCCGTTTCGGCCTTGCGACCTTGCTTTGGTGTCTTCTGTATTAAATACATTCATAATTTCTAATATAAACCAGACAGCACCTACAGAGTATAGAGTACGTTACTTTTCTCTAAGATCAGGAGGAGGTCTACGTGATTTTGGTTGGATAGAGGCAAACTTGTATGTTGATCTTTTTTTCTTTATCAATGCCCCTTGTCAAGTAGGGCGGGGAGGGGGATTGGGGTTAAACCATGACCTAGGTGACTGGGTAAGACGGGCATTAAGAGACAACTGAATCTCTGGTACTCTGTAATTGATGATATTTTAATTTTTAAAAGTCCCCATTTTTTCTTCAAATAGAAAGACATGCAGTAAGTACGGAGTATGTATTGTACATACAGTGGTGGGGTTCACTCAACTTAAAGAGGTATTCCAAAATTTCATGGGCGCGCTTGTCTAGGGCACAAAAAGCACTGGCATACTGAAACATCATCAAAGCACAAAAAAAAAACTCCACTTAAAAAAAAAAGAGTAAAAAACGAGAAAAAACCATCAAATTAGACCCATCACTAGCTAAAGCATTGCCAGCTTATTGGTGTGTCGGCATAACCACGCTTGCTTTTGTGTTAATTGCATCCTCACTTCTCCACAAGCTGGTCACAGTCTTAAGCTGGGTGTAGAAGTTCAATCCGGGCTTTCCGTAGAAGGTGTTGGCACCGCCACCGGCGATACTCTTCTTGTTTCCGGTGAAAGAGAACATTGGGAGAGGAACTGGGATTGGACTGTAAGGGGAAAAAAAAGGCAGCGTCGTTAGCCTGAGGATTGCATTTTTCAAAACTCTGGGAATGGATGGTGACTTACACATTGATTCCGAGCTGGCCGGCCTCAAGCTCGTGCTGGAAGCGGGTGGCAGTGGGACCCGAGCGGGTGAAGACAGCAGCACCATTTCCATACTCGTTGGCATTGATGAGAGCAATAGCCTCGTCAACGGTGTCGACCTCAAGGCAGACGAGAACGGGGCCAAAGATCTCTTCGCGGTAGCATGTCATGTGTGGCTTGACGCCGGTGATGATGGTTGGGCCGACCTAAAAGACAATAACTATTAGCCAATCTGGGGAAATCCACGCGAAAACAGAGGATCGAGGAACGTTGCAGTAGGATAATACATACCCAATTGCCATTGGGATACTTGGCAGGCTTGTAGCCGCGTCCATCGAGCAGGATCTTAGCGCCTTCCTTCTCGGCACTGGCGATGATTTCTTCAATGCGCTGCTTGCTCGCAGGGGTGATGACTGGGCCGAGATCGGCACCCTCCTCGAATCCACCGTTCACATTGAGGGCCTTAGCGCGCTCAGCAATCTCTGGCAGCCATTCCTTGGTTTCTCCGACCATGACGAGAGTAGAGAGGGCCATGCAGCGCTGGCCGGCAGCACCGAACGCAGCCCCAACGATGGCGTTGAGAGCATGGTTCTTGTTGCAGTCGGGAAGCACGGCGGCATGGTTCTTAGCACCCAAGTTAGCCTGGACACGCTTTCCGTTGGCGGAACCGCGGGTGTAGATGTATTCTCCAGCGCGGTTGCTGCCGACGAAGCTGATGGCCTTGATGGCGGGCTCATCAAGGATGAAGTCGACGGCCTTGGCAGCACCGTGGATGACGTTGATGACACCATCGGGGAAGCCAGCCTCCTTGGCTAACTCGACGAGGATCATTGCAGCACCGGGATCACGCTCAGAGGGCTTCAAGATCAGGGTGTTTCCGGTCATGGTGGCAATTGGAATGCACCAGAGAGGAATCATAGCAGGGAAGTCTGCGACGAACAAGGTTAGATGCGATGTCCGATCTCGTACATATACAAAACGGCGTAGAGAGGGGGCCTGTCACTTACTGAAGGGGCAGATGGCAGCCACAACACCCAATGGCTCACGGTAAGTTCTCGTTTCCATATCCTTGGCGACCTCGAGCAGCTCGCCGGTCATCTGCGTTGTGATTCCACAGGCAGTCTCCGCGACCTGCAGTCCACGAAGAACGTCACCTTTGGCATCAGCGAAGGTCTTGCCCTGCTCCAAAGTGATGCTGGCGGCCAAGCGGTCCCAGTTGGCGCGGATCAAGTTGACATATTTGAACATGATCTGCTGTCTGGCCATGATGCTGGTGGTTCTCCAGGCGGGGAAAGCCTTCTGGGCGCTCTCGACGGCGGCCTTCATCTCCTCGCTCGTGCTCTGGGGAACACGGGTGACGAGATTGTTGGTGGCGGGATCGTGTAGATCGATCCATTGGGTGGCTTTTGATGGGACAAACTTGTTGTCGATGAAATTGCAGGTGTCGATCGGGGAGGCGATCCTCTCGTGGGTGGTGGGATACTCAGTGGCCGTAGAGGCAGCAGAGGTAGTGGCGGCCGGCATCAGCTGCTGAGCCGTGGCATGTAGTCTGCGAGCGGCAGCCATTGGTCTGAGAGCTTGAGAAGAAGAGGTGGTGCGAGATGAGAGGTAAGAAAGAGAGCTGCGGGGAGAGCTAAGAGTGCGAGAAGAGAGGGTGGGGATGGTGCGGGAGACGGCTCGACGCGCGGCCATGGTGATGCAGAGTGGCAGCAAAAGGAAGCACAGGAGCACAACAGCAAGCTGAGATGGAAGATGAGGAGATTGCTACCTGATAGCTTGCAGGCGATGAGGAGAAGAGAGGGGAGAGAGAGAGAAGTCTGCAGCAGGCGAAAATAAAGCCAGCTGTTGCTCCAGGCGATGCTTCTCTTATCGTGCGCAGGGCAGCTGGCCGTCTAGTGGCGGGTTCGCGTTCTTCCTCGGATAAGCGGTTTGAGGCGGCTTAGCTGAGCAATCAGAGCGCGGCTTGGCGTCTGCCGCTCGGCCGGTTCGCGCTGTGGGGAAGCCCTTGGGGAATCGATGCTTTCCCCGCTCTTCCCCCTGCCCGGCCGCTGTCGGCGACTTTCCCCCCTTTCTGCCGGCGAGAGTGCAGCAGTTAGAGGGCCTGTTGGGAGGCCGTCGGTCCGGGCACAGGTTCTCCAGCCAGCTTGAAGTGTGCTTTTTTCGGCGTGAAGGAATATTATTCTTATCTCGACCACGGAGGTCCCTCCATTTTTTTTATTTTTTATTTTTTTTTTCCCCTCTATTCTCCAGATACACCTCCCAACCTTCCACGACAGACAGGCCGATGCCTTATCGTGAGCGGGAGATGATCAGACAAGAGCTACAGAGTACAATGGGGCGATAGAACCTCCAGCTATATACGGAGTACACTGCTGTTTCTCTCTCCAATGGCATCAAAAGGGCGATGCCTACAGCAGAAATTCGGTTGGGGCTGATTTTTGAAAAACCTCCATGGTGGCGATCGTCAAATGGAGTCCCCATCGGAGTCCCTGTGGTGTCGGGAACGGGCCACCGAAGCTGCGAAAAACGGAACTCATAATGGGTGGTGGTTGCGCAACTGGACGTGCTGCTTGAACTCACTCTTTGGATGCGTTCGTCGCAAATGAAATGATCATCCACCAACAGTGTGAGCTATTAACAACATATTAGCAACTATTGCGTGTATGAACAGCCGGGCCCGCCCAAGTGGACAGCTAGCGAAATGTTGGCCAAAGAGCATTGTGATGCCTTTCCGCTCTTTCTGCTGCACAATCTCGAATCACACGGCACTGGCTGGGAGAAGACATAAGATATTAAAATAATGACTCAAGTCTGTAGTCGTTGACAATTGTATATTTTATTGAAACTGCCCAAGCCACTGGAGAGTATGTGAACAAGCAAAGAAAAGTTGTTTATATTGTTTATACTCTAAAAGAAAATATGTCTTTCATCAGACAGCTAACCGAAAAAAGAAAAACCGGTACCAGTTCCTCTATCGCCTAGTATATGCGGCGCATTGGGGTAGATGCAGAAGATGTAATCCAAGAGGATAGTTAGCTTAAAACAAAATTCCCACATGGAAAAGTGGGGAAGGGCATTTGTCGCCGGCGGGGATATTTCCGGTGGAAGAAACCCAATTTGAATCATGTAAGGGACGATCCAAAAAATCCAGGTAGTTATATAAAGGAAGGGCCTGCTTATGCCTCGCGGCCAAGGAAGTCGTAGACCAATCTGGCCTTGATGACCTTGCCCTTCTTCTCAGCCACGACGCGGCGAGTATATTTTCTCACGCCGTTGATGTTTTCGAAACCCCAAATCTGTCATTAGAAGGAATACCAGGTTAGAAGAACGACAGGCTCAAAAGTGCAATCTTGGGGAAAAAAAAAAAAAAAAAAAGGATTGTGTTGCGGCAGCCTACCTGCTCTGCGGTCCAGCCATCGTTCACGCTCTCCACCCAGCTGTGCACCCAGTAGTCCTCTCCCTCACCGGCCACGAATCCTTCAGTCGCGGATCCATCCGCCAGGATCTCTCCACTCAAGAACCGGGCGACGGCCTCTTGATCCTTTTCGTTTCCAGCCTTTGTCTGCACTTCGACGGCTGGGCGAATCTTGCCGTCTGCGCCGGCAGCACCTCGCACGAAGCGGGACCGGCCCTTGACGGTGCCGAAGATGTGGTCGGAGTGTTCGTTCTCGTCCCAGTTGAGGGTGCGGTGCTCGGTGGTGCCGGAAATGCCACCGGTGAGAGTCTGGGCGATATCGATGTGGACAGTACCGTCATCGTCCTTGTACTCCTTGACATGAAGGGTAATGGTCGCGATACCGATGGCCTTGCGGGTCAACCAGGAGATCCCTTGCTGTGGAAATAGTGTTAGGTATTTTTTTAATTCCTTCTTATTTTTGTGCTGTTTTTGTTTCCGGATTTCCAAGGGTTTTGCACCTGGGTGGAAGGGCAGGCTTACGAGTGATAGAATTGGATCAGCATCATTTGAGACGGTTTTGTCCTGGGAGCCGTTAGAAATCCCGAAGAAAGAGCTGGTTGCAACGGCTGGGTATATAAAAGGAACTAGCAAGCCAATCAACCAGAATACAGCCATGGGCCTACCATGCAAAAGCGACCATTGAGGTCCTGGATGGTGATTTCAGCGGGAGCGGCCATTTTCAGTATCTTTTTGGTGGGGTGGGAACTACGTAAGAGGGTGAACGCTGGAGGGGTATGTGAATATCGAGGACACGACAGGAAACAAACACTCTATTAAGTCTGACGGTGAGAGGAGAGAGGGAAAACGGAGAGAATAACTGGAAAGGAGACACGGTTGATGGATGTCGCCCTTTTAATATACACGATTCCCAAAACGCGATGGACGAAGCTGTGGGGTTGGTCCTTGAGATCAACGTGAGCCTCGGAGTGACCGTTGGCGATGCCTGCAATCATGTGGGTGAATTTATTTATGCTGCAAAACGGCGCCAAGATGCAGCCCACCACAAGCACATGCTTTTTGATTTGGGACCACGGCGACCATCGTCGGATGGATACATCGAGCTATCTTTCGCTGGCCTTTTTGGTTGGTAGTGCGCAAATTTTCATCGTCAGGAGGCGGCCAGGGATCCATGGAACAAGGCTGCAAGAGGATCAATGGCTTCTGGGTCCAACAACGAGGAAGAACCGTTCGGTTCCTGAGCGATGTCTCGCTATCAAAACTTGTAGAAGATTTATCTCCCCGGAATCAGAGGAGGGCTCGGCAGGTGGCTTAGCTGTCTTTAAGATCAATTGGCGAGTTCCAGACTGTTGATGTAGCTTTGTATGTACGTCTTCGACCAGCCTTCAGTCCGGGAATTGACTTTCACTGCCCTCTTCCTTGATGTTTGACGATAGCATGTCTGTAGAGCAATCTTGATGCCAGATGGTGCTATCTGCTAGGTGGGCTTTCAAAAGTAAAAGTTCTTAGATTCCAAACTCTCGTCGGATGGACGGGTTGTTGCAGGCGAAGGTACAGCCAGGGCCAGGGTCAAGACCACTGTGGCCGACTTCACAACGTAGATTCTTGAATGGTCGGTGGCTCTCACTTTAGCTTAGCACCCTTATCTGGCGGAGTCTGCTGGATTGGGCAAAGCTGCCTTGTTGTTCGAGACAATACGGGCCTTGGCCTCCGCATTTAATCTCCAATAGACGCCGTATCTGGCTATTCTGGTATCCATCCTCACGCGATCCATCAACTGCCGCAGTGTGCTTTGAAGCCCTACGAAGTCCCTCGCCAGCTAACTCGCTCGCTCCCTCACTCTTCCTGTCAGAACGGTACAAATTACGGCCATCCACTAGCCTAATTTACAAGTCACACCTAGTTGATTACGGTAAATGACTTGTATCACTTGCTGACTAATGCATGTTTACTCCCACGTGAGGGTTGCGGCGAGTCCGCTTTCGAATGACGGGCGATAGAAACGAGCGCAGCCAGTGCATCGCTGAGAGTTCGTAAAACAGGACAGTTAGCGATGGCCTTTAACAAGAAGTATGCCGGTCTTCCTGACCTTGTGAGACTGCCTTTGTTGGATCCCATTTGAGAGGAGAAGACTGACGTGCACCACTCCCCAAGGACCTCGCGCCGGACATCTATGAAACCCCCGAGCTCACCGATGCTTCCACGCTCCCCGTGAGATATATTCCTCTCTAAAAAGGAAGATTTCACAACGTTCATAAACTGACAAATAATTGTCTCTAGACTGCTACCGTTCGATCATCCTCACCTTTCCAGGAAGAGACATCTACCCCAGGAATTGACCGGCAACGCTTGCAACCCGATCATGCCCGCTCACAATTCGAGCCCGTGAAGGTGGATGCAAGAGATGTAGATTTCTCAGATAGTGTTGCATCTAAGAGGAAATCATATCGGACTATTAAACGCTCAAGGCGGACACGGGATGATGGAACAGAAATCTTGGCAGATATTAGCGACGATGAAGAGGAATCATTGGAGGGGAAACTGGCAAGATTACGCAGAGAAGCAGAGGAATTGAAGGATGAGCTTTCCAACCGGAAGACACAACGGAGTGAACAAACGGACGAATCGGAGATTCAAGTTACAGAAGACGGCATTCTGGAACTGACCCGGTCTCTGGATAAACTATACGCATCCTCCAAGGGGGAACAGCAAACGTCATTCTCCTCAGAGGCGGCATTGATGAGGAGACTGTCTACCACAATCCAGTTTCCCGGACCTGAAAGTCAACTAAAAGAGGCTGAATCCTCCGTCTCTCAACCGGCCAGAATACCCTCCACACTTTTGTCAAACGCCGCATCTTTCGACGCTAGACTCCGACTACTCGAGGCCGCCCTCGGACTATCCCAAACGCCCGTCCCATTATCCCCCGACGATCCATCTGAATCTGACCTTCAGCCAATTCTGCCGACCCTAACCCATCTCTCCTCCCAGCTCTCCACCCTCACGAGCACTTTAACCGGATCTCCATCCAACGGCCCTGCAGCCATCCCCACCACCCTCACAACGCCTCACCTCGAAGCCCTAACCACTCGAATCCGCAAACTCACCGCCGATGCCGAAGCGCTCACTGCAGCCCGCCGACGCGCTACAGAGGCCGCCCGCGCCGTCCTAGCGGCACGCATCGCGGCAGCAACGACCGACGAACCGCCCGAAGTGCCCGCTGCAGCTGCACAGGCCACCCCGACCGAAACAGAGGCTGCGGCCAGTGAGCAGGCAGCGAAGATACAAGCTCTTTATACCACTTTGCCGACAATAACATCGCTGCATCCACTACTACCCAGTGTTCTAGAGAGATTGCGCTCGTTGCGGGCGATTCATGCTGGTGCGGCACAGGCTAGTGAGGATTTGGACACCTTGGAGCAGAGTCAGGTGGAAATGAGGAAGGAGATTGAGCAGTGGAGAGAAGGGTTAAAGGCTATGGAAGAGAGGGTGAAAGAAAGCGAAGCGGCGATGAAAAGCAATGTGGAAGTTATGAGCCCGTGGATTAGAGACCTGGAGAGGAGGTTGGACGTTATGGGAAAATAGTCCTAGTCAGAACTCTTACTTTCTCCATTACCAGATCGGAGGACATATAGCTTCAATTTTTTTTTTTGACTTGTTAAATAGCTACCTTTGCGCATGTTAATACCCCTTTCTGCGGTTTAATACATCCAAATGATGATATGCAATTGTTTAAATCGAGTTTTACGCCTCAATGCCTAAAATACACCGGAATCTATATATAGATATATATCGACCAAGTCCAAACCCGCTACTATCGCTACCAGGCTCTACATACTTGAATATCTAACCTGCTTCATGATCTTAATTTTTGGCACCATCTTAATTTCCGCCCACCACCCACGCGTAAGATGGCCTCTTGCATTCCGCTGAATCCACTCCCATACACTCACACCAGCATCTCCAAATACCTTCTTCAGAATTACCATCTCTACCCGCCCCAATCTTTCCCCTTGTCCAGGCTTCAATAATCTAATCCCACCAAACCCTTTAACCTCTTCCAAAACCACCCATTTCCCTCTGCCCTTAATTTGACCGGGGTCCTCAACCAATGCATAATCCAGTCTATCCCAAAAGATAGCGGATCCCTTCACGCTTTCATCTTCCGTCTTATCGTACTTCCAGCGCGTCGCTCCAGAACGCAGTGTCGGGGCATTTCCATCCGGTGAACCGGGGAGGACGAGCAATGGACTTTTGGGTGGTGGTTTTTCGAGGAAGTGAGTTACCCCCGTTTGACACGCTAGTGTGTCAAGATGCACTGCTATCACTGGCTTCGAGCCGTGGGCTTGGTCGTGCAGCTTGTTAAGTGCGAGAGCGCCTGGATAGTTGGCCATGGAGACGGGGAGGAGGATAAATGTGGAAATCGAAAAGGCAGCGAGAGTGGAAAGAATGAGAGAGATAGAACCAAAACGGTAGAGCAGAGATTTGGTACGGTGAGTCCAGATATATGATGCTCCGAGAGCGGCTGCCGTGGTAAGGGGCGGAATGGTGTATATGATAAATCGCCATTCTTTGTGGGGCTGGAGGCTGTACAGGGCGATGTATGCAAGGGATGGTGTGAGGAGTGAGAGGGCAGCACGCTGCCTGGCTGGAACGATACATGATAGGGGAATTGAGATAAGGTAGGTTAAGGGGTTGAGAAGCAACCGAGGAATGGCGCTGGTAAAGTAGAAATGCCATGGATGGACTCCCCAGTCAGATGCCTTCCCGGAGACCACGTTATATAAGAACGCTGAGAGTTCGGGCCAGAGAGGAAATTTTTGCCAGAAGAAGGAATCAATGGGAATCGAAACGAGCAATGCAATTAAAGCGCCAGATAAACCAGCGGGAATAATTTCATAGCGGATGCTTATGTTTCCTTGCAACCAGTGATAAATAGTGATGGTGCTCAAAAGCAAGGCTATCTCTGAGCGGAAAACGATACCCGCTACAGTAAGGAGATAGAGACAAAGCCGATACCTTCTGCTAGAGCTCCCAGGAGTTGCATCCGTATCAGGAAGAAGGAACCGCAAAGCCAGAGTAGCTGCGTAAGGCCGCTGTTAACCCCATGCAAAGGCAATATGATCGGATAGAAAGAGCTCACTGATGCCAAATGCAAACATATTCGGAAGAGTCCGAGATGCATAGTATATCACATGAAATTGACTGGCTTGGAAAAAGATGTACCACATGCCAGTTTCTTTGCCGAAGGCTTTTTTGACTGCCCGGGCGTAAGATACCAACGAAAGGGCGTTGAATGTACCCAGGATTGCTCTCACTTTGTCAAATCAGCAACAGTTCCTTGAACAGAATCGCAAAGATGTATTCCCAGTGAATATTAGGGTCTCACACCTAGGATTTGAATCTGGAGCCCGGCCCTTAACCATATCAACGGTCGCGCAACTCCAGCGAGTAGTAGAGCTCCCACGAACGTCCGCGGTACAGCACCCGGGAATGTGAAGTGATCATAGTTTTCGCGGAACTCGTTAGCGATATTCTTTGATGGAATTCCATATCTTAGAATGTCGTGGGCAGCCTGGATGTTGAATGACTCCTCCACCTTGGTGTATGGTGATAGGACGAGGTGGAGGTAGATGAGGAAGGGGATAGAGACGAGCAGCAGGAGCTCTGCGGCAGTGTCAGCGCAAGTTATCAGAAGAAAGCATTTATACATTCTACTCACCAATGAGCCTAACCATTATTCATGTCTTGCTGCCCATTCGCGGGACACCCTTCGTTGCGGTCGTTTGATCGGAGCTCTACTCCGGGCGTTGTTCTCTCGTGGCCAGGACAAGCTCTCCACTCTCCAGCAGCTCACCTCCTCCGTCTTCCACTCTGTCCTATCCCCGGCCTAACCACGACCAGCGCAAATCCACACCCATAATTCACCAAGAGCGCCAAAGCTCGATTTACGTTTCCAAATGTATTTTCGATAGATTTGCGCATACAGATCAAGAAAAACCAAAATGTTCTTCTTCGTATTTGGCAAGCTTCTTTACGGTATTGTTCAACAGCTCCGGGCCATACGCCAACTATTCCCACACGCAGAGCTAACCAAATATCCCTCTCTAGTCGTCGTCCTAATTATCAACGCTATCGCCGTCCTCTCCGAAGACCGGTTCCTTGCCAGAAGTATATCAACTCCATCCCTTGTTTCTCCTTAGCCGTCTTCCACCTTTGCGCTCCGCTTCCAGCAGCCCACTCGCAAAATCCATATAACTGCAGAACAAGAAACTGACAGATTTCTCTTCGCAACCCATAGTCGGCTGGGGTCGTACTCAATCCGACCCAGGCTTCGGCGCCACGCACGATGACTCCAGCATCAAAGCCAAGTCCGTGAATCTGATCGCCAGTGTTCGAACGGTTATGAGAAGTACGTGTCACCGTCTTTTGCCAATCTATTGCTTTCGCTGTTTTATCGTCCATGCGTTACACACCTCCGTGTAGCCCTTCTACGAGGAAGGAGGTAACACGTGGAAGAGATATCTTAAAAAGCATTCAGAGCTAACTCGTTTTCAACCGCATCAGTTCCCCTGATCGCTATTAACACCGTGATAATTCTATACGAGATTATATTGGGGTAAAAGAGAACCTTTCTCTTTTATTTTCCCGGGATGATTTATTTGGGCCACAACTCTTCAATACCATAGAATATGAACTGGGTTCTTTTCTCTTCTTTTATCTTTTTCGCAGTTGTTTCAGCTTTTGGCATGAAAGCTGCCTTGGGCGTTAATGTCAAGCTTGTCTATGGGGCATTACATGACGGCGTTGATTCCATGGTGGCATTGACATTATGTATAGATAACAACTCTTGATGTATGGGAGCACCGGGCTTTGAATGCCGGAAGGGGGTGTGCACAGAGGGGTGGAATATATCAGAAACAAGAACTTGGTAACCAAAGTGGGATCTCTCCAGACAGTCTAACAACATGTTGTTGCTGCACACAAAGGCTTCTAAGTTCTTCTTGTAACTGATGCAATTATATTTAATTATCATAGAATGCATCAGACATGCCTCATCCTCATTTAGCCAAGACAAAAGCTACACCCAAAGAGTGCGCCACATATCCAAAGCTATATTACCACCTAGCCTCAGTATAGGGTAAACAGCTGCAAATATATTCAAAGAAGTAGAAGAAGAAAAGAAGAAATAGCTCGAGCTTAAAAGGAGAATTTTGATAGAAACCAAGATCAAAAAAAAAAAAAAAAAAGAAAAGAAAAGGCTCGAGACAGCGATGTAATTAAGATTATACACCAGGCATTTTCCCGATCCAAACCCATGTCAGGGGGTTAGAGAATATCGCCAGAAGAAGCGCATACAGACATGCATCGACAAAGGGGTTGGACAGGCCCAAGAGTCGGCACAATGAAAATAGGAGACAAATAGAGGCTGTATTCACATCATACACAATTCATGCGCTCCTAGATGCTCTTTTTCCACATTAATTTTTTGTTTTCCTTCCGATAAACAAATAGGAGATAAATCGGGTAGCCCAGCAGTCAATACATTGCAAGAATATAAAATTGAAGAAAATGGAAGAGGTGTTTTCCATATGCACACCGGGACTCCGAATTAAACACACCAAGGAAAAAGCAAATAGCCATCGCGATTCCTCTTGTTCTTCTTTTTGCCAGAAGAAGAGTGAGAAACTCAGGCTGAGAAAAAAAACATAAAGTGGATCTATATACAAGTCACAAACCCAGTAGCGGAGGTGTAAGCATGAACAAGTGAGTTAGTAAGGTTCTAACAGATTTATTTCTCGCCCACATGAAGGAAAATGATAAGAAATGATGGCCATGGCAGTCGAAAGGGGAAAAAAAAAAAAAAAAAAAAAAAAAAAAAAAAAAAAAAAAAAAAAAAAAAAGAAAAAAGGAAAAAAACAGCAAATGTATAATTTAGAATACATTGAAGGATCTTTTTCGTATATTGAAACGCGTCTTTTTCGGGGTAGCCGGCGTCTGAGGCGTTTCCCGAGAGTCTGGCGTGTCGCTTGTTGGGATAGGCGGCAAAGCCTCAACATGAGAGGCCAGAGGTTGTTGTTCCTGGAGGGACACAGCGGTAGCATTTGCAGAGTCGGCCTTGTCATCGTCGGTCGACTCATTGGATGGAGGCACTCGTGATGACACGTCGGTGGCCGATTCTGGCAAGCTATTGGGAGGGGGCAGTGGCGGAAGATCCGGGACGTCGTTCTCCTTTGCCCTAAGAAAAAGCTTTGACTGGCTCGCACTCCTGTTTCTGAGCTTAATTTTGTTAAGGCCAAAGAATCCGCTCTCCTTGTCGCCTTTAACGCCGTTACGGCGATCCTCTTCGGCCTTTGTGATTTTACTTTCCTCCATTGCAGCTTTGATATAGGCCTGTTCCCGCTTCTCGTCTTGCTTTCTCTGAAATTCTTGTCGTTTAGCCTTTTGTTTATCAAGTTTCGCTTGCTCCTTTTCTGCTGCCTTTCGATCTCTTTCCTCCTTCACTTGTTCTTTGTCATTTTTTGTCCGCTGCCGTTTTATATGTAAGTCCACCTTGGGAATGAGAGATGAAAGAGAGGGTCTTGATAGCCCATTAGATGGGGGCGAAGAGCTCGGCTCTTCAGAGCTGCGGGGTAGTTGCGAGGGAGCAGTGGGCGTCGGCTTGATAGGTGAGAGATGGGCGCTATCCAGGGTTGGTACTGCATCCGTAGCAGTCTGACTTCGGTCAAGCTTCATGGGACGAACGGGATGACCGTTCGGTTTCACCAACGGAGCAACACCATCTTTTGTTTCCGGAGTATCTCGAGCACTAGCTGCGTTCTCCTTTGCTAATTCCTGCTGCATCGCTTCGTCGGTCGTTTCTTGATAGAAAAGTATGTACGCAGAAGTTAGGGTAGGACGATCTCCAAAGAAATTTTGAACGAAACTCTTGTCGACAGGCTCTACCATCTCGTCGTCGAAGAGAAGCCAGCCTCTATCCTCGGTTTTAATAATAGCAACATAATGTCCGTGGTATGGCCCACCGCCGATATGGACCACTACGGCATAGAGTTCGTAGAGACGATCTGGGTCCTCGGCATCATCGGTGGTGTTGAACAAACGTAGATAATAAGGATAAGTCACCCTATGAAATAGCTTTTGCAGTCGGTCTAGATCTTCAGAATATTTAAACCTCTTAAGATGGAGTGCTAAAATTTTGGGCAAGCGTTTAATCTTCATTCTTCTCTCCGCCTCTTGTAGGCCGCCACAGTTGTCGCAGTGGAACTTATTGCGTTCACAAAGGACTTCCTCTTCGGAAAATTTTCGTAGACATGCAGTCACCGAGGAGTGCTCTTCGAGATCGACTGATAAATCCAAAAACACTTCGTCTCGTTGCGAAACCGTTTCGCACGTGAGGCATTGAGTTTCTGAGGTTAGCGTACCTTCAAACAACTGATGGACCCATCGAGTGTTTCGCGATGATTTTACGCCATTGGATGGGAGAGTTGAAACAGAGCCGTCGGTGGCCGTTTCTTCGGATGTTCCCTCGGATGTTTCCTCGCTGTTATCCGATTGCTCGTCGGCATCCGACAGCAGGACGGCGTCGTCCTCAACATTGGATACAACTTGGTTGAGCAGCAAGTTAAGGAATTCGTGGGCATCCTGGTGCATGGTCGTTCTGAACATTTCATGTTCTCGCCGCAGGATCTCCAGAAAATGATAAGGACGAATCACGCCGACTCGTTCGGGGCTGGCAATGACGGCTTCAAACAGATCCTTTAGAGAGGTGAAAAGTGACTCTTTCATCCCATAACTCGCAGAATTGTCCGTCGTCTCCAGCAATGGCAACGTGTGTAAAGCCACCTTCTTCTTGTATTCCGCTGAATTCTTGTCCTCGGGCTTCTGTACTTGGAGAGGCGAATTACTAGGCTTTCCAGGGGTAGTAGGCGGTGGTTTTGGCTTAAGGAGCTCGTCAAGGGGGACGCTTGGGTCGGGATACCGTAGATTATTTCTAAGAGCATTCTGAAGGACGTCTGGGGGTGAGCGTCGAGGGTAATTGATGACGGACTCTCGAAAAGGAACGGAATAATAAAGACATTGGAGGATAGAATTACAGTAGCTAATGAGATAGGGGGTCAGTGACTGAATTGGATTAGCAAGCCCGGGAGTAAAGACAGGGGACAAACCAAGTGTTGCCGAATTGCGCCTGCCCACCGTTAGCACCGTCGACCTCTGGCAGCGGAAGCGATGGAAGTCTTACGTTCTCCATGCCAAAAAACTTATCGCTCCCATCATCCCGCACGGGCCCGGCGTCCAGCAGCATTTTCTGCAGAGGCGTTAAAGGAGGAGGCACAGGATCCCTTTTGGCGGGTGCTGAAGACTGGGAGCCATTCCCGGACGCCTAGTGCGTGCGTTAGAATCGGATATGCAGTCAACACAAAGGGTGAGTGTAATTCTAGACGATTGGGCAAGAGGTGTGTAACACCTCTCTGCACAGGGATCAAAAGGGAAGATGAATCAGGTAACTCACAGAGTTGCCTCGGAATTTTCCCAGCAGGATAGCCATTTTGAATCAGCGGAATACTCTCCAATCACTCAAATCACGGGTCGCCGCGCTGCGGCGGACCTCGACCCGCCTGTCAAGGCAGCAACGGAGAGGGCTGTTTTTTATATATGGCTCGAATATGAAGACGCAGGCCTTTAGGCGGTGCTCGAGGTTAGGTAGCAGTCAGGAAAGTGAGACGATCGTGAAGGAGCCAGCGAAAGCGGAATAAACGGGCGTCGAGAGGCACTGTCGGGGCTGATACGGGACGGGTTACAGGTGATAACGAAGTGCTTATCGCGCAACCGCAAGTTCGACTCCACTGGCCACGGAGGGAAGATCAAATCGTGCCTTGGAGTTTCGTCGCACAGGTCAGGGAGTAATAGGCTGGCGGAATGGGTGTTAAGAAAACGGCGGAGGGAGATTGTCGCCAAGGTGGAGAGATCGAGGGAAAAAGGGAGCGTGCACGGCTAAAGCAGGCAAGGATGGAGGAGTAGGAATCTGGCGAGGGTCGCAACCCAGCGTCGCGCTTTTTTCGTAACGGGGGCCAGTATGGAGATTCAGTTCGGGATCTTTTTTGGTTGGAGGGATGTTTGTCTTTTAGGTTAATTTTTAGTGGCAGATTGGAACTCCCCCAAGTAAGTTACCTACTCTGGAGTTACTCTGTGCTTGGATGGCGGTTCAGACGGTACCAGGCCGAGATGCGATGAGAAAAAAGGTTCCGGCGGGATAATTGTCCTGAATCAGGCGGAGAGCCACGGCTAGATCTACGGCCGCAAAGGTTTAGGACAACGCGATAATATGATGGCGTTTTCTTTTCTTTTCCTTTTTTTTTTCAAGTTATTTCGAGAGCATAGCATGCAAGCATCCTCCCTGGCTGGGTCACTCTAGTTACTAGTTAGCAGTTACGGGATTTACGGATGCTTGGGGATTTGGTAGATGGTTTAACTACTCCATGGTTACAACATAATATTCACGGAATGTCGCTGTCGTGTTTTTGTTGGATCAAGCGTCGCTCTTCTCCCTGAATGGCGCAGCATCAGCCAAGAACGGGAATGTAGCTCATTGGGCGTCGAGCATCCCTAAAAAAGCAATTCATTTCTCGGCAGCGATGGAAGCCGGGAGAAGGCCTTGAGACATCGTGTTTGGAGTTCAAGGACCTTCTCCCGTCCGCCGCACTGAACCCGGCCCTCTCAGGCGCACTCGCGCTAAGGGCTTAGATAATTCGGTACGGAGTAACTAACTAATCGGGGCTACTTACGCCTAGCGAGAAACCGGGCGCCGGGGCTTTGTGGGTTCCTTGGTGAAGGCAACGCCGCTCGTAGGTTCTGGCCTCAACCACGTAAGGGCGATGGAGGGACAAACCTGAGGATCTTGAAAGACAAGAGGGCTTTCCTCTTACCTTCAGCATCTTAAGCACTACAGGATCCAGGTCAGGTGGCTTCCTCCGATTTCGTGTTGCCGGTTGCACCGATACTCTCTTGAGGGCATGGGAGGGAGTTAACTAATTCATTTTCCCGTGATTAAATAAGTAAGCGGCTTTAAGTCCATTAACTAGCGAGAGTGCACTTAACGGAGTATCCTGTACATCTGGTTGTTGACCGCCCCATCCACAGAAAATCGCCGGCTCTCCCCACACCCTCCTTGGCCACGCGACAACCCAGCAGTTCACCTGGCCGGATTTCCTTGTCACACTTACATATTGAGCTGGGCGGTAGCATGCTAGCCAAGGGGGTTGGACGAAATTGCAATGAGTGTGACACTGTGTTGAGCACACTCCTTGCGGATAGGCCGGGATAGCCCTCCCACGGGCCAGTGCGTCCTCATCGACAGTTGCCGTCAAGTTAATAGCTACCCTTTCCGATATGAACGGTTAAATCAACAAGCTCGACAGCCACAGTCCCGCTTGTTACCGTGGAAGCCAAATGTAGAGAAGCCCTAGGAGCCGTCTTCGGTTTATCCGTTCCATCTGTCTGCCTCCGAAAAACGAAACACTCGAGAGAGAGCAGGTGTCATAGATACAGAAGGAGGAAAAAGTATCCTGTAGACAAGCTTTCAGGCCACGCTTATTTTATCTCTTACTCCGGAAAAGCACGGATACTGCTTAAGTTCCCAACATAATCAGGCCCTTCTGGAGTTATAGTGCAGTAGTTAAGAAACGTCCCATAATTGTACCTGCTAAGCAATGACGATGCCATGGGTATGACAGCCTGCTTAAGCTCTACAGATTCGCGGGGATAAACCTTAGAAGCATCTTAGCATGGTGCCTTGTTAAAGACTTCCTAGGACGGAGAATTGTTCCCCGCATTAACCAGCCCGATAATGGAGGGGAGTATATAATGCATACGGAGTATCCGTATGGAGGACATATAAAGTAATATACCTAGAGTGCCATATTTGACTCGTTCGGCTTCGAATGGGTCGGACGTTGGCCGCGAGCATGTACAACTGCGTATGTACATGACATTTTCGGCATCCACATTAAACACCAGATATGCTGCGTCGCACGGGAGGCGCGGGAAATATGAGGCCGCCTCGCTTCGTTTGGTTGAACCCGGCTAGTCCCAGATGCGTCCCGGCTAAACATACTGCGCATCCCAACAACGGTGCTCTCGGGTGAAAGCTGACGGGCATCACCAAAAATATGGAGCATCCATCGGCTTTGCTGGGACCAGAATGGAGCCAGCCGTCAAGCCCCACACTCGCTGAGGTTTCCCCACCCCTGCTTTCAAACCCTGTGCTGTGGCTTGGGATTGGGACGATTGCCTCTGGAGACAGATACGGCCGCCCCCATAGTTAGTTATGCAGCCTAGCGCCCCTCGCCGCTTTTCCAGCCTATTACCAGCCCTTGCACATTCGCAAGATCATCTGTATTTTTCGCCCTTCACCTCCATCACTCCAACCACTCACCTGGCCTCACCTGGCCTCACCTGGCCTCACCTGAGCTCTTTCTGATGTCCTATGTCCTATCTCCTACATCCAGCTCCCCAGGTCTTTTGCCCCGAATAATTCTTCTTCGACAAGTCTACTTTACATCCGGCCGTTTGCCGCTCCAGGTGCGGTGCGGTGCAGCAGCACACAGTTCACACCACTTCCACTCCCGTTAGCGGCCCTTTTGTGCCATGTGTCCTGAGGCTTCCTCACTTTGCCCTCTGGCTCTCGCCAAGGTTCTTGGTTGAAACCGGACTCTTGCCTTAATCTTTGTTTAGTTAACCATGTGTTCTCAAGCTTCTATATTTATCGGACTTGCCCTTCAATTTGGGTTCTCCCTCGCATGAAGCAAATCAGCATAGCATCAAGGTGTTCTCGTGTGTTTGAAGTTGATCCTCAGTGGCTTGTGTGAGCAATTTTCCATAGTCTTTCCTTGTATGGGGAAACCCCACGCTTGTTTCTCATGATTCTCTTTGAAGGGCCATTTAACTATCCCCTCGTCCGTCCCTGTTGTGCAAATTAGCGTGGTTTCATTAGCCTATGGTTCTTCAACGAGCGATACTGCTGGTAGGGTTGCGGGGGACATAGCAAGGACAGAATCTGCCCTGGTACATGGGAGTCCACCTGCACCACTGGAGGAAAGGATAGCTGAGAGATTTGTCACTTCAATGACAGCAAACCCTGAAGCAGCCCAACAGCTGAGCAGCAGTGGACGTTCTGCGCGGGATAAAATGGGGGAACGGCCATGAGAGCAACAGAAAATCATACAGGATCATGTTTATTGTTCATCCACTCACCTTTCTAGTATGGTCTACCGCTCTTTTCACTAGTAAAAACACCAACAAGCTCTTGGAGATACTGTGTATGGTTATCCAGCTTTGACTGTACGAATGAAGTCATTCCTGGTGTCCAGAATGGGGATACTCCTGCGCAGAGTACATTGCCAGACACCTCATCGAACTGTGCTTGAAGATGCCTCCGGAAGAGGTTGAACAGACCCTTCGGGGACTGCAGAGCATTCAAATACCAATATCGACCGTCTTCTAGAGCCGTCCTCATGGTTGCCCCCCGGGAGTAGAAATTCCCATCCTGATGTAGCACTGTACTCCTCTCTTCTTGCTCGAATATCTCCACAAACTTGCTGTATTGAGCCTTGAAACGAGTATACTCATCCCCGTGCAGACGATCAACTGTCTTTCCAGTTAACCAAAACGGCGGCAGAAGGGCATCCAACGGGAGAGAACATGCCCATTCAAGATCAATGACATATTTGATGTTCCAGTCCTTGTCCACCAGGATGTTGCTATCATGCATGTCGGTTAACTGCATGATGAAGGGACCATCACGAAGGTGCCGATTGGTGAATTGATGGAGCAGTGCCCTCATAAGCACAAGGTCAGTCGCCTGTCCACGTGCATCGATCTCGGATGTTGTAGCGTTTCCCTGGTACCGCAGACGGTTATCATGACCAGCAAGCAAATCAAGATAGAAACTATCAGCACTCGTGTAGGTCCTGCTCCGTGGAATATCACTCGGAATTGACCAGTTCTCTAACTGGTGAAGATGGCAGAGCATGGGGCGATTGGTCAGAGTGATCTGACCCCTCTTATCAATGGTCCAGGAGCCGATTCGAGGTTGTGAGACTCTAGCCATGGAAATCATAATTTGTGACATGCCTCGATAAAAGTTCTCGACCTGCATAACCGTGTGTGGCTTGGAGAATTTGGTAGACAGCATTTGCAGATCATCATTCTCAATCCAATCCATCAAAAGATAGCCATGATCCAGGATCTCTCTTCTTTTGCATGGAACATATCCACTAGCATGAGAACCCGAGCCGTAGTACAAACGACGGGCGAAGCTCCAGATGAAAGACTTGATCCTCTGCCAGAATGGAACAGATCTGGGTTCACTGAACTATACTGTCGCTATCAGTCAATGGTATCCTTGATAGAATGGAGGAGCATATTTAGACTGACAGTAAGGCCACCAGGTAGTCCAAACCCTCGTAGTGCTGGGATTGGCACATCCGGGCAGTTTTCACCAATCCAGATATATGTTGCAGCCTCAGACCGCACCTTCTCCTCAACGTTCCCTGGGAATGGTTCCTCACCAAGCTTATATGGTAGAGGCACGCGAAATCCTAACTTGGATGGTAGCGGTCTTCCAGCATCATCGGATCGAGCACTGTCGATGCATATGGGAATGCACATGTTAAAGGTTCCATGTGGTCATACAAGTTCTGTTCCATTGAACAGTTCCGGCACTCGTACCGAGCTAGGATCTGTCAACCCACAATGGAAGGCTACTAGCTGCTGGATCTCCTCCCGTCGGCGGTAAAATTGACCATAGAATTTGCTTCTTTTCTGGGCGTATTGTAGCACCACCCGCATGTCCTCCTCCTCTGCTTGTGCGGCCGAGAGTGTGATGAGTTGATTAAGAAGGGCTTTTCTTGGCTTGGTTGTGTTTGAGCTGGCAGGTTTGTCGCAGTGAGTTGCCTCACCGGTATGGAAATCGGGTGTATCCATTATGGTTACAGTGTCTACTGATAGACGAGGAAGCGATTGGTATTCGTAGCGGAGGGACGCATTAATACCTTATGCCTAAGTATTCAGCCGACTAACCGTGGTTAAGGGAAGCGACAGAAAGGTGAATCACAGCAGGGATTTGCTGGTAGTTAGTTACCCACCACTGAATCGATCATCTGTCCCAGATACGTGGAACAAACAGGGGGTATGCCTGTCGAAAATTAGCATCACCGCCACATTGATCGACGGGCAACAGCTGTTGGCATCACCTGCACAGTTATCTACACACTCTTCGTTCATAATCCACATGATATGTGTATATCACAAGCTGGAAAAAAAAAAAAAAAAAAGGCTTGAGTGGTAACAAGCATGGCTACAGAGTACAGGGTACCTCCTGTTTAGTTATGCATTCTTTTTGAAATCCATCTATATTTTGGTTCGCAAGCCACTTTTTGGTACCCATCTGAAATGCTCTTTAATGCTTTGCTTCAGGTCCAAGGGTCGTTCTATGGAATAAAGCTGAACTTTTAGATTGTTATTACTATGAGCTGGCTTGACAAACACAAATTTCCCTATTTGCAAAATTTCGCAGAGAATTCTCTGTGGGAACTAAATCCTCAAGGCATGCCTTTTGCTTGAGCTTCTATGAAGCAGGAGTTGTTCTTATTTGTGCCATTTTTCTTCCAAAGTGATGCATCGAAAATTAACAAGCAAATAAAATTGATTTGCTATGGACTGCCCTATCATGAAAGCATCCTTGATCCGAATGAAAAGGCAATCATGATAGCGAACTGGATACCGCTATATTTATTCAAACCCCATCCCTAACTGCTATACATTTCTTTCATACTCTCCGGCCCAGTCACAGCCCAATAACCATACAGTGAACTGGACTTTCAATATATAGGTGGCGATCATGTTGCAAACAATTTACTATACTGGCTGGGAGGGCTTTGTCCATGCCCGCAGTTGTCACTGCGATCCCAAGCGATGGAGGCATCACCTCATTTGTTAACTATATAATTGCCTCCTGCTCCCTCCCAAATACCATACAATCTTCTATCACCCGCGTCCAGCAAGTCGCAAACAACCACTCGAATCAACATCTAAATACGAAAAACAATCGAAGGGAGGCCAAAATTCGCCCTGCAACGTAACTGCTTCACAGACCGGTTCCAAAAAAACGTGGGCCTGATTGCTCCATAGTATATATACCAGCAGACATCGCCATATACAGCTTTCTCAGCAGCCATGTCAAGCTTTCCACGTCGCCCAGCACCAGTCGCACCAGGACATCGGCGATCCCGTGGTGGTGATATCGAAATGGCACCGATCAACCTGGGCGGCCCATCGAGAGGTGAAGTGGGCTACCGAGCCGCACGCTTTGGAACACAAGGCAGAGACGATGAGTGGGTATGGCTCGGAAACAGTTCTGCGTGCATAGGAATGATTGTCTTAGTCGTGGTTGTGGTCGTGGCGGTCGTTCTTGGAGCCCTGATGGGGACGGGCAAGATCAAATCAGGAGGGAAAGAGTGGTAGTGCACCGGCCACGAAGGTCATGATTCATGGACTATGAGGAGCAGTTCAAAATAGGTGAGCTTTGATGCATCCAGTATTGGAGGCTTTTGACGCAATAATTGCTCTACGGCCGTGTGGCTCAATTCTTATATATATACACGTCGCGGTCGCTGGTGGAAAGCGGTGTCGTAGATAGACAACAATCTATTCGGGTTCATTTTCCCTGGACAGGTAAAAGAACAAACCATGGCTGGGTGGCTATATTCTGTCCACATTTGCAAGGATTGGTATCTTATATTTTGGATTGTTGCTGTGTTTTATAGCTTTTTCAGTGGTGATAAAATAGCTGAGGATTCACCGAGTTGGCAGGCCCTTCAATGGACACCGGATCATCTATTCTTCCGAGAAAAATGCTGGTGACTCAAAGAGTAGGTTCATACATTGAGGGTAGTAATAGAAAGGTAGCTGTAAGAGAGTGAATTCGCGATTTTCCCTTTTTCACCTCTCTCAACAAATGCTTTTTGGATGAAGGCCCTGATCTCGAGACTTCCGTGGCCTCGAGGAACCACACCGGTGCCCAATCCGTTGCGAAATTTTATCCCCGCAGCCACCACGACCACTCCGGCCGCCTCGCTCGCGTCTGTCCCTCCCTCCAACCACCCCACTTTCCGACCTCGCAACCAATTTCTTTCGCCGTCCTACCACACCAAAAGCGCCGACGACAAAATGCCGAAAGATAAAGTGACATTCAACCTCAAGACCCCCAAGGGCACGAAGGACTGGGCTGGTCCTGATGCCCTCCTCCGCGACCGCATTTTCTCTACCATCACCAACGTCTTCAAGCGTCACGGCGGCACCGCGCTGGACACCCCCGTCTTCGAGCTGCGCGAGATACTGGCGGGCAAGTATGGCGAGGACTCGAAGTTGATCTATGACCTACAGGATCAGGGCGGGGAGCTGTGCTCTCTTCGGTACGATCTGACGGTTCCCTTCGCGCGATGGCTGGCGATGAATCCGGACGTGCGCAGTATAAAACGATACCATATCGCCAAGGTGTATCGGCGTGACCAACCCGCGATGACCAAGGGCCGTATGAGAGAGTTTTATCAGTGCGATTTTGACATTGCAGGCGCGAATTTTGATGCTATGGTTCCTGATGCGGAGATTTTGCGGATCATATCGGAGGTGTTCGAGGACTTGGGATGGAAAGGGAACTACCTGATTAAGATCAATCATCGCAAGATTCTTGACGGAGTGTTCGAGGTTTGTGGCGTGCCGAAAGAGAAGATAAGGACTATCTCCAGCGCGGTGGACAAATTGGATAAGCTCCCCTGGGCCGATGTGCGCAAGGAAATGGTTGATGAGAAGGGACTGGATCCGGCAGTGGCTGACAAGATTGAGACATATGTTGTTAGAAAAGGAGGCAGAGAGCTACTAGACTCGTTGAAGTCTGACGAAATGCTCGTGGGGAATTCGTCTGCGAAGACTGGGCTAGAGGAGATGGGGCTACTCATGGATTATCTCCAAGCCTTTAACATTTTGGACAAGATATCATTCGATATGAGTCTGGCACGAGGGCTGGATTATTATACTGGTGTCATTTATGAAGTTGTCACAGAAGGATCTGCTCCTGCTACCACATCTTCGGCGCCAGAAGCGCAAAAAATACAACGCTCAGGGAAAAGAGAAAAGACCAAGGTAGATGCTGACGAAGATCGATCGAATGATCCATCTGTAGGCGTTGGTAGCGTTGCAGCAGGAGGTCGTTACGACGAGTTAGTCGGCATGTTCTCGAGCAAGGCTCAAATACCCTGTGTTGGCATTTCATTCGGTGTTGACCGAATATTCTCCATCACAAAGGCTCGTATGGAGCGTGAAAAGAGTGAGGCTCTCAGAAGCAGTGAGGTGGACGTTTACGTTATGGCTTTCGGAGGAAAAGGATTCACTGGCTTGTTAAAGGAGAGAATGGATATTTGCAGGATGCTATGGGACGCTGGCATTAAGGTAAGAAGATCATTAAGAAAACCCTTTTCTTACTTTGGACATACTTTGGCTTACCAGATTTTCTACAGGCCGAGTTCTCCTACAAAGTCAAGCCAAAGCTTCCTCAACAATTCAAAGCTGCTGAATCTGGCAGCGTTCCCTTCGCTGTCATTCTTGGCGAAGACGAGCTTGCAGCTGGCGAGGGCCGAATCAAAGAGATGGGTCTGCCGGAGGGCCATCCGGAGAAAGATGGCGTACTTGTTAAAATAGCGGCGCTTCCGACGGAAGTCAAGACCAGGCTCGAAAGAAGGAACGCCAAAGTGAATGGGGATATTAATGAAGAGGCTGTAGTGAAGCAGGTGGAAGGTTTGGAAGTTTCATGAAAAGGGAATGCTGCAAAACAATGCATCTCTTTGAACTATCTGGGCATCTAGCGTTTATTGTCCGGGAGATGTTGGAGCAGGAACACATTACAAGTGGGTTTATTTTTATATTTTTATTTTTTTTTTAAGGATAGACTTACGGATAATCCGTGGCTTCAATTCTAATGTTTCGGGGCTTTCGTCATGGTCCACAGAGGGAAGTTTATGCTTTAAAACTGATATGCAATCCTTGGAGTATAGACTAGAGCAAGATAGCGGTGCTATTGCACTTTTGATCCAATGCTCTCTGATCGGCCAGCGATCACTCTAAGACCAGAAAAGACTTCCAATCACAGCAACTCTGTTGTAGTGCTTCTGTCCCAGTAGTAGGTATCAGAATCAAGGTTGATGATGTATTCAATCACTTAAGACAATCTATGAACACGTTGATGAATGAAGCATGTTCATGCCCAACAATACGGCCGTAGATACAGCGTAAGAAATTTTTTTGATTTTGCAATGTTTGTGCCAAATAGGCTAGGTAATATAATACATATATCGAAGAAGATACATGGAATGTACATACTAACCACACACATACAAGCGTACCTCAGGCGCCAGATGCCAGTTTCATCAAGAAGTCCTTCACGAGAGGTATTCGGTTCACCGTATCCAGGCCGAATCCCCTGGCCCACGCCACGGGTCCGTTCCCAGGAACATTATACAGCTTATGAAGAAAATCGCACCCAGCGCCGATCTTCGCATTGGGAATCCATCGGTCTGCAGCATACCGCTCCAGACTTAGCAGGTCACCGATATCCATGCCGTGTTGCATGGAATATTCAATCGTGCTATGCAGAGAAGCAACATCGGCAATGCCTAGGTTCAGCCCCAGTCCACCGAGAGGATGAATAACGTGTGCAGCGTCTCCGACGAGGGCGATTCGTGGTGAGATATATGTGGATGCGTGGCGGTGTCGGAGTGGGAATGAAGCGATGGTTCGCGGATGAACACCACCCACCATAGGAGGAGCAAAAGATGCAGTTGGGGTGTGGTTTAGGCGCCAGGATAGTTCTTCGCCGTGTTGATTTGATGTATCTGACGATGAGGACTTAAGTGTGAGCATGTATTTCAAGTCCGTCATCGACAGCCGGAACGCAGCGTTCACCATTGACGTGAACGCCTCTGGAGTGAGAGATTTTAGGTATGCCGCATTTTGAATCGTGGTTGACCAGACCAGCGTAGCGAAGTCACCAGGAAGCGGGAGCAGAGCAATTGGACCACCAATACCGGGGAGAAATCGCTGATAGGCTGTAACTGGTCTTGGAGCAGAAGAATCGGAAGCGGATAGCTCCAGAGTAGCCACAACACCGTGCCGATTGTAGTCCCAACCATCCGTAGATATACCGGCGAACGATCGAACAGGGCTATTAATACCGTCCGCCCCAACCAACAACCGTGCAGCAATCTTCGGCAGCTCAGCCTGTTTCTCATTCGCGGAAGTTGGCGAGAGCGAAAGCACCGGCCACGCGGACAGATCAGGGCCATCTGCATGATCCACCCCGTTCTCAATCGAAGCAACAGTCGTCGATGAAAAGATAGACAAGCCCTCCCCACCCAGCGACTCAATCCGCGAAAGTAAACCCCTAACCAAGTTTGCATTTTCCGTCATCGTCGCAATCGTCTGAGAAGCACCGCCCGGAAGCAAATTCGACGACCAATCGAACGAGATCCGCGACCCGGTCACTCCGTCCCACACCTCCATCTCCTGGTACGGCTGTACGCGGGAGGTGTCGACATGCTCCCACGCTCCGATATTCTGAAGAAAGGACACCGACGAAGGCGTCAAACTACTCACGCGGTTGGAGAACTGACCAGAACCGAGCTTCCAATCTTTTGCTTTGCTGACATCTTGGCTTTCGACGAGTGCGACTTTGAGCTTCGAGGTGAGAGGGGAGCATCCTGGTTGTTTTTAAGTTATTCGGTTAGCTATATACATATCCCAACACGATTTAATAGGAAAAGCAATTGGACGGCATCATGCGGTCTTACTCAAAGCTGCTAAGAGGGCGAGCCCGGCCGGCCCGCCTCCAACGCAGACGATGTCATAGATTTCCGGGACTTGGGGTGTAGTAGAAGTAGAGGCAAACCTCTTCTTCTGGAGAAGGCCTCGTCGACAGGACGAGCAAACATACGAAGAGAGGTTTGGACGTAGAAGCAGCCTCATGGTGGAGTTGGTGCGTAGTAGATTGAAGTGAATGTTGGTTTGTCCAGAAGCTTTTCCATTTAACTATCAAACCACTCCACTTTCAGGCGGGCCGGAGCTCAGGTTTGAAAAGCATACCAATGGAGCCAACGTTGTGGCCGTCGGGCAATTCATCAGAACGAAACAGATAGTGATATCCAAAGGGCCATTCATAGTAGCATTTAAATTTCAAGAAATTTATTGTCATTATCATCCTCATTGCAGATGACTACCAGTCAGAACAGAGAAACAAGCTGCCCATGCGCAGAAATAAACTCCACAGCTCAATTTGTGAATCATACAAAATAATAAGCGACTCCATTATCATCTTCAGCTACATCAAGCTCATGACACTTCGTTCATCGGTCTTCGGCTTTCCTCGCCATTATCCTCGCCATCTTCCATCTCGACAATGAACCTTTCCCAAGTCGCAAGCACTCCTTGATAAAACTCTACATGCTGCTGTGCCATCGCGCCCAGAGTATCCCGGAACTCGATGGCTTTGATGCGCTCGAAATCAGCGATCTCTCGAACAACTTCCTCGTCAAACATCTCAGATGTCGTTTTCGAGCTTTCAACTTCACGAGTCAACTCATCGATGCGAAGCTCTAACTTGCGTACACGTTCTCGACGGGATTGCTCATGGTCGACACCTCTCATGTCTTCCATCTTTGAACGGATGAAGGAGGCGGGATTGCTTGTCAGGGGATTGGTCGCATAATATGATGAGGGGTTATTAGCCAAGTTATCACGGTCTGACACAGCCTTGTTGCGATAGTCAACGAGGGCTTCGAAATCAAGTTGTTTTTGTTCTCGGGTCTTAAGCAGCGTCTTCAATGAGATAATATATGCTTCCATGTCGCGAAGGCTTCCAAGATAATTCTGATCGGTATGGTCCTTCAAGGACTTGATTCCTCGTGCGGTCTCTTCGATGGAGGCAGCGAATATTTGCAACGGAACTTCAATATCGGGTTCTAACGGTACAAGCTTGCGGAACTGCATCGCAAGCTCACTGTAATCGACTTCTAAATCACTCTCCCGTCTAGCCACTCTAGCAACCACCTTTTCAACATGGTTTAAATCTTCATCGAGCTTGTCCGCTTTCTCTTTAACTTCGATGAATCTCTTATCGGGCTTATGAACTTTGGTGAATGCATTGACAAACGTGTCTGCGAAATTATCAAAGATTCCCGTGGGCCCACCGTCCGATCCACTGGTAGAAGCTCGCGATGGCCGCATCCTCATGTGCGCATTCCAGTCTGGCGATTCAAGGAAGACGACGAAAACAGGTGCGCGGCGGAGGACGGGGTGTAATGTAAGTCTTTTGATAAAGCGATGCAGGGACCAAGCTCGCCGATGCGTAAAATCGGGACCAAATCTATCCCCGCGAACATATTCCATCTTGTGTTTGTCTGGCAGAGGAGGTACAGCACATGCTGGATATTCCCGGTAGAGTGTCTTGTAGAGGTAGTAGAAGTCTGTGAAGCGTCGGCGGACGGTGAAATCAGGTTGTTGGAAGGATTTAAAATCGGTCTACTCCAAAAGGTCGTCACAGATAGATAGTGTTAGAAACTTTGCACTCATCTACTGGGAAAACGGAGGTTCAGAGGCATGGGGAGGACTAACATGGGTAGTAATGAGGTAGGAGATAAAAGCGTCTTTTGTGCCATCATTCTCTTTTAATGGCGAGCTCACTGTGCAATCTAGGATTCCATCAAGGCCTGCGAGTTCTTCAATACCTTCATGTGCGAGTTGAGGCTGCTCGTCGGCCGCCGAGCTCATCCGCCGCTTGCCGTTGACATCATGGGTAGATGGTTCGGTGTCTTCGGTATCAGTGTGTATGGCCGCAGGTCCGGAAGCTTCACTCTCTGTGTCATTCCTCCATGACACAGCATCGAAATCATTATGATCCATTGCACAATTGTTGACTCTCCTGCTCTCCCCTCTGTGACAAAGCAGCCGCAGAAGCAATCTATGGAGGATGCGGGCAACTTGCAATAAGACTTGGCGGTCACAACTTGTGAAGAATCAACCAAGAGCAGCTCAGTATAGCAAAGGCCTCAGGCAGAAACAACAGTTCTCAGAATGGATTCTCTTCATCGGGCGGTAATATGGCAATCCCAAGAGAAAATGAGAGTAGGTGAGGCGCCAGGGCAAGCTGTCAAGGTTGATGACCTAATGCGGGAATTCACGTGGTGTCGGTCGGAGTGCGTCACTTTGGCTGAAAAAAAACCCCCACAGAAGCAATTCATCCCAGGGATTACAGAGACCAAGGTAAACATTTTCCAGCAATCTATTATGTCCCATCTCCTTGAACACTTTGACCTTGATGAGAATATAATTGCTATGTTCTCTATTGGACCTAAGTTTCTGGCTATGAATTCCCCGTGTGGATAACTGCAGACACAATTTTTAAGGCCTTATTTGCCGCCCACGCAGCCAGAAAGTTGGGGGACCAGGTAGCAGAGTATATGTTCAGGTTTTATCCCATGTTCTCCGTGCCACGCCTAGGTTCGATGAGCTGCCTTGTACCTGATGAACGACACACTGCAGAAAGCTGAGTTGTGGCCATAGACAGTGTGTGAATGAGCAATAGAACTTTGCTTTTTTGCTTCTGCTGTCCTTCCAACGTTTTTGCTTGGTGCTACCAGGTAGAGGGGGCTACCGATATATCGATTTACCGCGAAGCCGCATCGAAAAGAGATTGATTAAAAGGTATTAAATATTGCGCTCATAAAACATCAATTCCCCTAAATACCCCGTCCTGTCCATCATCATTCCTCCAAAATGACGCTTTCCGCGAATCGACAAACAGTTATCGTGACGTTGCGGGAGATAATAAAAGTAAAAGTGGGTACTCCGTACTCCGTAGTCGAAACTGAATTCGTCAAATACTCCGTACTGCTGGAGTAAGGCTAAATATCCTTTTCCGACTTTTCTCCTTTTTTTTTTACCTTTTCAAAAAATTGAACTCCAACATTCAAATGAAACCGATGGAGAAACAAAACAAGACCGCTCCAATCGGCAGGACACAATGCAAAAAAAAAAAAAAAAAAAGCGAGAACCAATCAAGCAAGCTGCAGCTTCACGTCCGGACTGGCCACCCTGACCTTCAGGCAGATTACATCGCGGCCCAGCCTGGTCCTCAGCAGGGCGAGTGTTGCGGCTAGATTATCTCTGTCCAACGACGAGCTGGGCGGGAATGTCAGGCCGGTGCCAGAGCTCCGATCCCATTCAACGTACAGACCGTCGAAGGCATATCCGTCGGCAATTTCGGGTGCTCTGGTGTAGACCTCCTTTTGGATCTGGTTGAGGAGGCTGGGATATGTAGCGTTTGAGTCGAGGAGGATTGGTGTTGAGCTGAGGGCATTGATGCGGAGCATGATGGGGATTGGTTGGTTGGAGGGTTCGACGGAGCGTTCTATTCTGGCCATTTTGGGTATGGTGTTTGTTGGTGTATACGGAGGTGTTTGCGGGGAGATGTGCGAGGAGGATTGGTGGAGAGATTTGTTGTTGCTGTCTCTTGCCACGGATAATCGAGGATTATGGAGGACTGTTATATTGGAATAGGTAGGTAGAAAAGTGCGGTCAAACTATGAGCTGGATTCAAAGGGATGAGAGTGACTGCGGTTTTGTTTGTATGTGCATATGTATATGTACAACGTTAGCGAGAAATGATGCTTGTGATTTCAAACACGTCGACGGCCGATCCCACCGCCTCTATATATACACTTTCGACAGCTTGCCGTCCAGATCGAGTACAGAGTCAACAAACCCAAAAAGCGAGTGAGAGACGCAGAGGACCCGCCGCAGAAGCAGTCCCATGATCCCATCGTTCAATGCCGGCCAACTCTGTCGCAATTCCTCCTACGTAACAGCAACCCCGGGCTCAACCCCACCGTGGACCCGCCGCCAGAAAGGAAAAAAAATCGACCCAGCGGTTTCACAATAATCCAGCACCGTCATTTGCCCAGTCACCCCGAGTCCAGTTGGAACGGGCTCCCTTGGCAAGTTACTGCAGAACCGATGCATGTTAGTTAAACCGAGTTTGGATATTGTTTGCTGCCATAGTTTAGGGGAGGGACCTTCCAGAAGTCAATCTCAATCATCATCAGGCCACAAGCAGCGAACTTTCCTCCAGCCTTCGACCGTTACTCTTCAATTTCCCCTCAGCTCAGCTCATATTCGACCAAGTGCATTTACGGACGACATCTTTTCCTCCCATGACAATCATAAGCACGCATATATGTACAATATATGTATAGATCATCTTCCGTCCTGCTTGAAGAATCTAAAACCATCCTTCATCCCCTACCGCCTGTTATGCTTATGCGGCAAATCGAGCATGACTCACTCAGTTACTAACTCGGCATAGAGCTTCTCATCGCGATGTCCAGCATTTTCTACGGAGTACTCCACTATTGAATGGTTTTACCCGGTATTCGACAAAGTCTTAAAGAGGCAAAATCTCATACCTTAATATCGGTTTAGTTCAAAGCCTTGTGCCATAGCAATGATGTTTGCACCTTTGGCGCTGTATATTGTCTGCTTCTCTATTTCTTAGGCCACGAAGAAATGTCAAATTATGCTGACCGTGCTCCGCATTCAGGGTCAGTTAGGAAATACATCGCTGATCGTCAAGTTGCCGAGCTGCAACTGCTCTGGTGGAAATACTGCTGCTATGGCACGTAGCCTGATATACCCAAGCATCGCTGATTATTGCACCTTGTTTTATTATTATTATTATCATTATTATAATATTTTCTTGTTTTGTATGGTAAAGGTTTAAGCACTCGACCTGCTGCTCAGAGTGATTTATACCGGGTTACCTCAATGCTCTGTGCACTATGCTTAGGCCTTAATAGGGTGGGTGGGCTGCGGACTGGGATTGAGGGTCAGGGCTAGGGAGGTTAAGTGCTCTGGGGAGAAGAGTGGTTAAGGGTGATGGGCGGTGGCTGGGGTGGGCCAATTTCTTTGCTGCAAACTCAGGGCTTAGGCTACGGCTCTTCCAGACAAAACAGGGCGTAATGGTCTGCCATACCAGCGCAGTGGCAGACAAATACATATACAGATGCTGAGATTTCAAACCCAGGGCGTAAGTACTAGCCTATGTAAGAATTTGGTTTCCACATTCCCCATCATCATCATCATCATCATCCTCTGGACTGGACTTTGGACTCAGTATACCCCGTACCCCATACTCCGTACTTTATTTTTTTTATGGGCCGTTTCTTCTGCACCTTCGTTGAATCCTCACGTGTGCTGCCGTAAATAGCATCACCTGCGCTTACCCTCGGTCGAGTGGCGGGGCCACAGTTCACCGGGAGGCGCAAACGATGTGGCGCGAACGGCCTGGATTCGCCCAGGGCATGCTGCTGGACCAGTGAGAGACGAGCTTGAGGTCGCACAAGGAGCGGTGGAAGAACATGCTGCCGACATCCGGGTGTCCAGGCGGTGGGGGGGCAAAGGAGGGTTTTGCCCACCTGATTTGCCACGCGGTCATGTGCGAGGGGCTGCCAACTTTCGAAGCCTTGGAAGAGGCGTGCCTGGGAGTCAGGCAGTCTGGGATTCCAGGACTCTCAGGTGGCCGCTTGTCTGGCCACCGTCTGGCCCACGTCGGCGGGAGAGTAGGCCAGTCATGTGCTTGTTGAGCGTTGAGGGAGCCGTTTTCCCCCTTTCTTTGAGCTATTTTTTTTTTTTTTCTAGCTGCGAGTGTAGCTACGGACGAAGTATGTAGTGCATGTATGTCTATGGAGCACAGCACAAATTGCATGGAGTGGTCTATGTAGTTATTGAATCAAACACCCAGCAAACTTGCACTGCTTTCTTGCACGCCCAAGTGAAAAAATAAAAAAAAAAGATCTATACAGTGGAACTATTAATATTCTCGCAAGAGGACGTGTGGTTGGAAGAGACACTATTCAAACCAACAAGCGGTACCAAAGGAGGGAAAAAAAAAAAAGGAAAATCTCGCAGACAGAAAGCTACATGGAACAAAAAGACAGCAAAAGTGGTATCCTAACGCCGAATCGCGAACGCGCACCTTATTCTCCACCTCCCCTCGGCTTCTCACTCCACTTGGGAGCATCATCGTCGTGCTCTCGTCCCCTTGCAGCGTCATCCCCATTGCCATCGTCATCTTCTCCATCATCGTCGTCGTAGTATGGCTTCTCGCCATCCTCACTATCGCTGAAAATCTCCTCGTCGCTCTCCCCAGCGAATGCATCGTACAATTCCCCTCCACGACGCCGTCTCTGCGGCTGCTTCTTGCCCATCGGCACTCCGGCCCCTGCTCCGTTCAGAGGATATCCTTCTTCATCCTCAGCTACCATCTCAAATTCGTAGTCGTCATGAGGATTGTTCCGGCGACGCTTCTGTCGCTGGATAAGGAAGTAGACTCCCAGCGTAACGCAGAAGATGAAAATCAGAGCGATGGAGCCGTAGATCCAGATTTGCGTCCGTTTCGAGACGCCAAACGTGGGGAACGGCGACGGTAGGAAATTGTCGGCATGCGCGGAGCTGCTCGGTGTGGCAGCCGCTGCTCCTGGGCTGGACGAAGCTGTGCCTGTTGGCGACAGCGCGGTTGTTGGGCTGCTAGGCTTAGCGTTGATGGGCCGGTCGATGTGATTGGTCGGTTTCTCCGTCGCTGTGGGTTTGGTTGTCCCGGTGGCAGATAGAGTGGTCGTCTCGATCTGTGACGCAGGCTCGCTGGTGTCGTGCTCGTGGTCATGGACATCCGGCAAGGGATGAAGCTCCTGGATCTTGCCGTCAATGGCTTCGCCCCACAGTGAGAGCTGCCAGTCGAGGAATCGTCCAGAATATTCGTTGACTTCGGTATCTTTGACAATGACTGTCCATTTTCCTTTGCCGGTTTCACCCCTACAAGAGATATCATATCAGCGTCGACTCAATTTCGCATGTCCCGGAAAAGGTCTTCGAGCTTACCAGTGAGCAACAGACATGAATGTCCAGTCGACATATCCTTTCTTTTCAAAATCTCCGCTCCTTGTCGTGCTGAGGTAACTGATGACACCACTTGGGCTCTTGAGCTCGACGCTCAAGTCGCCGCGACGCGTGTGATTGACATTCATAGTCACCGTCACATGTTCAACACGCTCCAGGTTGTTCTTTTTCAACAACTCCTCTGTAATCTCAAACGAGCTCGCCAGTCCCTTGGAGCCTTGAGGAATGTCATGGTGGACCTTTAGCCAGGGAGAGTGCAACCAAGCCTGCGGCTTGACCAGTTCCCAATTCTTTGCTAATTGGACCAGGGAATATGCGTCAACCTTTCCATATCCGAAATCGTGACTAAACTTTTTCCCAATTGCAGTGGTCTGCCACCCAGGTTCTTCGAGGTTGACGGGGATTGCGGTTTCGACAATTAGATACTGGATATCTCTCCAGGTAAGGTCCGGGCGCACGTCGAGAGCGAGAGCTACAACTCCGACCACAAGAGGTCCGGCAGCCGAGGTACCACCGTGTCTATTGGAGCACGTGTCCAATCCGACATCCGTCGTGGAAATGGCATCGGTGCCACCGCTGCTATACGTCACGACCAACTGGGCGGAACAGGACTCCGAGTAGTAAGGGTGTTTGTCTTCGCGGTCGATTGCTCCCACAGTTATACTGTAGATACTGTTGGTGTACCCGTCGAAGTTGCAGTTATCACCGCTGGCAGCACCGTTTCCTGCAGCGAACACGAATATTGATCCCTTACCGCCTCGTCCCTGCTGGATTCCATGGACCATCGCGCGACGAATGAGAAGACCAGGGGCATCCATGGTCGCACCGTTATCCACCGGTCCCCAGGAGCAGGAATAAATCTGGTTCTTTTGAAATCCATAGTTGATAGCCGCTGCTTCATCCTCATCCGTGACGGGCTTCGACAAGATCCGGATGCCCGCCACTTTTCCGTTATACGCTACGCCAACACCGCAAATATCGTTCTTCACGGCAGCAACTTCTCCAGCGCAGCGAGTGCCATGCTTGTCATCGACGAGGCGCGGCCTTGGCTCTTTTCCTTTATCGTTAAAATCATACGAGCCTTCTGCAAAGTAGTTATCCTTGAGATCGTGGCTGTACATGTCCAAGCCGTCGTCCACGATCGCGGTCACCGTTCCATTTCCGGTGATCCCTTCAAGCCACAGGCCCGTCACGTTTAAATCATGGCCAGGCTGCTCGGTGTTAAACAAGTGCCACTGGTCGACGAAGATCGGATCGCTGATCGATAGCTTGTCCGCGAGCTCTCGCTGTCTCGCTATCGCCGAGATTTCGCCCTGAGATTGCGGAAAACGCTTATATCTCTGCTTAGACGACGGCGGAGGAGGAGGAGGAGGAGGAGGAGGAGGAGGAGGAGGAGGAGGAGGTATGCGTTTGTGTAGCCGCTGTCTCGGTATCAGCTTCTCCGAGTAGAGGATGCCATTTAATTCATCGTCATCTTGACTTTTGTCTAGCTGTGTCCCTTCTAGTTCTAAGTATCTTCTTCTTCTTCTCCTTCGCTGTAAATCATCCAGTAAACTGTCTAGGTCCCCACCCTGGCCTTTCGGGAAAGAGAAAGTATGGTGGTCTTGTAACTCTCCTATGCGCCCTTCATGCCTGGCGCCTAGCAGCTGAGCAACTCGATTCGGGGATAACGAGGGACGGAGGTGGAGGGCAACGTAATCTCGAGCATCGTAATCGCGAGTGTAAAGACTGGCGGAGGAAAGGGAATAGAACACGGAAGCGAACGCAAAGACGCTTATTAACCTCATTGTTCAAAAGGAAATAGAATTTATGAGCGTTTAGCGACCACGTCGGTCGCTATCGACGTCGAGCAGGCCACCGGTTATTTGAAACGGAAGAGGTCACGCAAGTCCGGCTTGCCATGAACGAGAAAGACGAGGTGTTCGAGAGGCGATAAGGAGAGAAAAAGACAAAAAAGAAAATTTCCAATGACAAATGGCTTTCTTATTCGGCGCTTCTTGAAATCGAAAAGGTTTTTTTCTCCGGAATGTTAAATCTATTCGCCAACGGAGGCCAGGAACCAAATGTCCCGTGGAGAAGCCCGCGTGGTGGCAACGGGCAAACGTAAACTATTTTCAGTCGTGCAACGGTTTGCGAGGACCTTGCAAACTTGCAAGCTGTCCAAAGGGAAAAACGCAACACAAGACAACGTCGTCAATCAGCAACACATTAACAACAGAGAGCAACAATGTGAGCGTCGCATCTGCTGGGAAAGAAGCCACGAAGCGAGAAATCAATATTAACCTGATAAAAGCATTGGACTTCCTGCTCTCCTTAATTGCTTTGCCTGGGGATTCAAAACCGAGGGGGTTTTCTTAACATGTGGCTTTGAACAGGTGTGACCTTCACAGGACTGGTTATGGAGCAAGACTTTCGCCAAGCTCAGTTGAGGGACGAAATTTGGAGTACTGGTGACTGGAAGGATGCCGGCTGATGGTGTCTGCGCTAGGATATTTGCTTCCTTCGCGGATCAACCCATGCAGAATGGCGCAGTTAGGGTTCCGTTTCAATGTTTTATCGGCTTTCCTGCGAGCGCCAAAGACGCCCCCAGAAGCTGGCACTCGTGGACTACAGCGACATACGTGATTGAGCCTACGTATGTACTCCACACGTACATTTAAAAAAGAGTCTTCCGTTCGAGAAACGCAGTTGTGATGGCTTGCGTGGCTGAGATTCTCGACCATCTCGGAGCGGCCGGCTGAAGTTGCAAATGGTCAGCCTTTTAGGTTTTTGTCCGGGGTCAGAGTTTCTTTTGCTAAGGAAGGCCAATGTTAGAGTCGAAGTCGCTTGCGCATTCATCATCGGTTTCACATTGGAGACTGTCTGAGACCTTGTGGGAGTGTATTAAGAGGACACTGGTACTCCGTAGGTGCTGAAGCAACGAGGCGCCCTCAGCATTGCTCTTCGGAACCCCAGGCGTGCACATGCCAAACAAGCGTGGTTTGCTACTAAAGGGACGGGCCGTACAGGATGACGACTCTAGATATTAATGCTTGAAGGATCAAGTGCCGGATAACTCTACGGATAACTCTACGGGTATCAAGGGGTTTAGGGATGACAAACTCCGATCATACAAGCGGGTGAAGGTCTAGAAAAATATTAAATCGTCGAACTCAGCCACAGTTGATCCTGTCTACCACAAAACTCGACACACATCCGCCGGTTTTGGCTCACCCAAGCAATAGGACAAGCACAAACTGAGAGGGAGACAAGCTTTATTCTGCTCCGAGAACCGTTTGGGGCGATCAAGCTGCATCGGGAGGCACCTGTCTGGGGATGTCAATAGAGTCGAGCAGAGGAAACAGCCAGAGTTTCAACTCTTCGAGGGAGCATGACAACACCCGAAGCAGGGTATCAACCAGTGTCGTGAAGCCGTCCGGGGGAGTTAACTTTCTGTCTACTACGGAAGGGCGACGCCTCCCTTTTCTTTATCCCAGCGGTCGAGCAATAGCGATGAGTTTGACGAGGAGCAAGAATGGATCGACGTTTGTAGAGAGACGGCCCGGACCAGTCAACTATCACCGCACCACGCGAAAGCTTCCTATATCAGCTTCTCGAGTACTCCTCCGTAGCGGACTGTCATTTCTGCGGCACGTTGGAGAAACGGCCTTGGGTGACCACTGCTTCAGGGGAATTAATTCCTCCTAAGCTACTCCGTAGTTCCGAGTAACAAAGGGTCCTGGTATCTCAGAACCAGTGCCCAGTAAGCTTTTAAGGGGTGAAGATGCATTTTGGAAATATAGGACGTCATCTGGGAGCTGCCAGGGCGTGCCGTGCGGAGGGCTGCGAAGGTTTGGGTTGCGGGAAGTTGATCAAACCATGGGCCACAGTAGTTAAACCCTATCTTATATTTATTAAATTTTGGATGCTTGTGCTGGCAACGGTTTCTGCAAGCCCTCGCTCTTTGCGCTTCGGAAGAGAGCAGCAACCGTTTCGTAAAGATGCCAGCGGTGAAGACGGAGAACGAAAGTGATGGGATTGGGCACGATGCCGTGCAATTGGCTTTCGCGTGCCCAGCCACCCAACAAAGGGCACATGCACCTCGCCGTCAGCACCTCGACGGTCTGGAGTAAAGACAAACTTTTCTGCAGAACAGGTCATGCTTGAACTCCTGGTGCTTGAAGTCCTCAGGCACTGCCCTTTCTCTCTGAAAAGCGTCCCCTGGAGTGGTCGCTGAAGTTGCTCCCATACAAAGAACCTCTTATCGCTGCGAAAATCCTTATCGGGCGCGGTGACGCAAAGGCCCAATCGGAGCCAGACGACACACAGCTCGATCAACCGCTGCGACTTTCACTTGTCTCCGTGCACACCGCGCATGCAGTTGCTGGCTACTATCAGAATGTAAGGTAAATTTGCTGCATTCATCTTGACTCGTCCAGTGATCCTCTCTGACGGATCGATCTTGGGCTCAGCCACCTCCCATCCAGCGGGATTGATTCCAGCACGGAGTCCTGTTCGACAATCTACCAAAGGCAGCCGACGCTCACCCATTTCTTGAAACTTCACCGACACACGAAGTGGCTATACACATACACTATCTGACAGCCCTTGATATACCCGATTGACATTCTGTGAGAAAGCACAACGATGTCGTCGGCCCAGCGACGAGCAACAACTACGCGATCCAGATCCGCTTCGAACACGCAGATCCCTGCGAACGGGAAATTTTACACCAAATCTACCGAACCGCCATTCGATTCAGAGTATGACGACCAATGCGCCCTGCCATCGACTCATGAAGCTCCTATTATACGTGGAAACTCATTTCGGCGTTCACATGGCCCAGAACAGTCAACCCGTGTTGGAGTAGTTAGGTCTTTCGCGGAGCGTGCGAGGAATCTCCCACCTGAGCGCAGGCTTCCAGAGCCGCCTCGTTCAAGTCCAACGGAGCCTGTTCACGGTACTACGTCGATAGGGACTTCCCCCGCAAATCCAAATTCTAGATCGTCGTCGGTCCAAAATACAGCGAGCAGTATATACCAATCTCCTCCCGCTCCACGTTCTATACCGCAATCACAGCCTAGCGAACCGCCTTCCCCTGTGGCCCAATCAAACCCAGACGCCGTTCCAAAGAAAGATGATAAACGACGGCGTGATCGCGACTGGGCGCCCGCCCGATCTCCCTTGCAGAAATTGGAGGTCACATTGAAGGATATCAGCAAGGAAGAAAAACGCGCGAGGGTGGAAGAAGCGGAGATGCTGCTGAGAGAGGCCAAAGCCGGGCGTCAGAATCGTCGCATTAGCCAGGACGTGCGTCCGAGTCCGAGACTGAAGGAGAATAGCCAGACTACAGATACTATGTCCCAGCAGCCGTCGACCCTCGAGGAAGCTGGGCTGACAAGAAGTCTAAGCACTAAACAACGAGAACGGCTACAGCAAAGTGCTGTGATAGAATCAACGAAACCCTCACCTGGTCGGTTTTCAACTGATCGTGAAGGATTCGATTATCAGCCACTGGAATCAGAAGGATTGAGGGAACCTATGGCGTCCGAGATGGTTGATCAAGTGCGTGCTAGGCCGGATCAAGATCCTGAATTTTCCCTCGATGGAGGAGCATATCAATTCATGGCTGCGGCCAACGAGGACGAGTCGGCTCCACAGCAGAGAGTAGCACAACCGTCTGTAAATCAGTTCAAAAACCGGGGTTACCTTGAGGACAGACGCTCATGGCAGCATCCACATGCAAATCCTTCTTCATTTACACCGGCCGCGCCTGTACAGAGGAGCAACAGCCGAAAACTTCAAAAGCCTATTCTTCGGGAACTTAGAGAACAGCCTGCGACAGAATATCCTGCCAATACAAACCTAGCTTTCAACGCTAGTAGAACGAAATCGTACGATGAAGCTCTGGCGCTAAGCTCGCCGGACCCCAAAGACCAGGCTTCACACATCAATAAGCCCGTGGATGGGCTACGGGCGACTAACGATGATTCAGTGGGCCAAGGGTATGCCAATGCCAGCAATGAGGCCCAATCGGACGACCTGGACTCCATAACAGGACTGAAAAAGAGTGAAAATAAACAGAAGCGAGTTTCTGTTACGTTTGCTGTTCCTCCTCCGACTCCGCCGCCGCTTGATGAATGGAGAAACGCAACAGTGGGCTTTTTGCTAGGGGATGACTTCAAACTTCAAAGCCTTGACGGAAAGGCCTGGTGGGAAGGAAGGGGGGACTCAGGGAGACGCAAGAGAAATCAATCTGTATCCCAGAATATACCCCGGCCTTCTCCCAAAATAAAGAGTGAGTTCAGCACTTTAATCAAAATATTTGCAACCTATAATTCTTTATCCTATATGAACTAAATTCCTTTGAATTGTATAGAAAACACTCCGTTTGAACCACCTCTATACCTAAAGTGCGGACCGCTACTTCGATTCACCGGTATAAAACGGGAGCGAATTGACGGTCGTACCGGGCCCGTTGAGAGAGAAATTTGGAGAGGAAGCATCATGATTGCTACCAAGGACTCTGCGTCTTCATATGATATTCCGCCAACGCTTCGCATTTTTTCTCAGCCTCGAGATTTGTTACCTCCACCACCCACCGAAATTCGCCCTGAACACGGGGAGCTTGCGCCAGAATACGTTGATCCGATTGCAGGGCTCACAAAGCTCTCGAGAAACGGAAAGCTACTCTATGTCAAACCTGTGGACCACGTCGAAGAGGCAAAGGACCTCTGTTTTGTTGAAAATGAAGACGGCCTTTTTGAAGAGTCACCCAGCCCCTTGGACTACAGCACCAGCAACCGGGTCGGTAAATCGCCTGATGCGAGAGTCGGAGACCTAGACGGGGAATCCGTTGGAAGATACAAAGAGATCCCTGGATTCCGACTTTACGCCGACTCAGCAAGAGACGTGACTTTCTGGCGGTTCAACATTCAGATCGAGCTCGGAAGCAAACAAGAGCACATCGCCTACCGTATCAACCAAGGTTCTGCTCAGGGTTTTTGGGTTCCAGCGAAAGGGCAGATGATGAACATCATGTTCCACAGCGGCAATTGCTTCGGGGCGTCCGTTGACACTGATAAATTTAGCGGACCCGATCCGTTATGGCGGGATGCTCTCAACGTCCACCAGACACGGCCATTCCACGTCATGATCGGCGGTGGATCTCAGATATACAATGATGCTGTAGCCTTCGAGACCGAACACTTTCAAAACTGGCTGGATATAAAAGTCAAATATGAAAAATACCAGCACCCGTTCAATCTAGATATCAAGGCCGAACTCGAGGAGTTTTATTTGGACAACTACCTGCGATGGTTTTCTCAGGGTCTGTTTAGCATGGCAAGTGCCCAGATACCGATGGTTAACATGTGGGACGATCATGATATAATTAGCGGATTCGGATCTTATTCGGATGAACTTATGACCTCACCAGTATTTTCGGGATTGGGAAATATTGCGTTCAAGTATTACATGCTTTTCCAGCACCAGAGCGTTCCGGAAGAGACGCAGTTGAACGAACCAAGTTGGATAATGGGTCCCGCTCCGGGTCCCTTTATTGAACAGAAAAGTCGAAGTATTTTTGTACACTTGGGTAGGCGGGCGGCACTTTTGGCGGTAGACTGCCGAACTGAACGGACCGTAAGACCGTCTCCCTTGCTGATCTGTTTTGGTCATTGCTAACAAATTTTCAGCGATACGATATCTTGAGCGACGACACGTATGATTTGATTTGGAATCGCTGTCACGAAGAGATCATAAAGGGAGAAACGAAGCATCTTCTCGTGCTCATTTCAATTCCCGTCGCCTATCCAAGAATGGTACGTGTAAGCTCCGTGCACTCTGAATAAGCGGCCTAACGCGGCCTTAGGCATGGCTTGAAAACGTAACGAGCAAGGTCATGGATCCTGTCCGATCGCTGAGCAAAGTTGGATTGTTCGGGAGCTCAGAGACTAAAGTCGGGAGCGGTGCAGAACACTTGGATGACCATTGGACCGCAAAATTGCATAAGCTTGAACGGAGGTGGTTGATCGAGGACCTTCAAGAACTCGCGGCAGAGAAATCCGTCCGAATTACCATTCTGGGGTATGAACATGGCATTTTTCATCTTCCTTTCTTTTCTCATTTTTCTTTTCGGAAACAAAACCTGACTGTTTTGGACACAGAGGCGACGCGAATTTGGCGGCAATGGGCCAGTTCTACACGGACCCGAAGCTAGAGATTCCGAAGGATCAGGATTACAGATATATGCCAAACGTGGTCTCTTCACCGATTGTCAATGCACCCCTGCCACAAATGATGAGTGACGCACTTAATCGGCGAAACAAGGTTCATGCCGTGGATACGAAAACAATGGAGGACATGAGACCGATATTCACCCACGACGTTGACGGCAAGCCCAGAAATAATAAGCGTCTCCTGCCAAGAAGGAACTGGTGTTGCATCCGGGAATACGCTCCAGGTATGTCGTGGCAATAACTGTCAGGCGAAGTGAAAGGAGGGTTTTGACGTAGAACTACAAAAATCGATACTAATTACTGCCTTTCATACATAGGTTCAACGCCAATTGACACACCTTCAGAGCCAAGCACCCCGGAACCCCCCAGGGTGGGGAACCTTGCTAGATCGTTGTCACTTAGTCGCGGGGAGGGCCGAGGTTTGGGGAGGTCGTTTTCTCTCTCTCGCCGGTTTTCAGCTCGCGGACCGCCACCATCGAGATATGAACCAGCGGAATACACTCAGCGCAGCATGAGCTACGATGACTCGCAACCCTTGGAGGCGCGAGATAGCCCATCACAGCAGGGACAGGCTCATCCTTCCCAGCAAGCCGACGGAAGAGAACCCGAGCCCGGGGATTTCATCCGACGACGTACTGATTTAAGCGCAAAGCAGATCAAGCAAGCACTCAAACGAGGAAATGACACGCATCATTTCATTAACCTTGAGGGTGGATTGGATATCACGTTGAACTGCGAAGTAAGTCCGAGTGATCCTGCTGGCATCACGACGCCGTACAGGGTCCTCGTACCTGCATTATCATTTAACGGCGAGTTTGAGCCTAGCATCCCTCTCCAGAAGAGACGGTGGTGGATGCTCAGACGAAAGAAGCCAGAAACAACGCAACACGAGGATAACAGCGATGGAGAGTACGATGATCACACCAACCAGGGTGCCGAGAGGCCATATACCCCGCCGGCGCAGGAGAAACAGGGTCAATTCTCATCCCCTGAAGGCGTGGGACAGGGATACGGTGGCGTGGAAGCGTACCGGCCGAAGAAAAAAAGGTTTGGAATCTTCTGAAACTCCGCTGAGAATCAACCAGCGAGGTTCTACAGTTTTGTTTTAAAATCTTTTCTTGTGAGGCTGGACCGCCGGAATTGACCTCTCTTTTTCTCTCTTTTCTTTTCTTTTTTTTTTTTCCCCTCTTGCGTTCCCTTTCTGTTGAATGTGATGATCCAGTGTCACAATTTCAAATCCCAGTAATTAATAGTTGCTCTGTGTGCATGTATGTACGAGTATACCCCTGGACAGCGAAGTCGGTTTTGCATTGGCGCCGTGATAGAGTTTTGTCAGGGAAATGATTCAATTGTGGAGACGATCTTCGCCATCGATCGACGGCATCACCGCCCAGGCTCAAGCTACTGTAGCATCTGCATCGAACAGTGCCATCCCCATCGCCTCACGAAACGTCAAATTTGCTTTACGGAGCCCAGCTGCGGTAATCTCTTGCCTGGTGAATTTGTAAGCTTCAAGTCCCAGCCCAACCCTGGAGCATCGCCAGAACAATCCAGACCCTACCCTCGCTTTCGCATATAAAACCAAATTCTCTCACATAAACCTTTTTTGCTTCCTCGTCCCCGCCAACACCTTCAAGCTGTTTTCCTCAATCTTCCGCCGCCGCGTCTTCTCCCCCGTCCGCTCTAGCGTCGGGCTCTCTGTTGCTGCTGCGGCCACATTGCAACACCGAACAACACCGTCAGGACCGGCAAGTATATCGCTGCAGCCCTCGGCGCCCGTGAGCGTCAAGGCAAATCTCCAGAGCAGAATGGCGCACTCCAAAGTCATCAGTGAGTACCTATGCCCCTCCAACCAACCCTGCGTTTTCGCGGTTCGCTACTGTCCCCCTCTTCGGTATAGATCTGAGCGCTGATTGCTTGTTCCCGCGACAGTCATCGGCTCCGGCCCCGCCGCCCACACGGCCGCTATCTACCTCTCGCGCGCAGAGCTCAAGCCTGTCATGTACGAGGGCATGCTTGCCAACGGCACCGCTGCAGGTGGCCAACTGACCACCACCACCGACGTCGAGAACTTCCCCGGTTTTCCCGCCGGTGTCGGAGGCACCGAGCTCATGACCAAGATGCGCGAGCAGTCGATTCGCTTCGGAACAGAGATCATCACAGAGACTATTTCGCGTGTGGACCTCTCTAGCCGCCCGTTTAAGCTGTGGAAAGAATGGTCCGATGGACCCGATGATGCTCCCGCACATACCGCGGATGCTTTGATCATTGCCACTGGTGCTAATGCGCGTCGGTTGGATTTGCCCGGTGAAGACAAGTACTGGCAGAACGGAATCAGCGCGTGTGCTGTGTGCGACGGTGCGGTGCCAATTTTCCGAAACAAGCCACTGTTTGTGATCGGTGGAGGAGATTCTGCCGCTGAAGAGGCGATGTTCTTGACAAAATACGGCAGCAGCGTGACTGTGCTTGTACGCCGGGACAAATTACGAGCTAGCAAGACCATGGCTACCAGATTACTGAATCATCCAAAGGTTGAAGTGAAGTTCAACACCGTGGCCGTTGAAGTCCAGGGCGAGCCGCAGCCAAGGGGCTTGATGACCCATTTGAAGATCAAGAACGTGGTCACTGGTAATGAGGAGGTTGTTCCTGCTAATGGACTCTTCTACGCTGTTGGACACGAGCCTGCCACCGGATTGATAAAGGGCCAGGTTGAGACCGATTCAGACGGCTATATTGCCACCAAGCCAGGAACTAGTTACACAAGTGTCGAGGGTGTCTTTGCAGCGGGAGATGTACAAGATAAGAGATATAGACAAGCTATCACCAGTGCAGGTGAGTATCCTTTTGATTACCCACAGGAGGCTGGGTGCAACTTACTTACATAACCCTTTTATCTACAGGGTCTGGTTGTATCGCTGCGCTCGAGGCCGAGAAGTATATCGCTGAATTAGGTGACGTCGAACAACCAGCAAATACGATACAACAATCTGCGACACAGGCAGAGAAGGAACTCGAAGAGAACCCCCCTGCTTCATTGGAGTATAAATCCAACCCCTTGCTGTAGATTTTACCGTGTCATTTTCGAATCCATTAACAACATAGAATTTCTTTCTTTGTCAATTTAAGATGAAGGAGACTTTAAGACTTACCCTGCCATGGTTGTTTTTTTGTTAGAGATCTGGGGCATCCTTAGCTTTGCGTTGGTTCAAGTAGATATTTTGTTTTTAGATGGATTCTACAATAGATGGTAGCAAGTCCTTGCAGTACATATTACATATTGCCCTTTTACTCTCCTTTCGGGCCTTGATACCGGATGACGGGGTGCAAGATCAATTTTTCCTTTCCGTTGTGATGAGCTTTGATGCGCCTATCCGTCTGGAGGGAATATTTAGAGCTGCTACGGATATTTGTAGTCTCTGCACACTTGTGAGTAATTAGCATTAAAGGCGCAGTTCCTCAACTACTCATATTTCGTTGCTGGACTGCAGGACAGCGTGCATTATATCCCCGCGCCCTCGACGATCTGGGAATCGCCAGCTTCCTTTTTGCTTTGCTTTGACTGGATAAAATCAGACTAAATTAGCCCCAGATTTGGGGCCGGTTGGATATGAGCATGAACCAGCAAACGGTAAAAGGACGCAAGTTGCTCATATCTCCAGGAGTGCAAAAGATGAACAAGAAGGGGTGGATAAAATGGCTCTCGCATTGGATTGCTTCACGGCATGCAAGGGGATAGGGAAATATCACTGAGGAAGGTGTTATTTCATGTCAAGATGTATGTAAAGGCCTGAGGTGAATTTATATCTGTATGCAGTCACCTTTCAGGGGCACATCCACGTTCGCTGTGGATATAAAGGAACGGCAATCTAGGACATATCATAGAGGACCCAACGCCCATATCTTCAAAAGACCAGTGTTCCCTTATCAACAGATATCAACAGACACAGCGAAAAGGGTGTGCAAGGCTATATATATTGTCAACAGGATACTAAACCAGTACTAGCGCCATCTGTAGCCAAATCACGGGATATGCCGCGAGGGCTTCCTGATATGGGAACACAACCCTCTCGCACAAACATCTTACATCCTAGAAAGATAAATGCCCCCAGGTCCTCTTGTTCTTTTGCTCTTCGTCTGCTTTCTCTATTGCTGTGCTTCACGGACCTGGTTGTGCATCCATCATCATTCTTCTTCAGGCACTCATACTTGAAAGCATCCGTTTAGAACAAAAAGTCCAAAACAAAAATGGATGCTTTTCCCCGACGCGTTTCTCATGCTGTTGTTGACCTGACAGCTAATCAACCTCCTGGGGCACCATCAAACCAAATGCTGGTAGAGAATCAGGCTGCTTCGGCGGGACAGGACGTAAACCGCATGCCAGCACGTTTTCTTAGTTGGGTGCGAATCATCATCAGCATCACATGTGCTCCTGAGCACCCCGGCGTCAACGGTGGCAACGGGCGTGAATTCAACTTCTTCGATTATATCCCGCGTGATATGATCGGGCGCAGACTCGAGTCCTCCAACATCCGCTGGGAACCCGCGGGTCGCTATTTTGCAGGAATCCGTGACAGATACCACAACGTCGTCTTGAACTCGCAGGTCTGGGATTGCCAGTTCTGCGGTGAGATCTCAAAGCACCTTTACATGTCGGGCATGCCACGTCTCATGGACATGCGTAAGTGGCTTGTCTATGCGATTCCGATTTGTCGTACTCTTGGGCCGTGCGACCGAAAAGCCGTTATGTTGGTCGACCAAATTTTTAGAGAGCGATTCCCAAGGGTTGCTATTCCTGATGGTCCTTGCTGTGAAGTGTGTGGATTCATCCACAATCTTAAGCAGTGTACTCGATGCAAGATGATCCAGTAAGTCAAGTCCCTTGCGTTGGCCCCTTGGAGTCTTCTGAATATAAAAGCTGACAAAAGGGGTTATTTGTTAAGGTACTGTTCGATTGAATGCCAGGCCCACCACTGGCCAATTCATAAGAAAGACTGCAGAAATGCTGAGCGTGAGATACTTGGTATCAGGGAAGGACAGAACTGAAGAGGCGGTAAGGCCACACAGCACCACCCTCAACATTCCCCCTTGACCAATTGCTAATGCTGATGCCAGAACCCCAGAAAACAAGGAAGGATATCAAGCATTGGAATGTAGGAAAAGGCCTTCGGGCAAATTCTTATCTTGATTGGGGATGCTTTTGAAAAGTTTTTGTATGTACTTCAACCAGGGGAGTTTATTCTCTCAATTGAATAAAAAGTTGTGATCTTTTTCCAGGTGCCTTGATCAACCAATGTCTAAGGAGGGATATCCTTTCCTTTTTGCCTTCAGGCCAGGCAAAGAAGATGTCTGAGTTGGAAGCCTTCAAAATTCATGGCAATTGCTCTTGTCATGTAGCACAAGCAAGGTACTGCATTCTCCTGAGTGCTTTTTTCCTATTTGGATGTGAAGCTGAAAGCTGAGGCTGAAGTGGTTGGTGGCAGTGAAGGTTTGTGCCAAGCAGTCTGACTGACTAACTAGGCCGCATGTGGCTAGCCAACAAATTCAGCTCTCTCTCTCTCTCTCCAGCTTCCAACCCGCTTCCGTCCGCCAGAAGCAGCAAAGAAGCACCTAGAAGTTTGTCTCGGGTTTGAGCTGGCACCTGGGGCCGAAACAGAGCATTACCTTAAGTGTGGAGTAAAGTCCGACAATTATCAATCTGGCTGCATACAGAGTGGTTAACGTCACATCCATTATTCAGACCCAAACTATCCTGTATGTGTCATGCGGTTGCTCATCATTCAGCTTGTCCTCAAACGGTGACGCCGGACATTGAGAAGCATTTAAAGCCATGGGCCTTTCCAGGAAGGTTTGGATCAGACACGCAACAGGTGTTTGGTATTGCAAGTTGTGTTGATGCTTTGTTATTGGATTCCCAGTTTATCTCTCCCTGGTTTTACATGATATAGGCTCTACTCCGTACGTATGGCGGAACAATCCTTACATCCTTCCCATGACATTGTCCGAAGCGGGTCTTGTCTCTGCGGCCATGTTAAATACCAGCTCACTGGCGAGCCAAGCAATGCCTCACTCTGCCACTGTCTCAACTGCAAGAAAACTAGCGGTTCAGCATTCTGGTGCACAGGGTGGTTTTCCAAGAAGGTGAGCACAACAAGGAGAGATCTAGCCCGCAGAGCTTCAACCATGAAGACAGGTTGCTCCGTTTGCAAAGTCACCGAGGCAGAACAAACTAATGGCGCCAACATTGTACATTATGCCTCTAATTGCTAACAGTATTCTTCCAACAGCAAATGACCCTCACAGCTTCCTCGCCCTCCGACCTTAAAACATACGAAGATAGGGATACAGAGTCCGGAAGTCCGCTGTGGCGCAAATTCTGCTCCAACTGCGGTTCTACACTATTCGTTGAGTCACCGAGGGCAGACGATGTCATTGTAGTGGCACTTGGCTCGTTGGATAAGGATCAGAAACCCTGGAACACAACAATCGAGGTATATGCGAAAGACGATTATGGCTGGGTGCCGCAGAAAGAAGGCGTCAAGGTTTTCCAAGGAAAGATGGAAAGGATTTGACCCAGAGAGGAGGGAGGTCAGAGTCGGAAGACCAAACTTCCACCTTGTATAGATATATTCAGAATTAATTTTAGCAAGTTCAAATGAGCCGCTGAAGCTTGTGTTACTTCAATTTCCATATCTAATTTATTGTGATGTTTAACAAGTTTAGAGGAGTAATTCTTCGAAGCTACCATCATATATAGTAGTTTCTAACTTTGTATGCGCTTTCAGCCGCCAAGCTCAAGCTCTACCTGCTCGCCGGCTAATTAGTGCAGAGATGAAGTGAGTCTTGCGAAGTACTCCGTACCGAGTACATAATTGAACTATGAACAGAAATGAATAGAAATTCGATGTCAGGACTCATGATTTTTCCTCATATGGCAAGTAGCCCACGAGCCAGCAGGAGAAAATTCAATATCAATATAGAAGAGTCGAAGGTTCCAACATCGAGTGAACTCTTCCACAGAGAAAAGAGGCCAAATATGGGAAAGGATATAACAGAGCAACCTCTATGAAACATCATCCCTGCCCTGAAAACGCAGCCGACCAGCAAAGCCCAATGCACCCACATCTGTAGCACCAGTCAACCGAAAAGAAGGATAATCGCTAAAGCTAGTCCACCAATGCAAGCCGTCCACAACCATGCAAATATCACAATAACACGAAAAACTTGAATTTTTTTTTTGGGGGGGAGGAACTTGAATAACATCTTAGTCGATCCTAGTTTAATTTATATGTCCTCACCTTGGCATTGGCAACCTTCTGGCTATCCATCTCTTTCACGAACTTACTATACGGGTTTGCTGCGCACCATCGATCTTTGATCTCAGCGGAGTGTCTCTCCCATACCGTAATTCGTTCTTTCCATTTGGACATCTTCTCGTTGTTGATCTTACGGTTGATCTCGATTTGGTCGAGGTACCGCCGCCTTACCTCCTCTGATGCCTCACGCCACATCTGCCCAAGTGCTTGCCGGACTTCATCACGGGGAGTTTTGGCGGCGGGATTGCCTGTGCTGCGACGACGGACCTCATCGCATCGAGCTTTGCAGACGAACCAATAGTCTTTTTGAAATAGCAAGAACGGATTTATCGGTTCTTTCCGTGGTTGCTTCTCTGGATCGCCCAGTTCTGCTTGAATGGCCCGGGATATAGCTCTACGATATTCTTCAACGAACGCCATTTCATAGACAGGCCTGCCCTGGCCAGATGGCGTAGCTGCCGGTCGCTCTGTAGAGTTTGGATGGTCCACCGGGCTTGATTGGGGTCCCTTTCGTTTCTTTGGATTTATCATTGTTTGCTCCGGAGCGGCCGCTGGAGGCGTGACAGGAGTAAGGGTTGACGGTGTTTTGGTTTTTGATACTACAAGGGGCGTGGGCACTTTAATTGGTCCGATTACCGATTCGAGGACCTCCTTCGCCACACGGAGTCCGGATAGATAAGCACCGTGTACAGTAGCAGGGTGAGTGCCGCATGTCGCTTCGCCAGCAAAATATAAGTTTCCGATAGATCTAGCCATCAGATCATAATCTCCAGGTAAGGATTCTGCAGCGACATAAGAATAACTGCCACGAGAAAACCTATCTTGGCCCCACCGTGTGATGATGGTCTCCAAGGGGTCGGGTACTGCGGTACCCTTGAAAATATTTCGAAGTTGAGATGTGACCTCGTGCAAAATCTCAGAGTCAGGGAGAGCTTCTGCATGATGGGCTGAATCGCCTGCCATCAGAGCTATGAGCATAGGCAACCCGCTGGTCTTCATGCAGTTCCAAAATAAATAGAATCTGCCCCGACTGGAAGCGTAATCGGCTTGGGACAAGCTTTCGGGAACCGCCGGCTCCCGTAAAAGTCCAATCATATCCCTTTCCACATCCCAGAATGGCTTCTCGAACACAAGTATGACCTTGTTCATAGTCCCGAAGCCCAGGCGATCAATAGCACCAGTCTTCCATGCCGGCAGAGGAGGCGAAAATGTGATGGACTTACTTTTCAACACGCCCAAAGGAGCTGTAAGCACGACCTTGTCGGCAGTTATAACTTCTCCGTCGTCAAGGTAGATACGCGCTTTGCCATTGGGGGAACCATTGACTTTGTACGAGATCTTTGTGACCACTTTGTTGGGGCGAACATCGAGCTTCGAGGGATGTGACCATAAGCCCCGTGGGACTTGTTGGTATCCTCCAATAACCTGCGCGTGTTCACCTTCAAATTCGTTACCCATATCTTGATCCCACCCAGCTAGACTGAGCTTCCCGAGGTTTGCAGCGTTGGCATATTCTAGATTTGCATAGTGCCAGTTTAGCAATCTCATGTCTTTTGGAGTTAACGGCAGCCATTTGTGGCACTGGCGGATTGCTTCGTCCATAACCGCACCTAGCGTTTGTGTCTTTGTGGCCCCAGCAACTTCGTCCAACAGGAGTGTATCCGCATTCGAAGCACCTTCACGTAAGTTCCATCCCATGGCTTGACATGTTAGAGCAGCAGGCATACCATTGGCGGGTTCCACATGGGATATTTGTGGGGCCACCACCGGTTCAGAAATCACAGTAGGTCCAATCTCTGCTGCTCTGTGCCCAACCCCCCGTCGGAGTCGTTTAGCTGGTAACAGCAAATCTACAGTCCCTGACGCAGCAGCATCCTCGTATTGTCTGATCGTGATGCCATCATCCAGAAGGCAATCTCGCGCAGAATGCATTAGCTCTCGGTCTCCTTCAGCGGTCTTGTTTATAACCGCTTTATGGCGATAAATTCCGCAGCGGTTGAGAATATCGTTATATAACTTCTCAACCAATGAATCATGAACCTCATCTACCGGGGAGCCATCGGTATCGTAGATCGTTGAAATATCTCGTAGAAGGTGACAATGAAGTGCCAGCTGCGCGCGAATGATGGGGTCCAAAGGGTTACCGTTTTCAAACCCGACAATAATTTGGGCGCCCATTTCCGCTGTCGGCCGTAAATTAGGTACTAATGTGCCCGGTTTTAAAGATTGTAGAGGATGAGAGTATATACGGCCGCCAATGCGTTTTCTACCTTCTAGTACGATAACTTTCGCGGGCGCCGTGTCGCCATCGTAGTGTTGAAATAGGCTCTCTAGCTGTCTAGCACACCCCAGTCCGGCCATCCCTGCACCAATGACGACTATTGTCGGTCCCTCCCTCCTGCGTCTTCGTTTGGTGGGACACGGATTTTTCGAGATGCTAACACATCCAAAGTTGATATAGCCATTGCGCACAAGCCAGTCGTAAGCAACCGAAGCAAGGTTCATCCATCGCCGGTCCTTTGCACAGCCAAGGGCCTCTTCTTCGGTAACCTTGAGCATGGGATTTCGTGTCCACAGTCGAAGAATGCCATTTCGGATGTTGAGATACGTAGTCACATGAAGGTGGCATAACGGATCTTGCAATATCTCTTGTTCGTCTTTATGGAGCGCATACGGGTTGAGTCGAGAGGCGTAGGCTGCAGCGATGCACTGTTCAGCATAGAGTGTTGGAGCCATCCGCGTGGGTATGGATGACCTCGGACGGGCTTCAGTGTGAGAGGAAAGCGGAGGTTGTTGTTGCTTTTTACGAGAGGACGGCGGAGCAGAGACAGGGGCTGAAGCAGGTGGAGTGGTTAATGTTTGGTTTAATTGAGCACTAGGAGTAATCGACTTTTCTGTAGAGAATGGCGATATCAAAGACGCCGAAGTCGTAGAACCATTTGGAGTGTCGTGGCTTTCACTAAACCGTCCCAGCTCTTTACAGAGCTCACTCGAACCTTGAGAACTATCGTCCTCGGGATATGATGTCGAGAGCGGAAACATGTCTGTGAGCTGGTTGGAGCCGACTTCGTTCTTCCTATCATCGCCGTAAAAACCGTCATTCGAAGTTAAAATACCCATTTTCCCATCTTCTGACTCGGAAGTTGCTGTTTTTGTCAAAGCAACCGGAGCTGGCAAGTCACGACTTCCGGACACGCCACCGTCCACCTCGATACTTGACTTGGTCTTCGTCGGCGGAATCTCGGACTCCACGCTCTTGACTGTCTCCGAAGAGCTCTCAGCATTGATCGATGCGCTTCCGTCCATAGTGACTATGGTGAGGTAGCGAGATTCCAACGGGTATGAATCTTAGCATGTCCAACCCACCCGTCAGAGGCAAGGTCGCTGGCGACTAATTGTCAAAGATCCTTCGCCCTGTCGAGCTTGTCTTTGATGTCAATTGCAATATCAAAGCACGATAAATCCTGCCATTTTTATAGACAGGGGGGGGTCCAATTCGGCGACTACCAGTGATCTAGTGGAGATGTAGAACCACGGAGTGTGGACAGACGTTCGATATGTTGGAAGTAGGTGATTTCTCGTAATAACTGGACAGAAAAGTCAGAACTGCACTATCCTTAAGATTATGGATATTGTAAATTGTATCTATGTTGCATCTTACATGGAGGAATGGGGGTTGTGGAGTTCACACATGCGCTTACACAGTCTTCGGTGGGCAACGTCCACACATGAATGGGAAAACAGCTTGTTAAGTGAATAGTACGAAGTTTCGACTCTGGGGTTCAGCAACTCTTCAGACAATCACATTCAATGACATCGAGCGGGATGATAGAAATCCACCGGCCGCTGTGGGAGTACATCATCCACCTGTGAAGGATGTAACTTCGAGGTGTCTTCCCCCCGTCGCCGCCTGACTCGGCACCCCGTCGCCCGGCGTACATTTCAGACTGACGTCGTTCTCTCAACGTCAACCCTCGATTGCAACAAAACTGAGACTTTCTAGCGATACATCGGAGGGGCACGGGATGCTCTGAAGCGTTGAATCACACCAAGGCCGTGTTTATAGGCTTCTGGAAGACGATTTGGAACATATCAGTTGTTCCAGACGGGGCTGACAGGCCGACGGCCCACGTCTTCATACCCATCGTGGGATGGCAAAGCCACGCCCGAGATAACCCCATGCACAACTCCAGTTTCCAGGACAAGACATCTCCAACAACTTTACGAGGTGCTGACTTACAAACAGTTCAAGGGTTCTCCAAGCCCTCGTTACCAATCTCCCCGGCGGTGGTATTGCTAACAATTGTGAGATAAATACATTCTGGCCTCACCGTTTTTAGACATTAAGATCCTCATCGCGATGCTGCACTCTTACGCGCTTCGCTGCACCGCCATGGCGAAATTCGTTCAATGTGTTATGAAAAGAGCTACATGAGGCGATAATTCGAACATATGTGCGACTCTTCCCCGACGATGCTCCTATTGCCGGTGTGTACTCCGTATCATGGACAACATTTCCAATCTGGTTGCCCATGATTCTAGCCTGGATATTCGGTTAGTTCTAGAGCGTAACTCACCCACTTTTGTTTTTCTTTGCCCTTACGCGGCTAATATCTTACAAAACAGAAACCATAATTGAAAGTATTTTCGTAGAACCCTCCTGGATTCCGTTTCACGCTGCGATATTTTTACAGTCAGCAGCAACACCTCAAGAGCCAAAAGTGAACTGATTGGCAGATATGACCCAGACATGTATCCTATGTGTACTCCATGGTATTCGGGGTGTTCTGGCTGAAGAATGCCATACAAGTTGCGACCAGGCTCTTGGACACCACAAGTCGAGATACTTGACCTTTTGTCAAGGCCCCGCTAGGTAGTAATTAGTATCCGAGCCAGGGGGTCAAATAATGCCAGACCCGTTGTTAACCAAGCCACCAGCCGAAGTATTTATGTATTCTAAACCACTCCATAGAAGCAATTCTATACGCCGATATATAGCCGAAGCCAAAGCACAGCCATACATGCATCATATATGCCGATGTAAACTATACGTTTCCTGGGCCCCGTCATACCCATCCCCGGCCCCAAAAACGTCGGAATCATTGTCTGTAAATTCGTCGCGGTAAGCGGTCGTATCTATTGCTGTGTTATCATTGTCTATGTCATCAGTTATACCGTTGCCAAAGCCCAATCCCTCTTCTTCGTCGCGTCCGAACTCGTCAGGATTGTCGACGAAGGAGCCGGGTGCAGGAAGTTGTGAAGAGTCGGTAGTTGCCTGAGCAGCAATGGCTCGTTCCTCGGCTTCCAGTTCGGCGGCACGGGCGAGGGTGCTAAATAAACGTTGTCAGGCGAGGTATGCCTCGGTGGGGAATAGTGTAGCCCTGACGTACCGTTTGTATATGTACCATCCTGTAAATATGCCAACACAAACACCAACGACGATGCTAATAATATTAACCGCCTTTGTGCCAGCACTCATCTCTTCCCCACTCTGTGCAAGAATTCGTAGCCGACTTCCGATGAATGCGGACACCAAAAGTTTTGGTGTTATGATGGCCGTGGCTAGTCCATACATGAGCGGGTGCACAGTTGGGAAAGTCGAAATGGCTCCATTGCATATCGAGTAAGGCAATGGGCATAAACGTATCATGCAAAGAAGTTTGAGCCCATCATACTTCAACGTCAATGCAAGAGCTGCAAAGCGCTTGTCATGCTGCACCAGGCGGTGTACGAACTTGGAAAGGACTGTCCGGGATAGCATAAAGGAGCATGTCGACCCAACAACAGTTCCAGCAGCATATATCGCCCAACTTGAGAAAAAAGTATGTCAGTGTCGTATTCAAAACATCACAGAGGCGTAGTAGCACAACGTACCCTTTCCAGACACCGAAGATGAATCCAGACACTGTTCCAACGGCCGACCAGCCGATTAGAGGTGGAAATGACACTATAAAGGTGCAGAGCCAAACTATAAAATATACCAGCGCAGACTTCTCAAAATCCGCCGCTACCGGTTCCAACCAGATGAAAATATGTCCCGAGAGTATCATGAAGCCGACCCCAAGTGCACTTAGTAGCAGCGAGGCGATCACCGCCGCAATCTTTTGCCATATCGTCAACGTGATCCATATTTTGGATATCCTACCCCAAGTTCTCTCTATACGGTTGATAACTCTGTCGCGGGTGCTAATGGAGGCCGAGAGGGAAAAGGAAGGTGAGGCCCGTCTTCCACGGCTTAGACTAGCGCGTGGCCGGCTCCATGGTGGGTGCGCTGACCCTGAACTGGGGGAGTTGGGGTGATCTCGGATTAGAGGCGATGTCGGGAGAAGTCCATCTGAAGATATATTGCTGTTGGTTGTCATTGCAAAGTGATCCGGTGGATGCTGGGGTGTTGTGCTTGGGGCGGGATTCTGTGATCGTATAGCTCTGTCTCTTGCTCTTTTTAGGATATCGATGTCCGGATAGATTGAGTGTAGCTGAGGCAGTTAATATTGTTTTTTTTCCCCCCTTTCATAAACCAGATGTCTGCCTGAGAATCACACGTTGTCTCGATGGTTTCCACGATTCGGTGCCCGTGGGCCCGTCGTTAGAATTGGCGGAAGGTGTAAAAGAGCCCGATGCTCCAGATTCATCAGCAAGCCCAGAAAAGGGAATCCTCCGGAAGTAATTAAACAGTCTGGGAGGAGTGTTCCTTTTACTGTTATTTGAATGCAGTGATTGACGTCCAGTTCAGGTCTATGTCTATTTTTGGATCCTGATGTCGATGCCTTGCTGACTACGCCGTAGTTCGACCGGGCTCGTCTCAGCTGCGAGCCTAGGCGGGGCCAAGGCTGCACCATTCAGCTCTGGCCAAGGAGCGCTCACCATGCCAAAGTTGTCGAGTTCAGATCGCGCATCTTCGAATTATTCCCTGGAAGCACCGAGACCTTGGATTTGTTGGCAGAGGTACAAAGCCCCGTATCAGCCGATAGATAGAAAACATGATGAATAGGCTGGTATTCACTCTTCTGGTGGTGGTGTTAATTAAATTAGGGTTGAAGAACCACCTGTCACGCCGTTTTGGCTTGTCGTCATTGTAATCATGACAGATAGAATACAAATATTACACCACTTGTCTCACTGGGTACTCAGCGATCTAACGATACTGTTACCGCCCCGGACCACCCACCCAGGAGACAACAGCCATCTTCACCCCCCAGACCGATCGACTCTTCAGCTTCACATTGCTGAAGATGCTGCAGATGGTGTCAGGCAACTGGTAGCATCACTGTTTGGCCTGTTTCCTCCTCATATTCTTGCTAACTCCCATACTTTTTTGTCACTCCTTTTTACTGTGTTTTGTAATCACCATGTAAGTTGAAGCTGGTTATACTTCGGTCATCTTCACGGAACCTTTAATTCACCCTTATCTCATTCACTCCTTCTAGTTCTCCTTCGGTGCTGCGGGTTCATATTTCATCATGCGCAACAGCTGTTCATCACAATCAATAGCCAGCTGTCTTCATTAGCCACCTCCTTCCAGTCAGTCTAATAATTGCACTCGTGCCACAATCATGGTTTCAGAGGAGGTCTTCGAATCATGCCTGCCCATCCTCAACAACGCCGAGGTCGACGAAGAAGAGAAGGTCGAAAAAGTGGAAGAGTTCCTCCGCGACAAGGCTGCATTGACGGGGTCAATTCTGGAAAATGCTGTTCTGGACGTTTTATGGCGCCATCGGAACTCTCTGAAGGGCGAGGCCTCCCCTCCCCCGCTTCGTCATACTGTCATCCGCCGCTCCTCTCCAGCGCCGTGGCAGATAACCCGTTCGTCCACTCCTCTTTCGTCTCCCTCCAATAGCCCCGCGGTTCCTTCAGGGTTTCCGGTTCCTCGTGGCGGCTTTCCTCGTGCGCCCAGGTCATTGACTGCCTCCCCCTTTACCTCGCCGCGCCCGTCACCCCGCTTGGCTTTTGCGCAGCCGATCCCTCACAGTCCGAACCTTAACGCCTACGAGTTTGCCGAGCGCACTTCTATACCGGAATATGGCGATCTCGGGAGTGATAATGTCGATTGGCTAGTGAACGACGATGCCAGGAGCACCGCATCGTCCACTGTTTTGAGCGGTGCGGCCCCAGAGTGGATTGCGCCCGCTGACATGAGCCCCTACGATATCTTAAGATCGGTTCTGGGTGACCGGAGGTCCAACGACGAGATCGAGGCGGCCCTGGCGGCCAATGGATATGACCTTGGAGCGACGATAGCCGCCCTGACGGAACAAGACGCACACGGTAACACTACAGCAAACAATGAAGGTAGAATTTTAGTCGGTAAATCTATGGCTGTGGAACAGACGCGGCCGTTGACCCCGTCGGGCCAGGCTCGAAGTCCGGTTGTCTGCAAGTACTGGTTATCTACTGGTCAATGCCTTCGAGCAGATTGTCGATTTAGTCATGACTTGACCAACCATATTTGCAAGTAAGTGAAAATCGATCGGTACTTTCAAAACTAAATACCTAACAAGCCTCTAGATACTGGCTGATGGGAAACTGTCTTGCGGGAGACGTTTGTCCTTTCTCTCACGACCCATCCGCCTTGGTAGGGAATCTCAATATAAGTGATAGCAGCGCCGGATATGGCAGCCCATCCACCCAGCCACAGCAAATGTTCTATCCTCAAGATAACTATGAGGCCTTTCCAGCCTTACAGCCCGCGATGGCCGACCAATGGTCGACGTTTTATCCCCAAAAGCATTCCACCCAGTTCGTGTACGGCGTGAATCAACATCACCGCGGAAATTCTCCCTCAAACATCAGAAATAGGAATATGCTTCTTAATCAATCGTCACGCCCACATTCTAGGCCTACAAGTCGACACCAGCAACGCGACTCTGGCGGTTCTGCTTTATCAGTCGATGACCCCGAGGCCTTTCCCACTCTCTCCTCCCTTAACCCTAAGGCATCTGGGAAAAAGCACCACGGCAAGCGAGGCGGTCATAACCACAATCGCGAAACTAGCGGAAATAAGGAAGGTTCTTCAAGCTCGCTAACGGACGCAGTTCGAATGTCTCCATCCTCGAACCAACGCAAAGGAACTCCCAAGATTGCGAAGCCAGTCAATACCGGCCGCGAGAACAGCGCAGCTGCCCAATCCATTCCGACACCAAAGCATTTACCATGGCTCGAATCCGGTCCTCGCGCAAACCCCCAGTATCTCAAGTGTCGCACAGACGCGATTACTCATGGTAACGTTAGAAACAAGTTTCTCCAAAGGTAGGTCTAAACGAATGTTTTGCCGTCGTTCAATGCCAATTAGTCTTCCGCTTCTAATACGATTACAGTGCCGCCCAAGCTTGGAATCGTAACGATGCGCGGGCTGCGAAAGCCCTCTCACTTCGTGGCCAAGCTGAGAATGAGGCAATGAGACGTTGTTACCGTGAGGCTGCTCGCCACCTTTATGAGGGCCGTAGCAAGAATTCAGATAGTAACACCGATGACGAAATCTATGTCGATCTACATGGCCTTCATCCAGGCGAGGCAATCGAGTACCTGGAGAGTATTCTTAAAGAAAACGCAAAACTGGATCGTAAGCTGCTATACGCCATCACGGGCACTGGCCATCACAGCAGAAATGGCAAGGACAAAATTGGTAAAGCTGTCAAAAACTGGTTGAACGATTGGGAATACGTCTACTGTGAATTCAATGTACCCAGCGAGCGAGGTGGATACGTCGGCGGCGTTCTAGGCATTGATCCAACAAGTAGTGAGAAGAGTGGGCATATTACAAAGACCAATGGAAAAAGTGTCCCGGAAGAAGATAAGAATACAGCCCAGGATGATGAAGCTGACAATAAAGCCGGGAACTCGACACCAACACTTACGATGGGCAAGATACAGCTTTTGAAGCGAGACGATTCCGGGAAGAAGTAGCTGTTAACAAGGCTATGGAACTCGACAATATGTGCCATAGCCCCGCGTGGCTAGAGAGGTGTCTTTGCCTCAGTTTGATTACCGCCACTTGCCATGACCTTTTGGGCCTTGAAGCAATAGACGAAAACCGGCCATTGGGCTATTGTGATGCTCGGGCTTGGTTCGTCTCCAGTTTCCATGGTCTTTTATAGCCTAGACGTGGTAGAATTTGGGATTTACGGACTGCTTCGAATAGGGTCGAGGCTGGTAATGATCGAGTTACCATACGGGTGTCACGTCCCTCATGACGGGCTATATTTGATCTATGGCTGGAAGGCTCTTTTAGGTTTTCAGTTCAGTTGATAGGATGTTTGGAGCTATAATGCTCAGAATACATATTTGGTTATGGTTTATAGCTAGAAAGAATGAATTATACATACATTACCCTTTTGCATCTATGTTAGCTAATGCAACATGTAAAGCCTTGTGAAGCCCTCGATTGTTTTGGAGTTAAATCATCTGGGGGGAACAAAACTGTGCGCATCCATATCTCTAAGCATTCTGGCTTGCCGTGTACTGGTACATATTGGTTAGTAAATAACCCCGAGTGACAGGGCTCTGGGTACAAGCACCCAGGGCGAGTGATTGACAGCATTTAAGGGACCAAAGATCTAATCTACTCAGGCTCTTGGTCATGCCACTCTCTAATCAGATCCTTAACATTCATACCACATTGTTCGGCTTTCCTCACAATCGCTTTGGCCTTCCCCACCACAGGAGCATCGATCATTTTCCCATCCAGAGTCCAGGCTCCCCTGCCTTGCCGTGCGGCCTTCTCATCTGCAATAGATACTCGAACCGCCCACACAAGCTCCTTCGGCTCGGGACTAAATACCGCTTGCACAGGCGCGACCTGTGAGGGATGAATACATTGCTTCCCGTTAAATCCAAGCCTCTTACCGTCCTGGGCTTCTTGCTTGAGGATGGAGGATGCCTCCGAATCAGTATCAGGGTTCCGGGCATAAGTTGTGCAAACTAGATCAATCACGGACGGAATATTATGCGCACGGGCGGCAGTTACTATGGCGGACCGCGCGTATAGGAATTCTGTGAGGGATGGTGTTCGGGTTATGCTTAGGTCAAGGGCGAAGTCTTCAGCGGCAAAGATGAGGCCTGATAGCAGAGGCGTTGCGGTGCAAATTTCAGAAAGATTGGTTATTGATTTTGCGCTTTCAATTAAAGCGAGAATGGAGATCGGTTGGCGCGGGGAAGAGGACGTGGCGAATGACTTGGTGGTGGATATGCTGTGCTTTACCATGTCGTGGACAAAACGAAGGTCGGAAGCAGAGTCGACTTTCGGCACCACGATTGTGGTGAGATATGGAGAGTCCAGCTATAACACATTCGTTATGATTAAGCCTTGGGTTTCCATGCGCAACAGAAGATCCAAACCGCTCACGTCCAGTGTCTTTGGGAGTTGCGTACCATCGAGGTTAGGTCTTTCTCTGCCAAACCACTTCCAACTGAGTTGATTCGGACTGCTGTTTCGTGGATTGAATGGGGCTTTGGATGGTCAAGCGTACGTCTAACCAGTTCACGAGCTTCATCTTTATGAGAAATAGTTACACTGTCCTCAAGGTCGAATGCGGCACAATCAACGGTCATAGTTGCGGCTCGATCCAGCATGCGTTTGCTTGAACCGGGCACTTTTCACTCTTGAGTCAGTTCATTTAAATTCCATTTCCACCATAATTGTGGGAAACTGCGGAATCCGATGCGGCGTACCATAGAGGAGTGCGCGGCGGAGGGTGTTGGTTACAGCCATAGGTGCTAATTATGCTCCTCTACTGAACAGATTCAAAATTGTAGTCAATTTCAAACACTTAGTAGATAAGTAAATCCTTAAAAGAAGGAATTGGCATGGAGCAGAACCTGTGAAGCACAACGGCACCATTCGACAGAAAACAAGCTTGCGCAACGCCCGCTCCGCTCGGCATCGGCGTTGCTTCCGCGGCACGACCACGGAGCGGAGCATCGTTTCTCCCTCCGCCAAAGCTTGGCGCGTCCTCTCGAGGTAGCTGACGTTGGATTACTTGGCCGCTCGAACAACCGTCCAACTCTGGCGTTTCGCGAGAGCTTTCCAGAGAGATAACCAGGCTTGATCTTGGCCATGGATCAACAGCGAACTGGCGACCTCAACTGGCGCCTCAGTGCGCACCCCATCACCCTCTTGTTCTTCCTAGGTTTTAGAATAGGTGTGTTCATTGTTGCGTTGAAAGCCAGAACCACATCCACCCCGAGAAGATTGCGATTAATTTAGCTCTTGAAGCGTAAAGACATGCTAATTTTTGTCCTGCTCACCAGGGAGTCTGTTGATGTACCTATTTGGCGTCCTCTTCATCAGTGACTTGTGTGTCTCTTCTACAATCAGCTCCAGTCCCCGCAGCCATGCATCATTGCTAACACACAGGTCTACTAGTGTTCTCGTCTTCATACTCACCCTCCTGCTCCTTTCAGCCGATTTCTATTACCTCAAAAATATTGCTGGTCGCCGGCTAGTTGGCCTTCGATGGTGGAACGAAGTAAATACCTCAACCGGTGATTCCAACTGGGTCTTTGAGAGCTCCGACCCGAATACCCGCACCATCAATGCTACAGATAAGCGATTTTTCTGGCTTAGTCTGTACGCAACCCCAGCATTGTGGATTGGGCTGGCGATCCTGGCAATCATCAGGCTTCAAAGCGTAATCTGGCTGAGCTTAGTTGGTGAGTTGAACCGTGCAACACTTCCATAATATTCCGTTCAGTCATGTTCAGATCTAATCTATCACTAGGCATTGCACTTATTTTAACTGTTACGAATACCTTGGCGTTTTCTCGATGTGATCGCTTCAGTCAAGCTTCAACGTTCGCGAGTAGTGCTTTATCTGGCGGCATTACGAGCAATCTTACGCGTGGTGTGTTTGGAAGGTTATTCAGATAGTTCCCAGGAAATATTGTCAAGCCTGCCGAAGCATCGGAGCTTAGATGAGACAAACAAAACAGGCCGGATAGTGCGGTGAACCTTTCTCTGTGCAAACGATATAGTCATTTCCCTTCTATGACTTTACTTTCCCAGGCTGTTTTTCATCGGTCCGGCGAGGCGTCTGGAGTTTATAGCAAAGTTTACTGCGACTTTTAACCTGGATATCTTTCTGGGGAACTATACGGATTAATGTACTTTTACTTGTTTGAAGCTCATTGATATTGTTTCAAGTGACCAAGCAGGAACCTACGATCCGTCCTGATTGACAGCTGATATTTCACAGTTTGGCACGTTGGGCTTCTGCCATGAATTTTATCTCCTGTCTCACGGCCAAATCCCTCAGGATCTCCTCGCTTCCACCGCCCACGACGAATACTCTTACGTCACGGCTAATCGCCTCGATTCTCGCTCCTTTGCCTGCCTTGTTATACCCTGCACCACCCAGGATCTGCTGGGCCTCGCGGCAGACCTTCTCCAGACAGCGGGTACTCATTACTTTCAGGAGGGCCGTCATACCTCCAACGTCGATCTCCCTACCGGTTTTGGCGTTTAGCTGGATGGTGTAGGCTAGCTGCTCCAAAAACGCTTGACATGGTTCAATAAGTTGGCCGAATTTGCTGAATTTAGCCCGGATGATCTGATTGTAAATGAGCGGTTTGCCGAATGTTTCCCGAGTGATCGCGTAATTGTAAGCATCTTCGACGCAAACGCGGGAGAGACGGATGCAGGAGCTCGCCATCCCGAGACGTTCAGGGTTAAAGTCTACGTCCCATCAGCTTTGAATATAAAGATGTTAGTGCAAGGCTGGATGTAAGGGTCGCGTACTTGACATGATGTATTTAAAGCCTTGGTTTTCCTTTCCAATAAGATTCTCTGCAGGCACTTCCACGTCATCGAATTCAAGGAAAGTTGAGCCACTGGCGTTCACTCCAGAGTTGTACATTCTTCGTCGAGTGACACCTTTGGATTTCAGTGGTATAATGAGTAGAGAAATGCCATTACGGCCTGGTCCTCCGGTCCTAACGGCTGCCGTGCAATAGTCGGCAAAAATGGCGTTGGTGATCCATTTCTTTGCTCCATTGACGATATACTTGTTGCCGACTCGTTTGGCCGTGGTTTTGATCCCAGAGACGTCGGACCCGGCTGTGGTTCCAAATTAGTGTGAAAAGATAATTAAAGACACTCGGAGACGCAGATACGTACCGTCTGGTTCAGTGATTCCTAGGCAAAAGCGGATCTCCCCTCGAGCAACCTTTGGTAGATACTCGAGCCTCTGTTGCTCAGTTCCGAAATTCATGATTGGAGGGCAGCCTATGCCGTTCCCGCCATTCATGCCCCAAAGCACGCCAGAAAACCCGACTCTATATTTCAAGTCAATTTAAACAAAAGCGTTTGCTGGTATAAAAAGATAACGGTGGATACATACCTCGCCAACTCGTCATTGACCACAAGATTGTGAAAGACGTCCCATTTTTCTGGATCGATGCCAGCGGGCATGGTCATCCCTCCCATGTATTCCCGTTTTGTGGGCTTGATTATAGCGAAACCATTGTCCACATATTTTTGAACAGCCTGAATTTCAGAAGGTAAGTTAGAAGGTTGCAATTTTTCATCAGCGATATGTGTAGTTCCATCCCAGTTCCTCCTGTCCGCTCGCTTGTAGGTTTAAACACGTACTTCAGGAGGAACTTGGCCACTTCGCTCCCACTCCTCAGCATACGGCATCAGATCATTCTCCACATATTCGCGCACGAATTGACGGAGTTTCCTATGGGACTCATCGTAGTATGGCGATGAGTCGCGATAGTACCATAGAGGTTCAGCAAATGGGGCTAGGGCAGGCATAGTGTTCAAGGGTAGAGCAGCAATTAGTGTTCTTCTAACAATGAAATAGAGATCTTGATAGCTCAAATCAATAGCTGGGAACCCCAATACAAATATCAAACTCGTCAATCAATGGGTATCTTAATCCTAATGATGGAATGTAAACACGTTATGTGGTATCCACGGTTAATGCCGTGTAACCGTTGTCTCATGGAATACTCCGTCAGGTTCCCACGGTATCTTAGGGCTGCAAGCGTTGGATAGCAAATACTTGGAAATGAGCCGAGTACCGATGTTGCAATTTGCAGCCTGCGAGCTACTTAAGTTCTCTGGGGATGATATTCTCCGCATCAACCCCTGGACCTCGGCTGGCAAAGTTAAATTATTTTGCGCCAGCCAAAAAAGTCTTGGGGCCTTGGGTTTCCCTGTCTTTCACTGTCCTTCTTGTGAAATATTGAAGAAGCTCGTCAAATGGAGATATCCTTGACGCATCGACGGAGTACAGTTACTTAAGAATGTAGTCTACATGTAGCTTGGGTGTCATTCACGATCGGCTTAAAGCTTTGAAGGAAGCCAATTCGGAGCTCTTCTCTCCTTAAAGGCTAGCATCCCTTCATTAGCATTTTCTCCAGCGAACAACGCGCTGCCATATCTCTCCACGGTCAAGCGTGCAGCTTGTTCGACACTGCTGGTCTCCCATGCCTGTCTTATACCTGCCCGACTCACGATAACGCTATCAGGACTCATACTTGCAATCAATTTTGCTACCTTGACAGTTTCAGTGATTAATTCTTCAATTGGCACAACCTTCTGAACCAAACCCCAATCCAGAGCTTCCTGGGCTGTTAATTTATGTGCGGTTAACGCTAGCCACATGGCTCTCTGTAACGTAAAATTCCGACATAGTCGTGGAAATGCTCCCTCGAGAGCTGCAGTTCCGCGAAGGACGTCGGGTAGTCGAAAATCCGCGTTAGAGGATGCAATGACGATGTCACTGTTGAGAATAATTTCAAATCCACCTCCGTGAGCATGACCATTGCAAGCGGCGATAATTGGCTTCTTGCCCACGCGCCGGGTCATCCCCGCAAAGCCGTTGGGAGGATATAAGTTTTGACCCGGGATACTTAGATCGCCTTGCTCGAAGCCAGATTGGCGCTCTAATCACCTAAGTCAGTTTAGTGTTAAAAAACCCGAGTGGATTGCTCGGTCGCACCCTTGAGATCCATTCCGGCACAAAAGGCCTTTTTGCCAGCACCCGTAATAATGGCAACACGTCTATAGAAGCCATCAGCATACCAGTCGAAACTTACGAGCATTAAAAATCTGTATGTGATGAACCCTTACAATTGCGGTTCTTCATCAAACCACTTCCAGACACGGTCCATCTCCCATACCCCGTCAACTGGGAGGGAGTTCATCTGTTTCTCCAGGTTCATTGTGACCAGAAGTACATGGGGGGCCGGAAAGTCCAGAAGGACGAACCTCACAAGGGGAGGAGGAGTATCGGTAGGATAGCCCATCGCTAACTAGTGACCTCTTGGGTTCTGTGCTTTGGATGCGAGGAAGAGTGGGCTTTGCAACAGGTCAGCCCAGTGTTCAAGCTGCTTGTTTGCACAGTGCAGCAAGTGGAGGAGCCCAAGCTCCAGGGAGGTTACTTAACTAGTTAGTTATGTAAGCTGTGTCCCCCAAACTTGTGTCCTGACGTCTGGGGGCCATAGGGAGCAACGTGTTGAAGCACCAGCACAAGTACCACCTGATCCACAAGCTGCTTGAAGGGTATAAGCGTGGGAGACAGCAAGGTTCAGGCACCAGTTGGGGGCGAATGCTGGAACCGGCTATTGAGGATTGTTAAACTCACTCGAAACTCAGTTGGTTGTGATTGGGCGTTCTGAACCTGGAATTTATTATTTGGATCAATCGATTGGACGGAAACACGAAGTTAACCAACGCCCTGGTGATTACTTCAGATGATTCATGATTCCTAGCTCCTCTGTACAGAGTAGGCAACACAATAAATTAACATCATACAAGAGAGCACATCACTCCCTTGTTAGCCATGCCCAGTCAGACTTAACTCCATACAGTTTTGAACACACGGTCTTTGAGCATCGAACACCAAGACTCGACAATCGTACAGAAGTTTAGGCTTGACCCGAAATACAAAAATGGAACCTCAATCAACACCACCTCCACTCCTGCTTTCAGGCAAGAAAGTTGCTGTGGTAGGTGCTGGAATCTCATGTCTTGCCTTTGTCAAGTCGCTGCAGAAACAGTGGCCTCAGGGCCAGCCATTCCCCGAAATTATCATATACGAGCGAGACGCTCAGGATGCCGTGGGGCGTGAGGGCTATTCCATTTCTATTCGTGGTGATGCGCTATCTGGCGGAATGCAAGCTTTGGAGAAAATGGGCCTTTTGGACCATGCGCTAAACGCCTCGCTTACGGGATCGCAGCGGCCTGAAGAGCGTGGGTCTTTTGGTGTATGGGATCCGGATTGGAATCGGCTCCTCGAAGTTGGCAGGCCAAAGTCTGACGCCAATCAAGTTGAGCTAGGAATGCGAATCGCGAGGGACTCTTTGCGCCGCGTCCTGCTGGATAGTGTGCTTGAAAGCAATAGCACAGATATCCGTTGGTCAACGCAGTGCGTCAAAGTCGAGAAAGTTGATGGAAAAGTCCAACTTCATCTGAATGACGGCAAAACAGATGTATGTGACTTGGTCATTGCCTGCGATGGAGCGAATAGCAAGATTCGAGAATGTCTTAGACCAGATGATAAACTCTCCTATGCTGGTGCAGTCATGATCATTGGCACGGCCAGATTTCCTGAAGGACAGGTTCCTCCACCGGTAAATAGAGACTGGGGGCTAGTCCTTGGTGGGAAGAACGGTGTGGGCTTATTCGTGTCTCCGATTGACTCGTCGAGCGCGGTTTGGAGCCTGAGCTATATGGCTCCAGAACCACGAGAAAGGATAAATCCTCCCATGCCGAAGGAACAACTAGACAACCTAATCCAGGAGGTGCTAGATCGAGGAACCTCATTCACAGAGCCATTCCAAACCCTGGTACGAGCTACCGACCCATCAACCCTCCGACTTTTCAACGCAATGGATAAACAACCATTCCAGCACTCGCATTGTACGGACGTGCCTGTGATATTCATAGGCGATAGCAACCATGCCATGAGTCCCTTTGCAGGAAACGGCGCGAATATGGCATTGCTTGACGGCTGGGATCTTGCAGAGCAGCTCTGTCGAGCTCAATCGCTAGAATCAGCGCTCGAAGCGTATGACAAATCTAGCATTGGTCGTTCCCAAAACGCCATCGCGGGGTCCCGATGGGCTATATCTATGGGTCATGCAACAGGTTTCAGGCTATTCGGCTATGGCATCGCATTGAAACTTGCCTCATTGATAATGGCACTTAGAGGGTGAATAGGCAGGAGCGGGATGGTGGAGCTATATCGGCGCTGTTTGGAGTCAGTGGGATCCATGCTTGTTGTCGCTTTTCTTTTTTTTTTTTTTTTTTTTCTACCTTTTTTTCTTCTTTTGATTCTAAGGATGAATATTCGGTTATGATTTGCCGACTGCGCGGCCGCAGTCCCTGATCGTTAGGTTCGTCTCCTCTCTGTATATACGACTTTAACCCCAATAGGCGCCCAGGCATTAGGTAGTGCTATTGACACATGCTCTCTTTTCTTGGGAAGATCCCCTTGGCATTAAAGTGCATTTAGGACTCTGGACAAGCGGATTGCGCCATCATCCTGCGAGCAATATAAATCCTGGATGGTAACCTAGAAAGATGTGTCGTGAAAGATGCATAGATCCAGCAATTCATAGTTCAAAATTCCGCATTTTCATGCAAGAAGCCGCGGTATAGGGGGAACAAGGCATGCAAGGGCTTCAACAATCATCATAGATTCCCTTAATAGAGTGAATATACAGGACAAACAGTGAGAAGCAATCACCGTATTGAGACGAAAGAACCAAACTAAATAAAAGACGAAAAATACACAACATTGCCAAATGTGGTAAAGTGGGAGAGGAGACCTGCAGCGTTTACTTCAGCTCTTTTGTCACCATAAATCCTTCTTTCTTTCTTCCTCACTCCTCCTCGTCTCAACTTTCTCATCTTCCAGATATTGACATTTACAGCCACAAACAGCTTTCTGGGAGGAGCAATTAGTTCTGCTCAGGGCACTGGTCTTGGAGGCACTCCAAGTAAGTATATATTCTGACCTTTTTTGCCTGAAATTTCAACCTTGAAAGCTTGAGAAGGCCCTCTTGGGCCGTGGCATCACCTCTGGTTTTTTGACCCCACTGAAGGCCAGACATGCCGACCAATGTTGTTTCAAACTCTGACATCTGCTCACATTCCGTCTGAACTAGGAGCAGTGGCATATCTTTGAATCTGAGAACTTGCTAAGACACGTGAACAAACATCCATCAACATGTCTGGAAATTGGAACAACACTAGTAAGTCTCGAATTTCATTTCTGGTTCTTTCAAATAAATGGAATCCCACAATTTCCTTCAATTTCTCTCTTCAGCAACGGTGCTGGGAGGGCATCAATCCCAAATATATAAGTTTCCTTGGAAAGAAGTAAAAATATTTACTGATATAAACATATGCCGCAGCCGATAACTGGAACGGCGGTGGTGCCGACGGCAATTGGAACGAAGGTGGCTTTGGTGACGACACTGGATACCGCGAAGAAATCCCCGGCAGTGTTGGGGAGGGCGGAAAGACCAACAATAATGATGCCTGTCACAAGTAAGTCGGGTATTCATGCCCGAATTGAGTCTCATCTAACGTTTTCTATTAAAGCTGTGGACAGCCCGGGCATTTTTCACGCGAGTGTCCCGAGCCTCGCAAAGCGTCTGGTGCTTGTTTCAACTGTGGTGAAGAAGGGTAAGCTGGTGCAACTATTAGGACCATCAGTTCTCTAATTGAAGAATAGCCACAACAAGGCGGAATGCCCAAACCCGCGCGTTTTCAAGGGAACTTGCCGCATTTGCCAGGCGGAAGGGCATCCGGCTTTCGAATGTCCGGACAAGGCCCCAGACGTTTGCAAAAACTGCAAAGGCGAAGGTATGCATCCCACTTGAAAGGGGAAAACCACGACTAACGTAGTCATTTCTCGCTGAAAAAGGCCACAAAACAAAGGATTGTACCGAAAACCGCAAGTTTGATCAGCATGACATTCCAGACAAAATGCCTGAGGAAGCTTGGGCAATCCTTAAGAAGGCGAGCGATGAAAGAGACTTGGAAGATTTCCGTGAAGTAAGGATCGTTTCCCGAACATCCACAGGGCTCAAGCTAACATTGTTGCAAGGCCCTTAAGATCTATTCCAAGGCTGTTCCGTTGGCAACATTTGACGAAATTGAGAAAAGGTTTCGCGCAGACAACTTCAAGATCTACCTTATTGGGCTGGTAGGCCCTTGAGAATTCCTTCACCTTCATTTCTAGACTGACACTTCTTCAAGGAAAGGGAAATTGGGGACACCCTCATTTCGGTGAATCTTCAAGGCAAATTAAATTGCAAATACGTTGTCGGGTTTTATTTTAGCGAAAAGCCCCATCGTGCGAATCTCAAGTCGCGCTGGCCACGTTCCCCAGAGGAGAATATCAAGCGCCTTGCCGATGCCGGCTTTCCCATGGATCGCCAAGTCCCCAAGTGTGACAATTGTGGAGGTATGTCTGCTTTTGGAAGAAATTAAGAGAGAGAATCAGCAGTCCTAAATATCCTGCAACAGAAATAGGTCATACCCGCCGTGGTTGCAAGCAGGAACCTGCTACAGTTGAAAGAGTTGAGGTCAAGTGTGTCATTTGCAAAGAAATAGGCCATCGAGCTCGCGACTGTATCCAGCCCAGGATTGACAAATCTGGCTGTCGGAACTGCGGGTGAGACCGTGATATCTTGCAGTATTATCGCACGCGACTAACAATAGAAAGGAACCCTGACCATCACGCCAAGCAATGTCCTGAGCCACGCTCCGCTGAGGGCGTAGAATGTAAGAAATGCCAGCAAGGTACGTATTCTCCGCTTCAAACGTTTAAAGGTCTGCTAAAAGTGCAATACGTATGCAGTCGGCCACTTCGCCAAAGATTGCCCTGAGAAAGGTGTCAACAGCAGAGCTTGTCGCAATTGCGGGCAAGTATACCCAAAAGTGACTCCTTCAGAACGATATGGCTGACATGCCGTATAGAGAAGAGGGTCATATGTCCAAGGAATGTGACAAGCCTCGAAACATGGATAACGTTACTTGTCGTAACTGCGAGAAGAGTGAGATCTATCTCAAGAAACGAGGCGCTGCTGTATTCTCAAACTAACACCTCTATCAGCCGGCCACATGAGTCGCGACTGCCCCGAGGAGAAGGACTGGTCCAAGGTCCAGTGTACCAATTGCAAGGAGAGTAAGTATTGAAAAGCGACCCGGATACATTTTGGCTTGTGAAACTAACACTCTCCAGTGGGCCACACGTTCAGACGCTGTAACAAACCAGCTGAAGGTGCTGACAGTGACAATGCAGATAGCTATGGTGGATTCTATGGAGCAGGCTATGGCAGCAAGAATCACCACGATCAAACACGTGGCCGGAAGGAAACCACAGCTCAATCCGCAGGAAACTGGTATGAAAGCCCAACCGACGGCGGCGCTGGTTGGTAAATATGCAATTCCCATTTTGGCTGGACCTTGCAAAAACACCAGCTTTCCATGGCGTGTTAAGTATCTTCCGGATCTGAAAAACGCTCTGAGCTATGGAGACGCATTCTGGATCTTTTTTTTGGCAAGGGAAGGACAAAAGGAACTTCAAATGGACTCTTACTCTGGGATATCTCTTGTTAACTGATCGCATCTGAAAACTCAAAGAAACAAAAAAAAAAAAAAAAAAAAAAAAAAAAAAAGGAAAAAAAGAGATGCGAAAAAGGAAGAAGATAAACCTTTTATGGCGAATCCTACACCCAGATAGTTAATCAATACAATGATAGGTCTAAGTAACGGCCTTAATACGTAATACGGCTATTTGCTGCTAAAGTGCTCGATAACCTTGCGAACTGGTCCCCGTCTCCCAGTCACCCGGCAGACGGGGGAGGTGGCCCAATAAGGATTCCTGTCCGGAGTACTCCGTAGGGAGCAGGCAACCAAAAAAGCCTCTCGACCAAATGACTTCCCCTGGTCAGGCCATCCGGACGCGGTGAGATCGAAGTGGAAACATTTTCACGTCGAAGATGGCATCACATCGACTAAGATCGCTCGCGGAAGATCGATCCGAGTTGCTCTGGAAAACCCATCGGATAACGCAATTCCGAGCCACAAAAAAAAAAAAAAAAAAATGAAAAAAATGAAAAGAAAGAAAGGCAGACGTCACAGAGTGCTTTGCCAGAAGTGGTTTAAACGTGTGTGTCTTGGCACACGGAATTCCCAATTCGGGCATTCCCGGATGACTTGATGCGGTTTAAGCTTTGGCTCCGCGGGTCAGGGCGGAAATCTTAAATCCGCCGCAGAAGACACGGCTCCGCGCCGCGATGACGACGGAACGAGCTCTTGCAGGGGCATTCGAGGTGCGAATCTCTGTTTGCGTTTCTGCAGATGCGCTGGAAGAGCTAAGCTAGCTGGGCGAGGACAGAGTTACAACGAGTTTGAATCACAAAAGCTGCAGATCCCTCAAGTGCAATGCTCTCTCGTTCGCCAGCGCCGACGCATATTCTGTACATCCGTCTTATATGCGCTGCACCCAAACGATGATCGATGTTTGTGGACCCATACTCTGGCTCCGCCATTTGGAGCCTGCCTCCACTAGTAAGTTACATGTGCTTGCCGACTGCGGAGCATGGATTCGACTTCTCGCGCCCATTTTCGATTTCTCGTAGCTGCCTCTCGCAGCCACTTCCCCTCATAGTGAGCGACAAATGAGAGCAGAGTTTAGCTTTATATGAAATTTCCTAACGGCGTTGTCCGACCCACTCGCCGCCATTTTTCAGGAACAAGATTGCCAGAAAATTTTCATGTCTCGGCATTGCCCCGAGGGGAAAAGCTGAGTGACGATCATCGGCAGGAGGGGAATGCACACCAAGTGCTCCACGGTCTCAAACGCCATCCCGACAGCGCTACGGAGCATACGCGCCGAACCAACTTTCCTAGCCCACTACTCCCCACTCCGTAGGCGGTTATGGTGGGCGAATGATCCACAGGGACCACAACATTCTAGAAGATCAGTTCACCACCTTGAAAGACAGACCGCCCTAAATATCCAACATGTGCTCGCGGTACATCCAAGACAGGCGAGATTTCACATGCATGGCTCTCCCCGGATGACACTAGCCACGATTCTCCATATTTAATCTCCATAGAATAACTTTCTTCCTCCCATCATTTCGCTAGGTTGGAAGATGGGGTCTAAAGGATACAGGAATCGTGGAGTCAAAAAACAGCATACCGGCGGCTGGTGTGGAGATTGCATGGGTATGTAATAGGATGAGCCAGACACCGAGACGCCAAACTCGTGGGTGCGGGTACCTATGCTGTCATCTTTTGAAGAAAGGATGGGAGAGAGACTCAAAAATTCTGGGGGAAGATGGGATGGTGATAAAACCCTCCACAGCTCCAGCTTTTCGCATCGTTTCTTTTTTGTCAGTTTTGTGTTACGTACCTCTCCAGCTGGCTGACTGCTACGGTGGTACTATTGAGTGACTCGCCAGCTCTGGAAGCCAGTCCTACTCTGTCATTTCTATTTTTCATGTATTTTGCTACCGAGGAGCATTGACTGTTTCTGCGAAAAAAAATCAACGTCCCATGCTTGTACCATGGCCGGAGCACCTTACTTTGGGTTTCGTGGAACGAAACTCAACGTCGCGATCGGTGTGATTGCTGGCTTGGACTTTTTGTATGTCATGTCAATAATTCAGTCAACAATGCTAACTAGCTAATTTCGAGAAACAGGCTCTTTGGTTATGATCAGTATGACCTATCTATTCCCGGATAACCGGGTCTCATGTTGATAATATGATTTTAGAGGTGTTATGGGAGGTCTGTTGACTCTTCCGTCGTTCGCGCAGACTTTCCCCGAGATTGATACAACAAGGGAGGGTCAAGTTGGACTTTCGCCTAGCGAGAAGAACCATAGAGCAACAATCCAAGGTGATTATATCTGGTTTTGTCATGCTAGCGTTGCTGATGTTGTCTAATGCATCGCCGCAGGTATTTCCATCGCGTCTTACAATGTGGGATGTTTCTTGGGAGCCATTGCCTGTATTTGGGTTGGAGATTTGCTCGGACGACGCAAGACGATATTCCTCGGTTCCGCTATTATGGTTGTTGGTGCTGCGCTGCAATGCTCCGCCTTCCAACTCTCTCATCTCATCGTTGGTCGTATCATCACGGGTCTTGGAAACGGGTTGAATACGTCCACCGTCCCAACGTGGCAATCGGAATGCTCGAAATCCCACCGCCGTGGCCAGTTGGTCATGGTAGAAGGTGCCCTGATTACGGGTGGAATTTGTCTCAGTTATTGGCTAGACTTTGGTTTTTCTTTCCTTGAGCCAAGCACCGTGTCATGGAGATTCCCTATCGCTTTCCAGATCGTATTCGCTTTGATTATCATGGCATCGGTCCTGGGATTACCGGAATCGCCTCGGTGGTTGATTCTCAAGGGCAAAGAAGACGAAGCACTTCGCGTTTTAGGGGCTCTAAGCGACCTTCCGACCGATGACCCGTTCATCCATAGCGAGTTCAGTGCGATCAAGGATACTGTTCTCGAAATGGCAAAAGGTGGATTCAAAGACCTCTTCCTTTGTAACAAAGACCGCCACTTGCACCGTGTCGTGCTCGCCTACGTTAACCAGATGTTCCAGCAAATCTCTGGTATCAATCTAATCACATACTATGCGGCTGCTATCTACGAAGGCAGCATTGGTCTTAGCGGATTCTTGTCACGTATTTTGGCAGCTTGCAATGGAACGGAATATTTCATTGCCTCTTGGATCCCGGTCTTCATAGTGGAAAGAGTCGGTCGACGTGGACTCATGCTTTTTGGTGCTGTTGGCATGTCCCTCTCTATGGTCGTTCTGGCTCTCTCTACCAGCTTTGAGGGACAGACAAAACCCGGTATAGTTGCAGCTGTTTTCCTGTTTGTTTTCAACACTTTCTTCGCTATTGGCTGGCTGGGAATGACATGGCTGTATCCTGCCGAAATCGTAAGTTTGACCAATTTTCCCGTTCTTCTTTTTTCCCAGGAAGTCGACTTAAACTGACGTTTGTCCTCAGGTACCTCTCCGTATTCGTGCTCCTGCCAATGCCCTTGCCACATCAGCCAACTGGGCATTCAACTTTATGGTTGTCATGATTACACCAGTCTCGTTCAGTTCCATCAAATATAAGACCTATATTATCTTTGCTGTCATGTAAGCCGATACTGCCCTCGCTAACAAACCTCAGGAAAGTATGCCGTACTAATATGTCCCGCTATAGTAATGCATTCATCGTGCCGGTAGTCTACTTCTTCTATCCCGAAACCGCATATCGCTCTCTGGAAGAGATGGATACTATTTTCCGCAACACAGACTCTATTTTCTCAGTCGTTCGTGTTGCCAGAGAGACACCTCGTCGCTTTGGCAAGAATGGTGAGCTCCTCATCAACTACGATGAGACAGACGAACATCGCGCTCGCAATGCGAGTGTTGTTGGTGAGAAACCTCATCCAACAGTGTATAACAAGGACCACGCAAACCCCGATTATCATATGGAGAACGGAAGTCCTAGCTCCTAAGCTGTTTAATCCCTGTCTGTGACTTGATATGTTGCCGTTTTCTCATTTCCGGTCTGCTGTGCCCGGAAAAAAAAAAAAAAAAATCTCTCAATATCTGCATGAAGGGAAAGGTGATTCTGCATATTAGATCTATGAGGTTATGACGATAGAGGTCCTTGAGTCTATGATATCTGTTGACTGAATCTTTAAATAAGGAGACAGGAGAAAATTTTCATGATACCCAAGCTAGAATTGTATGTACCGTCAGCGCCTGGGGGTGAGAAGACAGCAACCTCAGGTGATATTTGCATTGAATGAAATAATACTTCGTACGGGAGTACTAGAAACAAGTTTTGTCTGCAGGTCTACTCCGTAGGTCGCTGAATAAACAGACAACCTCTTCAACCGGCCCACCAATCATTGGCATCAATCAACAAGGTCATTCATTACGTCACTGCGCCGGCAAAGCAGGATAACATCTACGACCCTTATGCTAGCCTTGTGATTCTGTCTAATCCACCTTTCAGATCAAAGCACCCTGAATCTCTATTAAATTGAATCATTATGGTGCGAACGCGTGCTCAGGAACGTGCAGAGGCCAGTTCTGCTCAGAAGCAAGTCAAGGCAGAGGAGCACGTGCCACCGAAGGAGCTTGTAGCAGAAAAAAAGCACATGCAAAAGCCGAAAAAGAGAACTAAGAAGCATGAAATTCCAGAGGCAGAGAGTATGTGTGGGGGTGTTACAATCTACTAAACCCCTTAGTTAGTTGTATTGAGGGGCATATGAGATCTCTGATCAAAAATGCTGATTTTACTCAGGGCGACTAGAGGCCACAAAGCCGCTCTCAGAAGCCGCACGCAAGGACATCCAACAACTCTTGACGGAGCAAGGGAGCTTTCCTCTCCAAGAAATCGGATTTAGCTTTCCCCTTAGTTCGAGCTCGGCAACAGTGCTAGCACTCCTCTTCGAAGCCCTGCTCAAGGCGGCGCCAATTTCGCACAAGACAGCGGACGAGACGCTCAAGGAACTACTCAAACATGGGTATGAAGATATCAATGTATTGAAAAATAGTTCTTGGGACGAGCGGAGCGATGTGTTGATCGAAGGGGGTTATCGCCATTACTATAAGAAAACGTCATCGGAGCTAGGCGAATTGGCGGAATGGGCGATGGATAAGTACAGTACGTAACTTTCCCTGCTACGCCTGTTAATCTTGCTGTAAAGAGATGAATGGCCAACGCATGATGCGATTTGCTCATTTACTCCTTTTTTATTGGCCACGCATAGATGGAGATTTGAATAATCTCTACAAACAAACTGCCGGCTCTCGCGCGGAAATCAGGACTGCTATCAAGCATATTAAAGGCATCGGTGATGTCGCTGTTGATATTTTCCTGTCCTCGATTCAGTCCTTCTGGCCGGAAGTGGCACCGTTTATTGCCGAAAGAAGCTTGGTGACGGCGGATCATATTGGGATCGGGAAGGATGTAGAAGCCATTTATGAAGCTGTGGGAAGGGATCCGAAACAAATGTGTATGTTAGCGAGGGCATTAACGAAAATAAGGCTGGAGAAGGAAGAAGCAGGGTATACAGTGCATGAAAGTGGGAAGTAGAGAAAAGGAGTTAGTCAGGGCTCGGGGCGATTGAAGTTCCAACGTGTCTCAGGATTCCGAATGTTGGCGTTCGTTGGTTTGTAGGTCACAGAAACGTCCACTTTCAGGTCTTTTTGTACGGATGGATGGCAGTGCAGTCCAGATGTATGTCCAGCAGCAATCGTCGAAGGCTGAAGGCATCGCACTTCTGAGCAAGCAGACTGCCTTTGGAGGCACGTGACCATACGTCAACCACCACGCTAGCTGCAATTAGTCATCGCATCAGAGCTCCCCAGCCAGGTTGACGACGATCCCTCGGCCAGGCAGCTGAATTTGAAGACTTCGTTCTGCTTCTTTGTTGTCAAATTCTTATCTGCAGCATTGAATCATTCTCCTTAACTAAGCTCTTCTTTTGGAACTTCATGTGTTGATAGTATGTGTGACCGCGTTGAGTGCCTGTTTTATCATTGCCAGGAGGCGCTACCAAAGCTCTGATCGCTGACCAGCCACCCTTTTTACCAGACTTAATCCCGACCGCTCACATCGTTTCAAATACCTTTACCAGTTAAACTTCAAGTGTCAATTGCGCGCGGCTATCCGAAGGGAGCTCTGAAAACTGACGAAACGAAAAGTAAACAATAACTTCACCCACTGTCATCGGAATCGGAATTTACCAATTCTTTGGATATAAAACGTCGGACATATAAAACAAGATGGACTACTCAAATATTTTGTATGTGGAACTACCATCTTCGGCGGACTACTCCGTATACCTAGACGAATGGCCTAGGAGGTTCATTTCGCTGGGAAGACAATGTTTAAAGGCATTTATGCTGATAAACTGCGTTCTAGTCGCTTGGTCAACTTGGCCATTGGTGTTATTATGGTGCTCGGCGGGATTTCGCAATTCTTCGCTGATCCCAAATTGTAAGTGTTGCAGACTGCTGGGGTTCCGGGGTACTATAACTGGAGACCTCCTCGGTTCACTGAGTGCTCCGCTAACACAGATGCCATAGCCGGAATATAATCATCGGCATTTACGTTATTCTATTCGGGTTAGGTATGCGGATTAACCCTGCAGTACAAACATTCATGGCAAATGCTAACTCCGATCACAGCCACCGGTGCCCTCGAACTCGTCCCGAATGTCCCAACGCAGATCACTAGACACACCTCCTTCATGTTCTCGTTTATCGGAAGAGGAATCTGTAAGTCTTCAACTTCAAAAACGGGGTGGGCACTGGAGTATTTTCTTACTGGAGTGTCTAGTCTACATCTTTGTTGGCTGCATTATCCTAGAGCACCACGTTTTGCGCATCATCGCTGGCTCGATCGTTGGAATTGTGGGCGTGGCCTATGTGGCGCTTGAGTACATCCCCTCAATTGAACCTCCTCAGAACATGCGAGAGGCAGAACCTGCATGGGGTGCGGAGCAGATCTAAACCCATAATAATCTGTTAACACCACGATTCTCCCCCGGCTACTGGTTCAATGGCATTCGACGGCCGTGAAATTAGCGAACCCCAGCATGGGTCGCCTTTATCATGCATGTTTTGAAGGTGGCAATGAACCTTTGCACGATCCGATTACCGACGAGGTGGGCTTGGACTGGGAGGTCACGTCCTTCACATGCCCCGTTGCACTCCTCCATTTGTGGCAACACAAATGATACTTTGGCCTTCATGCCCTCTTTTCTTTTAATTAGCCTTTAAGATAAGCTGATAACGTCCATCTTCGGCTGATGAATGCTATCTTTTCCACACTGTACTTTAAAAACGATTTCAAAATATACTTATTTGTTGTGTCCACGCGCGCCTCGTCCTCAGTGTTGTGCCAGCCCCGGAACCCACGCACAGTTACTGACTAAAGGGGCCCGCAGCCCTGCATCCCCCCAGTAGGAACGTAGCCAGTGCTGCTGACACGGCTGACCAGGAGGAGCTGGCGAATGAGAAAAGCCACAATGCTAATCTCTCATCTTGACCCATATTTTCTAGCCTGATAAGGTTTAGCACCCTGGAGGCGGATTGACGTCGACGGCGAAAGTCTATTTTTCATCAGACCGAAACTTATCAGATTGCGCCCTCGCCATTCAGCCGCGTCGCCGCGCCAATCCAGAAGACGGTGAGGTTGAAGCAACTGGGACGACGAGATCTTTGCAAGAGAATCCAGCTCTTTCCAAAAGCCATACGCGTTAAATAGAGAGAGGGTTAATGTCCCATTTTCCGGCTATTACAGTTGCGCGATAATCCAGCGGTGGGAAAAGCCCAAGAGATAAGATAATCGACAATGGAGATCCATATCTGATCCCTTGACCACATCGAATAATTTGCTCAACAGCGATTCGTTCACATTGCGCAGGACAAAGCCGTGCTGGGGAAACTGGGACGGGATTTGGATGTTGTCAGAAAGTAAATGATTATTTAACCCTGCTGTGCTACCATAAGCATACTTCATCAGATATTATTTCGCCTTGGCCTGCCCGTCTGTCAGGCCACTCCCATATCTGATCGTCAGCCAGATCACAAGAGCTCCTCACCCAACCTATCTTCACCAACTACAACCACTTTTTCCGCGAATAAGAAGTTTTGTCGAATTCCTTCCGGGTTACAGCTCGGTTCGGTTGGGCTTTTCTTGGAAGCAATAACTTGAAGTCTCACGTCCTGCATTGCATTGCTCCGTACGAAGTACGTCGCGGCTCGTTACGCCTCCGAACATAAACTCCTCCTTTTGTCACAACTCCATCCTCGCTCTTCCAAAAATTTGTCCTCCTTCTTTGATTCATCCAAACTTGATGCATTCTGCCTAACCGTTGTCGCAGCATCCTTAGTCCTTTTGCGTTGGGAATTTCCGTCCTCGTCCTGCAGCTGGCTTATCTCCGGAGGCCACCGCCGCAACAGCTCTAGCCTATCTCATCCATCGCAACTCGGTGCTACAACAACTTTTACCTCAACCTCACCATCACATCAGATAACTTAAGCGCGTTACCCTTCCTATTCTCTGCCGTCTGCTGCGTTGTGCGCATTCATACCTCGAGCATTCCATCGTGAACATCGTATACGGTTGCCTGGCGAAGATCTGATTACGATCATCCTCGTGTGAAGCCATCGAAGATAATTCGGCCCCCGGAATCGGATTATTCGAGACCTTCCTATTACATCTCATTTGTCCCGGTCGAATATCATCCTATCGGCCTCCTATCCAGCTAAAAGACACGCTTGGGCGCCGAATAAATTTGAGAAACGATCGTACCACCTTAGACAACTCAGTTTGTCATCGACAGTTGACCCGGGAGGGAAGATTTTGCAGACTATAGTGGTTGTTTCTGTCAGGCCGACCCGTGGTTTTCGACGTATCTATGGATATCGTTAGGGGTGTTCCGCCGTCAACAAACAGCATGATGCGCCACCCATCCGCTGAAGATCTTGATGCCGCGCATCAACTTGTATCTTCTGCCCGTGGAGCAAGGGATCAGGCTGCGGATCCTAGCTCTTCAGGGGCTGGAGTAAGATCAGATGGCGGCGAGATGCTGAATCTATCTGATACCGAAAACCCCCAGAATAGGGCAAGTCCTGGAAGAGAGAATCAGATGCCGATGGAATCAAACGACGAAAATCGGCCCAATGCATCACGCCAGTCGCCAAAGTCCCGTGGCAAAGAACAGGTTTTCCTCGGCCATTCGTGCGTGTACGTGGCTAAGTCCCTAGTCCATGATTTGCTGTGTAGCCTTTCCTTCCACTAACAAAGCCTGATATAGCAACTGCGGAACGAAAAGAACTCCTCTTTGGCGCAGAGCGCCCAACGGTTCTACAATATGCAATGCCTGTGGCCTATATCTGAAAGCCAGAAATGCTGATCGCCCCACGAATCGCAATCGTTCATCTGCCATGACTGGACCAAGTACACAGCAAAATATCAACGCACGGACCAGCATATCTCCCAGCGCCACTGGCGGTTGTTCCGGTCGCCAGTCGAATGCAACGAACGATGAATCGGCTTCAGTTGGGACATGTCCGGGTGGTGGCAGTTGCAACGGAACGGGTGGTGCTGTTGGTTGTGATGGCTGTCCAGCATATAATAACCGTGTTTATAAATCGTCTTCCCGACCTGCCCCCGTGAGACACGCTGCAGGAGTTTCTCCTCAAGCCATAAATCAGCCTAGAAATATGAGCCACGAAACGAACGATCTGTTAGATGTCCCTAATCAAGATGGAGGACTACCAACTGCATGCCAAAACTGCGGTACTACAGTAACTCCATTGTGGAGGCGAGATGATCAGGGTCATCCTATTTGCAATGCTTGCGGTATGTCTAGGTTTCCTTACTTTTCAATGAAATTTATGGCTAACGTCGAAATTCGGTTGTTGAAGGGCTCTACTTCAGGTTGCATGGCTGCGCTCGACCGGTAGCCATGAAGAAATCAATTATTAAAAGAAGAAAACGCGTTGTTCCAGCCCTGAGGGATAGGTCTCCCACAGCAGGTTCTTCCAACGATTCTTCAGTCTCCCCCGAGTTGCCACCCGCTTCCCTCGCCTCACACCAACTCGATACCCGGAGATACTCGCATGGAGAACAAACCAGCCCCTTCATCGTGAATGCCAATGGGCAGCTATCTCCTCACATGCAAACAACATACCCGTCAAATCACTCCGCTCCTCCGGCCATCGACTTCACCGGATACAACTCGAAATCGACTTCTCTTCCCCACCATGGACCACCACCAGGGGGTCTATTCAACGGTGATCGAGTCGTCCCAAGCGAGCATTTAACTTCAAGTGCGACTCCAAAAAAGCGTTCGCATGAAGAAGCAAATGCATCAGATACACAGGCCAACGCTCTTCCCAACAACTCCGACATCCCAGCATCTGCTCACCTCCCCCCAATCAACCCCTCAGCCGCGTCTTCCCTTTCTCATCCTGGCCGCTTAAGCTCAATTTCTTCCTTGCTTAACCACGCAGAAAAGACTTACGAAGGTTCATCTATTGACCCATCTCTCAATTCCAACGGCTCCAGATCACAGGCGCATCCCTCTCCGTCGTTTTCCCCTTCACATGCACCTGCCTCATTGTCCCCTTCTGGGTCCGGTTGTACTGGTTCACTTCAGCCATCAGCCGCCGTTGTTGGACCTACAGCTCTTTCGGACGAAATGCTCAAAGCGGAACGAAGAGCTCAATTACAGCGAGAAGCCGAGAACATGCGTGAAGCTCTCCGTGCCAAAGAAAGGGAGCTTGCTGCCTTGGAGCCGTGATTCGTTCAGCACGGTCGTTCGGTGCTTGTTTGGGAGTTTGTGATATTACTTGCTTCAAATTGTTTGCCCGGATTGTCCTTATATGTATCGGTTTTAGGGAAAGGGATGGATAGCGGGATGCCATGATGCATTGGCTTGAATTTTTCAATCATAATCTGTTTTTCTTTACGGTGTTCTCTTTTTATTTCCCCCCTTTTCCTTTTCAAGCTGCAAAGTAGTCTGGTTGTAATCCCTTTGGTCTGCGAGTTGCAGAAGAGTCTCAGTCCTTTAACCTTCTCATTGAGTGGCTTAATCATTCAAAAAATCCATCCTTAATCTGGATTTGATGTTAATTTGTATCCTGATTATCATAAATTAAAAAGCTTCCAATCTGCGTGGGATACAGGATATGGCACTCAAGATCAAGATCCAGTCATGATAAGATTAGATTAACTAGACAAGCTGCCGTTTGTGGCTGAGCTGTCAGCGGGGCGAACAACAAGACTCCCGCATCCACACGCTGGTACAACGAAGCTACTCTTCCATCAGAAGAACTTCTGTTGATGGATGAGCTACAAAAGGGGGACAAAAGATAAGTATGGTTTGTTTCTTGTATTTAAAGTGTAAGTTAGTTATCAATTCATCATTTGTGTCTATTCTCCACCGACCCGAGCTCTGTTGTCAAAATGCATTCGTGCCAGACCAGACAATAAAACAACAAGGCCATGATTAGAGAACAAACATATGTAGTGGTGCTCTCAGTCGCAAATAACAAACCGCAGCGCAATTTCTAACTCTCCCAGAAGTACCCCAAGTTGAACCATTTCCCCAAAAGATGTGCCCCGGAAGACATCACGGAAACTTTTGAAGTGTCCCACCCCTGGGCCAACCAGATTGCCTTCGATTTGGCCCGCACATCAGGTCAGCAGATAAGGAAGCATTTTTGGCCAACGACAAATGTGCTACCAAACTGCAGAAGCTTGAGCATGCTGGAAGGCATGCGAGGTGCCCTCTTGCGAAAATCGGTCTGAACCGGCGCGTCGAGCGAGAGATGAAAGGATGGGAAGACAAATACTGTGCAGAGGTTGAACTCCAAGAGATTTCTAAATATCCTCCTTAGCAAACGTGTCTCCGGATCCAAGGCAACCGAAGATGCCATTAACCTTGATATTCAGGAGATTCCGATGATAGATTCTCCTAGGGCGCTGACAGATATTCGTGCACAATCTCCGTCGGCAAATTCTCCCGCACAGTTAGCTTCTTTCACACGGGCAAGCGAACCTAGATATGCCCGCTTCTCCGCCCAGGCCCAGCCACATTCGGGGGGACCCCACAGCCCCCGATCTAAGCCTGCGTTACTTCACCAGCCAGGAGCAGATCGTCCACAGCCCCCCCACAAAAAAGTGTCTGCCGCCATGAAAGCACATTTGTGAGGTCGGATGTTGACATAGGAAGGGAAATTTTGGCGTTGCCATCTCGCAGAGAGAGCATAGGTCGCGGTGCTTGTATCCAAAGGAACGAACTAAGGGGCGGAGATATATCCGCACTGACACTAAAGGAGAGAATTCTGCCGATCGTCCATAACCTCCCACAGAGCAGGCCCTGTTTTTGCAGGGCGAGAAGAAAGTACGTCGCCGCCTTTGTGCTTTCAACCAATGACAAACCGTGGGCCAACGGATATCCCGCCCACAGTAATGGAAGATTCGCGGAGTCCATGTGCACGATAGCACGGCAGTCCCACGTCCATGGTCAAAAAGATGTGGATTTTTCCGATGCCCGGACCTAGGCACCGCTGCCGAATAATGAAAGCAACAGGGATGCAACAAGCCGAGAAAATAATCCCTCCAGTCAAACTGTTTAGGAGGCGTGAAAACCCGCTGCGGCAGAGAGCATTCCTGCGCAGCAAGACGATAAGAATAGGGACCCACACTGACAAGCCATGCACCGCTTAGGATCGATGACACGAATGGGAACAGGATGGGTTCGCATGGCATTCGGAGCGCCCGAGATCACGCTCTCGGCCAGGACGTGAAATATCCGTTTCACAAGGAACCCCGCAAAACACAGTGAACTTCCAGCTTCGCCAGGACGCGAAGCTATCCGAAGGGCAGCCGAAACAGACCGCACGATGTGCTGAACGGGAAAAGAACCGCGAGAGTATCCCTTTCGGAGAACCTCCCGAAAAGCGCAAGGTAGCAGCGAAAAACTCACACTTGAAATTGCGTGCCCATGAGGCCCTGGGCACCATCGGTAGCAACAAGCCCAAAACGAACCTATCGCGTCTGAAAAGTCGTTGACGATGCGCCGAATAGTCATATGCATATCCGCAAGTAACGGCAAGAGACATAAGTGGGGACAGCCAAGCTCCTGGAACTCGAGACACAGCCGGTAAAGCTCCGGCCGGTTGTCGCCAGGGTGAAAGAATCCAAGAGAATTCATATACCTTTCCGCTCATCATGGACAGACAGACAGACCCAGCACTAATATCTTGAAGATGATCTAGATCAACAAACATCCGCGGCAAAGGTAAGCCTCGAGCTTATGCTCTGGAGGATATGAACTCGAGAAAATCATGTATATTCTCCAGATCGAAAGCAAAATCCAAGGTCTCCAGCCGAATCACGGTACATGTATGTACAAGGAGAAGAGTAGATCAAGGCGCTGTTATTCAAGAAGTTTAGGTAGACGTATTTCCCAGAGCAGAAGAAACTGTGTCTCAGGCCCCAACCAACGTCCCCCACATGTTCGCTGTGGTATAGTCCAGGAAGCAATCCACACCGAAAGCTAGACCAGAAACTTCAAGGTAGGTCAAATACCTTGGCCCTGGAATTGTGAAACAGAAGCTGTGTCGCGAAAGTCGAGTGATGTCCCCCAGGCCTTGTTCGCTGTGGTATAGTCCAGGAAGCAATCCACACCGAAAGCTAGATCAGAAACTTCAAGGTAGGCCAGATACCTTAGACAGAAATTATGATGGCGCTTCATTCAGTTCCATGCAAACTCATTCGCTGAATATCTCAGATTTCCAACGTTTCTGGAACAGGGCTCGCGCTTCAATTCGCTGGTGGGGTCAACAACGGGTTAAACCACTCCAACGGTGTGGGCTGAGACTTGGGTCAACAACTGTGCACGCTTCGAGTATGAAGGGAAAAAAAGGATCGCTGATCCCTCTCCATGCTCGAAAACGGGATCTTAGGACAAGGCGACTAGCATGTCCGATTGACAAAGGGTGGACGTCCACTTCTATTCACTGATTGCCCGAGTTCTTGTAAGGTCTAGGTTCAGTCACCACCACTCCCTAGAACCGCGGAAGCCGGACCACAATGCAACAGCTTCCCAGCACCCGGCAGTAATTCGGCAAATGTTGCCATCCTGGTGGCATATAGCGACGGGCTATGCTGCATTCTTGTTGACACAAAATGTCTCAAGTCGTCGAGGCATGATACATGGTTCTAAGCCATCCATAGTTATCTCTTCCGCCCATCATCCGTTGATGATGATAATACATATCATATTCGCCGTTCACACGTGTCAGGACTGTTGCGGTTGCCCCCCTCGATAGGGTAAAACCAAGCGTCACCATTAGAATGCCATGGTGGGAACGCAGACCGGACAGAGACAGATGCGGTGCACCACCGCTGTTTAGCTTTGACCGATTCTCCGGAGCCTGAATCCTCCTGGTAGAAACACCCTCCGTAGGTTCGCAATAGGTCGCTGCTATAGAACCAGCATCCAAGGCCTCTAAGGCACTAAGGACTCCAAGACGGATCTGGCGCTCGGAGCTTGGGCGGATTATCTATGGTCACGCCTGGAAACTTGAGGTCGGTGAGCCCACCATAGGATCCGTTGGGACAAGGCTAAAACCACACAGCCCAGAAGGATCAGAGGCGAGTGTAACTGAAAACCCCAACAGCAAGACCGTACAGTTTCCTCCATGGGGAGAATCGTCTTAAAGTAAGGAGCCCTCTCTCCCCACATCGTCACCAAACTTCAAAGTATTCGGACAAGATGAACATGAAAGATGGATTTTTGCTAGGAAATATATCGAGAAGCAAGCTTCCGTTCTCCCCCAATGCAGAACAGATCCATCAAAGTGTCCGTTTACCCTTCCATCATGACGCAACCACTGAGCGGCGAGCGCTGGGAAGGACGTGGAAACCTCCGCCGCATCCATTTAGTTGCGTCCATGTGCCTGCTCGACTCCGAAACATATTCATGCCTCGTAGGGCAGAAAAGTGTTGCCATCCAACCGTTTACTGGCAGCCACGGCTCGGCCAGGTACATTATCGGATCCGCTGGATCATAACACGGCACACGGTCGTCCCAACCGTACTTATCTTGCAACCAAGCCCCCTCTGCCGTGTAAAATTGGAAGACACGCCCCGTAATAGCCCTTAGCAAATCATGGCCCCGATAGCGAGCGAGATCGCCCCACTCGCCATCGTACAGGACTGGGTCGACAAATTTCATCGCCTGCCTGAGGATTGTTCCCACTCTCGATGTGCTATTCAGCCAAGGTTTTGGAGGGGTGAGGATGACGAATAGCGATACTTCAGGAGGAGTAAAGCTGCGTTCTGAGATCGGTTCCCCGAGCCAGTTGAAATGGTGCACGTGAGGTCGGTTGTCCATCCACCACCCTTGCCATGATTTTTCGAAATGGGCGATCGAAAGCAAGTCTTGCAGGCATTCATGATCGATCAGGCAATGCGTAAATGGAAAGTTACCATCTGCGTCTGCACAACGCGGCCCCTCTTGCGAGTCATTTGATTCCGTCTCGATATCATAGCGTTTCGTTGTTTCAACAATCAACGGCTCCGATCGAATAATATCAGCCTGAGGTAGCACGGAGCTTCCAGGATCCGATTTAGTTGTCGTGGAACGTGTAACGCTCTCCAAGCAAGACTCCTCTAAAGTCGCATTGCCTGCACTTTTCATGGATTGGCCAGGCGTTTCTTCAGACGAACGGTCTTTGTTTCCGGTGATTTCGCGGCCATTACACGGGATGTGGCCTGGATTGTCCGTCCGCAACACTTCATCGTCGCAATCGCTCCAATCAAAAGGTTCCGGTTTAAGAAGCTTTGACAACTCAGCGTCTTCTGTAAGGTTTCCTGGGTAGGCATCATGCGGGGCTGTCGCATTCTTATCAAGAGGGCGAACGGCAAAGAGACCGAGATCATATTGGCTTTCGTCACGTCCGAAGTCGTCGGTTTTTTTCTTAAAGTACTCGATATCAAAAAGTATATCGACATCGGAGCGACTACATTTAACTTTGGATTCGTAATCGGAAGATGGAACTCTTGGCATTTCTAGCGAGGAGTTCGAAGGTTGAAGGGCACGTCGAACCATGTAGACCGAGTCTCCCAGTCGCTCCGCACAAAAGTCATAGATGCTTGAGGTTGGTTCTCTTGATGGAACAACAAACGTGGCGTTGCAGAGCATGAGCCGTCCGCTATAATCCCAAAGCATAGCCTCGATGGTATAAGCGGGACCCGGATTTTCAGGCGTAATAGCACAATGATAGAGCTGGCTTCCGCGCCCACACTGCCTTAATCTTGTCGGGTAGTCCATTGAGCAAAAAGGGCCAGGAGGAAGATACCGGGGAGAGGAATTGACATGGTTCTCCAGTACTTGAAGGATGAACTGCTCCCAACGGAGGAAGCTGCTGGTTGGCATAATTCGGTGCGGGAATGTCGAGGTTTAAGTAGCTTTAAGCGCGAGTCGAGGCAACAAAGGGAGGATCGAGAGAGGAAAACCGGATGAGTGGAAACGAATATGCCAACTCACAAAGAGACACTCGTTCAAGTCTGCAATAGGCTTTTGGATGTCTAAGAGAAAGTAGCCCGAGAGCGGACCTTACCTCCTTGTTGAGTTGCGCTGGATGAAATGGAGACAATGAAATAGTCCTATAAAGAGTCCAGGCTGAAGATAAAAAGGCTGGCTTTGCTTGTGGTCGACAGACAAATATAGGGAGGTGGAAGATTTGAAAGCAAAGGCCCCATTGTCGTATCGCCCGACAACGGCTCTTTATGCTGCCGATTTGAGAGTCTTCACGCCGGATTCAGTGACAAACATTCCTTGAAACTTGACAGGAGCAGTCACAGGGCAGCTGCATTAAGCTAAAATACCAGAATTTGATTGTTTTCATTCATAGTATTCATTGCCAGAACATGTGCAATCACTTTTAGCATAAGGAGGGAATGTATGACTCCCCAAGTCGGTGAATGGCCTGGAAGTAGTGATACACACACACGCCAACAAGGCGTGAGGCGAGCATCAATCCATCCCGCATCACCATTCACATGGGATATGGCGGGATATGGAGTCCTTTGGACATCGCAAACATTGTTAACAGCAGGGGCAAGCCTTGGTCAGATATGAAAGGCTGGTGAGAGGGCAAGCAAACAAAAAGACATAGGAGATGTTGAAGTGGGGGTGAAACAAGCCTGAGTGAATCAAACAAGAAAAGAGAGTCCGCGCTACAAGCATTTCCAAACACAAGGCAAAGTCGCATTCTCGTTGCTATTCATTTCCTGAGCGCAACCCTTCATGATGCTGGGTTGGGGACTAAAAAGCCAGCATGAGTGGTATGTTCTGGTAGTGACAGGAATCCGGCCGAAAACAAATGGCAAATGAACCAAAAACATCACACATTCTTTTGAGCTAGCTGCAACGATGGCTTTCTGTAGCCAGCATACGAATGATCATCGCTTCAGTGTTGCTTTGGCTGCTCGTGTCTGGGCAGCACTCTCCATGGGCCTTTGCAATTCAAGCCTGAGTAGTATGAGCTTAGAAGTAAGGAATATATAGGTTAAGTTCTGAGAAACAATTCTTTTGCTTAAAACTAAAAAATATTGACTTTGCGTTGGAGTGATTTGCTTGATATGCATGGGGGTTGTGAAAGAGAACAGCGAGACAGCGCAGCGTCGGCGGTGGTTAAGATCGGCACTCGGAGTTAACGCCGGGGGTAACTAAAGCCTCCAGCGCGGGGAAAAGCTAACTAGTTAACTCAGATAGCAAAGCTGATGAGGCCCCAGTCTCTCCCCATCCCGCCCGCAAGTGACGAGCCCCGGCATCCTCCCGCCCTGCAACCTTCAAGGACCTGATTCCCCTTCCTGCCATCGCCCGCCGCAGCGTACCATCAATCGCTCGTCCTTATGCACCATTTCCGTCCCTGCATTCAAACTCTCCGGACTTTCACGCGTCATCCAATTATCTCCCGAAAGCCGACCCATTTTCCAGAGTTACGACCGGTACTACATTACAAGGACCGTCCAATCATCCAGCAGACGTACGCCAGAAGCACAATGGCTACAGCCATGGGAAAGCGCCTTGAGGGCAAGACAATCCTAGTGACGGGCGCTTCGTCCGGAATTGGGAAAAGCACCGCGTTGGAATTCGCCCGTACATCGCCCAAGAATCTGAAGCTGATCGTCACCGCGCGAAGGGTCGATTCGTTGAAACAGCTTGCCCAAGACATTAAGGCCGAAGTTGGCGAAGGTGTACAAGTTTTGCCGTATCAATTGGATGTGAGCAAGCCCGAGGAGATCGAGAGATTCGTAGACTCGTTGCCTGCTGAGTTCCGCGATATTGATGTGTTGGTGAACAATGCGTGAGTTCGAAATGCCCCGGATTCCTCAATCGTCAATTTATCCGTTCCGGTATGCTTATGGATGAAATAGAGGCCTTGTCAGAGGTGTTGCGAAAGCTCCCGAGATCGACACTGAGGATATCAAGATAATGTTCGACACGAACGTTACCGGATTGATAAACATGACTCAGGCCATATTACCAATTTTCAAGGAGCGTCCCAATGGCGGTCGAGGAGATATCATCAACATCGGAAGTATTGCTGGCCGAGAAGCGTATCCCGGAGGCAGCATTTATTGCGCAACAAAGGCTGCGGTCCGCAGTTTCACGGATGCTCTTCGGAAGGAGCTCATAGCAACAAGAATCAGAGTTATCGAGATTGACCCTGGCCAGGTGGAGACTGTAAGTATATACATATACGGAATCCATGGGTATGTGTTATTTTGGTAACTAAACAAACATCTCTAGGAATTCTCTGTCGTTCGATTCTACGGTGACAAATCTAAGGCTGATGCCGTTTATGCGTAAGTTCATTCATTCCTTGCTTTTTTCACCCCAGCCGTCTCTTCTATGGCTAATCTTGTGCTGGGCAGTGGATGCGACCCCCTCACGCCAGATGACATCGCCGAGGTTGTCGTCTTCACCGCTGGGCGGCCGGAGAATGTGGTCATTGCGGACACACTCATCTACCCACAACACCAGGTATGTTTGACCAGTGAAGCAGAGCCCGCCTTAGCGAACACACGCGTGGAAGATAGTTAAACTCACCCTGCAAATGATAGGGCTCCCCAACCGCCTTGCACCGCCGCTCATAGAAGATAAAACATTTCCGAGCACGCCTAGTCCTTGCCCCTCCCTTGTATATGGTCTGAGGAGCGGGCTTGTTGTTTGAACCACCCGAAACACATAGAAAGGAAGGCCATCCATGATGCAAATAGGTCTAGAATCCTTAGACTCCAGTAGAACAAGAAGACAGCCTTTTTCTTTTTCCTTCCTTTCTTATCCATTATTCCTTGCCAGCTTTTAGCTGTCCACCGCGGCGGGGGAATGGAAACACAAACTCCAACATCTTCTAGCACGTAGTCTCAATCTCCCCGTATTTTCCCTGGCGTACGTCCATAAGCCCTCCGCATCGAGCGTGATATCATCCAGGGTTTCCCACTGGGCACGGACTGACGCTTTCCGTCACCGTCATCAACGGCAAGCGGCCAACCGGGGGTGGAAAGCGGCCATGGCGCGACGTCACCGGAAAATCAGACATTCCCCGCATACTAGCTCGCGGCCCAAGCAACATGGCACATGCATGACTAGCAGTTAGTGAGTTTGTTAGTTGCAGTCGAGACTGTGAGACACAGTGCCAGGGACCCAGAGACATTCGTCAGGGTTGTTTCAGGATGGAACTTGGGTTGAATCCTGACAAGACGGCCCGAAAAAGAGGGGCGAGGGGAGTAAGAAAGAAGGGAAGGCAGAGCGCAGAAACGCCCCAAAGGTTGGCGCAATTTAACTGCAAAATGAATGGAGACATGTTGGGATCAGGTGACTATCTTCGTATGCAGTGTAGGTCGATTTGAGATTTCCAGAAATTCGAGCATGGGGGAATCGCTGCCATATTTAGGAGAACGGTCGTTGTCAAGCGATATTTATACTGGGAACGGGATTCACTCCACAAACAGTAAGCTAGGTTTAGGTGGTGTTGGCTTGAATCGCTCTTAACAAAGTACTCTATATCCCGTACCTCCGGGGTATACGGCACTCGCTGTAAGGCTGATCTTAATTCAGCGACAGATGAAGCGCTTAATTAGGTGATTTGCAAAGTTATACAGTGTACTCCGTACTTCATATGTATGCCTGCATTTCTGTGGCGATCGTCTTTCTTGACAGAATCTTCCCCGAAACCGGGGTCCCTGGTTGGTGATACCCCCCATCTGATTGCGCTCAAGCAACGGGTATCGATGGCTATCCAGCGTCCAGCATACAGGTTTAGACGTCAGGGTGTACCTTCATATTCCGTACATCTCTGAGCATCCGGCGCGTACTACATCTGCTCAGTCGGAGGGTCAGTTTGTAGAATTTGTTGATAGAGTATGGAGTAGTACTCCCTCCATCACAAGGCCAGACCGGAAAATATTGTCATGCGAGCGACAGGTGCTGTTTTCGTGCTGACTTGAAGATATTCCTGCCCGAAGACGCCGAGTCAAATTCTGTTTTCCTTCCGCCCCGGGGGGCATCCTCTCACGACAGAAACCTTGTCAGGGGGGTTACTTCAGCGGGAATTTTCAGGAAAATCTGCATCAGAACAGGCATGGATCGGTAATGATCCCAGCACGGTCGCTGCAAGATTCAGGGCTGGAATATCCTTTTGCTTCTTGCGATCCCTTTGGCTTCGGGAAATCTCCAGAGTGAGCAAGTGAACTTTCAGCCCGAAAAACGGGGGTGGTACATTGCTCTTGGGATTGATGCTGAGTGGTTCAGCGCTCAAATCGCATGCTTCCCCTCATGGATGGAGGTTGCATGTTCCAATTGAATCGCGCGAAGCAGACAGCGACCGTTAGCGAGGCACGAGGTCTTGCCCATCAAAGGGGTTCATCTTAACCTAATTGCGCCAATATCACCTCGGAAAATAGAGATGTACGTCAATTTCAACAAGTGACCATGGAGTCGAGATAACTTACGGAGGACATATTGTCCATACTTCCTCATTGGATGGAGGTAATGTGGTGAGCCGGCGACGCATCCAACCGCATCGTCCGTCGAACCCATCGGACGGAGCGAATCACAACCTCTCCAACGCCAAAAGGATGCACCTTTAAAAATAGCTCCAGAATCAAGCCTTCCGGATCCATGATTATATCGCCCACTAATATTGAAAAAAAGAGACACAATGATTGCACATGCATCTGGGCAAGAGAGCCGAAACCTCATTTTGACAGCCACACAACGACGTGTGTGGATGGCTGGGGGAAACTTGAGCATTCGATTGGATCTGATGAGTACCAAAAAAAAAAGGGGGTGCGATAAGAATGATAGTCCCGAAGCAACTTTCTCCCAGCCTCTTGTAACCATGTTGGAACCGGAAAAAAAGGGTTAAGTTGTGTTGAATTGAAGTGTTCTCTTAACCGACTCTAGGGTTTAGGCGGAGAAAATATAAAACTCCTACCAGATTTCGGCTCAGCAGGCCTCGAGACCTCAAGAGCCGAAAGGGATGCAAAAGCTCCTGGCCTGGCGGCTAACTAGCAGCGTGTGGAGCGAACAAGGTCACTCTGGCTGCCCCCGCCCCTATCCCCTTCTGCTACAATGCCCAACAGCGCTCCATCCCGGATGCAGTAATAATCGCCGCCCTCCATTACGCTTAGCACTGCCAAAGATATGAATTATTGTCGTAGAGTCCGCTGGGGAGCGATTCAAACTCGAACGGCAGGCGAAACTACAGTACAGATCGATCCGGCTTGAAATCCCCTCTGCCGTCCCCGCCTCCAGATCTCCCCTCGTTTGAGCAAGTAAGCCGAGAACGTAAAATTGGAAATGGTGTGTCGACAGACAGTTAGGAAATCTCGGGCGTTGGAGAGGCGTGTCGGAGGATTGTAGATCAAGAGAAAAGAAGGAAGAGAGACAGAGAGGTTTTTTAAACAAGATCGCCTCTTTCTTCCACCAGAGTCCCAATTTTCCAACCCCTGACCCTGTCCGAGCGTGGGTTTCTAGCGCCATACAGATGTAGGTTGGAGGTAGTTTTGGGTGGTGAAGTGGACGGGGGCCAAGCCGTCACTCTCGACTCGCTTTCTCGCTCCCCCCAACCTGCTCGCTCACTATCACCTCTTCCCGACCCCATCCAACAACCCTCTAGAGCTTGCCTGAGCGCAACAATTGACATTCTCTTGTGTCATAACCTGACTGCTGGTTGTCTCGGCAGCTGAACTGTTCGCTCCGGTCTCCTTTTTCACTCTCTTCACCGAACTGCACGCCTGTCACGCGCCGAGAGAAAGCATATCATGTCTTCAACCTCAAAGGTGAGCCACGCACCGACATGTGATGCGTCACCATGGCCCTCTTTGTGCAATCTCAATGAAAGGGCCATCGATCTAATCCTACAATACCACCTTTAGTTTCTCCGTGAATACAAGCTGGTGGTGGTTGGTGGAGGAGGTGTTGGCAAATCATGCTTGACCATCCAGCTAATCCAGAGCCACTTCATTGACGAATATGACCCGACAATTGAAGGCAAGTCGCTCCTCGAATATATCATGTGTCCTGCGGCAGATACTGATGTTGCTCACCTGCGACTACAGACTCATACCGCAAGCAATGTGTCATTGATGATGAGGTCGCGTTATTAGACGTCCTCGATACCGCGGGCCAAGAGGAGTATTCAGCAATGAGAGAACAGTACATGCGAACCGGCGAAGGGTTCCTGCTGGTCTACTCGATTACCTCCAGGCAGTCATTTGAAGAAATAATGACCTACCAGCAACAAATACTTCGCGTCAAGGACAAGGACTATTTCCCTATGATTGTCGTCGGCAACAAGTGTGATCTAGAAAAGGAGCGCATTGTTTCCAAACAAGGTAGGGATTATCTGCCCAACGTGCGATAGATCAGGTGGCTAGCAGAGGATCTCTCTATTTCGCACAAATCTTTCTTTTGCTCTCGCTAACACCATCGCCGCAAAAACAATAGAGGGCGAAGCACTGGCGCGCGAATTCGGATGCAAGTTCATCGAGACCTCCGCAAAATCCCGTACCAACGTTGAAGATGCCTTCTATGATATCGTTCGCGAAATCCGACGCTACAACAAGGAAATGTCATCATACTCCTCTGGAGGTGGTGGCTACGGCTCCCGATCTCCAGAAGGCAAAATGGAAGTAGACGATCGCGGTGAGAGCAGCGGTTGCTGTGGAAAATGCGTTATCATGTAAATGAAAATTCACAGGCGAAGAAAAAAAAAGGAATAAAAAGAAGAGAAGAGAAGAGAAGTTTCAACCGCGGAACTGCTTTCACGACGATAGAAACATGACCGGAGCCGGCCCTTGCGATTCTTTTTCAAATGAACGAGGATGTCATGACTGAGATTCACGCTTTTAAGGTCCTTGCAGTACGTGCAGTCGCCCTCAAACCGCTCTCTGCACTAGCTGGAATTCTGTGATGCTTTGGTGCCGAGACTACCTGCAACCGGTCGAAGGACTTTTCTTTCCACTCAATACTTTGCTACGTCTGTTTTGTTTTTCTTTTTTCCCCTTCAGGCTATTCGATTTTCATTTGTGATACCTGGCTACAATTCCCTGGATTTGTGGAACCTTCATACTCAGAGATATCGTTCGCTGGTCTGTGCTTATTTTTCCAAGGATCTCCTTCTATTCTACATATTAACAACTCCTTTTAATCTCATGTCCTACCCCCTTTCCCCTCTCAATGTGCCCGTTTCTTCTGCCCTTTTTATTTTCTCTTTTTATTTCTTCCAATTCCTGCATTTACTCCCTTTTTCGCTGTGAGTATTATTCCCCTTTTATATCCGACTTGTCCTTTCCTTCCACACACACTCACGATCATTTTAATCAGTTGATTTATTTTCGCCGGGATCTTATATCTCGTTTTTGAAGCCTCGCTGCAACTTCTGGGCTGGCAGGGTTCTTGACGTATGTGGGATATTCCTCTACCGGCTGCCATGCCTTCTGGTAAAGCACATTTACTTGTCTCTCTACTATTTTACTCATTATGTGAAAATACTGTGCACGGAATCGAGTTGGAAAAAACGGTCCCAATGTAAAATGTACTTCTTGCAGCGATTCTAACTCTATTAGTTCTTGTCCATTTTGCGTCTCAAATGTCTCTTTGCCTCCGCTTGGTTTCCTTCGCCTGTGATTTGTGCTGAGGGCTTTTTGTGTTCGAATGGAATTGATCGTGAACTACGGAGGATCTCCCTGCGTTTCAGCAGCAGCCTACAACCCCCCCAGTTCCAACCCAGCAAACCCGTCTAGAACTAGATAATTCCATCTAACCTTGTTTTCCTGTCGAGTATTCCCATCTCAGTTTGGTCAGGATCAAGCACCTTGCATCGCTTCCGGCCGGCTCAGGTCCATCAGGCCCCGTAATTTCCAATCCGGGACAATCCTCCTATAACCAGATCGGAGACATATTCTGTCCATTTCGTGTCACAGGTTAGGCGCATCTAGTATATGGGGTCACTTGTCCAGTGCAGCAACCGGAGCTTGCAACTTCCATGGAAGCCTGCCTACCCCCACACGGACGAGTGACGAGGGGGCCATTTTATATTTCTTGTGACAGTCGAGCGGAGGGATTACTAGGCAGTCTGATTTGACTTCCCTGCTAGTAAACAGCCATCCTCGTACCAACCTGATATCATTTTAGTGCATTAGATACTAAAGATCGATCGCTCAGTATTGACCCTCTATATATAAATATGCATACAGAATCCACGACCTTATACCTATTTTTGCTCTTCCGGCTCATCAACTGGATCATCCTCGTCCTCCCTGGACACCCTCCGTCCCTGCACGTTTTTCTCAACCTCATCCACCAAACTCTCCATATACTCCAAATCCGTGCCGACCAACGTCACCGTATTCCTCTTCTTCCCCCACCTCGGGTAACTGCCTACTTTAATCCCTCTAGGCTCCACTCTAGCAGCCAAGTCGGTCAAATACGGCGCAATCGTGCTCTCGTACAGCGGTGTAGCGAACATGAGCCGGTGAATTCCTTTTCCCTCGGGGTCAATGAGTTTTGGTAGAAGGATGGGCCTTAGACGGGTGAGCAATCTCTCAAATAGAGACGGGACACCCGGGAGGATGTAGATGTTGCCATTGACCACGGACACGGGGACCCAGAGCTCGTCGTCGACAAAGAGGGCTTGTTCAGATATAGGCCGGGTCTCGTCGGTGGGAAGGTGGACCATGCGTAGTCGCGCAGTTAGAGCGGGGGACGGGGTGTCCCAATCGAAGTCTGGCTTGGCCTGTTGTGGTTTTGACAAGCGTCTCATGCGGTTGAAGGCTTCTTCATGAAATTTGAGGTTAAGATTGAATGCTTTGGCTATGGACTGGTAGGTGATGTCGTCGTGCCTTTGAGTTGCATAGATTGCCATCATCAGCATCGAACGATATACGGAGAACTAAGAATGGGTGGTTTAATGTACGTTGGTCCGATTCCTCCACTTGTCACGACAAGGTCATATCTGTTGCTCATCCGCCTCACGGCTTCGATGATCTCATCTTCGTCGTCGGCAATGACCTCAACGCGCTTCAGCTGCACGCCAATGGAGAAGCAGTACTTTGCGAAAAGGGAGGAATTGGTATCAACGGTCTAAAATCATTTCACGTTTGCTCTCCCGACACAAGATGTGCGAGAGGCGTCATTAATGGAAGTCCGTCAGCCAACGGTCACGGCTTTTTCTGGGAATGGCCACCATAAACACGGATGCTAGAGGGCCTGCCTACCTTGCCGCCGAGAACCTCGTCTCCGATAATCAAGCACGCCGCCGTCCCGATTGCCCGCTTGCTGTTCTCCAGCGCGGTCCGTTCGGATGATGTCATTGTGCGCAAGGTGGAAATCGGGCTCAGGATGGGAGCAGGGGGACAAATTGGAGATATAGAGAATGGCCGAGAGAGATGTCTTGTCAACTGAGCGATGCGACTAAACATCGGGTTTTGCGTGGGGAATAAAGGAATGTAACCGGCAACGGTGCAGAGATATAGCCGGTAGATCGCTTTGTTGAAAAACAAAAAAATATATCGGGAGGGGCAGACAGGTTGAGCCGACCGGAGATGACTTCACCCCCCACACCTCCTGCGCGCCTGGACTGCCTTTATCAGAGAGACCGTTCATCAGGTCAACGACAGACAGTCTTTCAGCACTTCCGAGGGCTCACCAATATTCAACTGCAAAACATAGTAGATAGGAACTACATACTGCACTCGAGTCCCGTTCCAACAGCACTATGGTGGGGAACTTGCGTCCCGCTCCCTCATCGATCTCACGATGGAAGCTAACAGGTCGCGACCAATATCAACAGTCTGACACAAGGCTCTACACTTTCTCCCCCGAGACCCGGGAGAAGCTGCGCAAATTTCGCCTAGGTACATCGAGAGCGAAGGATCCACAGGCCATTATTTGTACTTAACCTCCCCCTCCTATCCGTCAAATCTCCTTCCACTTCTTTCCAATGAAAATGATGACCCGCCAACACGCTTCCACCTCTGTCCGCTTCACCCGCGACAGACATGATAGATTCGAAAAGCCAAGAGATCCGACCCGTCGATGACCAGGTATATTCCAACATGGAGGATGTAGCGGACGAGCTGCCGGACTCTTCGCCGCGGTTTATCCTGCTCAGTTACCCCCTCACATTGGTATGAGCAAAGTGAAATAACGAGGATTTCTTATCTATTTTTGTTCTTCCCCCTAACCCTCATTTCTTTTTTGGTGATTATATAGCTAATGCCTGCGCCGAATACAACAGCCATCCGGACGTCTCTCTGTTCCCTACGTGCTCATCTATTACCTGCCCGAAAACTGCAACCCTGCTTCGCGCATGAGCTACGCCGGAGCAGTGGAACTAATGAGGAATACGGCAGAGGTTAATAAGGTTATCGAAGTCGAAGGGGAGTCTGAAGTGGCAGACATTAAGGAGAAACTTCTCGGAGAAGCATAGGGTATGGTACATATATTGAAAGGATCAGACTTGTTCAGGAGCTCGATTGAGGGTCATCCGAAAGGATAACATACGGCGTTTGGGAGGATTCCATTTTGCAGGTATTTAATATTCAATGAAAGAGGGATAGTTAGATCGTTAGTTCAGCTCTGTTGCAGAACGCCACATCTCTCAAAATAACATCACTCTGGTTTGATGTGAGGGCAGATATACAAGGATATCGGATGGGCCACGGCTAAGACTTGCTCTAAACCGTTTCAGAGCCCGATGTTGAGTGCAGTAAACCCAGCAACAGTAGGAAGTTGGGATGCTGAGGCTTGCCGGACCGCTTCAAGACACCCGTAGGACATCCGTAAGGTATCTTTTCGCAAGCCAAGACACCACGATGCCGGAATGAGCTCATGGCACCTCATTTCAATGAGCCCTTCAAGCTGGACAAAGCTTTCGCCACCGGATTTTGATAATCAAAGCCCGTAATATTATTCTCTGCAGACCCCGAGGAAAGGAGAAAAAAGAAAAAAAAAAGAAAGTACGGAGTAACAGAAGCAGAAGTAAGCCCGTGTCATTAGTTCAAGGCTCATTTGAAATAGCTGGATCGTCCTGAGTCAGGTCTTATTTCAGAGGCGAGCATGCAGCATATCCTCGGCAGAAACCGAGGCCAGAAAAGGATCAGAAGCTCAGTACGTGCAAAACCATCGATCCTAACGATCATCCTAGACCGAGTGTGGATAAGGATATTCCATTCGAAGGAATAAAATGCTTTGGACCCATGGCGGAAGGATGAACAACTTCATCCGGAGCGTTTGTAAATCAACAACAAATTGGTCCCGACATAGAAGAAGGGCTGAAAGGTCCAGGTTATATGATCGGTGTTATGGCCATACAGAATACTTCCCTGCTTGCAAGTGGATTTGAATCCGAGTGGAAGAGCCGTTCTTCCTTCGGGTATATTCCTATCTCTGGAATCGCTTACATCAAGCGAGTTGCGGATGGCAGAGCTGCAAGATAAGCGAACCCTTCCGCGTGTCTCCATAGATCCCTTTTGATCCGCCATTAAGAAGTGGTGCATCGGTGACAGGATAGAAATTTTTCAACACAAAAGGGCACGGGCAAAGCTCCGGACCAAATAACGGGCTCGGGGACAGAAGAGACGGCGGCAGTGTCAGATTTATCATCATATCTTGATGGATGCCGGAAAGCACCGGTGATCAAATTCCTGGCCACGCGAGAAACTAAATTAAAAAAAAATAAAATAAAAATGGTCCGTTGCACAAGCCACACGAGGATCGGTGGGCTGGTTGTCCTCAGGAAGGCCATGATACTGAAAATACGAAATCATCCAGAGGGAATCGAAACACGGAGGATTCCAAGGGGATTTAAACTTCAAAACAGTCTCGATCAAGCGTCCTTTCACAACGTTGCAAGAGCCGAACCAGGCGGTCTCCCGAGAGGGCTGAGTTTGGTCAAGTTCCTCAAGAGGCATTCTCGATACATGAGTCCCCGATCCATGACATCTCGCCGCCCCAGCGCTCAGGGGTTGAAAGTCCGCCTTTGATAATGGCCTTCTAGAAGGAGACAAGCGTGTCTTGGCCAATCATCTTAGCTCCAGCTCGATTTTTTTTTTTAAATTTTTTTTTTCCCCCCCTTGGCCATCAGTCCGGCCAACCACATCGCTTGCTTGCCCTTGTGATTGGGTATGGCGGCTTCGTATCCACGCGAATTTCGCTTGCGACAATCTCGGCTGCTGGATAATCACTCCGAGTTTATTTCCACGCGATCCTTTTTTCGCAAGCGTGCGGCGACGCGGGCGATTTTTGGGCCGGTCTTTCAAGCGGATTTACCGCTTCCCGGGCATCCAGGCGACAGTTGCCGCACCATGGCAATCGTCTCCCCAGCTTGCAGCCCATTCAGCATTCCACGTCGACGATTCTGCTCGCAAACTGACTGTAGACAAATCTAAAACTGAGATGGTGCTAGGAAGAGCGGTGACGGGGAGGACATCAAACAAGGTGATCGCTGCTTTGTGAAAAGCGGGCCACGAAGTGGGCTCGTGGAGAACTTTTAACTGAGTTAGTGGTAAGTTTCGGGAGCGCACTGTGCGAAATTTCTGGTTGTCGGATCACTTTTTCTGCTTCCCGCTGGCCTGGTTCTGATGGACCAAGTTTGTTCCGTAGGTCCCACCCACTCAGCAACCCTTCAGCGGGCTCGGCCGTGAGTGTCAATCAGCATCGCCAGTCGAGGGACAGGGAAGAGCCGGACCGCTGCTGATTCAGGCCTCCATTGTTTCGGCTCAATTTTGGGTCAAAGGTCTCTGCATCCAGAGGGACGAATTGGAGATGCGTACGGGCTGCGTCGAGACGTTTGATTTGCCACTTCCCAAACGCAGGCGTTTTGTCAACGGATCCGGCTCCGTAATCCTCGGGTGTTGGCCATTGGGTGCAGGTGCTTCGAAAAAGCCCTACCGTGGAGCATCACGCTTCAGATCAAGCCCGTTGCTTTTTTATACTCATGTTGTCGTTGTTGTTGTTGCTTTTTTTTTAAAAAATTTTTGTTCTTGACACTGACGACATTTGTGGAACGTGTCTCAGCAGGTGGGCCAGAGATTTCTGCTGTCGGGGCTCCAGGATCCTGGGTCAACGGCCAACCGTGGTGGCGGAAATCCCCAACGACAGAGGCCTGGCTCTCATACGGAGGAGTTACCAGACTTTGTATGTCTGGCTCGGTTGGAAATGCAGACAGCTGCGAAAGGCTGCATCCGTGGTTCAAAGGCCGAGTTGGTTGAAAAGGGACAGCTCACCAGGCGAACCACGGACGCCGCTGACAGCCCTCAATTTTTCTTTCTTTTTTCTTTTTATTTTTTTCCCAATCTTTTTCGTAGAATTTTTCCCACAATATCGTTTCAAGACGTATTAATACCGAAAGATATAAAGTGATACCACTGTCATAACCGAAATCGCATGACGTGGTATTTTATCCATTGGCTGTGATTTCAACCTGAGTCATGAATATTTCACTCCAGTTTCACAGTCCTTTTTATTTTTCTTTTTATCTTTTTTTGTTCTTCTGGAAATCGTCACGCTTCGCTGGAATCCGGGGAAATCCATGTCCTCGGGTGCGATCTACTGCTGACAGCTATGGACTTGACTCCGATTTCTCTCTCCTTTGGACTTACGAGACATAGAGGAACACGATGATTTCGCAGATAGAGACTGAGAGAGTGAGAGGTCGTTGCCCGAGACGGGTGTCTGGGTCGACTAATGCAGAGCGAAAAGGGAACGGTAGCAGGTGGTTGGCGGCATCCTTAAGGTGCAACAGGCTCACCAGTTCGCGGGCAGTCCGTCTTTTTGGTGTTTTTTTTTAAAGTTCGCCCATCACGCACGCCAGAAAACGTGTACTCCGTGGGTACATCCATACATTCATACGTACACACGTTACATACAAACATCGGTTTGGCAGCCAGCAAGAGTCGTTGGGATCCAATGGCCGGGGAAGGGCGGGCCTCGCTAAGGGCAGCGGGCAGAGAGGGCAGGGCAACAAGCAGCAGCAGCAGCAGCAGGGCGGGTTAAAACGCAGCTGTAACGGAGCCGTATGACAGGCCCGCAGCCGGCGTGGAAGCTCTCGTCCCTTCCCGCATCCCCGGCCCAGGCGGCGGGCTGTGACTGGCCCACGCCGGCCCACCGCGCACCGCCGGGTCTCCAAGCCCCGCCCGCCGCCTGTTTCCCCCCGCGAATGAGATCGCCGCGTCTGCGCTGGGCCGTATTGTCTGCGTATTGCGAAACCGATTCGGCCCTAGCTGCCTTTTTCTCCTCTTTTTTCGCTTTTCTCTCTTCTCCATCTGCTTTCGCTCTCTCCTCTCTCTCTGCGTCTTCGTCTCTTTGTCTCTCTCTCTCTCTGTGTGTGTGCGTGCGTGTGGCTCTTCGTCGCTGCATTGTGCGTGTTGTTCTCGCCGCTCCCTGTCGACCTCCTCCGTCCGCCGCATCCCGACTTGCGAGATGGACCTCGTGCATTAACTGGATATCTACCCGCCGCATATATAGCATATATTACGAACGCGATCCCGATCGTTCTGCTTGAACCCCCCCCTCCTCCCCCCAAATCCTACCCTGGGCGGTTGCGAGTCTGGCTGTGGACGTGGACCAATCACCCCCGGACTCCCAGTTTCACGAAATTTTTGGCCTGCACGACCTGCGAGTCCCGACAAAACGCACTCTGCGGGAGTGTCACAGCGTCGATACATAACCAAAAAAGACAAAGAAAATAATAATAATAAATTAAAAACGAAAGAAGCTGCCCTCTTCCCCATATTTTCTAGACGGGAAGAGAGCTGTGTGTCCGGGATTTCGATTTCGTCCTGCTACCCTATCCCAACACCACGGAATCGGGCTTCCGCACATCTCTCGACCGCGACGGGCAGTTCTACCACGCACACTCACTTCATTGGCCGCCCCTCATCTGCACATCGCTTTTGTCAGACAGAAAATAACGCAGGGGTCTTCCCTCAAACTGGCTCGACCGAATCCGTCTGTCGGTGCGCAACTCGAACTGGCTCTGTCCACCCTCGTCCTGCATCTTACCGGCACATCGGAATAGGGAGGATAAATACTACCTGCGTCTGTTCGTCAAAAGATGTCGGAATCTGCAACTTCTGCCAAACCGGCAGGCTCCAAGGAGGACGGCATCTCCAAATACATGAAACGCATGAAGACCGTTCTCAAAGGTGGCACTCGTTCGAACAGGAATTCTATCTCCAGCTTTGCCGATATCACCGGTGATTCAAGCAAGGCAAAGGCGTCTACCTCTTCCCCTACGTAAGTAGTTTTGCAATGTTCTCGGATCTGCACATCGAATGATAGGGAATTGACAAGGCTGACGTTCTCTACTATGAGCAGTGCCAAAGCGTCTGCGACTGTCACCACCGTAACCAAGAAGACGGAACCGATGAGTGCTCAGGAGAAGACCAACAGGTGGAGCTCCATGCGGGAGGAGAAAGCTCGTGCCCTCTTCGCCAAGTACGGGTTGACCCTGGAGCCTGGCGAATGGGTAACTCCACGATCCGCGAAGGAGAATGTCGACCGGGTCGAGAAGCCAATCCGTATGAGGGTCCGACGGAATTGCCACCGTTGTCTAACCACGTTCGGTCCCGAGAAGGTCTGCGTCGGCTGCAGTCACATTCGCTGCAAGAAGTGTTTCCGCTACCCTCCGGCCAAGTCAAAGGAGGAATGTGAGGCAAAGGGCAAGGCTCGGGAGGTGGAGAAGATCGAAGAGATCCAACCCAAGGAGAAGAAGTTCGTCTTGACGATTCCATCTCGGACCGGTGGTCAAGACCTTGTTCGCAAACCTATCATGCAACGCGTCCGGAGAACCTGCCACATGTGCTCTACGCTTTTCATCGGAAGTGCGACCGAATGTCAAAACTGCCACCACATCCGCTGCAAGAAATGTCCCCGTGATCCGTACGTGTGCCCCTTTTTCTTTTTTTTTTTTTTTTTTTTTTTTTTATGGAGGATTATATCCTAACTGACTGGTCTGCTACAGAGCCAAGAAACACAAGTATCCCGATGGCTATCCAGGTGATGCCGAACCACCGTATGAACCGCCGGAACGAGTATGGCGAAAGCCTAGGCGCAGAGTACGATGGACCTGTCATTCCTGCTCGGCTGTGTTCCCAAGCGGCGAGAAAATCTGTCCTCAATGTGAACATGGGCGTTGTCAGGACTGTACTCGCGATCCGTACGTATTTTCCACCCGTTATTACGAGGCGAATCTCAGCTAACTTCTCTTTTCTCTAAAGTCCTAAAAAGATCAAGCCTGAGCCTGATCCGGAACTCCTGAGGCGTGTGGAAGAGAGATTAGCGGCACTTGATGTATCCTAGTAGCACTGCTGATTTCCCATCTCATGTCTGGCTTATGATGATTACCCCTTTTTTGGTTTTGATTGTCCCTGTTCCCTTAATACTGTTTGATCCCCTCACCCCTTCACCCCCCCCAACAATCCCCCCAAGCACCACACTTCCCTCGCTCCACGAATTTTGATGATCTAACGGCTCTGAGTGCGTTCTTCGTTTCTACTCCCTCACTCAATATCATTTTGGGTGAGCGTTACCGCCAAAAAAAAAAAAAAAAAAAGAAAACCATTCATTCCGGCTGTCTACCTGGTAAACACGACGAATACCATGTTGCGCCCCATCCGACTCGACGCCTTGTTTCTAGAGCAAAACACCCTCCATCATCCCGGCCTGTTCCCCTTTTTTGCCCCCCTCCCCCTCTCTCATTTTCTTTTTTTTTCTCTTTTTATAATCTCTTCCTACTCCATTTATATGCATACAGATACCAAAGATTTGCAGCTTGGTTTTTGGAGTTTTGATCAGATGAATTCAATCCTTACAAATAAATCAGGGAGAAACAGAGCAGAACGGAGGCGGGGGAAAAACAAAAATGAGACCTCAGACCCGTCCCACTTCCCTTTAACTTCTTCTACCTATGGTCATTCGACCTCTATGTGATCATCAAAAAAACGGCAGTATTACCTATGTCATTAGATGGAAACAGACAAGCAAAGCGGCGAGACCCTGAATTGTTCCATTTTTCGTTCCTTCGGAAAGCCCTGCAGAATGGTCCGATGTTCCATTATCGTTCGACGCGCAAAGGCTGGATCCCTGCCGATTGCCTCTGCACTCGCCGCTTGCCCCGTCCATCCTTCATACTACCACCCTGGATAGACTTCCGTGCATTATGTAGGCACATATGCGTCCACGTGTAACAAACTCCTCTGCTCTTCGATTTTGGTGTATCGGAAGTGTAGAGAAGAAGTACCGGAGAAACCACGCCAGCTACTCATGCCTAAGTATGCACATCCCTCCAACTGACTCAAGACAAAAAAAATCCCTGGCGGCATCCCTTCCCCCGGTAGCCCTGGTCTGTGTTCTCGACCCAGACATCCATACATCCTCCCGTACTACGGAGGACTATACGGAGTATATGAGATGATCAATTATGAAGCGTAGCCATTCAAAACGGCGGGCAATCCTTTTGACTTCGACATAAATTGGGGCTGGATGGGCTCCTGATTGCACGGATTTCATGAGAGAGGGGCCTTTTCCCTGCTCTGACCCTTGACAGGTTGTCCTGAGAAATGCGACTTTGTGTGCACAAAGCAGCAGGGGAGGGAGGTGTGAGTGGGGGGCGAAAGCGGGTTTTTTTGTAATGATTTTTACTTTTTTCTTGTTTTCCGTTTTGCTTTTTCAAATTTTTGTTTCTTTTTTGCCTTTCCGGAAGTCCAGGGTCTATAAGCTTACTGCTAGGTGTGAAATCATATTGAACACTCCGTTCTTTGATGTTGATTTGCGCCCGAAAGTTTCTTAATGTCTTGGAAGATGATTTCAGAGCGGGCGATGTAGTCATTAACCTTCTCCCATGGGGGGGAGACAGGAGATGACGACCTTTCTGGTCTCTTTTTTGCTTCTGGCTGATAAACGCGCAGCTCTCAGTCTTGTCGAAGCTGCCCATGCCACGTTCAAAACTGCTGGGGGTTCATGTTCGTGGGAATCCAATCGGACGAACTGGACCGAAGCATGGCCGCTGTCCGGGATTGGGCGGGTCGTGCGATTCCTTTTTCTTTCTTTTTTTTTTTTTTTTTTTTTTTTTTTTTTTTTTTTTTTTTTTAACAATTCTGTGATCTGAGGAATCGATGCCAGTTGTGTTTTCAATTGGTAGTAAAAAAAAAAAAAAAGAAAAAAAAAAAATCCATGCACAAAGCTCTCCCTATCTGGACATGGTATACATAGCGATACATACATATGACTATCATCCTAGGTTCTTCAAGCTCATATGGACACAAGGTCAGGGCAGAAGAAGCAGCAGAACATATCATGCCACTTTGTGGATCATCAAAAGAGAAGGACGTTGCTCCATGCTTCAAGACAGGGGGTATGTATGTATCGCAATCTGCGTCCGAAGCAACCCCCTCCCCCCATTGTAATTCCACCTTCCTGAGCCGTGAAGCGAAGGCTTGAGAACCCTTGGTCCACGTTGAAATGAGACAAGTCGACCGACATTTGGGGGTTTCTCGCTTGGAGCTTGGATGATTCCAAACCGTGCCGGACGGATTTGCCCCTTTGGGGAGTGCTGGCTGGGCGATGAAATGAGAAGAAAAGGAGGCGCAATTGACCGCCTGTTCTCCAGGGAAATTTTAAGCTTTCTATTGTTTGTTATAGGCGTACTCCGTAGACATGCATGCATATCCCGTATGCATGTACTCCGAAGGGTCTGGCGGTTAAGGGTGAAGACCTGGCTAGGTGCTCCCGTCCCCGCGCGCTTCTCGAGCAATGTGGACTCAAAGTGGTTTTTCCGTTCAAGATGTACGCATGTACGGAGTACCTGGCCCCATTGTCACCCGGGGTTTGAAGCAGTTCCATCAGAGTACGGGCTTGGAGCTCGTTGAGCCCCCCTCTCTACGATGAGAACACGAAGGCTTCTTCACTCCTCCTGCTAATCCTCTGGTTGAGTGAGCGACGGCGTAGACATGTGCGCAAGGAACGACAAGTTAATGGACAAAGGGAGAAAAAACACCTCCCCCGTGAGCGCACCGCTCCTCTACACTGGTTAGCTCGCTTCGCCTAATGCAATTTGTTTTCTTCCGCGACGCCGTGTCATGTATGTACAGTAACTACGTATGCCTGCACCATGCACCCTCAAAGGCGCCCCCCGTTGGACGAGTCAGCCCGACACAGAACACCACGAAAACTGCCACATCCCAGAGATTAAAGCAACCCGCAGCTCGAACAAGCTTTGAAGAATTGCGCCCCCACCTCCTGGGGGAGCACGGCAGTCGTGAGTGAATGGAGGCTTAAGGCCGGGAGCCGTGCGCGGCAAAAGGGACGAAACGTGAGAACCCTGAATATTCCCTGAATTTACTCCGTGCTCGGAGTTCACCACGGAATACAAACGGCGCCATGTTTAGAATTGGACAAGGGCGGGAAGCGCCTGGATCTGTACCTTGGAGTATTCTCTCAGGGCTCCTGCATTCATCGCACGCAGCCAGTTCCATGCCTATACTCCGTCTACGCACAGTGTCCAGTAAATTCTGAAGCTTGCTCAGGAGCCAGGGACTCCGAAGATCATCGCCAAATTCCGGGGGGACTCCGTGCGCCGTGCGAAACGGGTGCATTGCAAAGCAGTGCTCAACAGAGAGTCGATCGACGAGCGAGACCAAGAAACATAGCTGCGATTGACCCATCGTTTATTTTCATCGTCGGAGTCCATAGCGCTAAAAACTACATCTTTTGAAAATTGAAGATCTCCCGTCATTAACGAAATCACTGAAATTGGTCAAGCACAACGTGCACGATCTTTTACTTCACTACTGCGTACTCCGTAGCAACGTAACGTACCGCAGGGGGGGTGTCACAACGCCCCCCAACTCCGAAAATCATTCCGGCTGTGTCAATCTCTCTAAGCGCTGAGAGCCTCGGCAATGTCAAAGTCCCGCTCCATGGATCACCCGCTGTCCGTGGAGTGCAGATAACTGGACGAGCTTGTGGGGCCGAAACCTAAATGAGAGATCGCGCTTCGGGGTCGTTCTCGAAAGCCCGACAAACAAAACCGGCTTTTCTCGATCAGCCTTATGGAGAGGAACCTTGATATCACTTTTCCTCTGCAACAGTGTGAGCTCTACATTTCCAAGGCCATGTCTCTGGTTTCTTCGTCTCACAACGCCGTTTGAAGTGAGTTGTATGAACGCGCGGACTGCGCATAGATGTCACAGATATACGACAGATCCTGCTTTTCATGTGTCGCACCTTTCTAGATATAGATAGCATTACCGATAATTAAGGCACGGTAACTCAGCCATGGATCCCGCACATGCATGGCCTGCTAGTTCAAGAAGTCCCCTCTGCATCAAGCTCCGAGATTCACCCGAAGGGTGACTAGTTGTTGCAATCCACCTCCCAGGCATGGCCAGAGGAAGGTGCAAAAGAAGAAAAGAAAATTTCTTGTGACACCGATCAGCTGTTAGAACGCCATTAACCCAAAGATGCTGGGATCTCAAATCCTGAGATGCGGGAGCTGGGAAGAGCTTGATTTCTTCTGATAGATTTATCAAGTGACAAAGCCATTTCAATTCAGAGTAACACATGTATCAGACCTTTTGCCAACTGCAAGCAAACAATATCCCACGGTCGCCCCGGGGGGGAGGGTACTCATTGGTCGCGAACGTGCTGAATGCTCTATATTCTTTAAGTGATTGTGATAATGCCTTCAAAGCCCCAAGCCGCTGGATCTACGCAAGCAGGATGACAGCTTGAGAAATGATGAGGACTTGGATGCAAATCTAACATGAAGGCAGGTACCACTGCATCCTCAAAAGTTCATAAGTGTATCTTTCAGATGGTCCAATCATATGTAAGGCGAATGGAAAAATAAATCAATTTAGAAAATTTCGCTTAAAAAAAAAAAAAAAAAAAAAAAAGAGGGAGAGGGAAGTCGCTCTCCAACCAAAAATGCTGTCTGGGGGGCTGGGTTTTGCAAGAGGATACACTCCGTATCCCGGGTTGACTCCCTTGTTGCTGTCATCACGATGTACCGTCCCTGCACTTCCCGAGAGCCTGGTTGGTGCAAATGGTGGCCCATCAGCCAGTTTGTTCCTGCGGGCAAAAAGACACATATCAAATCCCAAGAACTGTTCTTTTGAGAGACGAATTTATTGCACCTAGAATTGGCGAGGAAAAAACAGGTGGTTGGGGAAAATGCCGTGACGCTTCACCCACGCCCCGTCTCTCCAAAACCTCGAACATCCACATCCTGGATTCCCAGGACAAACAGTGTTTGGAAAACAGTCCCGAGGTGGTGGTAGCTAATCGGATCGTTGCGCGGGCTGGCCAAGTCCTTCGCGCTGGGAAGAAGCGGGGATGGGCGCTGTAACGGGAGGGGGCGGGATTTGGTTGCAGGCTTGTCCTGCATGATTTTAGCCCCAGACCAGCCCCCAGGCCTGACACCGACCTCGAGCATTTGGGAGAAGTTTGGTGTTTAGCTGAAAACCTGGGTGCTGGGAACGCCTGTGCGGCAAGGATGCCTCTTGTTTGCCCTGTGCCACCGCTTGTGCGTCACTGGCGTTTTCCAATGATGAGAAGAAAATGTCCTCTTCAGTAACATTCGGGATTTGGTGTGAAGATGGTGGCAAACCTGGCCCTGTCCTCTGCGCAGGACGTGATGCCGCGTGCTGCACGGTGAGACTCGATGGGATGCAGCTGTCCGGAAGCAGAAGACCGCCAAGAACCCCAGGGCTCCGCTCATTTTGCATGAACAATAAAATAAATAAAAAAAAAAAAAAAAAAAAAAAAAAAAAGAAAAAGAAAAGAAAACTTACGGAGTAAACAGGAAAATATTAATACGACGTGGTGAAATGTCCTTACGTGTTTTGTATGTATGTTATGTATGTAACCAGAATACACGTTCGCAGTACCAGCACGGTACCGTCCAGCGGAAGCGTCTTTCGCAGCTCGCAAATCTCGCCTTCGACAGGTCCAGGTTTACCTCTTCCAACCACGCACTTGATATCGATATATTTATGTACAGAGTATATCTACGGAGTACATCAATCTTCAAGATGCAACCCGGTTTCAAAGTATCTCCGTGGAGGATGTCCTCTTTATGTTCTAGCTTTTGTGACTGTCCAGAGGTGATATTCCGGCCCTCCCCAATTCCCAGATCGGTTCCAGAGATAGAAAACTACTCCGTGCTTCAGTCCAATGTTGTCCAGTCTCTCTGGTGACTGGTCTTACTTCATGTCTGGAGCAGAGTTTTTTTCTTTTCTTTCCTTTTTTTTTTTTTTTTTTTTTTTGAGAGTCCCTTCGAGTTTTCCGTTTCACACTGGTGATAATTGTAACTAACCCTGCTGCCACAGATCGATTGATGCGTAGCTGATATGAAGCGGTGAGCTATTTATCCAACTGTTCTTGATGTGAAGCCGATATGTCTATCTGTCATGCCTGAGCGAGTGATCTTGACCTGGAGAGTGCGACCTGCTTCTTCTAAACGAGACCGGGAAAGCCGAAACAAAGTCGAAACAAACTTCGAAACAAACTCTCATAAATTGGCGTCTCTCACAATCCGTGGTCTCGCAGGGGATATTCTGTGAATCATTCTGTGCCCAGAAAACAGAATATGGTCCGACAGTCGATGAAGTTGTATGTATGCAAGAGACGGGGATGTTACTGCTTGCAACCGTACGATCTTCTGCCTCTCAACAATGCATCCAGTCCTCTCTCCCACACGTTGGTGGTCACTTCTCCCCTACCACGACGTTTCTAATATTGCGCTGGTGTTTGAGGTAGGATCCTATCTTCAAGCCACCAGTTTCTGTGCATCCAATCCCACCAGCCACGCCATGGTCATATCGGGAATATACCTGGATGGTCTCCATCTGTCGAAGTTGGAGTCCCAATAATGAATCACCATGTTGCACGGTTGCAAGTATGACATGGGTCGCAGCCGGCTATCCAATGATCTGGAGTCTGGATTTGTTCTCGCACGAGTTGCGTGAGAACCTTCATCTTTAGCCGCAGTGGCTGGTTCTGAAGATTGGTTCAAAATTTTTTTTTTCCTCACCAGCGCGGCCTCCTCTGTCTCTTGGGGTTTTATTAACGAGGATTGGGCCGCCGACATAGTTAACTCAATTTGATGCCTCCGCAGCGGTCTGACAATTCAAATGACTCAATAATAAATTACCGATGCAAAGCGACATTGGAGGGTCGATCAGGCACGTTTTACGATAGCAGGCGCCCTGGACGCACCCAAATTGCGTATTCAAAACGCCCCCCTTAGGTCGCCGAAACCAGGGTACAAAGTAGAAGCCATTTCACCCATGCCCTTCGTACATGGGCTCCGGTTCAGCCAAGACCCAATTAGGGACAATCACTGTTCTTGGGCTAACAAGGCTGAGATGTGAGAATGGACAGCACAGAGTATCCGGCGTACAAGAGTCGACGTGGTGAGGACCAGATAAGGGGGAGCAGGCGCTGCGAATGAGCTGCTGGATGCAGGAACACGAGCAGACGACGTACGTGGACAGCGGCTGCTGAGGATATCGATAGAAGAATCCGGGGTACCATGTACCCTGGCCGTCCACCTTTCAATCTGCAAACCTTTCACCCAAGCGAATACTACCCAAAATAGATCTACACGCGGAGAACCCGGCTCGAACGCACCTGGTTGGCTGGAACGCTCCACTAATCTCTTGTTGGGGATTAGCGCCGTGTAGCCTGACCAGGTTCTTCCCGGCCCAGAGTCTCCGAAACCGAAAAGCGTGCATGCCGAGTATATCCGGTGTGCTAGTTATTGTCTTCAAATCTGCAAATCTGAGGATTTCCCGGGTCGACGCACTCTCAAAAGGTTTCACCTCTCTCTGCCTGGTGATATCTAGCGGACAGGGCCCTGGCATGGTCAATCGCAGAACACGCGCTGCTAGTTACTCCAGGCATCAGCTCTAAATCTTCAGCTAACTATTTCATAGTCAATAGCTACGGAGTACATGATTTGAATATCATGGCTTTTGACAGCTTTATGCAATTCAGCCCTATTTTAGCTCGACGAGTAGCTAATGAAGTTTATCGACAAACATCTACTGCTCCTCCGTACCTGCGATGTAGTCTATTAAATTCCATGCAAAGAGGCTCGGTTTTAAGCGAAGATGAAGCATATGTATACCTACTTGACATTTTCGTCGCTGGAAGAGTTTCAGAGTCTGTTTGGACGTTCCAATCTGCTAATTTCCTTCGTAGCGAGTTGAAGAATGCTTGAGCCGCCTATCTTAAGGGCGATGAAACAGGATCTAACCTTCAATCTGAACCTTGTGCGCGACTAGTTGTCGATCCTATGAAATGCGATACTCGAAATCTCGTTCACGGTTCCTCGCTGACCAGGTTGCAGGGCAAGGAACCCGAAAGGTTAGCTCTCCTTACTATGCCCTGCGCCAATGACAGCGCTCTGCGACAAACCAGATTTAAGCCGTGTGGCTTGTGTGACCTTGGACGGCAGAACGATGCACCCATCAGCTCCCTGGTTACGGAGTACGGAGTACAGGGCAAGGTATCAAAACTCTGAAATTGCGGCCTGGTCTATGTGGCAGTGTCCTCGGCCTCGTACCTCTTCAAGAAACCTATAAATCAGGAAGAGGTGGACCGGCGTGCACCCAGTCTCTCCACTCGCCCTCGAAATCCTTCTTGTTTGCTTGGATTTATCCCTCAAATCCTCTCAATCATACACAATTAAAGAATTGAAGCCTCGGCTGCCAAGATCGACGCAACATGACCAAGGCTATTCACCTTCTCTCCCTCGCTCTCGCCAGCGGTGCTGCCACCGCCAGGACGATTAAGGTCAAGGTCGCCAACGGTGGCTTGAACTTCGACCCAGACGTCATCCGTGCGGAACCTGGAGACGAAGTCGCCTTCTACTTCACCAGAGGCTCTCATGATGTTACTCTGGGAGAATTCGACAACGCTTGCCAGCCAGCGGACAACGCATTCTGGTCTGGCACCATCAACCTCCCGGAGGGTACTCAAGGCTCTGCCGTCTTCACGATTCCCATCGAGGACACAGACCCCAAATGGATCTACTGCAGTTACCGGAGACACTGCCAGAATGGAATGGTTGGAGTGATTAACCCACCGTGAGTTTCCCTGATCGCCGTCAGTTCTAATTCGACTTCTCTGTTACTCAAAATTCTTTTCCTTTTGCTCGTTGTCATTGTCCATCTCGGATTCGTCAACGCTTTGCTAAATCTTGTAAATGATATAGCTCCGAGGGCGACCAAAACATCGATGCCTTCAAGAGCAGAGCTGCTGAGGCTCCAGCCAGCCACCGACCAACAAGCATCAATGGTGGTACATTGAACGTGATGGGTGACGTTGATATTCCCGGCCATGATGAGGACGACGAGTCCCCGGCCCCATCTGGCACTGGCGATGACTCAATCCGTATGGAGTCCCGTCCCCTATCCGATAATTCTGCTTTTTCTCTTAACACTTCATCTTTGCAGCAACCGCCACCCTGATTCCCCCAAGCACCACCGACGGTCCTCCCCAGACTACGGGTAGCGATTCTCCCGCCCCTACTTTCACTGGCGCTGCTGCTCCAGCCCAAGGAAACGGCGCTCTGAGCGCACTCATGGCCGGTTTGGCTGTTGGAGCTGCTTGGTTTGGATTGATTTAAATATGATTCAGAGTAACAAATTGTCTTAACATGTGACTTTGGTATAATACCTTTTTTGTTTAACTCCTTGCTTTTCTTGTAAGAGACATAATTGAGGATACTCTTTTTCCTTCTTGGTTACCCCGGGATATATACTGCTTTGAGCTGTATGTATAGATATTGGGCGTGTTTGCGACCAATACAACAAAGTTATCTTGATATATACTCCGTGTATATCTATATTTTTAGGCCTTCAGCCGTTGGCTTTTCGATGTTTCTGGCCCTCTTTGCTGACCGTAATTGGCATGCCTGGCCGGAATACTGCAAATATATTGCTCCGCATGATTTCAGGGTTTACGGGATTGTATTCTCGGGAATCTCTGGGGTTAACTATTAATTACATAGTTGCTTGGTCAAGATTTTCATGAGCTGGTTTGTCGTGGTGTCTTTTCTTCGTGACCATTTAACTAGATAAGCTGGGGCCGCCTTGCCACGAGGGAGGAGAATCCTACGGTGGGTACAGTGTAGATCTGGTTGAACATGAGATGAACTGGCAAGACGTACTCCGTATTACTGATGGTATCCTAGTGAATTTTCCACAGGCACATGTGAAGCTCGACTCATACCAGGCAGCTCTCGCAAGACCGGAGTCTTCCGCACGATTCCTAGCAGACAAAGAGAATCCCGTTGTTTCATCCTATTCCACTCGAACCTTGCCACCTTGCCACCCAGCCAAAAGGTTTTCCATGAAACGGCAACCTCCAGCGCATGACTCGTTTTGTCATCTCATCGACATTCAAGTTTACCGAATCTGGTAAACTGGTGTTGCAACACAACAATAGACGACAATACCAAACCCACCCCCCAAAACTAATACGCAATATGGTTGAATACCTGTTTATGGTTATTCTATCCTTCTCGTTAACTACGTCGTCCAATATGCCATTGAGTCCCATTGGGGTGGGGAGAGGAGGCTTTGGCTGATTTTGAAAATGTTCCTCCCCCAAGGAGAACTTTTCCTGGATGGAGAGAGCGAGCGTCTTTCTTTTCTTCCTTGAGAGCGTACTATTTCTTTTGCTAGCGAAGATATCGCATTCGGGTACTCTGTTCTAAGCAATTTGCATCCTTATCTTTCAGCATCTTGCTCCGTTTCTGGAAAAAAGTCGTCAGAGAGTTGAGACTGGAGCTCGACTCCTGCGCCGTTTCGAGCGAAGTTGGAGAGATTGTCAAAGCCTGCAGGCAGGATTGAAGAGCATATAAGCGCAGTAGTTAAGAATTAGGAGAAGATATCTCTAGAGTGGAAAGTTGACCTTGTGAGTAGCTAATCTGATGCTTGGTTATTTATATAAGGAGAAGTTAACATCTTTATAGGACACTCTAACGAAGTCTAATCGATAGTCGAGAATTGGCATCTTGAAAAAGAATTAAAAAATGGCGTTCAATTTTGGAATGTCTAACAATTCCACCGTTGCCGAGCAGCAGCGTGTCGAGCATGGGCCTTTCGTTATCCCTTTTCCGAGGGGAAAAACTAGAGAAGAGAGCCCATTTGGTCTCCAATTGTCCGGCAACCATCGCATGGACAATGAACGAGTTCAGATCCGTATTGCAGCTCTTCAGCATGGAATGAACGTCTTAGTTGAGAACGGTGGCAGCATCCTTACACCACGGCATCCGGGTACAAAGTCACGAAAGATCCTCGAAATTTCGGATGACCTGGATTCCATCTATGCTCGTTTCTATGCGGATAAAGTATTCACGACCAAAGACCGTCCTTCGGGATACGTCGCTGCACACTGGAATGATCCCGCCAAGATTCAGGAAAGAATCCCGCGGAAGCAAGAAAGTCTGATGAAAGCGCTCTTCACGATCGCCATGTACGAGGCCAGCTTTCAACGGGCAAGATTTGGTTTTGAGACCTTTCGTCGTCCAGCAAAACTCCGGGATGATAATACAATTGTTTCTGACTATTTGACAGAGCTGGTCAGCATGGAGCATGACGAGGCACATGGGCCACTTCCGGGCTTCGTCTTTGACTATGAAAGCAGCGGCGGCCATCCATCTATCGACATAGGCCCTGCTCATGACCACAAACTCTTTCGTGCCCTATGGCCTAGACTTCGTGCCATTGCAGCAGAAGACAAGGAAATTATCGCTATGCCGCTTCAAGATTATGGCGAAAAAATGGTGATCAGAGGGGTCGTCGACAATGTCATTGAAACAGTACAGTCCGGGAAACGGCCCGACTTTCGAAGACTGGCGAGGGAGTACTATCTCTACAGGAATTTTGTCAAGCGGAGCTCGCGCGAAGATAACGTTATTATCTCACAGACCAACACGGAGAATCCACGGCCACATCGACGCTGGGCGGAGTCGGGGATATGCAAGCGGTCGTTGTACGAGCACTCGTATAGGGTATGGAAAAGACAGCGGGCGTTCAAACTTATGCGGCAATCGCGGGACAAATTGCAAGAGGGGCTATTCTCATGGGACATCGAAGACTTAGTTGAATTTTTCATAGAGCCACGTCGGTCATTGTACGAGGACATGGTCCGGGACGAATCTGTGATTCGCACCGACTTTAAAAGGGCTTGCCGGGAAGTTTGTGGCGAGGACGACCGGTGGTTTCAATCAATGTTGAACGGAGACCCCAGCTCTGGACTGAGGTTGAAGAAGTATGAATACCCCAGTGGAATTCATTGCCCTCCGCTTGAGCCAGTTGATACACAAGAGTTGGATGTAAGGCTTACCGATGAGCAAGCTTTTGCCTTGATTGATAGTATGTGAACCCTAACGACCTGTGAGAAACAAAGATATTTCTCGGACTTGGTAGGGTGTCTTGGGTGGGAGACTAGCTTTCAGATTCGGTAGATGATTCTAGAGAGTTTGCGGGCTAAGGGAGTAGGAGGATGTCCGACGGATCAGGAGCCATAAAATGGGGGGCCCCGGAAGGGGGGAAGAAAAAGGGAACATTGAGACAAGGAAGGTCTGAAAAATCTTTCTTGAATTTATGTATTTATTCCATGTAGTTAGACAGAACTACACGGACAAAAACCAAGAGCTAGAAAGATTTCCGGTGCAGAAGATCAAAAATGGAAATAAATCTACGCATCAAGTCGTTGACTCTGCAGTTCAGTTCCCCTACTCTTCTCGTAGTCAATCTGCTTGTGCAAGTCGACTCGATTGCCTAGCCCTCGTCGGATGATCCAATCCTTACTTTTGATATCCTCTTCCACTACTCCCTTTGGAAGAGGCGGAATCCGGGGACTGCCCTCTAGTCGTTTCAAAGGCACATCTTCCTCTGGGCGAGAGAAATAGACGAGGCTGTAGCGAGTAATATCCGCTTGAGCGCCAGGCGGAGACATAACTCGGTGTATATTGGATCTTAACAATCCATTGGTGAACTTAACCATGGCATCGCCCAGGTTGATAATGGCGTGTCCAGGAAGTGGCCGAACGTAGCACCACTCTGAATCCTTTCCCGGTGGAAGAATCTGCAAGCCACCAACACGGTTGAAGAGAATAGTCACGCTGCCGAAATCAGTATGTTGCCCTAGCGCCACCCGGCGATCATCTACTGGCTGTGGTGGTGCCTTGATGAAGCGCACCTGATCGCCAGTAGCATGGCCTAGACGGTGCATGTTTGCCAGTGTTGATGCTGGGAGCTGCAGATGCTCATTTAGGAGGTTGAGGATAAGAGTGATGGTGGAATGAGCACTGGTCATGAAAGATTTGAGCAACGGGCGGGACTCGTGGAGTAGCTCAGGGGCAGGCCAGTGGTCGGCGACGTCAAGAATGTCGTCCTTTGAGACCTACGTTTGATATATTTTAGCATCGCTGCGCAAAATATTCTTACCTCCTTATCGCGGTTTATGACAATGGGCTAGGACGAACATTATAGAACTCATTGCGGTCACGATTCCCGTCCCTGTCGACGACATTCGAGCCAGTAGCTTTGTAACCAAAATACGAATTCTTTTTGCCGAAATCGTATTTCTTCTTCTCCTCAAGGTCTAGCTCAAAGAGGCGCTCGCCGACGCCAAACAGCTCATCTGCCTGGGCAAGGATCGCATCTCCTTGCGTGGTGCCGCGGAAATCGAGGTAGAAGAATCCCAGGTCCTCACATGCAGTGCAGAACCTCTTTACTTCATCATTGTCATGATTTAGAAGCTTTTCGAGAGAGAGACGAAACAGAGGGGCAGTGACGATGTCATCTGGGAATGGAGGGATATCAGGGAAGTTTTCGAGGGAGGGCATGGTGGCTTTCTTGTCTCTGTGGTTGAGAATACCGGTGTACCGATGTTTGTTCCTGAAGAATGCTCCAGATCATTTGGGAAAACATGATGGACACGGGTCTCGACGGCTTTATATTCGAATATAGTTGAATCTGGGAGGAGAATCTACCAAACGCGGGGAAATGTGAAGATGCCGAGGGGATTTGGCAGATTGAAGTCCGTCTCGAGAACACGGGATGGCTTGCGTTGAGCTTAAAGTCTTAGCGCGCTTTGACGGCTTGAAGTCATCGCGAGAAAATCAGGACGGTCGTCTCGAATCTGCTGGCAACCTATTCCACGCTCTTGATCCTGAAAAATATTCGACCTTAGAAGCAAGACCAAGTTACATACATCAGCATGGGGACGCCACGGTCATCTTCCAACCAAGTCCAATCTCACGCCGCTCACCGGCTTCTCTCCCGCGCCCATTCCCCAGACACAGCGGAGCAGCTATTCGCCGAGAAGGTGAAAACCAAACCCCTTTATCTGCGACCTACCTCGCCTACTCCAGCGGATAACCGGGAACGGAGACGTCTACATCGTCTACGGAAGAAAGGGTACTTTCTACGCAGGCAGAAACCCAAACCGCTTACGGCGCGAGAGAAGAGAGCTCTCGGTGTCCATGATTTACCAAAAGAAGAAATCAAATACGACATCTTTAAAAAATTGAATGACTTATGGGTGGAATACATGTGGGAGATTCTGGATTTGAAGAAACCCACGAATAAAGGCGCGAATACGGGACAGATTATCACTGCTTTGGCACACGGCGCCAAGCTAGCAAGTGCGGATTTTCATGGTGCAGAGCTTCGAGTCGTTAGGAGCCGCTGCGTTAGTCGGGTAGGCGTCAGAGGCATCGTGGTTCGGGATTCGAAATTCGCGTTTGTGCTTGTCACGGAAAAAAATGAAATGAAGAGTAAGTTTTTCTACACCGCTATCTGCATTCTATGGGGATTGCAATGATACTGATAGTCTGCATTTATAGCAATACCAAAGGAGCATACGGTCTTCAGGTTCAAAATTCCAGTACCTACCGGACCGTTTGTAGAGGATGAACAATCTCAGGCACCCGAGACTCTAAAAGATTTAGTATTCGAGCTTCATGGAAGTCAGTTCGAGAATCGCCCTGCGGACCGAGCAAATAAGAAGTTCAAATGGAAGAACCTCAATTATCTATGAAAGACCTTTCTGAAAAAATTTGGGTTGATAATGCATTGTGGCGACCTGCCCCGGGAATTGATTGGTCTATATTACGTCTCCTGTTGGGTTCCACTATGGGCATCGTGTTTAGCATCATGAAGCCACCCTTTCCCTATGAATAGGAGATTCTCCCCCTCGAGTTTCTGGTCATCCCACAACAACTTCGCAGGCATCCTTGGTTGATGTGGGATGTAGTTTTTCGGTGGTGAGCATAACACACCACGTGGAGGATCAAGCTTCGAACCTCTGCCTATCCAAGCAATAATGTCGTCGCACAGGCACCTGTCTTCTCTTGAGAGAGTTTTGGATGTTCAGCACCCTTCTCGCTGACTCCACAGCAATTTGATTCTGCGAGGAGTCTCCTTGATATATTCATCAAGGACTATGGCCTCGAACGAGCAACAGAAAGGGGTTACAAGCCTGCAAAATTGATACACGCCATGCTTGACTATATCTCTTCAAAAGACTCATTCTTAACTCTTTTCTTCACATTCCTGCATGAGAATTTGGCTTGTGTTACATCTAACATTACATTGGCTTTATCATACTTTGAGGATTTCAGTTCTTGGGAGCTGACTGTGCAAAGCATTGTGATGGGTGCTCTTGAAGAGTTTGCAGACTACATGGTTATTCAGTTCTTTCTTCCATGTGTGTTCATGATGTCTTCTACCTGCAATCACTTTCTAACTCAAGCAATTCAGTTAGAGTCTCATCTGTCAAGACACCACAATCAACACCCATCTCATTATCCACAATACAAGCATCAACCCCCACTGGCACAAAACAGTGCATATCTGTCTTGAGACACAACTGCCTTGTCTGTGATCAACATCAATGTGTTGTGACTTGGGAAATTTGATATAATGGAAGCTAGAAGGCATCTTGTGAGGGACAAAATTGTACAGATGATGACAGAAAGCTTCTTGAAACAGAGCAATATAATAACTTCCAGTATCTGGAAGTCACTCATATACTGTCTCATTGCCTAACAAAGGTTGCTTCTGGGGATAAAGATTTGGTATGCATAAACCCTGCCACATCTAGGGCTTCACTAACTGGTCTTAAGATCAAGTCAAAGAAGAATGTACTCTGGATTCTGGACATGTTCAACTCTGGCATCATCTACCTCATTCATGGCCCAAAGATCAACAGCCCATTGAATGCTCTCACACTAATGCTTGATAACCACCAGCTCTTTGGCAAATTCCAGATATATTTTGAGCCTACAGGCAGAGCCTATGAATATAGGATTCATTCTACTGAGGGCAGTTTTTTAAGCAACGCTTTCTTTCCTGTCACTCACACCCTGTCACTCAGTCTCAACCATATGATTGACCTGCCTTCTCCTCAGTTTCTCAGCATTCATCATGCCATCTCACTTATCCTTAAACTCAGTGGCGCTGCTAAATATATAGAGCAGACTCTTTGAGACTTGGAACAGGTGACAGCGGAAGCAGATGGGTCAACCATTTGGGCGATATAAATGAGATTACGATTGATGGCTGGATAAACCGGTTAGCTGTATTCTAGTTAGATCAAGTCATCTTTTTCTTTTCTTTTTTTTGACTGTCGTCCGACCCGCGAATGATAAACTGAGACTAAGGTTATACGGCGTTCTCTACTGAAGAGTAGGAAAAATGCGAGCTGCCACTGATTGCTTTTAGAAGCTCATCCCGCTTCTTATCATCGCGAATCATCGCGAACTCCTGAGTGACTGTAGATTTCATCTTCTATATCCTCCAGCGATTGGACGCCCTATTAGCATATGACTCGAAACATGTGTACAGAAATGTTCTTATCCTACAAATATGGATCTGTTTTCAAACCCCAACCTCCAAAGACATAGCTAGTTCGTAAGAGGTCAATGTAATTAATTAATGGTGAGTGTCTATCTTGACAGGTAAGAGTTCAAGCAGGAATTTATGCAAGATGGAGTGAAACACTCTTCCTGGATATTGCATAAGTTGGCCCAGGTCGTAAATCTACTGTACATTGTGGGGAGCCCGGACCGGAAAGGGGGGGTTGGATCACCAAGCCAACGGAATTCTTTACATTCCAGCCCATTCCAAACTAAACGTCCTCACAGTCCTTTCATCGGTTCCTTTTCCTTGCTCATCGGACGGAATTTCTCCGCCGATAAGATATCCCTTCTTTACACCGGTTCCTAGACGACCTCCAACAACCAAGTCCATTAAATTTATCTCCTCATCCCACTCAGAGGCGGAAACTAGGAAATGGGAGTGGAATCGAAGCGGATCACCCGGGTAAGCCATGTACTGGCAACCAAAACGGAGACCGGGAGACAAGAAATATCCTTTGGAATGCAAATGGGCGTATAAAGGATATGATGAAGGGACCTTTGGCAGAGAATTCCCACCTAAGGGTGGAGGTTTGGGAAAGAGAGCGAGAGAGTCAGCAGGAGTGACACCAAATACGGCTCCTGAAGTAACGGCTGAACTGGATTGGATGGGGTCATTAGTACGGTCGTCTACAGAACTAAAAAGCAGGTCTTCTGACTGTCCCTGTCCATCTTGCGACGCTTTTGCTGCATCTGAGGTCTGAGATTTCGATTTTTTGGATTGCTTCAGTGCTTTTTCTTTTAGATGTTCTTTTTTGCTTGATTGGACTAAAGCTGCTCGCCGTCCGTGTTGCTCCAAGCTCTCAAGATGACGTCGCCGATCTTCATCAGCCAGAGTCTTCATTCCTTGATTGTGCACTTGTGCATCATCCACAATATAAGCAATCTTTTTCTCAACCAAGAGCCTAGCCTCTTCCGGCATAAGCTCTAATGGTAAACCCAGGAAGATATTCTGCTGCGGAATCTGAGGCAGAGTCCCAATGAGAACGCCGCAAATATTGTGTTCTCGGCGTAGATAGGTGACTGCATCAGTTGAGAAGAGAAAATAATGGCCCGATATGAAGGAAATGGGAATCGGGAGCACTGGTGTGTTGACCATGACGGGCACTATTGGGGTCTAGGGCTGGTTAATGCTACCTAGAAGTAACTGATTAGCATCAGTGATTAGGGCGTCGGGCAGAAACAGCAGGCAATGAATGCAACAAAATCATATAAAAGAGATACGTTTCTCAATCACGTAGGTCCCTAAGGACTTCAGGGGATTGACAGATTATGTATTTGGAATAATCATTGTACTGAAACAATTGTAAAGAAGGGTATGATCTTACCACTAATAAGACATCTGCGCCCGACAGGCTTATCATGTTGGGGCCCCTGATGGGAGTCTTTGGACTATCGTCGGAGTGATGAGATGGGAGTTGACAGAGCGCGCTGTTTGTGTGGGAATTTTTTTTGGCCCACATATGGACTTAACACGTGACCAGGCCCATCCCCGCCAAGACCAGAAACGCTCTTAACCAACGTAGAGGTAATTATGTGACCGCTTCGCAGAGTGCTGCGAGAGGAGAATCACAGATCCCTTCCCTCACAAGCGAAAATGGCTATCCTGTGGCTTTTACTGTGTTCCTTTTTCTTACTCGGCGGTATGAAATTGAGTTATTGGCTTCCTGCGCCGTGTCATCCATTACTAACGCCATGACAGCAATTGGCATCTTCACCGTTTCCTTGCGGACTCTCTTCGGAATCCGAATCACGAACTCTCGTGGCGGGTCTCAAACCGGGGTGTATGATCGTAACTATCTACGAACAATGACAAATAGCGGCGCCGCCCTATCTGAGCAGATTGAACTGGAAGAATTGACTCGTGAGGCGGAGGACTATGAAGATGACCATGTGCGATAGATTTGGTAGGGGACCGAAATAGAATTCAGAATTCGAGGTCTGCTTTGCTTTTCCCGGATGAAGGAGCGCCTTGCTGTGCTTCATTATCCCCGTCTACGGGGGGTAGTGAAAACGGCTTGATTGTGAACTTCCTTCTGCTGAAAGTAAAGGCCCAATCCTCACCCATGTTCTTGTCACCTCCGCCGCCTCGTTCGTGGAAGACCGGTAGCCGGTGGATTTTTAGCATCCCCTGTGGAGGCTCTTCCTGCGCAGTGGCGGCACCCGACGTGGTAGATGGATTTGAATGCGCCGAATGGGGGAAGGGAGCGAGCTCGATGACGCCATCGGTTAGAAGTTCGATCCAACGCACAAGGCCGGATGACCGTGGATAAAGAGAAAGTGGCAGAGTTATCATCACCGTCATGCGATTAGAGTGTGTGGATAACAGCGCCCGAATTGAATGTAGGAACTGTAGGACACATTCTGGCTTACTAGCTTGGGGCGGATAGAGAGCGGGAGAAAGGAGTGACGGGATGATTACTCTGTGGATTGTATGTGGGGGAGAACTCGATATCGCTTGAGATAGCCTTTGACCAACTGATGCAAGCGGGGAGCTTTGGAGAGTTGGAGGGGAGAGCGGTATAAAATTTACGGACGACATTCCGGGATGCGTTAGGCGTTTTGTCAGGTCGAACGCGTGGCAAAATACTGCAGGTACGGCTTGGGGTGCAGCCGAAGGATCGCTTTTGTCTGCAACGGCAGTGGGTGCTGTGTGTAACGCATTAGATTATGTAGGTCGTCAAGTTTGCACGGATTCTTCTATAAACGTACCTCTCGACGGAGTTATCCCTGCGCCGAAATCCCCCAACTTTTCATATCTCCATGCAATTTTCATCTTTTCACCTTTTTCTCTGGGCTTTTCATCTGCGGCCTCTGCTGCCCCAACCAGACCAGGAAGGGTTGCTGCCCATTGCGGATCAAACCCCACCACATGGAGTTGATGCTCTTGAACTATCCCTTCCGCCGCATAATACCTCAACAATGCGCCAGCGAAATCCGTAGTACCGCTCTCTTCAACTAGCAGAGAGGACCCGAGGGCGAGTCCGGCGTGTCCTGCAAGCAAGTTGTCCAAGGTGGGGGTGCCAGTAGAGGTGGTTTGTCGACCATCCACAGGCGACGGGCGGAGGCCAAGAACCGGATGTTGAGCTACATCTTTCGTGGGACCATGGGGACCAGCCGTGCGCTGTGTTCCGGTCGAAAGCCCTATGTTCCGCTTGCGGAATGACATGGCTATATTTGTGAGAATTGGTCTGGACGGAGCTATTAGAGAATGCGGGAGCCGCACATAGCTGCTGACAATGTGTTCAAGCCACATTTGTGGCGCAGGAAGCTACTAATCCATTTCTGATGATAACTCACGCCGTTTTAGTGACTATCACCGGTGCTTCTTAGTTAAGTTAAGGCAGCACTAAGAATTCTACTCGCAGAAGCTTTCGACCCCGAAATCCTTTCTCGGCTTGTATGAACTCACCGTTTGAAGGGTCCTTTTTGATAAAGCAAGTTACATCCCCCCACTCACTATACTCTGGTGTTCAATCCACCTGTTTTAATAGAAGCAATAACGAAAAGAAGCTTCCATTCCGCCTGAGCCTCCCCGCCGTACCCTCTACCGCAGACATGTCTGACCCGATCCTCTTCGAAGACACCTTCACTATCACGTCAATTAACGCTCAAAAATACGATCGCGTCTCTCGTATCAGCTGTACGTCCACAGATCAGCTAACCACCTTCACTCTTGACGTAAACTCTGAGCTCTATCGTTGCGCGCCTGGTGAATCTCTTTCACTCGCTCTCGCATCCACATTAGCGCTAGACGGTAAAGATGAAGGTGCCGGAGGGCGAGCTGTTTGGAGAGACGTAGGTATGGGCGAGACAACATTGGCAAATGACTATGACTACGTGTGCTATGGGAAAGTCTATCGATTTGAAGACAGTAGCACGGCGGGGAACATGTGAGCATTCCCCATTTGGCCTGATTATTGCATACAGGCTGGTAGATCGAGTGTTCAAGGTTATGAAACCAAAAGCTAATATGTTCTCGGTGAACCAGGGCTGTCTTTGTTTCATTTGGCGGATTACTTCTGTATCTGGATGGACCATACAAGAAGCTCAACCCGTTGAGAATCGACTACGTTTACCTCTTGATAAAGAAATAAGCTCGAACAGCTTTGACCTTTTAAACCCGATAATACCACGGTCAGGTTAATGCGGTAGTACGGGATAATACGGAACAACAAACGAAATAAAAAGCTTAAGAGGAAATACTCTCGGATTTGCATTTAGCGCCGGCGTTCTATCTGGTTAGGTTCTAAAGTCTTTAAGGAATCACTGTGTTTGTCTAAATAAATAAAAACAGGGATGTTATCCAAGAGACGCGTCAAAGGGTGGGGACCTCATGACGGCGATGGATCCTGGCTTGTATCTCCAGATAATCCTTCTCATTCTCCTGTGTTATGATGTTATGCCTGATGAAGAAGTCTATAAGCACAACAGAGCAGTTGGGCTTGAATTCCCCATTGGCCAATGCAGCCTTCACTTCGTCAACAGTCCACAGGTAAAAGCCTTCCACTTCGGTATCGCACGGCTTTGGAACGACGCTCGAATCGACTTCCAAATCATAGACGTATTCACATTCCGGTTGGAGAAGCCCCGTTTCACCGCCCGCGCGCGCATCTCGTATATATGTATATGTAACGCATCCAACAGCTTTTGTATTGGCCCTGACTAGATCTTCGGGCAAGGAAGCTTCTTCTATGGCCTCGCGGACCAAACTTTCGAATGGTTGTTCGCCAGTGCTGATCCCCCCGCCAACGGTGTTATCCAACATTCCGGGATACGTTTGCTTTGTCTTTGATCTTCGAGCAACCCAAATTCTAATACCATTCTCGTCGTTCACATAGACCGTCATATGCACTCCATAAGTCAGGATTCCAAAAAGATTGCTGCCGGAGCGCTCAATGCTGCCTAGCAATTTCTTGCCCGGCCCATAAATGGGGTATAACTCATTGCGCCAGCCTCGGAGGACCTGAAAAGTGTCTTCTTTGACGGCAGCGGCTAATGTGCGAGCAAGAAGGTCGGTCCGTTGTTCCGCAGCGGCATCATGGAGAGCCAGGAGTGTCACTGTGCGCGTCTCGCGGTTTATTTCCCAGAGATCCTTTGGCCAAGGGAACTTGTCAACTACAAAATTGGGGATATACCCCAGTCCCGCACTGCAGCCAGAGATTTTGAATGTGTGATAGTTGGTTATATATTGCTCGTAAAATACAGGGTCATCGTGGTAATAGGGGAACCTGCGTCCCGTGTGTCAACAGTTGCTTCTATCCTCCAAATCCAAAGAGGACATCACATACCTATCACACTCGTTGACCAGGTCAAGGTAGGACTTGCTCATATCTGAATCCCCTCACTTAATTCTAGTCGACAGCTGCTGGCCTCGGAGCTCGGATTCCGCCTTCACTTCTTCCCTTCATGGCTCGCCAAACCCCCCCCCTTCCCCCTTTTCTGTTTCGCTGGTTCGTTTTGCGGGGACCTCGCTAATCAGCACCGACTCCTCCGTAATCTTGATTACTAACCGAAATTCACATTTCTCACGTGACTTACAAGGTTCGGGCGGAATTCGCTGGGGCCGGCCAAGTCAACAACAGCTGCCCAGTTCCTCCGAGCTCCATTTGTTTCCACGCAATCGCACAGAGCCTGCGGTTTTTCGACTATAGCTTATAGGATCGTGCTTTTATATTGGATCTAACCCTTTGCACCGCAAAGTAATGGATGCTCAATCGACACAACGCTAATCTAACAGCGTACTAACCCCGCATTCTACAGGTTGCCCGCCGCCCCCGAGCCGCTGGAAAGTTCAAGAACACACGAAAGCTCCTTCAACCCAGCTCAAGGGCTGACTGACTAGCAGCCTAGCCCAAGATGTTTTCCGTTGTCTTACCTAGCCGGCCGTGCCTCACGAATCCCACCCCCATCCAAGCAGATCCTAGTTCCCCCGCGACAAATTTCGTATTTACCTTCCCCGCATGGCCCAAGTTCTCGCACATTGTCGTCTTTCTTCTCCCCGGCATCACACTTCCCGCCGACGCTGCAGCAGCTGTATATATCCAATTCTCCACAGGAGCGAATCCAAACCCCAATCCGCAGGATTTCCGCTTTCTCGGCGCAATTGCCAACGAAAAACCCTCTGCGATATTCAAAGTCAATGACCCCGTTCGCCAACGCACGGAAGCCGAAGAGGAAGATGAAATGCTTGACGCGGGATCTCCACCATCACCCAATATCAATATGACCGTTACCCTAGGCATATCCATTGAACCTGCACAGGCCGTGGCTTCCAAACTAGCTACATTGAAGGCTCAATCGGCATCTACGGAGCTTGTCAGGAGGGGTGATATGTTTCAGAGACCGAATATATCAACGAAGCTGCTTGCTCAAAGGATAATTGGGAACGCGTTCAATTTCCTTTCAAGCTTTGCGACGTCAGACGGGCGGGAAGAGATGGTGCCGTTGAAGAGCTTCAGGGACTGGTGGTCGAAATTTGAGAGGAGAATAGAGTCCGATCCGGGCTTTTTGGAAAGAGAAGGGAGTGTGTGAAAAGAGATATCCCTTTGGTACTAGAAATGATGGGAGCAAAAAGTCGTTTTACAAGAAATCTTGGAGATACCGTGGTAGAATAAAAGATTGGAGTGGAGTCATGAGGCAGAACACGACCATGTGATACTACACGGCCCTGTCTGCAGCTTTAGCGAAACCTATCTGTTGATCGCGATTTGGTCGAGGTACCACTGCTGCTGATGTTGCCGCAGCCATATGCTCTCAGTGGAGATGCTCCAGGAAAGAAAAATTTGTGTCTGCATATTATAGAGATGTTGTACTCTATCGTTTCAAGAATCATGTCTGTAAACTAAATTATGTATATAAAAACCCCCCAGGAGCCAATAAGGTCTATTCACGGCATCTGTTTGGGACTCTATCCCGCTGTATCATCCATTGATTCTCAAAGTTGAGCTTTCAGTCTTCGAGCAGGAACTTAAGAAAAGACTTCCCAACGGCGAGGCCATCGTTCTCTTTTGCGACCGAGTCCATACCTTCTTCATAAATGCCTGGCGGGAACGCACCCATATATTTCCGGGTATGGAGTAGTTCTATCACGATCTCTTCGGTAAATTCAGGATGACCTTGGACTGTGATGAACTTGCGCGGAGAGTACATTCCTTGCACTTCACATCGAGGTGAGGATCCAAGTGGGATAACGTCCGGTGGATAGTGATGCACTATATCGCGGTGCATTTGCTGGAGGCGCTGCACATTTCGGCAAATATATTAGAACCCCACCTCTCTTTCACAACTAGTCCAACAGGACATCGGAGACATACCAATTTCTCTAGGCCAAGTAGTTTCTTTCCTTGCTCTGTGAGGTCGACATCATGGACAGCCACCTCCCATCCGGCGTCATTAGGGCCGACCTTGGCACCTAGAGCCCGTCCAAGGATCTGGTGTCCGAAGCACACGCCGATCAAGCGGACACGGTCTTGAGCAGCTATTTTCTTTGTAAATTCGACAAGTTTGAGGATCCAGGGCGTATCATCATATGAATTATATCCTGTAATAACGAACAAAGGGTAAGTGATACACGGATATATATATGTATATGTACCGGGGCGATGGGGAATGGACATACTTGCGCCGGTGATCAGTACCGCATCGATATCCTCTAATTTCGGGTATGTATCACTCTTGTTCACAATATCCCATTTCGAGATCTGCAGATCAGAATCGGGGTTGATTTTGTAGGGTACGTCCAGAGCTGTCGCCGAGGCACGTAACAAGGCTTCAAATACACCACCGTAGCCACCATATTTGGCCTTGGTGTTGGTCAAGGGCTCGTCGCATTCGAGCACGGCAATCCGAAGTGGTACTCTCATGGCTGCTTCGCAAGGACGTTGCAGTTGGATATGGCGTCTGCAACAGTATGTAGGTCTCGGTCAAGGGGGCAGTCGATGGCAACGAGGATGTGTAGCAGAGAGAGGGGCGCTCTTGAACGTGCTTTTCATGATAGAAGCGTAGACAAGGTATGGAGTCAGAGCGATTCTGCCGAGTCACAGTGTCGGGCGTTGGGAAGAAAGGTTCATCTCCACCACATCCCTTGTTTCCTATTGCCTGGCGACGTGCGGCGGTGGGCGGCAGAGCAACCGGCCGATTGGCCCGGGATGCTTGATTGGCCGAGACCGCCCGCTATGCCATTTTGAGCCATCGGGACCGGCAGCTCACCGCCCTGGCGACCGGCAAACGGGGCGGCAGAATGACTAATGCCGATCCACATGACCCCGGATTTTGCTCGCAATCACCGCCCTTATCGCGCCAAGCCCAACTTAAATCGCACGCTGGTTGAACGCGGCTCGCCGCGACTAGTCGTCATGGACGGGTTCAGGACTCAATTCATGACAATTGGGTGAATCGGGGAGCCGCCAATCATTTTTCGCTGTGTACGGCAAGCGCGGGCTTCACTGTCCTATTTTCGATGCAGGTATGGTTTCCAGGTATTCGTACCATTACAATATCACAGATTGCCGCCCCGGCCATTCCACAAATGTACGCTGAGGCTGACTTCGATAGTTAATTCCTCAGGTGATACGGAGTATATCCTGCCACATGGTGACGGGAATTGACCTTAATTTCGCTACTCCTGGGTATATGAACTGGCACAAGAGTGGCCTATAGAGAAGCGTTCTGGAAGGCGGGTGATCGCATTGTGGACGGAGTACTCCGTACAGAGTAGGGTGGGACATTATCACGTTTGATTGCTGCAGCCGGCCGTCATGTCTTCGCCTCGGAGAGTCACTGAGTCGACGCCGTTACTTCACAATGGCACTGCCAGTGTTCCGGATATCCCTGACGATATCGACGAGGAGTCCTTGGACCGGGACCTCGCCAACGTTCAGTCAGTTCCCCACGGCGGTGAAACTGAGCCTGGATTCCCTCCCGTACCTCCTAGAGATGGAGCTTCTGAGGCTGCCAAACAAACAACGCCCAAGGGATCGCACCATTTCATCAATGTCAGCCCTGCCCAATTCTGGGTTATCTTCACCGGTATTCTATTTTCGTATATAATCGCATTCTTCGATTCCACTCTGATGGGCTCCATACACCCTGTGGTTACGTCATATTTTAATTCCTCGAATTCGGCCTCATGGTTATCGACGGGGTTCCTCTTAACATGCACAGCTTTCCAGCCCCTCTTCGGCCGGGTCTCCGATACTTTCGGTCGACGACCGGTTTATCTATTCGCGATCTTCGTGTTCTTCATCACAACGGCTTGGTGCGCGCTAGCTCAAAGTATCGGAAGCTTTATAGCCGCAAGAGTTTGCTGTGGTCTGGGAGCCGGGGCTGTTGCCTCCCTTGGGATGATAATGAGCTCTGATCTGATCTACGTTGAATATAGAGGAATATATCAGTCGTATATCAATCTTGCGTATGGAACGGGCTCATCCCTTGGCCTGGCTTTCGGTGGACTCTTGGCAGACAAACTTGGCTGGAGAGCGGCGTTTGGCATCCAACTGCCCTTCATTTTTATCTATCTAGTAGCGGCGTACTTCACTACCCCCCAATCCCTCGGACCACAATTAGCATATCAAGAAGGCTTTTCTTTAATGCAGGCCATCAAGTCAATCGATCTAAAGGGGTCGTTTCTGTTGGTTACCGGTGTGACTGCTTTGATGCTTGGCATCAACCTGGGAGGAAATGTCTTATCTTGGGATCATCCACTGGTTATATGCTCTTTGGCAGCATTTGGTGCGATTGTTGCTCTTTTTATCAAGGTTGAGCGCGAGGCAAAGCGGCCCGTGATGCCGTTGCCTTTGCTCTCCAGTTTCCCGCGTGCGAACTTGATCCTCGGCAACTTTTGCGCAAATATCACGATTAACACGGTCCTATTTAACGCTCCTCTGTACTTCCAGGCGGTAAAATTGGAGTCGCCCACTAACGCAGGTTTTCGCCTCGTCGGAGCGTCACTCATGCTCATGATAAGCAGCGTATTTACTGGACTCCTCATGACAAAGACTCGCCGACTAAAACCTCCTCTTATTCTTGGAAGCATATGTCTAATCTACGGCACGTGCTCTATGAGCATGCTACGTAGAGATGCGCCAGGCTGGATAGGGATGCTATCGGTTAGTCCAGCGTCCTTTGGACAGGGCTTTGCATTCCCCGCGACAATGTTATCCGTACTGGCTGTCAGCGAGCAGGGGGAACAGGCAGTGGTTACAACGACGCTTGGTTTGTTCCGCAACCTAGGGTCAGTTATGGGGGTGGCTATAAGCAGTTGGGTCCTTCAGAACTCGCTTCGTGTGTACCTCAACCTCTCAGTTACGGGGGACGATAAGGCAGAGATTATTCAACGAGTCCGAAGATCTGTTGCCGCTATATCTGAGCTGGATCCAATCCATCAGTATCAAGGCAAGTAGCCAAAAACTTTGAATACGTGAGAGGAAGTGCTAATAACACATTCTCTACTATAGTTATTGAGGCGTACGAACGTGCTTTGCGTATCACTTTCCTCTCAAGCATCGTTTCTTCAGCATTGGTCTTTCTTTTAGTTGCGCCCGTCAGGCTGCCTCGTTTACGCCGAAGGTAGCAGCCGGGTTCTCATCGACTCCTTTTCACTTCCGGGTATTCTTTGTTGAGACAGACGGTTTCTATGTACAATTTGGGAGGGGCATACACGACCGGAGGGTATATTCTTCACATTAGGTGCAGGCTTTCATGCATAACCTTCCTCTGGATAGATTATTGATTCATATTTTCGGGCTTCGATTGTTGTCAGTGGACCCGCCAAAAGAGGAGGCATCCGTCTCAAAATGTCCGGATGAAACACAAAATTAATGTAGACTAAACTTATTCAGGGACAGCCGTATCAAAATAATAGCAATAGTGTCTTCATCGGGCTTGATCGATGCTCTTTCAAAACAAGTCAATCGTATTGCCAATTCATGTTCCTTGACCCCCAGGGTTTCCTCGAGCACCCCGGCTGTCAGCCGGCCAAACAGACAGACCTGAATGTTCCACCCCAAGCACCTTGGAGGGTACAGACTCCCTACCCCATAACCAGCCCCTCCATTGAAAGCCCTAACGGTTCCGGGGACCTCTGTTAATCTGTGATATTTAATTCCGATCAGCATCCGTTGAGTCTTGCTCAGAACCAGAGCCACCCCTTTTCGGCATCCCGTTCACGATCGTCTGTCTTGGTGCCACGAACCAATCCATCGGGACGAACACCTCGCCAGATCGAGACGTGATTGACATCGAAAGCTTTTCCTCCAACCCTCCGTGGTAAGCAAGATATATATTCACGCCTTTAGTCCCCGTCATTATCCCATCGGTTGAGCCTGCGCTCCTTGTGTCAGCCCTTCCCTGTTCCTGGTGCTCCACGGCTCCTTGTTTAGCGCGCATCTTCTAAATGGAATATCTTTGTGCAGCTCACCGTCATTCCGAGAACCACCTGCCTTCGACGCGCGCGATCGAATTTCAACAACGCCGAGATTCATTTGCAAACCGTCCCGTATAGATCCCTACAGACTGCGGACAGTCCCCGGCGCGATATTTAACAGATCCCTGCAAGCGAACAACAACAATCCTACATAGACCCTCACTCGCCGAATCTGCCCTTTCTTGCTCTCACTTGGCATATCCCATGGTACCCAAAAGCGCGCTACGTGTTACGTCACGGGGTAAAAGCATCGGGCAGTGAATACTGCGATAGATGTGGAGGTGAAAGGGGAACTCTTTTCATGACATCGGGCGCAAAGTTGCGCTTCGAGGGAATAGTTTCGCCTGCTGCCTCGAATCCTGGGCTATAATTTTATGGACAACAGTATATTACGCGATATCAATGTCATCAACCGTTGGCGGACACCTGCTCCCGCAGAATGACTTCGATATTCCTTTAAATCTCGCCGCTTCACCTTCTGTATCAGCGATACCTGACTATTCTGGAAATGGAGGAGCATATCAGATAGCAGCGAAGCTGGATTCGAATCCATCACAGAACGCTACTGTGAAGCAACAAAGTGCCGTTGGCAGCACTGTTGCTGGAGCCGCCGCCGCGGGGCGGGGCGCTGGGCCAGCAACACGGCCGGATGCACCCAAATCTAAGCGTGTCAGGACCGGTTGTCTAACATGCAGAGAGCGGCATCTCAAATGCGATGAAACTCTTCCTCGTTGCCAGAACTGCCAGAAGTCGGATAGACTGTGCAAGCGTGGAGTTCGTCTAAATTTCATCGACACTCAGGTTGCCGCACCCCCATATGCCGTGCCCTCCAGCCATGATTGGCAGGTAAACTTCCATGATGAATCTCGCGAGATAGCATCGGAGTACCTAGGCGGCTACGAGAGGTATCCTTCATTAAAAAAGGAGACCCCGAGTCGGCGAGCTGGCCCCGTGTATGCCTATCGTGAGACACAAGCAATGGCAACGCCACACCCAGGACCGACAAGTGCGTCATTACTGACTCCATTTGCGGAGCATCCGCAGCCAGACATTACAGCGGAGCCAATATTCCATGGCACGCCTCAAGCACCGGCCCCAGATTCTGCATATACGGAACACGCGATGGCTCGTTCTCCTTTTGATGCCCCAAAACATCCCTTGGCTCCAGCGAATGAACTTCGACCCTACTTGAATACCGCAGAGGAGGTATTACTTATGCAGGTGTACGTGGAGGAAGTAGGACTTTGGATGGATTCCATGGATCCTGGAAAACACGTATGTGAGCTCTCTTCGTGAACAAGGGTTTTGTCATTCGACTGACTAGAATAGTTTACCCAAATTCTTCCTTTCCACGCACTTGGGGAACCAATGCTCTTAAATGCTCTCCTGGCTTGCGGTGCACGACATTTATTTCTAGTCAATCCTTCATTCGGTGAAGAGAAGGCGCTATATTATTACAACATTTCGACTAGAGATCTCTTAACCTGTTTACAAGATCCGAATCGTGATACGGTGCTGTGTGCAACCACAGCAGTGGTCCTTAATGTTTATGAAGTTATGTGTGAAAAGGCCATGCAGAGAATGAATCATATCGCTGGTGCTCGTGCGTTGATCAAGGAATGCCGCTGGAATGCCAAAACAACTGGTATTGGCGGCGCATGTTTCTGGTTGAATGTTGGCATGGAACTGCTGAGTTGCCTCCACTTCAACTGGAAAATGGCCTGGGATCCGGATACATGGGATATCGATATGAACATGAGCCTGAATCAAGGGAGCATCGCGGGCGATGAGGAGTTTTGGACCCATCGAATGTTATATATATGTGCGAAAATCGCAAATTATCGAGCCACCATGGCGTACCAAGGGCTTGATCGAAGTTCCCATGATCCCAGGTTAAACCAGCGTTGTGAGGAGTGGAACGCGCTGCGAGCTTGGTGTGATGAGTGGGCAAGATGTGCCCCGAGATCTATGATGCCGCTGGGTTATTTACATCCATGGGAAACAAACTCGAAGTCATCATTCCCCGAAGTTTGGTGGGTACTTGATCGATACTTGTCGAGTCTTTCTTCTGAAAGCATTATGTGCTGATAATAGTTTAGGCTCATCAAACGCTCCGCTGTTGTTGGCCGCCTATTCTACCATACTGCTTGTTGCCTCTTGGCAAAAGTGCATCCTACGGAGTCAGAATATTCAGATGAGATGCTGTCCATGCAGCATAGTCATGCGCATGATATTTGTGGCATTGTAGCACATGTGAAAGACAGGTGAGCTGATATTTACTGTCTATCCATAGCTGTGGATTCTGACTACTGTTTAGGGGTGTTGCCAGCGTCTCAATTCGATGCCTAGCTATTGCAGCGGAATGTGTTGTTGGAAGAGAGGCTCAAGAGGAAGTGATTGCCATTTTGGATAAAATCATCAAGGAGACAGGATGGCAAGTTGGCTTTCTACAGCATGAACTTATCGAGAAATGGGGTTGGAATAGCGCCACCTCACATATGTCGCCGCATCAAAGTCAGCATCCGCAGATGGCAGCAGCTGGGCCTTCTACAGACCTCGGGTCCTCTTTGCTGAATTCCGCATTGCCAAGCGCGCCTCCATCAAGACCCAGGATGCCACAGGGCATCGTCAACCCACTTATGGCAACCGCAGACTTTTCGTTCGACAACCACCCGTATCAAAATCATTACGTTGCTCCGCATAATAATCATTTGAACAACTACCACTATGGTTCCTACTGAGAGTGATTCGGGGAAAGTAAGGTACCCCCCAAAGGCTTCATTCACAGCGCGAAGGCTCGATTGAGGACGAATCTTCTGTTGTGCCTCCTTGTCATGCATTTTGAGCGGCCTGATAAACGGATCTTAATGTATATACAGTCTTGCTAATAGCCCGCTCATCCTTGTTGCTGCGCATACGCGTTCAGGATCATTTTTCCGCTTGCAGATACGCTTGGCTCTTTTCCATGATATTGCCTGTGTATATACCACAACTGCAGTTTGATCGAAGCCTACTCATATTTTAGGTTTCTTTGGTCTAGCTCGCATATTTTGGTCAATATGCATGCTAGAATTATTTTGTGTCGTACTGTTTATTGTTTCCGGGGAGCATTCTAATATAATAACATACGTAAAGTGGTGACATGCATGGACATCAACCTGCCTTGAGTGATCAACTGATTGAATGCTACATTAAAATAAGCATTCCATACGGAGTACTCCGTACTTCGTTGCATATCCGGGAGCGCGGAGAACAATTGCAGATAGTTAGTTAACTAGTTAGTTACTTCAAAAATGGCTCTTAAGTAAGCAGCCAAGCAACCGCAACTCGTTCACTCTGGTATTGTATTCCATAGCCCGTAGTTGCTCCACAGCGAGGTCTTTGTTTTCCTCGTTCACATCGACGGCCCTGCCGTTGTCTCTTCAAGATGGCTTCTTCAGATTTACAGTCTACGATGCATCCTCCGGCGACCCCGGTGTATGTTCTTCGTGGCCATGCAGCCCCCGTTCATGCCCTGCACTTCTACAACCAAAATACAAGGCTTGTTTCTGGCGACGCGGACGGATGGGCTATCGTCTGGAATATGACTACCAAGCGACCCGTTGCAACCTGGAAGGCCCATGAGGGGTCCATTTTAAATGTCAAAGGGGTCAAATTTGCCGCCGATGGCGGTCATTTATGTGATGCGAATGAGCAAGCTGCTAGTGACTCGTCGGAGATGAGGGTGTTTACGTATGGTTCTCCAGCCAAGTTTTACATCTGGTTATTATTAATGAATTCTGAATAGCCATGGGAGAGACAATGCTCTCCGTGTATGGAGGTTAAACACAAAAGAGGAAGAGCTTCTCGATAAAAGATTGCCTATCGAAGAAAATTCTACCCCTAAAAATATGAAGGAGCCTTGGTTGATCTATTCGATCACGGTGAACGCATTGAATTTCTGTGGCTTTTCTATTTGCTTCAAGCCTTCTTTGAGCTATGAGCCAAATCTCGAGGGTTCCTGTTTGGAGCAAGTCAGCTCTGTGGACGCTTTGCCTGGGAGCTGCATGCCCAAGGTGTCCTCTGAAATGTTCATTGCTGTACCCAACGCCATGAATACCGGCGGAATTGATATCTTTCATCTACCTTCACAGAAGCGGATATGCATAATATACGCAGACAAGTCGGTTAACACGGGTATGGTGATGGCGCTGGAGATATTCTTTTCCTCGGCTGGTGACTTATACGTGGTATCCGGGTACGAAGATGGCCAAGCTATGGTTCATATGCAACGAGGGCCTATTGTCATAGAAGACATGGATGATGCGTCAACATGGAATTGGGAAAGAATATATCTGCACCGTGCACATCAACAACCCATTCTCTCGCTAGACGTCTCTCCGATGCATAAAAGCCATTTCTTCACGTCTTCAGCGGATGCGATGATTGTGAGGCACCCGCTTCCTCTGAGAAGCGATGATGTGAAATCTGGGGACCAGGTGCCATTAAGAATCGTGAATACCAAACACGCAGGCCAACAGGGACTGAAAATACGGTCTGATGAAAAAATACTCGTTACTAGTGGATGGGATGGTCGTGCGCGAGTTTACTCGTGCAAAAGTATAAAGGAATTAGCCGTGTTGAAATGGCATCGAGAAGGTTGCTACGCCATTGCGCTTGCTGAAATTGAAGCCGACGAGCCGACCACTCACCTACCAACGGAACCAGCCGAAGAAAAGCCGGAGAGCTCTACTTTAATCCAAAGAAACCAGCCGCGGTCCCTTATAGCTATCAATCAACAACGCAGTCGAAAAGCACAGCTTACACATTGGATTGCCGTGGGCTCAAAAGACGGAAAAATATCATTATGGGATATCTATTGAGCAGACCCTACAAAGCAACTCCATCCAACAATATCACTTTTCAGAAGTCGGATCAAGCAATATTAAACTCGCTCGCTCCGGCCATGTGTTCCTTTAGTTTCTGCTGCATCTTTTTCCTCGCTTCAGCAGCATCCGTAGTTGAGGAGCTGTCCTCCCTTGCTGACATCTTTCTCTTCTCGCCCGAAGCAAGTTTACGATCCGCCTTGAAGGACTTTTTCGTGTCCTCATTACCTGGCCGTAAGCCCGGAACATTGATTTTGGCTGGCCTGTCGCGTAGCGCAAAACTCTTCGCTAAGTGACCCAAGTGTAAGTCTTTGATATTGAACATGTGCCGTTCAGCAGCGATATGCGTCGCATACGCCCGGATATGAGACTGATAAGCGCGTCTGGCCATTTCCAAAATGGTTGAATCCTCGAGAGCCCAGCGCTCAATATCAAGCTGCCAGTCGGTAGCTTTATCTTCCCAACCTTTGCTAATGGCTTCACTGTTCCCACCAAAGCCTCGTTTAAGGATTTCGTTCACTTCGTTTCTCGTCACAGAATTGCTACTACCTTCGCGATAGCTGCCTTTCAATATGTCAACGTACCCTTCCTCATTGCCAGGGAGGAGGAAAATCAGTGCTCGACCATCGCGGCCTAATCGTGCCGTACGACCGATACGGTGAAGATGATCATCCGAGCAAAATGCCGGATCATACTCGATAACGAAATCAACATTCGGTAAGTCGAGACCACGGGCTGCGACATCTGTACAGATGAGAACGGATGCGTCTTTTTGCTTTGCGAAAGCTGAAAGGGTTGCTGTTCGAACGTGTTGTGGAAGCGAGCCGTGGAGTTTATGTAGTATAACATTATTCGAAGGATTAGAGAATGCAGACGCCGTAGCAATGCTACCATGAACATTTGAAGAACTGGGCGCATTTTCATCATCAGCATCGGGTAATTCTTCACTACTTTCACGTCGAGTGAAAACCTCGAAATGAAAATCCACAGAGTCTGCGCAAGAAACGAAAATAATCGCTTTCATGACTGATCCTTTGCGTGCAAATGTCCGCTTCAACAGGGCCGTAAGTGTCACTAATCGAAGCTTCGCCGCCACAACTGCGTACGACTGCTTCAGTTGTGCAGGCGCAGAGAATTCGGGCTGCTTTGAGCCGTCTTTCTGCTCATCATCTTCATCAGCAGGATCTGCCTTTATATGGATTGCCTCTTTCAAACTAATCTCTCCCAAACGTTGCACATTCATCTTCAGCGTGGCCGAGCATAAAATCGTCGTCCTCTTGGCCGGGAGGTCTGGAATCTTGGACGGTCTCCGCCTTTCATCCAGCTTCTTAATAATTCCCTGGATCTCTTCTTCAAACCCCAAATCCATGAGCCTATCGCCTTCATCAAGCACAAGCCATCGCACATTGCTAACATCAAGAACCTTTGTATTCTCCAGATGATCCGCCAATCGGCCGGGCGTAGCAACCAGAATATTCAATCCCTTCCGTAACCGTGCTTTTTCAGATTTCTTCTTTTCTCCTCCAATAACAGTTCCCGCCACGATCCAGTGTGCACACCGAAGTAATCCATCCAAGACTACGGAGATCTGCTTGCACAGTTCTCTCGTTGGAGCCAGCACTATGGCGAATAGCCCCGAATCTCTGTGGACAGTATTTCCCTCGCTATCCTTCTTTCCCTTGTTATGGCTCGATATCCTCATCAGCCGTTCAACGATCGGCAAAAGGTACGCTAACGTCTTTCCAGAACCAGTCTGCGCTTGTACGAACGCATCGCATTCTTCCTTGAGTAGCTGCGTTATCGAACTTTTCTGGATAGCCGTCGGGGTTTTTAAATTAAGTTTTGTTAGCAGATGTGTCGCTAAACTTGGGGATAGCCCAAGGGACGTAAACGTGTCGATTCCATCGACGAGAGGCGCATTCGAAGGCTTCGCTGGCTCAGTGGTATCTTCATCGTGCGTCGCGCCATCCGTGCTCGCGACCGTCTTCGCGGTAGGATTATACGTAAACAGCGAAGAAATAACTTGTCTATCGCCATATGACTTGCGATCAGTCTGTTCGTCGTTTCCCACCCCACCGCCTCCAGCACTCGACTTGGTCGTGGGTTTGAAATCTCCACCATCGATCCTCTGTCTCTTCGCCGGTCGCTGGCCCGTAGGAACATTGATTTTATTAGGATTCTGCGGATTATTGCTGTTGACAGCTCCTGTCTCTGCGCTGTGTCGAGATTTATTCTGTCGCTTGACGGCGATTTTTTTCGCGACCAGACGATCCTTCCATGTCCCGCCTTTGAAGCGCTGCTGGGGCTTGATGACGCTGTCGTCTAGGCTGAAGTTGAGAAGCATGCCATCTTCGGCCATGGTGATAACCAAGGTCGTCTGTGCCCTCTTTGAACTGCTTCACCACCACTAATATCGAGATATCCGTCGCCTGGTCGTTGATAAAATTGATACTGAGATATTCGGAAGAAAATATAACTTGAGCTTTGAGAATAGCTGATTGGCCAATTTTTGTCGGAATACGATTGGTTTACATATATTTAAGCTTGTTTCAATGGACGCGATCCATTGGCTGCTTAAATGGAGCGCCAAGCCAGTGACATGTTACTGCATATGTACTCCTACTCCGTACTGTATATAGGATCTTGCTTGTCATAATCAACGTGTATGTACAGTGTCTTCCGTTGTAAAGTATATAATTCAATCGTAAATGTCCTTTATATGTGGCGAGGGTATATTGGAGTTGATCTCAACAGAGAATTAGAATCCAAAAGATTCACCAAACCACTGAACAAGTCAAGGCTTCGGCGGAAGAATTATGTTATCAATTAGCCTCACTGGAACAGTGCCTTCACCCAGTCCGCAGTCCTCCCCGGGTTGCGGATCTTCGAGAGGGTACATTTTAATTGCGCCACTCAACACCGCTCCCTTCGAGCTATCGACCGCATCCAGCTCTTCGAGCGATTCGGGGTGCGCAAGGGAAATGTAGTCCACTTCAAATCTTGCTCGTTGAAACGGTTGAAGGTTTTCCTGTTCCTTGGAAATAGCATCTGAAATCCTGCGCGCAGCTCTGAGAATATCTTCCCTAGAGTGTTTACCGGAAGAATACGCTCTCTCAGCCTGTCGCAAGGCGGCCGAAAGGACGAGGCCAACCTTTCGTCGTCGGGAGCCCAGGTAGACATTCCGGGAGCTAAGGGCAAGCCCATCGGGTTCACGAACAGTGGGCCCAATCTTCACTTCCGTGTTCACGTAGAGGTCTTTAACCATGCGCCTGATCACCACCGTTTGCTGCACATCTTTCTGGCCAAAGTAAACGCGTTCCGGCGTGACTATGTTGAACAGTTTCATACAAACGGTTGCGACTCCACGGAAGAACACGGGACGGGATGCTCCTTCGAGCAAACTGGCCAGAGGCGTAATGGTAACAAACGATCCGTTTCCGTTTATTTCAGACGTTGGCGGAAGGGTTGGGTACATGACTTTCGTCGTTGGCGCGAAAACGGCACTAATACGTCCCGGAGGAGCTGCAGATTGGTCTTTGGCTCCAGCGAGGGAAAGTTCGCGGTCCAACTCCTGGAGCCTTTGGATATCCTCTGCCCACGTCCGCGGATAGCTTTCCAGGTCTTCATTGACTCCAAACTGTGTGGGGTTGACATAAATACTAACGACGACATCTGTATTCTCTCTAGCCGCTTGTCGGATTAGGGAAAGGTGCCCTTCGTGCAGGGCGCCCATCGTAGGAACCAATCCGACTGTTTTCTTCGAAAGGAGGAGGTTTCTCCGGTATTCGCGGAGGGGTAGGACATCCCGGAAGATTTCGAAACCTGGAGAACCAGCATTTGTCCCGCTGGAGAGCCTATAAGGGAGGGCTTGATGCAGCAAGTTAGCGCTATATCACTGAGACAGTCGATCAAGACCTTACATGAGAACGATCTCACCCAACGGGACATGGCTTTGAAATATCCAACAAACAGACGCGAACTGTAGACCCTGTGGAAACAATTGCGAATTTCCCAATCATTGGAAATAAGAGCGGGTATATTATACAGCACAGGGGATAATACGCAGATATAAACAAGAGGTCTGAGTCTACATCTTGAGTCAATTGGAAGTGCTTTTTTTCAACAAGCGAGGCTGATTGTGATGGTGTCTGCTGCGTTGCCGTCATCCTTGGGCGGAACTCCCGAGCAGGCACCATCCCGTACTAGGACTAGCGTGTTATTCAGTGAACTAAGCATAGATCACAACCCAACGATGTCACCTTCGAAGATTTCATGCGATGGAATACAAACCTGATGCTTTGTACGCTGTAGATGAAGTGATGGCGCGAATATGGGGTTTGCTTCCAGCTTCGACAGCAGACATGGGCTGTCCGGACCCAGGGATGGCCGATTCAGCTGGCTTCATGATACGGAGCAATGCGAGGGAAATACCCCATACCAAGCTTTTAGTTACCCCTCCATCCAACTCCAGAGGTAGGCCAAACCAGTAGGAAGTTGTCGCCGCATGCCTGTATTCCGTGTTTTAATCCTCGAAACTAGTAGAGATACGGAGAACCCTCCATGCACATCCAATGTAGCCCTGAAAGGGGCCTCTCTAGCCAAATCGGCCGGCTGTCGGAATTGCGCTGAGTGGACCCGCGACCGGGGAGTACTGCCGAGGTTGGAAACCTTATCGGAGATGGAGGATCTTAATTCCTGCGCTTGTTGGGACAAACGGTGATCTGGTGAATTGGTCACTCCGTTTCGTGTTGGCATATTCTTCTTGGGTTGGATGCAAAGCTGTGAGAGATTTGTCGTCGGGGAACCGGGATTATGGACTGTCACAGCGAGCCCTTCACACAGACGCTGATTCCCCTATTGCTTTGCCAATAACCGCAACCCACACCCTACATTTACGCATATAGTTAACGCTCTCCTTAAATCGCAATGCCTTCCACAAAGCCAGCGGAGAACCCAACCAGCTTCGCGCCCGATCTCGAGATCGTCGGAGATAAAGTCCGAATCCAGCCTACCGGCTTCACTGCCGGCGCCAAGGTCGAAGATGGCGGTATCACAGAACGGCGTCTAGTACAGCAAATGGGCCGCTTTCGACAGAACCCATTCGAGTTTCTACGAGAGATCAGCTTGTTTGTGTCTGGTACAGGATGGCGCGCATATGATGATTTTGTTGGCCAGCCAATTTTCTATTCTGGCTTTACGGAGAAGGTAAAATCTGAAGTTCTGCACCACCCGTTGCTTCAGGGAAAAATTGCCGAGCTGGCTGAGCTGAGGACAAAAGTGGAAGAGAAAGATGGGCTGCTGAACGGGCCATCCAATAACAACGGCGACAAAAGCCTACGTCGGAAAAATGAGATTATAGCCAATTTGCGCGAGGTGGTGGATACTATGATTGATAATATGATTTGCAAGATGGAGAGTAAGACCTTCATCCGAGGCGCTTACTATCTCTGTACCCAGCTCCTCACAAGAGCTTATCACCAAGGTAAGACCTTCATGGATTTTTCTCGGTTCAGCTACTTTTGCGTTTATACTTGATACTTAGCTATAGATTTGCAGGAATCCATGTTTCTAGCGAAGAAGTCCTCCGTCTAAGAGCAGTGGCCAAAGAAGCAGCAGAGAAAAAGAAATCTATCATCTTCCTTCCTTGCCATAAATCTCATGTCGACTATGTCTCGCTCCAGATTATTTGCTACCGCCTTGGAATTGCGCTCCCCGTTGTTGTGGCAGGAGACAACCTCAACATTCCTCTTCTAGGACCATTTCTGCAGCACGCCGGTATGTTGGAGGATAGAACCTCTGTGAATAATACAATTGCATAACTGCTAACCGCCAATAGGTGCAATGTGGATTCGACGCAGTTTTGGAAACGATCCCTTATATCATACTCTGGTTCAAGCTTATGTCGATACCCTTCTCAGCAATGGCTACAATTTTGAATGCTTTGTAGAAGGTGGCCGGTCAAGAACAGGAAAGCTCTTGCCACCAAAATACGGTATTTTGAGCTTTTTATTGGACAGTGTCTCTTCAGGTCGAGTAGACGACGCCATAATATGCCCGGTCAGCACGCAGTACGACAAAGTCATAGAAACAGAGTGAGAAGCCTGTCAGGGATGGGTTAGTTTTGCGGACACATGGAGTACTGACATTTAATCAGGTCCTATATCAGCGAGCTTCTTGGCCAGCCAAAGCAAAAAGAAAACTTGAAGGACTTCTTGTCCTCGTCATCGGTATTGTCCCTGAAGTTGGGGCGCGTTGACGTCCGTTTCCACGAGCCTTGGAGCTTAAAACAATTCATAACGGAACAATTGACGAGGCTCAACAAGAACCCCAGCAGTATCAGTCTTGTTGATCCTGCCGAAAGAGGGCGCATTCTCAGAACGCTTGGATATCGAGTTCTTTCACAAATCAATGATGTTTCAGTAATCATGCCTACAGCCTTAGTTGGTACCGTCCTTTTAACTCTCCGAGGCCGTGGGGTTGGAAAAGCTGAGCTAGTTCGCCGTGTTGACTGGCTTTGTGAGCGTGTGAGAGCCAAAGGCGGACGAGTCGCGCATTTTTATCGAGCTGCAACCGAACATGTGGTGGATCGTGCTCTTGAGGACCTAGGTCCAAAACTAGTTGGTGAAGTAGGCGGACTTGCGGAGCCCACCTTTTACGCTGTGGACAGGTTTCAGCTCTCGTTTTACCGCAACATGACGATACATCTCTTCATCACCGAAGCTTTGGTCTCTGCTGCGATGTATACGCGTGTGAAGCAAGGTGGCGGACCAGCAAACCAACGAATTTCATACGATGAATTGCTCTCTCAGGTTTCATTTTTATCACAGGTTTCTATCACCAGGCCCGTCCTTCGCTATATCTTGTGCTAATCCGTTTCTTAGATCTTTCGTGGTGAATTTATATTTCCTCCAGAAGGATTGACTACAAATCTTGAGAAGACTCTCCACGGCTTGGAACGTGATAACGTGATTAAAGTGACCCGTAATTCGACAAATGTTCCCACGGTGATTGAATTAAGCGACCAAGAACGGCAGTGCGGACGGGAGAACTATGACTTTTACTGCTTCCTCGTCTGGCCCTTTATCGAAGCCTGCTGGCTTGGAGCAGTCTCCCTTCTAGGACTCACGCCACCATTATCCAACCCACAGACCTTCTGGGTCGATCTAAAGAAAGCACAAGACAATGCTCAGCTGGTAAGTAATGCGTATACGCCACATCTCTTGCAGTGGTTTTGGGCATTATTGACCGCTTCGCGACATAGCTGGGCAAAACGCTTTATCACCAAGGAGATCTATCGTACTTCGAAGCCGTGAACAAAGAGACACTCAAGAACGCTTATCAGAGATTCGAAGAGGAGGGGATCATAATTGTCGCCAGAAGCAAGGAGTCCGGTACCGCTGCAACCCTGCGGATTGCCCCCAATTGGATGCCGGAAAGGGACCCTGAAACTGGGAAACTACTACCTCGCGGAAGGCTTTGGGATTTTACAGATTTGATCGCCCAGTCGCGGCGCGAAGGGTATGTCGAACTTTGATCCCCAACTTGCTAGACGCCAAATCTTACCTACCATTCCCCCTTTAGGAAAAACAGACGAGACGGGGCGACCGTCTCTTCCCGTGTCTTGACCATGAGCGATGCAGTAGGACAAGTATTATTCCGGAAAGCAGAGCTTCCAAGCTCAGGGACTCCAGAAGATGACGTGAAGTTATCCACAACCAAGATGAGACGGAAAGCAATCGAGACACCATCAAAACTGTGAGTGAGAAGAGTCATTTGCTCTTATGCTCTGATGTATTTACTATTTATACCCCCCAATTTTTTTCCAGCTATAGAGCCTGTGATCCTAGATGGCTTTTTGTAATATATCTATGCATTGGGCCATTTCCTACCGGCAAGAAATAAATCTATTTCTTTTTATACTATTAACTAAAAATATAGTTACTGTATTTTTTATTATTATTTCCTATCTCTTTAGAGACTCTGAGTAAGATACTATTTTAAATTTTAAGAATATTCTTAAACTTCTTGCTTTAGAATCTTAAAAAAGAGACATATCACCTTTGAAAATTTTGTTCTTCAACTACCTGATCCAGGCTTTCTCATGTGCATATATATGTTGCCATTCTTTAAAAAATGTCTTAGCAGCATCATTTGCGCTTAACCACCTGCTGAGATGCGAAGCACACAATGGGCCATGCGCCTTGCTTGAAGCGATCTTCTATCTTTGCCCTCTATTTCCTTTTCATTCAAAGGAGCCTTTCCATTCTTTCTTTAAACAACTTGTGCTCATCCTTTCCAGAGTAAACTAGAGCAAAGGCACACCTTCACTCCAAGCCTCAAGCAAAGTTCCTTAAATCACCTGCATTCCATCTTTTTACGCTTCCCTTACATCATTTGCCTTTGATGCTCACTCCCCCCTATGTTTTGCCCTTATCTCTACTTCAATTGTGCCCTTATGCTTCTGGCTCTAGCCTCGATACTTGTTCATCTGTCAATCCGCCAGGAAACCCCTTACACGCGCCTTTGCTCGCATCCTCCAAGGGTATCAGACTCAAGCCCGAGGCCCGCTTCGAATCTTCGTTGCCTCAACGACTGGAAACGTCCGAATTCGTATTCGATCTAAATGGGCACTCGAGGAGTGCCCATCTCTGCCAGCCCTCTGGCTGCACTTACATACATCAGGCCAACCCGAGGTAGCCCCGGAATTCTGGGTATTGCAGACTTCGGTTTGGAAGTCATACAAAATCCAGTCTGCGCATTTATTGGCGAAGATGGAGAGCCGGTTCTCCTCCAGCGATTTCCCATCGTCAAGTTCAAGAATCCTCTCAAGCTGGTTTACCCGCAAGACGGCCACTTGTTTGTGCACTGCACTCTCCACCTCCCGGACGGCACGGGTCCCCTCACTGACCATATGAGCGGAACGACAATCGTACCGTTCCAGCGGCTCAAAGGCCTAGATGACGTCCGCGATAGCTATTTCATCTTCTCAAACCTGTCCTTCAATGTTCCAGGAAGATACAAGCTCAAGTACACCCTTCTCGAGGTCGCTGAAGGGCGCGTTTCCCACTTTGCGGAAGAGGAATCGGCTGTTTTCCCGGTCTATGGCCAAAATACCGCACGTATTCTACCGCTTCCAACACCGCTTCAGCTTAAACTCGTTGAAGACGATGAGTATAGAACCTTCTTTCCCCATAACGACACCGAGGAGGCATATACATCACCACCTGGACTCTATAGGGCCAACTCCGTGGTGCTACTTGATGCCCCAATCGCCCATATCCTCAATGGCTGGAAGATCATCCCGCGCGTGGAACGATTCGATGTGCACGGTAACCGACAAGTGTGGGTAGCTTTAGAGCCAGGGACGGAACAGAATATTGAGGCCATGAGGAATCCTTGACGGGAATGGACCAGGTCGAGTTGAATGCTAACCGATTGTAGGAGGGCATAGGTTAGGAGCATCAAGGAATCTTTCTTGCGGATAGGATCCTCCTTAGAACTTGGAGATAGGCGTGCGATCTTAAATAGTTCTTTATCTTTCACTCTGATAGAGGCGTTGATACCACTAATTCAAGGTCGAATGATCCAATGCATACATTGTCACAGAGTAATAAGGTATAAAGGTCATCCATCCTTCGCGGAATCTCGCATCTGGCCCATGGCTCCAGGCCCAAGGAGCCGACTCAAGAATGGCAGTCTTGCCGGGCAGAAAAAGGAACCATATCCGCCGTGGAACTCGCTCCCTGCATCATGGCGTTATGGCAGCGGGGTATCTTCCGGCAATTGCAGCGAATTTTTGGCTGCACGCCACACGGCCTGCGGCCCTTCCCGCTGAGACAATGCGCAGGATCCTGCCTGGCCTCGACGCCCGCCTGCCCGCTGGCCCGCTGGCTGGCCGATCGTCTGTCGATGTCGCAGTTCGATGACGCTGGAGGGTTGCACCGTGTGACTAAGCGAATGTCTCAGATCGCTGCGGGCGTCGCGAATCAAATACGAGCTCGATACCGGCCACCGTAACGCCCAGCCCGAACCCCCTGGTAACTACCCGTTTTAGTCTCTGCACGGGCCCCAAATAGCAGCCGTCTATTGGCCAGAACTGCTAATCTCTCCGCGGCGAGCCAGTCAGCGTGCCCGGTACACGTAATCCATTACGCCCAGCAAAACGTACTGTGTGTAAGATGCTTGCTTTGCTCGTTCCAAGCCTCGCGATAACGCTGCGCCTGGCTTGCCCTTTTTTTTTTTTTGTCGTCATCATCGTCTCCTTTCTCCGTCAATTGTATTATATCAGTCTATAATTTTTTGTTTCTTTTTTCTTCTGCGATATAGGTTTTCCTCTTGCTTCTCTCATTCTCGCCGCTCGTTTCCTGCAGAACGTGTTGTCCGTTGCCGTCCGAAGTATAGCTTCTTCGCTCTCCGGGGGCCAAAGACTACGCAAGTTGTGAATAAGTGGTTCATGAACTGGCTTTGTGGTCTCGCGGGGGGTCTGTCATGCATTTAAGGCGTTACTAGTCTACCGATGGGGAAATGTAAGTCCTGCAGCTGATGATCTTTCGACAGTGGCAGTGTGCTAATAGAACTTTTTCTGCTCTTAACAGGGAGCTATGCCGTGATCCTGGACGCTGGCTCGTCCGTACGTCTTGCCCACTTTTGTTTGACTGGAGCATCGGAATATTTCTTGAACAATGGAGGGGTGGCCTAACATATAGCTGCAGGGGACTCGTGCACATATTTATCGCTGGCAGGATCCCGTCGTGACGCGTCCAAGCGCGAAATTCAAGAACATCGATCAGCTGCCCGATATCAGCACTCGCAATACTTGGACGAAAAAGATTAAGCCTGGTACGGGTGTAGCCACTTCAACGCACAAGCTCCTGGTGTACTGACCAGCACAGGCGTTTCATCGTTCGCCCAGAATCCGGAGCGCCTCGGTCCTGAACACTTGAAACCTCTGTTTGACCATGTGCGCAACGTTATTCCCTCTGATGCCATCCAACGGACACCCGTGTTTCTCCTCGCGACAGCTGGTATGAGATTGTTATCCAAGCGGGAACAAAGACATATCCTCACGAGTATCTGTTCTTACATACGCGAGAATACAAGCCTGTCTTTACCGGATTGTAGTGCCCATGTAAAGGTTATCGATGGGAAAACAGAGGGTCTATATGGGTGGATTGCGACGAATTACCTGTTGGGCGGTTTCGACGAACCGGAAAAGCACAGTCATGGAAAGAATCACCACACCTACGGGTTTTTGGACATGGGTGGTGCATCGGCACAGCTTGCCTTTGCCCCAAATGCTACCGAAGCACGGAAACACGCAAACGACTTAACGTTATTACGTCTGAGGACAATCTCCGGACAGCCTAAGGAGTACAAAGTCTTCGTAACGTCGTGGCTTGGATTTGGCGTTCGAGAAGCAAGACATCGTTACGTTCAGGATCTGCTGGAGGTCACCGCTTCCAGCGGTCGAGAACGCCCTGATCCTTGTCTTCCTGAGAAGCTTATTGCAACTATTGATGGTACCATTCTTCCAGATCGCTCCCTGGTCCCGGGACAGGATCCTTATCTTATTGGAACTGGGAAATTTGATGAATGTTTACAACGAACGATACCACTACTAGCCAAGGACGTGCCCTGTGATGATCAACCGTGTTTGCTCAATGGAGTCCACGTTCCGGCTATCGATTTCGACGTCAACCACTTTGTCGGAATCAGCGAGTATTGGCACACAACGCACGAAATATTCGAAATGGCGCACAAAGACAAAGCATATGACTTCAATACCTACCAAACGCGTGTGAAGGAATTCTGCAGCACGAGTTGGACCGAGATAAAAATGGGAGTTTCTGCCAAAAAATGGGGCAAAAAGGTCAACGAAGAAAAAGCGTACGAAGTTTGCTTTAAAGCTGCATGGATAATAAACATTCTTCATGATGGTATTGGCATCCCGCGAGTAGGGATTGAGAACACGCAAGGCTCAGCAAGCAATGGGACCAAGGAGGTTTTGAAGCATGGAAAGCAAAAGGGATATCTGGATCCTTTCCAAGCTATCAATAGTATTGACTCCACAGAAGTCAGCTGGACCCTCGGCAAGGCCGTACTTTATGCTTCGTCACAGATGCCCCCTGCTGAGGATGCCCTGCCGGTTGGCTTTGGCAGTAACGTGCCCGGCATTCCCGATGATTTCCAGTATCCTGCATCGCCACATGTCCCCATACTCACGCCACAGCCGCCTCAAGGCTCTCAAACAAACGCAACTAGCGAGCACTGGCACGATTCTCTCTTCGACGGCGACTCTCCTCGCCGAATTCCGGGAATTCTTCTTTTTATGTTAATTGTTTTAATTGCTCTTTTCTTCCTATGTGGTCGCGAGCGCAGATCGCGTATTTATCGAAAACTGGGCTTATCAAGGGGTCGCGGAAGTCCATACAAACGAAGAGGCTTGTTTGGTGGGAAGATCCCATTTCTTCGACGAGCTGGAACTTCGGGATATGAACGTGTTCTCGAAGAAGGAGCTCGTGATTTCGAACTTGGTGGAGCAGACACGGATGAATCTGACCATTCTCCCACATCTGCGCTCCACCCGTCGAAATCTGCCCCGAGCTGGGGAAATTCTCAACACCATCATCATTCCATGCAGAAATACGCCCTTGATAATGCTTCCACTCACAGTATAGGGTCTGCGTTGGAGATGGGTGCCATCCACAGTCATGTTGATCGAACGGGTTTAGTTATTCGGACCGAGAGTCGAGATCGACTATCCCCCCTTACTCTTGGCCCAACTCTGAATGGACGGAAATCGAGAACGTCGAGTCCCGTGAGGCATAAAAGCCCTCTACTGAATATATAACAGCTCATTTCCTAATGGATGGTGTTGATCAAGGTGGAAAAGGCGTTGCCAGGAGTGAGGAGATCCTCCATCGTATTATCTGTATTATGTTGGCGTTCGGGCAACTGGGTTGAGGTGGGCTATTATCCCAATGGCCGGCATTGTGGATTAATTGGACCAAAAAAAGGGAGGGACCGTCATCAATCAACCTGCATTCATCACTTGTAAAAGTCGATATATTCTGCTTTCATCCGACTCCCAAGGCATGATTAAGAGTCAACCTTTACTATAGGTGCATTACATACCCTGTACATATGTATAATTCTGCTTAAAAATATCCACTGTACTTGCGTTTCCATCGTATTTTACAACCCGCATGTGCTCACTATGGAAGATATGAGATACAACGGACTTGATCTATTTTCGTTCGCCATCTGAGCGCATATCAAAAGGTCGCCTTGCATATTATTCCGTAATTGAAGTCCTCGCTCAGTACAGCACCTAGCCAAGAGGACAATTCACAAGAGCCGGAACTCCGCCAGCATCTTTTGGGGAAAGAAAAAAAGGTACCCTCAACAAACCCACGGTAAAGAAGCATTCTAGGGGAAAAACCTTCTGCAAATTACATCGTCATTTCCACATCCTCATCGTCCATCGCTCCCTTGGGTATCCGTCCTTCGTTTAATTCCCTCTCCAGCCTCGCGATCTCCTGCAAACTCTTTGCCTCGCGGATCATCTTCTCTACCCTCTTGCGCTCCTTTTCTGTCAACTTGACGCGTACTGGCTTCTCGCTAACTTGAGACGGGGAATAGCCACGTTCCGTGCCCGTCGTGATGGCTGCGGAGACATCGAATGTGCGTGATTTTATGCCCATGATCTTAGAGGCAAGAGAGGATGGCTGGCTCTGCGAGCCAAATAGTTCAGCGGCTTTGGCGCGTTCGGCGTCTTTGACTTTTTGGTAGTCGAGGAAACGGACGGAGGGAAGGAGCCAGATAACCCAGTACCGGTAGTGCTTTATTTGTCCTCAGTAATTAATATGAAAGAAATCAGGACCGAGAAAGAGGAGCATTCCCAGAAAGACGCATGTTGCTTACCTCTTTTCTAGTCACGGGGTTTTCCAGAACAGTCAAATGCGTCAATCTTGTTAAATTCTTTAATGGATCTAGATCTGCTAATTCTCCTATATTATTCGCAGTAAGGACAAGAGTCGTGAGGTTCGGTATGGACTGCGCGATTGAAGGCTGAATATGCGAGACTCGATTTCGCGCTAGGAGTAACGTTCGTAGGCGGGGAGAATATGGAAAATTTGAAATGGAAGATATATCATTGTCCGTAAAATCAATTGCATCTTGTTCCTATCCGCGAAAACAATCGGTAAAAGAAAATGAGTCAGCCCATGTATTTCCGACTGCTCTGATGGACATAGGAAGAGGCATCGTACCCGCGCAACACCTAGATTCTCAATAACAGGAATCTTATGGCCTAAAATCCACTCCCAAGAAAAACCATGGTATCAACGGTGCTCATTTCTCAAAGCGTAGTATCTGTCCTTTTCAGACTTTGCCATACGCACCTCGGAGGTCGAGCTCTCGCTCTTTCAAAGGATTGAGATAGGAAAGGGAGTTTTGAATCAACTCCGCAGTGAGACGCATTGTCGTTTGATTTTCAAGTAAATACCGCTTATAAACTAAAGATTACCCGATATGATTAAAGGTATCATTAATGCGGGAGTAGCTGGAGGCTTCTCAATGGTTTACGAAATAATATCAAGCTACGAGAGCCAACGATCTGATAGCCCGCCTTAAACTGAAATCACGTGAACTAGCTCCTTGGCGCCTCCCGGAACCGCCTTTACAAATATCGGCCTTCGAATCAACGATCACTGAATCTTCCATTTCATCGTTCTTTGACTACCTTTAAATGTACACATACAATTGCATTATCATACAACTCAGCCCGAGAAACAGCTATTCCAGCCTGGAATACCAATGAAAATAGGTGCTAACGGAGATTTCCTCTGCATAAAAGTCTTCTGCAGTCCATGTCGGCACGCCGCACGCCCGGCGCCGCCTCGATGGATCGGTGGCGTTGGGAGGGCGGTGACATCCGCTCCCAAGTTCTCTTTGCGCTTCAGTTTCTGGAACCAATGGCTCAGTGCGCATGGTGCGGTGGGCCCTGGGCTGGTAGCGGGAGTGGAAGTCCCTGGCAGATCCCTCCCACCTGGATGTCAAGAATTCCCGTAATTTGGATTCGTAAGTCTTCGAATAGTTCACGATCAGGGATATGGACCGTGAATTCAAATCCTTCAAGACTAATCCTCAACTCATCCTCCGTATCCGCGGTATCATAATAAGAAGACAGCTTTTTGCGGCCAGCCCAAAGGGAGCGTGAAGATCTGTTTTGAAAGACAGGTTTGCCATTTAAAGGATCGAAATTAAGAGAAAAGCGATGGTCAGTTGAGGGAAGAATGATGTCACTGTCACTACGTGCCCCAAAAACAAAGCCCTTGACGACGTTTTTGGGAAGGCAATCGAGGCTGAGGCGGAGAACAACATATGTGCGGCCAAATTCATCGAGGCCCGATACTAGGCCGTTGGCATTGGCTGGGTGTGTTATGGCTTCATGTGCTCTGGCACTTTCCGCGGTGAGGAACATGATAGTGTCGGAGAGAAGAGGGCTAGACATGTTGAGAACGAGGATCAGTAGATAGAGAATATTAGACTCCTATATATCAAGAATGTCGCTCAGGTATTGAAGCAGCGGAATACTTCAAAATAGAGGTTATAAAGAATGTATAATGCGTAATTGCAATGTCAGTGTTTAAAAGGAAACTCATTCGAAGCAATTTCAGCGGCTTATATATCCAGTGGTGCAATATTGGCCGCCAGATGCGATACGCGCCATGAGACCCATTCCAAAATATCAACCAACACGCCACGCGTTATATAGCCTGGAAAGTTGACATAGGCAGGAATATGTGCCGCAAAAACGATGTGGTCAGCCTAAGCCACAGCGTTGACCTATCCACCATAATCGACCGGGGCAATCGATTTCATTAGAGCCACCTGTGTAAGTGGAATTGGCCAAACTGTAAATGTAAAGAACAAAGCATCATACCAAAAGGAAACATAGTGGCACTTGAAAAGAAATTTTGCCCAAGTTAATTTCTTATCAGTCTGTGCCGCTGTGCATAGGAGGGAGCAAAGGCAAGAGCATGTCACGTATAGTCCACGGTAATCCAATCAACAATATTATAAATGCTTAAATGCCATATGGAGAGTAAAATGCGTTGGCAATAAACTCTGTGCGAGAGGTTGCCTAGAAGACTTTCAAGGCTGATTACCCCGGCTCAGTCGCAATAGTGGCTATTTAACGAATATACACCACGTTGGCGCGGGAAACACTCTCTTTCCCGGAAATTATAACCGGACCATTTGAAACATAGGTTGATGGATGCAAAGTTCTTGCACTAGAAAACATGAACATGCAACCCGACCTGATTTCAGAAAAGAGGCAGGCGAAAAACAGACTCACGTGGGGACAACACAGCCCATAAAGGCGAAGAATGGTTCTTCACAGGGCACTGAGAATTCGGGTCAAAAAAATCGATTCTCTGTAGTTCTTTTTGCGTGCCCCTGTCGTTGTTTTCGCGGTAGGGTTTATTTTGTCAATCTGGCGGCTAATCGGAACACTTGTCTGCCACCACATCAAATCCACCCGAAACAGGGGCCTTAGTCACATCAACTTTGCACCAGCCACTGGTTTCTTTGGACATTCAACGAATGATGCCTATCTGACTCGATCTATAGTCGCAACACGGCCACATCGCCTTGTCAAACTGGTGTACCTTGACCTTCCCCAGGCTGCGAAGTCGACAATCGTCTTCAACGCCTGAAACTCGTCACTTTTTTCGGAATGATACCGAGTAGTTGCCTGAATAGTTGCCTGAATAGTTGCCTGAATAGTGGCTGTGGCGGAACAATTTCTAATAGCGCACTCATGATGCCATTCAAGTTGCCGTAAACGAAGAAAATATCCTGGTAAAACTTCAGTGGCATACACAGTAGGCACCCTTTGAGACAGTTCATATGATAAAAATTCTGGTAACGGTTGGATAATATGTGCTAGCGATAATCCTAGAACATAGCTCATGATGTAGCCAATCCCAATGGAGAAGAGACTGGAGCTCAAGGCATATTGGTGATGAGTTTGAGGCGTCACGGACAAGTCACGGACGGGTTGGTGCACCAAAGTGATAATTTAGAGATAAACTGCATCTCCGAAGCGCCTGAACAGAGAGCCCGAAGTTGACTTGCTGCTCTGACCTGTCCGGCTTTTGCGATGATAATGGGAGAGAGTAACTCCATTCCCCAGGTGTGAGGTCGTAGCAGGAAGATTTGAGGTTGAAATAGGCTCGGGCGACGGGGCCTTGGCGCAGGTTGTGGGGGTTCCTCGGGATGATCTCGTTAAGATGAAAAACAACTTCAACGGCAGAAGGCCGATCGGAGTGCTCATGTATCATTCACTTTCTTCACCCGTCAGTGCTTGCCACAGAGTGCATAATGTTTTGTTTCACTTTTACTCTACAATGACCCTAGAAAGTAAAGAACCTCTGCCGCGTCCGGCACCCTGGCGTCCCTTATTCCAGGCAAATTGCCCCAAAGGGATGCCGGCTGAATTCTCCTTGTCCACCGTTCATCTCGATCCCCTCACAAGGAAGGCATATCCACGGGTGCGGACGTGCATGTTTCGCAACTTTTGGGCAGACATGTTCCTTCACAGCTGCGCAATGGATGAGATGAAGAAGTGCCATAAGACTACCTCTTCCAAGGCTATAACGCAGCCTAATGACAGCTTTGCTACCGGAGCTGCCATTGATTACGAGAATGATGGCATTGAAGGACATGACAAGGACCCCTGCAATTTTGGCCGCAACCTAGATAAGGTTGTCAATGATGCGGTATTTGAGAGTGACATGTTCACATTCACCACCGACGTGAGGATGACCAAAGTCGGCGACCTCATGGACCCCAATGGTGGGCCCGGAGGATACGTTGAGGGCGTTTTCTGGTTTAAACAGTCTTCAACCCAATGGAGGGTGAAGGGCCAGGCGTTCATTATCGGTGGGAGCCAAGAGGATGAAACCGAGAAAATGGCTCGGGAGGAGATCAAGCGCGGTATGCGACTTCGCGAAGGCTACTCAGATGAAAGAGCGTCAAGCTGGAGTTGGGAAAAGGAGATTACGGCCCAGTTTGCGAATTTGAGCCCTTTGATGAGAGGTAGGTATCCGTCTAGAAACAATGCCCATTGCAGCTGTCTTCTTCCGCGTCCGGAATTTTGTCCAGTCTGGGAGCTGTCAGTGTTTATTATTGCATTGTACTTCCTTCAGTTATACTTGTACATCTCTGTGACTCTGAATTCTTTTGGCCGGAAGTCACCCCGCTCATCGCTGTACTCTATACCGGCGCTTTGTTCCCAAACATGGATGATTCCCAGTGTTCTGTGACAACTAGAGGAAAAAGAAACTTAATGACATATGAGCAAAAGGTACTTTCAAGAACCCGCCGCCAGGAACCCCCAAGGCCAATAATGTACAAAACCCGGATCTTAAGCAGGGCCAGAGGGTGTACGACCTTTACGACCCAGTAGCAAGAAGTAATTTCCGCGTCGTCGTCATTCGTCCGGAGGAAGTCGAGATGGTTGATCTCTCTAACCCTGAAGCTGCAAAAAGGACGAGGTGGTTATTGCTGAGCAGGGGCAATGGCCAGGGAATGGAGTGGAAAATGGAAGAGTTATGGCCATGAGGGGGTGTTTTTAGGGAGTCTATAAATGTAACGTGAGGCAAAGCATATCCCTCCCTAAGATCTTGCTACTGGCGGTTTTGATGATGGGATATCAATGTGTTTATCCATGGGGAGAGTTATCCCTGGCGCCATTGTATAATGATAGAGCTATGCATAAGCAACTTCCCATCATTTCTGGCATTGTGATCTCTGTAACAGCGTATTGTTAGTACTGATAGGGAGGGAAAAAAAAAAATTCAGGCGCCGGAAAGTTCCTCTTTTCAATGTGTTCCTCCTGCACATAGCAACAGCCATTCACGCACAGAGGATTACCTGCCGCGTAAACAAACCTCCCCAGGAACACTTGAACTGAAAAATCCGCTCTGCTCTCTTTTTCCAAAATCACTTCCCTCCTTCCAGCTCACTTTCTTCTTTACAACCCACCATCTCTTCAAGCGAAAGGTCTTAAACTCACCATCTCCTTGCTCCAGAGCTTCTCATCAGCCCTTTATCAGGCATTCAATTGACTGCCCTGAGAAAGAAGTTGTCGAGCTTCCATTCCTCAAGAGGATATCTCATTGCTGTCACAGCCACTTCTCTCTTCCTCCGTTTCCTTCTTCAATTTCTTTGACAAGCCCATTGTGCTTTGTCTCAAGCTCACTGCTTGACATCCGCCTTCTTGCATTCTCATTCCCCGTTCAGGTAAGCTTTGCAAGCTCTGCATTTCGCTTTCTGCAGAAAATATTCTTTGACTGAGGTTAATCCTGGGAGGTGAGACAGCACGAAACGCCTTTCACTCGTTGTTGACGAGGGCTTGTGGTACTTTCGTACCTCCTTTTTACCGCGTCTCTTCGCAGTTTTTCTGCTGCTGTTTTTCGTCAAGATCGTCAGTCTTTGCCGCAAGGTAGACTCCCCCCCCCCCCCCCGCGGCTTCATTTTTTCCCTTTATACCTGTTCCCTTTAAATAAAAGAGAAGAAAAAGAATAAAAGCCAAACAATGTGGGATTACAGTGACTCCGAAGCCGACGAGATGGTCAGTCGCTGCTCGTACTGCGGCAAATTCTGCTCCCGTGCAAAAATCAACGCGGCCAGCGGTCTTTGCTTGCCATGCAAAGCCAAGCTCCACCCTACTAGGCCTAAGCCAGAGGGTGATGCGCGGCAAGCAAAGGCCGACAAAATGGCCATCGATGAGGAAGACGACGACGCCGCCGCCTCCGACAGTGGGGAGTCGGTGGGCTCCAAGGCGGAAGGCAAGGAGGAGGTGCCCCTGGAGCTTGACTCCCGCTCGCAAGGGCTTGGTGAGTCGAGTGATTCAGAGGAGCCAAACCTCTGCGCCCGATGCTGGACGAGACCACCGACGAAAGTTCTTTATAACTCTCCCACCTGTGAAGAGTGCTACCAGGTGGCAAAGGAGATGAAGGTAAACAAGATGGATCCCCTTGACCCCATTTAAAACATAGAAGCTAACACCTTTCCAAAGGAGGGATCCCGCGGAACGAAGGTATGCCAAATTTCACAGGGGAGAAAATTTTCTTTTCCTTCAGGAAGAAAATCAAAGAGAGCCCTCAATGCTAACATAACAGCAGCGGCGATTCCAGCCACCGACACCTCTCGAGCCGGGCAAGAAACTGACGCGAGTCTGCGACTCGTGTCGACAGAAGCGGAAGAGGTGTCAGCACCGTCGCGTCGTAGACGCTGACGACCGTAAGTACACTCCGGAACATGGTTCCATTGGACATCAGCTTCAGATTATATAGAGACTAACGTGTCATGTCTCCAGCTGCTGTGGCTGACCGCCGACGCAAGCGGGTCCGGGTAGAGGCACCCATCCCAGAGGACGCAGAGTCGGAGGACCCGTCCTCAAGTTCGGAGGCCAACAAGCCGGGTATGTTAATATATTCAGCATTGGTTTTTGTTTTAGAAAAGAGAAAAAAAAAAAAAAAAAAAAAAAAAAAAAAAACTTTCCAAGGCCCATACTAATCAATACTGAATAGCCACCGTCTCCAAGACCTCCACTAAGGAGGCTGCGACCGAGCACTGCGGCTCTGCGGAGCAGAGCATGCAGTGGGCAATCAGACAGTCAGTCGAGACTGTCTACCGCAGGGAGATGGAGCGGTTGGTGGAGGTTGCTGAAGCCAAGATGGCAGAGGCGACTGCGGCCTACGACGCCGTCACACGGCATATGAACGGATGGCTCTACGAGCAATCGAAGGGCAAGCTGAGCGGTTCATAAGCCAGACAATCGAAAAACGGCGGATGCGGTGCCCACCTATCAAGTTAAGTCCGAGGAAGCACGAGCGCCGATATCCCAGATTGCCCAGGGAGCTTATGCGAACTGGATGCAATCTTTGGTGATTTGGCCTCTGCTGCCTCTTAATATTTCCTCCCCTATTTCCCCCCCCCCTTTTCTGGTCACGGAACGAGGTCCCTCCGCAGCTGAGTTTAGGGTCTGCACGGGTTGGGTCTGTTGGTCGGAGGTGTACTCCGGTGCACACTCCCCCCGGCCCAATAACAACAGGCTTGTTTAAGAGGCTCGCGGGGGGACGAGTGTTGTTCAGTGCGGTTGGGATTGTTTTCAGAGCCCCCAGATGACTGTTGTTTGGCGACGTTCAGGGACGGTCTTGGGCTGGTTTTTGGCCGGTTTCGATGTTTTTTTGGTTTTTTTTTTTTTTTTTTTAAACTGGTTTGGCGGCTTTTCAGGTTGGTTTTATTTGTCAGTACTCGGTACGGTGCCAGGACAGGTATCAGCGGCTCGGAGAAGGATCGACTGCACGGAGGAAACAAAGTATGATTGGCTGTGGCGGCTGTACTGGCCTTGTTTTACAGACGGGGGGAGTGGTCAACAAAGGGCGGAATTCTTGTTCGTTTTACGAGTTACCAGGTAAATCAGGAGGGTGGCATTTTGATGCATTGGGAAATCGCTGGATCCTTGCTCTAATTTATTACATGCTTATTACTACATATGTCCAAGGTCATGACCATTAATCGCTCGGTGCTTGTCTCAATCCCATTTCTCCACGCTTGTGCATGTGCTTCTGGGCTTCACCGCTTGGTCGTGCAGGATATGCCTGCAGAGAGCTCCCTTCGATGTTGTATCCCGACTGTAAGCTTGCCTCCTCCCCCCTCCCACGGCGCCCAGTGACAAGTCTCAACACGGTGAAGAAGGGCTTAGCAGTAGCAGCAGCGCTGGACGAGCAGCGCGGCGCCGGCAAGCTCGTGACAGGACGGGCTGTAATACCGTACGCGAAACGGCTGCGTAACGGCGTGTAACTTTTCGCTGCACGCTATCGGGGAAGGCATTTTAGCGCACCACGTGACGCAGCCTGGGTAACTTTCCGTTCGTATTTGTTCAAGTGGGCCAATCCGCCCGCTACGTTTCCTGCGTCTCGTCCGCCTTCTAAATGTTCTCTCCCGTCCGTCAATTGCCATCTCGACCCTTGCTTGCCTCTCGGGCTCAGGCAGACAGACATATCATCTCCTCAGCAGAACAAAGACCCTCCTCTTCTACTCTCCTCTCCTCTTCCTCCCCCCCACAAGTTTCGTTGCTCTCTCTCTCTCGAATGGAAATGCTCGCTTCACATCTATAGCTTTTTTTTCGAGTTTTGTCTTGGAATTGTTTTTGTCCCCATTTGATTAGTCCCTCTTAACTCTTAACTACTACCTGCTCTCCACACCACTCCGAAACTCAACCCTCCCCACCAACCAACTCGCCTCCCAACGGCCAAAAAATTGATGACTTAACGAGACACACGACACAAAATCAGAATACCGCCGCCTGTTGGGCAAGAGATACCCTTGTGTGGAACCCAGCCGTGATGAGTTCCCACAGCGCGGAGTCGCTCAATTGCTTTTCCTTGCTCTCGGACAAGATTCCCTCCTGGATCTCTCGAGTCTCCGAGCTCGCCGTCCACACCGCCGCAAAGCAGGAAGAATTCAAGTGCGACTACATCAAGTACTCAGTCACGGAGAAACGGCCGCGAAGACGGAAAGGCAGCTCCCTCCACACCCACAGGCCCGAGGATGAAGAAGAGTCGGGGTGCAAAGCCCGCGTGCCGTCCGATCCACACGATCCGTGCTTGGAGCCCCTTACCCGTATGAAGATATTAAAGCAGTCCGGCGGAGATGTTAATAATAATATTAATCGGAAGCGCCGCACGGGCGAAGACGCCAGCGGCCCCTCTGATCAAGAAACGGAGCGGGCGATCAGACCTCGCCATCAGTTCCTCATCCACTACGATTGTCATTCCCAGGCGGTCCTGGAGAAACTAGTACGCGAGATCGGTGGGGCGAGAAATCAAATACGGAAAAGCAGGATGAGCTACATGATGAAGTCCGGGTTTGGGCGGAAATCGGTGCAACCAGGCTTCTCGTCCGATGACGGAATGAAGCCCATTTTCAGAAGCACCAGGAGCTTTAACAAATCCGCAGGAAAGGAGTCACCGTTCGATGTTGCCGATATTCACTTGGAGTCTGCGCAGGCCTTGTGTGAGACGGCTGCGCACCAGTTCCTACGGAACGGCGATTGTTCGTTCGAGTTGAGTAGAACTAAAGAGAAACTCGACCTGGCTCTTGACGTGGCAAAGGTCGAGGTCGAGCGATCGTCGGAGGCGGTCAAGATTGAAGAAGCAGAGGCGGAGGCGGAAGCAATGGCCAAGGAGGGAGAAAATCAACGCGAAGCCGAACTGCTGCCAGCAGAGCAAAAGATTGAAAAGGACGGAAAGGGCGCGGATGGACCACCGACTGCTATAGAGGTTGATGATGCATCCGATAATTCTTCTATATCCATCGACATTACGGCATTCCGATCATCCAGGTTGAGAAGATGATTGAAGATAAAAATATCGTTTGGCATATTCTGAAAGTTTTACGGCCGGCAGAGTTTTTGATATATAAAAAACTTTCTTGATATCCCCGGATACATTTGCTCAGGCTTTTTTTTTTTTTTTTTTTTTTTACTTTTTCTTTTTTTTTGGCATATTGACCCATTCTCGCTCATTTCTTCACCCCGAAACTTTCGTTCCTTTTTATTTTGTTTGTTCCTTCATGTTGGCATATACAAACAGGGAGTGTCGGATCTTTCAACCGCACTTGGTCTCCTGCTGATGATAGCGTTGACTAAATTTTGGGCTTGCATGGCGTTCATGATATGATATTTTGGTCTAGCGACTTCCTGCTCATAATACAGTCTCTGTTGTGATTGCTATATTTATCCTGGGCTTTTGATTCCTGAGTACGGAGTATTCGCACCCAGTTTCATAATAAGAGACCGGTGAATCTACCACCTGAAAGGACCTCTTTTAGAGTTTACAATCTCATCCGGGCCTTATTTCACAGGCTTTGTATGAGACAATGGAAAACATGCGCATCTCATTTACATTTGTTTGGGACGATGAAGTGTCCGACAGGGCTTGGAGTGGATACAGTGTCAGACAAGGCACATTTTTTGCCCTCGCACAACAAAAATTGAGCCAACCACCCCCGCTCTACCCCCCTGGTCTTTTTAGTCTCAACGCTCAATGGACAGATATTGTTCACAACCGAAAAAGGAAAATGCAAGGGGGGAGCAGAGCTGGTCTTCGATGATCTAAGATTGACAATTTTTTGATCGCGAAAGATTTCTTCATCCATGTTTCACCTTTGCTGAAAGACGAGTGAGAATTGGGGTGTTCAACAGATCTTCTCGTAACCCTCCCCCTGGGAAGCAATCCAAAAGAAGCACGATGCCTGGAAGGGGGGAAAAAAAGAAAACAGTGAGACCATACGGAGTGCATACACTTTGATTTCCGCCAGCCACCCAAGAGAGCGAGACACGGCAAGCGCACATGGCGGGAATGTCTCCTAACCTCGTCCAAAGCACGAGCCACGCTATGAACAATGTGATTCGTGTGAGTTCATTGAAGTCCAAGAGTCCTTATTACGAAAGTATGTACTCCGTATGAATACTTCCCAACAACTTCCTCGAGCGTGCCCTTTTTTTTACCTTCGTTGCGAAGCTCACAAGAATTTCGCCTTGTTAGGGTAATTTGGAACACTTCCTTGGAAATACCACGATTATCCAAGATCTTATTTTATTTTATTTTTCTTTGCTGAGTTGTTGCTCTTTGTTGCTGTTCTTCCCCCCCTGACGTAACAAGGACAATGCTTGTTTTGGAACGGAATTTGAGAAACTCCCCTCGTTCCCAATCGCTTTTTTTATCCCCATTTGTTCGATTGCTATCAAGCATCCCGCGGCACGGTCGCTTGTTTTCGAATTGCACCTGTCAGAATTTTTTTTTTTTTTTTTTTTTTTTTTCTCTCGCGGCGTTTCTAGGCTAGATCAGATCAGATCCCCCAAGGACTCAAAAAGGAGGGTAACCCTGCCTTCTTTTAATATATTTTGATGATAAGTCGAATTTGCTGAGAAAATTCATGGAAGGATTTATACGACAGGAGGCAGGGGAAGCGAGAGTGAGGGCCTCCCCCTGATCTTCTCATCAATGTCGGCTTACCCGGAAAGCTGGATACCGCCGTGGGACGGAAACTCTTGTTCTCGCCTTTCGACGGCTAGGTTCTGAAATGGTGGACGATACCAAAATTATCACAGAGTACTCCGTACATTCGGTGACAAATCGAGATGTTTATCACGCTGAGTCGTTGCACCATTGCGCCGAAGATACTTTGTATACAACGAAAGTGAGAATACTTGAAATGGTAAGCCGGGGACGGTTGTGTGGACTCGCGACCGTTTTGCCGATCCTGTCCCCGCCTAGGCGCAGATCGGCTGATAATTACAGAGAGAACGCTCTCCAGGAGGGTACAAGACAATTTTTGACCTCCCAATTCGCAGTCGTTCGGAGAACATTCATATGTGAGTTATGTTAAGATTGGCGATTCATGACACCGGTTTTACAAGCGGGTTTACGGTTGCGAGCAGGGCCCGGGATGTGGGCCAAGACGGTGGAGAGGCAACCCCGGTCCACTTAGCGCACCCGTCGCGGAATCCGCTCCCCGCCTGCGGCTTATACCGTTTCTGGGCAAGGGTCAACGGAGCGCCAAGACACGGAAAGACGGGGCTGTACGGAGCACGGAGTATCATTACATACACACCTCGTACTAGCAGGTAGTATGGATGTCCTGCTGCTGCGAGAGGGACAACCTGTGTGGGATCGCACGCAGCAGGCAGCGGTAATTTCAATTTCGGTTTCAAGTTCGACGCCCGCGAACTGGTGGCCTTGTCCACATGTTGTACATGTCGCCCGGATCCTTCCGAGGAGCTTCGCAGAAAAAGCAAAGAAGAGAATGGGTAAAAATAAAAAAAAATTAAAAATTAAAAATTAAGAGAAAAAACGAAAAAAAAAAGAAAAATAAATGAAAACCAAATTTGAGATGCGACTCATCAAGTCGATATGGGTCATCAGATCTTCTCCCCTTTGGATGTCCAGGAGTACCTTTACGGGGTAAATATTGCAGTTTGCTCCCTGGGGTGGGCATAACGTGTGCGAATGAGAAAGCCCAGCTGCTCAGGCTCGCGGGGGAGTTGAAACTTGAGAGCGTTTTACGGAGTCCTCCGTCCGGACAACGGAGAAATGGGGCCGGCCAGAGGATGCGATGTCGTGCAGGATCTGGAGCAATCAAAATTCGGGAGAGGAATGGGGACGAACAAGGCCAGGCCCTCTTTGGCCTCAAGATTTTGATTCGGATGCCAACTGATGATCTGCAGCCAACGAAAAGGCTTTTCGACTTCGGCCTTCTCTGTCATTCTGTGGAGGCGGTTTTGGTCCACTCACTACTATGATCGGTTGGCGGGGGGCCCGATGGAGGCTGCCCTTGATTGGCACTGAGGCACCAGTCGGCTGTCATGTGACTCCTGAGCACTGTCCCATCTTTTGCGAGGAAAAGAGAGAGGTAACATTGTGTGATCGGGTCAATCTTCCTTTCTTTCTTTCTTTTTTGTTTCAAAATTAGATCGGGAGCTGTTTGTATCTTGGGAAATCAGGCAATCTGGGACTTGGGGCTTAAGGCGAGATCGAACTCTTTCTTGACCTCCTGAACCTGGTTCCCAGACTTTAATAGTTCATGGCAGATCATCTAGCCATTGGGCGGATGGGCGTGGTCCGGGAGGGATGCCACAGGAGCTTTGACGATGCGAGTCGCCATGCTTCTCTCGATGTTGTCTCTTGAGTCAACGAAGAGGCTCGGGCGCCCGATTGGCCGCAGGTGCATGATCTTGGAAAATTGTCTGCCCAGCGGCATCTTATTGACTCTGAAATCCTCTTCGGAGGCGCCAAGCTTTCTAGAAGGAAGATCCGAACGCCGTCCGGTTGAATGCATGGCGTGCTTCTTCTCGGCTACTCGAAATTCTCCCAAGGGCCGTGTGGGCTGTTCTTTTTCCTCGGAAGACCGTCTCCTACATCCGCTGCATCGTGACTGCGGACTTCATCGACATGATACATACTTGGCTGAAGGCTCCCCCCTTCTCCCCCGCCACCTGCTGACGAGGAGTGACCTGTGTGCGAAGCGTGTTTAGAGCACGCCTCGTTGGGCTTTTTGGGAGAAATTAGGTTGGCATTAAGCATTGGGCCGGTGGAATTTGAATTTGCCCACGCCCACTCAAGATTCAGCGCGAGACAGATCACTTTTGCGGGGAAAAAGACACTTCCGCCTTTAGACGGTCTGGCCGCCGGCGCCCGGGCTTTCTGCAACGTGACTGGGTGCTATATTACTGAACTGTATTGTAATCAAACGTGTACGTATGGTGGTTGTGTAATTAATACACCATACAGCTTAAATACATAGTACGTACATCGATACAGGGTACATGACAACCCGCCTTCTCGCCCCCTGGAGCAGCGACCTGCGCCAGCTCTGCCAACTTCAGCTTCTGCAATCTCAGCTGCAGAGGGCTGGATGCAAGACGGCTGTAAGGGTCATCTGCCCATCGTCTTGCTCTCCGACGCTTCCTCCTCCGCCAGAAAGCGAATTTTCCCGCGATGAATTCGATGACGCCAGATGCAACCGCCAAGCGACGAGCACTGCAGATATTCACATCCATCCAGACCTCGCAAGCTCCAGATCCAGGTAGCTCACAGCTCTCCCCTCCCTACCGCGACAAAGGAGCTCCGCAACCATTCATTCTTTCAACGGAGAGCCAAGTCCGCAGCTGGTTCCATGGGCTCGAGAAAAAGCTGAATATGAGAGCTCAAGCCAATGGTAGCTCTCAGCAACCTTTTTGGCCGGACTGGGAATAGTTCCCGCTACACCGGTTATCGAAGCTCCTTTCATCAGTGGCGTCAGCTTTGAAAATGGATAACGTCAAGCTGTTGAAGATTTTGTCGTTTCCGGATACAATTGTCAACTGAGTCATTTTCTGCCCCTTGAATCGCTACCTGTGCGAAGTATTGCCTCCTGTCCGCGTACGGAGGAGGACATTGTGTTTCTGGCATAAACTTTTTCGGTATCTATACAGCCAACATCGGCACTTCCGTGCATCAGCATATGGCTTGTATAGTTTGGACTATTTACTTACGATGTAAAAGTACCCTATATGCGATGGCGATGGCAGACTTGTGCTAGTAGACAAGGAGTTACAGCCTTGAAATGCCAAACTCCGAATTTTGAATCTGCATTTCTCTTATGGACCTTTGGAGTACGCCTTCCCGAGAATTAAGCAAATGCATTTTGGTCTGCCATTATCCAGTTGTGTTTTCACCTGGTGGTCATCATGGCTGACGTTAGGGATCTAATTGTCTTCCAGCCTCGTTATATGCGTGTTCAAAAACCAATTCCGCTACGGAGTTCCTGTTTCATTTTTATTCTATATTCTCGTCCCGATGAAGCTCGTGATTCCAGCTTTGGGATCACCACATCCTCACTGTTCATTTGGTACAATCCTGTTAAAGGAATATGTTTTTCTTCAATGGCTGATAGAGTTACCCAGCCATTAGTTACCATTGATCCAATGGATGCTTCTTGCACTTCCAAGATAGTACGCTCTTTCGCATTGTGGCAGAAACTGTTCTCTTCTGGCCTTGCTCTTATTTCGCAAGCACGTTGCTCGGTTGTAGGCTACTCTTCTGTTCAAGTCTGAATATCATGGCCGTCCATCCTTGGTGGATGCTGCCTCTCATATCACCAATCTGCAGTACACTACAAGAAAGCAGAGCACGGAATTTTGGTGAAAAGCACTATTATCAAGTCATTGATAGTCAACATTTTGCTTCTATCTAAGCAGCACCTATATCTGAAATGCCATGTAATGTCTTCCGTCCCAACTGCAGAAAGCTTTTTTTGCTCCAACGCTCCTTACACACCTTCTCGCCGCATCCAATTCCTGTGCGTGCAGTTTCTCTCTCGGCTTTGCTATCTACATCTAGTATCCTAGACTTTCTACCCTCTCCTGACACATTCACAGCATTCTTGATGCCGACAGCATAAGAGCAGCTAGCCCTGATAGGGCATATCTGCCCAGGCGTCCCGCTCTTTTCCCGCCGGACGCCTTCCTCGTGGTCGGGGTGACTCGGTTGGTCGCTGGGCTGTTGGGTTCTTCGACTTGCGGAAGAGTCTGTCCTTCAGGGTCATTCATGTCCTGGTCCTGTTCAGGTTCATCTTCCTCCCGAGCAATCTCCAACAACTCATCCATGTTGTAGCATTCAAGATGTAACCTCACATCAAGATCACAGTCCATCCTCCTTCCCTTGGTATTCCCATTTACAATGAGCCAAGATGCTGGGAACAGCCACTTCCACCGTTGGCTCGACGAAGCTACTAGCAGCCCAAGCAACATGGACATCGGTGCCCTCGAGTATGAAGATAATGACGATACCAAGTCTGATTCGAGCTACAACTTCGACCAGAGCTCTGGATATGATGGTGATGATGACCACCACAGCACCTTCACTTTGACACATCCTGCCCGCCGAGTCCATGCGTGGAATTTTTGGTTGCCCCGCATAAGTAGTCATTTCATTTTCTTCCCCTTGGTAGGTCAAGTACGACCTCCGGCCAAAGGGAAGGCGATGTTGACGTTAATCACGCGTCAACAGGCCCGAGGGGCTGCTCTGATCGACCCTGTAGAATCTGAACTTGCCCAAGATATTGAGGAACAAGTAAGAGGTTCATCCGCTGTTGTTGTGCCGCAAATTGCCTCTTTGCTAACCCATATGCTTCGATAAGTAGGTCCAGCGCGCAATGACAGAAAGAGCAAATCCAGTGAACAATGCCAACTAGGACTTTGACGTCTTTGAGGTGCGCTGCCATGAAGCCTTGATCGTCTTTGCCTCCTGACTGACCTGTGCGATGTCAGGATCCCGATATTAGTAGCTCTCAATGTGAGAATGCCACTAAATATATCACAAAGGAAAATGAGCATGACGATCAATACCAGCCAGAAAACAACCACCCAGCAAACAGCTATGTTGCTGGCAAACACGGAGCCATCGCTCTTTTCCAATTTCCTCACCCACAAGGAGCCAACCAAGATACTGCGACAAACTCGCCAGGCGATAAGGGAGAAGGCCCAGGATCTCCTCTCCCCACCCGTTACCAAATAGCGTCAATCCTATCTATTCCCCATACAGCAACAAGCTTATCCTTTATCTTCTGTAGTTCAACGTTAGGTTGACCACAATATGGTGTCTTTGCCTGTCAAATCCAATGTAATCAGAGAGGATGTCAAGCCATGCATTAAAGTCAAGCTCATCAATGCATATGGATAAATAAGCATCATCATTAAGATTGCTGTTACAGAGATCTGTCAGGCTGCACAAGCTCATATTACTGTTCTGATTGACAGCAAAGATGCTTGCGCTCCACATCCATGGTAACCTTGCGCGCATCATGGAAATCAGCTTTGAAGTTCGCATGTGAAACATGTTGCTAGTCTTTGGATCGTTCGACATATCGATAAAGTGAGCAACTAGGTCATTAACAACGTCAGTAACCCTATGTAAGGTATTCATCAATTCCGCCTGTAGGCCATAGCGACGATTGCTTTCCTGAGCATCAACGTATTCCAATGCCGTTAACCTCGATGGCCATTTCTTCAACAATCTGACGTTATGAAGTCATCCTTAACGAGGCTTCAACTTCCCCTAACCTCGCGGAGACAGCGATGGAGACGGAGCTGTCCATAACCGGTGCCCTATGAACCACGTACGAATCCCCCTACCGGTCCTCTGTGGCATGGACGGTTCCACCCCGCGATCGCCCCAACTCCTCAAGGCCATTCACCATTTATCAGGATCGCAGCCTTCCACTAGCTCTAGTCCGCACAGGCCAATCTTTTCTGGGACTCACCAGCAAGTGATACAAGGAGAACGCCCCCTTCGACTTCGCTGATACCTCGATGTCTGACCCTTTTACGGTAAAAGACAACACGGTCACCGAAGCGGAGAACATAGTCATTCTCACCGCCAACAACACCCAAGCCTGGCGGGAACATGGCAATTCGAGCTCCCTTACTCGCACGGAGAGCGATGCATAACGACAGCAACAGCAAAGCGCAGGCGAAGAATAGAGAGCTTCGGGATGAGGACACGCTCGTATGGAGTCTTGGCTTTAAGGACGGACGCTTTCTTTTTAGCCTCCATGGCTTTCTCCCCCTTTATTTTGGGTTCTGCTCGGCGCTATGGCTCGGTAAGATGGAGTCTCTACGGAGTACTCCGTAGGCGGTCTGGTCTCTTGCGGAGATGGCGGGGACCTTTTTTTTTTTTAATGCCCTTTACTTTGCTTTAAATGAAAGCTTGATACCCTTGTTTTTGCTCCCGGCGCTTGGGATTATTATGGGACTCCATATTGCCCCTTTCTGCCCCTTAGTTAGAATAGATTCTTCTTCAAGGAATTGATCGAATTGAGATGCTTACCTTGCATTTCGCCTGGCTCTCACTCCATACCAACCAGGTCAACCCATTTCATGTTGAAAGTTGGATGGCCAGTAGTTGGTAGAGAGATTCTTTAAATACTGAGCGGAAAAGTGAGGCGAGGACGGATAGCGATCCCGTGATATCCAAGAAACGAAAGAGGCGAGCCTCACATTCATTATTACTTATTAAACCTCATAAATATTAACTTGACAGTACGTGAATTTTGCAGTCACAGTGTTTGTTTCTCTCTCGAGAAAAAAAAATTGGGGGTATCAGTGAACCAAAACCTGACATCCAAACACCATCTTCACAAAAAGGCCTCTGAGAGAATCAATCCTGGAGTGATATGTACATGCCGCCCACTCCCTTTTCCTTTTGCCTCATATTTATGAGAATTCCCGAAATTTAAGAACATTAACAGATAGAAATCCCGAGAAAAGCGTTCACTTTGGGTTTAGTAGTAAATTTTCTCTTTGTAGATTGGTGGGACACCTTTCTCTTCATTCCATGAAATCTTACCATTGTCATCAATGAAGGCATCTTCATCAGTGATTGGGATAACCCTCGATGAATGCGCCACTTCTTGTTTGCTGATGCCACCAGCATCCCGGGGAATCCAGAGTAGCGGTGGTGTCGACCCAATGGATGGATGGTAATAAGCATTTTTCTCAATTTCAGGTGGGTAAGTCGTATCGGCGAAATCGTGAGGAACCAGTTTACGCAGGGTCTGATAGTTGGCATATATTTGGGGCTGGAAAAACTTGACGATGGGGTTGACCTTCGGCATCGGTGGTTCGGCGGTGCCGTTCGACATTCCCTTTTCGGCGTCGCTTGGACCGGCTTCTTGATGACTAGGCTGAGGAGATAGAGGTCCGTCGTCCTCGGTTTCCAAGTTCTTCGGCAGATAGTTTAGCAAAGGCGTCACGGCCTGGATCAACGAATAGTGATATATGACTGTGAAGACACCAAAGATGATCATCAGGATCATTGGACCCAAGGCACGACGATCGGATGCAGTTCCAATAGCAAATAGACCAATGAGACAAACGATCAAGAGATAGCAACCAACGGTCGTATGTTGCAGTGCTCGAGGATAGACCATGCCTTTGGTATCGATGTTGGCGTTCGTCACATAAAGCATGTTGTATCTGTACGCGAGGTAGAAGAGGTACAGCCCGATAGTAGCGAAGCCCATCACCAGAGGTGCGATAGCGGAATACGTAATAGCTACAAATCGGTTAGCAAATATAGAACAGTAATGCGCCGTCAATAATTCCATACCAATAACGCAAAGGTTAGTAAGTACAGGGAACACGGTTCCCCAGCCCATACCAGCCAGGGTCGACCATCTCTTGTACATCTTTCGGGGGGTATTATCCAAGAGTGTTCCCAGGATCTTCGAGATAACAAGGCCTGCGATTTGCAAGAGAGCACCAGAACTGAATGTCAAGCCCTGCAGGATAAAATACGCAATGTAAAAATTAGAAGCCTTAGGAATGTTCTCGGCGAGCAAGGAAGCAGCTTCCTGTGGCTTTTGAATAATTTTAGTCACAGCACTGGATGCCGCTGAGGCAATGGTTGTGACCAAGAAGACCTGGACAACTTGGAAACCGAAATAGAAATTTTGGGTTCGCAACTCGACGGCTGCGGCGGTTGGCACGCCTCCGAGTCTTGCTAGGACTAAGAAAGGTCAGTTCACGATTCAATATGTCAGAGGGATAAGGCGATCACTTACGTCGGAGTACAATAGGCAGTAGAGCCATGAGAACAGCCAAAAGAATGGAAGGGAGAAGCGCTGTGATAACACCGAGAATTACCGGAGGGCAGTCCTTGATAAAGGCAAGGAACGGCACTTTGTTAGTGAGAAAGTTGATGTTGGAGATAGCACCGACGACGGCAACAGGAATTGCCCAGAAAATAATCAATGCGACAACAGCGGCGATAGTAGCAGCATTTCGAATGATAAGCTCCCACCATTTGATGCGCAAGTTTGACCAGATAATGTCCTCAGGGTTCAAACCAATGTAGCGTGGGGCCATGTGCAGCGGCTGATGATGCGCCACTATTAACGCAGATTAACATTGATTTCATGCGCGGCAAATGCAGAGGAATAAAAAGTAAAAAGGAGGGACATACGCATTTGATATGCAGCCTGTGCGTCATTTTGCGTGTAAAACTCAACGAAAACTGAGGAGATATGTTCGGCTTCACCGGCACGAAGCTTCTCCTGAAGAGATTCAATTTCAGGATTGAGACGCTCAATCTCTCCGCGAGCCCAATTGATGGTGTCAACCTTCTTGCCAATGATCGGCTTGAGTCTGTGAGTGGGTCTTTCAGAAGGCTTTATCCATTTAGCTGCAACTGAGCCCGATTCTCCGTCTGTTTCATCAGATCCAAAGGCGAGATTGGTTTGCTGTCCTTCTTCGTCGCTTTGTTGCCCTTTTGTGGCCTTAACGCGGGCAGCGGTTGCAAGTTTGATTAGTTTAGTCTCAGCACCCTCGAGCTTGAAGGCAGCGCCGTCGCGCTCTTCAACCTTTTCCAGAAGTTGGTCGATGTTCGGAACAAGCCAAACGTTCTTGACCTTGTCCTCTCCGTACATCTTCCTGATTCGGGCCTCGTCAAGATATTCATCGGGCACAGCCGTGAAAAGAACAGTCTTAGAAGAGATACGCCCAGAATAGAGAGGAGAGAAGAAGTAAGCTTGGCGTAGATTGATGAAGTAAATGTTTTCGCGGGTAACCATGAAGAAAACGAAAGCTATAAGGTTTGTCAGCTTATCGATCATCTCCACTACTTGGACCGGCATGACTTTTGTAAAACATACAAATGAAAATCCAGGCGATGAATGTATGGGCGTAGTATCGGCTTAGATTGCCCGTGACATTGCCAAAGGACAAAATATCCAACTGCACCTTCCCACCTCCGCCAGTTGCATTGACGGGGAAGAGGACGGGCCAGGTGATGAAGCAGCCAACAAGGCAGATGGTGGTGGCAATCTTTAGGTAGCGCAGAAGCAGATAAGCATCCATTGAGTGATGGCGGAGCACATAGGTATCTGGCAGCTTCAGCATGGACAGGATCCAGCCGAAAAAGCCAGGTTCGGGAGCGGGAGTGCGTTCCTGCTCACGCAGAGCGCCAATGTAGGTTCTGGGAGCATACTGCCTCCGTTCGCTGCGGCGCAGGATTACGAAGAGCAGGAGCATCGCACCTGAGATGACGAGGGTCGGAAGCAGGGTGGAGACAAGACCCGATGCCGAATTGGAGGCGTTCTGGGGGTCTTCATCGTCCTAGGCATTGGAACGAGATACGGTCAGCAAGAGTTCTGTACTCCGTATGGAGTACATGAACAGGAAGACAAAAAGGGGTATTCATGAGAGGCAATGAACATACCGCCCGTTTGGCGAACTGGACAAAGGTGTCCATGGTTGCTCAACAGCCAGCACACGCCTGTCAAAGAGAAAAAAGAAAAAAGTGATAGGGCCCTGATATAGGGTAAACAAGGAGGAGTTGGCCTCCTGTTACGAGCAAAATCACGGGCAGCAGAGAAAGGAAAAGAGAAAAGGAAACAAGAGAGGGAGTGACTGGGCAACAATAAAAAAGAGAAGCAAACGAGGGACAAGAAGACAAGCGCAGCGCCGCGTGCGAGGAGGTGATTGAAAGGAGCAAAAGGCCGGGCGATCGATATTAAGCGTGGTGTGTTGCGCTGGTGCCAGTCGCTGGCTCATGGGAAGCTTCCCCGCCAAGCAAGCCACGGATCCAGGTCCCGCCACACCTGCTTAGTAAGACAAGCCATGTCTGTTTTCGGCAGCGGGTGGGGCCATGTGGCTTGGCTGCGACATGCTGATTGACCGGATCATTGTTCTTCCGTCGATGCGATCCCCACCGCGAAATCACGGGGTCTGAGATCCGCGTCCCTATTGGCCGATCTTGCGGAGATTTGCTGGCTGGCTGAAGGAACCTTAATTCGATCGCCAAATTTCCTCGCATCACGTCGTGCCCTGATTTCTTGCTCTTGGGCGATCCTCGCACGCCGCCCACACGCAGCTCACGCAGGGCCCCAGTAGGGAGTGTTTGCTACGCAGCTTTCATATGTATATTCACCACATCGACCTCGACAGTACGGAGTACTCCGTAGAAGAATACGTAACCATCCCCCGCAAGGGCTCCGTCCGGAGTACCCCTGACACTGGGAAATGCACGCTTTGACAACGAACCAGGGAATGACAATTCAACATTCGTTGCTCCAATCCAGTTCTTTGCCACATCCTCCACCCATGCAAGCAGGGACCTTCACTCGTTCGTTAGCGTGGCCGCTAAAAGGCTATGTATGGGCTCGCAGCGATCAACCAGGCGCGCGGGGAAGTAGACACCGCTTCCATCCATATTCGTCACCGCTATGATAGAAGTTACCTGCTAAGTAATGAAGAGACTTGGCCTGGATTTCCTTTGGCCCCCTTGGGAAAATCAATCAAAAATCCTGAGAGTGTGAATTTGTGATTTCAATGGACACCTAGAAGTTTGTGCGTTTGAGCAATGCTGTCATGTTGATATTGACGTTGATATCTCATTGGAAATGCTTGATATAAACTTCAATTATCAATTTAAACAACAAAGTGCGAGCGTTCCGGATTCTCTCATAGGCCATTGGCCCTTTCTATAATCCATGGCCCCTGATAATCGGTATATAATCTCCAGGACCAAGCAATAATCAAACTAGTTAGGTGAAACACATGCCCCTCAAACATTCAATCTCAAGGCATATCGTCAACATTTTATCAAGGTTGTTGAATCAGCTTTTCCTTTTCACCAGTGACACCTGATGCCTTGGCTATGCTCTCCAAATAAGCTCTTCAACAGTAACGCATTGAAGAATGAACATAATACCCGTCAGGAGCAAGAGAGCATGTGACGAACCCAGGGCCTGTGGCCGAGTGGTACTGCAATCTACCAAGCCAACGCCTGAAGAACCCCCAATAAACGAGAGCAGAAGGTTCACGAAACCCGGGTTCCCGCGCGGCGAAAGGACGTACCACTGGGTTTGGGCTCACCGGGAACCTTTTTGCCATTCCAGTCTACCTTGTTAGTTTTGATTGGTTGTGCTTCTACCTTTTGTTGAAAAAGTTTCTACAGAATCTAGAGATTTCGCCATTGTTTTTATTTTGTCTCCATCACCTCTCCCTGGTGTTGGTTTTATGATCTTATTATGTCGAAAGCTGGAGGAAATTGATATCGGCCAGTCATCCAATTACCATATAGGGTTAAGGGAATGTTACAACAATAATTTCACGCCTTCCCGGGAAATGCCTATATGATACCAGGCATGTCTACAATAACCTCTTTTTCTCTTTCTTTAGCGTTGCACTCATGCGTCTATGGCTCGTTATAGAAAACCATAGCGATATTAGGTGACGATAAGCCTTGCCCGGTTGCTGGACAGGCCACGCTCTTTCTCGCTCTATACCGCGCTATTAAGCTTGGATACGGGCCTTCTAGGACAATAACCGGACGTATGGCTTTATGGAATTAATGACATTTCTGCCTATATGGTTGACTGTACGCGGATGTTTATGATATGGAAGGTAATCCAGTTCACACATCTACGAGGTATGTATCCGCAGTACATACAGAGGAGATTTCTATACTGCAATCAAAAAGGCTATTCAGATTCACTAAGAACGCTGGAGAAAATGAAAATGAAGCCAAAAGAAAAGAAATCAACAAATACTCAAGCATTAGGAGGAAAATTACTCTGTCGCAATGCTACATTATAGTTGCGCCTCGAGACCGAAAGGAACATCGAGTTTCCACATAGCAGGAGACAGGCGGACGCGACTCGAAATATAACTATGCATGAGGCTCACTCGTGGCAGTCGACAACCAACTGCGAATTGACATGCTGCCATAGGGCTACTTCAAATTTATCCAGGGATATCTCAAGATCCGGCGGCCTCAGCATCAAAAATCGGAGTAAAAGTTCACTGAACTGATACTTCAGCTGCGCCGGCAGCCTTTGAACGATTCCCATTATGTCCCCCACAACCCAGGCACGCCGCGGGTCTTTCAAGTCCACGTTTGAAGGATCCTCAAGAAGCATCCATAAAAGCGACTCTGTAGATGCCCAGCGGTCGAGATTGTGCTGGCTAATCTTCAGCAACAGTTCCTCAAGAAAGAGGTTACACTTGTGCGGCGAGAGACGATAGTCAAGTATGGACGAGGTGATATATATCAGTGACGCGACACGACAGAGATCGTGCACTGCGCCGCAATTGACGACCCATTTTCGTTCTTCCTTCGGCACAGGACTCGGATGCGGCCCCGAGGAGAGTAGCAGATGAAGAGGCGTGGAGAACTGGAATGCGGTCCTTCTGAGAGGGGCCTGGTAAATAAAGTGATAATCTTGGGCCGCAGATTGCGCAATGCGTAGAAAGGATGATAACTGAGAAGCTTCTACAGCGTCCCGGACCACGCCGCACGGAGACATGGTATAACGCACATAATGAACAAATACGTTTTGGAAAGGATAATCTGCCGCACGAGGCCTTAACCGCACCATCGCTTGATTCATATGTTCCGCGGCCCTTTCTTTGCTCCCGTATCTCTCCTCTTGGAGCGATAACGCAGCAAAGGCCATGACGATATTCTCGTCATACGGGTCGCTTGCGGCTTGGATATATCGCAGAAGAGAGCGTTCTGCCGTTGACGTATATTGGATAGACTGGGGCGTCTCTTTTAATCCCGAAGCGTGAGCTCGAAATCTGGCACAGTAAGTAAGAATTGTCACATAAAAGGTCATCGGACTGAGCATCGCTTGTCGAAAAGCAGCGATTTTCATGTGGTTGTTTTGGCCAGACCAGTACGCAAGTTTCGTCGTCCAGCAATCTGCCAGCTGTTGAGACTCATCCGTGAGCTCCATGGGTAGAGTACCAAAGGGATCCAATCTTGACGTTCTCAAGCTTATTTGGTTGCAAAGCGAGCAATACGTCTGATTAAGGGCTGGATATATCTCTGTCGCAGGTTCTTTATTCGTGCTAGACATGTCGTCATTCTACTATATCGCCTTAGCAGTTGACACCCTAACCCGGAGGTTTTTATATTGGAATCACTTGAGACATACCAGGACGGGGGCAATTCGGCTCAAAGAAACTACATTCGAGTCTGCAGCGACCTGCGATGTCTCACTTCTCCTCCAAGGCAGGCTTCGAGGTCGACCAACTCCTTGCCCGTTCACGGCCTGAGAAAGTAATCTTCTCTGCTCCCTCTTTTTCTCTTGAATGTGATGTTTCATCACATGTGCACGTTTCCCTTTGCTAGACGATTTAGCGTCGACAAAGAAAAAAGTGCGTTGGGAAGGCAGAGAAGAAATTCTCTCGTGTGGCAGCGCCGCATCCGACACTGGCCGAGCGGGAGCTATCCGCCGCTTCGCCCATGAAGGGCCTTCTCCTGCTCCTGCGATGGTACTGTCAGCTGTAGCTCGAAGGGTGCGGTTCGCTGAAAATGAACTGATTACCTGACATGGTGGTAAGGATCTACTCGGAAAGAGGATGGACAAGGGGAGAGAAATAGCTACGGTGAGATTATAATCCTGATCTTTCTTCGATGAACGATCAGATCGAAGCTATAAATATAGTATAGATATCAACGTCTTTGTGAACTGTCGAGCCATGTGTCAAGCAGTCTCGGGATTTGCTGAAAAATTTTATCGTTTGCGAGAAATCCCGAGTCGATGGAAAGGATGTATCGAAGGCAGGGTCAAGAGTATGATGACTCTGCGGAGAACTAATGCTTTCAGCAGGCTCTCGCATGCAGAGTTAAAAGTCCGATTGACCCGCTTCACTCCAACAGCATACTTCAATATTACCAGAGCTTTCGATGTGAATCTCGGTTTGCGATCTTGGCGAACCTCAGGTGTCCCATTATAAGATCGCACATCGAAAGGTCCTATGCCCAAGAACAGACAAGTACATACAAACGGACGTAATGAACCTTGGGATTTGCCGTCGTGAGTTTCAAGGAGGATGGGCGGAATGCAGCCTGTTGACGAATGCCAGATCCGATCGTGAGAATCCCTGCTTCAGCCAACCAATTGCCAAATCAAGCAATCGAACGAACGGCTGGAGCTCTTCTGATTGGATCTCGAGAGCTTAAACGAGCATGCAATTGTGTCCGTGCAGTTGGCGTGCTGCGCTCAGTCCAAAGCTGGCGCGTTGCTCGTTGTCAGTGGGACGGGTGGTAGCCACTCGTCACCACAAGCGGTATTCGCAGTCTTTTCTTTTTCTCGGTGTCTCGACTGGAACCGCTTTGAGCAAACTCGTTCACCAACTAACACCGAAGTGGCGTGGTAATGGGAAGCCGATTGAGTGGGATTGGTGACTCCGCTCCAACTGCGCGTGGTGATCTCTTGTTCAGTATCCCTGCCATCCCGTCCGATCGAGACCATGAGGCTGGGGGGAATTTTTCCAATATGTTTTGGAGATCTTGAAGGCCTTTATTCATGGAGTTATTCAAAATATTCCTTCTTGTCGCCGCCGTTCCGCCTGTGTGTTTGAGCTGGTTCACTCATACTTTACCTTTTTTTTTTTTTTTTTTTTTTTTGAAATTGTCAGGGTTCAACTTTGAAGCTCAAACAAAGTTTCACTCTGCTGCTGTTTTGATTGCTATGGTCATTTCTCGGGTCTGTTTTGGGGTGCATTTTCCTAAAATTTGGATCAGCATGCGCCCTGTCTGTGTACTTATCTCATGCACAACCAAACTTGCTGCCATGGCGTTCTGCATGATTGCTCTCGCCAATGATACCTAGCTGCACGCGGGTCAGCTGTTAATTAAAACATAACTTCGGTTTCTTCAGAACCTCTTCTACATACTATTAATACTAATTCACCCCTTCTAGCCTGACTACGACTGGTATTTTGCCTATCTTCCTGGTATGTATGACCATCATCAAGCACTGCTAGAAACTGCTCCTTGATTCAGCCAAAATATTGCCCCGCCTAGTCCAAACAACCCAGCTTGCATTCAACGCGGTTTTGATCTCAAGGTGGAACTGCGAGGTGGAGGACTAGACTCGAGAGGTTCGCCGAGATCAACATGGGTCACGTGAGTAGGGTGCTAGTTGGATTAGTTATCCAACAGCTTTGATATTACGCTGACTGCTCCGTGCTCCGTGTCCTGGCTGCTGAAAACCCATACCTGTTAGTTAGTTATCGGTGTTGATCTTGGTGGTAAGTCCTTCCCTTGTCGTCGGCTAACCAAAATGATGCTTTGCCAGCAACAAGAAGGCAGCAGACTCGTCACAGTGCTACATTCACACAAGAGTCCACAATGGATCTCAGCGAGTTGAAGGATGACCTTTATGACCTATACCGCAATAGATCATCCTACTGGGTGCGAGACATCCCATATTTCAAGAGTTCTTGCTCAAAGATCCTATGGAAACTCGGCCCGGTCTTTACAGAGCGCGAGACTTATGGGGATGATGATATCTATAAGACCTATATAACAGAGACATGTGGTACATGTGTTGCAACTCAGGTTGAAGGGCCCAGTCCAGGAGTTCAGGGCATTGCAAAGATCAGACTGCAGTATGTTTCTTTCTTACCTTTCTACAGCTGACTATTTCTTCTAACTTTAGCATGTGTACCTAGGATTCCTGATGATCCTGAAAACCCTTCATCAACCAAACCTCAACGCAGCAGCTCTCGTCTTGCATTTGAATATTATAACCATCGTACACTCACAGAACTTGGTTGCACCTGTATCCCAAAGCTGCTAGACTATACACTTTTCACTCAAAAGAAGGGTGATCCTCTTCCTGGTGGCTTCCTTTTCATTCTTGTGATGGAAAGATTGCCAGGGCGCAACTTGGTTAATTTTGCTGATTTGCCCATGTCCGAGCGGGATCAGGTCCGGTTAGCATTTGCCAAGTCAATCCGGTATACCTTCCTGGTCTTGTGCTGAAGTGATTCCGGGTTAACAAAGACCGTCATACTGCCAGCGAGTTCTACGCCTTCAGGTTCATGCATAATGACCCTGATCGTCGCAATCTGATGTGGGACCCTGAGAATAAAAAATGGTACGTGAAATAACTAGACATTGCCATCCATGCTGTTCTTTCTATCATTGCTTATCTTCCGTGTATCCTGCAGCTACATAATAGACCTCGAAGACGCGTATCAAATCAATGACGATGAGGAGCCCACCAAGTTCATGCCTGAGATTCATTATCGCGAGTGGGGGATTGCTGGGCCCGAAATCAACTGCCACATGTATGGCTTGGATCCAATGGTCCCGCATGATCGCAAGTTCATTAAGGACCCAGACGACAAGACACTCGAGAGGATGGCCGCCGATTCAGCAGGCAACCAGCTTGTGTTTGGAAAATAAACTATTCTTCTTCAATATACGCTTTCGGTATGGTATGGATGAGACCCAACCCGAGTGGTTCTAGAGCCAGCAGAGTCTCTTTGGCCACCACTGGAATTCTGAGGCCTATGGGTTGCTTGCTTTACTATTCTCATTCTTGGGGGCTAGGCTAAACTCCAATCTAAAAGCCTCTCGGAGCCTGCTGTCATAGTTCTTCTTATCTTCCATTTTCCTGATCGCGACGCAGAGGAGGGTCCTGCTTTGCTCCTTGTACCTGAACAGCCTATTCAGAGTGAGTATCTTCTGACTTGCACCTACTATTGGCCATGAATTCCGGGTATTGGGCGGTAGCCGGTAGCCTGGCCTGTAATAACTATGGCACTGATTTAAGCTTACTTATTTAAGCGTAGTTGTGGAGTTATTTCAAAACTTTTTATGGGTACTCTGTACGGAGTAGTGTGAGGTTGTTCCAGTCATCTGCTACCTCAGGTCGTTTATTGCCCGCGGATATCTTTTCGACGGGTCTACCCCTGGTCACTACCTCCGGTATACTTTAGAGATAAGAGAGCGCAGTTCTAAGTCTATGGCCTTTTTCCTACACCTTATTGCAAGCTATCATCAGCAGTTGACTCCCCTTTGGATTCAGATAAAAATATCGAAAGGTCCTGTCACGCCTTGTCTAAATATGCTACAGAAAAGTCCTTTTGCAAACTTTGGCAAAAGGGGAAAGGGGAAAAAACAAGGGAAATACAGTCCTGTGGCGTCAGGCCACGGAGGTGTTTGATTAACCATGGAGCTGTAAATACTAAAGCACCCAAACAGCTTCTTTTTATTTTTTATCAACGTTCCATTTTAAGCTTCTCTGTTCCCTCCTCATAGTTACATCGCGGTTAACATCTTAATTTTTCTTCGCCACCATGTGGTTGCTGTGCTTTTTGGTCTTTTCAAACCTGCTGGCCCATGTTGCTTGCACTTTACCTTCTGCCGGCCCAGGCTAGTTCTTTCAATGGCGGGCAATCTTAATCGTATGGCCTCTGGATGGAATCTTTACGTAGTAAGTACAAAATAAACTCATTGTGATTAAGGGCGCATATCTCATCGCACTGTACTGTAGCTGGAGCACAGATACTGCATGGCCTGTCAATGGTTCCCAATCGTTGATGCTGAATTGCTCGAACGTTTTCTGACTCCGATTCTGAGTACGCGCCGCTTCTTTTGACGATAACGCAGCACTTGAAAAGGCCAGCAGAGCGTGTATACACAGCCAATAGTCTGTTAAAAGCACATCAAGCGCAGAGAATGCCGAAGAGCGAAGCAATTCTGGAATAAGATATTGGTTTATAACGACATAACCCCAAAGGACACTGGAAATATGCTCGAAGGGAAGACAGAGCCATTCAAATCCCATATTCTTATTGGGAAGGCTGGTGGGCTATAGATTAGGCCTAATAATTTGTTACGCCATTCCATAGTATGAATCATCTTTCGAGTCGTCGACTGCCGAAATTTACCCTAGTATTTTGGTCTTCGAAAAGTTCCGAGCTATATGCATAACATGAACCTGAAAGTTCAATAACCGGTCTCGAATTCTCGCTTCGCCTCTCATCCTCGAAGGCTGGTCCTGACTCTCGCTTCCGATACGAAACACGACCCAAACGAGGCTCATTGTGCCTCACTGTTATGCTCGAATGAAGTGCCTAAGCCACCTGAGGTGAAATAGTGAAGCTATATCTCCGATTGAGATCTCGAAGACGAATTTAGTCGCTACATTTGAGAATGGAATCACTTCATAGCAAGGCTTGGGTAGTTCGCTCTACGTGATCCATCCTGTTGCGCCACGTAGTATCTTTTCAATAGGAGGTGAGCAACCTCAAGTAAAGTTTGATAAACTAGGGCTTGTTAACCAAACCATTGATTTCGCACTTTTCAAGGTAAACCTGTATACAGTATAATACATGATGTTGAGACAGCCTTGTCCAGGAATTGGATAGCGTTGTATGATGCGTATATACGGAGTACATATATATTATCTATCTTCCCTCCATTCCAAGACCCAATATATATTTAAGACCTGGACACTACCACATCTCTAGTCACAAAGCCAGCGCGCCAGCAACTGCTATAAGGCCTGCGAGTTTCAAACTAGCTTTGTTCATAACCGCAGCGTCAGTAAACGTGGCAGCAGGCGGATTGGCCGATGACCCAGAGGAGGATCCCGAATTATCTGGGTTTGGAGACGCCGTCGATCCGGTCGCAGTAGCCGTAGCAGAAGAAGAACCCGAAGAAGCAGATGTGGTAACAGAAGCTGGCAATGAGAGAGATGCTCCATAGGCATCGCAGAGCTGAACAGCAACCTTAGTAGCAGCTGTAAAAGAATTTCGCGTCAGTGAGCAGCCTCTATAACTCAATGGAATTGTACGAGACATACCAGCAAAGTCCTCTGGGCTGCAAACTTTTGGAATCTTCTCCAGTAAGCCAGAAACAAAGTCTTTGTCAGTGCAGATGCACTTCACATCAGTCAGGCCGCACTTCGAGGAAGAAATAGCTTCTAGGACGGGTGATTGCTGTCAACCAGAATAAAAGTTAGCAATTAGTGATGGGCAACGCCTATTACAAGCTCAGGGAAGACGAGAATAGAGGGCAGAAAGAGGCCAAGTGGGATTTCATACCGCGCACTGAGGCATGGAGGTAATATCCTGAGCAAATGCCGACAAGGCAAACAGAAAGTTAGCAAACATAGCGCCTAATTTCATCTTGATAGAAAGGTGTTATTAATGAATCTATGGGGAAAATAGACAAATATTTTCCAGAGGTAGAATCCGCCACTTGGATCAAATGTGCTTCTCGATATAGCCAACGCAGCGCTAAGGAAAAGGGAAATGACCGCTGGATATATACCGGGGAACTTTCCTCGTTGTCTCGGAAAAATTGGGTTTCAAGCAAGGAGAAAGGAAACACGGAACCGAACGGCCTTCTCCGCCCACGAGAGCCAAGAATTTCCCATGCCCGGTTCTGGCGCCAGAGCCATGCCCTCGGCTGTCATTTTTGAACGTCATTTTTCAACGTCATTTTCCCTTTTTCCAAACAGGGAATTACGGCTTCTTATCGGACAGAATATTTCCCTCACATGGTTTCTCTTCGATTTCGTCTAACTGTGCAAGTTTAACAGGCGAATAATCGGATGCAAGCGGCACTTCCGATTGTGTGGACTGTCGAAGTCCGAAGAACGGTAGTATTAAAGTTATCTGATCGCGGGTCCGTCACATGGCCTCTCGCGTTCTCCCTCGCTGATTGACAGGAGTTTGTCGGGTTTTGATCGACCTAGCCCAATAAGGAATAGTGGCTCCAGGCCGCCGACCACCAGGGTTGATTCGACCAACCGCATTGGCTAGGTCGGATCAGATAATTTTAACCGAGCTATCCCGCGCATTGGATCAGATAAGATAATTATCCGGGACTGCTTGTTTTCCAGTTGGATGGCCGGCAACGAGGTCCCTCCCATCGGACGATGCGTGGGGGTTCCGGCTCAGGTTCAAGACAATAGTTCCAGTATCCATGGCGAGAAAAAATTTTGGCCTTCTGCTCTTCAAGAATCTAGCTGGCTCGGCCGATGATCGGTGTCCCACTGGCTCTTGTATGATATGAAAGAAAAATCATTTCAACCTCTTGAATTTTATCTCCCTGCATTACTTTTCATCGTCCTTCGTCGAGAGAGTGTCTTCAATATCTTGCTTTCAATTGATTGAAGCCTATTGATCATTGAGGATGAGGAGCCCCTTCGGCGGAAGTAACAGAGCAGCTGAAGCTGGCACAGAGAAATACCAACCAGACATCGAAGCTTCCGACCGTGAGAATGATAATAGTGACGGCATCAGAAGTCCCACTGAAGCGGAGGATGTCTCGAAGGAGGTTCAAGATGGTGTGCGTAACATGGAGGCTGCCACATCAGTGTGGACAAAGTGGCATCTAATTGCAGCATATGTGAAGTGAGTGTTTATCTGCGAGAACCGCAAAGATAAGGACGAATCGTGAAAGATCAAAGCTCCTAACACTTCAATTAGCATTTGGCTCATCTATTTCGTCACCTCGATGCAAGAAGTCGTTTTACGCTCCCTGAACCCCTATGTGACCAGCTCCTTTTCACTCCATTCATTGACGGCGGCGACTACCGTCATGTCGAGCATCATCGGAGGGCTGAGTAAAATCCCTCTAGCCAAAATATTGGACACATGGGGCAGACCCCAAGGGTTGGCTCTCACTCTCTTCATTTGGGTTATCGGGTACATCATGATGGCAGCATGCAAAAACGTCCAGACGTATGCTGCTGCGCAAGTCTTTTCCGCCGTGGGGTGAGTTCATCATCATGAGCCCTTTGGCAAACGGTCGCTCATTCTTCGTGCTAGATCTCAGGGAGTCAGCTATTGTATGACCGTTTTTATCGCCGACACCTCCTCCCTGAAGAACCGTTCGCTGATGCTCGCGTTCGCTACCTCACCCTACGTTGCAACCACCTGGGTCGGCGGGCCGATATCCAAAAGTATTATCGAGGTGGCCGGCTGGCGCTGGGGCTTCGGTATATTCAGCATCGTGGTTCCCGTGGTTGTCTCGCCTCTGTGCCTCATTTTCCTTTTGAATCACCGTAAAGCAAAGAAGGCTGGGATAGTATCCACCCCAGGCTCCGGTCGGAAATTGAACCTCCAAAATATCAAGAAATACGCCATTGACGTCGATCTTGTTGGAGTCATTATCTTGGCTAGCGGTATGGCGCTGTTCCTCTTGCCATTTAGTCTCTGGTCTTTTCAGGCAGAGAAGTGGAAGGCCCCCATGATTATTTGCATGATCATTTTTGGCGGCCTTCTGCTGATATTTTTCACAATTTATGAAAAATATCTCGCCAGGGTGACATTTATCCCCTTTAACCTTCTTATGGACCGTACTGTTTTCTTCGCAGCCGTCTATTTCTTCTTTGTCTTCTTCTGTGGTGCGGTCTGGGGCGGGTATTTCTTCTCGATGTTGCAGGTGGTGTGGGAGCTGGACATCACCAATGCAACTTATGTTAGCAACATTTATCGTGTGGGCTCTTGTCTGTGGGCACTGGTGGTCGGTGTCCTAATCCGCTGGACCGGTAGATTTAAATGGCTTGCGGTCTATTTCGCGGTGCCTTTGATGATGCTTGGCGTCGGCCTCATGATTCACTTCCGCCAGCCAGGCGTAAACATCGGATACATCGTCATGACGCAGATCTTCGTTGCCTTCGCCGGCGGTACGTGCGTCATCACAGGCGAGATGGCCATGATGGCGCCCTCAGACCACCAACACATTGCCGTCATAATCGCGATCCTCAACTTATTCTCGAGCATCGGCGGTGCCGTGGGAGGAACCGTGTCCACAGCTATCTGGACCAGTCAGTTCCCGGCCGCACTCCACAAACATCTTCCCCCGGGAACAGATGTAAGCCGCATTTATGCCTCGATTATCACACAGCTGTCATATAAGCCTGGAACGGCCATCCGAGACGGAATTAGTAGAGCATATGGTGATGCTCAACGCTACATGCTCATCACGAGCGTGTGTCTTCTTGCAGGTGCCTTGATCTGCGCTGCAGCCTGGAGAGACATTAAACTCAAGGATATAAAACAGGTAAAGGGAAGAGTGGTGTAAAGGAGAGTTGGGATGACCAGAGTAACAACGAAAGAAAAGACTCCAACGTGGATTCCACGATTCGCTTCGGACTGTGGTGTGAGTCTGGAGTTCGTTTGAGATTAACACCAAGATCGGCGCGTGAACTTACTGATGGTCAGGTTGCGACAGGAACCAAGAGGATGTAAATCTCAACATTTAAACCTGATAGCAGACAATGAAGTTTTAAATACCTAGACATACCATCGAAGCTAATTATATAAATCTCAACTCTTAAGACAAATCGAGTCCCAAGCTCTTGGTGCAGCATAGATGCTGGTTGGTTCTTCTTTTCAAGGTTGGAACGCGCTGAAGCCCTAGTAACTAACCAACCATGAAATCTGAATACATGAAATTTCGCACAGAACCGGGATCTGATGAATGCGACCTTGTGATATGCACACAAGTAATGTTCACAGCTGTACGGAGGAAAATGTACGGATAAATTTTCAAATGAAGTGTATGCAGTACTACAGGGCATTTTTAAATCTTCCGTCCATGTGGTTGACAGAGAGATTGAGAACATATACAATCAAGTGTTCCACAGATCAATATTGGGTATAACTAGGTACGTACATATCTGGGATAAAATTACAGAACCTGACAAAATAAGTGCTCAAGAAGAGAATCACAAATGGCTGTGAAAAAAATATCACTGTTAGCAGCGATAGGGCGACCAGCGGAGAATGAAGAGTAAGAGAATCTAGGCTCATATGGAACACAAATTGGGCCAGCGGTCCTAACAGACACAACAATGGCTACCTGGAGAGCGCCAACAGGCAAGAATGTAGGAAAATTTTGGGAAAGACAATGGGTGTGGAAATATGAAATTTGGGGGGGAAGGGAAACCTCAACCGGGGCTCGACCGTACACCTAATCTCGATGTATATGGAGGGAATATCCTATAAAAACGGAAGAAAAGAAAGCTGATTGAGACCAACGTCTTCTAGAGACACTCAAGCTTCGACCGATTTCGCGAAAACGCCGATGGAAACACACAATACCACACATTCGTGAAGACATGACGACATTGAACCAAGAGAAAGAGATAGGAGGACATCACATTACTGGCTGTCCATGCTCGATCTCGTCTGGGGATCTCCTTCGATCGTCTTTCTCCAGTGTTCGGGTAGACAAACGCAGACAAGCTAGAAACGGCGTTAGTAAAGGTGTACTTAGATAATTTTTCGAAGTTAGCTTACCGGAAAGGCCTTAATTTCACCAGTGGGAGCCGGGGATGACCCCCGTCTATCAGTACCGTTAGAAACACCACTGTCGCGCTGTGCTTTGTGTTTGCCATCATAGTCTTCGACAGTTTCATTAAGACGAATACCGGTAGCCCATCCATCGTCCCAGATGCCGACGACTTTAAGCATATCGCCTCGTTCGAGCTCGAATTCATCAGCTGCACGAGGTTGATAAGCCCACAGCACGGCTACCTTGTCGTTGGGGTGAATGTCATCTTGCGAGTAATAGTCTCTGAAATAAGGAAGCTGTTCCGATTGGCCGCTAGCGACGCCCTCTGGAGATGAGAATTGTGCGCCGCTCCCAGATTTTGGAGACGTTGTATCACCGTCACCAGCGAGAGCAGATGCGCTGGATAATGAACCGTTTCTTCTACCAGTAACCGGAGGTCGTCTTCTGGTGCCACTGGCGGGGCTAGCAAAAGCTTCGGAATCCGATGAATCGTATTTCATGGCAGCGGTGCCACGTGGAGAATCGTCGTTGTTTTGTAAAGCAGACATTCGGGCAACGCGCCCTCCTGGTAGAACGTCAAAGCCATGGCCCTGAGCCATGTTTCCAGGGGCATATTGCATCGAACTCGTCCCCTTTCGTGGAGGTGATGGTTGGTTGAATATACTGCTGTTCCGGTCACGTCTCCGGCGGAGGAATATGAACAAAAATACCGCCAATGCACCCAACAAGGCAATACCGGCTACAGATCCAACGACAATACCTGCAATTGTTCCACCAGAGAGTCCGGTGCCAGCACCCGCGCTAGCTGACGGGTTAGAACTTGAAGTGGACGACGGGAAGAGTGGAGGTAAAGAGGGCACTGTCGGCAGTTCTAGGCCACGGCATCGATTTGTAGCGTCTGCAGCAACACAACATGAATCGGTTGCATTCGGTGAGCTTTCCGCACAGAACCCGCAAAGTCCAAGCAAATTGGGGCCGTAGCCACATTCAGCCGGTTCGTTTTCGCTCCCAGAGATACATTTTCCGGTCAGAGAGTCTGCGGGATTTGCGCATATGGTAAAATCAGAGCGGATTTGGTCCATAAAGTTCGACTTTGGGGTGCCACATAAATCTGGGTTGACCGCAACTAGTTCTTCGCTCGTAGCCGATAATGCCTGCCATAGATTAGCCAGTGTTTATCCCAAATTGAGCATGCGAAGGACGAACACATGTGTCAGCACAAAGCGGTCGCGAATCGTCCGGTGAAACATTGCAAATCTCCCTTGAGCTTTGAACTATTCCGTTGCAAATGACACTAGTGGTATATCGGGCATAGAGAGAACTCGTGTTTGTAAGCTTGACGTTGGAACAGCCCAGAAGGTCTTGATATCTGTGCAGAGGAGTCACAGAGTCAGTCTTCGAAAAAAAGAGTTTCGCCAAGTCTTCAAGAACATACTTTCGCTTGACATAGTCATGATGCACGTAATTCTGCAGCTCTTTGTCGAAGTCTTTGACAGAGGAAACGAATTCGAGGAAGGGACTGTGAAAATTTTCAGCACGTTAGCTACGACTGCGCGTCGTTCAGAGGGAGCGAGCGAGAGAGAGAGAGAGAGAGAGAGAGAGAGAGAGAGAGAGGCGCAAGGCGTACAATTGATCCACAATGTCCTGTCTGGTAGAGACGGAGGCACTGGCGAATGCAGGGCATGTTGTTGAGTCTTTGAGCGAAATGCAGTTCTCTGCCATGGTCCGAGCTCGAGGTGCAGAAGGCCCTCAAGGGCGTGAAGAAAAAAAAGAAAAAGAAGACGGTGCGAAGCCTTTCCCTTTCTCGAAACGTAGTCGGGTAGGTGACAAGCTGAGTTAAATTGTGACGCAGGTCTTCATTAGAAGTTGGATGGCGGATCCTTCAGTTTACCATTATCCTTTATTATTGGGTGTTGTTTGCTTTGTTGTGACTGTAAGGTTCTGTGCCCCTGACAGATCGCGAAACCGAAGTTGGTCGAATAAAGAAAACGAGAGACAAAAGTGATGGGAATGCAAAATAAGGCGAAGACACACCAGGATTAAGAAGAAAAGTAAGAGGAGTCAATCCGAACGAGTGGATGCCTGACGAGAACAGGCTGGACAAGGGCGACGAGGAGAAGGTGTCGGGGAGACGAAGAAACCGCAAGTCGAGCAGGGGAGAGAGAGAGGAGGAGACGAGAGGCGTGCGACGGGCGAGCAACAGCAGGAGGGAGGCGGTGATTCATCAAAATAGATTACCGTAGGAATTTACCCTGTATCGTGCCGTAACCTGCCATTCCGTGTGGGGATTGTCCTTTTCCGCCCTACGATACTAACCACCACTGCTAGCCTGGCAGTGGCTTTTGGACGAATCCTCGGGAGAGAGGTTAAAAAAAAAAAAGGAAAAAGAAAAGAAAAAAAAAGGGATCTTTCTGCTGCAAGACTTTCTCCGGACGCCTTGACGTTTCATCTGGTCTCTCCATGTTTACATTCTCCATACTTTTCTGAGTATGGAACCGCTAAGATTATCACCCAGCGTTGAACCACGGATGCTGCAGACGCAGGTGACACGCCGAGGTCCCCTGAAATTAGTTAGTGGGCGCCTGTCACTGGCCACGACGTTGCGTGCTTGGCGCAAAACGGGTGCAAATCACATCGACAACCCCGATTTCGATGTGGTTTGCAAGCTTCTCCATCGCATCAGATCTCGGGCATCCGGTACATCCATTCCGCAATGGGTTGCCCAAAACTACGAGGCAAAAAAGAGGAAGAGTCGACACCCAATGCTTTGGTGTTTCCGTTCCATCCATAGTGTTCCACTGAGCAATGCCCATCATCCCCCCCAAAGGAGAAACTTACCCAGTCAACTAAAATTGTTAACAGGTTGTCGGTTACACCTTAGATGATTCACAGACTGTCCTGAGTGATAGACACCTGGGAAAACAGATTTCACTATCACTGTTACATCAACTCTCTTCTGTTCCTCTTTCCCTGACATGTGTATAACAAGGGCTGTGACTAACTTAGCAGACCAACAAGCTAGCATTCCACATGTTCTTCGCAAGCATTCATTTGAGAGAGCATATGTGTGTGCATTGGGACCTTTCATGAATCAGAGTACAAGTCCCGCATCACTGTGACCTTGCCGATGTGTTTAATGGCCTTAAAAGAAACTCCCATCAATGAGTTGCTTATGGGCCTTTAAAAAAAGGGAAAAGAAAATCTCAATCTAACGGCCCCTGTTGCTTGCTTCGGTTGAAGATTGAAATCGGTATGTTGTTAACGAATTTCCTGATCGGAGGAAGAGCCGTGCGCGGGGCAGAGCTGCGCTGCGCTTTCGACATGATATCCTCGCGCTATAAGCCTCTTGGCGATGGCGAACCCAAAGCCATCAACTGCTCGCCGTCAACGCAAAGCAGCTTTCAAGTCTGTCATATCCAAGGATGGAGAACCGCTAACTTGTCCGGATGGGGTTAGCGGGGAGCGTATCCCACGTGATGCTGACGAAGCCACTGTTCCCCGCCAACCCGCGTCGCACCAAGCCAACGTCATGATCGATCCGGCCAAATGTTCCTCGCTCAGCCCTAAGGCTACCGTGAATCGAATCGACGAGCAGAGACAACAGCATCATGTCCCGATACCACCAGCATTGAGTACCGCATATATATTGGCCTGACAATTTTCACAAATTAAGATTCTTCATTGCATCACCATGTGCTCCCCCGACCTGTTCCTCGGGCTCCTTGCTGTCTTGTTTCCCCCAGTTGCAGGTGAGACACCGCGCTGTTTTGACTTCTCGCAACATCCAAGGCGTTTTATCCATATGTTCCTTCAAATACAGCATCTAACGCCTATAATAGTATGGATTAAAGTCGGAATATGCTCCGCCGATTCTATCATCAATATCGCTCTGTGCTGCCTAGGATACGTGCCAGGTCTCCTGCATGCATGGTACATAATTCTCAAATACCCAGAGCCCTATGACGAGTATCCAGACGGCTATCAGCCCATCGTTGGATCTGGCACGCATCACGACCCTGAGAATGGGAGCGTTACATATTACTATGTCGCCCATCAGCACCTGGACAACAACCGTTCCCCTCACAACCACATCTCACCCCAACGGTCTTACGGAGCAACTCAAGAGAGCGCGCCCGGAGTACCACCTCCATCTACCAAACCAGCGCCACCAGTGCCTCCACAACATCCTTCTCAGCAAAATGAACCTGCCCGCGGAGAAAGCTCTGGGCAAGGCAGCAGTTCCAGACCACATGATGAATCAAGGCCCCCTCCAACCTATGCTGAAGCTGTGAAGGGGGATTACAAGATCCAATCTTGAGCTGCTTTTTTTTTATCATCTTTGATACTGTTCAGACAGCGAAACTGAATGGTGCTCATGGATTGCATCGATATCCATAAAGCGGTTTGTGGCGTTCCCCGGCCCACTCTGATGGTGCTAAAGCAGTCATAATCGTCCTGCACGATCTAGCTTTCAGCGTTTCTCTCTTGCCTTAGTAAAGCTATAGTTAGCGATTCTGTCATGGTGTTTATCTTGGCGCAATCCCTGGCTTTATTCTTCTGCCTTGTGTTAGGCCTCAAGACTGTGTAATAATTACTGTCATTTCCGCTGTTCTTATGGTGGGGTTTGGCTGGTTATTCCTTGGAATTAAAGTGATACTGCGAGCGTATATGTATACCTATCTGCAATTGAGTTCTTCTCGCATCAAGGATTTGATCTCTGCACGCAGTTAGACTGCGAATGGAGATTCGTCCCAAGCAAGGAAGATGGCTCTGGGCCCGCCGCGCCACGGCATAGCAAACGCGATTTATCGACGTAAAATATAAAGTCAAACATACCCGGTAAAAAGACGAGCAAGATATTGAGCTTATCCCACGGACTGAAAAGTTCATTGCGGTGGAGCCTCAACTCCATTTGTGCGGAGCACCTGTTGGGCGGTGGACGGAGCAAGCTGGCCGTTGCAAAAAGTATTCCCGTAACAAAAGACGCCCGCACATCAACAACACACAACCCCAACACCCACACATGAAGCTGTCTTCATGACGGCCACCTCTGCCCAAATCCAGTCATGCATACTCTCCCGCTCCTATTCAGACACTCTCTCCGGACAGGAGCCGGTTTCGCGAAATCAACATCGCCCAATCATGTTTCGACCACATCGTTTGTGGTAAAGCTTGCTCCTCCTCGGCAGCGGTCACGGCTCGGATACGTTGATGCTTCGATATGCCTACGTTGCCAATTCCGTGCTCAAACGAGATTTTACTCTGTGCAAGGGGATGGAGGAGGCTCTGGAAAGGAGAATAAAGAGGGTGGCAGTCTAGAGGGCGGAAACCCGACGAGTTCGACCGACGCGAAGCGGGACCAAACTTCCTCTCCGGATAGCAGCTCTGCGTTGAAATCGTCGGATAAAAGCCAAGCAGAGGAGTCTAAAGATGGCCCAGAATCAAGAAAAGAAGACAGCGAAGCCGAAACAGGAGGAAGTCTGCCCTCTCATTGGGAAAGTCGTCGGTCGCATCTCTCGAAACAATTCTCCCAATTGATGGACAATCTACAGTCAAATATTTTCATTGCTAATAGACACTTGAACGACTTGACTGGCTATTCTGCAATTGAGGCTTTAAAGAAGAATATAGTAGCACAAGGTACGTTGTTCGTTTGGTTTCATTGCTCCTCAACGTTTTCTTTTCTTTCTTTCGCCTCTAACTACAGCTGAATAACACTGACAACCAATTATCTGACAGAGGAACATGTCCGACAAACGCGCACCCGAGTTCGAGAAGCCAAGGATGCATACTCAGCCGCAATAAACCGTCGCTCTGCTTCTCAACGTGAAGTAAACGAACTTCTCCAACGCAAACACGCTTGGACCCCAACTGACCTCGAACGATTCACATCACTATATCGCTCTGACCACGCCAACGAGAGGGCTGAAACAGAAGCCCAGGATGCTCTCATGGCTGCTGAGCGTGAAGCAGAAGAAGCAGCTGGCCTGTTGAGCAAGAGCATACTTTCCCGGTACCACGAAGAGCAGATTTGGTCTGATAAGATTCGACGGATGAGCACATGGGGAACTTGGGGCCTTATGGGAGTCAATGTGTTGCTGTTTTTGATCTTTCAAGTCGCTGTCGAGCCGTGGAGGAGAAAGAGGCTGGTCAAGGGTTTCGAAGAGAAAGTTATGGAGGCCATAGAGAAAGAGAACGGAGCTCAAAAGGAGCACGCGGAATTGGAGGGCAAACCGGCCGTCGAGGTCACTCCCCCAGCCGTTCAAACCCAGCGGCTCACCGAAGAGCTAGCGTCCGAGGATCAGGGCGAAAATATACCCACTTTCACATCCGCAGCACCGTCCGATTTGTCTTCCCAAGAAATGCAGCCCGGATTACCCATACAACCTGAGATCGAGCCTGAACCTGAACCTGAACCTGAACCCGAACCGATCGTCGAACCTCCTCTTACCACGATCCTACCACCAGAGGCCTCTTTATCCCCCGATTCCTGGCAACAAACATTCCGGGATCTATTCAGCGAGCGACGCGTAACTCTTTCCCAACGAGACCTGACGACAGTTGCCCTAGAAAGCGCAGCCGCCGGCGCGGCTGTCATGGGTGTGCTGATTGCCATTTTTAGGCCGCGGTAAAATAAAGAAAAGAAATCTACTATATGTATCAATATGTACATGATGCTGAAAACAGAGCTGGTTGACGGGCAAATGGGAGGGAAAGAGGAGAGATATATCCATCGATATGTAAGTTTTGTATAGAAAAAAATAGCGTGTGATTAGATTTGTATATAGACATGTTTTTTTCCTTGGTTACTGACGATGTAATTACTTGATATTGAGCGGCGTTTGCACTGGATTGTATTCTAGCTACGGAGTACAGAGTAGATGTGCATTTTTCATAGGTTCCTCTACGTTCGAATTACTCCCCATTATACGGAGTACTTAAAAGGTTATCCAAAAGAAGTTTGTGAACGCGGAGACTTCAGCAGGAGTCGTGGGAAGAGTTCTCTTTTCTTCTTGATCACCTATGAGTCTTAGCGTCTATTATCGCATTTTACCAGAAAGAAAGGAAAGAGGGAGTTGTGTATATTTTCTGGTGGTACAAAAGGAAATAATATCAAGACCTGTAGAGCGCGAGGGGAACAAAATACATATATGAACAGAGTCAGGTTTCTCTAAAAAAGGAAAAAACCCAAGGTAATCTTGTGGGAGGCGATGTCAAAGTCTCCCGCTTTTTCTCTATACGAAATCCAAAGATGATAATTCCTTCTTTCCACTATCAACTCCCTTTAACCGACCGCGGAATTAGTTCTACAGGTATAAGACGAATAAGCCCCTCCCTGCGTATCCCGCACTCTCCGCTCCCGTAGCCGTCGCTCCTCTCACTTGATGTTCAAGAGGCTTAACCGATGACAAGGGTGTCTTCCGATGGGAAGTCGTATTGAGGAACCTCGAGGTTAAGTGGCGCGGGACCTTTTCTGATACGGCCGGAGATATCGTAGTGGGAACCGTGGCATGGGCAGAACCAACCGCCGAATTCACCGGCTTCACCGATGGGCACACAACCAAGATGGGTGCAGACACCTATACAAAAACAATTGAGCGTGGATTCATTTGCGAAGAAGTTGGAATCAAGTGGGCAGGGCAGGGACAGATTTCACATACCCAACATAACGAGCCACTCCGGTTTCTTCACACGATCCGAATCTGGCTGAGGGTCTCGAAGGCTTTCCCAGTTTGTGCTCTCAGCTTCAGCGATTTCGCTGGCGGTTCGGTGACGGATGAAAACTGGCTTTCCTCGCCATTTGATGATAACCTGTTAAACCAACCAAATGACAGCGACATCGGTCAGAATCGCCCAATTTGATATGAATCATAATCGGAAGGGAAAGACGTACGTTTTTGCCCTCGGGAATGGACGCGAGAGAGATTTCGACCTTAGCTTGAGCGAGAACGTCGGCAGAGGCGGACATATTAACGAGGAAGTCTGAAAGAGCGCAATTGATCAGTATCTGGAATGGAATGCGCCCTGTTTCCCGACTATCCGTTGATTCCCTGAAAAACAACGACGCCAAGATCCATATAAAAGAGGCGATAAAGAGGCCCAAAATCGACGTCAAACATCCGGGATAAACGTACCCTGCACAGTAGCCTTTGCTCCGACGGCACTGACTAAACCCATACTTCCAGCGACGAAATACGAGAAGACTTTGTTCGTTGTGGCATTGCGAGGGCTGGCGTATTTCTTGAAGCTGGGGATCTTCAGGGACGAAGCACTCTCCTTGCTGCGACCAAAGGGACTGTCGAAGGACGAGGTCGGCGCGGCTTCCGCTGTAGATTTGGCTCGGAGCTGCTGGGAGGAGGCCGTCACGGAAAGTGTGCGTGGGAGAGCAAGGTTTTGCCGGGCGCAGGCCCGGACGAGCGACGAGGCAGAGGAAGCGGCGAGAGGAGGCATGGCGGATGAAACGATGGCCAAAGGAAGAGGGGAGAAGAGGAACACAATTGAGCAGGAACCCAAACGGCGTGTGGGGGTGGACTGACGGTGTCTGAGCGAGAGAGAATTGCGAGGTTGAAATGTTGATGTTGCGAATTCGTGAAAGTCCGGAATCCCGGGCACGCTGATTGGCTGGCCGCCTTCTCCACCAAGAAACAGCCGGCTTCACGCGCTTCGAAGAGAGCAGAGAACTACGGAATCCTAAGAGACGGTGCGAGATGCTGCGAGATGCACTTCGAACTCTGTCAGGGCTGATGACGGGCCTACAGGGGGACGTCTCTGGGGGGTCTACGGTTGGGCAAGACTGTCAGTGGCTTCGAACCACACACATCAATCGATTCACCTGACTGTTTTTGTGTAGAACCCAGCCTTAAAAACTGCAATGTAGGTATGATAGCATGCTCCAAACTCCTCATCTCCGAACCTGCAAACAATCGCCCATCTATTATGCGCGTTAAACCTATCGTTATCCGCCAGAATGCTGCCTCGATTTTGGAATGGCAGAGGTGTCGCTGCCGCGGAAACGGCCCGGCCCTTAGCGAATTCCGGGTACAAGCAAACCCAGCCGTGATGAAATCCTCAACCGCTCATGTTGACATCCTTATCGACGGGTTCCTCATCCGCAGGCTCCTCATTTACAAGTGCGCTGCGTGTCCGTGAAGAGTGTATGACCATTGGCGGGCGAGGCGAAGACTGTGCTCCGTTCGCGTCCAGGTTCACCATCGACTCCTCGCGAGACGTCACCGATTCGCCACTCGCAGCCAATCCTTTCCTATTCAATGTACGCTGACCTTTGGGTCTCTCGGACTCTTTAGCTGCCTCCCGCGCTCTCTTTTCCTTGAATTGTTTGTACGTCGTAGTTTTCGGGATGACGTCGGAGAGGAACTCCAGATTATCGATTCGAGAAACGGCAGTTGCTGCGAGGGGAGGGAAAAAAAAGCATAGTAGATTAGCATAAAGAGCTCTGTTTGGAATTCCAACACGGTGTCGACCCCCAGGGGTAAGGAAAGCCATACCAAGGTCCTTATACTGTATAGTTTTCCGTGGCTTTCGTTCGGACTTCACGACGTTATAGCTCTGTTCTGCAAGGTAACGGATAAACATCTCCTGTAAGCGGAGTGTCCCAATCAGCAAACCCAACTCAAGGCTCCATCTCGCTCAACAAAAAGGCAGCTTGGATATACCGTAGCGACCGCGATTAGAAAGGCTGCATTGTTAGAACATTGTGCAATATCTTCATCAAGGTGGATGATCTTCTTGATCCTGGTCACTATTTATTGTCGCACAGGTTGTCAGCCTTAAAAATTCCATACCCAAGCGAACTGTGATGGAATCAAGCAAGCAAGCAAGCATACAGGGCAGGGCAGTTCGCCCACTCGCCTCCTTGCGTGGAGGGATCGCGGCGGTGTTGTAAGGCATTTAGGACGCGTTTCGTTATGGACTTAGCCCATGGACGGCGTGAGCTCAGTTTTCTAGTTGTAAATGAAGCGAACTTGTAAGTGGCAATCTAGCTAGGATATTGGACGGCGTTGCGAAGGCTGGCAAAAAGTAACTGGGAAATCTGGAGAGCTGAGAAGGTTAAGTTTCGACATCTCGATGATTGGCCGCGAACCTCTCCGTCTTCGCCGATGGACAGCATGGCTTACTCCGCAGGCAACCGGTATATCTTTGACAGCTTCTTACGACTTTGACCCGGCGCAGGCCTCGATTACGGTACTTCTATAACAATTTATCGTCTGCAGCCGTCAAGCCGCGCTAAATACCAACGGTTGCGCATTACCCAACCACCCCGACGGCGTTCCTCCACCAGAAGCGGCTGGGCAGGGCGACCCCAAATATCACCGACGCGAGCTTGACACGGTGACAATCGATATCCAAGAACCAAATAATGTGAGCTGCCGCCGCAGGATGGTAAAGTGAATGCACATTCCGTCGGTGTGATGAACCCCAACATATCCTCCCATTCCGCTCCACGCCGCCGCCCCTCCTCCCATTCAATCCCCGCCAAGCGTCACTCAGGCCTTTCTTTCCTCTCAACGGTCGAGCATGAACCCAATACACCTATCACGCCTGTCACGCCTGTGGCGGGAGAACCTCATTCGCAGAATCCTACGATAACCGAAGAAATCAGCGAGATCAAGAGATATGAGGACTTTACGACAATCGATTGGGTGCAGGATGCGGTACATGAACAGGCCCGACGGCGCGCGCGGAGGAAACAAGGAGCTCGATTTTGGGACAAAGAGGGTGCGTTTGGCTGGAGGCGGAAAGTTAGCGAAGCTTATGATGCCGGTCAGGCCTGGCTGGTTGTGACTATTGTCGGAGCGGCCATTGGCTTGAATGCCGGATTCCTGAATATTGTGACGGAATGGTTGGCGGATGTCAAGCTGGGATACTGCACTACGGCATTCTATTTGAATGAAGCATTCTGCTGCTGGGAGGCAGAGAATGGAAGTATGTGTGATTAAGTGGACCTTTTGCCGCGACTCCATCTAACTGAGACTATTTGCAGAGTGTCCGGAATGGAAAAGATGGAGCACGCTACCGCCTATAAATTACGTTGTTTACTTCGTCTTTGCTGTAAGGTCTCTTTGACTCTTTGCATGGCTGTCATCCTTATGTGCTCTTAGGTCTTGTTTGCCTCCTCCGGCGCAGTTTTGGTCGACGCGATTGCCCCTTACGCCGCCGGTTCCGGAATATCAGAAATCAAGGTTATCATTGCAGGATTTATCATGAAAGGATTTCTTGGGGTGAGAACATTGTTGATCAAATCCATTGGTCTGCCTTTGGCTATCGCCGCTGGCCTTTCAGTTGGAAAAGAAGGACCTAGCGTCCACATCGCCGTATGCACAGGAAACGTGATTTCTCGGTGGTTCAGCAAGTATAAGAGGCATGCGGCTAAGACCCGGGAAATCCTAACGGCTACGTCTGCAGCCGGTGTAGCAGTCGCCTTTGGAAGCCCCATAGGCGGCGTTCTATTTTCATTGGAGGTATGATGCGCGCCTTCCTGTGGTGTGGAGAAGTCATTCTTATGATCATAGGAAATGGCATCTCATTTTCCCCTGAAGACGCTGTGGAGGAGTTATTTTTGCGCCTTAGTGGCAACCGGTGTTCTGGCGGTACGTACCATCGCCGAGCCAGCCTTCCAACGCGGATATCTTTGATGCTAACTTACTTCCAGGCCATGAACCCGTTCAGAACAGGTCAATTGGTTATGTTCCAAGTTAAATATGAGAGGACTTGGCACTTCTTTGAACTTATTTTCTTTGTGATACTCGGCGTTTTTGGAGGATTGTACGGTGCATTTGTTATGAAGTGGAATCTACGGGCGCAGGCGTTCAGGAAGAAGCATCTCTCGCGCCATCCAATTATCGAGGCCACAGTGCTGGCTGGTCTGACGGCTCTTGTTTGCTATCCTAACATGTTCATGAGAATCACGATGACTGAAATGATGGAAATACTATTCCGTGAATGTGAAGGAAAACATGATTATAATGGGATCTGCCAGTGAGGACGCTCTTTACTCAAGATATTCCGATATTATTTCTAAGACTGACATTCTTAGGGCTACCCGTCGGTGGTCGATGGTGTTCTCACTCTTTATGGCAACGGTATTACGGGTTCTTTTTGTGATCATATCATATGGATGCAAGGTTCCAGCGGGCATTTTCGTACCATCGATGGCAATCGGGGCGTCATTTGGGCGAATGGTCGGAATACTCGTCCAAGCCCTACAAGAATCGTTCCCACACTCAAAATTCTTCGCCGCGTGCGAGCCAGATGTCCCGTGCATAACCCCGGGAACGTATGCGTTCCTGGGTGCCGGCGCAGCGTTGAGTGGTATTATGCACTTAACAATTTCTGTTACGGTCATCATGTTTGAATTGACGGGCGCCTTGACTTATATTCTTCCTACCATGGTAAGCTTGCCGTTGAACACAATAATGTACGATCCGTACTAAAACACATGACTAGATTGTTGTTGGAGTGACGAAGGCCGTCAGCGATCGTTTTGGGAGAGGTGGCATTGCAGATCGTATGATTTGGTTTAACGGGTTTCCTTTCCTCGACAGCAAAGAGGAACACATCTTTAATGTTCCAGTTTCTCATGCCATGACCAATAAACCCGTTGTCCTACCTGCAACTGATTTCCCCGTCAGAAAAGCAGAGAGGCTACTCGAAAACAACAAGTTCCAAGGCTTCCCCATCGTGGAAGACCTGACATCGCGTACGTTGGTGGGATTTATCGGTCGCACAGAATTTCAGTACGCCATCAATCGAGCTAAAAGAGAAGATCGTCTCTTCTCGCCAGAGGCGAAATGTCGATTCGTCCCTCAACCCAGCTCATTTCAAACCACGTCCTCCACGTCTTTATCGACATCTAACCTGTCGCAATCTTCGGGTCGATACTTTGATTCTTCCATAGCCACACCTTCCTCCTCTCGGCCTGTTGAGGAGCATCTACCACCTCAAACGTTTGACGACATAGCTACACCCTCCGGAGTCCGCTCGATCGATTTCAGTTCATACGTTGACGTTGCGCCAATAACCGTGCATCCGCGTCTTGCCCTCGAAACCGTGATGGAAATATTTAAAAAGATGGGTCCGCGTATGATCCTCGTTGAACATCGTGGTCGATTATCCGGACTCGTCACGGTGAAGGATTGTTTGAAGTACCAGTTTAAAGTGGAACATCAGGAGCTTGCGGATGCAAATGCGACAAGTAGCGATCGACTTGCCGCAAATGGGGGGAAGGAGGAGGGGCTCGTGGAGCAAAAGGTGTGGGAAATTATCCAATGGGTCGTTGGGAAGGTTGCGTCTTGGAGGAGACGTGGTGGACGTTCAGAAAGGTTTGAGGATGGGAGTAGGAGACCGAGAGACAATTCATTCGATATTATCGATGGAACGGAAGATGTCGATACATTCGATGGGATTGTTGAATTGGAGGAATAGGAGGATGGAAGGTGAAGAAAGTAGTTTTGGAGAAGGATGTGACGATAATTTTGATGTTGATAGAGAATAGATCCAATAAGTCTATCAAGACACCTTGTCTTACAGGGTATGTCATGTATCTACTGTACATTTCTTTGCTCTTTGGTTCGAATAGATAAGATTTCATACGGGATTGAATCTCACTCTCGTCGCGAGGAGTCCTCGTCTCGGAACTCGATCAAATCATCCGAACTGCCACCCCTACGTCCTCCCAATTCGTCCTCAACCGCATTGCCATCTTTTGGCGTTCCCTTTTCATCCCTCAGTCCGACAATGATACATCCCGTCGCCATGATGGTTGCACCAAGCCACCACAACGGCGCCACTCGTTCCCGGAAAACTACCATACCCAGAATGGCGGTGACGAGGAAGTTAGCTGTGGTATTTGTGATGGTGACCTGTGTTGAGGAGCTGGCGGCAGTCAAGGCGCGAGTGAAGAGAGCCCACATTGTTATATTTGAAAGAATATTCAGGGCGAAGAAGAACTGAAGCATAGGTGTTAGAGAGGTCATCCAATAGGAATATCAAGCAGAGATGGCTCTGGGAATTCCAGGTATATGTCGACGAAAGGCAGATGGGATATTGCATACAGCTCGGACAATATACTCTACAGCAATATCCATTGATGCTGAGAAAGACAGAAAGCGTGATATTCCCTGTGATATGTCGGTTGTGAGCTGGGTAGTTGTCCTTGTCGCAGCGTTAGCGGCATTGAAAACTTCAGGTGAGAGGATATCTGACATTCCTAGTTCTCTATTTACGAATGTCTGATTTTTGGTGTATGGATAATAGATTACACTTACAACTTTGCGAAGACCCCATTTAGAGCAGCAAAAGTTCCGCTGGAAAGGGCGAGCACTAGCCACTTTTGCGACATGGCGGCCATGCTTTTCTCATCTGATTTCGCCGGCTGGGACTCCTTTTCCCTCGTTGGAGGATAATTCTTCTGGCCTGTGCTTCCGAGGGACGGTCACACACGGGAAAACTACAGTTAGCAGTGTATCCCTGTTTGGTGATTTTGTCACTGCCTCACGACGCGTTTTTGGTAGTAAGAGAAGGTATCTCATAGCCCAGGGCACATGGAGATGGATGAATTGAGCATTGCTTAAAACAACATACCAGTTCCGCACCCTGAACCGGTTTTCTCCTGAGCTGCTTGCTGCTCACAATTCAACGTGTGCCTTTGACGTTGCCGCACCATGCTGGTTTCATTGTCCGTCTGCGCGACAGATTATGCGTGCGTCACAACGACTGGACTTGGCTCGCTCAGCGCCGCCGTCAGCCCGACCCGGTCTTGGCACCCGGAGTTCCGCACGCCAAGACTTTTAAGTCGCCAGCGAGCGAGTTCGGGGCTCAGCGCAACTTCCGGGTCAACGTCAAAAAAAAAAAAAACACCGCCGGAGCAACGCGATATGCGACTGGAATTATTTCGAGAAACAACGTTGAAGCTATAATATATATATATGAGAGGTCGTCTAAAATCGTACTTTTTCGATGTCGTACTCCGAAGGAGCAGATGTCGCGTAGCCAAGTCTATCATCTTCATCCTCATCGTCGTCATGACCGCCATCACTACGGCGACAGTCTCTGAATTCGCCATCTAAACGTCTTTTCGTCACCTTCTCCCAGATGCTCGTTCTCCCCGTGCACCCTCACGTACCGAAAGCGGTCATGCAGTCGACTTTTCCTCCCCTGCCAGAACTCCACTGACTCAGGCACAAGCCTGACCCCTCCCCAGAACGGCGGGAGAGGAATCTCTTCGGTATCCGCAAACCTCTTCTCCATCTCTTTCACCCGATTCTCCAGCACAGAGCGTCCATCATCCTCTTCTCCCGATTGAGAATTAATATCCTTAAGGCGGCTAGCAGCCCCAGGAACAGCATCCACACCCTCCATATCCCTCGGCTCCGTCGACCACAACACTTTACTCTGCTGACTCGCCCACGCCCCAATCTGGCTCCCTCTCTCCCTAACCCGCCAATACGTCTCGCTCTCCTCGCGGCTCAACATTTCAATCAGCCCTTCAACCCTAACCTGCCTCTCCACACTGGGCCAATTAAACGTCAACGCCGCCCATCGATTGCCCTCCAGCTTTCCCTGCCCATCGTCAGGAATCACACTCCCTTCCTCCCCTACTTCTTCTTCTTCTTCCCTACCATTAACATCGATCCCCGTCTCCGTACCAAACACCTGCCCTCCCTTTCCCGCCCGACTGCCCCAGTTACTATACACAACCCACCCCCGCTCATCAAGCTCTTTCAGGTATACAATCCTAGCACTCACACGGCCCGAAGGCATACTCGCAGTAGCCAGCGTGCACGTCTCCGGTGCGGAGGATGGCGCTAATCTAGCATCCCGGAACCAGGTGTGGAACTGATGTAGCGGATTGGTAGGATGGATCTGGGAGAAAGTCAGGGGTGGGTTGGTGAGGAATTGATGGGCGCGGGCGGCGCGGGAGACGACGGCGGCATTGGTGGATGGAGTTGAGGCTCCGGAGCGGGTGGGATCGTCGATGACCGGTAGGTGAGGCGGTAAGGGAGAGGCAGAATGATATTTTGCGGTTTGGGGGTCGATTGTGCTGCGTGGTGTTGCGGTGGTGATGGTGGGGGCCGCGGGGGAGGAGAGGGGCGCTTGGATGTCGCCGGGTGCAACTAGGGATGGGTTGGTCAATTGGGGCTTTGAAGCAGCGATTTATTTATAGGAGGATATTAGGCAAGAGTTGAAAAAATGACATACAGATCAACCTCTTTGGGTGGTGGTGCGGGTGTGTTTCGTGGTGGTCATGGCCGGCATGCTCCCCCGCGGACGGAGGGCTATCGCGAGTCATAGCTTTGGTGCTTTTTCGTAGAAGAAGAGACAATTGAGAGACCAGGCGCCAAGTCCTTTTGCGAATGGAAGATGGAGGAGATATCATTCACTAATTCTATGGCACCATGAAGAACAATGATCTGTCAAATTTCACTGAAAGAAAAGCAGGTCGAGCGTGTCGTCGTAACGCCGATGGAGGCGGGTGGCTCAGATATTCGAAGGTGCCGAAGCGCAACCCAAACGGCCGATGGTACGCGGGAACCACCGTCGCTTCGGCGATCCTCGGCAGGCAAAATACCATAGAATTTCGAGACGCCTCCAAAGAGAGTGTTATGGGCGTGGAGATGACACAAAGGCAAAATGGCCTGATACCTGCGTTGGTTTTGTTTTCCGGCCTTCCACGAAGTCTTTTTTCAGCGGTTCCGAAAATCAGCCCATGGAACGGAGTACTATTACATTTTTATCAACAAACAGAATTGACAATTGCCTACAGGGGACCCCATGATTCACACATATTTCCATGTCATATTTTCTTCTTCTTCCTATATCCAGCGTAGCAAGGACAGCATATCTATCGCCGCCTTGCCACAATTATATAGCCTTCCAAGATCCAGGATACATGAACGTCATAACAAAAAAAGGTAATACATCATGAGCCCATTCGTACCTCGATCCAGAAGAGAGTAGAGATGTGTCTATAGAATAGCAAAAAAAAGAAAAAGCCAAAGTCCTCAAGCCATGTTGGAAATTTGAACCCAGTCCGCCGAATAACATAGGAGAAAATAATAAAACCAAAAAAAGTAAGATATCTTCATCCAAGTTAACGCCATCCGCTATGGATTATGTACCGAATGCTGCAAAAAACAATCTTAAAATTTTTTTTAGACAAAGAAAAAGAAAAGAAGAAAAATGCACGTATATCTCTCACTGGAAAGGAAATGAAAAGAAGCTGTGGGTTGAATCAAAAATGAACCCGGATATCTTTTTCGAAAGAAAAAAAATATATAAAATCTTTATCCTTCCTTTCTTTTTTTCTTAAAAAAAAAGGTAGGTCAAAAACACGATTTGAAAGTGTCTATGCGAAATCTGGAGGGTATATCGAATCAAACCACAGTGACGCATTCCAGTAGAGACCGAAAAAACACCAGTAGAGCCAGTTCCAATCATGCACCGACGGGTGTAGGTGGGTTGCCGCCGCTGACGAGCTCGACCACTTTACTGGCGACAGCAGATGGATATCCGCGGGAGAGCATCTCCTGAACAACAGCAGACGCACTCTGGCGGTCTTCGGCAGCTAAGAATGCCCGAGTCATCGCTTCGTAGGTGCTGGGTTCGCGCTTCTGTATACCGATACTCTCGTACACGGACTTGGCGTTGTTGACGTTACCCTCGGTGGCCCAGCCGTGAATCAGAGTGTTGGCGATGTACGGTGTCATTTCAACACCCGCCTTCGTCATACTCTCGAGAAGGGCGGGGGTATCGGTGACCTTGTGGTTGGCGACCATGGCTTCGAAGAGGGCCTGGTAGAGACATGCCTGTGGCCTGACGGCACGGCTGGATAGCGCGGAGTCGAAAACTTTGCGGGCACCTTCCATGTCATGCAATACGCATCCCTTGGCGTGAACCAAAGACGCGAAGTGCACACCTTCGGGTTGCTGGCCAGTGGACCGGATGGTCTCAAGGACACCCTCTGCAGCCTCCATATTAACAGGCTCCAATGAAGCATAGGCATCGATGAGAAGTTTGTACGTATGCATCGTTGGTTCGATGTTCTTTGACTTCATCCGTTCGTAGTAAGCCAGGACCTTCGATCGATCACGCTTTGTATTGAGGAAGTATTGGATGAGCGAATTATAAGGCGCCGGTCGCGGCTTGTAGTTCGGCATCGACTCCATCTCGTCGAACATCTCCTCAGCAAAACGTTCATCGCTGACCCTGCAGAGTGCGTTGACTATCGTGCCATACGTGACACTTGTCGGACGGACACCATTGGCGCGCATCTCCGCAAAGTAGAGAAGGCAGTCATCGATGCGACGAGCCTTACCGAGTTTCCCGATCAACGCGTTGTACAAAAACGACGTGGGTTCAACTCCCTCAGACATGGCCCGGTGGAAGATTTTTACGGCTTCCGTTGCCTCGTCGAATGTTTTCGTCGACTCCTTCAAGGTGGTGATGTAGAGACCAAAAGTGTTCGCCGAAGGTGCGGCGCCCATGTTCAATAGTTCTTGGTGGTATTTGGCAGCAAGACCGCGTTCTCCAGCAGTTAGGCTGGCTGCGACCATCGCATCGAGGATGGAGGTCCAGCCGTACTTGACCGCACCGTACTGTGGAATTAGAGGAACATCATGTCTAGCCATTCCCAAAATCTCGTGGACAAGATTCATACGTCCGCACTTGGCAGCAGCGGTGATGAGCTTGGCATAGGTGATATATCGAGGATGTCTGCCAATACGACGCATATTTCTGAACTTGATCATTGCAGTGTTGAGATGATCTTCCGGTCGTCCACGGGTGTTCTCAAGCTCTTCGGCAATCATGGAAGAACCACGGAAATCAGTTGAATGAGCATAGGGATCAAATGAATCCTCAGGGTGAGTGGGCTTCACGGCAGGGGAGACCTTTTGGGTGGGTGAATACCGCGGCGACACAAATGTCGGTTTAGCGGAGCCCTGTGTGAAATGCTGCCATTTGCGCAACAGCTCTGGACGACCAACGCTGACCTTCGAGACGCCTTGGTCTAAGAGCTGCTTCGTGTGGTGATTGAACGGCAGCCCAGTGGACATGGCCAGCTCAAGCATGTGGGCGAAACGGGCAGGATGCGCCGCGTCAAAAAGCGGGGATCCATTGATGAGCATGCCTGCCTGGACCTGAAGAGCGAGGTTGAGATCATGGACGCTGAGCTGGGAGATCTCCATGGGGCCGAGGCTGGCGATGGCGTGCTCTGCAACCGGCGATACCAGCCCACCATTCTCGACCATAGCCCAGATCAGAGTCATGGCGGCATGAGCTGAAAGAACAGGCGACGATTGCATGAGGACGCGACCGAAGAGGTCAATGGCCTCATCGATTTCTTCACGGAGTTGGCCTTGTTTATTGGGAGAGGCATTCCTAATCTTGGCGAACATGTTGCGGGCTTGGGAGAGGCCTTCATCAGTTTGACCACTCCGAAGAAGTGCAACGGCATACATGGCCGTCGGCTGAATGAGATCCGCGTTGACGTGATCATTGGAAGCTAATATAGCCCACTGGGATTTGGCCGAGACAAGATCTCCCTGTCGGATATGCATGGCCATCATGGCAACGACAGGGGTTTCGCTGCTGCTGCCGCTGCCGGGTTTCTCAGCAGACAAAAGATCGTACGCTTCGGAAGCAACGGCAGACTCCCCCGCATCCGCTGCGCTCTCGCAGATTTTCAAAACGGCGGATCGTAGAGATTCTCCACCAAGACGGTTCTGAGCAGTCTTGAGGGCCTCAACGAAATTGCCGGCCTTGATGGAGTGCTGAACCATGCCGTCCTTCACGACCACATCTTCTACAACCTTGAGTCTCTGCTCCCGGTTCTCGACTCCGTCAAAGGAGGTTCTGATCTTGTCGAAAAATCGAAGAGCGCCATCGGTTTTACCGCAGTTCATGTAAGCTTTGACCACAGCGGCATAAACTTCGCCGTCTTTTCTGTCGACAACACCGAAGACTCCGCTGTCATCCGCGATGGCCAAGGTCCTGTATTCGTTGTAACATTCAACGGCGCTCTTCAGATCGCCGCCTGCAGCAAAGGCGTCGATCATCGGGGGAAACATAGCAGCATGTGGAGCAACCTTGTTTTTCTCCATGTGGGCGAAAATCTGTATCATCTTGTCAACCTCGCCCTTCATCGCACACGCGGTCAGGAGACTGCGGTAGATGTCGAGCGAAAAGACGATGCCGTGGTGGCGCGAAGTGGCCAGCGTAAACAGTTTCAGAGCGATGGAGAGAGAATGATCCTCAGTCAAGAGTTCATGCTCCACCTCGCTTGATCGGAAGAGGGACTTTCCAGGTTCGTCCATGCCTCCGTAGCGAATTCGCGCTTGTTCGAGATTTTGGACCATGTGCTGGCAGTCCAGGGCACGGGTAGATAGAAGACGGACCAGTGTCTGGTACGTCTGTTCGTTTGGCATCACATTCCGACGGATCATGTCGGAGTAGATGTCGAGGGCCTTGGGAACGGCGTGGTAGACGTCGGAATGCAGGTGAATGGCTGCCTGCAGGAGAGCGTTATATGCCCCGATACTCGGGACCACGCCATCTTTCAGCAGCTTCTCGAAAGCGATGGGGACTTGGGAGAAGGATCTGGCAGCGGCGAGTTCGACGATTCGGTTAGACTCCTCGTTCGTGGCCTGTGTGGATCTCAAGGCTCGGACCGGGGTCCTTGGGGTTCTTGGAGCCTTGGGCGAAGGGGCAACATCCTCGACCGAAGTTACGGGGGTGATCTCGGCGCTGGTAGCCTCCTTGGATTCGAGGAGCTCAGCAGAATCAACCACGGAAGCCGAGTCGGTCAATTCCGCTGCTTCCTGGATCTGTTGGATCTCGCGAGCAACGGCCTCGTCGACCCTGGCGCTGACGTCCTTGTCGACGGGGGCGCTTTCGACGCTTCTCACGCTTCGACCGTCATTCAGACTGGAGTGGGACAAGGAAGCGCTATCCTGTTCGTCCGCCGACTCCCTCTCGGGCTTGCTCTCCTCTTCCTTGGATTCCTTGGCACCAGCCTTCCAGCCGATTCTCCGGGTAAACTGGTACTGTTTCCAGTCCCCGTCTTCGCCGGTCTGCTGCGCCAGCTGCCATGCTGCAAAGTAGGCCGCTAGGCCGGAATCAGCGGAGGCGTAGTTGGAGGCTGCATGGCCGGCCTTTGCGCCGGCGCTCGAGGAGGAGCCGGAGGCATTCTGGAAAGCACTCTGGAGCTGGGCAGTGCGAGTGAACTTTCCGGGAACGGAGGTGATCTGGTTTAAGGAGGTGGCGGAGGATGCATAGGAGGACTGAGAGGCCGCAACTACGGATTGAGCGTAGCCATGGGCGAAGGTCTTGGAGAAGGTTTGACGCGCGAGGTGGGTAAATGGCTTAAAAACCATTTATCTAATTGGATTCCTCTCCAGATTGAAGAGGAGATTCTACAATGCACACACATACGCGGGCGGCGGTCAGCTCATGGTACTGGACTGTGGTAGCAAGAGAAAATGTGCTTTGGGTTTGGGGGGGGGGGTTTTCTCACATCTGCACTCGGGGAGTTCTGAAATCGCAGGTTCATCTGACGACCCTTAGCCGTCAATGAACGCGCACACAATGGCTAAGAAAGGTTTGTAGGGGGTGGGATTAAGGGGAAAAAAGAGGGCTTGAGACAGCGCTGGCTCTGTCTGGCGGTCGAGTGGTGGACGGTTGGATAGTTTTTGATCTGTTTCGTGATTGATCCGAGTAACACTGCGAAAGAGGGAGAGAGGCACAACCTCTCGAACAACTCTCCTTTTTAAATTCTCCCTGAAGAAAATCAAGAGAGGAGAGTTCTGTGTTTGAGGAGCGAGATGTCACTTCAAAGAAAGTCGTCTTGGTCTAGTGGAGAGAAAGAAGGAAAAAGAAGAAGAAGAAGAAGAAGTCAAGAGATAAAAATTATAAAAAAAATATGAAATCAATTAATAGCTGCAACAATGAAAATCGGCCGTCGAGCTGCGGCGCTCCGAATCGACTTCGAGCGAAAATTTCCAGCCCGCGCGAAACCCGTTACGGCCGCCATACCGCATTCGGGGAATAGCAGCCCGCTGATTGGCCCGCTGCACCCAAGCCACCGGGGGCCTCCCGTATTGAAACGCAGCCTCGTGACTGGCTGTGCCTTTCCGCCGCCCGCCGTTCAGCTTTTCACTTTTTTTTCTGCTCGTTATTTTTTTTTTTAATACTCCGTACTTTTTCGTTTTATTGCTTTTTTTTCGCGATCGTACGATCTGCTGCTGGCTCCAGGTGCAGTTCTCTTTGTCGCTCTGCAGGACCCCCAACCACCACCAGCACCACCACCCCTTCCTGCACGCTCGTTATGCTCCTCGATGCCAATCGAAATAAAGCATTGTCTGTATGCAGTACACAGTACATCGTACACATGTAGCTCTCCTGCACTCTCGCTGTCCCAGGGGGAAAGGGGGGTTTCAGGGGAGGGCCCTTGCTGCTGCGTGGTGATGGGCCAGTTCCGGGGGAAGCTCGGGCTCCATCGGCGGGTTGAGGAGGCGGCTTGGCCCAATCCCGGGGGCGTGACTCACTGCCGATTCCGAGAAATTATCGGCCCCGGAACGCTCTCCCGGCGCAGAAACAGCCCCAATACGAGCCACCAAGGTTTTCTACTCCATTCCTGCAATTACACAACCCCGTTCATCAGCGTCATGATTTAGTAAGAGCTTTTGTCGAATTTCGTCGTCGTAGCATCCAGAGCGGAAAGAATCGCGTGTGAAAATCTCCCGAGCGTTGACGCGTCGACTGAGGAGTATCAGGCCACACACACAGCGATCCAGACTGCCCAGGAGAACTGCTTCGAACCCGGGCAAGCGTCAGAAAACAGGGAGACTTGACTGGCTTCACATGTCAACATCGAGATCCTTTTTTTCTTTTCCTTTTCTTTTTTTTTTTAACCTCACACTGAATGGACCACACTACACTGATGCTCCGTACATAATGGCTGTGAGGTCACTCGCCCAGAAGTTACCCCGGAAATGGGAGCAAGACGTCATCGTGCTCCGACAGCTGGTCGCCGACTCCGCCGTGGTGGAGCTTCTTCTGGAAGCCCCATCGAATCGCCGACTTCAAAGTAGTAATCCAGACCAGAACAGAACGTGTAGGATTCAGCAACAGCCGAGTACTCCGTAGGGCTTTTCACATTCTTCTTCTGCTGATTCTGTGCTATTATTACATTCGCCAAAATACCATTGGACTGCCCTCTCAAGCTGCTTAAAAAAAAAGTAAAATCCAAGGAGATGGACAAAAAAAATCATGGTCCCCTGTATCAGTGAGATCCCTTCTCTCCCGTTTTTTCCAAACTTTTATGGAGGACTCCGTAGACCAACCAGCATTCACCTTTTGGATCGACATAAAAAAATAAAAATAAAATGAAATAAGACTGTGAAACGTCGTCACAGCCTTGTTTTTCTTTTCTTTTCTTTTTTTTCCTTTTTTTATCAATCTAATACCAAGCAATTCACCTAATTGCATCATCCTATATGAAAACATCCAAATCTCTCCAAATTAAAAAAGTTTCCTCCAACCTTCAATGCCTAAAAGCACCGTTCCGCGGGCTGGACACACTCGTACTCCTCATCACAGCATCAATGGACCCCGCAACCTGCGGTGTTTCCGCCGAAGCCTGCGCTGCTGCCAAAGCCACCGGCTGAGGCAGATGTAGATTCCTCGCGACCACGCTCGCCGGCAGCTCTAGCGACGGGATCGACGAATCCACCGTCGCCGGCGTGGTCGGACTGAGCTTCACCGACGACAGGGATGCCGGGCCGGCAGTAGTAGCAGTCTTGCCCTTGGCCATGGCCATCTCCGCAAAGAACGCCTCGAGCTGCTCTGCGTCGGAGCAGAAGGCGCGCATGCTGTCTTTGATCTGGTCCGTTACGCGGTACGAGTTCTGGGAGGCGTCGCTTGCCGAGATGTACGGTGGGGAGGCGGAGGGGATGCTGCTGTCTGTGCCGGGGGTGGGGCGAGCCACAGGTGACAGGAGGGGCGAGCGGCGGTCGAGCGGGTCGAATGTCGCTGCACGTGGGCGCGGGAAATATTCCGAGGAACGGTCGAACTTGTTCGAGTCCTTGAGGCTGACGGGGTTGTGACTGTTGTGAAATCGGTTTGCGAGGAGGAGGAAATGCCCTTCGTCCGTGATCTGGGCCAGCACCGCTCCGGTGCGGTGCACGTACTGAGGGAATTGATAGTCGGGCTTCCCCCAGCTATAGCACACGTCTACGTTCGCCGGGAACGCACTCTTGGCCTCAAAGTCCAGCACGAAATCAAACTTCTTCAGGATGGCCTTCTGGTAAAAATGGTGATCCGGCACAGCTTGAGAAGTAAAAGACGTTGCGGTGAGATACGTCGATACAGGCGTCGGCGGTGGGTCGACCTTCAACTTGATAGGATACGGTCGCCTGAACACTTGTCTTTCCACGATGGAAGATGCTTCAGATATCGGCAGCTCGACCAGCTTCAGTCCATACTTCTCCGCGGTTCCAACCCAGGACATGATGGCGTCCTCCACAAGCTTGGGCGTGGCATTCATCCAGCTCAGTTCAATGTGAAAACAATTCTCCGGATTATGAATCCTATCATAGTGGAGATCAATCACTTCAGGCCTATCCGACCGTTTGCGCGGATCGACATCGTATTTCAAGGATTTTGCCAGAGAAATGGAAGGCTTGGGCCGACTGGGTTTCGAAGATCCTGGGATGTCAAGTTTGCTCCCTGTCTCATCGATACTTTTTTCTGCTCTGGCGCGGATGCTTGACGCTGAGTCTTTCATGGCCTCACCCATCGGCGTATTTGGGTTTGATTTGTCCACCTTGCGTGGCTGAAACCACCCGCCTCTCGACTCTGGGCGAACCACTCTGTATTCGTCCGCGATCTGGTAGAAGTAATTGCCATCCCTAAAATTGTGCCTCCGCTGAACGTGATGGAACAATCCATGCGTCATCAGGTCATTTCCAAACTCAACAGCTTCCTCTCGAGTATCGATATCACGGAAATTTTGCAGTAGCCATGTTGTGAATTCCATGCCAACGAAGCAGTTGTAGTGAAGGCGCCAATGCCATCTCCTGTCCATCATCCTTACTCCCTTTTCACCCTGTATCTTTTGTGCCAAGAAGGCGAGGGTGATGTTGTATCTCTGGAGCAACTCCGAATCAGGTAGCAGCTGGGCAGGAGCATTGTCCAGTCCAGGGTCTTCCAGCAATAGCCTGTCAAGCTCGGCAGCAACCACCACCGAGGGATCACTCGTTTGATAAATGATGTTGAGTGGGTTCTGATCTTTGCTTTTACGTGCGGCACTCTGAAATTGTCTTTCCTCTGGGGGTATATACCTGTGGCGTTGCCACATCTGAGTCAATTTATAAATTCCAAGTAGGTGGATTTCCTCTTCATTATCTTCGTGGAATGAAGAGATATGCCGTCTTGCAGCTAAGGGTACCTGAACCGGTATCAAAACAAATCTTGTTCGCCAAAACCGGAGCTGCCTGATGGAGTTGGTGATATGGTCTCTATGGCCAGCGAGAAACGCGTCCGCAGAGTTCCAGTTGTACTCTTCCGGTGGAGCCCCCAAGGATATGGTGTTCTTGCAGTACTGAGCACTCAAAATGGTTTTAACAGCAGGGCTGTAGCTTATTGAAGCATCATTCAGCTCGTCAGTTGGGAAACCATTCAACGGTCTGCGAGTAAACTTTGTAACTTCAATCTCCCCTTCAACGCACACAAGTCTGTGGATCACATTTCCTCTCGCCATAAAAACCGTTGTGCCATCCTTAGACAGTGCGTTGGTGTCAAAAATATTCGAATAGCCCGTCGATTGCTCCTCGACCTTCTTACCTACTACTATCTGAAACCCGTGCGACAACCTCAAAGAAATCATATCACGCAAGAGCATTTCTCTCGTCTTCGGCACCTCAGCGTCAGCCTCGTCGTTTTGATAAACTCGATAGGGAGTTTGGAGAAAGTTTGATGTTAATTCGGATTCTGTGGGTAGCTCTTCAGCCGTTATTGGCAACGATGCAGGCGACTTCAGGCTCTTCCACTTCACAGAAGTCGTTTTTGGAATTCTCGGATATACATGCTGCCAGCGTCCGTACCAACTTGAGCGTGAGGGCGCCAGCTTCGGTGGGTTCCAGGGGTTGATGGGGCTTACCCACGGAGAGAGTGCATCCGTCGCCGAGACAGTAGGAGGGGAGGTGGGATCACCACTGCTCAGTAGATCCAGCCTTCGCCCCGTTCTCTTTACAGGAAAAGCTCCCTGGCTGTCGTGATGCTGCAATAGATCATGACGGGGCTCCGTCCCTTGGGTGGAGAAGGACCCTTCTAGAGGCAGGGGCTCTACGCTACCATCCTCCCCAGTCCTTCGGATGGCTCTGATCAAAATCGGTTTGGATGGCGTCATTGCTTCGACGTTACTTGGTGCGTCAGCTTCAGACCGTTCGGGCTTAGGAGTAGCTGCGCCCGAATTAAGAGGAGAATTCTGCCTGGGAGTGACTGTATTTGATGCTTCTGATGCAGGGTCTTCCGGTGTCCTTCCACCCGAGGTTGGGAGAGCCTGGGCATGTTCAGTTTTGACTTCAGTGCTTGCGTGCGCCCTAGGAGGAGCAGAACCAAGTCCCCGCAGGGCAAAGCTGATAGACCGAGAGATTCGTGGAATAGGCAGCTTCGGTTTCGGCTTCATGATTGATTTCATATTTGTTTGGGTGGGCGGTTGAGTGATCCGTCGGGGTGTAACGAGTGACTCCTCCTCTATTCTTTCGTATCTTAATTGTAAGTGAGGTTGACCAAAAGGAGATAGGTGGCGATTATCAGGCTGCCCTAGATCCATACTTGATCTTAGTTTTGGCGTTTCGTGCTGGGAAGGCCTGCTGGTTTCGGTCTCGGCAGCTTGCTTTGCCTTGGAGCGCCTACGAGGTCGCTTTTGTTTGGGATGCAGATGGAAAATCGACTGATCGTAAGAGTCCATCCATTCCACCAAGTTGGTCCGTTCTTTTGCATCAGGCGGCAGCATACTCTTCTTTGAGTCCTTTATATTATACATAAAGGATTTTGGCCGAAAGCCGTCACCTGCTTGGGACCTGTATGATGAATCTGGTGATGGGCTATTCCCAATGGATGCAGCGAGGGAAGCCAAGGTACCGGGGCGTTTTTGAGTGCGGGATGAGGTCGAAGACATATGAGGGATGGATATGTTTGACTGCTCGCTCTCCATTACCCCCATCATTTGTATTTCGTACATCCGCACTTTTGGCACGAACAGCTGCGAATTTTTCGCAATGGTCGCTATCACAGGGGACATTGTAGTTTTTTTCTTAGCGGCTGCCCGGCTAGCACGGTCTAGTTTAGGATCCCAGTACGAGATATCGACCCAATGTGGAATACCATATCCCCATTCCTCTTCTTGGGGAGAACTGCCGATACCCTGCAGCGCCTGGTCAGATAATGCGGTGCCTGGTCTATCAAGAGGGGACATGTGAGCTGTCGAGAAGGTCGCTGACATTCGACGATGTTCATAAGGAGCAAGGCGCGACGAAATGGAGCTCCCCGGTCGACAAGAGGTATCACGAGGTAGTTTGTATTTGAAAAGAGGTACGGAATGGAGTGGCATAGGGCTGAGACAAATGAGATCTATGCCGATGGCCCGACTGGTAAGGACATCGGAGGTCAGGGATAGGATTTTGAAAGGGACCTCAAACACGCCCGTTCCAGGTGTTATAATGACGATTGAGGTTCCTGTTCTTACCAGGTCACGGCCGATATGCTCGAAAGCAAGGTAAGACGAAGCAACGTGAATTGCCTCCAGGATGTTACCCCGTAGAGCTGAGGTTGGCCGCCCAGCAATCTTAGGAGGATGTGATTCTGTGAATCTCGGGATATCTTCCGCTGCTATTGGAGTATCAGGAAAATAGGGTGGTGGGATTGAGACATCTCGTAGGAATGTGCGAAATTCCTTCTTGAGAGAGTCTAATATAGTAGTCCACTGTCCACTCGGCATATCGTTGACGACGACACGATAGAAATCCTGGGTTTTCGGCGCCGAACCATCTGGACCGCGGTTTAAAAAGCTGCTATTGAGGGTGGCGGGTCCCGACGTCGGAGTTGCAAAGTCATACTGTACTCTGGTAAAGAGCACGATCGTCACCAAATGATGAGCATCAATATTTGCCCATCGCTTAAAAAGCTCGGGCATCAGGCTGTTGATGACACGACTGAACAAAATATCACCAGTGCCCTCCGAGTCGAAGTCCCACATCTCCTTGGACATTTGGATGAAGAGAACGAACCGAGCTGATTCGCTTCGAAATATGGGGATAGTATTAGGCGAGAAGTAAGCGGATAGGGTCTTGTTGCCACTGATATAAACCGATTTCACTGTGGCCTTAATGCTTCCCATGAAGAGGATCTTCTGACCTTTATATATTGGACGGTCAACAAGTTCCGACATTGTCAATCTCCACATATCGGAGCGAAGCAGGAACTGGTCACGAAATATGAGTTCCACATGGGACGCTGAACACTGCGCTCGCTTCCTAACAGTGAGGTGGATTTGAGATCGATTCTTGAAGCCAAAGGCATTCGCGACGTGATTTGCAACTGATACTTGGAGATTGGGATGCTTGGCTCTAACCTCCGGGGGAAACGGCTTGACGATAAACAGGAACTTTCCAGGTGTTTTCCGGCTCCGAAGCTTGGCATCACCGCCGAATGTAGATCTCGAGGCACTACCTCCGGCCCCAATGGGCCACCGAGGCGATGTGAAGCTGCCTTCATCTTGAAGATACCTGCTGCCGGCTTCAGGCTTCAGCTGCGATCCTAGGTGATCTCCTTGCGCGACCGAGACTTCTACCAAATACCCCACGTTCAACCCAAAATCAGGTAGCGCCTGAAGGTTGCAGAGGACTTCTTCCCGGGAGAAGGTTTCATCATGGACCCATAGCGTGCATGACCGTTTGCTCGGGCTCTTGGGTGAATATTGAGGGGAATCAGGTCTAGCAGAATCAACTTTCGAATCCTGCAAACTAGCAATGGTTGCCCGCATGGAGCGTGCTTCAGCGCTAGCCGGTTGGAACTGCTTGCGCTGCGGGCCTTTGATGCCTCCAGACTGAAGCATTGCCGAGGTAGATGTTCAAAGATGCAACATATCCAACAGGTGTCACTGAAACATGTTCCTCATCAACCTCACATTGCTGCGAAAAATAGCTCTCCTGGAGAGTAAGATGGTGAGCAAGCTGGCCGTCAAGGTGGTTGAAGTGAGTTTATGATGCTCAGCATGCGACGAAAGGGGAGCTCAGGCAATATCACGTGATGTTACAAACAAGACAAATGAATTTGTGAACCTTGTTATATAAGCACAGTGCAGTTGTGGCTTGTGTTAAGAGTGTTCAAGCCACAGCCACAGCCCCCCGGCCAATTGTGGCTTGTGGCGGCTCCGATTAGTGGCTTGCCATGTCATGAGGAGTCGAGATCGAGAGCATTCCAGCAGATGATCCATCTTCTACAGAATTAATTGTTCGTAAATTGACTGGCAACTCATCTTCTTTTTGATTTGGAGAATAACTATGCCCAGTGCTGCAAATAGAACACTGGGCTAAGGTATTTCTTCCTTCATCAAACGCAAACGGTAAATGGCTGAGCGGCTGCCAAGTACATTTCTGGTGGCTGAAGCCCTGGCGCCAAGATGCCACACGAGCTGGTCAAGCCTTCACCAAGAGAAGCTTGATGCTTGAGTCTGCTTGTGAAACTTTGATGTCTCCAACTGTCCGACGTGTCTGTGCTTGACATGTATCTGCTGGGCACCGATTCGACCGCTTCTTTCGCTACTTCAACAGGCCAATCCTAATGCGTGAGGGCAATGTGCTGTCACACTATTCCCACCCTACACAAAAGGGGTGGGACCCATGACCGCAGAACAACCAATGCGGTGGGGTTCCGGTTAGCGTAAATCAACGACGAAGGGACAGATATACAGATACCCCTGTCCTTTGCTCAAACAAGGAGCAGCTTTTGATGAATCTACCTGGGGGAGGTGAACTATCAGTGGCCGCGACACAGCCCTGGCTTCAAACAAGCTAATTAAACCAGTCGTATTTTCCCGATGTCATCACAGCCCGAAGCCACACCAGCACCCTGGAGCTTTTGATTCAGAATTTCAAAACAGGCTCTCGCATCCATTGCCTGAACGACTATATTGTGTGCTTGTTTTCACTCTCTCGGATAATGATCATAACCAGTCCATTATCTGATCACTTTTTGTTTTACTCTTTCTTCATTTAGCCTACTGTTAACAATTAGAGATCAGAGATCCTCATTGTCTTGGTTTTCCCTCCAGGTTCAATTTCGGCAGAAGAAAAGCTGACAAGAAGATGCGTGAGTGTTCGCCCACAGTGACGAATTCTCGGTTATTGGCTAAAGTATGCCCCAGATATATACCGCCGACGAGCCAGGAATCTCGCCTGGTACGACGAAGATGGTGAACCGCCTACTCGAAATCCCTTCAAGAAATTCAGAACCCGGTCACATACACGTAGAACGACCACCGTGGCGGCGAGACCGGAATTCGATGCTATATCAATGGAAGAACATCGCAAGGGAGAGGCTATGGCCGGTGGCATCCAACGAGCTGAGGGCACAGATTCTATGCCCTTGCCTTCATCTGTTGGGACAGATGGAGCCTTTGGGTTGCCCCCTGTCGGAGAATCGGTTAATAGCCTCGTTCCCCTAAGGCGGCCGGAAATAGACGCCGCTTCCTTGAGCGATCAGTCTATCAGACGGAGAACCACTCCGAAGCACGCGGAGAATGCCAATCTCGACGACGCGATAATTGAGGACCCGGAGGCGCTTGGTGGTAAGGAAGACAAACAGAAGTACACATTTGTTGGTCAACTGAGAGCCACTTTGTTCAACTCTTGGATTAATGTCTTGTTACTGGCTGTGCCGGTGGGAAGTATGGCTTGCTCAACAATCAGCAAGATGTTTGGAAGCATGGGTTAACCCAGAATAGTCATCCTACATTATATCCACGTTGACCCAATCGCAGTATTTGTGGTCAATTTTGTTGCAATCATGTATGATTCGAATATCCGGGCCAAGGACGCTCCCATTGCTAACAGCAATTTAGACCACTTGCCGCACTGTTAGGTTATGGAACAGAGGAAATCGCCATGAGGTATAATTTTTTTTTTTTTTTTTTGGGCTGTCGCAAACATAAACTAATGCTAATTCTGTCAAAGGACTGGCGAGACCGTCGGCGGCCTTCTCAATGCCACCTTCGGGTAAGTAGAAGCAGAAATGCTCAGTCTATTACGGTTCTTTCTAATCGCCTGCAGAAACGCCGTGGAGTTAATTGTGTCAATCCTGGCGCTGTTCAAAAATGAGATCGTTATCGTGAAAACCTCTCTCATTGGGAGTATGTTATCCAATCTACTCTTGGTGATGGGTATGTCATTCTTTCTCGGAGGAATCAATCGCATTGAGCAGAATTTCAATATGACGGTCGCCCAAACTGCTGCCAGTTTGCTTGCTCTCGCGGTTGGGAGTCTGATCATTCCAACTGCATTTCATACATGGTCCGAAGGTATGAGCCTTGATGGTTGCTAATACGAGTTTGTTTGCTAATAAGCTATTTACAGCTGGTGAAACTGGAATCGCACCCTTGTCGAGAGGTAGGACCATCCGTTATCACAGAGAAGCTTTATTGAAGACCCAGCTAAAATGATCTAGGAACAAGCATCATCCTGCTATTTGTGTACGGCTGCTACCTTTTCTTTCAGCTAAAATCCCACACGGAGATGTACAACAAGCCCAGCGAAAAGGTTGAGAAACGGAGAGGGAAAGTTGAGAGTGGAGATGCCATCAAGGGAATCGCCCAGATAGGAGCTGGCATTTCAGCGAGTATGGGCGGGCACAATGCGCAGAGCGTACCGATTCAAGTTCCAGATGATGAAGACCAAGAAGAACCAGAACTCCATTTCTTCGTCGCCCTATTTACGCTCGCTGCGTCCACAGCGTTGGTAGGAGTCTGCGCTGAAGCGTTGGTACGTACGAATATTTTGTACTACAGAAGAAGACAAAGTATTTACTTTTTTTGTGAAACAGGTCTCTTCCATAGATGTAATAACGACTCGCGGGCATATCTCCGAAACATTTGTTGGACTGATTCTCCTACCTATCGTGGGCAACGCCGCAGAACATGCCACTGCTATTACCGTTGCCATGAAGGATAAAATGGACTTGTCTATTGGTGTTGCCGTCGGATCGAGTATGCAGATTGCGCTGTTGGTTCTTCCACTGATTGTTGTGATCGGATGGATTGCAGGTACGTTTTTCGCCTTATATATCTCATTTTCAAAAGCTAATTCTGCTCTGCAGGCAAGGATGATATGGTGACTTCTTCATATTACGGGCGACATAGTTTTAGCAAACTAACCAACGTGTTTAGTCATTGTATTTCGATGGATTCCAGATTGCCGTCCTGTTCGTCGCTGTCCTTCTGGTATGATGATCTACCTTTTCTCGGTTTCGCCATCAATAAGCTGATCAGATGTTTCAACAGGTAAACTACCTCATTCAAGATGGCAAGTCTCACTGGTTGGAAGGAATGCTACTAATGACATTATATCTTATTATTTCTGTGGCTGCATGGTAAGCTGTTCTCCTAGCGCCAACCTTTCGATCAAACCAAACTGAGTTCTTCATAGGTTTTACCCTGCAAAGTCCGAACGAACCGGATCCGGTGCTTCCTGATTTTCTTTATGTTCATTTGTCGAATCTCCTTGATCTAGTTATGACAGTTTCAGCATTTTTTTAACTCTGTAGATGTATAAATATCTACCTTTCATGTGAAGATACCCGCCTTTATAACAGTGTCTGTGTATATCATGCATTTTCATTCTTGAACTGGCAGCATCTCAAGTGTCGCATCCGTATGGATCAAATCAATGGCTCCAAAAGAGGGCGCTGACTATGTCATTTCCGCAACCTCAAACACACGTTTCCGGCAAAAGATTATGGAGAGGATCGAGATGCGTATGAGATAATTTCAGTGTATCAAAATTCGAAAAACATTAGGGCACATAACAGGTAGCTAGCACCTTCATTCAGCAAAGAGCAATCGCTTCACATGCCAGTAACTTCAGTCGGGAATTGTGACTGCTCGAGCCAGTCAGGCTAAGGGCAGTAGAATATTTAGGTATGAACACCAGATGAGAGCAATGCGGTTCAGGAGGACAGCTTGGGGTTCCCATCCTCGCTGTTGACCAGGACTCCTCCGACTACACCTATTTCTGTTGGCTGAATGTCTCTGCACTGAAGCGGATCTCTCTTTCCGTCCTTCTATCCCTCCTGATAGCATGATCAAGATCATGTGCACGTCAAAATTCCTTGTAGATCTGATTGCACCGTTACTGCCAGCAATTGGCCCTAGTCTTCTCCGGGATCTCAATGCTTTTTTCAACATACTCTGCCACTATGCCAAGCTGCTGCCATTCTGTTCCTCAGACCAGAAGTCACCCTTCAAGTCTTCCAATCTCTGAGTTTTGATTCCTTCTCCGTTATAATCAGGAAGACTAGCGATACTTGGATATTCAAATGAAAAAATTGATATTGGCAAATGAGTGAGCTCTTTGTGGAAGATATAGGTATGTAAAAAACATAAGATGAAGAGGGTCAGATATTTGTGTGAAATCTGGGGAGCCTGACTAGTTACATTGCTTAGTTAACTAGCAGAGCAAAAGAAAGGGGGCTAAGTTGGAGAAAATGCCGATCGTAACAAGAAGTTCTCTAAGTCCTGTCAACTGATGGAACCTTCATGATTACTGTTCTTGTTCTTTTCCGGCTGGCTATCTTGCTGCTAGTTTATCTTCTAACCTTGCTTGTTGAACCAGCTTCAATCTTCAAGAATTTGTTGGATTTTTGTATTTACATAGAGATTTCTGCCTAGAAGATGATGTTGAGATGCTAGTCTACATGAAGTTAGTCTTCAGCTCAGATCTTCTTTGATCCAATGCAGAGGTTTTTGCTCTCAGCTTGGTTTGGGACTTCTTACAATCAAGCAACTGAGAGAGAGCACTTGAATGGTATAAGTTCTTGTTCAAGCTTCCGCGCATACTTAGTTAAGTAACTAGTTAACTAATAGGCTAGCTAGTCTTTTGAAACGCCAGTCTGTGAAGCATCTTTCAACACGGTTACTCCACAAAGACCTCACTTGTTTGAAGCACATGTTATTGTTGAGAAACTACTCTGCACCAAAGATTGAAATTCACTATAGACTGAAGATCTGAACTCAACTACTAACAGGCCATACAACCAGGAATGATGGGACTGGCCACTGCCCTCCTTCATAGCATCAGATCTGGGGTAAAACATTTCATCTTATCAGTGAGCGAAGGGCTTTTTCTAAGGTCATATCTCAGATAAGAGCCTTTCCAATACTCGCGGACCATGCGCCATGAATGGAAACCGAGCTCGACAGTGGGTTGGTCATTCGAGATTCCATCTATCCCTAGCTGTCTCTGCGGAAAAGTCAACGTTGAAAGGGCGACAAAAAATTTCGTGTTAACCTATGATGGGGATTAGCACCAATTACATTGAACCCCAGCAAAATAAATCGGACGCCCTTATACCCACATTTGCTTCGTGTCGGGGGCATCCATGACCACGACCGGACTGATTATCGCAGCCGCTACGGTTTATACACGTCAGTTATATGAGTCAAAAGATCCAAACAGAAACAGGACGGGACTCACTTGACATTTAGCAGCTACCCTCCCAGTGGTGGTTGCGGCCGCAGTCACACTTGCCACCACAGTCATTGTCACAGCCGACGCCAAAACCAGGGCCGGTCCAGCAGTTGATACCCTGACTCTTCATGGCATTGATGAATTTGACGCGTGCATTGGCACAGGAGCAGGTGTATCCGACCCATCTCTCATTACAGTCCGAGTTATGCCAGCAGGTGGTCTCGGCCAGAACTTGCAAAGGAACGACGGTCGCCAGGAGAGAAACGATTGCAAGGAGCTTCATGATGGCTGGTTTTCAGATTTAGAAGGAAAAAAAAAAATATGGATAAGGGGCTCTTTGAAAGTGACCTTGTGAGAATGTCTTGATGGTATCGATAGCGATGTTGAGTTTGAACAGAGAGATATCATGAAGGATTCTTCGCTGTATTTATACCCTGCTTTGCGGTTTAGAGAAGTGGTCCGGAATTCCAAATTTGGATTTGGAATTCTCTGTCTTCCTCTCCGCGCTGAAGCTCAACAAATTCATTGGTGTCAGACACGAGTATACGAAGTAGAAACCTGGTCATCATTACTCCATATTGAATAGCGACCTTGCCAATCTGATCAGAGTCCTGTTTAGCGCTTTGCAAGCTCAGCTGAAATTGACCGTATCCTGGAGGGGATATGCATCCCGATTCTGTTCAATCTCAGCTGATGATTGGGTATAAAAACAATTCTTACGCATTGGCCACAGCCCTTGTCGCTGCGCATTGGCACCAGTATCGGCCTCTCTTTGTCCATATTCTCTCCGTTTTTCCATCCAGGATGTCCTTGTTCTCCTGTACCTTTCTCGCATCCGGTCATGAGTCAGGCTTTGTGGTCCAAACTCCTCAATCCACCAGCCTGATGTGACTTCTCCTTCACTGCCACAGTTTCTTTCATCGTCGGGGCGGATCCAGAAGCCTAGACCATTCGTCTGTGCTTCGATATTTGGTAGATGCCTGCTGCAGAGCTGCCATGTCTTCAGCCAATGTGGTGGCTCGGGAATTTCTTGAATGTTACGCAATTTTAAGTACAAGATCTGCGGTTCTCTTTTCTTGGGAGGCCAATCACAGTACTCAAATTCTTTGCATGTTTACTGATCAAATTCTCGGCGTACCCCGGTTGAGCCGCACATTTTCTGGAATATTGTTTCGGGTTGATGCTGTCTGCCTTGAATTGCTTTCGATTTCGCGATCTGTACGAGCCTGCGAGGCCCAAAGGCAGGGGTGAACGCCCGTCATGTCCAATGATCCTTTCTCCAGGACGCGTTATATCGTGCTTTGCCCAGAGCATTGACTGGGGACTATGTGGGCGGGACTGTCAGTTTGCGCAGTCCGAAGCAGTGAACATCCTGGAGCGAGGCCACAACAACCTAAGTGGATCGCATGAATCTTACGGTTGCATCGAGCGAGGAGGACTTCGATCTCAATCACACCACCGATGCAAAGTAGAGTTGAGAGGGCCGCTGGCTGCAAGATAGAAGCTCTTATGTCCCAACCAGTATAATCGCGATGGGTGCTATACCCGCTTGTGGGGTGTATATCGACCTGAAAGTAGAGATGTGCGTTTGGAGCGCCGATTTTGATATGGGCTCATGTGGCCTGGTGCCTCTCCAAAGGCAGGGAGGGCATCTGGGGAGGCTCATGAGACTGATAGGACCAGGATGCTGTCCAGCAACTTGAGAAGCCACCTGCGTAACTAACTGTGTAATGTAACTCACAGGCTAACTTGCCACATGATACATTGTGCGCTGGGAAGTGGAGAGCGGGTGAACTAGCTAGCTGTCGATCAGCGAAGGTTCCATGCTGAAGGTACTCCTTCCAAGCTCCAAGTCAACAAGAACTGCACATGAGAGCCATGATATATAACCCTTCTCTAGCTCTCAAGCAAACAGGTCTTTTTATGGAGAATCGACCTGCGTTCCCTGTTTTTTGTTTTGTTGTCTCGACATAGCATGTTTGACGGGAGAAAACACCACCACGGGCGATGTTTGTTTCAAACTCGATGCGCCCCCAAATGTAACTCTCACCTAGTCATGTCCGACGGAGGGGGTGAGCACTAATTAAGCTGCATCGGCTTAACGCAGCACTCGGTATCACAGCCACCACTCCCGTGCAGAAAAGTGGCTCATGCCGCGGACCTCAGCAAGCTCGCGTGTGTGATTTTTCAAAGGGCCAAGGGGGTTTGCGTGTGCGCATGTCTTTTTGATTTATGTATTTGATTTTCATTTCTTTTTTGCCCCGAGGTGGAGACGCTAGGCTCTGAAGCTTTCATATGAAAACGTGAGGCCGGAGTTGAGAGTTCGACGACCCGTGAATGTCGATGTTTGTTTGTTGATATCTCCGTTTGCGAGCTGACGATGACGATGCCTAGGAATCTGAGAAAACGGGAGAAGTTAGAACGAAGGCATCGGAGATAGGACGCATCCATTTCTAGGATAAAAATTAAAACCTTCCATCAATTGGTTGATTAAAACACTCGCAGAAAAAAAAAGACACGAACTGAAAGAAGTATTATAAGCATACACGAATCCTCGGATAATTAAAGCCGCAGGCATAGAAGAGAAAAAGGAAGTGGGAAAAAGGGCTCTCAAGAAAACTCGAAAACAATTCGATCTGGAATACATCAAACAAGCAAATACTAATAATAATAATGATGATGATGATGATGATAAGCGTAATGCCCGTTTCCCATGTCCCGTTACCGTTCCTTTCCATTCCCTCCCAGCCAATTCCCATCCCATTAACCCCGTCCATCCTCAAAACAAAACAGAGCGGGAAGCAACACAAGGGACCAAACAGAAAATCTTATATCCCAGCTCCCAGATGCGTATGTGTATGTAGCATAGAACAATGTAACATGATGCGACCTTTTTCGTCGTCGGGGTAAAACGTACGCCCACACATCCCTTAGCCCCCATCCCACCTTGATGTAGAACCCATAGCATAATGAAACAGATTCCCGCAGAACACCAGATACCAAAAAAGAAAAGAAAAGTACAAATACATAAAGGTAACCCAGCCACGACCTCAATAGCACACATGCAGGAATTAAAAACAGATGAGCAAGAGCTCGGCAGATACGCACAGGAAGAACGAGGAGGGTGTGTGTGAGAGCCTTTTAATGCCCGTACCCATCCCAGATCGTCGCCAACCATCCGCCCTGCACTCCAACGTGCGGCGTAGCACTGCTTGTTGCCCACTTCTCTAAGCCTTCACCTTCCACAAATGCAATCACGTCGTCTCCGCCTAGGCTGCTCGTCCACACGGTGCTCGTTCCGGGGTCGGGAGGTACTGGAGACATTATGCGCGACGCTGCACCGTCAAGGAGGCGTGGTGGAGTAAGACGTGGGTGATGCTGGTGGAGCTGCAAGGGAAGATGAGGAGGAGGCGGCGGTGGTTGTGTGGTGGCGAGGGGAGGCATGGGGAAGTTTTGCTGTGCGGCCGCATTCAGAGCAGGAAGGGATTGCGAGTATGGAGGAGGCGGAGGTTGACGGGCGGTGGGCCAGGGCTGGAGTGGTTGGAGACGGTTATTTGCAGACGGAAGATAAGATGGTGAAGAGGAGTATACTGTCGAAGAGGAGAGCGATTGTGGAGTGCTGGAGGGTGGCGGTGCTAGGTTATGCTGATGGATAGATGGGAGACTGTATGAAGGTGGTGCAGGGGGTCCTGGGAGATTTGCCCATCGATCGCTTTCGATCGGGCGAAGGATGGTGGAATCGAGTCTTTCTGTCTCTCGGTTTGACTCGTGAGCGGCACTGTTGACAGGAACCCAGGTCTCTCGTCGCGTGGTGCTGTCGCCGTTGGCCTCTGCTGCATCACCAGATTCGCTCCTGACATGATTGCTTCCAGCATCACTGCCATTAGTATGGTCGGTCCCATTGACATGAGGCGCGACCGGCTCGTCGCTGAGGCCATTCGAGTCGGGAGTCTGATCCTCTGCAACGCCCATATCTGTGAAGATCTTCTCCAAGAGCTTCAATTCATCAGGATTACCACCAAAGGGCAGCTCTCCACTCGGTGTCAAACTTTCCCGGCTCCGCACCGTACGCTTGTAGTCTCGCCTGGCTTTGACAAAGAACGTATGCAGCCTGTTGATAGTGCGGAACCAGCCAACGGCCATTGGAAGTCGCGACCTCATACTCCCAAGGATCTCAACGGCCCTGCGGATCTCCGCTTGTCCCTGGCCGCCCAGACCAGGCATGACATCGGTCGAGCTAGGTTTCGAGCAGATGTAACCTTCCTGGTCCATATGGTTAAAGTGAGCCGCGTAAACGCCCATGGAAGCAGCATTGTAGACGGCAAATCCAACCAGGGGAGTCTCCATCAAAACGCCGCGCTCATAACAGGTCTTGACAAGCTCGATCATATGTCGAGAGGCTCGAAAGACCTCCCGAGTGATGTCTCTCCGGAAGCCCTCGGCGGGGAACGAAGGCTCGTCCATCGGTCCCTGCGGATCCATGCCGCGCAGAGGCAAAAACGGTACATAGGACCGATGTAGCACAATGACCGACAGAAAGTAAATGATATGCATAAGCGAATACGGCGCCAGCGTGTTCTTGTACATGATGTGGGTATCGGTGTTTCGTGCGCTGTACTGCAGGTTTCGCGGCAGGCCCTCTTGGAACTCGATCAGGAGTTCTTTCAGCCGATTAAACTGCGAATCGGGATGCCACGGAGGGTACTGGTCAATTCTGTGGAAAATAACGCCTTTTAGCTGGTTACACAGAAACGGAAAAGAATATTAAAATAAAAATAAAAATAAAAATAAAAATAAAAAGTGAAAAATAAAAAAAAATTAAAAAAAATTAAAAAAAAAAAAAAGGAGGGGGAAGAAGGGGGCAACAGTGTGCTAACTGACCTTCGTCCACCGGCACACGACCATTTCGCAATACTTCCCCAAACACGAATGATGCGTATTAGTCTGCTCAGAACACATTCTTCAGCGCCGACTTCCCAGCGATCAATTCCATTCTCAACTCCGTCGCTGCGATGACTGGCGTTCGACCACTGCTTCGGGTCGCTCAGGATCGATCCGTTAGCTCGGAGCTTCAGATCGTCGGATAATCCCACGTTCTGACGCAGGCCCGGCATCACTCGGGGCTCGAAGCTCTGCGATCGGCGATTACCAGCATTCTCACCCAGGCGCGACGTTCGCACGCGCTCACCGAACGCAAACGCATTGTCGCTCGGGAGCTGGATGCCGACATCTCGCACCTTGACCATCCTCGGGCGAAACTTGCCACCGCTGAGACACCGGTCCATGACAAAGCAGCTCCAGAACGTGCGTCGCCTGGTCTCCTGCTCGATGATGTCGTCTGAATTCTGATCCTTCTGGTCGAGGTTCGAGTGGAGGGAGCTGCGACGCGAGAAGCGGTCGTTTTCGGTTTCGAAGGAGAGTCCCATTGCCTGGGCTAGTCGGATCGCCATCCCGACGTAGATCCATGCGTTTGTGCCGCGGCACATGCCCCATTCGTGCAGACCTAGCATCAGGAAGGCCTGGACGCGATGGATGTCTGCGGATGCGAGGTCGCCTCCGTCGCCTGCGACCAAGCGGGCGCGTAGGGCGTTGGCGTAGGATTCGGAAGCTACGAGAGGGTTTGATGGGTGGGCGGTAGATGAGGGTGAATGGTGTTGAATCAACTGCGGATGAAAACGGGCAGTCAGAGTCAACACTCCCAGAAGGACCAAAGGCGACAGCTCCGCTCGAGGTGCTGGACTCTGCGACTGTCGGCTGGCCGTATCAGTTTGCGCGGGATTGGTGGAAAACTGCCGAATCTGAGAGAGGAACGTAGTGGGGTGTAAGAACGGCAGGGTCGCAGAGAAATGAAGCTGGAACAGATCGAACAGGCTCTCCCAGACTTTGACAGTGAGAAGGGTAGGGTCGAGGACGGCCTGGTGGCTGTTCGTCCCCCTGTGAGCGTCTCTTGCACCGGAGGCTGCCGAATGTGCCGTCTTTCTCGGGCGCTGCCGCTTTGGGCTCTCCCAGTCGCCGTTCCGCTCCTCTCCATCAGCCATTGCGGCAAGGTCTCGCTTGGCAGCAGCGGCGCTGGCGGTGCCGATTGCAGGTGTGGGATAGACGCACTCTCTGCCCGAGGACTCGCAGGCGCGGCAGGTGGTGTCGATACCCGCATTGACGCATTTGATCTTGCTCCGCCTGCAGCGGGAGCAAGCAATGCTCGAGCGCATCTTCAATGCGGGCTGATCCTTTTTCTTCTCCACGGTGATGGATTTAACAGACCTTTTCCGGGTCAGGATGGGGTTCTAACAATCAAAAAGGAGAAGAAAAGAAAAGGAGGAGAGAAAGGGAAAAGAAGGTCGAATTAAGAGGCCAGGAATAGGATCTATATCAGCGCGTCTTGCTCCTGATCCTCCTCGTCTTCTGCTTCTTCTTCGACTTTCCGCCTCTGCTTCGGATTAAGTATGAAATTCCTCCAGGTTACGCCACGGCAGGCATTTCTTTTTCGCTTTTATTGCGAAGGAATAGGGCTTTTTTTTCCTTTCTTTCGGGTCCGGGTGGTACTCTCCGTCGAGATCGCCCTCTCTCTGGTAATAGCTGGTCGTTGAACGGTTTTCGTTCGGTCGACTCCGAGACGCCGTTTGCTTGTCGTTCCCCTTTTTTTTTTTTTTTTTTTTTTTTTTTCGTTTCCTTTTTGTCTTCTCTTGTTCGAGCTCACTTCACGACTCTGCCTGTGTAACAAAGAGAGGAAAAGGGAAAAGAAGGGAAAAAAAAAAAAAAAAAACAAAACAAAAACAAAACAGGCGCGGGGAATAAGATGAGATCTTTCTTCTTTCTCGGGACCGTAGCGTTGTAACGGGAGGTGGCAGGGCGAAAGATGTATTATAAAGGGGAGAGTAGGTATTCGGCAAGGAAAAAGCGGGAGACTCGGGGCGGAGAGAGACAAACCAAAAAAAAGAAAAGACAAGAAAAGCAAAGACAAAAAAAAAAAAAAAGGATGGTTAATTATGGCAAGATCAGCAGGATGCGCGCGGACGGACAGTAGAAAAAGTCGCGCAGGCCGTGAGGAATTGCCGAAGCAGTGCTGTTTAGAGCTTCAACAAGGGATCCGGAGATGCTGCAACAAAGGGAGGCCCATTCCACGCCGGGTGTTATTCCTTTTTTCCTTTTTTTTTTTTCTTTTTTCTTTTCTTTCTTTGCTGTTTGCTTTTGTATGTTTGCTTTTGTTCTTTTCTTGTCTTTCTCACTCTTGCTCCGCGTATGCAGGATCTCACCAGAACAGGTGAAGTATGTATGGAAGTTGTGAGAAAGAGAGGAGATGGGAGGAGGGTTGGGGGAAAAGAATAAGGGCAGCAGAAGGGTGAGAAGATGAAGAAGATGAGCACAACAAAGGCGGGAGAGGCCAGCGAGGGACAGAAAGGCCGGGAAGATGCGAGAGAGAAGTGTGCGCACACAGGGGGAGGTTCCCGTCTGCGCGTGAGTCTCGACTGGATAGATATGGGCTGTTCCCCTAACCAACTAATGCTCCGGAGTCGCTGGGCCTTGCTGACCAGCCGTGCACATGGCGTGTTCGGGGGCCTCGGGATCAACTGGCGGGCGAAAACTAAAGCAAGCCGGTTGGGATCGAGCTTGGTTGCGGGCGGGCGCTATTATCGTCGAGATCGAGGATGTTCGCCGGTTTTATGTTTTTCTTTTTTTTTTTTTTATCTCTTCTTTTATTCGTGTGATTGATTCTCTCTTTCTTTTATTTTATTTTATTTATTTTATTTTCCTTATGTATTCTTTCTTTTCTCTCCAGGACGATGACCCAATGAAGACCCCCCTTGACGACAAGGAGCTGACCGGGTTCGGAGGATTTGCAGGGTCGTATTTGGAACTATCGAATTTATTATTATTTCTCTCTCTGTCTCTCTCTCTCTTGTCTCTTGCTTCGTCTGGCATGTATGGATGTATGTATGTACAACGGACGTATGGGGGGAAGGGAGGGGGGGAAGAGAGAGACCGGAGAATGCCTGCACACGGTTTGAAATAAAAAAGGATCAGAGGGAACCGGCCGGCCAGCCAGCGAGAGAGGGAGAGTGAGTGGATAGACACAAGCTCGCGAACCCCAGCCCAACTCCGGACGGGTAATTATGGCCTGGAGTTCGGTACCCGCGTCAGGCCAGGGTGGGGAGAAAGCAGCCCGCAGCAAGACTCGTTGGGGCGTTTTTTTTTCCTTTCCCACCCAGGCCGAGAAGCAGGACGAGAACGGCGCACGGGAAAAGAGGGTTTCGGCGGAAGCGGCTTGTGCAAACTGGCTCGATTGGCTGGACCTCTCTCTCTCTCCCTCTCTCTCTCTCTTACGATTATTTTTTAAGATTTTTCTATTTTCTTGGGTTCACTATCTCAACTAAAAAACTACGGAGAACCGAGGGACAAAGGAGCGGTTCTGTCGGCCTTGGGGTACCGACGGGTCTTCCCATCATGATTTGTTTCGCCTGTGCTTGTACGGATGGGCCGTCTACCCGTCTTATTGGTGATTGATGACCGCGAGACATACACACATACACACACACACACACACACACACACACACACACACAGACACAGAGAGAGAGAGAGGGGGAGAAGAAAGAGACAGACAAGAGAGGGAGAGCAGAGCTTGCATCTGGTCGGGGACAGGTCGGGGACATGGAGCGGCCGGCTGTGGGGCGAAAAAAAAAAAAAAAAAGAAAACCGAACCCGAAGAGAGACCAAATGGCGCTGTCTGCTCTCCGGCCAATTCGCATGCCGGGGCGGAGAACCAAACCCTCTGTTGAGGATAATCAATGGGCCCTGTCCTGTGGTCCCTCGCTCAGGGGATAATGGGCCGCGCATGTACGGAGTATGGAGTATGGAGTATGTATGGATGTACGTATACGTAGGAGTCAGCAGTTAGTTTTTTTTTGCCTTTTCTTTCTTTTTTTTTTCTTTTTGGTCTGGCATTGATTAAAACCAGCTACTGTACGGAGGATTTGCCGAGAGAAGCAATTCAGCCCGCTAATGAGCAGATCAAACACGACCACAGGGTTCTCTTCACACAGACGGAGTGAAAAAGCAAATAAAAAGAAAATAATCTAAAGAAAAAAAAAAGAAAAAAAAAAGAAAAAAAAGAAAAAAAGTCTATGGATGCTCGGAGGAATCGGTGAAGAGAGCACTCGATCCCGTGTCTCTTGATCTCGATCGGGCTTCCGTGCGGCGCTGCCACCGTTGCTTGAGCTGCGATGGATGCTCCCAAGGTTATTCAGGAAAAGCAAATACAATTTAAATAAAAATAAAAATAAAAAGAAATAACATGTGTAGTTACTAATGTAAAATGAAGAACAGGACCAGCATCACAAAAAAGAAAAAGAAAAGAAAAGAAAAGAAAAGAAAAAAGAGCAAGCCAATGATCGAGTCGAGTGTGCAGGAAGATCAAATCGGAACGCATTGAAATAAATGCAATCCAGCGATGACGAATTTGTCCTGAAAATCACTTCCTTCGCCATTCTCCCCAGCCGTTCCGGGAGGGCGAGCCTACATAGCACAGAAAGGCAAAAGGAAAAAAAGGGTGCGCTAACTAACAGGTCCAAAGAAAAAGAAAAAAAGAAAAAAGCCAAAACCCAGCGCACTGCCGAGATAGCGCTTCTGATTTACCGTGAACCAAGCAGCGTCGAACCCGAGCAGACCGACGCGGGGAAAAAGAAACGAGAGGCGATCTTCCAATAGTCCAACCGTCGATCTGCCTGGCTGCAAAGTCGCACAGTTGCCGATGGCGAAGACATCCTCGCATCCCATGCAGGCCAGGCTTCATGTCGCTGCTACAATGTATCTCCTTTCACTTCTCTTGTCGTCGCACTGAAGAAATTAATTCTCCGGAGCCTTCTTCTTCTTGTAATTTAATTTTATAATTTTAGAATTAGTATTTTGATAAATCGGCATGAATCTGGTGATGGGTGATCGTACGACTCGTCGAGGAGTCGCCGCGCCGTCTCCTGAATCATGGCATCGCGCTGAGCGTCGTCTTCCGTGGCGAGTCCGTCGTCCATTCGCTCTCCTCCTCCTCCTCTTCGCCGCGAAATATTCCCGTAGCGCTCCGTCGCCAAGCCGGAACCCCTTGTCAGCACCTTTTGTCGAGTGTCCTTTTTTTTTAAAAAAAAATATAAAAAAAAAAAAAAGGCCCAACTACGGAGTACTTGTTACCCGGCCTGACCGCGCTTCGGACATTAAACCACTCCAAGCCAGCCAGCCTGCCTGGTCCGTCCAACGATATAACTGGCCTTCTTTCTTTTTAAGCTCTCGGTAAAATACTATGCCAGGCGACGAGAGTATGTAGCACAATCCCAGTCCTTATCATGTTGTTATGTACTCCGTTAACTACTCCGTACATACATACTCTACCCTCTCTCGGGACCGCAATCATCTTGTCGTGGCGCTCTCTCTCTCTCCCCCGCCCTCCCGATCGGCTGGCCAGTTTCGCAACCGGGTTGGACGATCTTGGGAGCTGGCTGATTTGCAGCACATCACCTCCGCCCTCTAACCAAACAAAGCCCACCCCCCGCCCGCCGCCGTAATACTATCAGGTTTGCTTTCAGTTGTCTTCAGGGATTCTGCCCAGAAGGATTACGAACACCCAGAACGCTCCCCAGCTAAACCATTACGTAGTAGAAAACGGGAGAATGATAGTCATTCCAGTCCGGCCTGCTCTTTGTGAGGGTGGAAATTAAACAGTAAAATAAATAAAATAGAATAAAAAAAAAAGATTGACGACGATGACGACAACGACCAATATTCCCATTATTTAAATGCTGGCATTGTTATATGAATGGTGTTTCACTGTTAGTACATAGACCCAGCTCCGGTTCTCAGGACAAGACGGATCTGATCACCACCGTGCTTTGCCGCTTCGAACGTCTCTGCTTTCTCGGGTCGGGTTTGAACGCGAGTAGCCGAAGGAGCAGATTCGTAATTCAATTGTTGTTAAATATATCGAGCTGCAAAGCACCTGGATCGTCAAAGAAACGGAACAAGCTCATGCCGGCCATTCTTCCCACTCCGGTATAATGTCGTCTCAGCTCCGACATTTGCTCCATGCAGGTCCTATTCTCACTCACTTTCTCTCCTTTTTATCCCCGGCTTTAAAGAACGCCGTCGGTGGGGACCCTTTTCCTTATCGTCCCCTTCGTTATGGTGCAGGGTTCCCCCCCGTCGGTCCACCCTCGCTAACCACGGAGCACCGATAAACGTAACTACTAAAACGTACGTGTTGTGTCTTGAGTTCGTGAGCTGTAAAGAGACTCAAGGTTCACAACCGATCGGAACTGCTTGTGGGAAGCATTTCCGATCGGAGGCCCCCGGCTAGCGGTTGAATGGGACCGCCGCAAAAAAACCTGGTACCAACTAACCGAAAAAAACCCAAAATAAACCCAAGAGGGGCCGGAAGGGGGGGAAGAAAAAAAAGAGAGAGAGAGAGAGCTTGCACGTTTTCGTTTCCTGCGATTTTCCTCTGATTTGCTTATCCGACCGTCGGCGTCTAAGGAGTGCACCGAGGAGGATTTCCTGGATCTTTTTGAGTTAATTTCCCATTTTTTTTTTCTCGTTTTATGATTATTTTTATGCTTTAACGAGCCTGTGCTGGGCCGGGCCGATATGGTTCAACGGCTTTTCTTTCTATCGCACGCCAAAGCTTCCCGCTGCAGAGAGAATGAATCTAAGGACAGATTGGAAAATAAGAAGTGCAGGGGGGGATGTGTGTGTGTTTTGGAGCTCTATCTTCCTGTCTCTCTCTCTCTCTTTTCCAAGCTTCGCTTCGACTCTGCTGCCAAGGTTACTTGGGGCCGAGTGCATGAGGTTTCTCACTGCTCCTTGGGGTCCAGGATTGAAAAGAAGGCGGCCTGCCAGTCGATAGAACGAATAAGAATTGAATGCGAGAAGCCAAAAAAAAAAAAAAACAGAAGAACAATTCAAGAGCTCAGAAGACAAATGCTTTCTGGCCTTCTCCCCCTTGTCATGTTGGCTCAGTGTGTGCTAAGAACAGGGTTTTCTGAGGACTTGTTGCTTAAAAATTGCTACCTTGCTTCTTGACATACGAACCAAGAAGGCCTTTTCTTTTCTTTTTTTTTTTTTTTGTTTTTTTTTTTGCTTTTTCGCCTAAATCGGGGACTTCGGATCTCTTCGCAACGCCCCGTTTGTCTGGTTGGTCTGGGAGACCTTGATAAATTGGTTTTATTGCCTGTCTCGAGGCCGTCTCTCCCCCCTCCGTTCACGAGAGATATGGGCTTGTCTTGTCGTTTATCGCGTTTTGATCTCAACTGGCATACGGGGCTCAATGGCCTGTTCCCGTCTATTCGTCAGGATTGCTAGCAATACTTTCGTTTGGCCAGCGACCCATGGTTTGATGGCAACCAGACTGCTCTTTTTTTTCTTTCATTTTATGCTTTTTTTTTTTTTTTATTTTATTTATTTATTTATTTTTCTTTCCTGCGTATTCATGCATGGCCATGGCTGGGCAAACTTTTGCTTTCTTGGTATTCTTTTCCTGCTAAACTCCCCCCCTCCCATCACCTGCGACTCCTACATGGGTCATGACCTTCTGATCCTTGCGAACCACGCGATAGTTGGATGCGAGAGACCTGGGAAAGTTAACTGCTGTTACTGATTCTCGGGTCCGCTTCGCTCTTCGCCTTCGCGGTCCGCTTCTTCCAAGCATCTGTGTATCCTATACATTGGTGAACACGCGTTGTCTAGCGAAGACGAAAGAAAGAAAGAAAGAAAGAAAGAGAGCGAACCGGCGCCCAGACCGCAGAACTCCCATGTATAAATTATAAATAGCATTTTATTTACTTATCCAACCAGTCTTGACCGCGGGGATGATGCACCGGGTTTCGGGGCCGCCAAAACCAGCTCAAGCACATACTAAAATATATTTTTGCAATACGATGCGACGTTCGATTCTCGGCTTGATAACCAGCTTCGCTGTCGTCTTTTTCAAGTCTAAACAGCCGGCCCGATTTCGCCAGAAGCGAGCCGAGATGAAGAGGTTAACGAACTAACTGACTACGGCGTAGTTCCATGCCCTACATTTCTCTTCCCTGTTCATAGCAAGGTATAAAATCCCACACATGGCCGCCGTCCTCCCTCTTTTTTGTTATGGCGATACGACGAGAGAGATTGATTGCGTCGGGACGCGAGAGAAAGAGAAACACGATTTAAAAAAAAAAAAAACAAAAAAAGGAAAATTTCATTCTCGACGGGCGCTACGCGGGAAAAGGACATGTAACCTCGCAGCTGAACCGGTGTGTCGAATCCAAGGGAACCATCACCATCAGTAATGCTATCACCCAAACATAACACGCCATAACCAACAACAAACTACTGCGCGGGATCTTGGTCCTCTTCCCTACTTTTTCCAAGCTTGACCATACTTAGCTAAGGATACCGACGTATGGAATATCCCATGTATATTCCTATGTGTGTTAGTATCCGGTACCTTTATTACTTTAACCACCTTCTTTATCATGACAAATCACCCGTTCCAACTCGATGGGCAAAGCCAGACAAGCCTTAACCCCAGAATGTTTGTCCCTAGTTAGGCGTACACCGCAAGATCAACGAAACGCTTGTTGCATTTCCCTTGCTTCTTAGCTCCAAATGATCGGGGATGTTCAGTGTCTTATTGGACTAAGCACTACGTATATTAATATTGTTTTTCAGATCCAACAGCGAGAGGTTGACTTAAGAGTTGGTCGGGGTTTCTTTTACGACTTGGATTGTCCCTCGACCCTCCCTTCCGGTTGTTGGGTTTCCGCCCCCCCGGGGGGGAGTGGAATTGAAGATGACGGATTTTCTTGCGCTATCATGAACGGATGCTACATAGGCACAAAAAAACCGGTAGTCGGCCAGGACGACATGATGGGACACGAGAACTCGGAGACAAATTCGGTTTTTTTTTTTTTTTTTGGAACAAGCATATCTACACACCCGTCTGCGTAAGAATGTAACGACACACTCTCGCATCGTTTTGCTTTTTCTGTTGGCCGTTGGCGTGGCGCCGTGCGGCGAAGTTGATCATTGATCCGTCACGATCGATCTCGTCTCCCAAACTAGTCAGCCAATTAGCTCCATATGTATGTAACCACGTCACCACTCTATAGCCCAGAGAAGTTGGGAATACACGAGGAAAGTCACTAAGGGCTAGGTATGAGGGTCTCCTCGACTCCATCTCGCTTGGAAATCAACTGCAGTTCTCAAGAGATCAATCACGACGGTGATGCATGCATGATTAGAACCGATTCCCGATGCAAGCGCGGTGAAATTTCGGGATGCACTGCAAAGTGAAGGTTACAAGGTAGGCGTATATGTGTACGTAGCCGCGTCAAATTCCACAACGCAAATGCCAATCCTACCCAGCTCCCGACCCTACGATGCGCGTACGGAGCTCAGCGTTGTGTGTGAACCGTGTGTATGGGAGAACCGCAAGAGCTCCCGCGAGTATGAAACTTCGCCGCCCATCCTGGTCGCTTCGTGCTTTTTTGCCAGTACCCTGCCTCCAGGTTTGGGGTTAAATCCGTGGATTCAGCCAAGCTGAACAGCGGCTGGGAAAAATAGATACTCCGTTCTCGGGGCCGTTAATTGTCCCGCCCCTGCTCGAACTACCAGCTTCGCATCAGAAACCTGTCTGGATACCCCATACAATCATTGACCAGTCTTCCCGGCTAAGGCATCGGCAAAGACTCCACGGTTTGCCGTGGCGCACTGCATTACTCCCCTTTCTTTCAATTTTCTCCTCTTGTCGACGGATACCGGCCAGGCACCGACCGGGTCTAAACGACAATTCCGGTCCGAACAAAGAAGAGAAGTGTTACTCAAGAAGCCAAGCGTTGACAGCCAAGTCGTTTAGTTTGGTCCAAAGGGCAAGGGTGTCATATCCTCCGCGTGTTCCCTGCTTCTGAACCCCGGCCCTAGGCCGGGGTTTATTGTCCAATCCCGTTGCAAGGTTATCTGTTATGAGGGCTGCAAGTGAACAGGGGCATTCTTCTATGCCGGGTAATTACGACCAGGTTGGCTGGCGTTCTGGATATTCGTCTTTCGGATTGATCGAAGACCCCATTAACTTCGTTGGAGGGGTGTTTGTGGCTGAAGTGGAAACCGCATAATAAGCCATTGAAAGGGCTGCGCCGGGGTCCACTAGAACGAAGAACTCGGGTATGAAACAGAGGGGCGAGTGCGCATATTGAAGATCTGACCAGGTTATCAAGGCAGTTGCTGTTTCCCGTTAAAGTGCTTCCACCCATGCGGCAGAGCCCGAGAGAAAAGATCTTTGACTAGGTGCATGCGTAATTGCTCAAAGTAACATGAAATATAAAACATTACATGCACCTGCATGCATTTGTCCCTGTAGCTACGGGGTATTGGAACGGGCCGGCCTCACAGCAAGCCTTGTTCTCGAAAGTCGCCAGACGTTCCGTGCTCATGGTGTGGGAAGACTCACGATCTAGAGTGCAACGCATAACTGATATCTTATTCCTCGTTAACAAGGAGCGCAGCAAGGGACTGGGGCGGGAGAAAGGTCGGGAGGACAGGTGGCGCTCGATGGACTTACATTTTCCCTTTCCTAAGTAACTTATTGCGAGACGCGGTTATACGTCTAAGGTGTTCCTTTCCTTTGGGCACTGCTCTGGTCTCAATCCAGCGTGTTGGATTGATTTGGGAGAGTGGAACGCAGATGCGACATTGAAACCATATTCAGGTAATCCTAAAAGACCTCCACAGCCCCAAATTAGGGAATAATAGACGTGGATAGGAGGTAAAGCATTAATTCTCAAGTTGAGAATTTGTCCAAAGCATTGCAATGACTTGATTTGGGCCGAAAGTGAACGTTGGCAGCCGAATTCCAGTGACACCCCAGGGCTTATCCACGAATATCATTTCGCATCATGTGCCAGCCTGATACTGTCTATTGGAACCCCATTCACATCCTGCAGCTCGACGAAAATTAGACGGTTGCCACCTGTTAGAATCCGGTTGGCTTTTACCTGGTATCAATTCCCAACTACGGAAAGGAAACTGTCGGCGGGGACCTGACGGCTCCTGGGAAGTGAAAGGCACTTGCGATAAACACTGGGGAAAGGGGCGGGGGAAGGGAAGTACGCTCGGATCGCCCGAGGCTGCACGTCACTGACTTGGGCAATTCTAAAACCAGGAAGCCCATACGGAGTACTGGGCCTATTTTGAATGCTGCCCTCTTAATAGCGTCTATGAAACAAAAAAGCACAGAGCCAGAGTCTAATGTTCTGGTCATTGCTAGGAGGGTTTCTTCAAGCTTCTGGATTTGTAGATCATGGTGTTGCAGGTGAAATCGAAATGATCAGCAATGCATATTGCCATTGAAGAAAATGATATGCTTTCACCGACGAATATGAGCCAGTACGGAGTACACTGTACTCCTTGCGCTACCATGGCTTGGGTATCATCGTCGATTTCACTCCACTGTTCAGGGGAACATCGAGTCCAGACACTTTGAAATCAGATACTAGAACAACCTTAACTGTCTGAAGGAGCAAAAGAATTAAAGTTCAATTGCGATTCACGCCAATTGGCCTGTAGTCAACTACTCAACGGACAAGTCGGGCGTTGTCCGTGTATTCGCGGAGGGCAGATGCTGAAGGATTCCGAAAAAGACCATCGATGACTTGACACACCTCAACAAGCAGGTCATCGGCACACTTGCCATGAAGAAAAATTCTCGAGACCCCTCACAGTGACATCGACCGGAGAGATATCGTCTCCGCGCTGGTGATGTTGACCAGACTTACAAGTTGAAAGACGTCAGGCACCCGAAATGCTGATGTAAGAAATACCAAACCTATCACGTGATTTAACCTTGGCGAGCAAAATTTCCTCTGCAGCACATCCAGCAAGACACAGCTTCAAGCATCTCGAATCTTTCCATCCGCTCTCCAACCCGGCCATAGCTCTGCTCATTGCGACGCATCCTTCAAGGATTATCTCAACATGGCGAATGAACAATCAGCAGGTATGGCCCTTTTCCTTTTTCCCAAGCCGTTCCTCGCCCGAACTCTATCAGGGACTTCTTGATAGCTCTCGATAGCAATTTTGACTAACGTCTGCGATGCGATTCCGCATATTTGCAAGTACACAGCTTGGCCTATCGCCGATGAAGCTCTGTCCACTGAACTCCTCGATCTTGTCCAGCAAGCATCTCACTATCGTCAGTTGAAGAAGGGAGCTAACGAAGGTATGCCTTTCAGACTCTTTAATTATTTCCCCCCGGCCGGTTGCAACCGACTCAGAAATACATTAATTTTTGGAAGCAAGCTAACGGATATAAAAATAGCCACCAAGACTCTCAACCGCGGAACATCGGAGTTGATCATTCTGGCTGCTGATACCTCCCCGCTTGCTATCCTCCTCCATCTTCCCCTACTTTGCGAAGATAAGAATACCCCCTATGTCTATGTCCCTAGCAAAGGTACGATATGCTCTGCTCCCTTGGACGAGCCCGGTTTCTCTGACTTTACTTGTGATTTTAGTCGCTTTGGGCCGAGCATGCGGTGTAAGCCGTGCCGTTATCGCCGCCAGCATCACCAGCAACGAAGCTAGCGATCTGTCGGCGCAGATTCGGAATATCAAGCAGAAGGTTGAGAGATTGATGATTTAAAATGTTGTGTGCAATAGTAAAATGATGGCGTGTAGCGAGAGAACTTTGGATTTGTGGATGTTGTCATTCCCACACGTCATGCTATCCGTTTGTTCTGGCAGCTAAGATAACTTGGGGGAATGGAGTTTTCTTGATACGCTCAGGGGAATTTGCTGGCGTTATACTAGGATATATGGACGGGATTATGGTTTTCGAAGAGAAATTTACGGCACTGCCTTAAGTAAAATGAAATTTCGTGGAATAACATTTAAATAGTCCACATTCATGCAACCATCCAGGCCCACCTAATGCCATGTATGATATGCCACGCTATGATCGATATGTCCTCGCCAACGCACTAAAACTATACCAACCCTGCTAAGCAGGAATATGGAGAAACGGGGACCCAAACTAAACACCCAGGCTAGAAACAAGCGTGGGAGAATGCGCTGCAGAGCGAAACGTCCCGAAAATTAACGTTTAAAAATATTCACAGTGACGGGCGAATCGTATGTAGAAACCGACGATATGAGAAAAAAGAAAGCTAAAAGGCCGCCAGATCTGTCACATAGATTTCAAAGTAAAAGCTTTCCAGTGACGATTCAGCTAGATTGCGGAAACGCCGAATAATGACCGACGAGGCAATAACGTTGCACGCGGGCGAGAATGCTACTGACAGGAGAAGGCATGCTCACTTATCAACATTGATAATTAAAAAATTTAAAGTAAAATTGGTCGACTTGAAATGGATCGCAAGAGGGCTCCCAGCAGGGCATATGTGAATAATTAAGTAAAGGCGTGGTGAACATGATCTGGGAAAGGGGAAAGAAAAACGACCAAGTTATAACCGGGTATCAAATGGTAAAACCTCAAAAAAAATAAAGGGAAAAATGTCCAGAGTCTGCTAGGTGTGAAAGAGGGAACGTAGGTGTTGCCGAAGGAAAGCTGGAGTAGCGACGAGGAAGATCAGATTGCCGGAGTGGGGACGAGAGGTCGATATCAACACGTTTCTTCAATATCCATCAACCATCTACGGATGCCCTCTCTCAAAGTGTTATCAGCAATGGTGCCGATCCCCTTTCTAGCCGTTCGAGAAGAGCCTTTAATATCCGCGTTATCAAGCTTTGTGCTCGACTCTTCTCGGCGATACTCGGCAGCCACACTCCGTACGACTTCCTCTAGGGCGCCAAGAACCATTCTACGACATTCATTCCGGGGAACCTCGAAAGTGGGAACCTCGCTTGTATTGCTCGCGTCGTGAGTCTGTCTGTCACCCAGCTGACTTGGACCGGGTCTTCCTCTGCGGCCACGATTAGGAGACGCAGTTCTAGAATGATTGGCAGAAGGGGGACCGGATTGTGCCAACACACGCTCGACAGCGTCGACAAGGGTGCCGTCAAGGTCCATCACAGGCTCTTCAATGAACTCTTCTTCGATAAAACGCGTTTCAATAGGGCTTGACATGCCCGGATCTGATGCAGAAGAGGGTGCAGAAAACGAGGTCTTGCGTCCAGACGACGTGATCGTAGGACTAAGGGGGCCCGAGCCAGACTTTGTGCTAGATATCTTTCGACGTAATCTAAGCCGCTTCACAGTTGATGAAGTGGTGTCTGCAATTAACGTTGAACAGATATCTACCCACTTTTCGGAACAGCCCGAAGCATTAAGGACTGTAGTCATTGTAGCAAGAAGGTGAGTTGGTGTTGGTTCTGCAGACATGGAACGTCTGACATCGGCTTCTAATGTCGGATACGGTCGTACTGCTTGAAGAACAAAGTCCTCGTGATAACGACTAAGCCAACCCGCAACGTTGAGATTAAGCCTTTCATAATCCCTTTGAGTAGTTGGGCAAGGATAATTGTCGGTCTGAAACGAGGCCCCGCCATCAATACTGGTGATTGAGGTGCGAGTTTTACGCGGGGAGGCCATAGTCGAATCATTTGAGGAAGAAAGAGATAGAAAACCAGGTAAAGGTACCTCAACATCCACAACGCCATCACTTGCCTCTACGCACAGCTTCACTGGAGATGCAGGCGTCTCATCGCAAATATCTTGCTCTTCCGGAGACAGTTCCGTGGTGACTTCTGTTGAATCCGTGTGGGGAATAGACGTTCCAGGCAAATCTGAATTATCGCCTGATCCGATATTTCCAGAAGAGTCATTGTCAGTTTCTCCCGCCATCTTTACCAGAGTTGAAACGGGGGAATTGGCGGTTTGAGAAGGTGAGATCGAGGAATCCGTCTCGTCTCGCCGAAGAGATGGAGGAGCATCAGTTTTAGCCGTTGATGACGTTTCCCGAGAACTCCAAAAATTGGAGAGCAAACTTCCCCATCTACTAGGGGTGGGATAATCACTGCCGGTAGAACCAGCATTTGAGCTTTCGCTCCGTCGGAGAGTTTGCATTAAATTAGCGGATGCTGCGCTGACGTTCTCAGACTGCCCGGCAGTGGTACCCCTTTGTCGGGGCCCACGTTGAGAGGCAAAGTGCGGTACGGGTGTAGCTGTACCAGGTACAGCAGGAGCAGCAATGGCCGTGCTGCTTTTCCGCATACTCATGCTATTAGCAGGAATCGGAAGGCTAGCGGTTTTAACAGACCGAACATCAGAGTCTCGGCGAATTTGACGAGCTGAGATACTCATAAATTCGAGGTCGTCGGCGAGGGCATTGGTTGTTTCATTCGATGAAACACTTGCGGATCTCTTAAAATTCTCCTGTTCGTCGACAAAATTACGAGTTCTAGCTCGCCTATTAAGTGTTCGACGAAGCGATTCTCGTCGGAAAAACTGGGGATTGGGGGGGCTCTGAGAAGTTTGGCGCAGGGAAGCAGAAGTGCTTGGGCGTAGAGGTGACGATAAAGTATCTGGCCGTTGTTGAGCTGGCAAAAATGCAGAAAGAACGAATATCAATCGCCTTGCCGTCATTTTACAAGGCGATATGATAACGGTTCTATTTGGAATGCTGAGTTCGCTATCTTGCTGCGCTCTTTGGTGCAAGATATGGCGTCGTTTGTGCCATTCAGGTCCAAGTGAACCAAGCCAATCGGTATGGTTCCCGAGGAATGCTGTAATTAAGACTAGGAAGAAAAAATTATGCTCTTTCTCACTTAGAAATTTAGCGATCCATCGGGCTTCATCCCTCCAAACACCCCATCGACTTTGCCCTGTCACAACACGTGGGATTTTGAGAGCTAAAGAGACTCGGTGAATCGCGCGTAAAGTTTCCTGCTGGAGAGCTACGTTACCCGCAAGGCTATTGGGAGGCAAGTGGATCATAGTTTGATTCGTCCGCTGCATATTTGGTGGCTGTTTAATGGGCTTGGGCCGCTGAATTGTGAGTAGGTCGGCCTCTTTGAGAAGCGAAAGGATCTCTTTGCTCGCCACCTTCTCAAGATGTGAAAGCATGCGAGTGATGATGTCCCAATAGTCAACAAGCGTATCAATTCTTTCATCTAGATTTGAAGCCGCAGATAAGTATGTTGAACCATCTTCAGAAGCAAAATGCCATCGTTTGTCAGAATCTAGAGACGTTGATATCAACCCTGGAGGCTTCAGGGTATCTTGCCCACAGGGGCTGTATTGCCGTCCATGGTTTCGAATAGCCACTGGAAGTTGCACGGCGATGGCAACGGCATACATTGGGGTTTTCTTCTCTTTTATCTTTCGTTTCTTGTAATGAGCCGAATCATTATAAGAGAATAGCTTAGCAAACGACGAAAGTTGAGGCTCGGGAGGTTCGGCAGTCAGGCCCTGCGCCTCGGGAAGATTGACGCTAAACATCCGGGTGACCAGTACAGTTATCTTTGTTGCGGATGAAGAACCCTGGTCTGCGACGCTAAGCTCACGAGATAGGCCTTTGGGCTTCGATGGGGAACTAAAGGTCTCCGCTCGTTGGTGATGTGGTCGGCGCTGAACTGAACGGTTTCCGATTTCGTATGGAGATTCTCCACCAGCAGGGACTATGTGCATTTTGGTAGATGACGCACGATAACTAAAGGCGCTGCTTCCAAATATACAGTTCAAGAGGCCGGAGTCACCGCTATCACCAGAAAGGCGGTTCTGGTGGTAATCCTCGCCGGTTGTGGTGGAGAAAGTAGATCTTCGGTTCCGGGCACGCAGAAACACGCTCATATTACCAACATCACGGGTTCTCGAGTCAGTGAAGGGTGGGTTTGGGATTAGATCTGGAATGGACGACTGTGAACCATGTACCGCATGTCTTCGTCCGTTTTGCGATGAGCTCGAAGTCCGAGAATGTCTCCCACGAGGCGTTTCTGCGAGCGGCGATCCCTGAGAAGATCGGGACGGTGTTTCTGCTCCTAAAAGGTTCAAAGTATCAAGCAGAACGCAGGGTTCGTCACGATCTCCCATTGCATTTTGAGCAATAATGATCCGAAAATCCTTCGTCTCATCTAGGTCCAAACCACCTTTATCATCAAAACTGCTGGCAGCAGCGGCATTTGGAGAGAGGGCGCTGATCTGGAGTGGGTATGTATGAGTTCGCGAGCGTTGGAGGACACTGACATCGGGGAACAGGAGACCGGAAGTGTGCTCTTCTTCTGTAACAGATTCAAGCTGGGTAGGATTACGCGGAGAATGAGGATTAGAGTTGAAAGCCGAAGCTGCCGTGTTTAAGAGCCTGCCCAGCATTTTACTAGCTCTGCAGGAACAGCAGTAACAGTGCTAGTAGAGCTGAATGGTATAAAGACAGGGGTTCCTAATAATGGATAAACAGAGCAAACCCATTGTCTATGGACATGGAAGGATGCATCATTCAGCTTCACTCAAGGAGCCCGTCTGTGTGCAAGAATGTTAATATGGCGTCACAGCAATCGCATACAAACACACATCGCCTCGTGACAGTATCACCATGTTAATCACAATAATAGTAGATGGGGGTTAGAAAGAGGTGAGAAATGCTTAAAGACGAGGATAGAGGATAATCGCAACCTCCAGCGACAAATATCCAGAGGACACTTGAATTGGAGAGATGCAGTGCAGTGGTGGAGCGGAGGGATGGTTGAGGATGATCGTGCCCGGCATGTTTCTCGGCCAAGAGGCGGTGAGCAGCAGGCGCAAGCCTCATCATTATGTAATGCACCTTAACCTCGGCTCATAATCACGTGAGTTTGATCCTGAGTGGACGGGTCTTGGCCTAAATAGAGTTTTGCCTGGATCACATGCTATTCTCAGCCCTATTCTTAATAACTAACTTCATCCCTTTGTTTAGTTAACCATGGCATCCTCTACTCCGTACTTCTCAGCAGAAAGTGACAACGCTTTCCAGAGGCCTGTCTCACCTAGCCATCACTTCCATTGATGCTTTACTCCCAGGGATTATCAGAGGCACCCTCACTGCTCTAATACAGCCGCTGAATTTCAGGCGCAGCTGTTGTCTTTTCTGCACAACCTGTTAACCATTGATTGTAGTTCTGCAAGTCAGCGCTTCGCAAAGTGTGCTGGTTTTTCCTCTCCAAATTGAAGGCATATATTGCTTTCAAGACAATTTTAAAGCTTGGAGCTCCTTTTCTTTCTTCAAGCCCTCACTTCCTTTCTACCTTGCAAACATCGATTTTGTTTCTTTTTCCATTTCACTTTGCACCTTGATCACAGTTGATATCTGCTCATTCTATACCTGTGATCAAGGTTGCCTTTTGCTGATTCCTTTAATATCCTATAGAGATCTTCTGCTCAGCTGGTTGCTTGCTTGACAGCGATCAGATTGATAGCACCCTTCTTCCCTAGTCGTGTTATCTTTGCTCAACTTTTGCTTCGTCATTGTCGCCTAGCGTCAGATTTTCTCTATTTATAAACAGCTTGCTCTTTCAATTTTGATATCCAGGGGCATTCCAATTTCCTCTTCACCCATTCACCTCATCAATTTCAAGTTCCTTTTTTGTGTTGCAGAAGTCCGATCCATTTGCGTTTATGGGCAAAAATTCGACCTCCATGATGGAACAGCAACCGGATCCCTCACATATAGAATTGGAACCTGAAACCGAGGCATCTACTTTGGAAGAAGCTCTTATGCTCCCAGAAGTTGGGAATACGGAGCAAGGCCTCGCTTTGCAGCTGAACAATGATGCTGAAGCTAACACTGCTATTTACGATAACCATGGAATACAGGAGACTATTGCACAAACTCATTCACAGCCTCAGGAGAGGATGAGTGCTATGGGCAAGGCTTCATCTACGGTTGAGGCGACTGGGGACGCTGCGGCTGGGACGGAGCAGCTGATTTCCACGACTGAGCATGACTCCCTCAATTTTACTTTTGACGATGAATACTACGATGATCTCTCAGAGAGAAATGAAGCGTACGTGATACCTTCATGTGTGGCAATTATCCTCTGACACGTCAACAGATTTGAGAAAATAAAATCAGAGTTTGAAGCTAAAAAAAACCCTAGCCTACTGGAGAAGGTGCAATTTCAGAAGGCCCAGAATGAGGAGCTTAAACGGCTGAAGAGGCTCAAGAGCCAGAAAGAAAAGCGTGAAGAAGAACCGGGTTATGCGCCCTCAGATGCTGGCCCTCCGTTGGGTTCCTTTTCCGCTAGCGAACTAAGCTTAGGCAACACCAAGTATCAGCTCTTTTGCTCAGATGATGATAAAGGAACCGCAACTAAGTCCACTGCGGGACGCGCAAAAAGCGAGGCAAAGCAACGGGGCAAAGGAAAGCAGATAACGGCCGGAAACAAGATCGACGCCAAGGTTAAGAGACAAACTGCGGCTTCCGGGTTTGAAGCCTTTCGACAGAGTCTTGTTAAAAGGGTGTGTCTTTCTTCATATTGCTGATAATCCGCTGCGGATAGCAGTATTATTGACCGTTTTTAGAAAACTAGCGGCAAAGGCGTCCATAAAGGGAAATCGTCCCGTCAAAATAAGCACGGCAAACAGCAACCTAAGAAATCGAGACAAAACCGAAAGGGGGAGGTCGTCGACATGAATTTGCATGGTTTGTTTTCATCAGGTATTGTCAAAGCTGCAAAGGCAAATGCGGCTAAACCAGGGATTCCCTCATTTTCTGCGAAGGCAAAGGATAAAGCAATGAAGGAGCTTATTGCCAATATCCCACAAGCGGATCCAAAAGTCGTTAGCACTGATAGAAATGCTATTATGTCTGCTATTATCAAATTTACAAGGAAACCCAAGGCAGACGGAAATGGCAGCTGGCTTCATTCAGATATGAAGACAAGTTTATTTCATTACCAGGTGAGTGAATCTGTGTGTGGTTTCATGTGTTCAGAATGCTAATCCGTTTTAAGCTTTTGGGAGTAGCCTTCATGGTAATTCTCTCATTTCCCTATCAAATCTTGAGGGCTGAACAAAGCTAATATGCATGCAGCGAGATCGTGAGAATTCCCCAGTGGCTCCTTTTGGTGGTTTCCTGTGTGATGAGATGGGGTTTGGGAAAACAATACAAGCAATTGGTACGAACACACTTTTGCTGTGTGAGACTAACCACTAACCTGCACAAGCCAATATGGTGGATGGCAGACCAGGCCCAGACGATAACGCAAAAACCACATTGATTGTTGTTCCGCCACATTTAGTAAACCACTGGTAACCTTCTCAATCTACATAGTCAGCTTAAATAACCTGCAAATTAACTCTGGCAGGATGAGTCAACTACACGAGCATTGCAAGCCTAACGTTTTGGGCGGTGTTGTCCAACATCACGCGACAACAAAGCTTCCTGATGATGTCTTCACTTATTGCCTTGATAAGATTGGTGTTATGCAAGTATCTATGATTTCTTTTTGATATCTCGCCAAGCTGACAACTATAGTGTCACCACGTACTCTGAAGTCCGCAAGTCGTATCCCGAGCTTGAGTTTCCCCGGAATAAAGCCAAAGAAAGTGGAAATCAAGCTACATGGCGTAAATTATTTTATGAAACTTGCGGTGTGCTCCACCGAACTAACTTCCATCGAATAATTTTGGACGGTGAGAGTTCGGTTTCCAAGTCTGCCTCTTAGTTATACTCACTTAAGGCGCAACATAGAGGCACACGAAATTAAGAATCATGCATCGAAAACAAGTTTGGCTGTGCGCATGCTCTCAGGGCGATTCCGATGGATTATTACCGGGACCCCTGTCCACAAGTAATTACTCCTGGAGGCTATTTTTCTTATCTACTCTAAATACAGATGCGTTGTGGCTTTTAAGCGCTAATAAATGCACAGCAATGTTCTAGAATTTTTTCCCTACTTCGAGTTTCTCAAAATTCCCCAGACTGGGAATTTTGAAAGGTTTTGCAAAAATTATTGCCCGGTAACGACAATATCTCCCAGCGCTTTTATCTAGCTAACCATGAAGTTCCAAGAATGGCCAAGTTAATCACGCCCGGCTTTCCAATCTCTTGCGAGGTTATATGTTGCGTCGAACCCACGAACAGACTCTTTTCGGCCTTCCCGTTCTGAAGCTTCCCGATATAGATGAAAGTACGATCACCGTACAATTCAGCCGCGTGGAGAAATTTCTGTACCGGGAAATCATCAAGTTTATGATGAGCTCCTACATCCGTAAGTATATGTAACCACAACAGCTATATGCAATTTCGAACCCTAATTACCTTAGTCGGTGATGATGATCAGTTTTGTTTGTCTCAAACCCACAATGGAAAATGGCCGCTGCTTCTCAAGCTTCGCATGTTCACAAGCCATTTGCTCCTGTCTCAGAAAGTGCTGCAAGATATATTAACAGACAACGTGATGAAAGAGCTACGCTCGTATGTTGGAGACGATGCCCAGGCCGATGATCTCAAGATTATCCATCTCTTTGATAATCTTCTCTCGAAACAGCCTCTACCAACTCTTGATGACGTGTTGGGAGCTAAAAATGCGGTAGCAAACCCGAGGACTTTATCGCAGGAGGATATCCTCGACAGATATAGAACTCTGCTGAATAGTGCAGATTGTAGCGCTGACGTGAAGAAATGTGCACGATGCAAGTCATCACCGTACATTGCCTACATCGCATCTTGCATGCATATTTATTGCCATGCTTGTATTACCATCGTCTCGAGAGATAGAAACAGAGTCAAGTGCTCATGCAGTTTAGAAGTTCATGAGTTCACATTCTGTGATGCAATTCCGGCCCTCTATCACAGCATTATGGAAGGCGAAGATCCATGCGACGATCAGTCTTCTACTAACAGGGCTGGAAGCAAAGAGAAACCCGAGGAAATGGGCAGCAAGAACTGGACTAGCCTTGCTGGACATCTGATGCCTAGCGCCAAATTGACATCTGTTCGATCTTGTGTCGCTGCCTGGCTCGCAAATGATCCTGAGACAAAGGTCACTATTTTCACCCAGTTCCTTGGAATGGTGGAAATTCTCAGCTCCATGTGTGTCGTTGAAGGCTGGGGGCATACAACGGTATAAATCTCATATATCCCCTTCCAAAATTTTATGAGTGCTGGGCTGACAACCACCCGCAAGCTTACTGGAAATGTGCCGCCTTCAGAGAGACACAGGGAAATTGAGGAGTTCCGCACTGATCCCTCAATCCGTGTACTGATATCTTCTCTCAAAGCGGGAGGAACAGGCTTGAGCCTGACAATGGCAGAGAAATGCATACTGATTGATTTGTGGTGGAACGAAGCGATGGAGCAGCAGGTACGAAGTTACTAAGACAGCCCTACATTAGCTTGTAATCCCGCCTACTAATTACATTCTTCCTACAAGGCTTTTTGCCGCCTATTTAGATATGGACAGAAGAAGGAAGTGGAAATAGTTCGGATCACAGTCAAAAACAGTATTGATGACCGAATCCAGCTCATCCAAAATGCAAAATCGAGCAATATTGAGAAGACGATGGGCCTGGACGCGCTCGCATTTAGGTGGGATCTAGTCGTGCACAAAATCCCTGTGCCTAGAGCTGCTTTGCTGACAGGTAGTCTTCCAGGGACTCACTTGAAGATATTTTGAAAATCTTTGGAGTGGTCGAGGATGATGATGCGGAGGATGGATTCGCTTTTATATCGGACGACGAAGCCTGATGATAGAGGCTATTTGGTCTGCATGTGTATGGGCACAAAGCACCCTTAACTTCCCTTTGACGTTATGCCGCTTTCATACCCTTCATGCCCCTTTGATATACCCCGTCATAATTCCCTATGATTGGGCTGGTTGCTATGGATTCTTAGAGCGTTTGTTTTGTTGCCTGGCGTTTGAATTGGCTTGGATGGAGTTTAATGGAGCTTAGCAAGAAAATAATGCAATGGAAGTGTGAGAGTCATTAAAAGCTCCTGGCCAAAATTATATCACATCTCCTCCACGGCGCAGTTGGGATGCAAAACATAGACAACTCGATCTTGGGTGTTGTCCTGCATGCTATTGCTTGCATCCACAAGGCCTTCTCCCCGAATTTGCATGAGGATATTATCCTAAATACAGAGACGCAAGTTAGACATGTTCACCAATGCAAATCGTTAAGAACATTTGGGGTTTCGCATACCTTCACCATCCGTTTGAGCACCTTCGTCGCCAATGATCTCTCTCTCTCAACATCGTCTTCACTATTCAATTCCGATTCAATTTGCTCCAAATACCAGAGTTTCAGATCCTCTTCCTCCACACCTTCGCCTATATTTGCTTCATCTTCGTTTATCCGTCGGACCAAGAGGTTGAGAATCTTCATGTACTTATCGTACGTAATTTTAGTTTTCTGGGATTGTTGCTGTTGCGCAGCGGAATCGGCATTCATTACATCTTCTGTAGTGCCCATTGCGGTATCTCCTTCATGATCACGCTGTTCATTATCGCCATCAAACATCTCATGGTCTTGATTTCCAGTTGTCACTTCACCGTCGACTTCAATATCATCTTTCTCAACAGTAACTATGCTCTGTCGAAGAAGATTGTAAGCCTCTAGGACGAAATGAGGCACTACTTCTTCGACACAGTTTGCTTTGGCCACCGCTTCCGACAATCGGATCAAACTTTCCAGTTGACGCACAGTAATACGGTAGCTGCTTCTTCCAATGCCTCCTTGCGCATCGTCATTGCGAAGCTCCATATACTTCTCCACCACTAATTCTTTAGCTTCGGGTGTGAACACCGGTCTGAACGTACGGGCGAACCTAATGTATCGTTGCAACATTTCAGTTGGGATCTCAGGTTCCACTGCTTCGTCACGGTTCATATGAACGTTAACGATGTGTTCAGCCAAGTTTCTATCCACGGCTTCATTAGGGTCATCACGAATAACGAAAAAGAGATCGAATCGACTCATAATAGGAGCGCTGAAGTTGAGGTTGGCACGGAGGGTGGCTTTGGGGTTATATCTGCCACCGACTGGATTCGCGGCAGCAAGAATACTTGCTCGGGCATTGAGAGTGGTATGAATACCCGCTTTTGCAATGGAAATCGTCTGTTGTTCCATGGCTTCGTGGATTGCGACTTGGTCGCTAATATCCATCTTATCGAACTCATCAATGGCACAGATGCCTCCACCATTCTAGATATAGTTATTAGTACGTCACCAGAAGTTTTAGGATTAAAGGATTGAACACATACCGCAAGCATCAAGGCACCTGCTTCGATAGTGAATTCACCGGTTTCCGGGTCTTTTACCACGGAAGCAGTTAAACCAGCAGCAGAAGACGCCTTTCCGCTGGTGTAGACCGCTCGAGGATGCAGAGAACATATATATCTAAGCCAAACATTTAGCAAACGGGACTTAGAAACCCAATTCAGTGGCCTTGTACTCACTTTAAGAACTGACTCTTACTTGTCGACGGGTCGCCCACGATACAAATATTTATATCACCACGAAGCTGCATACCTTCTTCAACTGTTTTCTTCGTAACACCGCCAACCAATTGTAAGAGTAAACCTTTCTTAATTGATCGGTGACCATAAATCATAGGTGCAATGGAATCCACTAGTTTCGAATATATGTATTTCGTATGAACGAGCTCTTTCAGCTCCTCGACCTCCTTAGGGGTAAATGTTTGGAGCAGTCGTTCTTGGGCCATATCTTCAACTTCTTCGGGCAGGTCGACCTGATTTAACGAAGCAAGGATATTTTGAGAGTGCCCAGTAAGACTTTGACTTGTGGGCTGACCTGGAGTAGTCAAGTCAGGAGTCACCATGCACGCTAGAAATGCCAGCCGGTATGTAAGGTCTCGAACTCCAAGTGATTTAAGACCCGTAACTCCACTTCCGCCAACATCACCACCACGCGTATTGCCATAGTCCCTTGATGCTTCTGGGCGAATTCCAGGCAATCCCAGTTGATTGACATCAGGAATAACAATGAGTGTACCAGTGAAAATGCATCTTTCTCCTGCCTTTGCTCGATCCACCATTTCTCCGCGTAAAATCACATCCATAGTACGCGGCATACTTCCAGTAGGAATCTCGTGGGAAGACTCTTGCAATTTGACCTTTTGCCAATCAATAAATGTGCTTCGGCGAATATCTAGGCGCCAGCCAACGCGATTACCACATGTGGGGTTCGGGCAAAGTGCAGGTTCCGTATATTTGAAGCTTTGTTCAATATCTGGACATGGTGTATTGCAACTTTCACAAATAAATGTCCCCATCGCAAGCTCTGGCCGAACTTCCGACGTTCTTGTGACTGTGCCGGATATTGAAAGCAACTTTCCAATCTGTGCAGTCCGCAGTTGACGTAACCTTGAGACAAGAGGAAGGTTATAAAAGGCCAAAGAAAAGACCTTGTCTGTTTGCTGATATCTAGTTTTCTCCGAGAGGGGGTCAGGTTCGCTGCTGTCTACAGCCATGGCGGATGTGCTCGCTTGTGATGAGTGGCTCCCAAGTTGTCGATGTTCTCTAAAATATTGAGGTTCATATTTCGCGATTAAGTTGTGCAAAGCTTTCGTCAAATAAGGATGGAATCGGTAATATTGATTAGCGATGGCGTCAGCCAGGACTTGGTTCGGTAAAGACGTCAAATGGGTGAAATCGACATAGAGAGTGGACAGCTGAAGCTTCGCCATTCCATGTATCTGAGAAACGTAGTATTTATCACTTAGCATTTCAGACGAGGGAGGAGCACCAGAAGACATAGGATCCTCCATATGTGTCTCCAACAGCTCCTCGAAAGCCTGTTGAACCTTCTCTCCGGCAACATCGCGGAATGTGGGCGGGCCCCTACCATACATGGGATGTCGGGGTCGGCGGGGAATGGAACCCCCCGGGCCAACAACTTGATCGTCTGCAAACTCAGGAGCTTCACTCATCTGTGCATTGCTTTCTGATGGGAGATTGGGGCGTGAACTCGGAGGAGCATCTGATTGCGGTACGATTCCCCTTCTTGCGCCTTGGGGAGGGCCAGATTCTGACTGCAGAATGGTATCAAGGAGACTCGACATGGCGACGGTGGGAGCACAGATGGATAATGACAAGGATCAAGGCACGATTCAGAAAGGAACGACAAACACGCTTAGCAAGGAAAGATTCAATCCCATCCCGACGCCGTCGTGTGTTGCCCAGAGAGAAGCTGATAACCCGAAAACTTCACGTGAGGATAAGAGACGCGACGCGTACCCTCGGAACATTAATATGCCGAGCCCGACGCGTAAAGTGGTTTTATCACGTGGTTAATTCTACTTTTTGCTTTTTAACTTTCGCGACGAAGAAACAACCTTCTTTAACCCTCGGATCGCTTGATGCAAGGTCGCAACACAGTTGACCCGGGTTGCATCAAATCCATTACTCACCATCTATGTCTTACCGCACTTGGCCGATTTGCTTGTATGTATGTACAAGTACTACGGGGTACAGCGCCCGCCATACCCAAGCTAGATCAGACGCCCTCCCAATCTGGCCAACTGAACATTAAGATAAGATTGCCATTCAAGTATTGTGCATTTGTACTCCGTACACAGGATAGGAAAGGCTGCGCGAGCCTTTTGACCGCATCCTTAATCATATTAGTCATCTCAAAGGAACGGCTTGAAAAGCGCAGCGCGAAACAGGACTGGAATTCAAACAACCATATTACAACAGGGGATCCGTAGAAGGATTCCTCAAAACCATACATGAACTTGTTAGCAAGTCATGCATTCGCTCAGCTCAATTTAAGTGCTGAAAGCTTGAAAATTTCAAAACCGACTGTCTGCTATTACTGTTTGTTGACCTGCTAAAGGTTTGACCTTCATGGATTCACAAATGCCAAAATTCAGTGATACGAAGTACGGAGTAGCGGCGATAAAATACGTAAATTTTAGGTTTGCGACGCGGGCGCCAGAAGTTATGTACGGAGTAGACTGTCAAACATTCAGCCTCGAAGCCACACGGTGTTTGCCGATTCGGACGTCTAAAACGGTCTAACTAATATCATTTCAGCTTCTTGAGCTCGAGCTGCAAGAGAAGCTATGGATTCAGCGTCTCTTTGAAAACTGTGATCCGGTCCGCTGATCTCTCACCTCTTCCTCTCCCCTGCCCCTCTTTTCCCCTTAATTCAAGCGCAGACCAAGAATAGCGTCAACATACCAACAATATATCGCCTCATTCCCACGTGTAAGTATCCCTTTCCAACAGCCATTCAGATAATTGCAATACCATTGCAAACTGAAACTCACGGCGTCCAGTATCCTGTTTCGAGCATAGACGCATCGCACAAATTCCCCCGGCACCGCTACGCCCTCCCGCTGGCACCTCTTCGTAAACGGCTTCTAACACACTCGAATGTCAATAAGACAAGTTAGGTGGGATACAAGAGCAGAAATTTGACGCGATGCCGCATGAACCACCCGTAGAAACGGCCGTCTCGGCGCCTGGAAAGGTGCTTCTGACAGGGGGATACTTGGTGCTGGATCGCAACTATACCGGCACTGTATTAGCTCTGAATGCAAGGATCCATGTTATTGTACAACAGTTGCCGATGGGGAAAGGGGGAAGAAGAACATCTGCCAGCGCAGGTGAATCGCCAAAGGGAGGGTTAAATGTCCACGCCGATGGCGATACACCCATAGATGGCATGGAAGGGGACGTAGCCAAAGGGAAAGAACATGAGGAGCAGTCGGAAGAAATGATTATTGTGAAGTCGCCGCAGTTCATTGATGCAGTATGGGAATATCGGATCCAGAGAGTCGAGAGCGGCGGAGGAGTCAAAGTTCAGCAAGTCAATGACGGGTAAGCATTTGCGTTATTACCGAGACGGCTCACCGGTTTAGCGCAATTATTGATGTGTGTAGTCCCCAAAACCCCTTCGTCGAGACCTCTTTGAATTACGCTTTGACATATGTGAGCTATGTCGCTGCGTCGAAACATTTCGGTTCCCTATCCGTTACCATCCTTGCGGATAACGATTACTATTCGGAAACTGCAACATCTTCCATACCAAACAGGGGAGGTCGCTTCGTGAATTTTGGAGTGAAACTGCAGGAAGCACACAAAACGGGTCTAGGCTCCTCGGCTGCTCTTGTCACGGCTCTGGTGTCTGCTATTGTTATCCACCGTACCGTGCAACCCGAAGAACTCCCCTCAGTCCGGGATAAACTACATAACCTGGCTCAAGCTGCTCACTGTGCCGCCCAAGGTAAAGTAGGCTCTGGATTTGACATTGCGGCAGCCGTGTACGGATCTTGTCTTTACCGTCGTTTCTCACCATCTGTTCTCAGCGACCTGGGCGAGGTTGGCTCCCCGCAGTTTGAACAGCGCCTATTTACAGTTGTTGAAGACCTCAATACCGAAAAGCCTTGGGACACAGAGTGTGTAGACTTTGGATTTAAACTGCCAAGGGGGCTCCAAATGATCCTTTGCGACGTCGACTGCGGTTCGCAGACCCCCGGCATGGTTAAAAAGGTGCTGGAGTGGCGGGAACAGAACCGCGGGGACGCAGAGCTGCTCTGGACGGGGCTACAGCGGAACAATGAAAAGCTTCGCCTCGAGCTCAAGCGATTGGCACAAAACCGCAATGTAGTCCAGAATTATGATGAGCTCAGCAACTTGATCACTCGCACTAGGATGTGGATCAAGTCCATGACGAAGGAATGCGGGGTTCCCATTGAACCTGAGGTGCAGACAGAATTATTGAATGCCTTTTCGAAAATTGACGGGGTCATTGGTGGCGTTGTTCCCGGCGCGGGCGGATATGATGCACTCATGCTTCTGGTAAAGGATGATCCTGCCGTCATGGATGCAATCCACGACCTGGCAGATGGCTGGAAAAGCTCAGTGCAAGATGATTTTGGTGGGAAAATTGGCAAAGTACGATTGCTCGGTGTTGGCTACGGATCTGAGGGTTTGAAAAATGAGCTGGCGGTGCGTTATAGTGGTTGGATATGATGTGAGGAGTGTGCAAGGTTGTTGCATCCACTGTTTGGGAGAAAAACGTAACACTAAATGCTGCCTGTAGAGTAGTGAATTCACATAGTCCAGCGAGATACCCCAAGCTTCTACTTTTGCGAGAGATTTATTCGTCCTGTTGTCCCATTGCGGAGCATCCAGAAAGATAAACAAATCAGATGTTGAAAGCTAGTATATCTATCAATGTTAAAGGCACGGACATGTGTCTAGTATAAGATGATTACTTTGACATCAATGCTTCGACTGTCAAGCTATAGGCCCCTGTATTACCACAATCTGCTCATTTCGGCTTGTGTCTCCCATTAGACCAGCGGTTTGCCCTTGATTTGGGTGTCCTCAAAGAACTGAGCATTTAGCAATTATTTTAAGCTGCATGATATGTTGTCAAAACACAGCCCTAGGGCCAGTAGATCACAGCCGGACATACAGAGTAGAGTGTATTTAGGTGATTGATGCTATAGATTTAGCTGAAAGCTTCACCAACGGGGCCTTGAGCCAGCTAGTGGCATCGACTTTGGGAGCATACTGTACGATGCAGACTCGGAGAAGGGTTGAGGTTAAGCTCGTGCACGGTCCATGCCAAGCACTCCACTGGGTACATAAGCTGGCTCCACAAGTTGCCGAGCGGATGAGACTGCTTCTGACCCCTTGGTTGCTCAGTATTTACTGTTGAACTCCAGTCAAGATTGTGATCAGTCTCTTGTTCTAAGGACAACCACCTTACACATGCTTCATTGTCAACCACAAGCATGGTTTGGGGGGTGAGTAACATATGAGAAATGGCGTTTGCAATAAAGCAGATCCCGCCATCATCACCTCTCGCGGTCCGCTTGGGTACCTTGCCCAGTTGATATTGTTATGGCTTTCAACTGGAATTGGGTAGAATTCCTGTGAGTCTGTCAGGATCATTTCTATTGAGCTCTGCATGTAATAAAGCCACAGCCTGGGCTGTTCTCTCCCAGACTGGCCAAAGTCGACAGGTCCAAATCGGATATTGAATGAAAAATAACCTTCACCCGAATAGGACACAGGCGGTCCGAACAAAAGGATTTAGATAGATTTAGAGCAAACAGAATAGCAGAGGTAAAGTCAGTCTCAGATTAAATGACCTGGATCTTGGTTAGATATGGTCTGAACTAAAGCCTAAAGTGGCCATCCAGACATAATGGCTCATGCTAAAGAACATGAGAAGGAAACTGTTAAAACTGACAATCTGATCAGTTTAAGCCATGCTAAAGTCAGGATGTAGCCACATGGTGTGTTAGTTACCAGAAGGTTTTCTTTGTCTGACAAAGAATGCATTGCTCAGTAGGGATCTGCAATGCTGCATTCAACAGGAGTGTGCAGAGTAATCAAAGGGTTTAAGGAAGGATGCAGTTAAGGGTGGCTGCTAAGTTGACAAGGTAGTTCTGTCAGCAGGCGAGATTGAGGATGGACATATCCACGCCTGCCTGATAATATGATATTCCCTATGGATAATTATCAAATGGAGCAGAACAAGCTCCAGAAAACTGTCATGGAGATTGTCACTCTCTTTGCAAATGGAGAGTGCTGCTCAGAAATTAAATGCGAAGCCTGAAAGAATGACGACAGCTACTTCACACGGATAGGAGAGGGGAACATCCGTTTGAAGCATGATGACAAGAAGGTAGCATCATGGGTTGGACAAAATGCAGGCCCGTACCATGAAGATGAGAGGTGATGCAATGATGAAATGCAGCCAGATCCCTTTAGAAACTCCCTGTAGCTCCTCACTGGGACTCGGATTCGGATGAGTTGGCCTTCAAACCTTTTGCGGATCGATGGCGGCTTTTGGCGCCCAGCAGCTCCTGCATTCATGGGTGCTTGGCGTTCTTGGTGTAACTGTCTGTGTCGCCCAGGAGAGGCCTTCGGATCAGACCAGGGGTTAATGAATGAGGGGTAGATGGGTATCGTACATACACTCCTGTCTTCGATGGCTTGAAGGCTCTGGGGACTGTAGTCAATCGGTGGAGTTGGGCTGCCAGAGAACGTGAAGCGGCGACGATGGCAGCAGGCAGGCGAGTCGTGGTGCGCTCGACAGAGGTGGAGGCTTGGGCGTGGCTGAGAGCCCAGCGATGGCCGCTCGGCGCGCGTCCCTACCCCAGACAGCCAACTCCAAGGGGAAACCGGCTCGCTGCAAGGGTGAACCGCTCCTCCGCCATCGTCACGACCACTCGGAAGTTCCACTGTACAGGAGTAGCAGCCAGCTATCTCATGTCCAACACCTCTTTGCCTGTTCTTTTTGTGGCTGCTGTTCTTTATCTGTTAGTAAACATTTAACTCTGTTGCGGTCTCACAGGCCAAACGGGCACCTATTATATTTTATGAAACCGGCTAGGAACTTGGAACAATGGCACCAAACACCGCTGAGGAGCCAGACCTTGGTTCCAGCCATGAATCAAATTGCCCAACCACACAGCCAGAATCTGGAAATACAGCTTCTTCACAACCACTGGTGTCTTCTTCGCCTATAGATGAAGCCCAGACTGTCCCCTCAACAAATCAACTGGATGTACGAAGCGAGACAGAGCCATTAACACCACCATCCTCGACTCCTCCGCCAGCAGAGCACTCCGGCATCCCGCCTCCCTTGTCCGCCTCCAACTCGGAGAGCCTAGCCATCGTCACCATGTCTCCGACCTCGACCTCGCCCTCGGAGCAGCCCCAACAGACTTCAGATACTCCTCAACAACCGCAGACCTTCTCGCCAGAGGCCCAGCTGAACTCCGAGTCTTCAGAACCAAAGCCGCTGAGCCCTGCGATAGGCCCTTCGTCAGATCTCCCCAGCCCATCCCCTAAAGAATCCGAAGATGCTGGCATTCCATTGGTGATCACTCTGCTCCTGACGACTGGCGCCAGACATCCGTTTAAAATTGATGGGAGATATTTGCGCAAACGTGAAGTCAACGTTCCCGATAATGACCCGTTCGCCATGAGTGTTTATACCCTGAAGGAATTGATATGGAGGGAGTGGAGATCAGGTAAGGACTCGCTTTATGGCTTCACCACGAGATTACAGTGATTGACATCGCTTGTTCTGCAGAATGGGAGCCTCGACCATCTTCTCCAAGTTTAATTCGCCTAATATCCTTTGGCAAACTCCTTGACGACAAGGCGCCCTTATCGGGTGAGTGACTCCTCTCATGCTCTCATGGCAGCGTTCTCTCCATTTCGCATTTTTGCTAATACTTGAATTACGTGATAGATTCTAAATTCAATCGAGATGCTCCCAATGTTGTCCATATGACCGTGAAGCCCCAGGATATCGTCGACGAGGAAGATGCCAAAGCTCCCAAGGGCCATTATCACCGTGACCGCGAGGATGGCGACCGAAGCCCTTCGTGTCGCTGCATCATTTTGTGAAGCCGAGCCTACTGAAAAGGCCTATGGAAGTGCGCGGAGATGGTGTCTTCATGGCGGCTCCGCGTCTGGCTTGCCCTTTTACCAATTCATCCTGGATTGCATATGTTTCCGTACTCCACAAATGGTCTGCACGGATGCGAGACTACGCCAGGTGCCATTCACTTTTTTATCCTTACACACACAAGCCATTTTCACTCACATCATCGTAATCTCCTATACCTGTCTTCGATTGTCCGCGTTTCCCTAATGCATAGCGAGTCTTTCTCACTCGCCTCCCCGACCAACAATATCTGTACAGAACGGAAGTCTGGCCATTTTTACTGGCAACGGGTCTGCTGGTGCTCATTGGTTCAAATCTCATGGTGTTTTCCCCGCTTTTCTGCGTTTCGAGGCTCTGGTTGGTATGGTTCCCAACGGAGTACAGGGCCTTACATCCACGATACCTTAACGATCCTTCTGGTTCAGCATTGTTAAGCTGCCCTTTGATGGCAAATTATTTTGTTTGCCACAGCATTACTCCCTTTTTTTTTATTTTTACTTTTATTTTTACTTTTATTTTTATTTTTTTCCAGTTTCTTATTTTATATCATCCCCACCCGTCAGCCCGTTGCCATTGCACATGAGCATGTTAGGATCCATTGCATTTTCTCCTTTTTCGCCAATGTTTCCTCTTGCATGACCCCATTCTTGTTAACTATAGAGGCGAATTTATGACATGAAGATACCATACAACTGTGGTTCCCGCAATCGGACTAAATATGTAAGCCGGAACGGCTGTAGTTGCACTCTCCCAAAATTGGGCAAGCTGAACTTAACATACTGTTACGGCATGAAGAGGCAGTTGCATGGCATCCTGCGCGTGAGAAAAAGAGTGTTCTTTAAGGTTGATAAAAAACAGCATTATATGCTCCCCCAGAAACTGTACTGTAGTGGATTATGGAGGCGGCTGATTGTTTAGAATGGATTCATAGCATAGGGAAATAGGTATGGAATAAATAAGGAATGTAGCAATGCAATTTGTGTTTAGAGCACTAGATAATTCTGTAAATATTATCAGTTAAAAGCAGAATTCGCATGACCAGGGTTCAGCGTCTGAATGCAACGCCGAACGGTTGGACACAATTCGAGAGCTGGACAATAGATACTAGTGAATCTTGGGTACGGCAAAGCATTCTTCACTGTAGGTTGAATCCTCGAGAATTAAGGAGACGGGTTCAAGAATCTCAACGTATTTAGTTATGTATTTCTAATTATACATAACGCTACATGAATCCTTCATCTAAAACGCATCGAAGACGCTGCATAGCAAGAAACCCAGGTCCGAGGACAGTAAAACAAGAGACAACTAGCAGTCATTATCACCATTTCATCTTTAGTCGTTGTTCCATCTCATCATGAAAGTTGGGGGGTTCGCGGAGATCATCGGCTGCCAAAAAAGGAGAAGAAATCAGCAAAGTTTCCCCAAGAGAGTTCCTTTCGATAGCATATAAACTAGAGACACGCAGGACCACTGCCCTGACAGTAGAGCCACTCAACATACCATGGAATACATCTTCCCACGTAACCTCTGTCTCCCTTCCTCCGAGAGCCAGGATATCCTCATGTATACTACTTTCATTGCTTCTGCCCAAGGCTGCAGGTTTCCACTGTCCCTCTTGCACAATCTTCATCTCCATACCCCGTCGCACCGGCTCGGCAATGCCGTATATCCGTCGAAGAGACTCCATCTTTAGCGCATTTTGCGTCTGGCGCCACTGGAGTAACCGCGCCTCGAGTGGATGTGTTGAGGAAGGGGCTTGGAGGCCAGATGTAGGAACTGGGGCGGTGAGGGACGCGCGAAGTGTGTCTGGGACACCGGGAGCTGATGGAGCACCGTTGTGCAGGTGAGGAGTGGCGCCGTGCTTTGTGGTGTTGGATGTTTGAGTGGCGTGTTTAGCGGGAGGCACGATTCGGAGAGACTGTGAATGGGTTAGTCTTCTTATAGGAATCAATAAGGCGAGCTGGTGACAGAAGGATCCCCAGGTGAGACATACCATCGTTGCAGGGTCGTGGTTAAGGGTGATAAGTGGATTGGGTGGAAAGGAAGTGAGCGAACTATTCGAGTATAGAGGGGAAATTTTCTGCCCAGCAAACAATCAATTATGTTGGTATCTTCACCAGAGAACCGTAAGAATGAACGCCCTGCACTCGCCGTCGTCGTGGTCGAGCTTCAAGGCAATCAGCCACACGTCAAGCTCCTTCGGCCGACCAAACCAACCAACTACGCAATTTGGTTTTCGGAAATCACGTGGTATAGAATTTCCAGCGATTTGAAGCATTTGCATATCGTCGCCGATGAGCTGCGCGCGATAACTTCGCAATCAGCAGCTCTCCTCCTCTCCTCTTCCGCCAACAACCGTCATCATGCCCACTACTCCTTCCACATTTACGATCCGCCTCCTGCGGCACCTCGTCCACCGCCAATTCCCCTCCATTGCCTCAAAACCCGTCCACCCTGCTCTCCAACTCCGCGCCTGCAAGAGTAGCTCTCCACTGGCCACGCTGCTCCACCAAAAAACCCAGATCGCACACTTCTCCAGCACATCCCGCCCACAGGCAACATACAATCAAGTCCGACGCGGATGTCGCAAGGAGCAACAAGCGCGCAAGCCGCGCTCCCCGGCCCTTGTCAACCGCCCGGAAATGAAAGGCGTGTGTCTCAAAACGGGTATCACGAAACCCAAGAAGCCCAATTCCGGAGAACGAAAGATTGCAAGAATTAGATTGAGCAGTGGTAGAGTGGTGACTGCATATATTCCCGGCGAAGGTACCTTTTCCCTGAATCCTTTACATGTTCCCTTTCATAGGTGAGAGAGAAAGCCGGCGCTAACACTGCAATTTCCTTCGACGTTTAGGACATAATATCCAACAGCATAGCGTGGTTTTAGTTCGGGGGGGGAGAGCACAAGATTGCCCTGGTGTGAGATATCATGTTGTCCGTGGAGCTTTAGATCTTGTATGTGAAATTTCCCTCGCCTCTACTGACCTCCAAGTGTCCAATTACTGACCATTTGAAATAGAGCGGTGTTGGTGGCCGCATAACCAGCAGATCAAAATATGGAACGAAGAAGCCGAAGTCTGGCTAGTTGGCGGGTTTCGAATTTTAGGATTTATATACATCAGTCATTCCAATTTTGCGCAACACACACCAATCCCTAGGGGCTAGAGTGTTCCATTTATTTCTTTTATAACATGTATTATCAGCAGATACGTATTCACCTAACTCCTAGAACCCCACAAGGATCCTCCAGATTCAAGTATGCATCATACATGCCGAGAAATTCCCTCGTCCCAAGTTCGTTATCTGTACAGGATATTTATAGGAAATGGCACAAGCTAAAAAGAAGAGAAAAACAAAGACACACCAGAACGAAAACAAGAACGAATCCAAACGCGCTGTAAATGGGTCAAGAAAACAGGAGGGGCTATCCAATTGGTACAAACCAGTATTCAGAACTTACAGACTCCTAGCCTGTGCAAGACAGATAGAGGGCCAGTTCGGAGTAGTGGAAATCGGGAGATGATACCCAACACGAAAGCGATGAAGATGAGAACACCGACGACAATTTTAGGCCAGATTGGGGTTGCTAGTCAGGTCTCATTCTCATAACCTTCGGGTTTTTGCAACTTGAGGAGGTCGAAAAACCGAGTAGTGCCTGTAACAACACAATTAGCATTCAGACCGTGTGAGAGATTGAAATTTTAGAGTTAGACATACATGAGTGACCTTTCCAGTCAAAATTATCCCCAGGGTTGCAAGCACACTTCCACTCCGTTCTTCTCTGCTCGCCAGTCGGACAGTGTGTGAAGGGGACGTGATAATAGCCGATTTGATCGAAGAAATGAACTTCTTCCTTTTTGAGCAGAATAGATGCTGCAATGGAATGTACTGGTGCATCGCCCCATCTTTCGTAGAAAAAACCCCCATCCTTGTCAAGGACATCGAAATAATCCAGATATGCCTTCGAGCGTAGCCAGTTCAAATCACCGATCTCGAAATTCGACCACTGGAAGTTGTCAGCCAATTCATACACTCGATCTTTAGGACGAAGAATTAGCACATACGAAATGGCACATGTTGTATGTTTTACCTCCATCCTCGGACACGAATTCCAGGTTATTACCCTGAACGATATGTTCAGGGTGTTTCTCCATAAACTTTTTAACACTGTCCCAAAGAGTTGCAACCGTTTCTCTGTATTCGTGGAGACTCAAAACGAAACTGTACTTCTTTTTGTTATCCTTCATGAATTTGAATGCATCGAAATCAATGTCGCAGAAGTATTTGACACTGGGCTCAACACGCCAGTAGTAATCGTAATTGAGCATGAGTTCATGTCTGAAAAAGAAGCCCGATTCGTAACGGCACATGTGTCTGTAGCTGATGGAGCCACCGTAAATAACTTTCTTCTCCTCCATCTCTTTACGAGCTTCAGCAGCTTTGTTTTGATCAATCCACTCTGGGAAAGACCAATGCTCCTCTGGAATTTTGCCATAGTAAGCTTTCCCAGATACCAAAGCGGAGGTGACGGTCTTGAAGTTTTCGCTAAAGTCCCCATCATTCAAGAAAACCCAGTCGTAGTGGTAGTTCCTGTTAAAGCGATCTTCGACTTGTCGAATAGATTTCACCATTTCCCAAAGATCCGAGTCTCTCACCAAAGACACGAAAGTTGCGCTGACACGGTCTGATTTTCCAGATTCTCTGTCAGACTTGGGGCCAGAAGTAGTGTTTCCAGTGGGAGGGAGTGCTGCTTCTGTCGGTTGGGACAACGAAACCGTTTGCATTTTTGTAACGCCACCAGCAGTGGTGGCTTGCGGGCCGACGTTTCCAGGCTGTGTTGGGGGGCTCTCATTTTGTTTCGGATTCGTTTTAGTGAGAGCAGCAGGAATACTAGGCCTAGGTAGGGAAGATGAGGCAATGAAGTGGAGGATTGCAATGCCCTGTAAAGCAATTAGCAATGTGTTGTCGGGAATACGTTAGTTTTGATAGAATAATTGCTCACCAGCACTGCAAAGAGTATGTAGCGTATGTACTTCCCGGACATCATGATTACTTCGCCAGCACAAATGAAAGATAAGAAAACTGATATCAAGCACAAAATATGCAAAGGCAGCCAGTGGAATAAACAAAAAATCTCTCCGCTTAAGGGAGTCTTTATTAATGCGTCAGTGTTGGAGGCGGTTGGTAAACGGGTGAATGAACGACAAAGCAATGTGGCATATGGGGGTAATGTCAACGAGATCACATAAATGCGATGTATTTCATATCACCTTGAGGCCCCCGGACCCGAGAGCAAAACGAAAGCACGCCGGAAGAGGTTGCTGGCTAGCTAAAACATCCGAAGAACACTTGTGATGAAACTTCGATGCCAAATGGTCGAATTGCATGTAAGCAACATCGCCCACCGGCTTGACAAAGGGGCCAAGAACTAAGGCACTGAGTTACCTCCTTTGTACGCGATACTGCGTAATTTTCGCCGCCAGATGGACAGGAAAGGTGTATCGAGTCGTACGGCGGCTGTAACAGCACTTCAGGTCTTTATTTCCCACCGTATCCCACTCGCATAATCGTCAGATTATATAAGCAGCTGGGGAGTGGGCTTGGCAGGCAGTCTTCTTTAGGAAAGAGTTTGTTATGCAGCCGGTTATTATCATTATACATTCGAACTTGCAGCATCGCATTCACCTTCATCTCCCCCCTCCGCACTCCTTTCTCACCCTCGGTTCGCACACCGCAGCTGTCATGTCGTTCTTTGGCTTTGATACCACGCTTCCTAACGATCGTCCTCCCGCACGGGAGTCGAGGGGTATTTTTGAGGCCCCTGATCCTTTCTCCGAAGTTGCTCGTGCCACAGCGCATGGATTCACCGATGGCGATGACGCGTGCGGTTTCTGTTTCTTTTTTTTAGTGTTTAAACGCTATACATTTGAATGCTGACCTTATTTTAGAATTGACTTTGAGGACACCTACGACGGGTTGGGAGACCGGCTCGACGATGCCCAAGATGCCTTTAACGAAGACACTTTCGGAGAGGCGGCGGGGAATGAGGATAAACCTGTGGGGAAAGACTTTGACTTCTTCGGCCAAACGGCTCAGATGACCAACATTTTGGGTGAAGAGCAAGTGCTTTACAACCTGAAGCACCAAAACGAACAACCCCAACCCTCCGTTTCGCCCGATGCAGCCCCGAAACCGAAAAGGACAGGCTATGAGCCATACCAGGACCCCGGGTATATCCCTGAGATCCAAGCGAAATCCAGTGTCTGGGGAACAGGAATTACACAAAAAGTAAAGACAGAACAGCCAAAACCGGCTGCTCCATCCAAAAAGATGATGAGCTTGGAAGAAGTTGAAGCACAGATGCGCGCGCAATCACAACGACCGCAGCATGCAACCGAAGCTACTGCTCCTCCGCCGTCTCAGCAGTTCCCCGCGACCATCCCGCAAGGAGCACTTTCTAATCTAAGATTCCCCGAACAGCCCTTCCCCCAGCCCGACACATTCCCTCAACTTCAACAAAAAGATTTTCCTCCGTTAAACCAACACCAGCAGTACCCACCGCCGCAAGGTTTTCAGCGCCAGCCTCCACGGCCTTTCCCTGAACAGAAACCAAGGCAGAATATGTCAATCCAAGCCCTACAGCATCAGAATCGTATGCCAAGCATTCCTCAGAGACACTCTGGGCTACAAATTCAAGGTCATTATCCACACGCCGCGCCATCGGCAACTACAGGGCCGCAGCTACCTTCAATCGCCGCAATGCACCCACAGTTCGCGCAGCTTTCCGAAGAACATCGCAGGGCACTTTTGGCAGAGGATGCGAAACGTGCCAAGCGAAATCATAAAATTCACCTTCTCTCGAAAGGAAATGGCTTGATGACCCCGCAAGATAAAAACTTTATTACCCGGATACAGCTACAGCAGCTAGTGTCGGCAACAGGAAATACGGGAGAGACAGATACCGATTCCCTACTGTCAGAAGACTTTTATTATCAAGTGTATAGCCAAATTCGCGGTGCACCCCGACAGCACCCAAGACAGCCTCTCGGTCATTTTGCCCAGACCTATCTTTTCCAAACCGGTAGCCGCTCGGGGGGCCATATGGGCCGAAGGCAGTATCAGAACGCTGACAATCACATGCAACGCATGCAGCAGCAAGTTCAGCGTGCTGTTGAAGCTGCGAAACTGCGCCCAAAAAACAAGCAACTGATAATTGAAGGTAGTTTAGGGAAAATTTCATTCAGCAATGCCAAAACCCCAAGGACACTCCTCAATATCAAACGCCCCGATAGCGCGGATGGTCATAAGCCAGCCAATGTCAAGAAAGGAGCTCAAACCGGGCTTAGTCCGAGTGACCGCAAGTCTATCTTAAATAACATCGAAAATGCATACGATACATTGATGAGAATGGAGGATCACGAACGAAAAATGCCTCCACCACCCGACGCTGAAGATGCAGAAGCTGTGCAGAAGCATCTTGAATGGAGACAGAAGATGGATGCTCTCAATCGAAAGTTATGGACTGATATGAAAGTCCACGAACCTATATTCCCCGGTTCTACAACGACCCATCCTTTTATTGCGTTCCTGTCTTATCCTAAGGGCAAAAAGGCGATCCCTCGAATATTCCGCCATATAGACCAGGAGCAACGAGTCACCATTCTCACTATGATAATCGTTCATTTAGATTCGCTAGACGTCGTCCAGCGAGCACAGTTACAGCCCGGGGAAACCCAGCCCCCTGGACCTGTCCGCGAGGAGATTGATTTGTTTTCGCAAGCCGTTATGCCGAGTCTATTGGGTTACGTCACCGAAGCTCCTCTCAAATTCATCATTGGGCTTGTCGGTCTCGTCATCTTCCGGACGAACGTCCAGGCGGTATCTAAGACACGGATAGGCCTCGGCATCTTGACTATGCTGTTAAGTCGTGCGGAGTTGGTAAAGGAAGCTGGCGCAGTGGACGATGAGGAATGGAAACAATGGACAGATCTTTATAATCAGCTGTTTGACCGGCTAGAACCGATTCTCGGCAGCATTTTCCCAGGAACTATTAATAGCGGAGATGATATGTATGTGTGGCAGTTTCTCGCCGCTGTTGGCATTGGAGCAAGCCCAGAGCAACAGCAACGGTTGGTTATTGCGGTCAAGTAAGTTTTCTTTCTCCATTATACCCACAAATATGCTTTGGAGAAGGAATGCGGATCTAACATCCCCCTCTTGTCAGGGACCGAGTTATGGAGACAGTCGCTCAGAGCAAAACACTACCAGCGGACATGGCCAGTCAACGACTTGGTAATGTTAACTTGTTCATGCGCGCTCTTGGACTTGATGTGGAACTTCTAGGATGAGACTTTTCCATCACTTTATCTCCACTATGTATACTGTGAAGTGTTGAAATGTTGCAATCTATTATTTCCTCATTGCATTGGTGATCTGATATATAAAATGCAGCCAACGTGACGATGATCAAAATACATGTTTATGGAATTGAAACTAGGGAATTGATTTGCTTTGTGTTTCTTAATATCTTAATTTTTTTTTTTTCCTGCCCTGCATAGCGTGTTCAAGCGTACCCTGTTTTATTGTGTTTTCATTTTCTCACAAAATGTTGCTAGTTATCATATTTTCAGGGGGCCAGGGGGGCAAGTTGGTATCATACGAGTCGGATTTGCAGATTTTTATCTAACCTGGGAAGAAGATAACTACATACCTTCCAGTGCAATAAGTGTAAATTGCATTGCCTTGGATAATCTCATGTGCACCCTCAACCTGCTCCTTATTCTCCCTTTATTATTATCCCCTTTTTTAAGTCTTCGCCAAACTTCCCAGTTTTCTCGGTTGTGCCCGACGGTTCGGTTCGGAAGCGGAAAAGCAACGTCCCAGTGGCAACTTCAGGTGGACGTCAGGAGCCAAACTTCAAAACACAACCGGAGCAGCACTTCACATCCTCGCGATCGATTGCACGGCTTCGGTTGTTGGGTTTTAGTTGAATAGGGCATTGAGTCTTTGCATCTTGCAACTTCGCAACACTTACTAGCAGCTGACTTCCTTTCTCCTTCTCTCCCGCTATGGTATTTTCATTTCTGTGCTGATCGCAATCACCCAGCGATTGCGTTACTCTTTCTACCACTTCCAGTATATACTTGATCACAGTTTAACATCCCTGGTGGCCGGATACTGAATCCGGATTCCTCGATGCAAAGAGCAATTGGTGAATGAACAGTTCATGCGCCTGTTGCTTTCCTCTTAATTCGACGTATTCAAGTGAATGCTGGATTCTATTATTGTCTAATACTTTTTCTGTTCTTTACTACCTGCTTTCGCATATGAAGTTGCTCATACTTGGAGCCACTGGGAAAGTGGGAGCGTGGACAGCTCGAAAGGCCATTGAGCACGGCCACGATGTGACGCTACATGTTAGAGATCAACACCGTGTTCCCGAAGATATTAGAAACTCTCACAAAGTGAAGGTATCCCACACTATAAACCGCACTCCTTGGGTTACTATATATAGCGCTCTCGCGTGCTAATAGCAATGATGAAGATCATTGAAGGCAGTCTGTCCAATGAAGAGACCCTTTCCGAAGCAATCGAAGACCAAGATGCAATTTTGTCATCGCTTGGTCCGAATGGGCCATTTTGTCCTAGGAATGAACTAGCAAACGGTTACCGCCTGATTCTCAAATTGATGAGGAGGCACAATGTGCGCCGTATTCTTGCCATGGGCACAATCAGCTGCTACGATGAGCGCGATTCCTTTGCATTGTCTCGGCTCCTTGCGTATAGCGTGATTTTCGTGGTGGCACGAAGGGCACAGCTGGAAATCTTTGGGATCGAAAAAGTCTTCAAGGAGGAAGGTCAGGGGTTGGACTGGACACTGTACAGAGTGCCAGTGCTGGGGAGTTCTTCGGAAGATGGCGGGATGGCAGAGGCGGGCTGGGTGGGAGATGGAAAGTGGAATGTCTTTCTCCAGAGAAGAGATTGGGCGAACTGGATGGTACAGGAAGCCGAAAGACATCAACCCATGTGGGTGAGCGAGATGCCGGCCCTGTACACACCCCGAAGGTGACTTCTATGTATTAGTTTATCACAACCCCCCAGATTTAGCTACACGAATGCACGTCCACCCGAGTGAAGTTCTCGAGAAAGCCAGCCCGGTGCAATTTCTCCTGGAAGTGCGGAGCTTTTGCGGGGGTAGGCTAGCCAACCTAGTTAAAAGGTGGTAAGCTAAATCAGCCCTATGCAAAGAAGGCCGCCTGGGATCTCGGAAGAGATGCATCCGAGCGATGCTTGATGTGCCTGTAACCTTGGGCCGCTCTGGTGAAAGCATCGGATTGTTGGTTCCCATAGCTGTACGGAGGGACGGGAAGTTAATAGTTAAATTTTGCAGCGATGAAGTCAAACTAGCTGGCTCCCAACCAAGTACCATGTCGATCTTTATCCGCACAATGACGCGTTGTCATAACTGGTGACCCGAGACCAAATTCCCACAACCCCGACTCTCTCTTCTTCCACCGTATCCTTAAAATCTTCACGCGCGTTCGTTATCCTCCTTGTTTAGTATTTTCGCAGATCTCCAGATCGCAGCGCTGGTTTAGCGGACGGTCTTACACTTTTACCCCAAACTCCATTTCTCCAGTCTCTGCCCCACCTTATTGGCACGAAGCTGAACCAGCAAGCCCCAGCGTACAGCGTATCCGAGGCCGTTCTCAGCTGCAGGACCAGTCAAGGTCGCAATCATGGCGAAGGGCAATGTTCTTGTTACCGGGTACGTCCAAGCTGGCTCTGGCGCTGCTCCCACTGTCGTCCGTTGCGCCAGCCCGTGCAATTGCGGGGTAGTAAGCCGCTAACGTCACTTTGCTTTCCTGTTCGCATTATTATTAGTGGGATGGGCTATATAGGGTCCTTCACGTCTCTCGCGCTTCTTGAGGCAGGATATAGTGTCGTAATTGCCGACAGTCTATATAATTCTTCAGACGAGGTGCTCAATCGTATTGAACTGATCTGTGGCAAACGCCCCGGTTTCTTCAAGTTAGACGTCACCGACGAAGCTGCTTTTGACAGGCTATTTGATGAGAATCCTAGCATTGACAGCGTGATTCATTTTGCTGCTCTAAAGGTGATTATAGATGTATTCTATGACGTTGATCTTCCCCGGTCCTAACTTGAGTACAGGCAGTGGGAGAATCCGTCGAGAGGCCTTTAGATTACTACAATACTAATGTCTACGGAACACTGTGCCTATTACGCTCAATGGTCCGTCATAATGTGACGAATATCGTCTTCTCGAGTTCTGCAACCGTCTACGGTGACGCGACACGTTTCGAGAATATGATTCCCATACCTGAAGAGTGCCCCTTGGGTCCAACTAATCCTTATGGAAATACAAAGGTTATCGCTGAGACTGCGATTACAGATGTTATCAGCTCGCAGCGCACCAATGCGATTAAGGCTGGAAATGCAGAAGATGCTGAAAAGTGGAACGCGGCTCTGCTGCGCTATTTTAACCCTGCAGGTGCTCACCCGAGCGCAATCATGGGCGAGGATCCACAGGGCGTGCCGTACAACCTGCTTCCACTGCTTGCACAAGTAGCTACGGGGAAACGAGAAAAGCTCCTTGTGTTTGGAGATGGTAAGTCGCCAGAAGCAATTGTAACGTGGGAGTATACAGCCAGCGATTCTGACGACGAAAATACCAGATTACGCTTCTCATGACGGCACCGCTATCCGTGACTACATTCATATCCTTGATCTTGCAAATGGCCACCTGGAAGCCCTCAACTATCTCCGCGACAACCGTCCCGGCGTCCGCGCTTGGAACCTGGGCACCGGCAAAGGCAGCACCGTCTTCGACATTATCAAGGCTTTTAGCAAAGCTGTTGGCCGCGACTTGCCATATGAGGTCGTTGCCCGTCGCGATGGTGATGTTCTGGATCTAACCGGGAACCCGTCTCGTGCGAATCGTGAATTGGGATGGAAGGCCACACGAACTCTCGAGCAAGCCTGCGAAGACCTTTGGCGGTGGACAAAGAACAATCCCCAGGGATATCGACAGTCACCACCAGAGGAATTTCTCGCCAAGCTAAAACAAAATTAAGGGGCCGGCATTTGAATTTATTGTGATATACAGTTTCAAGGGAAGGGTAAATATAACGGCGAATAATAAGCAAAAGCAATCGATTTGGGTTGGTACTGGGGGGAAATAATGCTCTTTTGTTCTCTCCGGAAGTATAGTTCGTCCGGTGATGTTCTCGTTCTATATTGATTGATTATAGATTGCCGTGTTTGTAGGGAGATAGTGCAATCGATATGTATGTTTGTACCGACAAAATAGAATAGGTCTTCTATTCTGTCTTGTGGATTAAGATGCAATTATTTTCTTTCCTCCTTACCGTCTAGGTTATCTTGCTGACTCAAGAAAGTCCCCGATTCCGACGCCATCAAGGCTAGTGAATGGATATCGGCAGCACGAAACACGTAAATAATAAAATCACCCCATTGCCAGATTTTTCATCCCTCCTTTTTACCTCTGACAGGCTTCTGTTTCTTCTTCGCCTCCTCTTGCTTTTCCCCCTTCTCGATCGCTCTCCGAAGGGCACTCGCTTTCTCAGTTTTTTCAATCTGCTCTTGACTAAACTTCCATAACTTCTCGGCAATTTTATCATCCATCACCTCTTTTCTCAGAACTTCCCGCTGCTTACATTCCTTTATCAACCTGCCTCCTTGAATACCCACTATTCGCCTTTGTCTGTCTTCGTCCGTCTCGCCCACCGCGCTCAGCCCAGCTTCCATCGCTGCTAGAAGAAAGCTTTGTGCTCCCTGTTGGGGTGATTTGAGAATAAGCCACCATATTGGCCATGTAAGAAGGTAGAATAATAGCCCCAGGAGAGATCCGCCGGTGAGCCAGCGCCTCGTTCCCGGCGTTCTCGAAAATCCCGGGTCCACCACGAGCACGCGCGAATTGGTAGGACGGGCCGCTTGCTTTTTGGTCCGATTGGAGTTGTCGTAGTTGGCCAGATGAGCTTGGTATGACCGCGCGAATATCAAGAGGGCGAGTTTAGATGTAGCATACATGCTGCTGCTGGATTTAGACCCGCTCCTTATTGTTCCTTTGACGCTTGACTTTGCTTTGGATGTGCTTGAACCCTGCGTTGCTTCCGATGTTCTGGCTTCCAGCGTTTCAAAGTCCAACTCCGCCCTGATGTAACTCGAACAGGTCGCAAATATGACTCTTACATCCCGATCTGGCGGCTGAGCGCGCAGTGCAGGGCTTAATATACTTAGTAAATGAAAATTGGCTAGGTAGTTCACCTGCCACTCTCTGTTTAGTCTATCGGACGTATTTTGCAACTCCGGAGAGCACGGTGGAGTTAAGGTGTTTCCGCATAGAATAACCATATCTAGCCGTCGTGGGGGTGTATTATCTATCCACTTCGTAGCGAAGCGCCGGACGGAATGAAGGGAGGAAAGATCAACTTGTTCGGCGTATACGAGCGAGTTGTTGGTGCTGTTGCGGACGTCCTCGATATAGTCCACAACGAAAGGGTCACTGGGCGAATGTTGCGTAAGGATAATTATTTGGGCACCGCGAGAAGCAAGTTCATGAACAATCGATGCTCCCACGCCTGAAGTGCCGCCCTGGGGAGAAGTGTCAACGAGTGGGCCGACTGCAGAAGAGCGCGCGAAAATAGGCACGTACCGTAATCATAATTACTTTAGAATGCATAGTACGCTCGGACTGGTTTATAGCACCGCCAAAGTATCGTTTGAGCAGCGCAATGGCGGCAATCCCTGATGCCGTTTTGGCAATGGGATATGCGTAGGGGATGGACGAGAGGCCATTGCTGAAGGTGTGTGAGATGATCGGGAGAGGCATGGTACGTATTTCCCCAAATCCGGAGCACCAATCTGCCAAGCTCTTTCAAGAAGCTCCTATAGTTATCCTCGTATCTTTCGTCGTTCGCCAGGGAGTGGATGGAGTCGACCTGCAGTGCTTCGTGGTTCAGGAACTTCAAGGAGCCCCAGCATGACGTCGCGGGAAATGAGCTGGCGTCCGCTCGCCACTCCGAAAAAGAGCTCCATGCTTCACGCTCCATTTATCACTATAGTGCTCAAGGAGACAACATTGCACAATGCCCTATGACGATGAAGATTATTTCCTCCCCTTGGAGGATCAGCGCGTCTTCGGTGCTGGAATCAAAAGAAAGCGAGTGCCATTCGTCCCATCCAGCGAAACGCGCCTCGCCACGACAGATGGCCATCCACTCTCCGCACCCGCAACTACATCTTCCACGCCAGGCCCCGAAGCCGCTGTCTCAGAGCCAACACCACCTTCAATAGGTGATAAGTACCTCTCCATAGTCCTATCTAAGTCCGCAAACCCCTCCCCGTCCCCCGCCTCAACCTCCGCGACCACCATCGACGCCGCCAAGCAAGCAGATTCTTCGCCCGAAGAGAGACTCCAAGAAGACACTGCACTTGTAACATGCGACATTTGCAACCTGCCTCTATCACAACCGCCTCCCAGCTCCTCAGATGCGCAATACCCGCCTCATCCACATGAATCCTCCCTCGTCCATCAGGCCAGCCTTCCACACTCCCATCCACCCTCCGCTGTTGACCGTACGCGCCGTGGATACAAATACCTCGCTTCCTACGGCTGGAACCCGGACTCTCGAACTGGTCTGGGCCCAACAGGTGGCGGTATCCGGGTGCCAATTCTCCCACAGGTGAAGCATGATACGGCGGGCCTGGGTTTGGACGTCAAGAGAATGAGCGATGCGGAGAAGAAGGAGAGGGAGAGGCAGAGAGCGGCTGCGAAATTGAATGCGAAGCAGGTCCGGAACAGAGAAGAGGAAGGGAAGAAGAAAGCAGAGAGACTAAGAGAGATGTTCTATGGATCAGAGGACCTGGAGAAGTACTTAGGTAGAGGTTGACGAGCCTTTGTCATCTTGCTTCTTTGTCGTTTATGATACCCCATTTGGTTTATTTGGAGATGCATAGGTTAACTTGACCAGTCTACTTTGAGCAAAAAGGTGGCATGCTGTTGAGCATAGCAACCCCAAGAATTGATAATCAATTCCAGATGGGTACTGGAATTCGCTGTCTCTATCATATAAATGCAATGCAACTTAGGAAATTTGGTCTAACCCCTGATAATAGGCTGGCAAGAGAAAACCCATCCCAGTGCGCCATACTACTCTGTTGCAAAAAAAAAAAAAAAAAAAAAAAAAAAAAAAAGAAGGAAATGACTGCTTTCAAAATGCATCAGAAGTAAAAGAGCCATAAAGTGACAAAATAAACGCCATACAGACTTTCAAGGCTGCTAAAAGGGGGTAGTGTAACATATGCCTAACATCATAGGTCATAATAATCAAAGCTCTATTTGAAGAAACGTTTCTTCTTCTCTTTATCCTTCTTGTCCTTGTCCTTTTTGCTAAGCTTCTGTTCGCTTTTTGACAACATGGGTTGTGGTCGGGGCGGAGCAGATTCACCTAGGGATTTTACTCTTCGCGGGTCGTCCTGGGAACTCATTGTCATAGCAGCAAGGCCAGAAGTGGGAGGTGCTAGAGACTTCGACGCTGTCAGTGGCTGCGGCTGCGGCTGCACCTGTGGTTTGGGCGACGGCTCTCTCTCAAATAGATGTCGAGGGGCCTGAGGTTTCGGTTGGTCGGCGGGGAGGTTAAGCCGTCGCTTGTCAACACTTAGATCGCCAACTTGGCGTAGGAAGAGGCCAGGAGTAAGCATGTGTGATGTGACGAGGTATATATCTTTGTTGTGATTCTGGGATAGTTCGTAGCAGGAGCGAGCTTCGGAGTACGTGGCTCCACCAGCCATGAAAACAATGATTTTTTGACGAGGTTCCGCCGCTGAAGGACGGATTCGAGCCCAGGTAGGTTTTGCGCTCCTAAGAGAAGCTTGAGAAACGTTATCTTGACTTATGACATCGTCCCCATCCGCGTGAGGGCGGGTTGATGGAAACACTGAAGTATCCAAAGTGCCCCGTATTTGTTCTTGTAACATCAACTTCAAGTTAGGTTCGAATCTTGATAAGCTCGTGTCATCTTCGTTAATCTGAGCAGGCGGCTTTCGGGCAAATAGTGGCTGATTGGGTGGCTTAGTATCGCTGAGTGGTTTTTCAACCCGTGCCCCTAATAAATCAAAATTGTAGATGACTTCCCCATCCTGGGGTGGCAGCTGTGAGTGAGCGAGTAGCTTTTTGATATCACCGCCGAGAAGGCCGCCTCGATATAAGAGGTAAAGGACTATTAGTCGTAACCGATCGGGAGGCCGAACACGCTCGTCATCCAGAAGGCGAACAAGTTGGTCGGCAAGATTTTTAGGCTTTCGGTAATCTTCGTCTAACCCAGTACCAAGTGACTGTAGCATGTTAGGTGGAGTCGCGAAGTAAATTGGCGCCGGCGATCATACCTGTTCAACAGACGCAAGCTCCGGTAGGTTGCGGTCCTGAAATAGTTGCATGCACTCTTCGGCCATGTTAAGGTGCAGCGTATATGAATTCTTCCCTTCTTGAAACTTTGACAGTCCGGCCAACATGTCTCTGATGGTGTTCACATTTGCAGACGAATCACTATTGAACTGTAATTAGCAACGACCAGTACAGAAATAGAGCGAAGAGCATGACATACTTGTCAGCAAACTGAGGGTTTTTCGCTCTGAATTGGTTGAAATCATCCACTAGCTTCCCGAGGAGGTCTTTCATGTGCAAATGCCGACTCTCTACCCAGATACTATCATTTTCTGAGATCTCCAATTCCTTGGTTTCCTGATTTGGCTCTCCGGCATTAATGGTTGTTTCATAAGTAACCTTTTCTCCTTCTTTGATTGGAAGGAGATCATGAGCCATGGCCTGATACGTGAATTCGTGGACTAGCGGAGCGACAAGATCCAAGGTTCGGTCAACTATATAAAGCAGACCCCGTTGTCTCGACGCTGTTGGAAAGTCTTCGCGCGATTTGGCGTAAGCATCCAGCTCATCCTGGACAAAACGTGCTAGGTGGGAGCATAGAACACTAGCTTCGTGTGTCGGCGCCTTGGGCCGGTAGTATCGAATTACGGGATATTCGCCAAGTGATACGCATACGGAAACGATCTATCTTTATTAGTGAAAATCTAAGGAATGTGTCCATTTGTAAACGCACCCTTTGGGCGAGATCCTCAAGGTGACCTCGGACGAGATTGTTGCATGCCGGATGGAAGAGGGTGGGAAAGCTCCAAGGATCGCGGAAAATTACAAGATGCGATTCTCTAGGAAAGTAGTTAATGTTGACGATACGGAAATCAGCGATCAGGTCGCGTGCCATGCTCAAGCCGTTGATTCTGCTTCGTAATTGGGGATCAAGCCCTGTCGAGTATGTCAGGAGAATGTTTCAGGGGGTTTGACCACGGAGGACTCACTAGCAGTCCAGACTAGAAAGGCTCTCCTATATCGCCGACGTTGCAAGTCCGCTATAAGACAGTCTACGATGTGCGGCAATGGTGAGAGAAAATAAACCGCATCCGTCTCTTGGTTCATAGGGCGCCGGTGCTCGATCTGCTCAATATCTTGAGATGGTGTCAGCTCCGATCTCCACCGAACAACAACACTCGTCAACCAATGTGACTTACTTGTAACGTTGGCGTTGAGGATGTCATCTTCTTTAACGGCATTATCTATTAACTTTTTGCTCAATGCATCAACGACGAGCACTTTCCACTTGAAACCAATCAGCAGCTGTTCAAATGTAGGGCGGGGAGGCACGAGAGCTAACTTCTCGCTCAGCGGTATATCGAACAGTGTCCAGGATAACTAGGCGTCGAATTAGCTATATCCAGTGCATTCTTAGAAAAGGGGTACACGATACTTTTCCGCTGGACCTCAATCAAGGAGGAGTCCATCTTGGCAGGGAATCGGTCATGAGAATGAGAACCGCAGTTACGAGGCGCTGGAGGCTCGACAGGATCGGTAAGGGATGGAGCGGGCTGCTTTTGGTTGAAGGCAGGTAGAGCGATATATAGAACAGCAGTTTGCACCCGTGACAGAAGTGACGCCGGCGACGGTGCCCTGAATCGCTTCACCTCGCGCCGTCGGCACAGCCCGCGAGATTACGGTCTCGCTCTGTGACATAACGCAACCTCCCGCCCGCCAGCCAGCCGGCCCGCGCTAGGCTCGGAGGGGACTAGCCCCGGCGGCTGGTGCGATTATATCAGCAGGTAGCGGGAACAACTTTTCTTCCGCCACCGGACAGGGTTATCGTTGATCCGCAATACTATATTCGACCTGAGTCGCCTTTTGAGAATTCCAACTCGGAGCTTCGTCCAACATCTTCTATGTGAAGACTGGAAATTTCTCTCTTGGGCTTCTTTTACTGTATATTGTGCTTGCGAGGCGTTCGTGGTATACATGTTCTCATTGAAAACATTCCAATTCCTTCTGCGCTCAAACTGAGAGCACTCAATGCGACGAGACCGTCCGCCTTCCATCTCAATCTTGAATCAGCGCCGAATCCACCCACACCATGCTCATGCAACCGTGGAGAGGGTCACAGACACCGTGCCTGATTTGTCTCTTTCGACAGTGTGTCGTCCCGCGACAGTTCACCCGCTCCCTTAGTACCAGCAGGCCCTTGGAAAGGGGAAAACCCAAGTCTAGCAAGTCTAAACTTGCTTGGAAACAGACGGTAGGAATAATTTATAAACTTTGCCGCTTATACATTTTGTGGTTCTAACTATTTGCTCCAGAGTCTTCGGCTTCCCCCAGAGCAGAAGAAGAGAAATGCCAGAAATAATGCTGTTCGAAGAGATCAGTTCGCAGTCGTGCTAGAGAGGATATTACAGGATTTAGAACGAAAAGTGAAGTCTAACGAGGGCAAAAGTACTTGGAAGGAGTTTCAAGACGTGGTGACGGCCGCCTGCACGCAGTCAGGGAACCAATCGCCCAATCTTGCTTTGAGTCAAAGATTACACGAGGCCTTTATAAGGGTTGGAGAAGCCAAGCTGGCCTCGGTTTTGGAAGAAGAGTATCGGAATTATGAATACGATATCAAGTTCTCTTCACGCATTAAAGAACAGAAGGCTCTGGCCGACTACAGGTTCCCGGCGGAATGGTACCCAGCGGCCCGGGCTCTCCAGCGCACGATACATCTTCATGTTGGGCCTACAAACTCGGGAAAGACATATCACGCCTTGAAAAGACTAGAAGAAGCAAAAAGCGGGTTTTATGCTGGACCATTGCGACTTCTCGCTCATGAAGTCTATTCTCGGTTTAATGCAAAGGGCATCTCTTGCGGTCTTATAACGGGCGACGAAGTAAAAGTTCCCGAAGGCACTCCTCCAACCCTCTATAGTAACACAGTTGAAATGGCCCCGTTGGGACTAGAGGTCGATGTCGCTGTTATTGACGAAATTCAAATGATTGGTGATCGTCAACGAGGTTGGGCGTGGACCAGAGCGCTGTTGGGCGCTCCAGCGAAGGAAATCCATCTCTGTGGGGAAGAACGAGTAGTGCCTTTGATCCGAGAACTTGCTGCTTTGACGGGAGATAAGCTGGAAATCCATAATTATAAGCGCTTGAACCCATTGATCCCGATGACGAAGAGCCTAAAAGGGAATCTTCAAAAGCTTCAGAAAGGAGACTGTGTTGTGGCATTTTCTCGCTTGGGTATCCATGCCCTCAAGCAAGAAATTGAAAAGGCAACTGGGCGAAGAGCCGCCATAGTTTATGGGGGTTTACCTGCGGAAATTCGGTCGCAGCAGGCGGACTTGTTCAATAACCCTGATAATGACTATGATTTCCTGGTCGCTAGTGATGCGATCGGTATGGGCCTTAATCTGTAAGTTGCTCTTTTAACCTTCCATCTTTGGGCTTTCATTGCTAAACTGGTATCGATAGAAGCTGTAAGCGAATCATTTTTGAATCGGTCATCAAGAGAAGTCCAGTTGGTCTGGAACGATTATCAGTATCTCAGGTCAAACAGATTGGTGGCAGGGCCGGTCGTTATCGAAGTGTAGCCGATGCCATGGACAAAAGCAAACCGTCAAAGCGCTCTGAGGAAGATCAAAATGTCGGATTTGTGACATGCCTTGAGGATGTCGATCTTCCGCATATCCAGAAGTGCCTGCGCGCGGAGGCAGAGCCAATCAACGCAGCGGGTATTCTTCCTCAAGATTCTATGATAACTGCCTTTACGGATCATTTCCCTTCAGATACGCCGTTTAGATACCTCTTGCAGCGATTGTGGAATGTTTCTCAGACGCATCCACGCTTCTTTATGTGTGATTTACACAGTTCTGACGTACAAGAAATCCTGGATGACGTTCCCGGACTCAGTGTTACGGATAAACTCGTCTTTCTATCCGCTCCCACTTCGACGGCAGATCCGACAAGTGCCTTAACCCTCAAGGCATTCGCAACCTGTGTTGCACAACACAAGAGCGGAGCGCTCCTCGACATTCCGGAATTGCACCTTGAGATCCTGGATGTCCCTGTATCTGGCAATAAGAATTACTTACGATCCTTGGAATCACTTCACCGTTCGCTTGTCCTCTACCTTTGGTTAAGCTTCAGAATAGGTGGCATATTCACTGATAGGACTCTTGCTACCCATGTCAAGGAGCTTGTGGAAATGAAGATGGACAGGGCTTTGACCGAATTCTCCGCCAATTCCAAGTTAACCAAGTCCGCTATACTTAGGAAACAGGCCGCATTATTAAAGAAGGGCCTGCTCGAAGAAGCGGAAGAAATACAGGAAGTTGATTTTGATCCTTCCCACGATGTTGAAATTCAACCCCAAAAAGTAGGAGTGGCTGCTTGAACGCCATCTCCGGGCTGTTCTGTAAGCTATGGTGGCTTACGCGGTTTGAACCTTTGGCCCAAATGGATCAGACCTCGGGATTCTAGTAACGCAAATTAATTGAAACCGGCCGGTCACATTCCCCCGGCTGGTATCGCCGGATGACGCCAGTGAAGGACGCAGCAAGCTTCATTATTTCTGGAGGGTTAGAAATTTTATATACCTGATCTTGAGCGTCCCCTTAATGGGAAACTGGCTGGTCCGATCGGACCGGCTTCTCGCGCATGTGGTCCCTCTAGGCTCGCTTAGAGCTCAAAAGTATCGAAGTTGATCACGAAACATACATGGGCACCACCCAGCAATACCATGACCCGAAAGCGATCCCCAGAGTGGGTAGTGGGCTGGTATGTACACTTCCGTCGTCGCAGATAATCGCGTCCTGTGCGGAGAGAAGCATATAGATTTTCTTTTATATATGTATTTATAGACACAAATGCACCTCCTTTCCAAACTCAAGTTTTGTATAATTTTGTGACTCTGTCCTCCGCATTCCTTGCTCTGTCGTTATCACAATCGCCCTTGTATTTTCCGTCCATTCTAGTCTCCCACATACGTAAACTTCTGAGCGGCCAGCAGAGTGCTGTAACTACTCCGTAGTTAACTAGTTAACTAGTTAGCTGGGTGGCAGGTTGCGGCGGGTTACTACCCAGGCGCCCCATGTAACCTGGTTAGACAGGGGGTTAGTCAGCAAGACCGCAAAAATAACCAGGTTTTCTGAGGGGTTGGCATTGTACAGTTATCTTGGCAGTTGCATACTAGCTGGTACAGAGGGTGGTGCTGAGTCAGCCATTTAAACCAGTGAGAGTTCTTTATTACAGAGGTCTTTCAGACAGCACTGTACAGCTGGAACAGCAGTATCAGGATGCACCCACCAGACAACCAATCAACCATCTGTGATAGCTCAGGTCAGCAGCTGGGGATCTCAGAGAAGATCCTGTAGAGCAGGCAAATATAGGTTCTGTAGATAGCTAGATGCCTACATAGTATAATTATACTATTCTCTATTCTATACAGGACAGAGTGTGTGTATAGCAGTGCTGCTCAGCACCAGCATCTGATGCAGCTGTAATGCTGTCCTGATGCTCAGTTTGTTTATATACATTATACTGATACACTGTATGACAGATAGTATCAGAATCAGTAAATAGTAGATTAAGCATCATCTTGACAACAGATTTTCTTTTTCTTTCTTTCTTCTCTTCTCTTCTCTTCTCTCCTCTTCTCTCTTTTTTTTACTCTAAGTCTGTTCATCAGAGTCTTTATTATCATTATTGCTTTGCTTCTCTCATGAGTCTTTCTGTAGATTATGCATCAGCTATCATTCATCAATCATATAATAGTAAGCTGACTGACTTACAGAATAATTTCATAATTTCATGTTACTATAATATTCTCCACTGCTAAGATCTCTGCTTGCCTCTTTCCTCTCTTCTCCCCACAAATCTGAGAAAGAAAATGTCTGTACAGCTCTGTATATTGGTGGAATATGAGAAGAAGACATTGACTTGTTGATATAGAGTGCTTGTTCAATGGACCTCCTTTTATTCTGACCAGATGGAGCAGAATCTTGCTGAAGCTGCTGCCCAGGCCCAAACTAATAATCAACCACTCTGTCTCTTTATTAAACAGAATCAGCTGGTTCTGTATATTTACTTCTTTCAGTTACAGTAACTGCTTGCTCAATCAGAAAGAAATGTGAAGTTTGTTCTCAGACAAATCTTCTTCTACCAGATTAACATGCACCATCAGTCATATGTTAATGCAATTCTGATCCAGTCATGTGAGAGAACTTTGCACTAGAGCAGTATCTGCAACAGATGCACAGAGATGGAGCCCATAGCTCTATTCTTATTATGCTATCATGTATACAGTCACTTTAGAGATGCATGCAGGAACTGCAAATGGTCAGACTATATATCTTACTGCTCTCTGCATGGCAGGCCAGAATCTGCAGTAAGATATAATAACAGAGGACCAAGTTCATACAGAGCTGCTGGCCACTCACATACATTAGATAGCAGAACTAGTCTGAAACTGTCTTCTGTCCACTCAATTCTTCTTCTTGAGAGTGGAACAGCAAATAATTCCATTCATGTTGAAACTAATTCTCTTCTATTTCACTCTGGAGATTCACCATCAGTCTTTCTGTATAAGATTAAGAAGTCTGAGAAGCCAGAGAATGACTCTCAGAGCAATTCTATTATCTTAAACTAGATATGCATGAACTTTCTTTTCTGACTTATCTGCTTTCTTTCTTTTCTTTGAAATTTTTCTCAACTGCTCTTGCCTAGTTATACAGGCCCTGTATACAGCATCTGAACATGATTTGCACTTCTATACAGTATTCAGAACCAGTAGCTCTAAGAAGTAAAGCTAAGCAAACTATTATTATGTATTCAGCATCTCTTCTTCTTTATCTTCCTATTATACAACAGGCTGTGCTGGATATGATGGACAGGGTTTGCCATAATAAGAATCAGAGCAGTTTCTTTTTTACTTACAGTATTCTGGATAGTCTGTTCAAACTGAGCTTCTCATACTATCATACAAGCTCTAGTTTCTCTACAGCAGCACTGCTACTGGCACTTCTCTGTCTCTGTCTGTTAATATAATTAATAATCATCTTTCTTCTGCTGTAGAACATTCTCTCTATGCCACCTGGCTGCTATTTTACTTTATACAAGACATCTAGATTCTGTACTGAAGAGCCACTCTTCAGATCAACTGTTCATTCCTGCCATAAATCTGAAACTATAATAATTGTACAAGAAAGCTGGTATGTGACTGGAACAGAAACACTAGCAGAGGCTGAAGCTATCTCTAATAAATAGACTGAAGCTTGTGCTTCTCTGAATGCTATAGAATCACTATCTCTCTCTTTATCTTTATCTTCAAAGACAGCAGCTGCTGTCATCATTCTTTAATCAGCAGGAAATACTTATATAAGAAAAGAAACCTGTCCACTGATCAGTACTTCTAACTGATTATTAATTTTTTGCAGTTCTGTTTCCAGAGCAGTATATAAATAACTACAGGCCATATCTAGATTCTGCTGTATAATGTGCAGCTGATCTGTCATTATAAGTACTGTCTGCTGCAGCTGCATTTTATACAGCTTCTCTTTATAAATGTTGGCTACTCAGACTGCCTCTGCAAACTGATAATAGTTCTCTCTCATGAATACAGAGCTGGTCCACAGAGAATAGCTGAAAAAGAGAGACTGAAGAATGACAGAGTCCTGCAGAAGAACTGTATAGAGATGATAAAGCAGATATAGAAACTCTTGAGCAGCTAGATCATTTCTATTCAGTTGTATAGCAGAAGATCCTCTGAGCTGATCTCAAGAATTACTCTGATCTGAAAATCTTCTCAGCTCTGGCTTCTGGAGACAGGAGTTGAAGTTCTGAATATTATATAACTTAAATTACTGCATCCAGTTATTAATTCAGGGCCAGACAGCATGCTCCAGTAACTCAAGCACAGGCATTCTGACCCACAGCAGATAGAAGTTCCCAGATGTGCAGGAGTTAAAGTCAGTTATAGTCTGTATAAACTTTCTGAAAATATTAGTCAGATAGTACTGGCTGAAAGCATTACTGTTTCATCTTCTAGCATGGCAGATCTGACTCTTACTGACTTCAATCTGCTTTGCATGTCTGGCTCCAGCAGCTTATCCAGCATGGGTCTTCTTCAGGCTAGAAAGTCCTGTTCCACTGTAGATGTATCAAATCTAGTCCAGCTGAATCTCATACAACAGAGGCTTTCTCACATCATCTCTCTTGATCAGGTGCAGCTGGTACCAGTCCTGGCAGTTGTGAAACTGGAGTGATAGCTCTTGTACAATATTTCATTAGTAGAAGAGATAAAAGACTGTCTGTGCCATGATGCAGAGCAAGAGATTGCAATAGCACATCACTGTAGCATACTCAATCTGGTCCATCTGGTTAGTCTTGCCATTTTCTATGATTAAAATTATGGGGAAGCAAGAGGTTGAGTCTTTATTTGTCAGCTCCAGAGTGAAGAGATCAGCCAGCTGTGCCATACAGTGAGATTTACTGTAGAGAAGCATGCTGTAGCTTATTAGAAAGTTCACTGCAGTATAAAGATGTGGCTCTACTGACTGGTCTTTTTTGAACTCTGACCAGCTCTGCCAGCAGTACTCAATCAGCTATATAATATTCTTCTTATGATATTCATTCAGCAGGGTTCCTGCACCACAATTTACAAACTCTGTCTTCTTGTGTTCATGCTCCTATCTTGAATGGGTTTCAAGCAGGGCCCAGACAGCCTAGCCAACTGGATGGAGGTGAGGATTTGTACAACAGCTCCATTAATAGCTTCAGAGATTGACAATTACAGTCTTGTAGGCCTTGATGAATGATTGGCCCAGAATTTACACAACAGACTCTCCATTCTGTGAGGATCATACATGTGGATCAGCGTGACAATGAATCTATAGGAGAAATTGTATGTAGAAAAGAGTACATGAGGTAAAAGATCTGGTATTGACAGCTATGTACAACTTCTAGACAAGATTACCACTGGCTTCCAACAAGAGATTTGTGCAGTGGTGGTCTTTTATGTGTGCTTATGAGCACATGACTTAGTGTCTCACAAGAACACATGTACTCTCAACAGCTTGCAAGCCCAGGTTCTGAGCTCTTGCAGGTGTTGTTTGTTCATGTAAGAGATTCATAAGCAAATTCTTACAGATTTTCTTCTCTTGTAAGTCTTGGTCTCTCAAGGCAGCTGTCTCATTAAAAATCTTCATGAGTAGAAAAATAAAACCTCTTGAGAAAAATAAAAATTTCCTCATAAGAAAAAGAGTACAGCCTCACTAGAGATATAATATCAACACAACTCTAATAACACAACACAACATAACAACACAACAGAGCTCAATAACACAATAATATGTAGAGAGTCTCTATTGTTCTCACTAGCTTCATGTTACTATTAGATAATAAGCACTAGCTTAAGAGAGAGCTTTCTCTTGCTTTCTCTTTCTCTTCTTTTCTTCTCTTCTTTCTCTAGTCTATATTATCATTATCAAGATAAGTGAACCCTTCAAGCACTGCTTCACATGGGAGGCAGGCTTGTGGGAGATCTCTAATAATCAGAAGAATCAAAAATGGCTTTATCCAGATGTTCTGTGTGCTTAACCTTACAGCTATAAGTTAGTGAGTTCACTCTTGATTGTGTCTTTACTTTACATGGTTATGAAGTTTTGTCTTCACATGAAGTTTAGTTTGCAGAGAAGTTAATGCTTGCTAAAAGTTTCTGCAGATTTACAGTCTTCTTTCTCTCTCTCTCACAAGTTATTGCTACTCTTCTCTCTCAGAAGGACCTCCACCCTCCCCTTTATAGAAGAAGTTGGATCTTTAATGAGTAGTCTTGAGAACTTGAAAAGAGTTTGTAACTGATAATTCTAGAGTGTTGTTACTTCTCTCTCTCTCTCTTCTTCATCAGTTGTTACTGCTCTCTCTCTGTCAGCTCAAGCTGTAAGTGCTTCTCACAAGCTGACATTTGATTTACATGCTGATGGAGTTAGAGTTCTGCTGCTCTGCCTTCCCTCTCTGTAATTATTGTGCTGGCCCTGGCTGAAAATGTGAGTATTCTCTATTACATTTCAGTTTGTGGCTAACTCTCTCTAGATTGTTGTTGCTGTTCTTCCTGCTCCAGCAGAATTTGTGGATGCTGTAGTTCTATAGAGTGCCTGGAATTGTTCAGCACTCTCTCTGTAAGACTGACAATGGTGGTTCCAGATCATCTTCACCCAAATGCTGCCAGCCACTACTTTTACTGATGCTTTGTGGATTAATCTGGTGATTCTTCCAGGTCTTCTACCCCATACTGGGGCACAAGCTTTGTCTGTCTGTGAAAGAGCATGATGTTGTGAGCCTATTCAAAGGCCTGTACTTATTGCTGGTTTGAATAATTTAAACTAGTTGGCTATCTATATCCAGCTCTGTAAAAGTATTCTTGTGATTTGAGCTGGAGTCCAGCCACCATCAGAACAAGAGTGCTCTGCCTGCAAGAGAGCTTAGCAAGACTATAGTAATATAGTCTTTGCAGAGTGCATCTCTGCAGGCTTGAGTCAAAAATATAATAACTGCCTATACTGTGGGCATCTTGCTTGCTCTTTCCAGCAGTAAAATTATAGATAGTTGTTACAGATCTTTACAGAAGAAAGCTAGAGGCTCTTATATAGTTCTTAGCTTAGTTTTTTCTTCTTTTGAGGTCAATTTGATTCAGTTCAGATTATATCTTTTCTCTCTCTAACTCATTTTCTAGCTCTACTACCTTCATCCATCTCTTTCATAAACCAGGCTTGTCCAGGTTTCTACTATAAAATTATTGGAGTAGCTTTCTCAGTGAACAGACATTGCTTGCAGGCACTCATGTCTTGTTCTTCTTGTCATCATAATCTTTCCAATGTACTCTGTACTACAGCTTGTGACTCTCTCTTTTTGAGTTAATTATCTTGCAGACCTGATACTTCTTTTCATTCTTGTCTGCCTCACAAACTTTGTAATAAGATGAGCTATTAATTTCTTCATGGGTCTTGTGCTTACAGAGCAGAAATACATGAAAAATGTCATGAGTTTGCAGACCTGGAGGCAGCTCCAGTCTGTAGACTTGTGAGCCTATCTTCTTCATAATTCTACAAGACCCATGTCTCAACAAATCTAATTTTTTGTTAGGCTGCACAGTCTTGATATTGTGAAGATCAAGCCACATCTTGTCTCCCATCTGAAAAGTCTTCATGATGTGCTTCTGGTCATAATACTTCTTCTGATAGACTTGTGCCTTCACAAGCAATTTCTTAGTCTTCTTGCAGAGCAATCTCATTGTCTCTGCCTGATTCTTTAAATTCTTGCACACATAGCTATACTTCTCAAGATTCAACAGATCTGTTTACAGATTCAACTTAT